CGCCGCAGCAGCGAGGGCTGTTGAGGAGGACATTGGATGTGCGATCAGGAAGAGAGATGGATAAGTCTAGAGCAGAATAAAAGAAAGAAGGCGATAGCGATAGGAAACTGATGGGAAAAAAGGAAAGGAGGAAGAGGAGCAGTGTGTGAGAGAGACAAGGGCGAAAGTGGGGGAGCCAGCTGAATCCAGTGTATCCATGCTAGTACACACTTTTCCTTTTCCTTTGTGGATATGTACTGCATGTGCCACTTTGTTTACATCGATTTTGATTGAAGGTACATTTGCCGCTCTGCAAATGAAGCCTTTGATTATCGATCAGACACGATTCGACATCTCTGCGCCAAGCGCTTGATCCCCCTATTTGAGCACAAAGTGCACTCCGTGATCACCTTAGATTTGCCCCTCTCTTTCTCCGACTCAGGTTCGCGCCTCAGAGATGTATCAGTTAATGCGCATAGGCGTAGACTACATTGATCTACACTCCGCCAGAGGCCAGGCATGTGTTCAAGCCATTCATTTGCCACCAATCCAGATTGGTGGCAACAAAACCGCGTTCGGGATCCGGTCTCACAAAAAGGCCTTGTTTTCTTCTGTGGCTTCTGGATGAAGAGGAGATCGAAAAATGAAGGCCTTCAAAAAAACTTTTTCGCGCCCTCTCCTTCTTTTTATCCTTTCCTCTCTCCCCTTTCCTTCCTGCAGCATCCACCTATATCCATCACCTGTTGTCAATTGGTAAGATTTTCCTCAACATGACCTTCATTACCACCTTTGTTTCTCGCCATAGGACAACATGATGATACAAACGCAATTAAAGCTGGAATTACCGCCTGAACCACAGTGTTGATAGTTATTGCACCCAACTGACGATTGTCCATGCAACGAAACGAGAATTGGATGATCTACAATCTACTTTGCATCTGTATTGTAGCAGTTGACTGACCTCTTTCTTGTCCTCTCAACTGCATTTACAAAGGATAGGTCCCCTAAGTGAGAACATCCGTTCTATTTTAGTTGGGCCGGTCGATAGCAATATTTCTTTGAATAATGAACGATAATAAAAAAACGAGAACAACAATGATCTTCGCAGATACGATGAGCAAGTGTTTGTCTTGTGTGCATTCAGAATGTTCAAACAGATCTTGTTTGGTCTTGATCGTGTCTCGATGGAATCCACCTGGCACACGTGAGGTTGTTGCCAAATAGGGCGGATGGTGCTCACGAACATCCTGTCATTCCTCTTCGTCAACGTCCATGCCATCAACGATGCAGCGGCAGCAACAGCAACAGCAGCATCTGCCATCACCACGTAGGAGCAAACACTCGCGCCAAACCAGTCATTTACCAGGAGCAGCGCCATATCTTCGCATTCTTTTTCCTCGACACATTCAGTTGCGAGAGCCGGTGCCACAGCTCCTAAATCAGCCCCACCCAGACCTTGACGCTGAGGCCTATCACTTCTTGGCCTTACTCGTCCGCGACTTTATCCAGACCTGGTACTCAAGCTTTTCCTCGGACCCACAGTTTGTCACGTCAATTGTCAACGTGATTATCGATGCCGCACGCAAACTGGAACATAGATGTCAGGAGGTACTGCAGCGCGCATGGTCATACCTTTCAGAGCAAGAGTCAATGTGAGCAATATGTCACTAACGTCAAGCGTGGCATTGAAACATACCATAGGTTGATTGGGTCGAGCTACTGCTGCAGGAAGTCCCGGAAGTGCTAAAGAGGCATTACATCGATTACCGCCAGGCTGTTCAAAAGCTGGAGACCGCCTACGCGCCCAACCAAACCATCGAGACCATTTTTCACGGATTGCAACCTCATTTTGCGCTCCAGGATGGCGAAGAATCCGAAAAGGAATACTTACGGCAGCTTGCAGACGAACTTTTGCGGGTATTACTCCCTGCTGCAGAGTATCAATCGGATTGCGTGCGATGGCTCGTTCGTGAGATCTTGAGTTGTCTCGTCCTTCGGAGCCTAGTGGAGATCCTGACGGAGCCGGACATGATTAATTACATTGTCAATACTGTAAGATGCGGATACACGTCGACGGTATCAACATTATCGTGTTATAATCGCAACATGATCGCTGATGTGCCCTCCATTCATACTCTGGTAGCTGCTAGTAGATTTTGAGCCGACGGACGAAAAATACGAAGAGTTTTTGAGAAAAGCAGCGGACAAAATGGATACTTCTGACGACAACTTTACGGCGTTCCTTGCCAGTCTGGAGACATATAAGGGAGGCTCTAGGATCGTAACACATCGATCATCTACACCCAACATTCAAACAACAGATGAAATCGTCACCATGCTGCAGGACGCCCAGTCGTCAATTCTGGGAACGCCTTCACAAAAAAAACAAGCACAATCTTCATTAGCGAGACCCGAGAGGAACGACGAATTACTTACCCAGCGTATATCGGGAACAACAGATTACAGCAGCCGAACATCATCGCCTATTAATACCAATCCGTTGAACTGGAATGAAACTGCTCCAACGCAATACGTTCCTTCGATGGAACCACCTCTTCAAATTCCTATCAAGAGTAAAAGGGAAATCCATTTTGGGCACAGTCGCACTCAGGATGATGCGTCCAGTTCAAGGACGATGGTATCCACAAATATATCCGCTACATCCTCTCGATTGCAGCGGCCCCATAGCAGCCCAAGGACTACATCCAAAATACGCTCCAGCACGATCTGGGCTGTCACCGAGGCGCCGAAGATATATACAACATACGTGATCAACTCCGTTCTCATCCCCTTTGGCGCCATGCTCGTGGTATTTCTGAACTTTATGATGTCGCTGCCAGACAAAATCAGCCAAGTCTCGCAGGCAATGGTCTGGATCTATGCAGAACTGGAGGCGCCTGAGCACACGGAACTCGAGATGGGGATTTTCAACTTATTGAACGAGATTCTGTATCTAGAAGAGCGGAACCCGGTCATATGGAGACAGTGGCAGATCATGGGCTGGCCACTCGTTCGAACTCTGGGAGGAGGAGCCATCGATCGGTAGATCTTGTATTAGGTTTTGCGAGTTTCATTAATCGTCTGGCTCATGGCCTTGAAATACTTACACTGCCTTCCCATTTTCTTCACCTTTACCGCCTTAGGCTGTTGGCACATGGTGTCTACTGGATATTCGCTGAACCGCGCCTAGTCATATACATACAAGCAGGTCGACGCGCGCTATGGCCCGACCCAAACTCGTCTCTTCCACGGCCACGGGGTGTAGACGAGATGAAGAAAGCGCGCAAGGAAGCCGAGCGACGGATTTTGAGAACTATCCCTGGTATGTCCGCGGGATTGAATCGCCCTCAAATCTATTCAATGTGAATTTCACTCAAGTCACTAAACGACAGTACATTACTTATTGATAGCACCTCTTCGCGACACATTCTTTGGCGACGATGGCGTTCATCATCTCGTGGCAGCGCGGGAGGCCTTGGAGCCGTTCCAAAACAAGATGTGTAACAAGCATCTAATTTACATTGCGCTCGACCTTTTTCTCTCCAAGGTCGTGCCTGAAATATACCCTGAACGGCCGTAGCCAACACAAAGCTCTTAAGTAAAACACACGTTTCACTTTGATGAGCTTAGTTAGATTAAGGTTTTTGTAACTGCAGATGACCGACAGTTCTTCACCCTGCCGGTGAAGAAAGTAAACCACCAAAGCCAAGTAAATTAAAAAGCTGAAGACGCTACAGAGCTGCACGCATCGGGATTTTAGAGCATGCACGCGACCAAGGGGACTGTTCTGGAGCTATGAGATGTTAGGAAGGTTCAGAAGTCGAAGGAGTGAGCCTTCGTTTACGAGCTGAGCATTTGAACTTCCTGGTTCTTACTGATGTCCTCTCATCTTGGCAGCTGCTTCCAGTAATGAGAACCGAGACACAGGGATGGTCTATGAGGAATTTTGCATTGATGCGCCCAGGCAGGTGCCTTCATGAAGCAAATGTGGTAAAGAAAAGGAAGAGCCACTTGATATTTCAAGGGCGGCATTATAAAAAAAGAATACGAATGATTCGATTCTCTGCCTTCAACGTTAATTCCAACACATTACGTATCTCCTACTAGAGTTCTTTAGGCCCTCATTCCTCACCCTACAATGGATCGCTTATACGCTTTTTCTTTATTTTCTACTCTTCCTGTCATTTTATTGTAGTCCACCTCGCACAAGCTATCGTTACACAGCTTCTGCTTGACATATGGAGGAACTACTGTGTGGGGAAATAAAGTTATTTGTGAAATAAAGGAAGTATCAAGACCTTGCCAGTAACGACTACGAGTATTCTTTGGAAAAACAGATACTAATAGCAATTAAGGTATGGCAGCGTAGTCATCTTGATGAATAACAGGAAGAAAAAAAAAAGAAAACGAGTCGAGTCGAATGAGAATGCCGCTCCTCATTCGGTCAAGGAATGGAAGATGACAATGCCTTAAAAGGCCATAGCTCGCTCATCACACTCTTTTCTCTTCCTCCACTACTTTTTTTATTACATCACAAATTCTTTCATTTCGCCTCTGTTCATTTATTCGTCCCCAACGAATCTCAATCAATTGCGCATTCGCCCCATCACCTCTTTCAATGTCTATCCCTAGAGAAAACAAAATTCAAGTCCAGATGGCAGAGGGTATCGATCATGGCTATCAGAACAACGGATCCGTACAAGCAGTAGGCTACTACAAATCGAAATCCGTCTCCTTCAAGGACTCGATCTCACACCCTATCAACGTCAGCTGGATCATCCCACCCTGGATCGATGCCCTTCTGCAGCAGGACATGTCTGTCCCCAACAACTTATACTTGATCCCATACGCCCAGCGGGAAGCCGAAGCCATGCAAAAGATGGAAGTCGCAGAGGACGCTATCACGCGCGCCAAGAAGATATACCCTAATTGGAGACCCAGAGGCAACTTAGGTCTCTCATCATGCCCAGGAAAGAAAGTGCGTCTCGACGGACCCGTCAACGGTAGGGCCAAGATTGTGCGCGACCTGGATCTGGACTTCGATCGACTTCAAAAGCTGGGATTTACGCGCGTTGTCTGGTAAGAGCGATTGAGACGTTGTCTCGATGGAATGCAGATAATGATGTGCAATGGAATGTCTGGAATGGATGCTGAATACAATGCCAAACTACGTAAATGCACGGATGTTCCTCTTTGAGAGATCTGAGTGACAAGATGATGGAATCAATCATATTCTGAGCACACGACAACTATATCCACTCCCCTACACTGCACCGCATTGAGAGTTTCCAAACGGGAAACAGGGGAAGGGAGAAAAGGATTATGGGGCGCAGGACTTCCCGCTCTTCCTTATTTGCATTCCCAGATACGATCATGCTTTGGCTCTTGGATTGGTGTTTACACCTCGTTCTCTTTTACACCTGCGGCTGAAAATAGCTGCCTATTCGATGAAGAGCTTGAGCTTCTTGGATCACCATTTCCGAAATATCTGGAGGCAGCGAACAGCCACGGTTTGGATGTTATCAGGTAAGCACAAGGGCTTTGTTGTCGTTATCAATCGACTGCCCTTCTGACCCTTATTTTTCATCTTTGGGCATTAGAATTCCGATGATCGAGGGAAGCACGCCGTATTCGTTTGCAGAGATGGACCGCATTCTCGACAAGATGGATGAGACCACAAGAAATGGACAGAATGTACTTGCGCACTGCCGAGGAGGTAAGAAAAACACCGAACATGTCATCGTCGTCATGAAAAAACCTTAAAGAGGATGGAGAGTATGGGAGTTACTCTCTTCTAGGCTGAAATTTAAGACTGGTTTTGTATCTATCAATACTAATCCATTTTTTTTTTTTTTTGTGCACTCTGCATACAGGTGTCGGTCGAGCTGCGGTAGTAGCATGCTGCTGGTTACTTCGACTCAATTACTTCAAAGATCATCGTGAAGTTATTGAATGGGTGAGAGCACAGCGATCGCCCAAGGCCATCGAGACCAAGGAGCAGGCACATTTTGTAGCAGGATATCATCTCTGGGTGATCGGAGGCCAGAGTCGGTCTATTAGCATGATGTATGAGGGAGAGATTAAGAGGCGGATAGACTGGGCAGAAGCCAATATGGCTCACGCGCGTGAGGATGCTGCCATCAAGAACGAGCATGGTCACCATGATCTCCAGTGCCGACTGCAGGAGCAACAAGCGCAAGTACAGCAACAATCACAGCAAGAGCTACCTCAAACCCAACTTCAGCTTCCTATCAACGGCCAATCAACATCAAGCGCACAACACCAAAGTCAGCAGCAAAGTAAGCAGTATGCTCAGCAGCATGTTCAGCAACAAAATCAACAGCATGTTCAGCAGCAAATAGACCAAGTAGACCATATTGCGCACACGCAGGAGCGCTTTCAACCTTCACCTAAATCAATTACTTCAACGGCAACGGTCTCTTCTCGCCAAGCAGATCCCGTATCACCCTCTTCACTATCTGGAATGGATCCAACGAACGGATTCAATCCTCCAGAGTGAGAATGGTTCATAGGAGGAAGCCCTCTAGATTATAAGATACGACATCTCCATGCATGATAGAACATATGCAGAGAGCGCAAGGAATAAACTGTGCGAATTGAATACCTAAGGGCGTTCGTTATAAAAGAACCTTTTTATATGTCCGTCACTTTCCCGAGGTACAAAAACACACCAGCACTCTCAATTTTTGGTTTTGCTTGAACCACAGTCTCTTACTCAATTCCCAACATCGACCACAATGGCACTTGCACACATGCTCCCGAAGGATGCACTCGTGCTTTGCACAGTGAGTGTACTTTTCATTTACTTTGGCCTCATTCTCTGGACAAACTTCACCATGTAAGATCATTGTCTTTCGCTTTCAGGAACAAAGAGCTATTTCACACCTCAGTCTCAGGAACGATATCGGCCGTGTAAAGAGACCTAACACTCTTCTGTTTGACAATCTGATCTGTGTTGCTTCTAGCATCCTTCCCTACTGGACACCTCTCTTCTGGGCTGCTGCACTTTCAGTTCCTCTGGTAGTTTCACCCGGAAAAGGATTCATCAAGCATAGCAAATACTGGAAGAAAAATGTGTACTGATAAATGACCTTCGTATTATGTTTGTCGATCGTTTAGCACACACTCAAGACGCGTTTACTGCCTGTTCTTCATGGAGCACTCGAGAACGACTTTCTCGATATCGTGGCCTCGGTAATTGGGGGCATCGTCTTTTTTGTTCTGCGGGTAAGGCATATTTTTTACAGCGTTATCTGGCCAAAATTTCCCTCGTTACAGCATCGCATTTCATGCAGCGAACCGCTCTCGGCTCTGTGGGCTATCTCATAACGGACAAGAATAGGTCAATTAATGCAGAGAATACATTATTGATTTCTCTGTTTAGTTCTTTCTGGGAAGCTTCATGGCCAGGGCAATCAAGGCAGTCTTCCTCGGTTATTGTCACCTCATCTACATGATCTCAGACCGGAGGCCTCGCAAAGTCGCCGATAATGTAGCACTGAATGGAAAGCCGACGAAGGATGGACTCACCGAATACGACTCTTCTGTAGAGGACATGGACGGATCTACGGATGATTACGAACTCCACCCCAGCTACCAGACTCTCGTCAATCAGGAGCACGACAAATACGCACGCCCCGCCAATTGGCCATCATACATCAACCTGCTTAGGGCCGCATTCATCTACGTCCTACTTCAATGGACTACCCTTACGGAACTGCGGCGCTTTGCTCAGGATGTGTGGAGCCAGATAGAGATCGGTACTTCCAGCCAGCTGACGTATTTACTGATCGCGATTCTTGTGCACATCCAGTACACTTGCTTGGGACAAGTCGTCTTCATGGTCGAGCGTCTATTCTACCCTCGCTTGTCACCGGAGGAACAACGGGAGGTATCCATTCTGAATACAGTGCCCAGGGTGTTTAGAAGGGCGTTGCAGGAAAGCCTCAATTCAACACTGGCGACTGTCATTGTCTTATCAACCTTGTCGTTCCTCGGACTTTTGGCCACCATCTTATCGGTCGGTGTGGCACACGATGTCCAAGGCCTGGTGGCACAGACACATCATCGGGTCACGCTATTCAAACAGGAGCAGATACGACTGACCGCTCAGGACGGTGCAGCTGGCGATGCTGGATATGCGCAGAGCCCAAAGCAATATTTCGTTCAGCAGGCGGATGAGGCATTGGTGATGGCATACGACGCTGGAGTGAGTTGGTTCGACCCTATTTTGAAGGATGCGTTCCCAGAGCTCTCCTGGGGAGCAGTCGATTGGGCATCCCACGTAGCCAACATTATCGTTGAGATGGATCCTTCACAGGGATATGAACACGCACAGGATTTCAGACCTCAACAACAACCAGACGCCCTGGTCGAAGTAGGCACATGCAAAACAGCGGCTCAGCAAGAAAAGGACCTGGGCGAATTAATGCTTGAGTACCAAGATGGCACTGCACAATCGAAATTCACGAAAGATGCGACTGTGTTGCCTAAAGTCCCATCGGATGACGTCCCCTCTTCATCAGCAAACAGCACCGAAAAGAAGTCTACAGAGCAACCTTTGGAGCAACCTGCGGAGGAGCCGGAGCTATGGGTGGTCCCAACCCTGGAATCCTTTCGTTTTGCTGTCAAAAATGCCAAGGCAATGAGCGGATTTCAGGCACAGGAGCAGAGACGGAAGAAGACAGCCATCAACATTTCTCAAGGAAAGCGACTCCTGAACATTGTTCTTGGATACAAGGTTGATACCCCGACCATTCTCTGGGGATTTAACGCATTCAACGATCTCCTCTTCCGATGGATTCTCTTTTTGTTGGGACTGATTACGTTTACGGGACTCAAAGTGTCGCCTTTGCAACGGATCGGATGGATCATCGACCAAGCACTCGCATCATCGACATCAAACTATGGATCGTCGCGACTCTCAACATCATCCTCGCCTGGGCGGGCTATGGCAAAGAGCTTGGAGTTCGCCATTTCGGGGACTTTTATTTCAATGCTCAAGTTGTCGATCTACCATACGATCTTTACATTGACCTGGACACGATACCTGACCGACAAAGTCATGGCCCTTGCTGCGACAGGAGCTGCGTCGTCTGATTTTGTTCCGCTCAAGTATGCATGGCTGACATCTGTCTTTGGGATTGTCCTGACACTGTTCCCTATTGCACCCAACTGGTTGGTCTCCGTTCCTGGTGCAGTGGTGCATTTCTATGTGTATGGCCAGCGACCTATGGAGGCGGTCGCGATGGTAGTAGGACATGTCATTTTCACATCGTTGATCGATGGCGCCGTGTGGGACTCGCACGTAGTCAAGAGTGCTCGGCCGGGAGTTTCGTCCGCATTCTGGCTTGGGTTGTGGGTCTTCTTGGGAGGCATGAAGTGGGGTCCCAAAGGATTGTTGCTTGGACCAGTGTTCTTTGCGGCCGTTCCGGCGATCTGGTCCGCATTACTCGAACTGCGAGGCTGGCCCTCGTCTGCAAGCAGTGCAAAGAACAGGGTAGCTGTAAGGTCAGAATCAGGATCAGGGTCGCTGTCTGCATCGGCAACGAGTGTTGAGGAGAAAACCTATGTGTCAAGGAGGGGAACACAGGAAACGAGACGAAGGTACCGTCGAGAGGAATATGTGAATCGTCAGTCGGCTCACTAGATAACTTGCTCTTCCACCTTCTGTTTGTTCTGGATGCCACTTTCATTTTCATTAAACGCAATAAAAGTACCATCTTTTCTATGCATCAATTGAAGGCAGCCCTTTACTCGTGCATTGGTTCCATCATGCCCTAGATTTGAAGGTACATACATGTACAGAGCAGCCATGTATTCAGTCCAATTGAAAATATGTAATAGTGTATTTGAACATGTTCGTGTTTATATGTTCCTCAGCCCATGCAAATCAATAAGCAATTCCATCGTATCGAGAGCTGCCCGAAGGTTAGCTTTCAATATAACATCGCAGTTGCGATCCTGTAGATCAGCTTCAGTATCCATGAATCCGTCTATAGTCTCTCGAAAAGATTCTCGAGAATAATCCTCATCTGGATAGGGGCTTGAAGGTGCTGAAGAGAAATCCTCGAGGGAAACGACCTTATCCACAGTGCGGTCGCGGAGAACAGCTTTGACTACCTGCATCTTTTGATCATCGGTAGCTGGTTTCGTGTCCTCGTAATCAGGATCAGAGTCATCATCGTCATCAAACATATCATTATCGGAACTGTCCTCATCCGCGAAATCATTCTCCTTGAGCGATAGAAACGTTCCCTTGTATTCCTCGCGACCCATTACCTGGAGGGCAAGTTCGTAGATCGCTTGTGAGAGCCCCTCACTATGGATCATACTGAGGTAATCCAGGACAAAAAAGTCCTTCTGACGGGTAATGTCTGCCTCGTTCTCTGCATACTGTTCCATGAGCTCTTCCTGAAGGCGATTGATTTGATCCGCCTTTGTACTGACTCCCAGAGCCTGCAAATGAATCTTTTGATACTCAGACAGGGTTGGAACCTGGACAAAACAATTACGGATACAATCAGGAGTCATCTTTTTCCAAGAGTTGACCAGACATGCCCAGAGCCTCCCATTCGAAACTGTTGCCGTAGGTGACCTCTTTTGAACACGACGACTGCAGACAACCTCAGGAATCTCTTGACTATAAAAGACCTTGAAGGTCCGGATAATCCCAGCGTCGAGTGGCTGGGCCATGGATGTTGTATTTGGTGGTAGCCGGATGATGGTGATGTTGGGAAGGCCCAGATTTTCACATTTGCCATGTCCTGGTGCGCTGTCGATCAGCAAAGCGATCTTGCGTCTCTTCCTGTGCATGATCCAGTCTAGTTCCCAGAGCCAGTCGGCGAACAGGTCGTGCGTCATGTAGCCGCTTCCTTGAAATTCAGCATCCATTTCCATCAATGTCGTTTCGGCCAACCCGTTTGGACAGTGCTTAGCTGCATTAAAAAAAAAAAAAAAAAAAAAAAAAATCAATAAGCAAGCAACCCTTCCAACTCCACTGTCACAGTTCTTGGATAATGCTTCACTACTTACAAAGAACATAAGGCTTGCGCTTGTCTGTGCCCGTGGCATTGCAGCACAATAGAACTGACACTCGGGCAATTCGAGTAATTTTCTTAAAGTTTCGAAGCCAGTCATTCGAAAAGCTAATCGGCTTTGGCAGATGCTCGGGACGAAAGTAACTCTTCAGAAGGATACATATCACCATAGCAGTTCCTTTCAGGCGACAATCACTCACGTTGATGCCTGTCAAAATATATAGGTTAGGAGTATGCTTAAGAAGCGAGCAACTGAGGATCAAAAATTGACTTCCGTGCCCAAAGACTCCTGCAGTTTATACCAGGCATAGAGGACCTCTTCCGCAATCTCCATTGATCTCCGCATGGTGTGTGCAATCGCTTTTGCTACCGAAAGCGGCCGTGTCGCCATTGCTTGATGAATTTTGTCTTCCTTCTTGAGTATGCGGGCGGCTGTGTGGGAATGCATGCCCAACATTTTTGATACGGCGCCATGGGGTTCAAATGGGTTATGCTGTTGCCCTGCACGATACTTTGAGAGGGATTGACTCTTGTCGTAAAGAGTGTACTTCTTCCGAGATTTGTGTGATTTGGAAGCGGAGGTTCAAGAGCCAGCATGTTTGGTGTTTACTGGACTAGGAGCTGGGGCTGTGTGAACAGAGCGCGTTGTTTTGGGCATGGTAGAAGTAGATGACAGGATGGGCTCGGGAAGTGAGAGTGCGGAACAAATGTTTATTCTGTTCAATTGGACTGAATACATGACTGCTCCTCCAACTTAAGCTGCAAAATAGGGCTTAAGTTGGAGTTCAACTGTAGATCCAACTAAATTTGCAAGTATCAATGACTGGTACCGCCGAAGACGTTTAATTTCTTCAGGGAGTATATTCCCTTGTTCAGTGAAGTCGCAGAGCCTTTGGACGCGCTTCGTAATCGAACTGAGCCATTCACTCTGAATGAGGAACAATTACAATCATTCAATACGCTGAAAAATCTATTGACACATGCACCAATACTGTCATTCCCCGGTTTTAGCAAACCATTTTACGTTGCAACAGATGCCTCAGATGTTGGCATCGGTGCTGTCTTATACCAACTACCTCGCGGTAAAGAGCACCCGAAGAACGTCAATTATATTTCCTTCATGGCACGCTCTCTACAAGAGAGAACGCAAATACAGTGCCGCCAAGAAAGAACTACTTGCAATCGTGTTTGCTCTGAATAAATGAATAAATTCCACTACTATCTGCGGGGAAGATATTTTGATCTGATACTCAGACCACCGTGCATTGACATTCATACATTCTCAGCAGAATCTTAATCCAATGATGACCGCTTGGCAGGATACCATCCTGAATTATTCCTTCACGGTTCACTACCGACCGGGTTTTCTGAATATTCTACCGGACGCTTTGTCACGTCTATTTCCGGTCAAAATCCCAAAGTAGTGTTCATCGAATACAGAAGAGCACAAAAGAGCTCTTGCCTACATGCATATCCTACAGAATGAGGAAGCAGAAAGAGAATTAGTACCTGAAAAAGGACAGGGAAGAAAACATGCACAAAGCGCATGCAATGGGTCATCTTGGCACAAATGCTATGGTGAAATCAATCCATCAAGAAGGGAAAATCTGGCTCCACATGACCAATGACTGTTTGAATTTCATAAAACGGTGTCGATAATGCCAACGTGTAAATATCGCGCGTAAAGGCTATCACCCAATGAAGGCAATTCATGCACACTTACCTGGGGAGCACATCGCCATCGTCATTGCAGGCCCTCTCGAAGAGTCTGGGGACAAAAATGTCTTTTTGTTGGTTATAGTCGATGTTTTTACTCGGTTTGTATTGCTGGATGCATTACCAGACAAATCTGCATATACGGTCGGAAAGGCTTTATTTAAAAGATTTGCTGATATTGGTTCCCCTCGCGTGTTGCAATCTGATAACGGAAAAGAATCCGTAAATGAGTTGATCCGTATCATGACCACCCAAATGTACATTGATCATCGATTAATAACACCATACCATCCAAGGGGAAACGGAGTGGCAGAAAAACATGTCAAGACAACATGCAATATGATTCGCAAAGAAGTCAAAGGAAATCATCGACAATGGGATCGACACATTCCATTTGTCCAATTGGCTGCCAATACGCGAACCGTTAGTTTTCACAATTCATCTCCGCTCTCATTATTCTTCGCGCGCAAAGCTAATGGTTTCTCTAACTACACCGACGAAGAAGGCAGACTCATCAATAAAGAAGAGCTGCTTGAACGTCTAAAATATATGACCGATATCGTGTTTCCCGCCATCAGAAAGAAATCTAAGGCGAAACAGCAAAAATGATCGAACGATTCAATGCAACAGTGTTGTATAAAGAATTCCCAGATGGAGCAAAACTAATGACTCTTGGTCCAATTAAAGGAGGTAAACTCACTCCACGATATGAAAGACCATATACAGTGGTAGGACGCACTTCACATGGCTCATATATCCTTAAAGACGGAACAGGAGCCTTTTTAGGATGTCATTATGCCCCATCTCAGCTCAAGCTTGTGCTGGACGATTTTGAGGACACTGACGCCTATGAAGTGGGAAAAACCGTTGATCACAGGGCTAATACAATCACGCCTCACACAAATGAATATTTGATCAAATGAAAAGCCTATTCCTCTGATGACAATACATGAGAACCTGAAGATCATTTTATTGAACGACGATGCATCGGTGACTATTGGGCTGAGTATCATGCCGCGCAACAAAAGCCAAATAAGCGACCATACGATCACACGGCAACAGGCATCCCTGGCCGGCCATCCACGCGGCGCAAACGATCTCAAGCACACGTTCATAGCCAATATCTACTGCACAAGAGATAACTAAATGCGGAAATATCATAATCAAAATAAATACTTGAAGTTTAGGTTCACCGTATATTGAACGCGAAATTTAGTATCCAAAATAATGGGCCAGGTTGGATTCTACGCTATATACTATTGTTGATATTGAATATTGAACATGGGGTAGATCATATATGTTTGATACTTTTAAAAAGTGCGCAAGTCATCTCCGACAATAGACTTGGCAATTGACATAGCTCCGTCAGCGTAGGCAAACTTGTCGGCATACGCTCCGTACTTCTTGACCAAAGATCCGAGAGTAGTCATGGCCTCACTACCTTCAGCAACTGAGGTGAATCGGTGCTGGAATGGCTTGTAGCTGGGGTTCAAGAAGACCAAGAATCGGAAGGTTTGCTCGTTGTTTTGGCCATACTTGAACTCGTTGGTAACAGTCAGCTCATAAGATGGGAGGATGTTTTCCCAGTCATCGGGGTTGGCGGGGATCTCATGGCACAGCTTTTGGAAATCTTTGATTCTTCCGAACTCGACAGCAACGAACCCGGCACTTTCGTCCTTGAGGCACTTGAATGGGATAAAGACAAACTCGACAGCCTTTTCTTGACCGAAATCTTGAGACCACTTCACGAACTTGCGATCACCGACGTACTTCTTGATATCGTTGATTTGAATTTTGTCACCGAGGGCTACGACCATTTTTGTTGATTTTGTTGGATAGGTGCTTGTAGTGGTATTGAGAGAGGGAGATGTTGTTGAATGATGGAGATGTTGTTGAACGATGGCAATATTTTGTTGTATTTATACCTGTCAATGGTCAAGCAAGCTTACAAAGGATCGAGTCTAGGTTGTGTAGATAATGATGAGGAATAGAGCTATGCCTTGCTTTGACCGTGATCCTAGACGCGAATGGGTGCAAGTTGTTTCCACGCCCCGTGGAAAGTATGTATGCTACTTCGACATGATGCATTGGCCAACAATGGTCAAGTGAGCTTACAAAGGGTCGAGTCTAGATCGTGTAGATAATAATGAGGGATCGGGCTATGCCCTTCTTTAACCATGGTTCTAGACACGAGTGGGTGAAAGTTGTTCCCATATCCCACGGAAAGTATGCATGCTACTTCGACATGATGCATTGACAAACAATGGTCAAGCGAGCTTATAAAGGATCGGGTCTAGATCGTGTAGATCATGATGAGGGATTGAGCTATGCCTTTGACCGTGATCCTAGGTGCGAGTAGGTGCAAGTTGTTTCCATATCCCGCGGAAAGTATGCATGCTACTTCGGCATGATGCACGGTCATGATATTACCATTGGTGTGCCTCTCTTTGAAAGCAAAGGGAGATGAAAAAAAAAATCATGCATGAACCAATAAAAATGAGCTCTTATTTTATCTTTAGTTTTGAGGGTGGGTATAACACTAAAGTGTTGTGGAGAAATAAAGTAATGACCCTCATCTAAAGCTTAATTGAGGGTCATGGTATGCAGGGATGAACAGTAGCCTCGGATAACCAATCAGCAACGAGTTTTCTTATTGAAATAAGCAGCCTTCTGACGTTTATTTCAAGTTTTAATCTTCTTCCTACCATGACGCGTCTTGACCTAGGCTATTTGTTTTCTTTCGCTTGTTGTACCGTCTCTCACGACGAATGCCGGGTCGACGAGCTGTTGGGTTGAACCGTCGAAATGGCATATAAAGTGGAAGGAGGCAAAGAACAAGATACACAGACTGACTTTTTTTACTGACCCTGCGGGCATCGCATTCACTATTTTTTTGTTCCCATGGACAGGACATTACGACCATGGCTCGCATGCTTCTGCCATGACATGGATTATAAACTGATCACTAGATTTCATAAATCTGTTTATCGGCTACTTGTTTCTTGCAGCCAATAAACGTCGATTAGCAGAAATATCAATAAACAGAAGCTTTAAAGAACTGAGGGCGCCTAGTTTAAAGAATGACAATTTTGCACAACCTTTCTCCTCTCAGGCTGGGACCAAACTCGACCCTTTACTATAAAATCGCATTTTTCCTCGAGAAAAAAATCTCAAGTTGAAAATTGGCTGTAGAACGAGCCTTTGCGCGTGCAAAAAAATATAAAATATAAAATATAAAAAATGCCCCTGAACGCTACGTGCGCCTGGGCCATGTTGAATAATAAAAAAAAAAGTTACGTGCGCTGTCTCCGTACATCATTCATCTCTCGCCTGTGTATTCTGTCTCCACGCGTCGCTCCTTCTCCTATCATTGCCTCACCAACCCCTCTCTTACGCCAATCCTCGCTTAACCGTCTCTTGCACTCATCCATTCGTTGTCCGTCATCCTACGCCTGTACTATAACCTCTTCAGCTTAATAAACACCCCCCTATTTCAGTCAGGCGCGTGGCCCACTTCTATGATGCCGGAGGGCTGGCGTCTGCTGTTGCCTTATGGAAGGATAACATCTAGAAGCGACAGTACACCAAGACTCTTATTTCAGTTGCTATTGACTTGGTCGTCCACTATGCCGCCATAGAGCTCAAAAGGATTGCGAAAGCAAAAGCTCTGCGACTGCCACCCTCCGAGATGACAGCGGAGAAGACAACGGACTTTACTCCCGAGTTCATTACAGAGCGCTTTCAGAAGCATGCTCCGAATTTTTTGTCGCTACTGAACGGTCTTGCGCGAGTGAACGGTCCTGCTGAAGAGAATGCTCCTGCCGAAGAGGGTTGTCGCGCGCCACGAGCTACGGCACTGCCACAGCGGCGCTTGACAAGTGATCGATCGACTCTTGGCAGCCATTGAACTACCCTTGGTAACGCATATGATCGTTACACGAGGCAAATAGAAATATATAGTTCTGAATCTGTTTTATTCCTTATCTAGTAACTTGAATACAATCCTAAGCTTATCCTATCACTTCTTCCTTGACACTTAAATAATTGCCACTATTTGTCCGTATCCGCCTTGCTTAAGAAAAAGGTCATCTTGACTGTGAATAAGCATAGGTTCATGCCAAGGATGCTCCTGCCGAAGAAGACGGTCCTGCAGAGAACGATTCTGCGGAAGAGAACAAGGCCACGACTATGAAGCCAGAAGCTGTAGTCACCGCGATCGCGAGTATGTTGCATTTCCTTTGCAACCGTCATGCGAACTACCTTCAGTTCCTTACAGGACTCTTTTTATATGGGAATGGTACCGCTCGGACTGTCATCGGCGTTCTCTCCAAAATTGGCCTGACTGTATCTCACCAAACGATCCATCGAACACTGTAAGCACTGTCCAACGATGCGTCTACTAAAGCGAGAGAAGCAGCCGTTACCAAACAATTTAATATCGTGTACGACAACATCAACATTGCATTCCGCAAGCACGACCAAAGGCTTTTCAATCAGGACTCGTCCGACAATGGAACGATTGCAACTCTCATCGTATCGGACGTTGCTGCTGAGGAACAGCTGGAGACCAATTCTGCGAGACGCCTATCCTTCGACGACCTCTTACCCAGATGGCACCAAAACATCGCTATGTTCCAAGCTTTCCGCTTCCACTTGGTTGGGGGTTTACAACGACGTGTCGAAGCCCTCAAGAACTGCTCATGGCCCACCCCAACAATCCAACTTCTGCCGGTCGATGCGATCAAAACTTACCCGTTGTCTTTGATGCAAATTAACCAGGCGACTGTCCAGGGAAACAAGGATATTGCAACAGTAGTCGTCATAGCATATATATTCATGCACTGCAAATATTATTAAAAGTGGTTCTTTCTCCACTCCCTCTCGTCTTGTTACAGGTATTCTTGAGACGATTATGGAGACTGAGCTTCAACTGCCACTGAGCTGGTTTGATGGAAGGTGGATACTTATCGCAGGGGACCAGCTTACAACAGCCAGAATTCGCTCCTTGAAGAATCAGCGCTGGGATGACATTTCGACCTATCATCGACATGAATATGCAATTCCAATAATGCAGTTATTCCATCTGCAGATGTTGTTGGGCGCCACCATTCTTCGCCACCACTATGGCTCGGCCGCAACGTCAGGGTCAATAGCGCCCAATGCGCCATTGCTGAATTGAAAGCGTGTCAGCCTTGATAAGCTCGACTTTCATGCAACAGATGAGTTACTTCGCCGCTCTTTTGATGCGATAGCTTTGAGAGTATGGGAGGTTATATTAGAGTACGATAACCTGAGCGAATACCGGCACAACGGCACAGAAGCAGAGGTCCTCGACTTTGTTGGCTCCAAAATTAACGCCATCCTCGAGCGCTTTATCATAGAGGGCAACCAAGAACAACTTGCTGACGTTGCTTCAAGAAACGCTGCCCTATTCCTCAGAGACATGACGCTGTACATCGAGCTTGCCTCAGCTATCAATTGCGGCGATACCGGACGCCTGGAGAACGCCATCAAGTACATTACTCTCATTTTTTCACGCCGGCTCCACCAAGAACTATGCCAATGAGCTATTGCTTATGCACATTGGCTTCCATCACTCCTGGTCCCCGCAAACGAAGCGCGCCGTATTGTCATTTATGCTGGTGAACCCTACTGGGAAGGAAGGCCGATTTACTCCAACATATCTTTACCAGGAGCACTACCACCACTCAGTGCCAATCCTTTATCAAGAGCATAGCGCCTCTGAGACTACGACATATAAGTCGCGTCCCTTATTAAATATTCTCCAGTATTTAAGGCACGGCTCGTGCACTATTAAAGAGTACCTTGTTTTTCACAGATTTATTTTCCACACACTTCGCAAGTACAACAACTTAAAGACCAAGGAAATTCATGGCTTGAGGGGACGTAGTGCAAACTGGGGGACAATGGGAAGAGCAGTTTCAACCAACATTAGGACCTTTGATCAAATCGGAAAAGAGTTTCAAAAGGCGCGGGGTATAACTCCCGCTGGCACCAACCATACGACAGTGTCAGACACCAATGACATTAACGCAATACTGCAGATGATCCAGGAGAATAGTATCCTAGGCAATGGTATTCAGCCGCTCCCGGATATCGAGGGAGTGAATGATCTGTTTGAGGATAGCATGGTGGAGCTGATGAGAAATGAATATCTAGAGAGTTTTATCGAGCGCAACACTCGTCTCCGGCAAGAAACTGAGAGTGATGGAAGAGCAAGTCCCATGTCGACGGACGATGAAATAAACAGCGAGATGGACTATGGGATGGATGCTGAGGTGGACAAAAGCATGGATGATCAGATAGATAATGAGGTGGGGTGGAATGGTATAGAGTTCGGCATCGATGATTATGTTCAGGTTACTGCAGAATAAAAACGTATTTATTTTCACCCGATACCCTTTTTATAACACGTAGTCTTCAGCTTTTAACACACTGATGAGGTGTGGCGGCGACTGTGGATCGGTGGAGAGGATAACTGTGGTAGAGCGTTGCTAATTAGTCTGATAGATTCGCAGAGTCAATTGACTCGAGAGACAAATTGTTATAAGATAAAATAAAAAGTATTTATTTTTTCACCTATGCGCTGCTGATCAGTTTTTTTTTTTTGGAAATCCATGGCGGTCTTGACCCTGAAACGACATTGTGAGGCCTGAAGTGCTCCTTGTGTTGGTGGTTGTTTCCTTTGACGTTGTCGTTTAAGAGTCTGTTGCTCGTGTTGCTCCAATTGCTCCAATTGCTCCAGTTGCTCAATCAGTTGCCGCTTTGGTTGCTGCTGTAGTTGCTGTTGCTGTTGCTGTTGCTGTTACTGTTGCTGTTACTGTTGCTGTTGCTGTTCCTTTTGGCAGTTTTCCCGCAATGCAATTTCCCATTCGCTCGGTAGCAGTCGTTTGAGCTCTAGCATGCGTTGTTTGAATTCTTTGAGCCACTGATTTAGCTGTTGGCGGTTCTAGTGCTGGTATCTGCAGCGTTGTGTATGGCGAGCCTTGTCTGAGGTCTATCCTGCTCTGCACTCCGACTAATGCTGGTGCTGGCGTTGGTGCTGGTGCTGATACTGGTATGTGCGGCATTGTATTTGGCAAACCTTGTCTGAGGTCTATCCTGCTCTGCACTCCGACTAATGCTGGTGCTGGCGTTGGTGCTGGTGCTGATACTGGTATGTGCGGCATTGTATTTGGCAAACCTTGTCTGAGGTCTATCCTTTTCAATCCTGACGGCCTTTCAGATCTGATTGTTGTATTCAGCTCCAAGAGCCTGATGCTGAGAATCCATCCGACTACAGGCTTCAGTGGCTCCCAACGAATGATTTCAGGGAGACTCGTTACCTTGACGACAGCGGTGCTTGAGGCTGCTAGCTTGTCCGTCATTGAATCAGGCATCACACTGCCCAAGCCCATTAGATGGCAGCGATCCCTGTAGAAAAAATTGAAAGCGTCAAGCCTCCAAGTCTTGATCACCTTCAATGCGCGAGCCTTCTCTGCTCCTATCCGTAGTGGTGGCCGATCTTTCCTAATTTTACTGGCCTCCGCAAAATTCCCGTTTTCGTGACAAAACCGGGGCTACATATGTCGCAACAGTTGTCTACATCCTGGCGTTGGTTGTTGAAATACGAATTCAAATATCTGCGTCGACAGGTGCTCGAGGTGACATATTTTTTGAGTGCCGGTTCAATCGACTGGATATCACATCGTGGCACAATAAGAATCCCGGACCCAGAAATATGCGGATCGCGCGCCACTCGACCAAGTCATTGAACAAGGGTCGAGATATTATTGGAATATCCATACTGGAAGACGCGGACAACGTCACTGATATCGCATCCCATTCCTGCGCTGAAAGGCGACGATGTATTTGACGTTGATCCTGTCATTGCCGACGTTAACGACCTCAACGTTCTTGAAATACAACGTGCTGATGACTGTCGAAAGAAAGGCAGGTGGTAAAGTGGTCGAGATCGCAAGAAAACATGTTATCCGGGCGACCTTGGAACGCAATTGTCCGAGAAGTCCATAATGCTTCCTGAATTCCAGGCCCCAGGTCCCAATACAGTGGGCTCCATGCACAACGACTGCTCGCAACCGCTTCCTCCATTCGGGTTGAGTCCAAAGACCTACGAGACTCTGGAACACAATCTCGGGAGACATAAAAACAGCCCGGAAAACCCCTTTCACCGGGTCGTCGAAAGGGATCTTCATCCCACCCTCGAGGTTGATGCTGGATATTCCTGCATCCTTGAGTTTTTGATGTTGCTAGTCTCCCAGCACCCCGAGTGGAGCAATGGCCACTATCACATCGCCCGGCAAAAGTATCAGAGGAAGAAAATAGACCAACGTCTTGCCCCACCCCGTGCCAGCAATAAGGACGCAGTCTTCGCGCTCGCCGATCTTGTCCACTACTCTAAGCTGTTCTGGCTTTGGTTGATATCCAAAAATCTCTTGGAAACGTTGAATTGTGTTCAGAGAGGGAGTAAAGGGCTACAATATTGGTATCGCTGTTGATGGCTGACTGAAATAAGGGGGTGTTTATTAAGCTGAAGAGGTTATAGTACAGGCGTAGGATGACGGACAACGAATGGATGAGTGCAAGAGACGGTTAAGCGAGGATTGGCGTAAGAGAGGGGTTGGTGAGGCAATGATAGGAGAAGGAGCGACGCGTGGAGACAGAATACACAGGCGAGAGATGAATGATGTACGGAGACAGCGCACGTAACTTTTTTTTTTATTATTCAACATGGCCCAGGCGCACGTAGCGTTCAGGGGCATTTTTTATATTTTATATTTTATATTTTTTTGCACGCGCAAAGGCTCGTTCTACAGCCAATTTTCAACTTGAGATTTTTTTCTCGAGGAAAAATGCGATTTTATAGTAAAGGGTCGAGTTTGGTCCCAGCCTGAGAGGAGAAAGGTTGTGCAAAATTGTCATTCTTTAAACTAGGCGCCCTCAGTTCTTTAAAGCTTCTGTTTATTGATATTTCTGCTAATCGACGTTTATTGGCTGCAAGAAACAAGTAGCCGATAAACAGATTTATGAAATCTAGTGATCAGTTTATAATCCATGTCATGGCAGAAGCATGCGAGCCATGGTCGTAATGTCCTGTCCATGGGAACAAAAAAATAGTGAATGCGATGCCCGCAGGGTCAGTAAAAAAAGTCAGTCTGTGTATCTTGTTCTTTGCCTCCTTCCACTTTATATGCCATTTCGACGGTTCAACCCAACAGCTCGTCGACCCGGCATTCGTCGTGAGAGACGGTACAACAAGCGAAAGAAAACAAATAGCCTAGGTCAAGACGCGTCATGGTAGGAAGAAGATTAAAACTTGAAATAAACGTCAGAAGGCTGCTTATTTCAATAAGAAAACTCGTTGCTGATTGGTTATCCGAGGCTACTGTTCATCCCTGCATACCATGACCCTCAATTAAGCTTTAGATGAGGGTCATTACTTTATTTCTCCACAACACTTTAGTGTTATACCCACCCTCAAAACTAAAGATAAAATAAGAGCTCATTTTTATTGGTTCATGCATGATTTTTTTTTTCATCTCCCTTTGCTTTCAAAGAGAGGCACACCAATGGTAATATCATGACCGTGCATCATGCCGAAGTAGCATGCATACTTTCCGCGGGATATGGAAACAACTTGCACCTACTCGCACCTAGGATCACGGTCAAAGGCATAGCTCAATCCCTCATCATGATCTACACGATCTAGACCCGATCCTTTATAAGCTCGCTTGACCATTGTTTGTCAATGCATCATGTCGAAGTAGCATGCATACTTTCCGTGGGATATGGGAACAACTTTCACCCACTCGTGTCTAGAACCATGGTTAAAGAAGGGCATAGCCCGATCCCTCATTATTATCTACACGATCTAGACTCGACCCTTTGTAAGCTCACTTGACCATTGTTGGCCAATGCATCATGTCGAAGTAGCATACATACTTTCCACGGGGCGTGGAAACAACTTGCACCCATTCGCGTCTAGGATCACGGTCAAAGCAAGGCATAGCTCTATTCCTCATCATTATCTACACAACCTAGACTCGATCCTTTGTAAGCTTGCTTGACCATTGACAGGTATAAATACAACAAAATATTGCCATCGTTCAACAACATCTCCATCATTCAACAACATCTCCCTCTCTCAATACCACTACAAGCACCTATCCAACAAAATCAACAAAAATGGTCGTAGCCCTCGGTGACAAAATTCAAATCAACGATATCAAGAAGTACGTCGGTGATCGCAAGTTCGTGAAGTGGTCTCAAGATTTCGGTCAAGAAAAGGCTGTCGAGTTTGTCTTTATCCCATTCAAGTGCCTCAAGGACGAAAGTGCCGGGTTCGTTGCTGTCGAGTTCGGAAGAATCAAAGATTTCCAAAAGCTGTGCCATGAGATCCCCGCCAACCCCGATGACTGGGAAAACATCCTCCCATCTTATGAGCTGACTGTTACCAACGAGTTCAAGTATGGCCAAAACAACGAGCAAACCTTCCGATTCTTGGTCTTCTTGAACCCCAGCTACAAGCCATTCCAGCACCGATTCACCTCAGTTGCTGAAGGTAGTGAGGCCATGACTACTCTCGGATCTTTGGTCAAGAAGTACGGAGCGTATGCCGACAAGTTTGCCTACGCTGACGGAGCTATGTCAATTGCCAAGTCTATTGTCGGAGATGACTTGCGCACTTTTTAAAAGTATCAAACATATATGATCTACCCCATGTTCAATATTCAATATCAACAATAGTATATAGCGTAGAATCCAACCTGGCCCATTATTTTGGATACTAAATTTCGCGTTCAATATACGGTGAACCTAAACTTCAAGTATTTATTTTGATTATGATATTTCCGCATTTAGTTATCTCTTGTGCAGTAGATATTGGCTATGAACGTGTGCTTGAGATCGTTTGCGCCGCGTGGATGGCCGGCCAGGGATGCCTGTTGCCGTGTGATCGTATGGTCGCTTATTTGGCTTTTGTTGCGCGGCATGATACTCAGCCCAATAGTCACCGATGCATCGTCGTTCAATAAAATGATCTTCAGGTTCTCATGTATTGTCATCAGAGGAATAGGCTTTTCATTTGATCAAATATTCATTTGTGTGAGGCGTGATTGTATTAGCCCTGTGATCAACGGTTTTTCCCACTTCATAGGCGTCAGTGTCCTCAAAATCGTCCAGCACAAGCTTGAGCTGAGATGGGGCATAATGACATCCTAAAAAGGCTCCTGTTCCGTCTTTAAGGATATATGAGCCATGTGAAGTGCGTCCTACCACTGTATATGGTCTTTCATATCGTGGAGTGAGTTTACCTCCTTTAATTGGACCAAGAGTCATTAGTTTTGCTCCATCTGGGAATTCTTTATACAACACTGTTGCATTGAATCGTTCGATCATTTTTGCTGTTTCGCCTTAGATTTCTTTCTGATGGCGGGAAACACGATATCGGTCATATATTTTAGACGTTCAAGCAGCTCTTCTTTATTGATGAGTCTGCCTTCTTCGTCGGTGTAGTTAGAGAAACCATTAGCTTTGCGCGCGAAGAATAATGAGAGCGGAGATGAATTGTGAAAACTAACGGTTCGCGTATTGGCAGCCAATTGGACAAATGGAATGTGTCGATCCCATTGTCGATGATTTCCTTTGACTTCTTTGCGAATCATATTGCATGTTGTCTTGACATGTTTTTCTGCCACTCCGTTTCCCCTTGGATGGTATGGTGTTATTAATCGATGATCAATGTACATTTGGGTGGTCATGATACGGATCAACTCATTTACGGATTCTTTTCCGTTATCAGATTGCAACACGCGAGGGGAACCAATATCAGCAAATCTTTTAAATAAAGCCTTTCCGACCGTATATGCAGATTTGTCTGGTAATGCATCCAGCAATACAAACCGAGTAAAAACATCGACTATAACCAACAAAAAGACATTTTTGTCCCCAGACTCTTCGAGAGGGCCTGCAATGACGATGGCGATGTGCTCCCCAGGTAAGTGTGCATGAATTGCCTTCATTGGGTGATAGCCTTTACGCGCGATATTTACACGTTGGCATTATCGACACCGTTTTATGAAATTCAAACAGTCATTGGTCATGTGGAGCCAGATTTTCCCTTCTTGATGGATTGATTTCACCATAGCATTTGTGCCAAGATGACCCATTGCATGCGCTTTGTGCATGTTTTCTTCCCTGTCCTTTTTCAGGTACTAATTCTCTTTCTGCTTCCTCATTCTGTAGGATATGCATGTAGGCAAGAGCTCTTTTGTGCTCTTCTGTATTCGATGAACACTACTTTGGGATTTTGACCGGAAATAGACGTGACAAAGCGTCCGGTAGAATATTCAGAAAACCCGGTCGGTAGTGAACCGTGAAGGAATAATTCAGGATGGTATCCTGCCAAGCGGTCATCATTGGATTAAGATTCTGCTGAGAATGTATGAATGTCAATGCACGGTGGTCTGAGTATCAGATCAAAATATCTTCCCCGCAGATAGTAGTGGAATTTATTCATTTATTCAGAGCAAACACGATTGCAAGTAGTTCTTTCTTGGCGGCACTGTATTTGCGTTCTCTCTTGTAGAGAGCGTGCCATGAAGGAAATATAATTGACGTTCTTCGGGTGCTCTTTACCGCGAGGTAGTTGGTATAAGACAGCACCGATGCCAACATCTGAGGCATCTGTTGCAACGTAAAATGGTTTGCTAAAACCGGGGAATGACAGTATTGGTGCATGTGTCAATAGATTTTTCAGCGTATTGAATGATTGTAATTGTTCCTCATTCAGAGTGAATGGCTCAGTTCGATTACGAAGCGCGTCCAAAGGCTCTGCGACTTCACTGAACAAGGGAATATACTCCCTGAAGAAATTAAACGTCTTCGGCGGTACCAGTCATTGATACTTGCAAATTTAGTTGGATCTACAGTTGAACTCCAACTTAAGCCCTATTTTGCAGCTTAAGTTGGAGGAGCAGTCATGTATTCAGTCCAATTGAACAGAATAAACATTTGTTCCGCACTCTCACTTCCCGAGCCCATCCTGTCATCTACTTCTACCATGCCCAAAACAACGCGCTCTGTTCACACAGCCCCAGCTCCTAGTCCAGTAAACACCAAACATGCTGGCTCTTGAACCTCCGCTTCCAAATCACACAAATCTCGGAAGAAGTACACTCTTTACGACAAGAGTCAATCCCTCTCAAAGTATCGTGCAGGGCAACAGCATAACCCATTTGAACCCCATGGCGCCGTATCAAAAATGTTGGGCATGCATTCCCACACAGCCGCCCGCATACTCAAGAAGGAAGACAAAATTCATCAAGCAATGGCGACACGGCCGCTTTCGGTAGCAAAAGCGATTGCACACACCATGCGGAGATCAATGGAGATTGCGGAAGAGGTCCTCTATGCCTGGTATAAACTGCAGGAGTCTTTGGGCACGGAAGTCAATTTTTGATCCTCAGTTGCTCGCTTCTTAAGCATACTCCTAACCTATATATTTTGACAGGCATCAACGTGAGTGATTGTCGCCTGAAAGGAACTGCTATGGTGATATGTATCCTTCTGAAGAGTTACTTTCGTCCCGAGCATCTGCCAAAGCCGATTAGCTTTTCGAATGACTGGCTTCGAAACTTTAAGAAAATTACTCGAATTGCCCGAGTGTCAGTTCTATTGTGCTGCAATGCCACGGGCACAGACAAGCGCAAGCCTTATGTTCTTTGTAAGTAGTGAAGCATTATCCAAGAACTGTGACAGTGGAGTTGGAAGGGTTGCTTGCTTATTGATTTTTTTTTTTTTTTTTTTTTTTTTTAATGCAGCTAAGCACTGTCCAAACGGGTTGGCCGAAACGACATTGATGGAAATGGATGCTGAATTTCAAGGAAGCGGCTACATGACGCACGACCTGTTCGCCGACTGGCTCTGGGAACTAGACTGGATCATGCACAGGAAGAGACGCAAGATCGCTTTGCTGATCGACAGCGCACCAGGACATGGCAAATGTGAAAATCTGGGCCTTCCCAACATCACCATCATCCGGCTACCACCAAATACAACATCCATGGCCCAGCCACTCGACGCTGGGATTATCCGGACCTTCAAGGTCTTTTATAGTCAAGAGATTCCTGAGGTTGTCTGCAGTCGTCGTGTTCAAAAGAGGTCACCTACGGCAACAGTTTCGAATGGGAGGCTCTGGGCATGTCTGGTCAACTCTTGGAAAAAGATGACTCCTGATTGTATCCGTAATTGTTTTGTCCAGGTTCCAACCCTGTCTGAGTATCAAAAGATTCATTTGCAGGCTCTGGGAGTCAGTACAAAGGCGGATCAAATCAATCGCCTTCAGGAAGAGCTCATGGAACAGTATGCAGAGAACGAGGCAGACATTACCCGTCAGAAGGACTTTTTTGTCCTGGATTACCTCAGTATGATCCATAGTGAGGGGCTCTCACAAGCGATCTACGAACTTGCCCTCCAGGTAATGGGTCGCGAGGAATACAAGGGAACGTTTCTATCGCTCAAGGAGAATGATTTCGCGGATGAGGACAGTTCCGATAATGATATGTTTGATGACGATGATGACTCTGATCCTGATTACGAGGACACGAAACCAGCTACCGATGATCAAAAGATGCAGGTAGTCAAAGCTGTTCTCCGCGACCGCACTGTGGATAAGGTCGTTTCCCTCGAGGATTTCTCTTCAGCACCTTCAAGCCCCTATCCAGATGAGGATTATTCTCGAGAATCTTTTCGAGAGACTATAGACGGATTCATGGATACTGAAGCTGATCTACAGGATCGCAACTGCGATGTTATATTGAAAGCTAACCTTCGGGCAGCTCTCGATACGATGGAATTGCTTATTGATTTGCATGGGCTGAGGAACATATAAACACGAACATGTTCAAATACACTATTACATATTTTCAATTGGACTGAATACATGGCTGCTCCTCCAACTTAAGCTGCAAAATAGGAGTTCGACTGGGAAAAATGAAAATGCGTTCAAAGTTGGATCGAGAATGACCGCATCATGGTGCGGCGTATGGCACGCTAGGCTTTTGGATGTTCCTGGCTGTTGTTGTCGCTCTCACTTTGCTCCCTCATTCACTCATTAATTCCGCATTCCTTTCATTCCACACACCTGTCTTTCTTTTTTGCATTTCTACTCCCAGCTTCTCATTCATCCCTTTACTTTTCAAACAGCCAGCCTTTTGTGTATTTGTTAGCCTCAATACTAGTCCTTGTTCAAACCCATAGCACAGAGCAATGCGAGTGGCACACACCCGGTCAGGGAAACCTATCCCTTTCATCCTCACTGTCTTCCCTGTCTGTTTCTACCTGGCGCTTATCGGCTTTGGCTACTACGTCTTTGTCGTCTCAATATGTGGTACGTGCAACGTTCAGTCAAAACATTTTTACGCTGACGTTCCGACGTGGGGAACACCATATCTAACATAAGATCCCCGCATACCCATCCACCGTTAGTGCGGCTACTTCATAACGACCGAGTCGCTCTTGCAGGTATGTCAGTCTGCCATTGAACATCGCTCACATGGATATACAGGGGTACAGAAGAGCGTCAAGGCACAGACAACGCAGCTCCTCCCTATTTTACTTTATTTTTGTACGAAAGGAACAGTTGCAGCAGGTTACAGAGACAACATCTAAATGCTCTTTTCTCTCGATGTAGTGGTTCTCCTGGTCCTCTACCATATCACGTTCATCATGATGCTCTGGGCATATGCTATGGTCATTCTGACCGACCCCGGACGGGTCATCCCAGAGGTAACACAGTGTCATGGATATGATGATATCATATTCTGCTGTTTAATTCTTGGACCGTGCCCTTGAACTAACTGTGTCGACTTTTGATTGCAACGCACTGTCTGCATGTTTACAGCACCCACAACAGGAAACGCAGCAACAGATTGGTCAGGGCGGGGTTCAGGGGGATTCATCGTTGCATCACCAGGTCGAGCCGCATATTCAACAGGTACAGCAGGCACATATAAAGGGCGGATCATCATCGACGTCTGTGGGGTCCGAGGGTGTGTTGATCCCTGGAGCCCAGAGAACGAATAGATCAGGGTATATTTACATCTCTGAGGATCCCTCTGCACAGGGCCACCCCCTGTGGTGCAGTAAATGCCAGCATGGTAAGGAATTGAGATTATGTTGCGACACAAATATGGAGTAAAATACAAAAAAATCGGCTTGTTGAATCTAATGCATCGTCCTGTTATTTTGTCCGCTTCATAATAGTCAAGCCAGAAAGAGCACATCATTGTAAGGTGTGCAAGCGCTGCGTCTTAAAAATGGATCAGTACGTATTTTATTTTTATTTTTTAATTTGGACAAAAAAGAGTGCAATGGACTGGCGGTAACCGATGATTTTATATTCAACATAGCCACTGCCCCTGGATCTTGAACTGCGTCGGTCAAGATAATTACAAATTCTTTGTCTTATTCGTCGCATACACCTCGATCCACTGTGTGTACCTCTTGATTGCGACGATTCCGCTTTACTTGCGGTTTCCTGACGACGTAAGCAATTCGACCGTGTCGCTTTCATAATGTCTCCTGTACTTTGCGATATTGTTCAGGATCATTAACTTGGATTACTGCACCTTCATTAGACATGGTCGCACCAGCTCGAAATCGCCGGCATGGTCATTGCGGGCGTCTTTGGCATCATGCTCATCGTCTTTACAATTACCCACATCCGTCTCATCCTCCTGAATCGAACCACGATCGAGGACCACTCCACCCCGCGCACCGAGGGACCTTTGCCCTGTTTCTATAAAGGCTGGGCCCAGAGCGAAGGCGAGGAGAACCAGGGTAATGAACGACTGTATGATGTGGGCTTGAAGGAGAACTGGCAGCAGGCGATGGGCAAAGGTTGGAAGTGTTTGATTCCCGTTCGCTTCCCTAGGCCGGAGGGACCGATTTATAACCAAAAGGTGGTGGCAAGAATGTGGAAGGACTACAATCAGCAAATGGCGGCGAAGAACCAGCAGCAGGAGCAGCAGCAACAGCAGCAACAGCCGACAACGCAGCAGCCAGGGGAGGATACAGCGGTGGGGACAGCGAGGTCAAGTCCACCGGCGCATGAAGTGCATCATCGGGCCAATTCTGGAGCGCATCTGCAGGACGATCAATCTTGCACATAGCTATCGCTTTACTTCTATACCCTAGTTTTCCAAGCACCATGTACTATTAGCGTACCCAACTTAATATTGCGAATATAGCAGCAAGGAAAATTGAACAATCGCTTGATGGTATACGAAGCAAAGATACAGTAATAATTTGATATATACAGCGATAGCAACAGAACACGGCGAGCAGAGCCTATTGTGTGCTGGCATTGACAGAGTAACGCCTGGAAGCGACCTGCGGAAGGACCGGAATAGAACCCTTGATGGGAACCTGTTTTAAAAAATTGGCTTGAGGTCTATAGGCACACGTCTTGCCTGACGTTTCTGGTTCAAGGACTTGGGCATGTAACTCAGGACCAACTTTCGAATGACTGCTTCACTCCATGTCTAAGGAAGAAAAAAAAAAAAAAAAAAAAAAAAGCAGGAGGATGTGAGGAACTCATTCTAGGTCGTCGTAAACCATCATGTGCCCAACAATTTTGATTTGATTTGATTTTTCTTGTACCTGGCCGGACATGATGACGGCAAAGCGTTTGCTAGTCTCGAACTGCGTCTTGGCAAACTGATAACGCTGGTCCTGGTAGTCCTGCAAAGCTGTCGAGATATCCTTGACCGTCAAGGATTTGATTTCGTTGATGCAGTTGGCCAGGATTGTGGCGTCCTGCATAGCGTTGATCGCGCCTTGACTTGCACTCGGGAATATCTAAACGATTACACCACAACGAGATTTGGAGTCAAATATTAAATAGAAGCTCGTTGGTGTTACCATGGAAAGCATTCCTTGCTGGATAATAAGCTTTTACCTTATGACAGGCTGTGAGGCATCAAGAAAGCGGACGTGACACCATCGTATTCAACGAAGACAGGATATGCGAGTAGGCGTAATACAGAGTAGGACGCTGACTAGAAAGAAAAGAGATAAACAGCCGCCTACCATCGCCGATGAGTGCTATGTGTGAGTGGCATCAGGTGTCGAAGAACTTCTCTTCCAGCATCACTTTGGAGATTGTCTCCTTAGGCGTGTCATCGATCAGGTCCCCCATCGTCAATCCAAAGGGTGCCTTGAAGTGCCGAGCCTTTTCACACATCGAAGACGCGGCCTCGGGTCCCCACTCCGAATTGCGGAAGCGCTCGCTGGAGCCTGACGCGTCCAACTGCACCGTATACAGCCAGCAGATTTTATTCTCGGGGATGGTGAAGCAGGCAACCTAGGCGAAAGAAATAATGGAGGGTAAAATAAAGGAACGTTTTAGATGAGGGCGCGCTTAGCAAACCAGCTATATCCAAGTGAAATGACAGGTTGACTTACCGACTCTGAAGAATCCTTGGCTAATACAATCTCGAAATGACTGAACTCGTCCATCAAGTACGGGTGCTTTTCAGGATCCAAGAACTCGGTCGTTCCTACCAAGCAGATATATCGCATTGAGAGTTCCCCTTCGTCGTTCTTGGGGAGCAGTTTCTCACGGGCGAGCTGCTTATAGAGACTCTGGCGCACGCCCGAGTAGGCCCCATCGGCGCCAACGAGGATGTCACCCACGAACGACGAGTTGTCGCTGCAGCGGATCTTGACACCTTCGTCAACCTCTTGCATGGCGAGAACTTTTTTACTCATGTGGATCTTGTGTGGAGGCACTTGTGAGAGCAAAGGGCGTGTAGGTTCTTACGTGCAAACGCCATTGAGTAGCATCCAGCTCTGTCAATAGCAATATCCAATGGAGAAAAGACATGGTGAAAACGCGAATAAAAAGGACGAAAAGCGAGCTTCAGGATCTGCAGCAAAGCATTTGACGTACCTTTCCTTGGTGTTCGCCTCAACGGTGCCTAGCTTCTCTAGACTGTAGTTATAGATATTCAGGCATTTCAACGACTTTGCAATCTTCTCGACCTGTTCTAGCAAGTCCAGTTGCTCAAAGACTGGTAAGATGTTGGGTCCGGTCACCATAGCAGAACCTAGGGATTTGAATTCGGCGGCTCGCTCAAAGATTTCATAGTCGATCCCGGCGCGCCAGAGCAGAATTGCAAGGAGGAGGCCGCCGATGCCGGCACCGATAATCAAGACTTTAGGGTGACACCCCATCATTCAGCGTGAAAAAGGTGGATAGGGTTCCTGCAACAAAAGAGTTGGCGAATACCAGAAGAGAGAGGAACAAAAATAATAAAAGTGTTTAAAAAAAAGAATAGAGGAGATAAGGTAGTATTTATATCCAGCGTCTCGACGATGCCTCGTTCTATGCTGCACACCGCGTGTCATATGAATATACGCGTTTATACTTGACCGATCGATCGTTTTGGGGGCCCAGTTAAGGAAGGGAGTCATGAACGAGCACATAGACTAGTTCTCTAACGCAGCCATCGTTCTCAATTTCACTTAGCCCATCAGTGTCGCCGGTTTCTCTTCGCAGGAACATGTTCAATTGTGCAAAGGCAGGTGAGAATCGTGCTTGTCCATGTTTATGCACGCGCTTTGCTGCTTGGCCCATCAGGCAAAATAAAGGCATCAATATCTCGTGTAAGTGGTCTTATATCCTATGCTTCACCTGCCTATTGCCTCTGTCATTGGTCTCTTTGGCTGTCAGCCCTAATATTATCGTTCCTAGTCCGATTGCAATTTATCGTGCAAAGGTACAGGGAACAGAATATACGGTGGTCTTTTCCATGCATTCGCATGCCATGCTCTCGATAGTCCTTGCAAGATCTGCATGAGTCAGTCGGTCTACGCAGCAACTTGGACCTTCTTTGTATGCTGTCGTTAATCTATCCCAAAACCTTGTGCGGACGATAGTGATGGCAATGGTCAATATTCAACCTACAAATTCTTTCTGCATAGACATGCACTATTCCAACAGGTCGTGCTTTGGCTGCCCTGGAACCGAAAAGGTACCCCCCGTAAAAATGTTTAAGGTTTGGGCCAAGTGGCTTGCGCTGTAATCCATCTCCAATGGATGTATAAAAAATTTTCATTCCCCAGAACTGCTTTGATCCTTCTCTTTCCCACTGCAGAATTTCGAAATGGTAACGACTCGGACGCCTATCCCCAGCTTCACCTCAACGGACCAGCCAGAGTGAGCAGGACCAGGACCTCAACCCTCCTTGGATTCAGTCCTCCAGCAATTGGTTCTGTTCATTCCTTTCCACACCTTTCTTTGCACTCCTTGAAGCTGTCGAGCATCCTTTTTGCGATGATCATCCGAATTGGATTCTCGACGAGGGAGGCGACTTGATCCTTGATTCAGTTCGAAGGGTTGAGAAGCATAGCTCCTGGCTTCAGAGTGATTATGACCTGGTGGAGAGTCAAAGATACTCCTTCATCTTGGCTTTGTCATTGCGTTCGGAGTGGTCATTTCCAATGATCATTGTGAATTCCAATGTCGAATGTCAATGGTGATTGATCTCGGCTGACTCTCCTTAGAGCTCTGGAAAGTCTTCAGTCTTGCGGACAATGTCATATCCATGGTCCAATTGCAATTGAACCCATTGATCAGCATTGCCTCCATAAGCGCTGAGATTTTTCCATTCTCAATGACCCGTACCAGACCCATTTTCTAAACATATTCCTTCTATATATTCAATCAACTGTCAACCTGTGCAGGCTCCCGTTAAGAAGTCCAAGGTCGCTCCCGCTCCTTACCCCGTTGCCAAGAAGGGCGCCGCCAAGGCCCCCGTCAACCCCTTGATCGAGAAGACCCCCAAGAACTTTGGTGTTGGTCAGGACATCCAGCCCATCAAGGACCTCTCTCGCTATGTCAAGTGGCCCGAATACGTTCGCCTTCAGCGCCAGCGTAAGATCTTGAACCAGCGTCTCAAGGTTCCCCCAGCTTTGAACCAGTTCACCCAGGTCTTGGACAAGAACACTGCCACCCAGTTGTTCAAGCTCGCCAACAAGTACCGCCCCGAGACTCGCATTGAGAAGAAGGAGCGCTTGACTGCCGCTGCTGCTGCTCAGGCTGAGAAGAACGAGAAGGCTGAGACCAAGAAGCCCTTCGTCGTCAAGTACGGTCTTAACCACATCACCGCTTTGATTGAGGCTAAGAAGGCTTCCCTCGTCGTCATCGCTGACGATGTTGACCCCATTGAGATCGTTGTCTGGTTGCCCGCTCTCTGCCGCAAGATGGGTATCCCATACGCCATTGTCAAGGGCAAGGCCCGTCTCGGAACTGTTGTTCACAAGAAGACCGCCACTGCCTTGGCCTTCACCGAGACTCGCGCCGAGGACAAGCAGGAGCTTGCTTCTTTGATCTCCGCCATCAAGTCCAACTACACCGAGAAGAACGAGACTGCTCGCAAGGCTTGGGGTGGTGGACTCATGGGCTTCAAGTCCAACAACAAGATGACCAAGCGCGCCAACGCCGTCAAGAACTCTCTGTAAACGGTATTCTTTATCATAAGAGATTCAGAAAAGCACTCAAGGAAGAATGAGCGGTCTATTGTTTTGTAAAATAAAGCAATTCTTGCAGTTCTCCTCTATACCCCATACACTTCAAAAGCATTTAAAGCAGAGCTGTTTCCTGATTACTCATGCAATGATTGGATTCATTACAATGCAAAGGTCATAAATGTTTATTCAGCAATCATCAAATATGTATAGAAATTATATTACGTGTGACGATACTATTGAAAACGGAAGTCTTTCATGACGCCTAGACGCCTCCAAGGAGCCATTCAACAACGCGATCTTCATCGTCATCATCCTCCACTTGTGCTGGGACCTGCTCTGCAGGGACAGTGACCCATTGGAGTTGCTTTTGGGATTGGTTCTGCTCGGTTACGGCTGCTGTTGAGGTCGATGTGGAAATATCCTTCTTCTCAGCCTTCTGGATCTCCTCCGAAACCTCAGCACCCTCCAAAAATGAAACAGGTTCGGTCTGAACACCACGCTCGCGGCCCTCGACCATCTTCGCCATAGCTGCATGGAAGATCGTGTCGAGCATTCGCATCGATGCCTCGAAGTTGCCAGCCGCAAACAATTTTTGGCGAATTAGGACCAAATCCGTAGGCGTAAGGGGGATCACCTGCGTGGTCGGGACCGGGGTCGTAGGGGTCTGTGGACGATCCTGTTGCGAACGAAGGTTCTCCTTTGAGTGGCCCTTCTTGAGCGTCTTCTTCTTCGTGCCCGCAGCGATGATTGAGCTCTCTGTGATGATGCTGGCAGCGTCGCCGGCTAAGGCAGCTGCTTTGCCTTTGCGCAACGAGCCCTTCTTGGAGATATCTCCCGATTCACCAGCAGCCAGTCGCGCCAGCCGACGGGCCTCGCGTTCCTTAGCCCTGAGCTGTTGCAAATAGATCCTCCGGTCCTGGCCTTCCTCGTCGTCATTGTCCTCCAGATCCTCAGAGTCCTCGCTCTCATCCTCATCCTCCCCGTTCTGGCCGTCGCCCTCGGACGTAACAGCGGGGGCAAAATATGTGTGTTCGCTGGATGCCAAATCGTGGCTACTAGTCGACGCCTGTTGCACGTCCAGGGATCGAATCAGCTGTTCCCTGATTTGCTCCTGAAGTTTCTCGTCCTCGTCCTCGTCCTCTTCGTCGTCGTCTTGGGTATCATGATTGCCCACCAGGCTCACTGATGAGCCATTGTGAAGCACACTCTTGGCCGACATGAACGACTCGTGCTTCTTGCGTCTACGCTCACCATCCTCGGTGTACTCCTCATCTTCATCATCCTCGTCTTCCTCTTCCTCCTCCTCGTCTTCCTCAGAGTAGTGCCACTTCTCGGGTGGGGCAATGCCATGGGTCATGTCATACTCCTCGTCTTCATCTTCGTCATCAGGTCCAGAGTCCCCGTTCTCAAGACGCATGCTCTGGCGGTGTCGCGCCCTTGAAAGCGCATCCATGGCATCTGCAGCCTCATCGACGAAGATAGAATGGCGGTTGGCAGATGAGGTATTACGTGGGACTGGGGCAACATACGGCACCTTCTCCTCGTCTTCCTCGTCTTCCTCGTCCTGCTCGTCTTGCTCATCTTGCTCGTCTTGTTCATCCACAGTTGGTTTATTGTCTCCGTAGATGTGGAATTGACGGTTGGTAGCGCCGTTCATGGAGACGACGCTCGATCGCTTCCTGGTCGAAGAAACCTGTCCATCCTCATGTTCCTGCTCCTGCTCCTGGTTCGTCGCGTCACCGACCTTGAACTGATTGTTTTGTTGTTTGGCAGCCACAGCTGCGGCCGTCAGAGTTCTCGTGGTCGCAGAGGGCAGACGATTTTTCAGGGTGTCCATCTCTGGCGAGGTAGCGGGCGAGTCCATAACGTCCCTGTCAACCTCAGAATCACTCGTGAACGACGCAGCCGGTGCCTTGGCTGAATTTGCAGACGCAGAAGCGGGTGCTTTACTGCTTGCTGCTGCCAGTCTTGAAGCCTCGATCTTTTGCGCAAGAGCCGAGGGCGAAGCACCCGTGTTCTTCAAACCGTGCGTCGCGATCTCTGTAGAATTGATACTCGAGCTAGAGGAGGACGATAGGTCTGCAAGACTCGAGCGCACCGAGGAATTGCGATCCTGCTGATAGAACGGATTGGCTCGGATGGTACCCTCCAGCGATATGCGATTTGGATGATTCTGCAAATGATCCTGAGATTTGAATCCATGCGTTGGTTGCTGGGTCGTCTTTGAAAGTCGCTCCTGTATATACGACACTTTACCGTGCATGATCAAGCTGGTGCTGCTGCCTGAGGGACTGACATTCGCGCCAGAAGAGGAGATCGAGTACGACAATGGCGAGGGCGAAATGATACCGCCAGGGGTTGATGGCGCTGCTTGTCCATCCATAGGATTGTTGCGGTAATGGTGCTGAGGCGACTGAAGGGGTGACCGTGGACGAGAGGGGATGGGGCGTGGAGAACTGGAGCGGGGGGAGTTGGGTCTTGGGGAAAGAGGACGAGGAAGACCGGCCTCGATTCCTGAGCGTTGGGTAGAGTCGTAACTGTTGTTGGTGTTAATGGTGAACGATGCCTTAGTGGGCGAGGCGACATCTTGGCCCAGAGAAGCGTTGCGCGATGGGATGGGGATACCGTTGTTGCCGCTCTCGGGGCTCATGGGTCGAGAGGACTGCACAGGTGAGTGAGGAGTCGGGCTGCTGGGGTACTGCATGGGGGCTGGGCTGGTTGGTTGCGGGATGCCTGCATTCCTGCTTAAAGACGAGGGGGGGGTGTTGGTCGATGTGCTCATACCGCGGTTATTAGTATCGGGAGGCATTGGGAATCCAGAGTTAGCGACATAGTTCGCACGTGAGTCCTGGGAAAGAACCCTGCTTGGTGCCACAGCCATGGGCTGCTGCTGCTGCTGCTGCTGCTGCTGCAGAGCAGCGTCGTAGGCGCTTAGAGATGGTCCTTGGCGCTCCAAATGATGAGATGCTGGTGGAGTTGGCGTTGAGGGTGTCATTGATGTCTGACCCGAATGTCCGCTGTAAACACTACCGTTTGTCGACTCTGACGCACCGCCTGTAATAGTAAAGCTTCGGATAGAGGTGGGTGAGCTGGCAGCATTGCTGTTGTTGCTATCCATTGATGTCCGTTGGATAGAATTACGACCCAGACGGCCCATAAAGCTCTTAATTGGATTTTCCTTCTTCATGCTGCCGGTCTCTGAGGTAGGAGTCATCGGCGGCTCATTCTGAACAACCTGTTCTGAGTATGATGTCTTGGGGGACGAATTGCTCAAGAATTGTGCCAATTCATTCGTGGCCTGCACAGTCGTCTTTGAGCTGCCATCGCCTTGTCGGACCCCAGAGAGCGAAACAGGGCTGCGGGATGTAACAGGCGAGAGAGGTGCCATGGTCGAGCCGCCAGCGGTAGACAATGTGAGCTGCGATTCAGCTGTTGATGTTGAGCCTCGTACATCTTCCATCTTGTCCTGTTGGTTCGTTTTCCTGGCACTACTATCTGCAATGCCGAGGCCATAGTATTCTGGCGGCTGACTGCTTGGTTGTTGTGCTTGCTGTTGTGGCAGCGAGGTGACTGGCGGTTCTGTTGTCGAGGTAGACTGCTGACCTTGCTTTCTGACGATGGGCTGAGAGACGCCAATGTTGGCAGGGATAGTGGGTACACTTGGTGTTGCTGGGACATAGGGAGGAGGGGCGTGGAGATCCGTTGTCGAGGCGCCATGGTTATTTTTCCGGGACGAAGGACCGTTACTGCTGTTGTTTGCTCCCGTTATATTGCTAGGTCGACGACCATGGGATTTGCCTTCTCTTCCCCCGAGTACAGAAGCGGCACGAGATGAAGACCGGGTCGCGACGTTGCCTCCTGGTCCTGCAGCCTTGCGGTGGACTTCGATCGTACGGAGACGGTTGGGTGTGAGCGACACCTTCATGGTCTCTCCAGAACTGAACAGCATCTCAAAGTCATTCTTCTTTTTCATCTTGCTCTCCTCATCCTAAGACAGGACAAAACAGTGATCAGAGACAAATACTATTTGAAGAGCAATAAACCTGGCATTTTTTTCGAGATAAAGTATGCGTACTGGAGGCATGTCCCAGTCTCCAAACTGAGGACGATTAGGATCGATAGGGATGTCATCCTCATCCACGTCCGTGGGTAGCTGAACATCCAGTTTTGGCTTGTCTGCATTTCCTAGTCGCAGCTGCTTTCCCCAGCTTCCCGATCGTTTAACAGTTGCAGGCGTCGATTCCTCAGCTATTTGAAAGCGACATTTATAATGTTAATTTCGTCGCTCATGCACCAGCAATTTGATTTAGATGCTGTCGACATGCATGTAAAAATAACACAGGGAATGCCCCTCCGGCTTACGTTTAGAGCCCGTTCCTGGCATGATGAGCGAGTTGCGGAAACGTTTCTGGAGCTGGTTCTTCAAGATCATGGTCTCGAAGGTGCTTTCGATCTGCCGGTCCTCCTGCAAAGCGACATAGACCTCACGAACGGTGACCATGTCCGCATGATCCTGCCGATCTGCAATGGTCGAGGCAACCTGGAGCACGTACTCGGCCACATGTTCCAGTACGGCTGTGACATAGATGGCAATCAATGTGGGAACCACTATTGCGTTGTTGGGATTTCCGGCGGGTGAACCTAGGCGCTCGCCCAGTTTGCTGTAGTACTGGCATTTGGCGCGGAACTGCTCAAACACCTGTTCGACGCGAGTTTCGTCCGAATCTGCATTGAACATAGCAGAGGTGCCAGATTGACCCGAGCTGCCCATGTGATTGCTGGTATCTTTGCCTCCCATGTCGATATAGCTCTTGGCCTCTAGTTCTGCCTCGACAATGGCATTCTTGCCGAGCGCTGTAGGGAATGTTTGGTAGACAGAAGCCTTGATGCGGCTGGTCTCAAGTCCCTTGGCGGTATCGATCAGAATGAAAAGGAGCTCGTCCAAGAACGCATTCAGAGCCTGAAGACCGTCGTTTGAGATAACATATGGGGATGCATCTGCCAGGATCGCATTGGCGAATTTTTGGGCGATGTAGCGCACCTCTGTTGCGAAGTTATGGATGAGCTGGCGTCAATAATGTGTGGGATTTGGCATAACATAAACGCGTCCGAGTCACGTTCAATAAGAAAAGGCGGTAGTTCCCGGAGAATTTTCTTTACCTTTGCGCTTTTCTGACATTGGTCAAGTCCGCTTCGTATGACTGTTGACTGAGGCGGTCGCTGGAGGGGTATGGTAATCGATGTGGAGGAATGGTTGCACCAATTGTTTGCTCACGCAATAACAAAGAAAGAGAGAAGCAGCCTAAAAACAGACATGTCACACAAAGTATATTGCAAAGAATAGAGCGATCTGGTTAATGTCAATGATTGAGGAGCGTGGACAAGGGCGTGTTCCTCTTTTCTGGCAAGTGTTCACGGGGATGAGGAGCAAGAGTGTATCGATGGGCAAAGGCCATGGTCGTTATCATTCATTCATCCGCCCATCTCTGAAGAGAGTTTCGGCGGAGCCTTTTTCCGGGTGTGGGGAAGGGGAAGTGAGATGATTGGTGATGGCGTAGTGGTAACTGAACCGCTTCCTGCTTTGTAAGGATAGGACTATAGCTCCTGTCTGTGTGCTCATAGGCGAAGAAGGGAGGGAGAGAGGGAGCGAGGGAGGGAGGGAGGGAGGAAAGATACAAGGCAACGTTGAGTAGAGAAGGGGGGAGGACCAACAAGGCTGACTAGCCAAGGGCCTCCACTCAAAGAAAAAGAGCACAGTTCAGAGACAGACAGCTGGTTCCAAGACCCGATATCCATTGTCCAGTAGGACTGCCCGCAGTCTTCTTGGCTTCCCAAAAAAAAGCTCCGAGGGATAATGGGCACCTCTATGCAAAGTGCGTCTAACGACTGAGGCATTGAGGATGTGGAATTCGTCGTGCTGACGATGGGTCCGTTGAGAGAGAGTTGTTGCAGTGGGGGTTTGCTGTCGCGTGTGAGATGCCTCAACGTTACCTGAGACACTTTGAAGCAGAGACCAGCAAAGTATTAATGTTAAATGAAAAAGGGAGGCGTGCTGTAGAGCAAATGAAGACAAGGAGACAAGGGGGCGGGAGGGAAGGAGGGAGAGGGTGTGAATGAGTCGTTGCGTGTGTGTCGTGAGGGCGTCGTGTCCACTCGCTCCGAGTCCACTCGGGAGAAAGAAGGGGAATGGAGGAATGAGAGATGGGCGATGGGAGGAGGAGCGGGTGTCGAGATGACAAAAGAAAAGAGAGAGGGAATACGAGGAAGGAGGGATAAAACGTGGTAGAGCTGGCTGTTGTGTGCTCGGCATACATTCAAGGTTACAAACACCTCTTCATAAACAGATGGGAAAAGAAAAAAGAAAAAACTTGCACAAAGCAACTTTGCCAGCGAACTTCTTGTTACTGTTGCTATTATATGGTACACTACTTACTGTGTCAGTAAACATCAAGTGAGAGCCATGGTCTGCAAAGGACCAGAGATGAACTTGAGAGCCGCATGCAAACACAACACACACGCCAACTATATTGCTTGTATGGTGCAGCATGGGGTTGTAAGGATTTGCATAATGAGCTGTCGATTCTCCCCTGGCAAAGGCTCATAAGGACGATGGTTTGTCTTTCTTTTGAACGGTCAATTCCGGAGAGCACTTCACGAGCGAGGGGTTTTTTTTGCCGCCAGTGTATAATCTCATCCTTCTTTCTCGCTGCATCTTAGTCCCTGTTCTCACGCGCCTGGAATTCCCTTGTATTCGTGGTCACTGCCTGCAAGACAAGGCCACTTGAAAGGCGTCTATTTGCAGCATCGACCTGCTCCTGAACTGCTTGTATGTGGACAATGATGTCCCGTCCACATGTTCAAACATCGATCCTTTACCCCTCTTCTGTACGTCTTTGCGTTTCAAATTCATAATAAAGAATGGGTAAGCGATCGGGAGGTCAGTGCCCAGGGTAACGGTTGGAAATACATCTCTAACATAATGTGCTCCCCGCACATGCATGCAGGAACTCAAGAGAAAAAAAAGCGTTCGCATTAATGGTATTGAAGGAGGGGTTTTTAGACCTGGCTAGCCCCAGCAATGTGTCAGCCATCCATAGAGTGCGCACTGGTCCACGAACAAAAGTTTCCACCTACATCTTTCAGGTCAAATAAGAAAAGAGGCATAGAGAGCCTTAGACCTATGGACAGTGACAGTTGACCCCGATGGAGTAGATCATCGCTGGACATGAATAAGGTACTCTTTCATCCAGACTTGAAAAACTCACTTTTTAAAAAGTCTTTAGCTCTACGGAAAAGTAGTGTTGGTACCAAACAAGTTTCGTTGGGATGTCGGACAAGAGCGACCAAATATTTAATGCCAGCACATGGATCGTGTGGCTCACCAGGATCTTCCATGCAGGTCTAAATTCATGGTTCGGCAATACCCTGCAGACTGAAGCAACGACATCCGACTGTTTTCTAGCTACGCGATCGGACATAGCAAAAGGTCAGTGGTTACTCTGCGTGTGCTTACGTGACAGCAGTAGTTAAACAGACCTCAAGAACAGTGATTATCGTTCATTTATCGCCGAGCGGCCCATGGAACACAGTTGTTTTTGAACATTAAAAATGAAGCAATTTGTATTTATTTTTATGAACGAACAAATAAAAGTGTAGGCGATAATGAAAGAGATCTACTAATGGTACAAGCAAATGCCAGGGAATAAAACAGAAACGACTAGCTGAATATGGGAGTCAAATATACAAAGGCATTTAGTGAGCCATGATGGGAATCTTGGACGAAGGTGGTGAGGGAGTCGCACTTGGGGTTATGATCTGTGTCTTTGTCAATGGGCTCGTAATAGGGACGGCGCGCGAGACCCGGACTGTGCGGTTGGGAGGAGAGGGTGGAGGTGAGATGCGAACAGCGTGGGAAGGCCGACCAAGAGGTTTTGGCTGGAAACCCTGAGTGTCGGGCCTCAACGGAACCTTGCCACGCGAGGCATCGTAGATCGTGTTGATGGTGCCGTGGTCACCGAGGCGGAACGAGACCGAGAATGGCTCAATCCAAAGGACGAGATCCTTTGGAATATAGCCAGCAAGGGTCTCCAGTGGTAGATCGCTCTTTTTGGCGGCCTATCAGAGAACAATCCAGACAGTACCAGAAAGGAAATTAGGACAATCGTTAGCGGCAGACTACAGACAGTCCAATTGACCAAGGTTCCTTCGTCATAGTCGCCCGGCGCTGTCAGGGCTCCAAGGGTGCAAGGGGAGCAACAGCGTTACTGATGTTCTCATTCACACTGACAGCTAAAAGTAGACCAGGTAGGCAACAACTCGCATGTTACCCCGCGAAATACAAAGGAGGGAGTACAAAATAAGATGTGTGTGTGGAGGAGTGGGCAAACTCACGCAGACAAAGTGAATGAGCAGAAAAGCACACACATTCAGGAAGCAAATGAAGAGGAAAAGGCGAGCGGAGTGGGGTATGTTGTGCAAAGCCAATTGAAGGAAGGGGATTGCTTTCGAGACAGGCATTGTTCTTACCTCACACAACAGTGGATCGACTTTGCCACCAAAAGAAGTGATGGCTCTGTATCCGTTGCCGTAGTGCGGCCTTTGAGGGTCCCAATGGTCAGTGTATTTTTCTTGCATCAATGCAACGACTTGCCTCTTGAAGGCTTCGACGATCTGAGGGGTGCAAGAGGAGGAACTGGCAACGTAGCGGCAGAGAAAATCAGTGGCACAGGAGATCTCGAGAAGCATGTCGGCCAGTGGATGAGCGGATGATGGTAGACTGTTTGGGAGAAGAACGTGGTTGAAAGTGTATCCGTAAATGGAGATGGGGGAAGGAGGGGCCAGCTTGAGCTGCTTTGAAGGAAGGGTGTGAGATGTAGAGTGTAGGAGTGTGAAGTGAAGTGAAAGGGAAGCGTGAAGGACAAAGTGGGGTAATGGGAAACCGAAAACAAGGCACAGCGCTCATTGGTTCAGCTTAGAGTGTAAATTTAGAGTCCTGTCCGTCCCGCACAAATATAAATGCAAATGTTGAATGCATACTTCAAACGCATAATTGTTTCCCCTCTAGTGTGGTTGATTCATAGTTTACCAGCAGCAGTAGCAGACTTATCCTCCGCTCTAGGTACTATGTTTGTGGACACGCATGCGGTAATGTGGTAAACGACTCGCGTGGTGCGGTATCGCTTTCTCTGAGGACAGGTGCCTTGTTGGTCCGTTTTCTCGAAGGTGCAGGTTTCTTGCGAAGGCAATGACATGCCTTTGGCTGTGTTGTTACGCAATACGATGCCTGTCCATCCCGTTCATTTTGACAGCAGGCACATAGGATCTCACGTGTGCTGTTGAGTGACCTTAATGACCTTAATGACCTTATGCCTGACAGCCTTGAATAGAGCCGGTCCACGAACCCGGCATGAAACTGTAGCATGAATCAGAGGATTTATTCAGGCAGCAATGCAGCTCAGACGCTCGTCCTGGGTTCGTACTTCGCTGTGATGAAATTCCAATCACCATACTTTTTATTGCGCCACATACAAAGACGAAACGAGCAGTAATAGATATCCAGTGTCTTGAATGATTGTCGTAACGCCTCTGTTTCTGTCTGGGAGCAGTCTACCATGAATTTGGACGCGTTCAAGCCACAGTGGCCCTTGACCCATTTCAGTCAGGTCCTAAGAGTATTACTAAGGAAAAAGTGTTAAGGGCACTGACAGTCAAGGAGCAACGAGAGTAATGTAATAGAGAGAGATGAATCTTTTGGTGAGTAGGGAAGCAGGGCGCAGAAACAAGAGCCGACAGGGCAACTAACATTGATTCAGAATTGCAAACCATGAAGGCAATTGGTATGCCAATATTCGCTGCTCGATCTCGGACAAGGAGAGTGAAAAGGTATGCAGATGGGAACACTTTCTCGTTATCTGGATCAGGCAGCAATGATCTGACGGCCTTGTGCGTCGAATCCATGCAGACGATGCCATGGTGACTTGACATAACCTTGAGGGTGGTACATGAAGATAATAGAGCTTGGTCCTTAGTAGAAAGGCGCGGAGGAATTTCAACAAAGCATAAACTTAACCAAGAACTCACTTCCAACTGGAACTCGGTGGACCAAGCAAAAAAGTAATTGTTTGTAATCCCGCACACGTTATCAACAAAATGGCCTTTTCCACCCTCCTTCTCGATTTGCTCCATCCAGAGCTTCACGCTTGTAGTGGGGTTGATTGACTTACAGACCCACTTGTCCTTGCGCGGTACACAGCAGAACGCACATCATTGTACTTCATGTAGTACAAAGGAGCAGCAGGGCCTTTAATTTTTCGGGATCTTTGCTACAATTCAGGCAAGAAGAGAGTTGTCAGCACTGAATGTTTGAACCCAAGAACAATGAAAAATATTGTAACAGAATGCAGCTGTGCCTCTTACATGCATAATTGACTTTTTGTTGGGACGCAGCAATGCCTTTATTGCTGCCCATTTCATACCGCTGCGAGCCTGCTTTGCGGTCCAAGTTCGTTCGTTTCTGCCCAAAGGAATCCTCGATCTTGCTGAGCCAGAATCGTCATGAGAATGCCTCCATTTGTACGAGACATTCACTACCTCTTTACCGACTGGTTTTGTCAGCCTGATCTCGACAGAACAGGCTGCACCAACAGAGTCGCGGGTGATAGTCAGTTTTGTTGGTCTTTTGTGCCTTCTGCAACTGAAACGAAAGCTCCAATCATTCCGTTTTGGTGCGCCAACTGAGCCTCCATAACCCACAGGTCTAAAAGTCGGGAGTTGACTGTCAGGGCTACCCTTCAAGAGACCGTGATTACACCCTCCTTCAGTGCGATGCACAAATTGAATCGCGGTTCGCTCCCGATGCCAGAAGGTCTTAAAATCGTCAGCAGACAATGCCGCTTTCCAAATTTCGTTCTCATGTGAAATCACGTTTGGCGTGTATAGTGTGGTGGGATCGAAGTCGCTAGGATCGAGTAAGATGTCCTTGACTCTGAGACCGGACATGAGAAGAGAATAAAGTGAGAGAGGAATGGAATAAAACAAGCTTGATTTTTTTAAATTGATTTCAGACGTCTTTGCTCTCTGGTGACTTGACTTCTCCCAGCTCAGCAGGTAAGGGAATGATTCCTAGCTTTCCTCACTTTTCAGCCCTAAACTAAACTCTGGGAATGTTTATGGTCAGGTCCAAATGACCGTTCTCTGTCCAAAGGACGCATTCAATTTATTTTATAGGACAAAGCCGTACATCAACCTTAACTCCTCTTTTTGCATTTCAAACTTCAATAGACTTTGGTGATTTCCCACTTTCAACCCTCTTTCTCTTTCAACTCTTCACTGCCCTGATTCAATTACTTCATTCCAGCAAACACACTACACAATCGACCACGACTCTTCCCTCGCACTACTCGACTTCACGGGATGGGTTTGAAGGGTTGGTTCCCCTTCATTTGCAAGAAGGGATACGAGCCCACAGTCATTCAGCAATCAGGAACAACAACAACCTCAACCACATCCACCAAGAGGATCGATTTGCTCTCGCGGTTCTCGGTCATTCGTACCGCCTATACACAAAACTCTGTAGAAAAGGCCCATGCGATCCTGGAAAAGGATATTGAGCAGTTCGGCTCCAAGGATACTGTTATTGTCTATGTGGATGGAGCCCAGGCACAAGAGAAAGAACACACCGCACAGGCTCGACAGAAGACCCGAGAGAAGGCGGCAAGCCGTTGCAAAGAGACCTTGGACTTTCTTCAAGACAGGATCAACCGCAATTTAAAAGTCCGGAAACGACACTTCACAGATGTGAAGACAAATATGGTATCAACATTCTACTGGTCCCTGCCCATCCGAGCGTCCTTTGTGGAGTATATGACCCAAGCGGGATGGAAGGTACAGACCTGTGAGACTGAGGCCGACGTCGCGATCGCTCGGGACTGCGAACCAGGTGACATTGTTGTTTCTGCAGATAGCGACATGATGGCCTACCCCAGTATCTAACCTTATGGCGTCCTATCGCCAGGAACTTGATCTTGGTATACAATCTGAAGGACGTCCGTCGCACTCTCGACTTCTCAGAGGCCCAACTCACAGCCCTTGCAGTTGTATCTGGCAACGATTACGGCAAGAGCATCTACTCGCTTGGTGCAGCTACCAATTACTCTGTGATCAAAGCCATCCGAGACAAAGGTATTTTATATTGGTGTGTGTGACAGAGTTAGACTTTGACCTTTAACTAACTAAATATTGTTTGCCGCTCTTTTTAGACACCCTGGGTACAGTAGCCGAGTATCTGAACGATCCCAAGGTTGCATCCAAGAATGCTGCTGTCCGTAACAACGAGGAAAAGACATTTGAAGTGGCCATCAAAGTTTTCGTATATCTCAAGTAGACTCCTGTCACCAGCAGTCCCCCCTCTGTTGGAAGCCCAGCCTACGGCGATCTTCACAGACGGTTTTTGGATCTTTGTGCCCTGTATAGGCAACAAAAGGAAAACGGCCCTTCACAAACGAGGTAAATTGTTTTGGTCTTTTTTTTGAGCAATGGCTTTGCATTCACTCCTTCATTCATCTCATCTCTGCCTTATTTTTTTGATGTTTATAGTCCTCCCGAGGTGCCCATTATACGACTGCACCACTCTCATGCGGCGATCAGGTTCAAGACTGTGGAGTCGCCTGCTGTGCTGAAACGTGTCTCTGGTCACTTGGGATCATTGCCATCACAAGAGCTTCAGTCAGATGTGCAGGACCAGTCAACTGTCTCCTCAACGTCGTCTCAGCAACTAGAGAGACACCCACCATTAGCGAGGGCAAATATCCCAAAAAAATCGTCAAAGGTACTCCTTCAAGATGAGGACAGGATCAACCCAGCGCCCACCGCCAGACAAGATGAAGGTTTATAAGTTTAAACCATACAAGGAATGGACCGACTCTCCTGAAGACTCAACCCTGGACAGTAAAGCCAAACCCAAGGTCAAGTCCAAGCCCAAGTTCAAGATCAAGACCCTCGCTACCTCGACTGCAAATACCAGGAAGCTGGCAGTCATGCGCCACTTGGCTTACCATCATCCCACCTCGTCCCTTAAAGTTGGTACTCTGGCCGCGAACGTCAAGCGAGCAGTACCAAACAATGGTGTTCTCCAGCAAGAGGTCATACATTGCATCCGAGATCTGGTGCAGGAAGCAGCCCGAGTAAAGTGGAAAGGCCAGCAAGTGATCGGAAAGTTTGTCGACCACATCAACAAGCATGGACTAGGACCCATTGATCGTCAATTTATGGATCTGTTCTGTCCTCGAGTATCCATGAATGATGTCAAGGATGAGGAGAATGAAGAGACGGAGGAGGAGGAGGATGGGGACAGCGAGGACGATTTGGACGACAAGCCAAAGGGTGGCAGAGGCTCTGCTCAGTCCTCTTTCCTGTTGAGTTTCCTGACATCCATATACTCTGGAAACCGCCCAAGAAATGCTGGTACTGGCTCGACAGTCAATGAATTTATTGATTGACTCATTCATCTCCAGCTGTACACACCACCACCACCGGCATCTGATGGCTGCAAGCACAAAGCAGTCTTTACACCATCGGAACTGGTAGCATCCGTCTCCACCCAACTCAGGGTCGAACTCAAGAAGATGTACAAGAACGGATCCTGCGATCTGTACAAAAAGGTAAGGGTTGCAAACTGCTAGTCAGTTCAATATGCATCAAGCCAACAGCAAACAAAGGTAATTATTCTTACTTATTATTTTCTATCTCTTGGATTGTAGCTCATGGCAAGAAAGGAAAAGGGTCTCTTGGGTTCCGACGTTGATGTGGAGATTCAGGGGGAAGTATCTGCTGTTGAGAACTTCCTTGCCCTTAACAGAATCAGTCCAAACCCTCGAAGGATCATTCCCATAACAAGTTCAAGGCAACCGTTTGTGTGTTTTACGGAGCGTAACCTTGTTGGGTTCTTTTTCAGTCGTGGAGGGGTTCTGAGAGCTCAGGTTCAGGAACTGGTCGGTACCATCTGCACTTCTATTGCAGATGCCCAGGAGCATATAGGCAATATGGAACCTGGGATTCTCATCAAAAAATTCCTGGCTGATATTGGTCTCAAGGGCCTGACCAGTCGCCAGCGGCGAAAAGCAGGGCATCGTGGGGCAATCGAGTTGCTAGACCTTGAGGAACTCGAGACCGATCTTCATATGTTGGACAGCAAGGACTTCCGACCGGAACTTATCTCACCAAGAAGTATGTCCCAAGGGGGACAGTGCGGACCGATGGCTTCCATCTACAGCAATTATGTTTTAAGCGCAGAGAGCTTCTGTCAGTCAAGTGGAAACGGCTTCCTCAAGATCGATTGCCACGACGATTGACTACGACACTCCATGGAACCGGCGACCACCTGACTGAAATTCGAAACGTCCTTGGAAGCAAGGAGGACATAGCACAACTTTGGCCAGATGTCGATCCCCGTGACATCAAGACACTCACCCTCGATGCCGGTCAGGCTTTTGTAGTAGGCGCCTACGCACATCTACCACAATCAAGCAAAGGCAAGGATCCAGTGCTTGGTGCTGTATCAACCTTTGAGGCCCCGTCCACCATTGCGTCTCCTACAACACCAATGGCACCACCGCCAGTGCAGGACTCGACACAATCACCATCTTCAGCGGCACACCACAACAAGACGCCTCATCATAATCTTGCCGTAAACCAAAAGGCGGTAATGCAGCCCACATTTCGATACCGGTGATGGCTCCAGGAAGCGAGTAAGGTGGTTCCTGAGGGCCAACCACAGTCTATTGAGCAAATCGAGTCCCAACTTCCTCCTCTTCGAGGTCCAGAGGCTAGTGTAACCAACTATGTCGCAAGACTGGAACAAGTTGAGGACCAACTGATGGAGTTTTACAATGGGAACAACAATCGATTCAAGAAAAACACGTGGGACATGGAGCGTGCCAAACACATCGAATACCAGGCCATTGCCAACAGTTTACTCAAGATCGTTGGTGGGAGCATTGGCGAACGTTGCAAGAGTCCAGTATTGATTGGTGTGGGCCTGGGTGATTTCAGAAGCTCGAAGCGGCTATCATCTCTGCATGGGACGTTTTTGTCTTACTTCATCCCTCTGGTAGGCAACGTATTTATTTTTATCATCTATAACACCTTCAAAAAACCGACCGCAAATGAGTAACATTTTTTTCTTAATTTTATACATAGGCGCGCTCCCTCGGATACGTTGTTGTTGGTATTGAAGAGTACTATACTTCAAAAAAATGCCCGAACTGTGAGGAGTTTGTGGCCCAGGTGACCATACGCCAGCTCTTCTGCCCCCACTGTGGCAAGTATTATCACAGAGATGTTATGGCGGCGCAAAACATGTCCAATATCGTCCAAGGGCACCTTTTGGAGCAGAAAAGACCTCTCTACTTGCAGCCCAAAACAGCAGATGGAAGGTATCCCTGGATCGAACCATCGACATCCGATCAAGGGGCAGTTGATGGAACCAGCAAGTCCACTGGAAGCACGAGTGCTCGCAAGAAACGATCGTCTCCCGCAACCCCAACATCAAGGAAACGTCCTACCAAGATGGCTAAAGAACTTTAATTTTTGTGTGTCAGGTCACACACACCCAAATGCCGATAATAGCAACGATTTTTACGATTTAGATGACGTAATTGTAGATTTCATAGTGCTATAGTCTCAAAGAAAAGGGGTCTCATTGTCCTCTTGACCAGGAGTAACACGCTCTCTCTCACCTTTCTTTTGCACATCACTCACAACATGCGCATCGCAGTATTGCTATCCTTTATTCTAGCCTCTCTTTATGAGGTGTCTGCAGTCGAAAACACGAGTCCATTCCTAGCATGGTCGCCTCGCAAGTAACGTCATCGAATCGCTTCGTGAACCAGTACCGACTAGCACTGGAAACTGAATCTGCTTCGTGCACATATTGAATAGGTTCGCCGTCAGCCAGGGATTGAACAAGCAGCTTATCTCGGTTGAGAATCTTCGGCAGGGCGTATACAATTTTGTGGATTGCTCGCACAAGGCGATCCTAGTTGTTGATGAGCCCGAGGTGCGTTCGTTACCGAGAACCTCTTCTCAGTTTAAGTGCGATTTGTGGACGGAGGCTTTAGCGACTAACAGTGGATGTTATCTTATTTCAGCTGCATGCTTCTGACCTAGGACAGAGAGGAAGAGATGGGCTAAAGGTATGTACGATGCGAAGGAATAGCGGATATCCATTCGAAGCCTTGCAGGACATTTGCTAACGTATTTGAACTATGGTGCCTCTTTGCTTTATAGAACCAGGTCCAAGGAGCCGCAAGTTCTCTTCAAATCCCTTTCGTGGAGGGTGGTGTTGATCTTGAGAAGTTAGCGGAACGTCTCTCTCAGAAATGTCACACGTCGTTTATTGATACTAGTGTGGTCGAGGGTACGCGCATTTTTTCAGACGGATCAGCATGAGTTGCGAATAGGAACAGTGTCCATTAACTCAATACCATGTCCAATATTCACGCGAATAGTGAGCTCCGTTCATGACCCTTCTGTCTTCTACCAGAGTTTGACATCCGATTCCAAGTTTGAGAATGGTATTATGAAAAGCCTGTCTCTCGTAGGCATTGCATTCATTCGTACCCGCAATTGCTGCTGCATCAAGTGACCTTCAGGCTAATATGACTACCCTTTCTTTTCTTGATGGCAACGCAGACAATGCTCTAGAACGCACCATCAAGGAGATCCGCATCAACTTTCAGGACAACTTCTTGGTCCTGTACTCATCTAGTCACACCAAGGTCTTCCCCTCGAAGCGTCAGCTGCATGCCCGACAACTGCCAGGGGAGCCAACACCCACAAAACAGGCCGGAATTTTCCACCAATACACGTTTTTCTCACAGGGCATCTTTATGGGCTTGTTGATCATGGTGATCGTCATTCCTATCGCTATCATGGGAGTTTTCTGGAACCTCAGCGTGCAGCAACCACAGCGCTTTGAGAAGAAGCAAAACTAGATATTATCTTCTATGCAGTCCTGCACGCGAAACCAGATACCATTACTTCGATAGCACCTTCCTCTTCTCAGTCCTTGTGATCAACAAGCAGGCCCATGAGCCATATTCACTATAAATGCCTAGATGAGTCGATGCTAGTTCAAGGGCCAAATTGCACCTCATTGACGCTGCAGAACAACATGTACTGTGTGCTTTATGCAGCCGGGTACCGCATTTTTCTCGAATACCCTTAATTAGTCATTTCATAACCTTTAAGCTGTCCAGGGAGTAATCCTGATTGGCCTTAAAACGCATCTCAGGAACCATCATCCACACCCACATCGCACACTGGAGCGCTAGTCGCAGCAAGCAACAACCGTCGTTCGAACCGAGCTACCAACCTGTTACACACTACTCCAGAGCTGTTCTAGCCGTCTTCGTCGCCATCCTCGCCATCGTCGCGGACCAGCACGAGAAAGTGAAGGAGAGTGGGAGCCGAGCAACAACAAGTTAGACGGAGGGTCTCACCTACACCGCTCGAAATACCCAAATTCAGTTATAAAGGTGCTCGCGCATGCAGACGAACCCGCTTCCCTCGGCTGATCCAGCCTACTCTTACAACTTCCAGGCGATCTCGCAGTTTCCACAGCAGCAGCAACAACAACAACAACAACTCCCGATGCAGCCAATGGCCCAGCCATATCAGCAGATCCCGTTACCAATGCAGATGCAAATGCAGATGCAGCATCAGCAATTGTATCAACAACAGCCCCAGCAGCCCGGATACGCTCAACTGCCAGGTCAGAACCTGGTGAATAATTTTACGCCTCAGTCATTTCAGCCTTCGCCGCATACCTATCAGCCATTTCAGCAGCAGTCCGTGCAGTCGGGACCAAATGCTGTGCCGGGAGTTTCCAACCCACAGGGAATGGCGGGCCTTGGCCTTGTTGGTACAGCATTCAATCTCCAGCCTCCACCACCTGCGACGAAAAAAGACATCTGGGCTGCTCAGCAAGCGAATTTGCAGGCACAGTTGAACAAGAATAATTTGAACGCCGGGATGATTGCAGAAGGAAACCTGGACGTCGCTTCAAGAAAAGAAAAGCTACAGCAAATGTTCCAGCACCAACAGCCGACTCAAAGCCCAACACATGGGTCTACCGCGGGATCAGCAGGATTGACGCCGAGCAGGGCCACAGCAGATGGAACATCTACAACACCACCGTCAACTGGGGAAGGCAACGGCGCCACTCTTTCAGTAAACGTTTCACCCGCTAGCGCTTCGGGAGCTGTCTCCAGTTCGATAGCGCCAACAGCTATGCCGCTCGCCTCCACTACAACTTCCGCGATAGTAACAACTACCCCGGTACCCAACATAAACTCGCCACTCACAATCATTAACAACCCTGCAGATTCAATGAATGCACCGGTAACATCTACGGAAGCATGGATAGGAAGGCCCGATATCACGTCCCCCGCACCCAATGCCGCAGCAAGTGGATTCCAGTCTTCTGTAGGCCCTATAGCTAATGCCCGACTTCAGAAAAAGTTCCGACAGCAATCACAGCAACAACTACAGCAACAGCAACAGCAACAGTTGCCACTACAGCGAACACCATCGCAGCAAATGCCGCTGCAGAATCAACAGCAACAATGGCAACAGCTGAAGCTACAGCAACCACAGCAAGTACAACAACCACAGCAACCACAGCAAGTACAACAACCACAGCAACCACAGCAAGTACAACAACCACAGCAACTACAGCAACCTCAACAAATGCCAACACAGGCGCAACCTTTTCCATTTAACCAGGCGCCTTTAGTATCGCAGGCAGGGCTACAACAGCCTCCAGGAAACGCAATGTCACCGCAGAACGTCCAACAACAACTGCAGCATAACCAATTGATGCTCCAGCAGCTGCAGCAAAAGCAGGTACAGCAGCAACAGCAACATCAGCAGCAAAGGCAACAGCAGTTGCTACAGCAGAGGATGGCAATGAATACTATGGCGCCTCAGCAACAACAAATGGCACAGATCCAGTTCCAGCAACAGCTGCAGCAATTGATGCTGCAGCAACAGCAACAGCAGCAGCACCTGCAGCTACAACTACAACAGACTTTCGCTCAGATTCAGCAGCAGCAGCAGCTTTTACAGAAGCAACAGTTACAGCTACAGCAGCAGCAGCAACAGCAGCAACAGCAGCAACAACAACAGCAGCAGCAGCAACAACAACACCAGCAGCAACAACAACAACAGCAAAAAGAGCAACACCAACAACACCAACAACACCAGCAGCAACAACACCGACAGCAACAGCAGATGAACCAACCTGGCAGATCTACACTCAAGAATATACCTGGCGCGCCGCAAGTCGACTTACGGCCGATTATGACCACTGATTCTCTTACTGCTGCAGCCGCTCCGCAGCTCGCGATTAAGGTGGACATCAATGAGCAAGTAGTGCAGGCAGTAAGTGGTATTCTGTACACCGTTAGAATGCAAATGGGATGGTTTTTTTGCAAAGCGTAGAGTCTAATCCACTCGCTCTCCTCTTGATGGACATAGCTGCTGGAGCTTAACAAGGCATTGATTTGTGTTTGCATTGACTACCAAAATCATCACCAGACTGGAGACCCAGATTTTTTAATGTGAGTTAAACAGGCGAGTTGTGCTTTTTAGTAATTTTATGTATCCAATTAACCATTCCCATTTTTTTATTGAAATAATTAGATATCAAGGGCGTTTACAAGCAGCGCTGTCATATCTGGCGACATGGTCTGAGATCATGAAGGGCGCTTCGGTACGCGCTGCATACGGACTTTATCCAGAAATGTGTTCGCATATGCTGTATATTAGTCTAACCAAACCCGCGCTTAATGTGTTTACTTGATCCGAAATAGTCAGCAAAGGCCCCACCACTAAAGCCGGACCTTTCACCGCTACCGCCTGCCCGGTTCCCGGCGGCCATCAAAGCAATGACCCTACTCGGCAAAGTTGCTGTCGCTTTTGCTGCTGCACAGAATGAACTGGCCCCGCAAGAAAGTAAAGAATCGGAGGACCAAACTGCGGCGCCGCAGACCCAGCCTTTTAGTAAATCCGTGGTAGGGCTGTCTGAGAGTTCAGGTCCTTCTGCGGCGGTTAACATCACGGATATCATACCATCAGCACCGACTTTGCGAGCAGAGACACCAAGCAAGGACTCTGAAGCACAAGAGCCAGCTATATCTTCATCTTCGACAAATGCGCCTACAACGAGCATGACATCAACAATGGCGTCCTCTGTACAGGCTTCGCAGCCAGCATCTGTGATTGGAACTAAGGATCAGATCTCTTCTGCTCAGCCTTTTGAGCCCCAGAAGACATTGCAGCAACAGGAGTGGATGCGACTACAACAAGTGGCGTCAAGTCCTGTTCAGCCTCCTCACCCAACACCTTCATCTCAGCAAACCGGTGAAGGCTCATCAGGCGTTCCAGTTGTTTCTTCGACCGCATCACAGTCGGGCTTGAATCAGTCGCAGTTCCACTCTATAGAAGTTCAGTCATCAAAATCATCCACGGATAGCACACAAGCACTGCAGGATCAAGCGGAAGGACATAAAGCGGAAAAGACGTCAGAAACCACTGATGCACAGAATCACGACCCTGCAACAAGTACTAGCGCCATGTCTACACCGGCGGTGTCTTCTGCCGCAACATTCCCTGATACAACATATTTGCCAGCCTCGCCATCAGCGCATAATCAAGGCGAGATAGAAAGCAGCTCTACGCCTGGATCAATCTCGGCACAGACTGTACCTGCTACTACTGACGGCAGTGTTATTACACAAACAGGGGCTGGCAGCCTACCAAGCAGCCCCATGGTGATGCAGGGCCTTCAACAGTCCTCTTCTGCACCACCTTCACTAGAAGCACAAGCAACTCCACAGCCTCACCATGTGTCCCAGACTTCTGGTATTAGGAATGGTTCAGTTATAGGCAGTAGGACGAGCTCACCGCTTGTTGCGCCTCAATCCTTGCCTCAAAGCGCACCTAGATCAGCAGTTTCATCGCCTCAGTTGGCACAGCAGCCTACGCCTACATCGCAACCGTCTCAGCAACAGGACTTGGTTCGGGATATGAGCCCGCTTCGCAGTGCAACACTATCAGGCTCACCTCTGAGCGCTGCTACTGGTACTTTGGTCAGTATGATCCCATCAGCGCCTTCGCACCAAGTTGCTGCTATGTCAAGCCCAATAGTTATACCTCAATCGAAACCGGGACTAGCCGGAGCTATGCATCCTGGAGCGGCTATGGCAGGACCTACGATGCAGCAGCGATCACCAATGCCGCAACAACAGGCTTTCTCTGTCGGCGGGATGCAATCTATGGGCCAGCCGATGATGAACCAGGCACTTAATCAGCCTATGAGCCAGTCTACGAATCAGCCTATGAATCAGTCATCGGTGATGATGGGTATGAATACAATAGGACAGCCCGCGCCGATGACTACGCCTATGCAATTGTCTATGCCAAGCAGCGGCCTTATAGCAGGGAGGCGGTTGTTGGGGTCTCAGAGAGTACAGATGCAGCTGGGTCCTCATCAACAGCACCAATTGAGCCAGCTACAGCTACATATGATGCAGCAACAGCATTTCAACGCAGGTCAGTTCCAGCAACATCATTTACAACAGCAGCAACAGCAACAACAACAACAGCAGCAACAGCAGCAACAACAACAGCAGCAACAGCAACAACAGCAGCTTCATCAACAGCAACAATGGCAGAACCAGCAGCTGATACAACAACAGCAACAGCAGCAGCAGCAGCAGCAACAACAACAGCAGCAACAGCGGCAGAGCAGGCAGAGCACTCCTATGATGAGCCCTGGTCAATCGAGTCCGGCCATGTTTAGTCCCCCTCCTTCGGCTACAGGTCTCGGTCATATGTCTCGACTTATGAGCCAAGGACTTAGCCCAAGCCCAGCGGGATCAGTGGATATGGGGACCGTCCAGACGTTGGCGAACGCAGGAAGACAGAGTCGACAGGGATCCCCAGCCATGACACCTGTAGTTTCTCGAGCAACGCCTGTTCAGTCTCACTCTAGTCTTGGCTCGCCGTACCCCACATCACAGCCGGCATTGTTGCCACTTCAACAGCAACAGATGTCACCTCAGCACTATCAATCGCCGTCTTTTAACCCACCCACAGTATCTGGAGTCGACAGCATCGCATCCATGAACTTTGGGCAAAATGTTCGGAACCCATCCAAGGACCATGACGCGTCTTCTTTAGTAGGGAATAGTAACCCGTTATTGGCTACCGGTGAAGAGGACGATATGTTGACGTTGGGCGCCATGGAAGATTTGGGAAGCATGGAGATGGATATGATGATGGGAGACCACTCATACGCTCATGATCAGGGATACGGCGGCGACAATAGTGACAGCAATGACACTCATCTCAGCCATCGCCAGCATGATTTGCCGCAGCCATCGGATGATCAAGAGGACCATAACTCTGGCCTAAGCAACCTTGAGATGCAAGGAGAGGAGGACGAGGACGATGTGATGAGTGGGTTCTTGAACTTGTAGTTGTATCACAGTAGATTAGTACCATTAGTTGTTTTGTACACCGTTCTTCTACTCGTTGGGTTTACTTTATATCTTTGCTTCTTTGTTTTTTATCTACTTTCTGATCTACCAGCCATCTACATCGATCGTGTTGGTGGTGCGGAGCAAATTCCAGAAGCAAAAAAGTAGATAAACAAAGCTGTATTTTTATTCTCAAAAAAAGTTGCTTGGTTTCTAGCCCCCTGAATAATCAGAGATCTGAGTTTCGATAGTCCCTGTCGCAGTACAAGTGCATGTGTTACTATCTGTTTGATAACTTTACTGATGCAAACAAGGAAAAAAGGAGCTCGAGGGACAGAGGCATGTCTTGAAAAGGATATAACCCAAAGGACCGGGGCTGGGAGACGCGTTCTCAACGAGTTAAAGTTCCAGAGCCCCTCGGCTAATTGGGCTCTGTATACACGAGTACTAGCCGCAGGTACACAACAACACCTGGGGTTGCCTGATGAAAGATACACTGTACTGTAAATGGCCCAGGACGGATTCGCTTTCTACCGGCTAATGCATATAGGAAGTAAAGAGGTATTAGACTTATGTGATGCTTCTTCCTGGGAATAATTAAGAAATCAGGAAGTTGTTATTTGTCAGAAACTCGCTTGAATCAGACCGGTTGTTTTATGAAAAATATAGTTATTAGACTACAAACGATTCGGCTTCTCAGTTAGACTATGCGGTCGAGCAATTTGCTGATTGAGAGCTTCCTTCAGACAGACAGAATGAAAAGAGCACTAAGCGTCTGAGAGCCATGGTGCGCTTTTCGTGAGGGCGCAATATGGTTTTTTTTCTTTTCTTCTTTCTTGGTGGTCTAAAGTGTCAAAGGCAAGATGCAACTGGGCCATCCAGCCCGTTCTTCGAGGCCGATTGTAGATTGTAGTCTGCAGGTGGAGCGTGGGTTCCTACTTGATGCCATGCAAGAGCGAGCAAAGGTGATAATCGTGTGTGCGTTGTGCAAATGTATGCGGAAAAAGGAAAAGAGCGTGCAAAAGTTATTCCGCATGTTTGTTGTTGTGCCTTCGAAAAAATCGTAGGCTGTTTAATCGAAGTTGAAGATCGAAACAAGGAAGGGACGGAGTGCTGGGTGCACTCTCATGCACACATAATGCACCACACACTGTTCATTCGTATCCGTTTACGTAGTTTTTTTTTTTTTTTTTTTGGGCAGTAAAATAACCAAGACCCAGGCAAACATACTGGTTTCTTCCGTTTTCTCCATCATCATCATCATCATCAGAGGGTCATTCCCATCACGCTCCACTCATCATAACAGATTCCTGACCACATCCCTTCCTTCGTCCTCGTCTTCATCTTTCTCATCATTCTTGACGCGTCTTCGTAATGTGAGAGGGCGTCAGCTCTTACTTGCTTTCACATATTGTTCCTTTATTCCTCAGGAACAAACATTTCACACCTTCACCTTGTCGGTCTCACTTGCACAGCATCGCAGGCACTGCGCTCTGCTTAGCCAAAAGCTAGCCAGTATCGTGTCATAGATAATCCCTCCCCCTCCCCTTCCTCCTCGACACAACAATCTACACATGGGCGTCCTTCGGTCCTTGTGGACAGTCTACTTGTTGTCATTCGTGCCACTGGTGCTCTTCTCTCTCTCGCAAGGACTTGCCCCGGTCGGTGCACAGAACAGCTCCCCCTACGTGCCCATAGCTAACGCTGGCTCGGCCATTCTTTCTGATGGGGCCCTCTATCTTTACGGGGGTGTCAGCGCGTTTGCGCCGGACCCCAACGGGCTCAACACCGGCACCAACCAGTTTCTTCGCCTCGACCTTACTCACGACTTTAATACCACCGCCCCGCCATGGACTCGTCTTCCGAACTATCTGACCTATACAATGATTGAGGCTGCGCCCAGTAAGAACGGCAAGCAGTTTATCCTTGGCGGCAACAGAGACAACAACGGCCCACTATCCTACATATACGATATTTCCTCGACGAACTGGATCGCAGCCCCCAACCTACCGTACTTGAGCTCTATGAATGGGTATAAGCGCTGGAACGCTGGCATGGCCCTCGACCCTGTCACTGGCCTAATCACCATCTATGGCGGGTTCCCTTTCATGTCCTTCTCTAAAGAGCTCAGCATTCTCAATACCACCAGTACCGACCCCGCACAAATGAGCTGGACCTATTCTGTCAACCAGACTGTGATCCCGCCATTATACAATCCTATGGTCCTTTACCTCCCTACTCTGAGCAAGACTATTGTTTTGGGAGGATGCGACACCTACAATGGCCTCACTGGTCGGATCAGCAGCTGCGCGCTACTCACCACCGTGTACCTGTTTTCGAGCTCAGAGCCAAATTTGATCCAACCGCGGACGCTCATGATGGGACCAAAACCTCGCTATCAAGTATGCAGGGTAGTCCTGGATGATGGCAACGTTTTTATTCAAGGCGGCAGGGATCTGACTAGTTTCTTTGGCGATGCCTGGATCCTCGACGTTTCGAACTGGACCTGGAGCACTATTACGATCAATGGGCCTGCAGAAGCAATGACTCGCGCTGGACACACCTGTCAGATGGGTCCTAATGGACAAATTATCGCCGTTGGAGGTAAGACACCAAGAAACATCCCAGCAAAGCAGCTTTTATTTGTTTACCAATGACATCGTTGCGCCGTGCTGCGGAAAACTGTGTGATCGATCGAATGTGGGCAAGGCTCAACCATTATTATTATTATCTTTCTGCTTGAAGAACAGTTTTCATAATATGCTTGCTTAACTTAATTGCATGCACGGCCACTCCTGGGCGCACTAGGCACTAGTCGCCATTAAATGCTCCGTTCAACGCCCACTTGCAGCTGACATCAAAATTAAATCAATATAGGATTCGTTGACAATGCCAATATTAGTTCATATGTCCAGCCGTACATGGCTGTCATCGATACCAAAACCTGGACGTGGAAAACGACCTTCAACGGTGCACCCGTCGGCAGTATCTGGAAATACGCTTCTACTCCGGAATCAAATGGTGGCTCCACCAGCAAATCGTCAGGCGGTCTTTCCTCGGGCGTCAAAGGAGGAATTGGTGCAGGCGTTGCGGTTATAGTATTGGGCCTTGGAGCAGGACTTTTCCTGAGAAGGAAACGACGGCTTTCCAGCAATCCCGATCAATCAAAGGACCATCATGAAATGAAACCCAGCGGTACTCTCCCGCCCTCCAAAGCAGAAAAGAGTCTAGCTACCGGCAGTAACTACAATCTCAACAATAGGAGCGACCTCGAGCAACTTACATACAGCTCAGGACACAACTCCCCGACGCCAACTACCGCAGCGGCTTATCCAGCATACACAACATACCACCAAACAGGAACAACACTTCCAATTTACACGACCATTCCCCTTGAATACCCTTCATCCCCCGCAATGGCCACTACGTACCAAGAGACATCGAAATACCCCTCTGGTGCGTTCGAATCCAACACAGCAACGACGGACGAGGCTGCCCTGGCTGCGGCTCTCTTTCAAGCCGAGGATAGCGTCTCGTCAAGGCAACTATCGATGAAATCAGAATACTGTACGCATTCATCCCCATCCTTATATCACGACTCGATCCCGTTACAACATCATATCGCCCATCCAACGGTTGTCCCGCCTATAGTGTATCCCACGGCTTTCTCCCAAGCATCTTCTATCCCTTCCTCCACTTCAGTGCCAAGGACTAAACCAGCAATCCCGGTGTCCGCACCATCAGGATCACTATCACTATCGCCTTCGTCATCACCCACATCGTCTCACGAGCAACTTGTATCGACATTCAGTACCTCCAGGCCTCCGACGATCCACACATCCGCGATTAACACCATCCCCACTCCGAGTGAGGGATTTGGTGGCACTAACCGAGGGGCCCATGCCCCACAGAGTGTTCCAGAACATGACGCGTGGATTGAGCGGTCGTCTCCGGGCGTGAAGACACACTTCATGAAAAGACGCGATTTGGACAAGGATGGACTCTACCCACCACTCACACCAACGCGAATGCAGAGCTCACATTCGATCCTGGTGGGAGCCCCAGCATTGCCGGTCGCATCAGCGCCTTCGTTCTCGGCGGCTTCATCATCTTTAAAGTCCTTACCGAGGGAGTCAGACGCGGGTATGCGGGCTAGGTATTTTGACCCCAAGGGAATAGCAGCAGCGGGGGCCGTAGGAAGGAACGGCAACAATGGGAGTCCGTATAGTAACGGTGAAGGTGGCGGTATGGAGCAGGAACAGAAGGATCCAAGTGCGCAAAGAAGCAATGGAGCACCCCATTCGCCGGCGTCGTTGTATAGGGATCCGCAGATGATGAAGGACCTGGATAACATCGCAAAGTTGATCGAGAGTCAGACTTTGGCGGAACCCAAGCACCCACATGCGATCGTCGCGCCGTCTCCAGATGACGAGTGAGGAAAATAACGAGCACACTTCTAATAATGATACGAATCAACCATACAGTTATGATACTTTTACCCCTGTCATATTCGACCTAATAAAACATAACATGATATCGAACGTATGCATGCACTGCTTTGCAGTTGATCGATTTGGAAGATCCATGCCAGGTATTCATGTTAGTTAGAGGACTGCAGCTTCTGAGGAAGAGGAAGTGGCCCAGAGCTATTATCCGTTAAATTATGGCAAAACGCCCAAGTCAGAATCTGCGCAAGTACGCAACGGTGGCTTCCTTTTCTGATTTTTAGTTAAATAGGAATAGATCCCCAGGTCCTGGATCATACTCTTTGGGATCGTCCTGTGAAGCAGAGAGGTTTTATGAGGCGTTTGAGCAGTGAGTTAATGCCGTATGGCATTGAGGTCCTGCTAGCACACACGCGACGCCAAAATCTTGCCCATGCTCCAGCCTGTACTCGCCTACTGCTTGCACGTTGACTCATGCACAAGGTGGATATCAGTGTTCATTACTGCATCCATGGACCTGCAGGCAGAGCAAGCGTGAGCCCGGTCTTTTGGTAGTAGAGGAACTCAACTACTTTTGACAACAAAACTATACTCTGGGACTAGGTCTAACAAAAACATCTAGCGAGTAGCCTGCGTGCATAGGATGCCAAGTAAAGCCTGGGCTCGTATTTTGTATTGACCCAGTCTACAATTCATGTCCCTGGGTAGTGGAGTGTGAGGCGCCCTAACTGTAACCACACGCGGTTTATCATGTTATGTTGCGTTAAAGAACACATTATTCACTCGTTTGTTTTTTCATCTTCGCCCTAGGACTAATTCTCAATAACATATATGAATTCAAGGTGAAGCGTTACTATTGCAATGTACTATAGCTCAATTTTGGGCGAAGTCTGGTTGAATGTTGCTTTGTCTACGAACCAACTTAAAAGGACTTGAGCACACACTCCATCGCCTGTCCTTCTCTGCCTCGCCAACATAAAAAAAAGGGGGGAGACAGAAGAAACAAACAGAGAAACAGGAAAAGAAAAGGATAAAAGAACACGTATGTGCATTTTGAGCGATAGGATGGATTACTCTAGCCAAACATGCCAAATTAGCCCGCCTGGTAGAATATGTCGCCTTTTGACGCTCACTTCTGAATAGGTAGAGCATAAAAAGGAACAGAGGAATCAGATAAACTTGGAATTTGGGACAATTGGGTTTTTGGGGCAGGTTTTGGACGGATTGAACACAGAGATGAATGAAAGGAGAGGATACAATTGAAGTTTATGTAATTGGGCCTTTGGGGCTGTGCAGCACCATGCTCATCAACGCTCTTAATGAACTCCAAAGCAAAAATCGACTGGAGGAGAAACATTGATGCAGCCGTCGAGCGTTGTTTGTTAGTTGGTGGACGATGACTACTAGAATATCTCTGTTCTCGGTGCTGACGGTAGAGAGCAGCCAGGAATAACCTTGTTTGCGGAGGTGATAATAGTCATCGTGCTTGATCGATGTTCCGGATGGAGTTCATAACATGCTGTTCTATTGACGCTCTGTACCGCATGCATGCTGCGTCTTAGGAGAAACGTGGGAACACAGGCCATAGTTTTCCGTGCTTATTTTTAGGTGCACCGCCCTCCGGAACTGGATGGCTAGAAATGGATACGGATGCCATGGAGGTAAAAAAAAAAAGCGAATACCAATGCCATTATAAGCGCGGCCGGAAAAATCAACAATGGGCGGTGCTATTAGTTGCTTCCTGCTCTCGAAGGTTGTCGGTGCTCCCCATCGATACGAGGTAAAAAGGTATATGATACATGTAGATTACATGCGTCCGCAACAATATCGATGCAAGTGAGTGTGTGGCGTTATTAAGGTTTGAGAGGGGGTGGAAACGAAACTTGAAAGGACTGGAACCCTAAAGCAGATAGAGTCGTTCATATTTGCTTTGTTGATGTATTACCTAAATTAAGCATCCTCCAACTCTTTGCATTTTACTCTTCCCGCAGTGGACTAATAGCAGAAGCCAAAATGATGGAATGAGCAGAAGTATGTTGAATGTTGGAATGAGCCAGTAGAGGAGTGGTGGCAAATTTTTCCTGCTGCGGATGCAAGTTTAAATAAGGTCCTGTATCGATCATCTTGCAAAGAGCAAAAACTTTTTTTTTTATTTGAATGTACCTTCGTGTCATTGGAGCCCTGTGTGCACTGCCTCATTGAAATTTCACTTGCATGTTTGGATGCATACGCGTGTGTGAATGTGCGCGCAAAATGTATTTTCCTCTGCTGCACGCCGTAGTATATAATACTAATCATTCGAATTCGACGGCGGTTCGGTGAAAAAGAAAGAAAATGACCTGATAACCCTTGGGCAATCCCTGGCGCCCTGAAAGAGTGTGCAGATAAAATCAATTCAGGTATGAAGAGGTCCTATCCTGCCTCCATCCCTCGCCCCACTACGCAAAGGTATGTGTCCTGACAAACTGACAAACAGAGTTGGCAGAAAGCATTGAAGCACAACCAGTCTCCAGTTGTTTGTTTGTTGTCTATGTCGTCTGCATACCAAACACAAAAGTCAGTTGTCCGTAAAGAAAAGAGTATCTTTTTTAAGTTCAAAATTGTTTCCAAAACGTGTGTTTTTCTACAGGTACATGTACATGCTACGGCATCGACTAGACTATGTGCTCGAGTCCTCCATCTGAGAGCGCTGCAAACAGTCGACTTTCTTTGTTGAAAGAGCCCACCATTGCATTGGACTCCGCTGCACGGTGGCAAGCTCATTATTTTCTTGCAATCTTATAAAGTCGCCTGGCGTCCTCCCCTGCCCCGCTTCTTTCACACTTTCATTTCTTCATCTCTCACATATCATATTCCACAGTGACCATGTCTGCCCCATCAGAACAACCCGTCTACTACACTCCTGCTCCCGCACCAGGAGGCGCTAGCCCCGCTCCAAATCCCGCGGGCACACCCACATATCAATATGTTCAGCCCCAGCCTTTGCCCGACCAGATTCATCAACAGCCCGCAGGAACGTTGCAGCAGCCTTACTATCCTCCTCAGTCGCCTGCACTCATGCAGCAATCGCCTGCACTTATGCAGCAATCGCCTATTGGCCAGCAGCAGCAGCCCTACTATGGTGATCAGCAGCCCCAGACCCAACAGCAGCAACCCTACTATGGTAATCAGCAGCCCCAGGTCCAGCAGCAGCAACCCTACTATGCTGAGCAGCAGCCCCAGGTCCAGCAGCAGCAACCAACAACATATGTCTACGCTCAGGAGCATACCACAACAGAGATGCCTGTGGTCAGCGGCAATGGAAGGGGTATCGTTGGAAGGATGCCTCAGCTCCAGACCTGCTGTATGTGCTTTCCTCTCCACACGGGTGCCTTGATCATCGCAGCACTCATGTTCATTTTCTATGGATACTGCGGTCTTGTCCTGCTCCTTGCTAGCGGGTACAGTGGTAAGCGAAACTTTTGTCATTTCTTTCAAAACAAGCAGCTCGCTTATACGTGCATCTCTTAACACACCCTTTACTCTTTTTTTTTTTCCTCAATAACAATAGGCGGCATCTTCGTCGGTTTGATTATCATCGGTATCTTCTATCTCTTGGTCGCTGTGGTTTCCGGCTACGGTTTCGCTGGTATCTATAAGGAGCAGCCCCTCTGGGTGGACAAATTCATCCGGTTCTACCTCATCGGCTCGGTCGTGTGGTTTGTGTTTGAGGTTCTCGAGATGATCCTGCGCGTCGTCTACATCAACCAGTACATTTACTATGGCGGATTTCCCTGGGCCGCGTGGATCATTCAGCTAATTCTTGCCTCGCTCTTCCAGTACTACTTCTGCGTCTGCTTGGTCTCCTACCAGCGCGTCTTGCACGCCCGCGTCGGCGACGAGAAGCAGCTCCAGATGTCTTAAATCGGACATGCGGCTGGGACCTATTCCAAGCATGACATATATATTTTCTAGCCCATATAATCCACATTTCGTCTCTATTGTAACAAATACACCTCAAACCACTAATTAAAATGCAATTGCTCAAATAACCAAATAACCACCGACGCTCATTGTCCGAATTTTTGATTGGGAGGAAAATTCAGAAATTCAGGGGAAAGGGTCTAGCCCGTCCTTACTTGATGTCTGTCCATCAGTGGCAAAGCGTTAAACAAAATGACAAAGAGAGAATCGAGGCCACTTCGTGAGATAAGCTTTCAAGGCTACTGCGGTAAGTCATTTTAAACCAACATCGTGGCGGCGCGTCATTTCTTTTACTCTCCCTTCCATTAAGCATAATTCCCAAAGGAACAGCGTCTACCAGTGATGATGATAGTAATAGATAGCACTTGCCATAGTTGACGAAGCCCATTCCGCAATATGCGAGCAAATACGGACAAAGGCGGGCATGATGAGAGGATTTCATGCACAGGGGTTGGGAGCGGTTGCTAAACTTGAAATTCCTGATAGTCGAGAAGCAGGCCCTGAGACCTTGGACAAAAGCATGCATCAGGCGACACAGGAACAGTTCAGATCCAGAAAGGCATCAATTCGAATGGCGTAAAAAGTGCGAAAGACTATTCGGCTTGGGCTTCGTTACATTTGCTGGCTTCCTCACCGTATAGCTGTGATATAAGGAAGTGCGGGGTGTGAGTGAAGATAATGAAAAGGGGCCGAAAGAAGCGGAAACTTTGTAAGAAAAAAAAAATGATGGAGCAAGCCAAGCTGTAACATAGCAGAGGACAAATGAAATGTAGTGCTGTACATAGTTTACAAGACTCTCCACAAGACAGCATAGCTAACTGAATCGCAGATAAATGTCATAAAGGGAAGACAGATGCCGATTTTTCTTATAGACGCATCCATGACTGATGTCCATCATCGCATGTTCTTTCCCCCGGGTCTTCCAATGGAAAGTAGAGTGATAGTATTTGCTATTCCCTATTTGAGAGACCATATCCTGTTCTAAAAGGGCTTGCTGCCCTATCGCTGAGATGTGTCTTTGTTTTTAATTCTGTGTGAATACTTGTGGAGAAGCATTAGTTGGCTAATAGGTTCACCATTAGCCATCTGCAGCCATCTCGGTGAGGCGTGATTTACAAGATCTGGTTAAACGCGAGCAAGAGGACATAATCTTAAGTAGCATGTCTTTTGTCGTCAGATGGCAACGATCGAGACTGATATCCTTTAGGACGGGGAAATGGGTCTGAAGACACTCGAACGACAGTGGGCCGAAATTTGACTCACCCATGTCAAGAATGGTCACCCGTGGCATGGCTGCCAAGATCAAAGCAATATCCTCGTCCGAAAAGAACAGTTGGCTCGGATGCATTGCCAATCCCTCCAACTCTGGCCAGACTCCTGCTTCGACCATCTGTACAAAGCCCCTTGCTTCAGCTATTTCGGTCCTGCACAAAACCTGTGCCGGATACCATTCCAAATACTCGAGGGATCGACATCGAGCTAGGGACTCCAGCTGCTTTCCCACTTTCTCCTGCAAGGCCGTGTAGTGGAGTTTCAGCGATCGTAATGCAGGCATCTCCCAGGACTCGCCAGAAACGTAGTGGACCCCAAGATCACAGACATAGAGGGCCCTTAGATGAGGCAAAGTGCGGATCGTTTTCCACAATTGAGGACCATCTTTGGTGGTCGGTTCCCAGATATCGGTGATGACCAACTCCAACTCCGTCAAGTATGTATGCCGATATAGCAGGGCGTAAATGTGCGATCGAATTTTGGTCCAACCGGTTAGGATCAGTTTTTGTAGTTTATGGAAATATAGTGCCGCGTAGGACTCCATGTCGGAACTAGAGTGTGACATTTCGAGAACGCAAACCAAGTGGCGATAGCGGTGAAGGGCTTCGAATGGTGGATTCAATTGTGTATCGATGCTTAGGTTAAGTGTTCCCCAGACCATCGGTGCTGCCCACCTGAACCACGCCTTGTTGATCAGCATGCATTACACGAAATCCTTGCGTTCCAGGTGCTGAAAGATGAGTTCCTGGATCTCTGGTATGTCCATTGCCTCGATTCTCGGTTTGGGCACTGCTGTATGGAGGGATACATCTTTGTTCGACTCGTCTGCTCTGTCGACGAGGGTTTGCAATAGGTTCTGGGCCGCGGACTGACTCTCGAGGAGACTTCGAAGGGTCGATAACATCTCAGCCTGGTAATGGGAAGTGACATAATCTCTGTCCTTGTTCACAGGTTCGAGGTATTGTTGGTTTCTAGAAGCTGGAAGGATTTGATCTTCTTGGTTTCCGAAGCGAGAACCCTGTACGATGACCTCCTGAAAAACATCAAGCACAGCGCCAGGGTGACAGAGGATCCTGGGCGGTGACAATCTATGGTATGAATCAGGTCAGAAACCTTTTTTTATAGCAAAATAAGTATTAACATCATCTGTTTTCGATAAGATATCCTTACTCTTTGAAGTCGGCGTCAGTCATTAAGGGAATGATGGTTCCATCCCGTATGACATATTGTGCGTTTCTGAAGACCCTCCGAACATCCGTCCAGAGGATAACATACTGTCCAGTCCTGTGGTCCAGATGGGTACCGATTTTGACGGCGGTAGGGGTTGACGATGCAGTTGAAAGCGGTGAGTTGCGGAAGTCCTGCGCTGAACAAGGCGTCCCGAGATTTGCAAGAGGGGTTGGGTTCGCCATTGCTATGGGAGGTTACTGGATTAATGGGTTTAGAGAATATATGCAAAACACTTAAACCAGAGGGCCATGGTCGCAATTCAGGCCGAGGGACTGTGAAATGCAATTCCGGGAAGACATCGACTTTCCATCAAAAGTCAGATACGTCCTTAGCGCATTGTGCAACTTCACCTCGGTTCTTTTTGTCTGATAATTCCTATAAGGACTCGACATAGAGGACAATACAGCAATGGCATCCATGATATTCACTGGCTCAAATATTAAACTCTATTCCATAGCATAGTCTACTGCACTCAAAGCATCTATTTTTCTTTTATTGAGCGCGAAGTAGAGTCGTAGGCTCACGGATGGCCGCCAGCGACTATCTTGGCGGGGTGCATTTTATAGGCCTTGATTATAATCCAACGTTCCGAGAATAGTCATTTTTGGCATGGCTGCCAAGGTGAATGTGACCTCGTCGTCTTTAAGACCCAAAATCGCCAGCCGCAACGTCGTTCCTCCGGTCATCAACGGCGATAGCCTGTGGATCTCACTGTAGGACCCCCGGGGTGGCGCATCAAGAGAACAATCGCAGACGATCACTATATAGATTCTGAGAACCCCGGCCGCTACTAAATAGCAGTGGGCCTCGACGGTTGGGTTTCTGCGAGGCGGTTTATCCAGTTTGATCGTTCTCCAGACCATCGAAGTCACCCATCCGTGCCACGCCTTGCTGAGTTACATGCACTTTAGTATGCCTACGATACAGGCACTACTGCGATCTCTGGTATGGCTATCACCACGACATTCGACTTTATTGCATGACTGAGCTGTTCTCGGCTAATGTGTTCGATCGCATATCACCTTGGTCGTCTAAAGTGTGATGATCACTGGTGTCGTTACCACACTCGCAGTCGCATATACAGTGTCGTCGAGTATAATATCGTGCACAATGCCAGGGAAGTAGCATATTCTCAGCAGCAGTTTGCGGCCATTGAGCGAAGGAGCAGGATGAGTGCGCGCGCACAAATATTCTGATTTCAAAGGTTTATATACTTTATTTGCAATACGACCCGACTATTGCTGATACTCAGGAGTGTTTCGTGTCGTACATCTTGTGCTCAGGAAGAACGAGGAATCAGCTTCAGCTGATCATGCTCGACCGTAATGCCGACTTCCTCTCCAATCTTGACCTTGCCCTCGATAATCAACTTCGCCAGGGGCTGGAGCAACTGTTTCTGGATGACACGGTTCAATGGACGAGCACCATAGGCCGAGCTGTATCCACGGTTAGCGAGCCACTCCTTTGAAGCAGGGTCCGCATCGAGCGAGATGCGGCGGTCCTCAAGTCGGGCCTGCACCTCACGCAGACGGACGTCGACAATATCGCGAATGGCCTTGTGCGACAGGCGGTTGAACACGACCTAGCATTGACGAAAAACAGATACATATATATATAACGCGTTTAGTAACTTGATTGAACGCCGAATAGGATGATTATTCTCGCTTCAAAGGTCGAAGCAATCCTTACCATGTCGTCAATACGGTTGACGAATTCGGGCGCAAAGTGCCGTCTAACGACCTGCATGACAGCCTCCTTTTCCTCATCTGTAACCTTGCTCTCATCGGCCTGAGATGTCTTCTTGACCAACTTGCCCATAATTGAAGGCGATCTCGCCGACGCGTCATCCTCCGCAATCGCCAGCATATCGGCACCCAGGTTGGATGTCATGATAATGATCGTATTCCTAAAGTCGACCGTTCGACCTTGAGAATCTGTCAAGCGTCCGTCGTCCAGAACCTGCAGCATCAAGTTAAATACATCCTTGTTGGCCTTCTCCATTTCATCGAAAAGGATCACTGCGTATGGCTTGCGGCGAATAGCCTCCGTAAGCTCGCCCCCTTCCTCGTGACCCACATAACCTGGCGGGGCACCGATCAAACGCGAGGTTGAGAATTTTTCCATATACTCGGACATATCGATACGAACAATCGCATGCTCAGTATCAAAGAGGAATTGGGCAATTGCCTTGCAGAGCTCGGTCTATGAGGTTTATGCGAAACACAAGCGCAAGATTAGCACGATAGTAAACATCAACAGCAGATCCCAAATAACACACGACGTAATAAAATGAAATCATACCTTTCCGACACCAGTAGGTCCGAGGAACAAAAACGAGGCAATGGGACGGGTAGGGCTCGAAAGGCCAGCGCGGCTCAGGCGTACAGCCTCTGCCACCGCAGAAATAGCTTCATTCTGTCCGACAACGCGCTCCGAGAGAGCCTTCTCCATACTCAGCAATCTCTCCTTCTCTCCCTTTAACAGATTCTGAACAGGGATGCCAGTCATTCTTGCAACAACTCGCGAAATATCGTCAGCAGTAACGCGCTCGTGAATCAAACTCTCGACTTCCTCCTGAGTTCCCAAAGGTCCCATTGGCCTTTCAGCATCCTCGCCATCAGTCAGACCAGCCTCAATCGCCCCAAGCGCTTCCTGAGGTATCTTCTCCTCCCTGGGCAGCTTGGCCTCCAAGCCAGGAATAACTCCGTAACGGAGTTCAGAAGCACGGGTGAAATCTCCTTTACGCTGCGCGTTCTCGAGGTCAATACGCGCTTGCTCGAGCTCAGCCTTGGTGCTCTTGATCTTGTCCAGCTTCTCTCTAAAATTGTGATATAATACATCATAGGTCGTCATGAAATATTGGATGCCATCAAGAGCATATGTTCAGATGCGAATTTGATCCGCACACAATAGCAAATACGTACCTTTCTTGTTGCCAAATCTCAGTCAAACGCTTCGACTCGTCCTTCTTCTTGCTCAGGTCATCCTCCAGCTTCTGGCGCCTCGAAACCGAAAGTGGGTCTGTCTCCTTTTTCAAACTCTCGAGTTCAATCTCCATTGTAACAATGCCGCGGTCCAAACTCTCAATCACATCGGGCTTGCTCTCCTGCTGTAGACGAAGCTTGGAGCAGGCCTCGTCCACCAGATCGATGGCTTTGTCGGGCAAGAAGCGATCCGTGATGTATCGGTGACTCTGAACAGCTGCTGCCACCAGTGCTGAATCGGCAATCCGGACTCCGTGGTGGACCTCGTAGCGCTCCTTGAGTCCACGCAGGATCGAAATTGTATCCTCTACAGAAGGCTCAGATACCATGACAGACTGGAAACGACGTGCCAATGCCGGGTCCTTCTCAATGTATTTACGGTACTCGTCGATGGTGGTTGCTCCGCAGCAGTGCAACGTGCCTCGAGCCAGGGCAGGCTTCAACATATTTCCGGCATCCATGGCTCCCTCGGATTTCCCAAGACCCAGTAGTGTGTGCAGTTCGTCGATGAACAAGATGATCTTGCCCTCCTCAGCCGTAACATCGGCCAAAACCGCCTTGAGACGCTCCTCAAATTCTCCTCTAAAAATCATTTCCGGTTATAGGAAAGACGCATAAATAACGTCAGCTGTAGGATCCTTGTAAATGTGGAACGACGTGTACGGGACTATTCCTCTTACCTGTATTTCGCTCCAGCGACAAGAGCTCCGAGATCCAGAGAAATGACTCGCTTGTCCTTGATAGACTCTGGCACTTCACCATTAACGATTCGTTGCGCCAATCCTTCTGCAATACTCGTCTTTCCAACTCCTGCCTCTCCAATTAATACTGGGTTGTTCTTTGTTCTACGAGACAAGACTGCGAGGGTGAAACAAATGGGGTTGGTTTAGAAACACAAAGTGTCATAACAGAATCAGAGGTATCTGTCCATACTGTGGGCAGTTGCTTCAAGGTCAAAAGTCCTACCTTGAATTGTCCTGCGGATTTCTTCTTCACGCCCAATGACTGGGTCGAGCTTTCCTTCACTGGCGAGCTTTGTCAGGTCGTTTCCCTACAAATGTTGCAGTTCAAAAATGACCAGATCAATAGGTATCCTTTAGGGAATACTTTCAGCGACTGAACTGGAAGGTCGCGCTTGCTAACTTACGTATTGCTCAAGCGCTTTTCCTTTCTCGCTCTGTTCTGGCGTAGGCTGAATCCTGAATCCCTGTGGGCCGCCTCGACCTAAGAAATAATTCATGAGAAAAACATAAGATCAGTCGATGTTTGTTCGCAAAGTATTCCAAAAGATGACAGTCGAATTGGATCATGGCCGCTTACCAGTCTGATAAAGACGCACGGCTCCGAGCCATGGCACAACCTTGGGTCCAGAATGTGTGCCAGACAAGGCTGCAGTCACGAGGAAGCCGTGTCGTGAAGCTCGCAATGATGGTGGCACCGCGTCTTTGCCTTGGATCCCAACAGTCTTCCTGAAAGAGGTGTTCATGTGAACGGGGTTCTGCTTTGTAGTGGCAGTCGACAGAGTCCTCTGAGGAAGCCTGAGATGCGATCCGCTCACGCGAGCGGTGACATGGGCAACAGCCCTTGGGTTCGTGCGAGTTGTCAGAGCGAACATAGTTAGGCGTATTTACTCAACGGATCCTTGTTACTTCTGTTACTTCAGATTTTTTTTTTCTTGTTTCCGCGTGTGAGCGTGTTTCTCTCTCCTTTTTTTTTTTTATTCTGAGCCGAGGCGGTAGTGCGACCAAGACGGAAGGCTATAGATATTTAGACGAACGAACGGAATGAATGCAGAATGCGAAATGAGAGAATGAGAAAAGGTGAAGTAGGTGCTCAGTTGGAATGAGCGGGAACCATGGCTAAATGAACGGAGGCCTGTCTCACAGGGATTTTATGATTCAGATTTTTCCTTTTTTGAAGATGCGCTAGAAGGCACCAGAAAACTCGCATGGTATGATGTCTCCATTCGGCTTTATTACATCTCATCGGTATCGTATATACATATTTCTGAATCAATTAGGGGTAGAAGTCTTTACGCGGCAGCCTCTACAGGGATCGGGGCTGCAGCATCGGCCACTTGGGTCTCCACAACTACGACCTCCGTCGCTGTCTCCTCCTCGGCTGATGCCTCGACAACGGTTTCCTCTACGCTCACGATCGGAGCTGCGTCTTCAACAGTGGCGCGAATAGCGCCGCTTAATCTGCAGAGGGTGACATTCAGTAGAGTGGTGGGACGGATGTTAGTCTAGGATTGGCTTCTAGAGGCCAGAAACATAGCTTTTAAACCTATATGCATGAATGCATGAATGCTGTCCATTACCTTTTAAGAAGCGAGGGCTTGCGTTCGACCTTGTCCGCAATGGCAACGGTTTCGTCTGTGGTCGAGAGGTCCACATTCTGCTCGCCATCGGCAGTCTTTCCAACATTGGCGTCCGTGCCCTCGATGTGTTGCACGTGTGTCGATCCTTCAGCGTTAATCACATCCTCGGACGAAACTTCGCCCGACTTGACCTCAACCTCGTTCTTGTCCTTGCTCTTAGTCACACGAGAGAAGAAGCCGCCAGAGGACTGCGAGGTCACCTCGCCTTCAGAGGTAACAACGTCAGACAAGGTCTTCTCGGATGACACGACAATGGTCTCCTCGTTGGGAACTGGAGCGGGAGCTGGTGCAGGTGCCTGTAAAACATAGAGGTCGCGTTCAAAAAAATGCGAGTGAGAACGCGTGAAAGCAAAGACGTAAAAGTAGATAAAAATATATATACAAAAAGATGACTTACGGGTTTCTTGGCAAAAAGACCGGCAAGGAATCCAGGCTTCTTCTCTGGTACGGGTGGCGTAGCGGGAGCATCGTTCTTGGCTTCAGCAGCCTTGGCCTTGCTAGCCTCGACTGCGTCATCAACGGCCTTCAATGCCTGGGTCTTGGCCTCATCAACTGTCAAGGGGTGCTCAGCTGGTGGAGCTGGAGCTGGATCCTCAACCTTGGGGGCCTTCTTTCCGAAGAGCTTGAAACCTCCGCTCTTGGCCTTGGGAGACTTAGGAGCCTCAGCAGGAGGGGTGGATGGGGCGTCGGTAGTATGCGAGACCGCGTTCTCCGACTCGTGCGTCTTCAGGGCGTCGACATCGCCCTCCTGAACATGGGTCAAATCCTGCTTCTTCTCAGTCGAGACCTCAGTCGTAACACCATCGGCCTTCTTCTTCTCATGGCTCGTGGCGACGGCAGAGAAACCAAAGTAGGATTTGCGTTTCTTGACAATTGGCGTTCCGTTCTCGATCTCAATGTCGTCGGGCTCGCCGTCCGAGTTGATCTCGTTGTCGGCGATGATGTTGGCCGAGTTTTTAGCGTGCTGGAATGCCTCTCTGGCGACTGTTAATATGATTAAAAATGGATCGCAGTGTTAGCAAGCGTTCCATCTAGTACTTTGTGTTATGAATGAGGAATAGACCATCGGGTCTTCGTTCACCCTTACCAAGCTTCTTGTATACCTCCTGGAACTGTTCGCTGCCAAATGGGTCTGGCTCTGCTTTGGCCTCGTCCGACTTTTCTTTAATGGCCTTGACCCAGCCCTTAGCCTTCTGAGGCGACTCGGCCGAAAAGTGGTAATCGCGATTCTTGGTGCTGACCACAAAGGATCTATTCTTAGACGACTTCTCAACGCGCTCCACAGAGTTGACATCCCTGAGGTTGATGATACCCAGAATGTTCTGGCGGTGCAGTTCGTCGTCGGACTTGTGATAGTAAAGAAGACCCGTACCCTTCGTGTTGGCTTGTGCGACATTCACCAACAGATCCCTATTGGCCTCCTCGTATACCTCCTCTACAGTCTTCACGGGGGCAGATGTAGCGGCAGGAACAACAGCAGTGGTAGTAGCAGCAGCATCCTTGGCAGGAGCTTTTCCTGCAGCGACCTCCGATGGCGCATCTTCCACCGGCGCGGGGGCAGGAGTGGGAACCTTCTTGACACGACGCTCGTTGCGCTTATGAACCGTCTTGAGATTCTCAATGTTCACGGGCTCGGAACCAAAGGCAAAGTAGCGCTTGTTCCAGGGGTTGATAGGGTTGGTGCCGCGCTTCTGAAGGTAGCCAGCTTCAACATCGATTTCCTCCTCTTCTTCTTCGGACTTTGTGATAGAGGTGGACTCGGCAGCAGGGGCCTCAGTGGCCTCGATCTCTACAACGGGTTCCTCGTTCTTGGTCATGGCTGCGTGTTTTTTTTTAATCTAGCGATAGATATTGCGAGTGTGTACGATCAATCAAGGTGTACTAAATGGAGCAGGTCGCGTAAAAAGAGAGGATGTCGTGGAAAATACTGGACAGAATACAAATAGTGGACGTGTAGAGACAGAGTGTGAGAGAAGGCGATTAAGAAATGGAGAGAAGGAAGAGAGTGAACTGGTCTGTTGAGTCTTCTACGACTGTTGACCTTTTATGTGCTCTTTATAACAAAACACGCCATGAACACGAGTGGAGACAGACCAGGAAGGAAAGGGGCTACTCCATGGACGACATGACCAGCCCGTCTGTAGTTTATTCCAGCTGTAAACTAGCAACGACAGCGTGGGGCACGAACAAATAAAACAAGCGATGGAACAGCCAATTAGACCATTCCCCCAGGCGCGCACGACTCGGCAGCTGCATTGCATGTCGATGTCCAAGGTGCGTTTGTTTATCTGTTTTTGCTTTTTGCCCCTATATCTCCAACCCTCAGGTCATTCGCCACATCAGGTCCAGCATGCAATCCACGCACAAACACTCGGATAGTACTCCTAGAAATAGGGTCAGGGGAGTGCTCAAGTGGGCAACCTTGCCGTTCCTTACTTTTTTTTTTTTTTTTTTTTTTTTCTCTGGAAGGTACACTGCGCTAGAGCAGGTACAGTTCTTTCAGCTCGGAATCTGTCCGTTATATCGTGTCAATGCTGTACGGTATTTCCTACATTGTGGGCATCCTGCAGAAACGCCCATGGAGTCACAGGGACTAGGATATATCATCTGTTGTCGTTGTGGAACTGTGATAGTCTAAAGAAGGAGGGGGTTAAAAAGAAATAATGGACTTCCGTCGTGGCCATGTTTTCAACCTCTCAGCTCCCATTACATGTGAGAGCTATACGGAAACAGGGGGCTAACGACCACCTCGCTATGCAGAAAGCGGATGCGTGAGTGAGCGCTAGATAAAGACACAAAGGGGCGGCATACTGTGTCATGGCTATGCCTCAGGCGGCGTTTATATCCTGTTTGATCTGCTCTATGCAGATCACGTCGAAGAGGGCGTTTATCCCGTCTGGGGCTCAGTTGAAGACTGCGATCTAGAATCTACCGGTGCGCCATCAAAATAAAAATAAAAGGGAGAGCAGACAACACATATAAAAAAATTTTCTGCGGAGAGCAACTTTGCCTTTTCTTCTTCCTCACTCTTCACACTTGTCTCTTCGTCTGCTTTCTATATGGTAAGTTGAGTTCTGTTTGCCAGCATGCCCATCCCACACATTGTTCGAATATCTACCTGATGAACAAGTTGTACGTAAAATGATACCCTGAACATACTATGTGGATCTATCGTAAACAAATGGAATTCCTCGTTTCTGATCTCATATTCACCAACTTCGAAGGGTGGGGTCGCACTACGTGCAATGAATGCAATTGTATCTAACAGATGTCGTTTCGGTATGCAATTGTAATAGATCTCGTCATCAGAAGCTGATCAGGAATTCAGAATCAGAGATCGGGATTCAACCGATCTACTTTTCTTCAGTGATCTCATGCTTCAATGATCAAGGTATGTACCAAGGATATATAATTGTCTGGCGACCCAATTGATTCGAATGAGGATATCTCCATACCGTTTCCTAGTGAGCACCTGAGCAAATGAAACATGCACTACCATCTGACGATTCATCAATTATAACGCCATTATGTCATTTTTGACGGGCATTTGTGCAGCTGAGAAAGCGATTATTAATTAACGCTTGCCCTTCTCGTTTTATCTCTTCAGATAGCTACGCGAATCAATCATGTCTTCAGTTGTCAGTTGAGACAGTAAGGAACGACCGATTGGCATCTGTAAGTTCATATTCCCATTTTCAATTGCCCATTTCCCATTCAGTATTGTGTCCACAAGTGATGACAAACTTTTCAGTTCTGCTTCCGACCTGAGACCGTGGTGGAAAACTTTTAATACCAAAACTTATTCTGATTCTATTGACACTCTTCAACAAACGATGCCTATTTGTCCTGAAGAGAAAGAGCTGCAATTGTGTGCTAACCAGCTATTTTTTCAATTGCCAATCTATCAGTACAGTATACGTTTTGTAGTGGCCCGTTTCCTGCCCTGCAATAGTGCCAAGCGCAATGCGATCATCACAATGTAAGTAGCCATTCCGAGTTTTCTCGTGCTTATGAGCGTTGCTTCGACAAAAATGATGACAAACTTTTTCAGTTCTGCTTCCGACCTGAGACCGTGGTGGAAAACTTTTAATACCAAAACTTATTCTGATTATTGTTGAACGCTCCAATGTGGCCACGGTGCACGCAGCAAAGTCCAGTGAAGAAGCATTGCTAACATTGCTGCTGACTTGTAATTGTTCCTGTAGAGGTCCAGGCAATCTTGTAGCGTATCCCATTTTTCACGTCTTGTCTCGGCGGTTCAACTTGGTATGTACGCGATCCTTCCATACTGGCACCTACCATCGTTCATTGCTTGTGGGCAATATGATGTCTATTTCGATCATCCGTGTTTCATCTGCATAATTCTTGAAGATAATCTTTGATCTCTGATTCCACCTACATTTTCCAAAGTTATTTGAAATTGGAGTGAACAAGATCAGTATTTTAACATACCATTTCCGCTGTGCGAACTGCTTTAGATGGATCAACTCTGAGTCCCGATCACGCTGGATATCGTCTTTCCGCTATCGTCATCATCCAAGTTGCTTCAGAAAAGGTACGGGTCCTTATTAGCACGGCGCCTTAACCCTCTCCTTGTGCCAAATGATGACACCTAGTTAAATCCATTCTATGAGGGTGCTACACTTCCTTCGGATCGTGTCCTGGCGAATCTTTCGAGGTTTTCTTGACTGAGGAGTTGGTTCATGTGAAGGGGAGGTGGGAGTTTTTTTGATTGTCTTTGCTCTTGACCAGTCATCGTGTTGTGGCCAGGAAGGTTTTTCAGCACTTGCGGAGCAATGAGTCGTGGTGTTCAGGCTGTGCTCTTTGGGGGAACAGTCGTTCCTCGCCAAGTGCAGTGAGCATGCGTTCTTTTTTTACTTGTAATGAGAGAAAATGCTGCTAGGAGATCTCTAGACCTCTTTGGACACATTACGCGAACTTGCTTTTGTTTGTGTTGGAACGCCCTTGGCTGTGGCATTATGGCTGATTTCAGGGCCTTGGCAGCGGATCGGCTTTTCTATGCATCTACAGATTAAAACTAGCTCCTGATTACCCCAACTTACTCTATATGAGAGAATGAATGTAAGAAGACTGAATGCTCATAGCTAACCTTGAGTATCTCTTTCTGTCATTGCCACTTAGGTACGTGTCTATTGTAGACCAGACAGATCCGGCGATTGAGAATGTCCTCAGGGACATAAGGTAAATAACTGGTATTGGAAATAAATCGACTCTGTTTGCTTTCTCTATGCCTATTCTCTTCCTATATTTTCGACCACCACATTTTAAATGGATTGATCAGGTTTGTCACTCCTATGATGGGATTTTGACAACAGGACATCTCTTTCCTTCAATTCTCCCCATGCCGATACTCTAATGACCAGTGTTTCCCATCATTGGCTATTTTTTTTTCACGGCAAAGAGCAAAAGAACCTTTACTCACGCTCGGTATCTGTTCTATGTACCGCTGTCGTCTACGAGAAGTTCGATATCTCCTTTTTTAACCATATGTTTTTGACCAATTACAATAAAGAACTTGAAAAAAATCAATGTTTCCTGTGAATGTCTTGTGCGATAGTATACATCGCTGATGCACGATGACACAGAAGGTCTGCTAAGGATGTTTGGTCAGAAATGGTGCGTGCTAATTGATATAATTACTGCGCCCGACTGTGGTATATCTTAGCCTTAAGGTTTCTGTATCGATTCCAGGGAAGGGATTCTGGGAAAGGTTCGTCCAAGCAATAAAAAGACGCGGGGCTGCAGTCGTTTTGGGTTCATCTTTTTCAGATTCAACCCATTCCCTCCTGAATCAGATCTACCTGACGCCTCATCACCCAATAAAAGTCTAATAGCAACAGGACACGGACCAATTGGGTTCCTTCGATGCCGCAGACACCAGCCGATTCTCGGCCGTTGCTTTCTTCGGGGCAATCCCCGAGCCTCGAGGACTATGGCACCACTACCGTCAATTCTTCAGAAACCCAAGCAAGTCAGAGTTCTACAAGCGATCCGGATGCTACTAAACTCAGTCCAGAGGCCAGTGCCTCCTACCTCTCGCTAGCGACTACGACCTGGATGACGCCCATTTTCAAAGCTGGATATCGTCGTCAATTACAGGAGGAGGACATCTATGAGATGTTACCTGACCGCCGAGCCAACGTCCTTGGTCAACGCATGCGAGGCTGTTGGACAGAAGAGCTGAAAAGAGCCGCTGTCAAAGGACGGCAGCCATCGCTCTTGCGCGCCATGATTTGGTTCACTCTACCCTATTACTGGTTCGGCCAAGTGTGTCTGATAATCTCAGGTATGAAACCGTGCCTTCCTGTGAACCGTCTGAATTAACGTAGATGAGGCCCTCAATTATTTTTTGTTCCTCATCCTCTGCAGATAACATTCTCTCAATGCTGACTCCGTTCCTTGTATTCCAGGTAAGATCCGTAAACATCTCCCTGCTATGTAACGATCCCCAATTATATAGTATTGGCCTGCATTTTAACTCTTTGTCCCACATGTGCCAAACAGATTATTGTTTATCTGGAGAGCACTCAAGACGGACCCTCACCGCCAGCTGCCTGGTACGGCTACTGCTTGGCAGTAACACTTTTCGTGAGCAACCTGACGCAAGTGCTGCTTGGTCAGGTCTGGGTCACTTACTGCGCCAGGTCCGGCATCCTCCTCCGTACGGGGCTGATTGATCTGATCTTCCGCAAGGCCACCACCATGTCTTCAAAGGCCCGGCTAGAGTACCCTGACAGCACAGTGTTCAATTTGATGTCGACGGATACGACCAATATCAATAACTCGCTGGAGCCAATTCCGCTGCTGTTCTCTATACCCGTATCGTCTGTTATCATCGTGATCCTGTTGATCTACTTGATGGGCCCCTCAGCTTTACTAGGTACACTTGTGTTGCTGACCATGAACCCGCTACAGGCCTGGGCGATGGCAAGACTGAATCCGGTCCGCGAAAAGGCATCCAAGTTCACGGATACGAGGATTAGAGTCATGACAGAGATCTTACAGGGCGCCAAGGTCATCAAGTTCTTCACCTACGAATCGAGGTATGCGCGCTTTGTCCTGATAATTATATAAAGTTTTTCACGCGCAACCTGAATTTGATCCGCAGATGTAATGACCTGCCGTTAACATTGTTGCTTTCTCTTACGTTCACTGTCATTCGTATTTACAAGTTTCCTACAAAAGTTGTCGGAGATCCGAGTATCTGAGCTAAAATGCCATGCGTTCCTGATGCAGGTTTGCGGCTTTATTTACAGCACCTCCTCGGTAAGTACTTTAAGGTTTCTTCTGCTAAATAATTACCACTCTTATAGCGCTCGATGGTTAACGTCGCTTGATACCGGTTTCATCGAACATACTAGTCCTTGCCAGTGTTTGCATCTGCACTCTCGTTTGTCCTTTATGCAGCCCTTGGCAACGAACTGGAGGCTAAGGTCGTGTTTCCGGCTCTGACGCTCTTCACGGGGTTACGTGTCCCATTGTTGGTATTGCCTTACTGCTACGGCGAAGCGACCGCTGCATGGGTTAGCATGAAGCGCATTGAGAGATTTCTTCTTTCACTCGACGCACTGCCTCTGCCTCCGCCCGACCTCACGCACAAATACGCACTTAGCATCAAATCCGGAGAGTTTTACTGGGACCAACTTTCGTCAGCAACCTCAACCTCGCCGTCATCAGCCAGACGCTCTGTCAACGAAGAGGAAGCTGGTGACCAACAGCCCTTGCTTTCGGACCAAACTGTGGATGGATCAGAAGCTGAAATGAAACCATTTTTGAAGAATATCAACCTTGATATTCGGCGAGGATCCCTAGTCGCTGTGGTCGGACCAGTTGGAAGCGGCAAATCTTCGCTACTTCAGGCGATAGTAGGAAACATGATGAAATGTAAGGGCGAGGTTATCCGTGGCACTACCATTAGCTACGCCTCCCAAACACCCTGGATTCAGAATGCGACCATCCGTAACAACATTTTGTTCGACACACCCTTGGATGAGGAGCGGTACAAGAGAGTGGTCAAAACATGCTCACTCGAGAAGGATTTGTCCAACATGCCGTCAGGAGACGAAACTGAGATTGGTGAGCGAGGCGTAAACCTCTCTGGTGGTCAAAAAGCACGTCTGTCTCTGGCCAGGAGTGTTTATTACAATGCCGACACCGTGGTCATGGACGACCCACTCTCAGCGGTAGACGCTCACGTCGGCAAGCGACTGTGGGAGGATTGTATGGTTCAGGAACTCGGCAGAAAGACCAGGATTATCGCAACACATCAGCTGCATGTTCTTTCAGACGTAGATTATGTGATTTGCATGGAGCATGGTCGCATCGCGGAGCAGGGAGCTTTTGCGGATCTCATGGCTAAGAAGGGCGAGTTCTATGCACTGATGAAGCAGTATGGCGGTCACCATCACGAGCACAACACGAACGAATCTGTTTCACACAAAGTCCTCAGGAGAAACAAATCTTCGTCTGGAAATGTTCCAGTGGTAGAGGCAGTTGCAGAAAGCGACGATGACACTACCATTTTGTCGGAGCCTGAGGAGGAACCGGAGAAGCCAGTGGTTCCGCAGAATCTGATGACAGAGGAGGAAAGGGCTTATGGTGCAGTATCATCGCAAGTGTATCGTAGTTATTTCCGTCTTGGTGGCAGTTTTAACTGGACCATCATTGTGTTCTTAATGGCGCTCCAGCAGGTTGCCGGTGCCGCGTAAGTCTGTACTGTATAAAGTATAACTCTGATTTCTCTCATTGACATTAATACTGACATTCTATCTTATTTGTTGATGTCAATACATAGGATGAACGTCTGGCTCAGCTTCTGGACGCAAGACAAATTTGATCTATCAACTTGGACATATATCGAAGTATATTTGGGCACTGGTGTGGTGCAGATGATTATCATCATGGCCGCCTCGTTGATGCTGGTTATTGCAGTCATCAAGTCTGCGAAGGTGATGCACGATCGAGCCTTCTTCAGGGTATTGTACTCGCCGATGTCGTTCTTCGATACTACACCCATGGGTCGCATTCTCAACAGGTAAGGTTCCTGTCTGCATTCCCAAGCTATGGCTGGGAAAAGTAATTTGCGGTCGTAATTTAGCCTGGTGAATGACGCCTTCTGATGTCGATATATTTCATTTACGCATATAGATTCAGCAAAGATATCAGCACGATTGACAACACGTTGATGGGAGCCATTAATTCATTCCTAATCACACTGACAGGAGTCTTGAGTGTGATGGTCCTGACGTCTGTCTTCCTACCGTGGCTGATCCCTGTCATGGCTCCACTATCGGTCCTCTACTGCTTTGTCGCCTCCTACTACCAACGAACGAGTCGTGAACTGAAGAGAATCGACGCCATCTTGCGGTCCCATATGTTCTCGTACTTTTCCGAGACTTTGTCCGGCATAAGCACCCTCAAGGCATACCACCAGCATGGCATCGATAACGCCATTTTCCGGAACCAACATAACCTGGATCGATCGAACAAGGCTTTCTATCATCTCTTACTCGGCATGCGATGGATCGGTATTCGGGTCTTCGCACTGGGCCACTGTTTGAATTTTGCTGCGGTGATCCTTATTGTTATAAATCGATACAGCATTGCATCTTCCACGGCTGGCTTGATCCTGAGCTATCTTGCTCGGTTGTCGTCGGAAATGAGCTGGATGATTCAATGCTTTGCCAATGTTGAGAACAACATGAACTCCGCGGAACGCCTCTTGTACTACTCCAACAATCTGGAGCAAGAGCCGCCGACTGAGATTCCAGAAAGCAAACCGAGCCCCTTATGGCCGACTCAAGGCGAGATCTCTTTCCGAGATGTGTCGATGAGGTACCGTCCAGGTCTGCCCCTTGTGCTGAACAATATTTCGTTCGATATACAGGCTGGTCATCGTGTTGGTGTCGTAGGTCGAACAGGCGCTGGAAAATCGTCCTTGATCCAGGCGCTGTTCCTGTTGGTCGGGTTAGATTCTGGAAGCGTGATCATAGACGGTATCAAGACTGATACGATCGGTACGGCAGATTTGCGGTCAAAGATCGCGATTATCCCTCAGGATCCGGTGCTGTTCCAGGGAACATACCGGTACAATCTAGACCCGCTTTCGAAGTATACAGAGCAGGAACTTTGGCAGGCACTTGAGACGAGCGATATGAGGAACTATATACAGCAACAAGAGGGTGGACTGGACGCTGTGATCACCTCACAGGGAGAGAACTTGAGTGTGGGTCAGAGGCAATTGGTTTGTCTTTCGCGAGCTTTGCTGGCCAAGTCCAAGATCGTTGTTCTCGATGAAGGTAAGGCGGCTAAGACCCCCTCGTATCATGGGTGTTTTCACTTTGCTGACCATGCCTTATCCTAATTGCGTTCTGCTCTATCCTGTTTTATAGCAACTGCGAGCGTTGACTTGGCAACAGACAGCCTGATCCAAAAGGCCATTCGCTTAGATTTGGCAGACTCTACAGTCATTACTATCGCACATAGACTGAACACGGTGGTGGACTACCATCGGTAAGAGATTTTGATGCACTGCGTGGGCTGTCGTTATCTTTTTTTTTTAACTCTTTTTTTTTATGCCATCCCCGGTAAACTAACCCTGAAGAAATTACGCTGTTGGATTATATAGCATTCTGGTGATGGATCAAGGACAGGTGGCCGAGTACGATACTCCGCACAAGCTGCTGAGTGACCCTAATTCAGCGTTTTCAAAGATGGTGGATGAAACAGGTGCAGCCAATGCGGCGCTGCTTCGATCGCTTGCTGGATGTTGAGAGTGGATAGAGTGGAAGAGCCGAAGTAGAATTCGTAGAAATGGCCATAGTGGGAAATGGGAACTGAAGAAGGGAATATGAAACCGCCAAGAGCTGAGTAATAATCCTCCCTGCGCGAATCTGAGACTAACAAAGTAGATGAATCTAAAACATAACCTGTCGATCCCTGGCATGTGCTTTAGTCACTTGGCGAAACCCCAAAAGTCCAAAAACAGGAAGGCATGCGATGGTATGCAACGGCTGGTTGTTTCTTTCCATTCCTTCTAAAGAAACACCATCACTCTAACTCCACTCATCTAATCTTCATCCGGTTGGACCCTGCTCGCTATTATTACCATTGCCTTTTTTCGTGCCACTGACGCACGGTGTCCAGTTTCTGACGACAGGGAACACAGACGAGCGTACTAGCCGCTCAAGCTGTTATTATGGTCACCTTGACGTAAGGAAGGAGAAAACGGACCCTTGGCTGTAGACATAAATATGTACTTGAAACACGCTCTCACACCGTCTCGTCTATCCCTCTTTTTCTTCTCGCCCCTCCCTTTGCTCCCCTCAACCCCTGTCGTGCCTCATTCCTCCTTTGCTCATCCTCCATCCCTCACCTCTCGTCCCTCATCCTACCCTCTCTCTCCCTCTCTCTCCTTTAATAGCTGGTCCTCTCTCTTCGGCTTCTCTCCTCCTCCTTCCTCGTACCACTACATTCCACTTCCCTCCACAACCTCCACAGCAGCGAACATACAGGACGCATCCACAACCATGTCAAGGCACTACCCAACACAGCAGCAGGAGCAAATCGTCGTCGTCCCACCGAACCCATCCATCAACCAGGACATGGTCCTTGCACCCCTACCAGCCGAACCCCGGGGCTCCAAATTCAAAAACTTCTTCAAGCGTGATAAAAAGGCCCGGATCGTGCTCTCGGAAAGGGATGCCCGTATCCTGGCCCAGGTCAAGCGTCGGGCCAAGATTTTGGATACAGGAGTCAACCTTGGATTTGCGAGATTTGGATTGGACCCCATCATTGGTATGTTTACCCCCAATACGAGACTATGAAGAACGAGGGGGATACCACCCGTTGTGTGAGAGAGGATTGCTTACTTACTCATTCACCTTCCTCTCTTTTCCTACGTGCAGGTTTGGTGCCGGTGCTAGGAGATGCTGCGACGATGTTTCTGGCCCTGCAGGTCGTTTATACGGCCCAAAAGGCCGATATTCCCAAATCACTTACTCAAAGGATGCTCTTCAACGTCGCCCTCGACTTTGGTGTAAGTTACTTCCCTCTCTCTCTCTCCTCCTGTCCTTGTAACAACACCTTCATGCCATCATTGCTTTCTTTCCGTCCGACCCCCCACTTACTTCCTCCTCTTTCTCTCTTTCGTTCACTTAAATAGATTGGTCTGGTCCCAGTGCTCGGTGATATCGGCGACTTCTTGTTCAAGGCAAACGACAAGAACGCAAAACTATTCGAACAGTTCCTCTACGAGCGTGCTGCCACAGAAGCAGCCGAGGCCGAGGCGGCCGCTGCTCGGAACCGTGTCGCCACGCCTTCTGCGGCGGCAACAGCAGCTCCAGGAACGCACCATCACCATAACAACACAGCGTCAACGTCAAAAGGATTCTTTGGTCGCTTTGGGGGCGGGCATCATGACCAGCAGCAGCAGCAGCAGCAACCGCATCAGCAACAGCAGCAGTATCAGCAGCAGCAACAGCAGCCGCATCATACGGTAGTTGACATGGGAACGTCGAGTGCTCCTTCTTATCCTCCTTCTTATGCTCCTTATGCTCCTGTCAAGTAGCTGTAATCTTTTCTTTCCTCATCTCTACTTCAACATGTGTTATATAATCAAGTCTTATTTATTATGCTCCCGAAACCCATTAGTTCTCGGGCATAAAAAAAAATAGTTACCCTGTAAGATTTTTTTTTTGTTTTCGTACAATAAAAGACATTCCCAGAACTCAAAGTGGCAAAGCTGCATAATAATATTGGCTCTAACGGCCGGCAATGGTAGTACAAAGCTAATTTTACAAAACGAAGACAGGGGGGGGTAGAGAATAATCAGCTGGAGGAATACAAAGGATTCACGGACACCCTCCGAGCGTTTGAGAGTAGCACAAGTTACAGAGCGCACAATCCGAATCACAAACCACCTCCTCCCGCGCAAATCATATAACAGTAGACGGCAGGAGCCCTGAATAGTGCAGTGGGTCAATCGTTTTCGCCACTAGCACGCCAGATGCAGAGGTCGACATGGTCATTGATAGTCGCCTCTTCCACTCGCTGGACGCAGATGGGGCACTGAACAAGGACTATAGCCGCAGGTTCGGCCTTGATGGGTAGATGAATGGCTGGCTCTGAGCGTTCGTGGTTTGACTCTGCGCCAGAGGTAGTTGGCTCGATGTATTCCTGGTTCTCCAATTTGACAGCCTTGGTTGTTCCCCAAGCCTTATTACAGAGTGAGGTGGCCTCCTGCTCAGCTTCAAGACTCTTATTATTCTTGATTGGTATATCTTCTTCTTGTTTGATCTTTTTGGAGCTCTTCACCGTGCTATCGAAATCGTATGTGACAGCGGTGCTTAAATCTTTGCGTTTAGGAGGAGTGGTAGTTGTTGGATCTGTCGTCGGTGATGCACCACGATCTAGGATCTTCAGTTGGCGTTCGAATCTCGCCAACGCCGCCGCCGCTGCAGCTTCTCTTGGAGAGGGCCGCTGCGTGCCCGGACATTTCTCATTTCGAGCCGTGCTGCCAGAATTCGACTGAGGAGCATCCATGCCAAAATCTGTCTCCTGTTCGACAACCAAACCCTCCTCCACAGTTCGATATGAATTTGATGTTGAAGACATTCCTGATGTTTTCGACTGCGATAAGAAATCATCTAGCATGGTCCTCCCCCTCGGTTCTGTTGATTCAGATTTGACGTTCTTTGCCTGTTTCGATGACGACGATTTCTTTTTCGTGGGCTCGGGCTCAGAGATTTTGGTATACGTCCCACCACATTTCTCCTGGTGCTCTGCGAACCACCGATCCGCGGGTTGCGGTGCCCTAGATGATGTGAAGAGAAACGAAGGCTTTTCAGTATTAGCAATGTTGACGCGATGATGATCCCCTTGTTGGCAAAAAAAAGTCAAGAAAATGCAGTCCACACCTGTTCATGGATCGTTTGACAATGCCATAGTAAGGAGGTTGGTGCTGACAGGGTCCATCGCATTTCCAGATATGAGTTTGGTAGTACCGGACCTCGTCATGAAATGTGTGATAGATGGTAATGGTTGTTCCTGCAGCCTGGTTGATCCTGTTCATGTGGTATTGGAACTACAGAAAAACAAAAAAACGCGGACCATATAAAAAATGGTAGGCGAGTATCCATTAATGCTTATTCTCGTTGAGAATCCAAGGAAACCCTGCATCTTTTGTTCCAGACGAAATAATTCAGGGTCTTTACATCTACGCCATGTCCATCGTGATCTTGTATTGACTTTGTGACAAATAAATACGCACTATCATCGAAAGAACAGACGCAGTGTTCACAAGTCAGAAGCATTTGATTGAAGAAGCGAATAAAAAGGATACATACTGGATCATCTCGTGGAGGAGCGTATCGATATAATCCGACTCTGGTCTGAACTTGAGCAACGGTTCCGAAAGTCGTATGGAGCAATAATGTGACCTTGCTTGATATAGACATAGTCCAGCGCTACAAGACCCCTCAGTCATGGTTAGAAGGTACATCTTTCGATTGCTGATGACAACCGAGATCAAGAGACTGTGGTGCGCAGTGGAGCAGGCGAGCAAGTTTCGGGCCTTTACCATCGTGTCATTCGGGGGCTCCAGCGCACTTCGCAAGCACTCAGTTTGGACTCAAAATACTGGTCATTGAACGCGAGAAAGAGACCATGCAGGTCCTTGAAGGGCGCCTCCGTGTCGATGTTGAGTACAGAGGTATTATTGTAGTTGTGGTTAAGGTCGTCAATGTCTGCAGAGCTGAATGGCGAGCTGGAGTCGATGTCAATCTGCTTCAGGGCTATGGCCCCAGCTGCTGATTCGTACTCTTGTTCCTGAAGCAACCGAGCAAAGTCTTCGTCTGATTGCTCCATGGGGTATAGGGTGAATGGGTGTAGTTGACAGGGTCGTGAATGGGAGAAGATGTGCTCTTGAAGACCACTGGCGCCACCAATTTTCGAATCTCGTATGCAGAGTGGGCCACGGCCCAATAAAAAACGAATTCCGCTGGGTCTAGTTGGAGCCTTCTTTCCTCTATCTCTTATTCCAAAGGTAGAGACTAACAGTCACAGACAGCGAGGGGACCATGGATACAGCACAAACCATCCATCCGCAACGGAGACCAACCATTGCATCTATCCATCGATTCGAGGATCATCGGCATATTCCAAAAGCACCATTACCATCGATCGGCGGAACCATCTTTAACCGACATCAGCAGCGATCAGGCATCATATCGATCAGTACTATGATGCATGAAACAACATCTTTTATTGAACAACCTTTGCATGGCGGCAGAGACGTCCTCAGGAAAACTACTATTAGTAATCGCAGGAGGATCAATTGTACCTAGACGGGACGGAAGAGATTCTATGATTGCAGCGGAACTATGATTGAGCGTCCTTTGATTGGACCTACAACAACACAAATCGCCATTATACACTCAAAAGACCAGAGCGGCTTTACCAGAAGGATGGCATCAGGAGACAGCACACAAGAGTTCTGGAAGAGCAGCCCGACTAATCAATTTACGTGCTCCCTATTCTTGCCTCTAGGACAAAATGGTGAGATACGCTGCCACCCCAGCCAACAGCTCCAAGAGTAAGTCTGTCCAACAGATCAGGACTCTTTTTTACAATCGATCAGGATCGCATTACTCGGGGCAGAGGAGAAATCAACCCCTCCTTCCAGCAACTAATCGCACCCAACCGCGGCCTTTTCCACCAACACCTTCGATAATTTTTCAATAGCTGCCTTGTCTCGCGGCTCCTACCTTCGTGTTCACTTCAAGAACACCCGTGAGGTCGCTGCTGCTATCTCCGGCATGAAGTTGACCAAGGCCCTCACTTACCTCGAGGCTGTCAAGGATCACAAGCAGGCCATTCCTTTCCGTCGCTTCAACGGCGGTATCGGTCGCACTGCCCAGGCCAAGCCTTTCGGCATGACCATGGCCCGCTGGCCCGTCAAGTCCGTTGAGTTCGTCACTGACTTGCTCAAGAACGCCCAGTCCAACGCTGAGGTAATACACAGCAGCGACGACTGAATGATTGTCATGGATCGTGCGTCAGGATCATCTATGGGTTGGAGAGCCTGAGAGCCGACGTTGGGATACACGGATCTGCAATTGCAGAGTTGAGGGGCGGAAAGAGCGACAGAATACTAGGCGCTATTGTTAACACGGAGCATTAGATCTGCGGACGGCATTTATTTCGTTGTCAGGCGGTCAAAGCCTCATGGAGCTCAGCGCATTCAACTGGCGAAATAAGGCATAGCGGATCTCCAGGCTCATCAATACAACAATCCTCAGCACAGCATCTGGTTGAACAGGAGCCCAGTGAAGACGTTTTAAGGCGTCGCTTGAAGTCATAATCGCATTACAACGGCAGTTTCCACTATCGTCTCCCACTCAAAGACGAACTCTTTGCACATCAAAAAGTTTTGGACATCGAAATTAACAAGGATTCCGCTTCATTTTATCATTTTGCAACAAAATTAGGTCAAGGGTTTGGAGAATGAGGCTCTTGTCGTTAAGCACATTCAGGTCAACCAGGCTCCCCGCCAGCGTCGCCGCACCTACCGTGCTCACGGTCGTATCAACCCCTACATGTCGTCCCCTTGCCATATCGAGATCATTCTCGCTGAGGAGAACGAGGCCGTCAAGCGTGAGGCTGAGCCCAAGAAGTCCAAGCTTAACGCTCGTCAGCTCGCTGCCCGTGCCCGCCGTGCTTAAGTACATGTAATAAATTCAAAACCATCTCGTCCCTTTGCACCTCTTGGTTTTTCTTTATTAAAGTGAAAGTTGTTTCTACCAAGGAGATAATCTGTTGGTGTTTGCGTCCATGGGACTGGCTTCGGTTGATCATGCGAACGCAAAGAATAATGCAGCGAGAACATTTACAATGAGCGGCTATGTGCAGCTGTGCATTAATTGTTACAGCAAGCATGAAGGTGTTGACATGCAACAGCGTTATGGTAGATATATACAAAAACGTTTTCGTTTTATTTTCTAACAGAAACGGACGAGTGATGAGAGGGACAATAAGGAGTAGATATGATACTAAGATGGCGGCCTTGCTTCGCTTAAGAAGAGTACTGCTTCTCAAGGATCTTGGCGATGGTCTGGAGCTGAATGTTGCTGGTTCTATTGTTGGAAAGAAAAAAAAAAAAAAAGTAGGAAAAGACGTTCAGTCATCTCGATGAATATTCAGAAAAGATGTCTCTTTGGGATGATCCGAATATCAAAAGAAAAACAAACCACTTACCCCTCGTAGATGGCACCAATCTTGCAATCACGGTAGAACTTCTCGACGGGGAAGTCGCGGGTGAAACCGATTCCACCAGCCCACTCGACGCAGCGGGAGGCGGTGCGCTCGGCAACCTGAGAGGCATAGAGCTTGGCCATGGCAGCCTCCTTGACGAAGGGCTTGCCCTGCTCCTTCAGACGGGCAGCGTTGTAGGTCAAGAGACGGGCGGCCTCAATTTCGACAGCGATCTGGGCGTACTGCTGCTGCATGCCCTGGAAGGAGCCAATGAAGCTACCGAACTGCTTACGCTGGAAGAGGTAGGGCATCGTGACATCGAAAGCGCCCTGGGCAAGACCCAACATCTGAGCGGCAATGCCGATGCGACCCTCGTTCAAGATCTCAATGGCGTACTTGTAGCCCTTTCCGACCTCTCCCAAGACATTGCTGGCAGGAACAACGATGTCGTCAAAGTTCAAGGTGCAGGTCGAGGAGGCGCGGATACCGAGCTTAGACTCCTTCTTGTTGACCTTGACACCCATGTTCTTATCGACAACGAAGCAGGTGATACCCTTGTAGCCCTTCTCGGGAGCGACGTTGGCAAAGACCAAGAAGATTTCGGCCTCGCCAGAGTTGGTAATCCACATCTTGGTGCCGTTGAGGATATAGTTGTCGCCATCCTTAACAGCGCGGGTCTGGAGAGCAAAGGCATCCGAGCCGGAGCCAGCCTCGGACAAGCAGAAGCAGCCGACGGTGTCAGTGGCGAGGCGGGGCAAGTAGCGCTGCTTGATGTCCTCTGAGGCGTATTTGCGGAACAGAGTGTTGACAAGGGTGTTCTAATCCGCGCGGAATGAAGTAACAGTAAACAGAGAGAGAAGGTATTATGTTAGGATCAATACTTGGGTCAGAAATGTCTCGTCAGCAAAGCATTTGCATCTGCGTGGATGTTTCAACACGTACCTGGACATCGCAAAGGACAGAGATGGAGGGATCGACCTTGGCAAGCTCCTCGATGGTCAAGATGGCAGACATGAACGAGGACTCGGATCCGTCATACTTAGAATCAGTCTCAATACCCATCAACTGCGTGGAGAATGAATAGGGTGTGGTGATTAGTTAGCGATCCACGAAAACGAAAACGATCCAAGAGGAGCGTGGGAAATCAAGGTAAGATACATACACCCTGCTCGAATAAGCCCTTAAGGACATCCTTGTCCACCTGCTCGGCCTCGTCCATCTGAGAGACCTTGGGGAGAACCTGCTCCTGAGCAAAGCGAGCGACTACAGTCGATTCGTGAAAGAAGCGATCAGCATGACTATCTCTGATCTGATGTGGTGCCATTCAAAGAGTAATTGAGATATAATTGAAGCCATACCGGACTCCTTCAAGAGTTCCTCATCCTCGGTCAGGGTGTGGAGGGAAGCAATGTTGTTACGGGCAACGGCAGCCTGAGAGAAGAATCTATGAAGGGCACCAGGGATGGGATGTGCTCAGTTTCGGCGGTGATAACAGGATACAGGTCGAACAATGTAGTGTTCCTTAGTTCCACGCAGAGTTGCCTTAAAATGAATCTCCATTTGATGGCAGTAAAGGCTATCGTGTTCCTGAGTTGTCCTAAGGTCGGTGATATGATGTTTCGATCGGTGATGGCGTTGAAGGAAGGCATCCTGGCTCCTTACCTGGGACGAACCGCGTTGAGGACGGCAGGCTTGGCAACGACGGAAGCGAGACGAGGGCGGAGGGCTGAGAACATCTTGAGGGATGAAGATCGATGGGAGAGTGGAGAGTGGAGAAGAGGAATGAGGAATGAGTGGAGAAGAGATGAAAAGGGAAAAGAACGGAGGAAGAAGAAGAGCGTGTGCTATACCCCCGATTCGCTGTTTGTTCGTGTACGTGCAAGTGAGCTGCGAGGGCTTGTCCCTGTTTCCTCATCCAGTCAGATTTGAGCGCGATAGGTCTCTCCCCGGGCCCTCCCTATTTCCGTGTGGGGGAACAAACGACGCCCTTCTTTCACGTGTCCTAGTGCTCCTCTGGAAGGTTGTCCTTGGAGATCGTCACTTCAGCACTTTACATCATTAATATTGATGGCAAGAATCCAAGCCGGTTATTGCTTGCGTTGTAAACGACCGGGCGCATTACTGCTTGAAGTGCTTAACCCGCATTCGAACGATGCGCCCAGGCACCATGCTTGTACCTCACATTCCAGGGCTTCGTCCATTGATCTTTGGATGCGGACACCAGGCCAAGGGTATCCTGACAGGCGCAGAGCGGTCGCCACACGACATTTTAGTTTCTATCCGATGCATCAGGAACGAAGACGCGCATCTGACTGTCCTCTGGAATCGGCAAGTGTCCTCCCCCTTCGCTTGTCTGCTCAGTGCCCTTGATGTTATCCCTGCTCACGACTTGCTGTCTGTTCCCCACACTCGAACAACCAATCCCATCCTTGCTGCAACATTCCCCTTTTTCATTGTAAACAGACGTAGTAGCCATTCCGAATCGTGTGTCCGTGTCCAACACCTTATTTTTTAACATTGTGTGTGTGTGTATCCCTGGCAAAAAAAAGTACCAAACACGGACTTGCAGATAAAAATAAAATAAAGTAAGAGATCTCGTCTAGCAAGGTCTTTGGAACATCGTGGGGACTGCATACTTCACATGGCGGAGTGAATTGTCCGTGGAGGGAGCCAGATCTGGGACCAGATACAGAACGATCCTTGGAGAAAGGCCATCGTCGGGTTCCGATGCGGATGTGTGTATGTGCTGCACGCGGACACAGAGATGACAGTGGCATGCAATGTAAACATCGCAAGCGATGATCGGGATGACGATGACTCAGGCGAGCAGGGTAAACAGCGAAGAGGTCGCCGGCCAGTTTTGCTGTTTGCTGGACACAGAAAATAGATTTGCCCTGAGGTCCATTCGGGCTATCCACTTCCGTCTTCAAGGTTCAGGTCCACCTCTTCCGCCCCTTCCTTTTGACATCTCTCTCTTTCTCTTTCTCTCTTCGCTTTCTTCTCTCATTCTCATTCTCATTCTCATTCCCATTCCTCTTCTCTCTACATCCCTCTCCACCTTGCGGGCACACGACAGACATATCCCCTGCTTGTCTTCTACCAGTGTTCCCGTTGCGAATCCTACTCCTTTTTCGCCAGCTGCACCTGTCTCCAAACCATATGAACACCGCCAGACCTACATCATCCACTCGCAATATCACATTGGACCCCATACCCTAGTCTGATCTACACACCTTCCTGTTCACTTTCCACACCATTTCATAAGCTCCTATTTTTCCATTTCGCCCTCCCTCAATCCCTATTCCAAGCAATTGAACGCCCATGAATACGTTCACGACAAAAAGCACCCCGTTGCTAGGCGGCAGCGAGCATGACCCGACCGATTCCAGGTCGCCCACTTCGCCTAACAAGAACCATATTGTGACCAAGAGGGAACTGACCCAGCTCGAGAACTTTGCTGTCTCTGCCCTGGCTCCGTCCATGGCTGTCCTCTTCACCAATCCCTTCGATACCGTCAAGGTCCGCCTGCAGCTCCAAGGCGAGTTCGTCAAGTCGAGGGAACCGGGCAGGAACGGCAAGGAGGTAGTCAGAGTGTCTGAAAAGGTAAGCCGGCCACCACAAAGTCCACCTCGCTTTTGTGCTCTCCCTTTCAATTGCCCATATCATTTTTATTTTTTTGTTTTTTTTATCTCCCTCATGAGTCATGAGGTTGAATGAGGATGGAGTTTGGAAAGGATGAGCGCCGCTTGTGCGATGTGTTCAGATTGCGGCAGATGGAATGCGTGCAAGTGTTGTCGACCATAAACGAAATGTTACCCCGCAATGTATGCCGAATCGAGTAGGGTATTCTATTTTGATTCAATTTCGGTCGCTGCATTTGGTACATCTCGTGAGAAGAGAGTTTTCGTGAGCCATTTACATGTAGCAGCAAACAGATGGCCTCAGCAATGGAGAATATCGAAAACAAACGTGGACAAAGTGGACATACACCGCCCACCCGACGTCAAAGTGACACAACCAACATCTGGAATATCCACAACTGCAGCATTCAGTCCGGAGGCGCTATTCTGTCAACAGCCTTTTCGTGAACGAAAGGAGGGCGTGAAAAGAAGTGAATGTTTGTAAATCCATTCTATTCCAGTTTGCCTGTCTGGTTTATGGTTGTTTTGTTGGGGGATCGGAAGCACAAAACAAAAAAATAATAATAGAGAACAAAGGAACTGTGGGTCAATGGTGGAGCTGCGACTTCTTTTTGTGTTGTTATTATTCAATCCAACCCAGGCATGCAGATGCAGATGCACACGGATACATTCGATGCAGCCCCACACACGTACACATTCGAACATACACGCGGAGGAAATGGATTCTCCAAGGAACAACTCAGGCCTGGTCCCAGCGATGGGACACGTCCATGAACAGATGAACAGCCCAAAGAAGGAACGAACGCCAACATCAAATAAAGAAGCAAAGGATCAGGAATAAGACCACGAGCAGCATCAGGAACAAACATTGCGGGAAGAGTGAGACAAAGACCACATATCGGAAAGCGCCATCATCTTTTGTCCCACGCATTGCTTATTTTGGAGCGATGAGGTGTGGCGTGGTGTAGTGTGGTGCGGTGTGGTGTGGTTCTCAACTACTGCTGTGCTCCTTGGGCAGACAGCAATGCTTCTTCCCACCGATTTCCGTGCTTCTTCGCATCTCTCTTACATCTGATTCCCATGTATGCAATCCATCTCTAGGTCTACAAGTCATCTTTGGACTGCCTCGTCAAGACATTCCGGCACGAGGGCATCCGAGGTCTACAGAAGGGCCTCTTCCCCGCCATCCTTAAGGAGTCATCTAAAAATATCTTCCGCCTCGGTCTCTATGACCCCATCCTCAACGCCTTGCATCCGCTCAACTACCCCGGTGAGGTCAGCACAGCTCCAGCCTGGAAACGCATGATTGCGGGAGCGACCTGCGGTGCCATGGGTGCCATCAGTGCCAACCCGTTCGAGCTGATCAAGACCCGGCTTCAGTCTCATTCTTCTGGTGCACTTGCAGTCGGAAATCAATATGCCTACAAAGGCACGTTCTCCGCGCTTAGAACGATTATTACGAACGACGGCGTGAAGACACTGTATCGTGGATCGATGATCTCGATTGCGCGGTCAATGTTTGGCAGTGCTGCCAATTTGACAACTTACTCGCTCCTCAAGGATCATGCCAGGAGTAACTGGGGCGTACAGGATGGCGTGATGCTCGATATGATGAGCTCTCTTGTCAGTGCATTTGTCAGTGTCGTCGTCATGAATCCAATGGATGTCGTGTAAGTTTGACAGGAACATCCTGAATATTTTCGTCCAATGTTGCACGATAGACGAAGTAATAAGCAGACATTAACGCCGTCGTTCTACTTTACTGACCATAGTCGCATTCGTCTCTATAACCGGTCGTCACAATCGACATCTCAGACGACGCTGCAGTCTTGTCGCCATATTCTGACTACTGAAGGTCCACTGGCATTTTACAAGGGATTCTCTACCCATTTTATGCGTATCGGCCCTCACTTTACGCTCACGTTTGTCTTCCTGGGCATGCTCAAGCGCCACTTGATCGAGGGATCTTCCCAATCCAGTTCAAAGACATCCCACATTCTCTTTCCTAAGGACGAGAGCCCCGCGGCCTCATCGTCCTCTCCGTCGTCGTCGACGCCTTCATTAGCCGCCGGTGTGATCGCAAGGCGAGAAGAACAGATTTAAGAGCGAAAACGGCATCTTTAGTTATAATCTCCTGTTTTCTTCTGCTCTAATCTGTTTGCTTGCCAATGTTTGCATATTTCTTTTTCTTCTGCTGTCCATTTGCATCCGCCCTGTACTCTCTAATCTTCATATTGCATCCAAACCTGTACAGTACTTTTCTTTGCATCGATCTTAGAAAGCACTATTACTGCCTCCACATCATACTCATCACTACAAAATTCTCCCTCCTCACTCTCATTTTCTGTTCTCCTCCGCGGCTTTTTTTTTTTTTTCTTTCTTTCTTTTTTCGCTACGGAACAGATCTCAAATACCTTTCTTATTCTTCCTCGCTGTCTTTCATGCATCATGCATATTCCTGAGATAGAGAAGGACGATGATGATCACATAGCTGTACAATAATACATTATTTTTATTCCAACACCTCCTCATGAAGTTCTGATATGCGCCGAAATAGTTTGGTCCGCTTCTTGATTGCAACGGACCATGTAAAGTACGCGAAACAGTAGTAAACTGTACAGTTTTGATGCATATAATTTGTCCCGCAAGCAGTATATCAGTCGTCGCATTTTGAATCCTGCGCCAGAGTCGCTGCTGGTAATGCCCTTGTTGGCTGTTGGCTGCTCCCTATAGAGTAGTTGAGACGCTAGACAAAGGGGACATGCCACCAAACTCAAAAAAAAAAATCCCCCTAACAGGAGCCAGAACTGGAAGCGAAGGCGCGTTCTCTGTACAAGGACATGTGCGCCATGAGGTCTAGTTGACGCTCACCAACAAAAAAAAAAAAAAAAAAGATTGTTTTCAATGCTTGTGGTTATTACAGCTATGTCCTGGAGAGCCATGTCGAGGTTTTTCTGTCGGTTGCTGTTGTTGCTGTCTGGTCCTGTTCTTGGCCTCCTGCGCAGCCTTCCTTTCCCAACTGAGGGGTGGTCCCTTCATAAACCTCGAAGTCCTGGGTTTGGCGTCCTTGTAAATATCCACTGGGATGATTAGATTCGGGTTCTTGGCCAGTTCTGTGAGATGGTCTCTCTGAATCTAAAAAAGTTGTTACGCAAGATATGGTGAGATACTTCGTCGCGAGATAGTCTGTCCCAATCGGGGTTTTCTCCATTCATATCGTTCAAGTACAAATCCAGAAGGATGTGCTAACCTCAAGGTTGTCGACTTGGACTTCTGCAAGCTGGATCATGTTTTCGATCTCCTGTGGGTCCTTTTCTGCCTTGTTCGCACGAAAGTCTGCCTTGACCCGGGAGAGGACCAGGGCTGAACGGGTCTCGGTTGGCATGGCCTTGCCGATCTTGAGCAGCTTTTTGTATAATCCCAGAACTCTCTTTGTCTGGAATAGGCTAGCACTGCTGGGTCCTGTCATCGTGCTGTTGCCGGGAGGTGGTTGATGAACGTTTTTAACGAGGTGATCACTTTCACTTTCACTTTCAGGAACGGGCACAGCTAACTTTGTGTGGAAAATAAACACAGTCACCACCTAGCCTTGCTTGACCTTTTTCTCTGTAAGAAATGGCGCCGAGCGCTCTACTTCGATTGCATCACACCAACAGGAACCAAAACAGACTCAAGGATAAGCAAGGACATGGCGAAACAAGCAACAGAGAAGCCTGTAAAACCAGACTTTGATTCCGATTCGGATTCTAGCGATGACGATGACTATGTTCCCGATGGTAAAGCCTGCCTTCATGCCAGACATACTGCTGTCGTTCCACTGCAGCAATACAATATCCTCCTAACTAACCACCAACTACCGCATACTTTCCGAGCAGATAAGGCCGATCTTCAGAGTGAAGGCGATGATGACAGCGACGACAGCGACATCGAGCAATCCTTCCACGACCCCGAGTCCGGAGCCCAAGAGGACAGTCATACAACCACCCGCTCTGGAAAATGTCGCGCTACCGACACCTCTTCAGATCTCGCTTCCAAAAAGCACAAACTGAATGACACAGACGCTGATCAGGCACAGGCATTAGCCAAGAAGAGCAAGCTGGATGCGCTCTGGGCAGAATTGAATGCACCTGTTGCCAAACCATCATCGCGGCCGGAGATCTTGACGTTGGGGTCTTCTGGACCTGGATCAGCGAAAGCGGACTCTGGAATGGCAACAAAGATGGTGACCATTACGACGACGTATGATTTTGCTGGAGAGGCCGTTACGGTGACCAAGGATGTGCCCGAGGGCTCGAAGGAGGCGAAAGAATTTGCGCTTAAGAACAAAGCTGTAACAGGTTCTTCAACGGAATCTATACCAACAACCTCAAATATAACAGCGGTAGCGAATTCCATACCTCTCACCACATCCGGTCTCACCACAGAGCCGTCATCATCACCATCATCATCACCATCTAGTAATATTTCATCATCTAGCACGTCCACAAGTACAGCAGCATCATTATCATCGTCATCAATAGGCCCAGGTCCACGTGTGACGACCCGCCCCTCGATTTTGGACTCGATCGCTACAAAGAAGGGTCCTGTACGTTACATCCGCAAGAAATCCCAACTCGATGAGCTGGCAGCGACGTACGGGGTCAAGAAACCATCCAAGATGAACACGTTAGAGAAATCGAAGCTGGATTGGAAGAATTTCGTGGGCAAGGAAGGTATCGAGGACGAATTGAAGCATCATAACAAGGACGGATACATGGAGAAAGTTGCGTTCTTGCAGCGGACAGATGAACGGCGTGATATGGAGTACCAGACTTTGAAGAAAAAGAGATGAGAAAACATATCGACCATAATAAAAAAAAAAATGTAAACTAGTATTGGATTTCTTCCTAACCATTGGCCTTGGTGCAAAAAGTAGGCATGTGTTTGAATGGCATATGAGTGCGCGCAACCCGCAGCCTTGTATTATACAGATACATTTGTCAATGAAGAAGGCATCATTGTTGCTCAGATAAAGTTTCTTCTAAGGAGGGTCTCAACTATCCCACTATCCGACACTTGCGACCTGCGGACAGATTGCTGTAAATCTTATTAAAGACGCGATTTTACATCCATTGTGGAATATACTTGACCATGAAGGGAATGAGGTTATTAATAAATCGCTATGTAAGTCTGAGTGCGGATGAAACATACGTTTAGGTGGTCAGCCGTAGCTTGCTTGATGCCAGCAATCAAAAAGAATACATCCTCATGCGCCGAGTTGAGCTGTGCGAAACAATTTTATCGAAACCGATCGCTGGTCTTGTGTGCCAGGCGTACGGATGCTAGACGTTCCTGGCGACACCCTTCAAATTCCTTTGTGTGGACCCTGGTGTGGTGACTGAGATGTTGTGCAGATGTTTGGCGAACACAGCTGTATCCTGGATAACTGCATTTGCATCTATATGCCGCAATAGAAGTCTGGGTCGAGCGAATTTTCTTTCACATATTTATGGTGCAACAAAAGTATACCTTACGTTGTAGATGGGTATGCCTGCGCCAGCGGAGACATTAAATACAACGTTGGAGAGGGATGGTGATAATGGACCATATCACAAACAATACTTGCGAGACAACCTGGATGTAGAACGACATCCAATCATGTTTCAAATATCGGAGAGGAAGCGCGACTAAAGTGAATGCGTGTCTAACAAGTCGGCGCTTTTACCAGGCCTGCTTCTTGCAATCGAACGATAAACGTACCGCCTCCAACGAGCACTCTCCGCCCTACATACCACGTTTTGAATAATTAGAAAGCGGATTCCAGGAATAATGAGGAAGAGCGTTATTGATGTCCTCGCAACATTGCATTTCTTTCAGCAGGTCCCTGGTAGGCTAAACCCCAAGATCTAGTCCTCGATGTAGTATCTTGCCTTCCAACCCAGCCTGCGGGATTAGCCCCCTGGGAGTCTCGTCAATCAAATCCGTCAGTGTCAATCTCGGTGCTCTACTGGGGATCGGGGACCGGGGAACCTCTGACCCTTTCAATCATGGCTTCCGTTGGACCGGGACCCCATTCTGTATTACCGACCATATTCGAGCGGCTGGTCTCGAGATACAGGTGCTCGAGCACCATCCATCAGGTCTTGCTCCCGGGTACACAGAACATTAACCACTACGCATTGTTGGTAGTTCGTTTGAAGATAAAAAGAATATGAAGAAAGGAAGTAAGCAGGACGAGGAGGGAGAATGGGCGGAATCATTTTTATGTACTAAGTGTAGTGTCATCTACTCTGTATGACGCCCAATTCATTTCTCTTTCGTTCACCGTGTATGGTTTGTCCCTGCCGGTAACATTCTCAACCTGACAACCAGGTACGGGAAGTATTCTGACGACAACGGTCCTGTCTCACTCATCAAGCAGATACTGCTACACTGCAGCTTTTCTCGATTCGATAATGGCAGTACTTTCTTTTGATGCAATTGCTCATACAGAGATTGCTGCACTCCTGGTAGGTACCGTCGGTTCTGATAAGGATGTGACCCTACATGGTGGTCTTGTCTGTGGAGGTGGCGGTGACATATCCCTCCTTCTGGCTGCCGCCATTGTCGTCAGAGTTGCTGACATAGGCTACGAATTCAACTCGTTTGTCCATGTGGATCTTTTTGCACGGGAGTTGGCAGTAGAGGATGTCGTAGAGTCTTTTTATTGTCATTTCAAAACGTCGATAAAGATACTCAATTGAGAACGACATGAGACTAGATCGCGCATAATAACATATGGCCCCAGTGGGGTAGCGACGTTCTCTATCACCTTTTCAGCAACTCCGTGTATATGACTTTACTAGTAAGCTGCAGCTCCTCGCTGAGGTTGGACACAAAGTCGTTCTTCTTGGACAAGGCGAGGAGTTAATCCAGTGCTCCGAGCTACCCAGCCATGAATATGGCACTCGGTTCGATGGAGAGTGCCATGCTGAGCGGTCGGACGATCGAAGCACGTTTAATGATCTCGCGGTCGGCACCGGCGCGTTCGAGAAGGACGGCCAAGGTCAAGCCAGCGATGCCTCCTCCTGTAATTAAGATCTTGAGGCCTACGGGTGGTATTAGAGTTATTGCAGATGCTGAACAAGGGATTACTTAAAGTAGGTGAGAAGAAAGCGAAGTAAAGAAAAGAGGGAGGACAGGGTACGACCAATTTGTGCGCTTAATTGTTTTCGGCGCAATGGCGCCTGGTCGCCGCCACCAATTTCTATCATGCCAGCACCATAACCCTTAAACGGATTTAATTGGCTGAATCTCCCTATCGTCTTCACGTTGCTCATCAAAACTCATCTCTTAAACTCTTCATCCTCTTCTTCAGGCCAACGACACCCTGTGCCTATACGACCTCTCTTCTGCCACTGAGATCCTGTAATATATCGTGGATCATATAATTCTTCAGAGGAAAAAAAATCTGAGAGGCAAACTGGCACTAAATTCGACTCAGCAACACAACACATACAGGACACAGAACTATAATGCAGTTCAAGGAGTTCGACGCTTTCCCCAAGGTCGAGTCCGGCTTTGTGAAGCGGACAGGGACGGGCGGCATCTTGACCTTAGTTGTCACAGCGATCCTCTGCATCCTTGTCGTCGGTGAAATCAAGGACTATATGACCCTTCGCAACGACTACAAGTTCTTGGTCGACCCTCTTGTCAACCACGAGCTGCAGATTAATCTCGATATCACAATCGCAATGCCATGCAATGGTAAAGCTGAACTCGAAAACCTTCATGCCAATGGCTCTTTTCAATTGGCTCGAAAGCTAATGACCGACGTTGTCTACGACACGATTCTGTGATTCGTGGTTATTAGCATTGTCGATCGATCTTCGGGATATCGCCGAGGTGCAGCTTCGACTTTCGGACAAAGTCCACAAGATCCCAACAGTACGTTCTTTCTGCATAAGATGAGAAGGAGAGACGAACGCGGATGTCATTTGTTTTGTATGATACCCTAATCCCCTCAGCCTCTTTTATGATATCGCAGGATTTCTCGCTGGGATCCTCAACTCATTCAAAGAACATCCGCAACAAACCTCTGAACGTTCAAAAACTGATCAGGGCTGCCAGCAGGACGGCAGCGCTGGAAAAAGCATCCACACAAAGTATGAAGAATTGAAGGATAACATCGTCAAGTATCAGCAAAGATTAGTCTTTCTCGCATAGCTTCCTGATCACTTGCGATGCCTGTTTTTTGTAATGTAGCGGATACCGACTTTAAGGCTTGCAGGATCGTCGGAAGTTTTGAGGCAAACAAACTAAGCGGCAATATGCACATTACTGCAGTTGGACATGGATATCCAGGAGCACATATTGATCATCACGGTATGCTGAGTATCTTTTTTTCATGTATCCATATCACTGGACTACACCAGGAAACACCTCGGCCAGGGATCATTGTTCATGCTAATCAGCAACCCATCAATATTCCTGCCCTTGCCCACTGCTAGTGATGAACATGACGCACAAGATTGACGAGCTGTCGTTTGGAGAGTTGTACCCGACCATTGTCAACCCATTGGACGATAGTTTCGAGATTTCAAAGTCAGGTACATCTCATTTTTGACTGCAGGACAGAGACATGGGGCCGGTTCAACATATACATCACACTAACAGGGATATTTATACGTTGTAGCATTCGAAGCATTCCAGTACTTTTTGGTCGTAGTTCCTACGATTTACGTCGGTACGTTGTCAACTTTCGACTTTCCATCCTTACTTCATCATCCACCACTTGTTGAAAAATCTAACATTTACTTATACTACTATTCTCTACGTCTCTTTTAGACCGCTCGAAAAAGGAACTCTTAACGAACCAATATTCTGTCAGTGAATATCGCCGGACATTCGGGGATGACCAAGGCGTGCCTGGGTTGTTCTTCAAATACGATTTTGAGCCGATGACACTGATGATTTCCGAAGAGTCGTCAATGTCGTTTGGGCATTTGCTGGTCCGGCTCGCAGGTCTTGTCGGAGGGTATTATGTGACCGCGGGCATGGCGCATAAGGTTCTGAGTGCGATCTATTATTTCTTCAAACCGGAGCAGGCGCCCTTGAGGAGGCATAATGTTTGATAAATGAAGAGGAGAAAGCAAAGCAAAAGCAGCATGCATGCATGCAACATATAATTTCCTAGGCAAATCTCGGTATCCTATCACTCTGTCGCGGTGATTTTGGTATTTAGAATACACTAAGCAAATAAATAGCCAATGCAGCACTTCTACAACTGGGACGAAGATGCAGGGTATTTGGCATCTACAAAGAATCGTTTATCATTAGGCAACAGCAAACATATTGAGGATAAGGTGGGGGGTAGATCGGATGCTTGTGAAGGTCAGACCCTCGTTTAACACCTGGTGGAACTACGTGGGTATGTTTATTGCCATTCGAGATTCCTGGTAGAGGTTCGCTTTAGTCCTCCCAGGCTGCATGCACAATAAGTCATCTCGTATCTTCAAGTTATTGAAATATCGTTGTATGAACAAGAGACGCAGTATCCTGTTGCCTATGGAGGAAGTGACTATATTATCCTCACAGGCTATCCTTTACCGAACAAAACAAGCCCGCTACTCCAATTCATCCCCCTCCTTTGACTTCTCTATAATCGAAAGTTTGCCGCGGCGGGCATACATGCGAGCACACACTTCTGATAGGCATTTCGAGACATCGAGCAAACAATTGTTTCGCTGGGCGGCACCTTCCTCCATTCGTTGGAATTTGTCCTGAGCATGGCAGGCTGCCGTATATGTACCCGTGCGTACGGTGTGGTGCCCGTCCTTTGAAGCTATGGTGAGCACGGCGAGCAGTGCAATCAAAGAGGAGGATGTGAACTTGAACAAGGCTGTGAAGTTGATGCAGTGATTTTTTATGGTGTTTTATCTGAGGGTGCTGTGAACTGGAATCAATTCGAGATTACTTTCCATTCTCTATGCAGTAGCTCTTTGAATATACTACTCGGGTGGTCCTGGTTTAGCCCTCTGCTTCGGTACACTTTTCCCACTGGTCCGTTGCATCCCCTTGAAATGCTGGTGTGCTTGATGGACTCCGTTCCTATTCATATCTTAACTGCATAATCCAACCGGCGGAATATTGTAAACATTGAAACGAGTTGAGATATGTTGATAGCCACCAAACTTGGGCCCGCGGTCCTTGGGCGCATTCTGATACTATGCATAATCATAGGGCCAATTGACACGGTAAGGCTAGGACTGGAGACCTTAATTGTATGTTTACCCCCCGCGCGCGCGTTCATAGTGCGGATGAATGACATGCGACTCGTGCTTCAATATGGAGAAGGATAAGGTCCTCATTTCTGCACCAATTGTCAACACGCTGTGTATTGTTTGCGACTGTAACGGTTGCGCAGATGCTCAGTGTAAATGACAATTTTTTTACGTGATAGACTACGAGAATGTTTATTACAGCGCTGCTTGGGCTGGACATCACTGGCTATTCACTACCGCAGGGAAGAAACAGATTTCCTCAGGCACAATGAGGCCTAGTGCACAGTACGTCCCATAGTAAAAGTCCTTCAAACGGGTAGCCAGAACTAGGAAAGGTCTACAGAGCTGCCACAAGACAGGTCATCTGCTCTGGGCCTGTGTACCAATTGCTTCCACACCTCATCCACATGTTGAACATTGAAGAAAGCTGTTACAGAGAGAGTAACCTCCCACCTCCTCCATGTTTGTCAAACGTCTCTTCTCCTGCAGGAAAAACCATCCACGACATTACATGCCAGTTGTCGCCATCCTGTTATCCATAGCTCTGCGATCGTTGACTTTATTGCTCGCTTCGATATGGTCTATGGATGGGACAAAAAGACTACAACAGCTAACAGTCTCAATGGCGAGGTGTGTTTAACAAAAGAGATTGCTCTCACTTGCTCTCGCCTTCGCCCTCCTCTCTACTATTAGGTCTGCGTTGTAACCCTCGCCATTTTCTTCGCCTCATCTTCGGTAGCCTTCGCCGTTCTCTGCAGTCAGCTTCGGCCTATGTAGACTTCGCCATATTCTCGCCCTCTGTAATAAGTTCCGCCCTGCAAACTTTGCATCGCTGTCATTACTTAAACCGTGGACTCTTGTCTACCACCCTTCACCTCTTCATCTTCTCTTTCAAACACATCCTGATTAAATTCTTCTACCTTCACGCTTTCTTCTGGCATTCCTCACCCTAACTCTCCAAACCTTCCAAAGGACAAATGAGCCATGTTGCTTTGGAGATGTCAGAAAGCTCTGACACTACTCTCAGCGACCCTGTTTCTTCCAAGCTACAAGAAGAAGAAGCGGTTCCAATTTCCGGGCACAGAAGCCGAAGTAGTTGCCCCAATCCCCTTGAAGCAAATCAAGCTGAAAGCGGAAGTCCAGGTTAGACTTCTATCAAGTCATTGAAAGTAGCTACAGGTACAAGATACTGACTACTCTTTAAAGCAGTGCGTAAGTGGTATTTCAAGCAGAACCCTGCCTTCTCCTCCGCGCCGCGCAATGAACTCTCTGCATTGACGAATAAGCAGTTTCTGAGCACTTTTGAGTAAGAATATGGATGCAACCTATTGCCCCGTATGACAAAGCCAAGCTCTCAATGCCTATCATCGATGCCTTCTTAGAATTGCGCGTATTGCTAAATTCAATCCTCAACCTATCTCTACGTAAAAATTAGGCCGCAGCCAGCAGTGAAAATAGATGCATCGAATACATTTGCAAGCGTGAGTCCAGTACTCATTATAGTGGATTTATATTCATGGACGTGGCTACAATGCGTATTGATATTAGACTTAACGTCTCGTTTCAATTTGGTCCCTATAGTGGAGCCTTGAGATGGACAATGTCACCGCCGGTCGATATGATATCGTTCTGGGAATATCCACAGCTCAGCTCGATCTCCACAGAATCGAGTCATTTACATTTTACCAAACATCATACGGCTCTGCAGTAGGGGTCGAGGTATAGCATCATACGGAACTCTTGCGAACTCTCTTCAATCACCATCTCGCGTGAGTTATTCAGAGCTACCACTTACTCAACTACCTGCCCTCATATGTTAGATTATTTCGAAGCGCCATCTCCGTCTACTATGTAAGATTCCCAGCAATTGAAAGAACTGAGGAGAGCACATAGCGATATTATGCACCTACAGCTGACGAAAATCATTTCTTGCGATCGCAGCGATGTCATGCTCCGGGATCTCTCGCTGGAAGCTACATTATCAGCTTCAAAGACTGAATGACGCCGATGATGACGAAGATGATAATGTGCGGGGAATGATTCTGGAGATCAGAACGGAAGTAGACGAAGAATCCCCTTCTGGTATCCCCGTAGGATATATAGAACTAGAATTCATGGAGATTCACCCCTGTCATGCCAAAAACATTCTCCACGGTATGATACGATGAGCAAATCATCTGCTTGACGAACAAAGCAACCGTAACCTTTAGAATTACATTAATACGAGTATATGTCCTTCGCCTAATTAGATCCTTATCTCCGCACACACCAGCCTTTCCTTTGGTCAATCGACGCAGATGTCATGGACGACTGCACTGACAAAGTTTTGCCATATCAACCCAAAAAAGTGCTAAGATTCGACATCTCTGGCGATGGAATGCACGCTGTGACGCTATCAGGTACAAGTTCACATCTGTGCATAGATCTATGGGACCTACATCAGCCAAGTGCGCCCGTTGGTAGCACTGGAGCTGCAGCCGTTGAGGGGGTTATGAATCGTGAGCCCGCGCCATTTCATCCAGGCCACTATGCTGGCATCCGCATACCTATGAAGGGCTACCAAGAAAGGCTCCGCCATCGCACTCTTGATATATTTGCCTCCTGGAACGCATCGCAGATTGCATTGATCGACGCAACGGATGATCGCTCTCCCAAGGCAATTCCAGACTTCCAAAGTGTATTTGCGGTTTATCGACACCTCGAGAGCAATCGAGCATCGTCAGAATCTTCTCCGACCAAAGCTATTCTGTACCCATCTAAAGACTACCAGCATTGCGATTTGTTTAAGGACTTTCATGGTTACGGAAAGTTCTATATCGATACCACAGAGGACCCCATGATTAAGAATGAGCTCTTCATCGCCTGTGATGGATGGTCTGTTCAGCTGTACAACGCATTTGGTAGATGGGAGCTGATGCGGAAGATAACGTTGGTTCAGCCTTATGATGATATCCTCAATCTTCCAGACACCGAGTTCGTTGTCGATGGCCTTCGAGGGAAATACTTCGTTTGGACAGACCACCATGAGGGCCTTGTCTCGATTTGGGACATAACACTCGGTTCCCTGATAACGCCTATTCGGCTACCTTTTGACACTGAGACAATCAAAAGGACCAGGTCCTGCCTTTCAAGCGATGGGTCCATCGTGGCGTTCTATCGTGGCTCTGAATATGCGACATACAAAACAGCAACAGGAGAACAGATCGGATACTATAGAGTGCCTGAGCACTGTGGACACATTTTCAATCTCCACTTCTTGAAGGGCGGCACTCAGATTATGTTCGAAAGCAAGCTCGAAAATGGCCCCAACTCAAGAACCTTCGGCGTTATAATGGAGACGGTCAGCATGAACCCTTTGAGTCGGTTTGCTGTGTCAGGAATATGTTCCGCTCGAGATTCCTTCAAGGAACAGGATGACCGAAACATCTACTCCCGTCATGGATCAAAGCTAGAGATGGTAAGCCTGGAGGAACGTATCAACAAAGAGAACTCCAGGCCAGAATCGACTTGCGACGATAAATGCAAAGAGAATCTGCGGCCACTTAGTCAGCACAAAACAGCCTTCACAGCACCATCTGGGCTGCACTTTAGCGTCAAAATCTATCAGGCAGCTGGCAGAATGCTCGGTCAGGGTCGTGAACCACTATCAGGCGTCGTTGTCACCATGTCGACTGACACTCAATCCAGGATGTTCACCATCCCGGCTGATGTGCTTCACAACAAGCAGCTTGTTGATTACGAATGGGCTGTATTCCTCGAAGACACGGAACGCCTTGTTGTTGCGACTGAGTGCCGACTCATGATCTGGGACCTCCCGTCCACCATACAGGGGGACATATCCTTGATCCTGCCTTTGTGGGTTGGAGGCGAAACGTATAGCCCCGTCAATGGAAAGGAGAACTGGCAGACATGCCCTCACGAGGAGGTGTTCGCGCCAAGGTACATCCGCGACGAGGAGGACGGGAGGCGGCATGAGAAGATACTATGTCTCAGCACAAAGATCAACTGTTGTGTCACGAACTACCTGTCGCTCTTGGTTGGAATCGGAGCACTACGCGACATTTTCCTGCTCGCGGACAAGCCTTGCCAGGATGAAATCCTCAAATATGTCGCTCGACACATCAACCTCTATATGGCCCCAAGCTATCCAGAGTTGAGCGTACTTCTATTCACCTGTCACCAATGGGATCCGAAGAGTCACTTGTCTTACGAGCGATTTGTAACCGCAATACTCGCGTCGCCTTTCGGAAGATGGATACCTAAACAAGACATGGACGAAGATACAAATCCCATTGCAATTCTTATCGAGAAGGCTAAGACAGAGCCTCGAGCCATGGGACTCGCAAAAGTCTTTATCGATTACTGCATCCGCCAGGCACGACTTGAAAAGAGCCCACATTTCTTATTACCAGTCTTACAGTGTCTGCATAGTTTGGTCGACAAGAAGCAGCTGCACTCCGAGCTCGCCTTGACTACTCTGCGAAGCCTTGCCTATGCTCCTGTCAATGATCGGTCATTCATTATCGGACGCCACACCATCGCTCATCCTCCAGAGCTTAGACTGAAGTTCTGGAAGTCCAATATTCGACCTCTATATAAGTGCGACGACCCAGTACTACAGCTGGTTCATACTCCAAATGTCCATAATCCTCAGAACGACAATTTTACGCGGTCCTTATTTGTCGCTGATTTTCGCATGCTTTGGCACGTCAAGGACAGTAATCCTAGATTGCTTTCGAAAACGTCTCCTATACAGCCTGGGAAATGGACCTCTTGGTTACGAATCCTTTTTTATACAATTGTTCACAAGTGCAAGCTCAAGAGCAACATAGCAGTTGAGTGCCATGACTTTGCTCTAGAGCCACTTGACAATCCTGCCCTCGCTGCGTTGATCGAGTACAAATGGTAAGAGACCTTGTACATGGCATATACGTGTATTTATCTCACATGCTTTATGCACCGGAGCGGATATTTATTCCATGTAATTTTGCCATAGGAACACAATCGGGTTCAAGTACTGGCTGCTGCGGTTCCTCTGCCAGTGCTGTTACTACGCATTGGTACTCGTGGCGGTGTTCATTCAGGTTTATGGCCCAAATAGAAGACCTCTTGTTGGAGTGTTTTTTGCCATAGCTGCAGGATCTCTCATATTCCTCTGGCTGGAGCTGATCCAGGCCTTCAAGGGATGGAAGCGATACTTTGCGTAAGGAATACACAATGCTTTTCCTGCCTAAGTACGATGTCTTCACCATTACTCATCGGCGCTCTTTATCTTCGTGGCTATCATTCGGCTTCTGTCGCATAGGTCGATTTACAACATCGTGGATCTGATCACATTCGGATTCACCATGGCCGCAAGCATCGTTCAACTTGTTGTCATGCTATCATCACCAGAGCCCCTCCTGGCGGACGGTGCGGGGCAAATTGAAAGAACACCAGAAGGAACCGGAAATGGTCTTCTAAGCTTCTCTGTGCTATTTATCTCACTTCACTTCGTAAGTCGCCGATGTTTTTCGTTTGCGAGACCATTTGTCGCTTACTTTGCTTACATCACCGCTAATATACGGTTCCTATCTCTTTTGTGTTCTCGTCATCTTGTTTCTAGTTGTTTGAGCTTCGTGTAAGCAAAAATGTGTCCCATTATGTGACAATCATCATCATGATCATCAGCCAGATCCGCGTGTTCTTCTTTATCTTCTTTGGCGGAATTCTGGCCTTCACCACCGCCATTCTGCATCTGCTTCACGCGTGTTCGTTTGAAAGTTGCAAGGACCTGGGCTTGAGTTTCCCGAGGCACTTTTACTATGCCATATCCTCGACGTACTTATTCATGGTAAGGTCGCGATTAATTTGATGACATCTCAAGATTGATGCACTAGATATACGGTACTTATAACGATTCTATTCTCTTTTCCTCTCTCCGTACAATTTTAAAAATAAGGGCGGCCGATATGATCCAATTAGCGATATCCTCAACGACCAAGAACATCCAAACTGGCCTTTCCACATGATGATGATCATTTACTTTTTCTTCACAGTTATCCTAATGCTGAATGTTCTTATCGGTAAGATATCTCTAGTACGTGCATTACTTTCATGACGTGGACTTGCTGGACGATATGCTGACCTTATCTCTCATCCTGTCCTTGACCACATGCAGCATTGATTAATGTCGCGTTCAACGCCGGCGACGAAACTTGGGTTCAAGCCTGGCTCCAGTACCGGCTTCAGATCGTCCAGAGCGCAGAGAACTTAACATATCACATACCAGGTGCGCTTAGCGTTCATTTTCAAATCTATCTTTTGCTTTATCTTCGGCCCATGCATTGCCTTTTTCTTCTCAACTAATGATTGCTCGCTTTTGGGCTTTTCTCCTCCTCTAATCGGTAGGCTTTAGGCAGGTGTATGACTGGTTCCCGAATGAGATCTACTACTCGGCAACGCTTCAGCAAGTCAAGAAATACAAGGAAAAATATCAGCTCCATTATGAAGACGAATCAGCGCTCGTCGATAGTCAGCCAAACCATTTCAGCAACAGTAGCAACAGTCCTTCGCCACTGATGCCCCATATCCACTCAGGTTCCTGTTCTTCGTCCGCGTCTAGCCCTGCCTCTGGCTCTGCTATCATATCGAACTCTATCATGGGTTCTGTGAAAACAACAAAGTCAGCAGGAGAGCCAGCGGCGACAACGCAAAGGGAACAAGGGCATCGGAATCGGCAGGAAGCAGATCCACAAACCATGAGGAGACCGCACGAAGGGTTGGAGGAGGATCTGTACCAAAAGATCAACGATAGGCTGAAGGAGCAAGAAGAAAAGTTAAATGACAAGTTCCAAGCACAGCAGCAGCTAATCCAAGCGCAGCAACAGGAGCTCCAGGCACAGCTAGCAATGCTCCAGGATCATCTCACTAGTCTTCTGGCAGTCCAGAGCCAGCGCTAGCTTATTGCTATTCATAGAAATAAGAGCGCGACACATATCATATAGACATGTATGAATGGATATACGCAAGTTGGTTATAAGAACATTTGGGCAAAGGAGTATATAATAAAATAGATTAATAAAAACAAACCTAAGTCGGGAGCCAGTAAATGAGAAGCATTGGCTATCCCTGGCGAACTTAATGGAAGAAGCTAGTTGAGGTGAAAATGAGGAATCCAGGAACCAACGCTTTAGCGCACAGGCCAGCAATCTTTTCGGCGAATCAGAGCTCGTCGTGCGGCGCAATTGATTTGTTGTACCTGAAACATTTTGAATCCGATCGATCCAAAAACCTGGATATGGTTTGCCCGGATCGGAATATGCCGATCACAGACACTACAAAAAGAACCCGAAGTGGCCCATGGGTTCGACGATGAGGGGACAAGAGTAGGAGGTCTGCCGTCAAAAGCTAGGGTTTCCTGGCAAATGAGAATCAACATTGCAATCTGCAGCGTCTTAAGCGCGGAAATCTTCTGCTTGAGCACACGTTGTACCAGAAAGACAAAGTCCTTGACTAGAAATGATGAATGGTAATATAATTGCCCATATACGCTTTTACCTATTTTTTTTTTTTCCAATAGCTGACGCAGCTCAACCAGCTACATTTCAGGAAATCACGACCCAGCATGAAAGCAGACATGAATTATAATTATTGCATGATCCGGTGTTTTTGAAAGATATGCACCATACATCCATCAATACATATTGAATTAGATTTTTTGGGGGATTTTATTTGTTGAAATGTCAGATTTATCTTACAAGCTGTGGAAGGATATTAGAAAAAAAGAGTGAATACAAAGAGAGGGAGTGATGGAGGGTTGCTTGAGTGTGTGCTAGTGGTCAAGATAAGCGAGGACGGATAGGAAGAGCGCACGGCACCCTTCATTTAAGCAGTCTTCTCGGCAGGAACCTCGGCAGTCGATGCGCCGGCAGGACCAGTCTTCGTCTTCTTCTCGTCAGCAATGCGGCGAGCCTCGTGGTGGACAGCAGCGATCTGCTCCTTGACCTGGGAGGCAATGCCGGTGACCTTCTGGCCGGGAGCGGTCTGAAGGGCCTATATGTGACAAGAACAAGGTTTTCATCCCGTTAGACACATGTACTGCAGTAAATGTATTCCCCCCCGCAACCCCATCCCATTATATCCTGCAGCTTCTTCCATACCTGGTTGCTGTAATCGATACCCTGTCCAACAGCGGCGTTGACACGGTCCTGGACATGGTACTTGTGGTCGATCTCCGTGGCCTTCTCAGTGACCCTGTACTTCTCATCCAAAGCAAGAGCCTGAGCCTTGGCAGCCTCGACGTAGGACTGGATCCTGCCGACCAAACCGTACTTGGCATCAATCTCGAGACCCTTCTCAATAATCTGGTCCTGGAGCTGGTATCCTGCAGCGAGGATCTCGGCCAAGATAGTGGCCTTGGGCTTGTTCTCCTGGGCAGTGTCGTTGCCATCAGCAGCATCCTCAAAGTATGGCTTGACCGAGATCTGGCTGTCGACAATCATGGCGTTGGTCAACATGCAGGCAGTCTTGGCAGCGGATTCTATATAGAGGGGTAATCATTTATAAAAGGAAATGTAGAAGATGAGTACTTTGAGGAACCCTTCATGACATGAAGGTTTTCATTGGTGATGCCAGTGCCAATGGGTATGATGGTAGACCATATGCAATTCCATTAGGAGATAACAAGACACAGCCCAAAGATGATAAAACACACAAGAAAAAGAAGGGGTGGAAGGGGGTGGAAGGGGACATGGGACATGGGGTGTAGGGGATAACGCGCGCGACAACATTGCCTTTTGGGTGTGTGAAAAACAAGATAAAATAAATTGTAATCGTGGTGACGCCAATCCTTCCCCAACATTCGCAGAAGCAGCATGGTATCATTCAGTAGCTAAATAACTTACCACGCTCGAAAAGGACAAGGGCAGCCTGGCGATCTCCCTCCCTACAAAAAAAAAGAACAGGTAAGGATAGAGAACGATCAGTATGTTATTCCGCTCCTGGGGAGGTAAGGGGGCATTCGGATACCTTTCCTCTTTGGGGTACTCTTCGGTAAGCAAAGTAGCAAAGTGAATCCCATGTGTGATCATTAGGCATTGATGTCGAAGACATGAGTAATTACTTTTGGAGCTCGAACTCGACGATTTTGCCGCAGAACAGGAAGAAGTCCTTGACTATAGTAGACAGTAGATGGAATAGAAGTTGGTCAATTCCTTGTTCTCGCATTATCGTTGACATGAAATGCTTTTGCCAAGACTTTCTTCGTGTTTCTTACCAGTCTTTTCAGAGGCAGAAGCACTGATGTTGTTGACAATGATGAGGTTGGGGGTAGGGGTGGCAGGGATCTGTTAACACAGGATAATGGCAAGAAGAAGAAAGCGCGTTGTTTAGGATGGTTATGCTAATGCATGCATGCACTGCATTAATAATGCAACCAAATGAGCAGCACAGGCTTTGATGGACGCGTTGAGGCCAAGGCCAAGGCCAATGTTGGCTATGTTTGTTACCTTGAAGGTGGTCCAGTTGGTCATGTTGGAAGGCTGTTTTGGTGGTGTAGAGGTGAGTGTGGGAATTGGTGTTTGAAGCTGTTTGAAGCTGAAGCTGTTTTCTGTTGATGGGAATGAGAATGAAGGGAATGAAGAAAAGGAAAGTTTGATGCCTGGGGAGTATTTATACGGCAGCAGGTCTAAAGGACTGGAAGGACGGAGTATCTACAGATGCATGAAATCGAAATGACATCACATGAATATGAATCTCGATACATACAATAGCCATTCCATATGGGGCAGTTCTTCTATTCCCATATGATATTGCTCACTCATCCACTCACTTTACAGCCTCGCAAAGACAGCGCCGTCATTTCCACCTGCTCTGCTCCAGGGTCCGAAAATAAACTACCGCATCGATCATTGTGGCCGCTTCCTCGACAATGCCCGACTGATTACACTCTTCTTCTCCTCTTCATCCTGTGCTTCATATATTCATGTAGTGTCATTCATTGTCGTGAAGGATGACGCTCGTATCGATGGTGTCTTCGCAGCACGAGACATTCGCAGCGGACCTTGGACCATACGGAACGTATTCAGCGTAAGGCAAGGCATGGGGGAGGGGGGGGGGGAGGGGGGGGGGAGGGAGTGAGGCAATAGTACTTTCCCCCTTGCCTTTTTTTTTTTTTTTTTTTTGACACCAACATGTCTCTCTTTTGACATGCTTGTTACATGTGCACTACAGAGCGCTCTTTCTCTCTCTTTCTCTCTCTTTCTCTCTCTTTCTCTCTCTCTCCCTCTCCCTCTCTTCCTCTTTTCCGCCTGCCCTATCTTTATTTGACAGCTCAATGCCATATGTCAACGAACGCGTGCCATATGAGTGGCATGCTCGAAACAGCAGCCCACTTTTTGCTTTTTGTATGTTATACATGCGCGTGCATGGCTCACTCGTGTTTCGTATAATATGGGCATGCTAAACTATCTTCCTTTCCCAAGAATATATGAAAGCAGGTGAGCACGGGCATTTTGCACGCGTTCATCCGACTGTGCCGCCCCAAAGGATCGTCCATCTTCTCTTGCTGCCATTGACGCGCGCAAATACACCTCCCATCGATCGACCGCGAACGCATGCATGTCTCTGTTTCGATCTTAGATCTGCTGTGAAGGTTTACAAATCCCATGTCTCGATTCAAGTCATTGCCTTGGCCGGTTTGATGGCACATTCATGTAATATTGAACACGTTGACAGTTCAGGTTTATGAGAACGGAAAACACTACAACACTACAGAGCAAAAAGGCGGGGAGAGGTATATGATCATACGTGCAAGCGTAGTAGAGTTTAGGAGCAACAATATAAAACGGACTATTAGGTAGTTTAGGCGAACATGGAAACGACAAAATAAATAACACAAAAAAAGGCTAACAACAAAAAAGCTGTGCAACAGCAACAGAGAGTAGAGAGGTATTGCAAACATGGGAGAAAAGATACCGAGCTGCCAGGACGAAAACGAACAGCACTGATGAGATGCGTTCAACAGTATCCTGGGAGTGATTGACTCCGTCCTGGGGAACAAAACGCGGCATTTCCACCTTGGAGTTTGCTCAACTGCCTTCCTCGTGTTTTCTTTCCACCTCTTGGAGTATCCATTTTCATCTTCTTATTCTCTCTCTTAATCCTGGTAGTTGCGGCTCGAGTTTCCGATCAATCCCTCCTCTTCTTCAGATTGCTGTGCTACAAGGATGAGCGAAATGACACGCATGAGATTTTTTAGAGGTCAAAAGGACAGGGAAGGGGCCTCTTGGAAAAGGCTCACTTTTTCATTTTTCATCATTTTTTTTGTCGCTGCCCACTTTGAACATCGTAATACGTACCTTTGGGCCTGGGAATAGACAGGCACTTGATGCCAAGGTAGGAGCAGAACCTGTCAATGACAAACAAGGCCCATTGGGCATAGGCAACAGCGACAAAGATAAAGTAGCCCCAGAGGAAGTAATACTCTGTATCGGCCGTGAAGATCGGATCCCAGTCAAGCACCACAGGGGCGTTGGTGATGAAGGCGCCCACAATTAAGGGGATCAGTTGAACAGTGAAGTATGGGTAGGGCATCTTGGTGACATGGGCCAAGATGATCTTCGTAGCCATGCGACCAAACACAACGCCGACGGTCACCGCAAACAGGATAAAGTGTTGATCCGTAAAGATGTATGAGTAGGGCGAAGACAACCAAGCGTAGGCGCTGACAAGGAAGAGCGAGATGGGCAACAGCTCAGCGTAGGCTGCGATCACGGACTTGTTCTGTTCCTTGCAAGTCCTGTAGACGGCAATCAAGCATGGTGGAATATGGCCAAAGACCAGAAGGAAAGTCATGCCGGCAACCATGAGATCCAATAGGATCCAGTCCTTGGGGATGATGCCAAAGTCGCTGCCAAGGATCTCGACAACCTCACTTCTCCAGAACAGGGGGCCCTTGAATCCAGAGATCATCATGACAACACAGGCGATAATAAGACCCTCGGTGGGTCCATTGACATAGCCCAGGTACAAGACGCCGGTGTGGTACTCCTCCCAGGTCGAGAGGAAGAAGGGCAGGGTGGTGAGGAGCAAGAGGAAGGCCGAGTACCAGGAGTGGCCCATGGACATGCAGGCAGCCTGGTTTACGGCTCCGATGCAGCAGTTCAGGGCGTCGCATCCGTGGTCAAAGAGCTCTCCGAGGGGGGAGGACGATCCAGTGCGACGGGCCTGCTTTCCATCCACATTGTCAAAAGTCGAGTACAACCACAAGCCAATCGAACAGCTATCGCAAATACGAAAGAATCGACATTTGCGCATTAGCATATTTCAGCCACTTTCTCTTTGTGTATCCTGCCACAGCCTTTTTTTTTCTTTTTTTTTCTTATCCAATCCCAGGCCTCCTTCAATCTAGCCCCATTTTCTCAGGCTTTGGCGTCCTCGATGCACTGGTGGAATTTGATGCCTGAAGCCTAAAGATAGATCAATGACAGACCCCTCCCTGCACGCACGATCAAAGATTGTATTGGCCTCTTGGCGTAGCAAAATGCCCTGACAAGCCGTGTCCTGAACGAAAAATATCTTTCCCTGAAAGGGCAAATATAAAGCCGTGCCGCCAAGTCCAAATGCCAAGCTGATTCTGTATCCCCTCCATTGTCGTGCTTGTTCTTCCTGACTGGAGCGAGACAAGAAAGAATGCTTCCCCTACAATGCACTATTCCACGAACCCGAGACGGACATCTCCTTTTCATTTACCTGAAGTAAATCCAGGTGGGTCCAGGGGTATACAGGTCTGGGATATAGTAAATCACCAGCAGCATGTTTGACACCACAAAACCAAAGCCGATCAACGTAATCAAATTGGGCCTATGGAGTGAACGAGTAAAAATAAAAAAGCCATTTTTCCTCAGTTAGTTTCATGAACACAAACACAAAAAACATGCTTCTGCGTATTGGAGAAAAAAAGGCAGCACTGGTAAACAATGCTCATAATTTTTTTTCTGAGTAAAGCGAACCGGGAGCCTTTTAACGGTGCACAAACTGAACTCAATTACTGTCTTGACTAGCTTGAACAAACTCGTCTGACAAAAGTCAACTAGTTCGTTCAACCCCCCCAAAAAAATTGCAGAAAAAAATGTCGGCTTTATGCTTGCATCCCAAGGGAGTAGTCGCAGTTGGATATCGATTCATTGCTGGTGTTTGTCGTTTGTTTGCTGGTCTCCTGCTCCTGCTCCAATTGCTCAAAGAAGCCATGATCGAGTGCTATTTTGCCACTACCACCATCAGTTGGTGTGCCTGATCCTGTCGCTTGCTCTCAAGCATATAGCATAGCTCCTTTGATCCTGTGGTGTCAATCGCCCTGCGGCTACAAATAGAGGAGTTCAATGTACTGAACGACTTTTCTCGGCGAGATGAGATGATTCCCTTGCTTCTCTGTAATGTAAACTGATCCTGATGGCACAGCTCCAAAACAAAACAAAAAAATAAAATAAAAATGCGCTGGTCCCTGAGAGGAAGGTGTGAGCCGATCTCTCTCATATTTTTCACTTACGCCATCCACATAGGGAAGAGGGTAACGGCCCAGTTCCAATAGTGGCTCAAGATGTACTTGGTCACTGGGGACTTGTCGACACAGCCATACTTGTAGAGACGCAAGTTGGCAAGACCAGTATCGCTCACATAGTCCGATTCGTGGAGGCGGCTTCCGAACCCAAACATTGTTCACTTCTTTGTAACAGTTGTCTATGGGGGGATCAAATGGAAGAGATGAAAAAGAAAAGAAGGAGAGGTTTGGGTTGAGAGTGGAGGATGAGGAATGAGATGACGACCACGGGTAAAGAAGAAAGGAGAAAGAGGAGAGGGGAGAGGGGAGAGTAAGAAAAAGGTACAGGTTCCGATATTATTACATTCTAGTCGTAATGTTCCCCTGATTTTTTTTTTTGTTGACGGACTGTCGGTTCCCTTGACCCGCATTTTTGATTTCTTCCCGCTACCGGTGGCTAGTGCTAGAAAACAACATCCCCATGGGGTGAAGGTTGTTGTTGGCAAGGACGTGTGCAACAACAGCCATTTGTGTGTAATCGCAAATATTGTTCACATTTTCACAAGGAACAACAAAACTCGCTCCACATCTAAAGGATACAACACTGTCCATTTTTGCATCAGGTATCAAAAACAGTGCACAATTGACATTTTCCCGCCTGTTGTGAAGAGTGCCAGTGGGAATTGACCTGAGTCTATGCCAGTGACATGGTATCATCTCCATCTCCGCAAAAAGAAAAAACGAATTTGCCCTGTTGGTCCTCTGCTCTCACATGGCTGAGCAAGCGAGCGTGCCCTTTTTTACCCCAACAAGTTTTCTCCTTCCATGTGGCTAATGCATCGAGCAAAAAAAACCCCTATAGCAAAGCTGCATGTTAGGCAAGGGAATCAACCAGTATGGTAACAATCCAAAGTCCATACCCCCCCCTCATCCACGTTTGCCCTTAGTTCCAATTGCTCTTCATTTGAAGGGGACAGATGAATGGAGCCGTAACGAACCATAAATAAGAACGACATCGGTCATTAGTATGCAAGAAGCAATTGATCTTTTGTACCGCTTTTGCTCAAGGTGCGCTTCCTGTCCATTGAACCAATCCACATGCCACGCTATGCCGTTGGTTATAATCGCACTGTTCACACGCTCTGCCTTGCTTCGCTGGTAAGTGTTCTTACCAGTCCGTAATCTTCCCTTCCACTCGGGGGTATTCCAGTCCTCTGCTCGTTTGAGTTGTTTTCATACCGTAGCGCCGTTACACCAATCTACTCTCTCTCCACAAAACCCCAGTCCATCTTGCAATTGCCAGCCTCCTGCCCACAAGGAAGAATCGCTCACTACTTTAGGAGAGGGATTTCAACTGTAATGCACATCGGAGTAGCAGCCTTCAAAAAGATGTTCGACAGGACCCGTTAACTTGTGTAGAAAACGAGATGTGTGTTGTGTTACAATTGAGATCTCATTAGACATATCTTTCCGAACGTCTGTGTCCCTGATCTTTGTGTAATCGGATTTGTAAGAAAAACTCATGCCATTCCTTAACCTATATGAAATTTTAGTCGCGATCAGGACGCGTTATTAAGAACAAAAAGGTCTGCTGCAGCACCGTGGTCTATGTGTAAGTATTTTTTTATAGCCCATCCACTCGAACAATAGTTTTATTTCATCAGCTGTACTTCAATACGCTACATGTAAGCTATACACAGGTATGATGGACTACATTTAATAGATCAATAACGCCTTGATACGAAGTGCTGTTACCCATGACCTCTTCAATAACAGAAGCTGCCTGCAATGCTACCATGAGGTCCCCTTACAATCCTCAAAAAGTGATATGCGCTAACTGGTAATGATCGCGTCGAGACCGGATTCAGAGCAGCCAGGAAGGTACATGAAGATGTAGACTCTATCTTCCTATGCATGCATGAGTATACATCAGCTCTATACAAGCATACGGAGCAGCACAGGTATTATCTTATTCGGAATGGATGATGCCCTCCTCACTTCCTTTCATAAATTGCTCAAAGACCAAATCGGACTCATGGACCATTGGATTGCATGCAGTAGCAGCGCTCTGCTGCCAACATTGTATACACGCCTTTATGGCCGTTAGACCAGAATTAGGGTCAAAATTCAGGGGGCGACATGCAGATGGTCGACCCTGAAAAGGATCATCGATGTGCCTAGGCATCTGCAGTTGCAACCGCAATGTTGCAACGACCAATGGCTTTTTGACCGAATGCTCAGGTACAGAAATATGAGACTCCAGTCTTTTACTCTCGCCAGGTAAATTATTATAATGAAACACGCCAGATAGTTTCGCCCAGGTATGCAAAAATGTAATCGAACTCTGTCCCTGAAAGATTTCGCTTTTGCGTGTGGCGTTGCTAGATAGAAAGCATAGTGTAGACTACAGGAAGAGATGGAAGGTGAGCACCCGATCCAGCTCACAAATAAAAACAAAGGAAAGCAGGACAAGCTTGTTGTTCCTTGTGTACATGGCTTCGTCCTCAAATAACATTGTAGTCAGCATCGTCCGGCGTTGTCTAATGGGGAACATGGCCTCTTGTTGATCAATATGTCATGTTTGTGTAAAATTAGAAGAGATGAGAGCGGAACTACGTATATCCATTGTGAATTCTTGTAGGAATGACAAAGGGAGGATACTCATGCAGTGCTTCGTCTTGCATAGACAAAGGCCGTAGAGAACTCCTTGGCGTGGTTAAATGAACTAAAGTACGCAAACGGTCTAGAACTCTTTTCTTGCCATGCTCATGCTCCGCAAGTGAAGAGGAATTAACTCTATGCCCTCTTGGTTCATTTGCTGCAAGTTGTGGCGAGGGCAATGGGTGGAGGAGTGCTCTCTGCTCATTTGACGGGCTATACAAATTCGGGCATCATGGGAGCGGACGGCCTTGAATAAAGATAAAGAGCTCTTTCAGAAGAGAAGAAACGAGGGGGTTGAACATGTATAGGTACCACGTCGTTGCTGGGACAAGGAAGGTACTCTCCACGAGGTATCGCCATATAACGTTAACACCGCGCCATGCATGCAACCCGTACTTCATACTGCCTCGATCTCACTCCCGCCTTTTTTTTCTCCTCCTCCTCTTCCGCTTTCTTCTCTCTTCAGCTCCATTTTTTTTTTTAAAAAAACTCATTCAGCATCTTCATTCCGTTTCAGATCATTCATCATTTTTGTTTTTCTTTTCTTTGCTGGTTGTACAGCATATCACACAACACGGGTTTGTCGCACACTTCCTATGGTCAGACAAATTTCATGAACCACCAAACACAAAATGCGCGTAGCAGTAGACCCTCAATCACCCTCCTTCCCGCTCCTCCTCCTCCTGGCATCAGCCCTCGCTAACCTCGTCCAGGGACATCCCTCAATACCAAGGCCACCACCCGCACCAGTACCAGAACCGCCTGCCCCATCCCCATCCTCAATACCCTCTTCCCCCTCGAACGCCCTACATCGACCTAATTACCCTCCCAATGTCTCCATCCTCAACCTCAACCGCCGGGAAGTCCCTCCCTCAGCAGACTCCGCACCCCACTTCGCATCCCTCGCTGAAGCTCTCGCCGCACCTGTTGCACTCGCCCAATCCCTTGCCTGGGTCGACTATTACACCCCTATAGGAGGCTTCGTATCCGAAGACACCGCCTCCTCAGGCGACTGTCTCCGGATCTCTCGCCCGTCCTGGGGAATCATCAATATCACACCCATGACCTCACTTTCGGACAACGCCAAGGACCAGGTCCAACTATATAACGACCTCAATTGTGGAGTCCTCAACCGTGAACCGGCCTCGCAGACGGGGCTGACGTTGATTTCGTGGTACTTCTTTAACATCCCACAGAGCTTGAGGTGGACGAGGATCTTGCCGTCGTTGCCAGCAACGACTACCGTGCCGAAAGAAACAACTACTGCAGCAACAACAACAACTATTACTACTACCATCGCCAACACTACAGCGGCAACGATGACGGCGACACTGACAACTACGATGTTGACTACCTCGTCAACTCCGACTACATCCCCAATAACAACGCCTGTGAGCAAACCCCCGACGCCGTCCGGGGATGCGCCCACGCCGATCAGGACCACCTTCCCTACCGCCTTGATCCCTCCAAAACCTATGGACGCAACTTCTGGATGGGGAAACTCCTGCAACCCAAACTCGACCTCGACATCCGGTTCCCAACCGGACTGCAAGGGCGCGACCCGTAAAGTCAATCAAGTCCTCATCGTCGGAATCACTGTCGCCGTGCTCGTTGTCGGACTCATGGCCGCGGGAGCCTTTTATATCTACAGGACCTTCTATACGCCCCCCGAAGACTCCTTCCCAGGATCTTCGGCCTTCATAGGCACCGGTGCAGGCGTGCGATCGAATCCTCGCACGGCTTACGGGGGAGGAACCGGTGGGGGCAGTGGGCATGATGATGACTACCAATATATCCATGATGAGGATGAGAACTCGCCGCCGAGGTTTATGTTCGATCACCGACATGATAACATCAACACGAATAAAAACCCGAAGCTGTTCAAGGAGAACGTCAGTGACCCGTCCTCGTCTTCGAATCAACAGCAGACTTCGTTTGGACATAGTCCTTCGGATATCAGCTTGATTGAGCGGACGAAATAGTAGTAATAGTAGTAATAATAAAACCTGTACATGTTCTATCGAGTACGTGATCGAGATAGGAGAGTGCCCCCATTATTACACAGATCATAAAACGACGACGACTCAGCAACTTTTCGTCCACCGAACAATTTCGTCCGCAATTACTGCAACAGCTTCCAAACATGATATCCACACATTTCGTAGACATTTGGTCCGCTTCGTTTCGAGAACGTCCTCCCCAAGGAACCATGCCGTACAATTTTGTATTTTTATTTTATTTTTAGGTACACCGGCAATAAGGAATTTCACTCGCAATGCCTATCGTTTTATTATTCTTTCAAGTACGATATCAAGCAAGGCGAAGGGGTTGCCCTCCTTTCGTTTTCTACAACAACCAATTTCCTCCGCAAGTTACGACATATTTGTTTGTTCTGTCGGATATGACGCTCAAGCAAAATGGATTTCGTCTGCCTCGTTTCTTGTACATCCTCAAGCAGCCATATCACTTTCATTTTTTATAGTACTTTTTTTTTATTTTTTTGATTACTAAAAAAGACCCAGAAAGGGTGGTGTTATGTATCAATGTGTGATATGTATGGGCAAAGTGAAGGGGTGTGTTTGAATGGTACAGAGTAAAAGCACAAAATCGTATAAAAAGACAACTTTTTTTTAAATAACAAAGAGGAAGCATCTTTTTTTTTTTGTTCATTGCTAAGCAAGACGGTCAGTAAGCAATTGCTTCTTTCTGCTTGTCAGCAACTTTTTTTTGTTTTTTTTTTTTTTTTGGGCTCCGTATTTTCTTCAGGCTGTTCAAAAAAAGAAAAGAAAAAAAAAGTGGATCGAACGGTCGTCGTCGTTATTGGTGAAGGGTATCAAAGAACGTGGTCAAGGGAAAGAAAATAAAAGAAAGAACAGCACAAACAAAAAAAAAGAAGAAAGAGGAAGAGATCGAAACAAATACCTCATTTCCTTTTTTTTTTTTATGCCTTGACCTTACGCTCCTCCACCTCCACCTCGACCGCCGCGACCCAACGCGCCAACTCGTCGGCCTTGTCAAACACCTTTCCAAAGTAAATCACCGCCTGCTCACCATCCTTCGCCGCCTTCTCCTGCTCTGCACGACGTCTTTCATGAGCCTCAATCTCCTTCTGGAACCGGTTCTGGATCTCCCAAGCATTACTCTTGAACACTCGGCGGCAGTCGCGTGCAATACGCATCGCCTCGTCATGAACAACCGTACCCTCACGGATCTGTGCGCGGAGCTTGCGGGCGGTCTTGCGAGCCAGCGCATGCTTCATATCTGCTGCAATGTACACGAGCAGACCCATTCCCGCAACAGTGACCACAGGAATGGCCCACCGGCGCACATTTGACACGCCGACCGTGCTGGTGATATCGAACAAGCTGTGAATTAACGACTTGTAGCCAAGAGCCTTGCTCGAGAACATCGTCACCGCGCCGAGAGAGACACTGGCGACACCCAGCTTGTCCTGGATCTCAAATACGTCCGAAAACTCAAGCGCAAGCTCATCCTTTAGCTTTCCTGTCGTGATGCGAGAGGGATCAGGCTTCGTGAAGAGCGTCAACGCATCCGACTGCGCGACGGGCGCGACATCGTCGGCCAGATTATTAATGTCGTTGACTGACGATTTGGTCTTCTCCTTGGCCTCGGCCTCACAGCTCTTGACCCGGTCCACAAATAGATCCGCCATCACATAGCGAAGATCGTTCGAGTACTGCCAGACGTGCAACAGACCGTTCCAGGGAACCAGGGCCGACACCGCGTTCTCAATGTCGTCCACAGCATTGCTCAGTTTCTCGCGCGTCATCGCGTCAATCAATGTGCAAGTCTCCTCGGCAAGACGGTCAACCTTCTCCAGCACCATCTCTCGTCGGATCAGCGTCTCCTGGTACTCGGGCTCGCCGCGCTCCAACTGCAGACGGACCTTGGCCAGCTCATCTGCTGCCATCTGACGGTTTGACTCTGAAAGAATGCTGACATCGCTCAGGATGTTCTCGAGGTAGACCTTGGCTGGCGCCAACTTGGACTTGCAGCGCTTCTCGAGCACGAACGAGCGCAGGCACTCCTCGAGTCTCAAAAAGTCCGCAGGAAGCTCTCCGCCCTGGATGATTTCGGGCAGACACGATCCAGCAGAGACAAAGTGCACGAGCTCATCCGCGTCCTCGTAGGTCTTGGCGGAGAGCTGCTTGATCTGGTCGAGGATGACGCGCTTGCAGCGCTCCTTGTCACGGATCGAGTCGAATCGGTTGACGACGATGAAGATATGGGTCTTTTCGTTGGCGGCATTCCAGAGGAACTCCTTGCCCTGTAGAGTCGCGTTTTCAGTGCAAATGTCAGGAATGTGAGTGAGATGTTTCTCTTCAGCGATGTTTTTGTACCACCAACAAACAAATCGAGGACAGAATACAGGTTTTGCTCATAGCAAACAAGATCCCCTCCCCGACAAAGTCATAGGCCCAGTTCCCATGAAAAAATACAAATGAAATGTACACATGCCAACAACGCACACACACACACGCACAACACACACAACAGACAACATAAAATGGTGACATCAGTTATATGACAGAGGAGCAGCAGATGCGGATGATGAGCTAAAGTGGAGAAATGCAGTGATGACCACCCCCACCCCCCCAACCCACATGGTGAGAAAGTATGACTAAGACTGACCCACTGGCCACTTCCCCCGCTCGAAAATATAATTTTGTTGTATGCAGGCTTAATTGCTGACCCTGCCCACGCGAGATTGATCAGCCAGGTACCGAAAATAAAATAAAAAAACCAGCAAGCAAACCAGGGCATATACAACCCCACCATACAGAAATACTCTTTCCCGCTCATTCAATCAATCAATGAACCAATATAAAACAAAAAACAATAAACAATTCACTTACAGAGAGAGTAAAGTGATTCTCGGCAGAGACGACAAACACAACAACATCAATCTCTTGCTGGCGAGCAAACAACGCCGTGGTCTTGACAGAGTCGCGGTTCAGACCGGGCGAGTCGATCAGCGCAATGTCGACGACGCCGTTATGGAGGAGTGAGTCATTGACCAGACGACGATCAGTGCAGTAGACCTTGAGCTGCGCATAGTCTTCGTAACCGTCAATCACATCGTTCATGAACTTCTCCAGATGACGCATGTCCACGACAGTGAAGGTGTTGGGATCCTCGCGGTTATAGGTCGAGGGGTTCTTGATGGCATGAACGGCCTCCTGACCCTCATTCTCCTGAGCATCGAGGACCTCGCAAAACAGCGAGGTGCAGGGTTGCTGATCGATGGGAAGGATGGTGCGCTGCATCAGAGCATTGACCAGGGTTGATTTACCGGCGTTCAGATCACCCGTGATCAGAACCTTGGAGCTCTTGTCCGAGACACGCTGGTAGAGGTTGTCGAGATGCTTGACGCTCTGCTGAATACGACCGTCCAGGAGGTGTGCAATGGTGTTGCGCTCCAATCCTCGGAGCAGGGCATCATTGCCTGTTGCATAGTTGCCAACCTTCAAGTCCAGCTTGAGCACATTCAGCTCCAACAGACGACCAACAGCGGGAGTCTCAGGAGAGGCATGGGGGCTTTGAGGCGATCCAGGGACAGTGAAGGAGCGCTGAACACGCTGCTGGAGAGGGAGCGAAGCAGAGCGGTCGCTGTCCTCCTCAGGATGGAAGGAGGTCGAGCGACGGAGAGGGTTGGTAGATGCAGAGGTGGCAGAAGCAGCGGCTGCTGCGCTCTGGAAGCTGGGGTAGTAGGTCTGCCAGGGCTTTGTCGCATTGGTCTCGCGGACTTCTTCAAGCAGACCCTTAGTGGACTGAATCAAGTTGAGGAGACGGTTGGATTTGTCAGCAAAGACCTGCTGCTGCAAGAAGAGGTTGTGGTTGTATGGGGTCTCCTGAGGGACAGAGACGGCGGCAGTATAGGAGAGCGAGGGCAGGACATGATGGGTCGTCGAGGCAGGCAGCTGTGGTCTGTCTGCATCGTCCATACTGAGTCTTGGGAGAGAACTCCTCCTTTGAACGGAGGTCGCCGCTGAGGGGGAGTGTTGAGCGGAGAAGTATGAAGTCATGTCTACAGGGAGGATTTTGTTGGATTAGATTACTGAAAGAAGTTGGTTGAGCAGGATAGGATGCAGGATATTTACAAAAAAAAAAGAAAAAAGAGAGCTATGTCTGCGTATTCCGGATGGTATGAAAATAGAAATCGAGGCAAGGATGAATCAGAAAGGCAGGATCATGAGTGGAGAGTGGAGTTGCTGATGAAAAAGAAAGAAGGGAGATCGGAGTGGTTTGTCATATATAAAAAAATAATAATGCGGTATGTGTGGATATGTGTATGCGGAGTGTGACAACACTATTTCGCACCCCAATTTCATACTCTTCGGAAAGGGTAAAAGAGAAGTGCCCGATTGTAATATAAAAGAGTTTGCAGAAGCAAGCAGCGGTGATTACTGCTGCTCTCTACTGTTGACTGATCGGGTGGGTTTATTTGGGAGGATGGAAAGACGGAGGAATTGGATCTGTGCAGGTTGATTGCGAGTGAGCAAATGGAAGCGGGACAAAGGGTGGGAGAAAAAAGATGTGCAAGGGGAGACATGCAGGGCAGCGTATGAAGAAGAACGGGGGGAAAGGAGGAGTGCGATCTTTGGTATGTCAAGCAATGGGGGTACGTGCAGTACAGGGGATTCAATTGGAAAACAACAACAAATATCGCGGAGTAAATGTGAAAGGAAACTTGCTCGTGAAACAGGCAAAAAGGCGGTTGCTGTTACTGTCGCTGTTGTTGTTGTTGTTGTAGCTGTTTTTGATCGGATGAATCGATTTACCTTTTTTTTTTTCTTTGTTCTCTTTTCAATCGATTCCTTTGGTTATGTGCTTCGTCTGGATTCGAATATTACTGCTTTCCAGGAGACACAAACGGGTGTTGAGGATCGGCTCGTTATTGTTGCTGATGAAAAAGAGGAAGTATGGGAAACAGAAACAAAAGTGGATCGTTGTCTTCTGCTGTTGAGTGTCTGTACAAGTGTGTTCCTCCGTTTACTGGGGTTGATGCTATGCTGAGGCTGATGAAAAAGAAGAGCCAGGAAGCACCAATGAACAATAACGTTAAAAGAGAAGAAAGAAAACGGGCGGGAAAAGAAGAGGAGGAAGGAGGAGAGGGTGATGGTGAAAAGAGAAGGAACAAGATCAGTCAATGGGGACAGCCGAAAAAAAAAAATTCCCTGCACCCCGCTCAGTCAATCCTCTCCTGTCCCCGCCGAACTGAGGAAAGGGGGGCGCCTACAAGCCACTGCTGGCAATTTTTTGTGCCATGAGAGAAAAATGAAAGAGTGCAGTGCAGCCTGCAACTGAGCCCTTTCACAGCGCGTGAGTGTCCACTGTTTCAAGCCCTCTCGGGCCTGATGCCCCATTTGGATGTCATCATTGGCACCCGTATCCCTGGGAGCAACCCATAAGCCAGGTAAGCCAGGTAAGCCAGGTAAGCCAGGTAAGCCATGGAATGCGGGGTCTCAGTCTCTCTCCGGTGCGCGGTCATCTCACGTACATGAACCGTACGCAGAAATTGGAAACGGTTTTGTGTAACCATGCATCGGCATCTTCGGTGAAATGCGTCCATCTCTTCGACCAACCGACCAACCGACCCATTGATATAAAAAAATGGCGCTGTTGTTTACTCTTCCTGTTTACCAGTGGAACACACACACTGAGGGAATTGAATCAAACTACAGCATAAACTGAAGGTCGGCATTGCACAGCGACTACGTAATAGGCGCCTGTCAGACACCCTGGTTCTTCTTCAAGCGGCTCTCGAGGTCGTCCAGCTCTTTGGTCAGCCTGGCTGGAAAACGATCCCCAAAGCGCCTAAAGTATTCGCGTGCCTTGCCAATCTCCGACAAGTACGTCTTCGCGTCAACCTCCAACAGCTTTTCCATTACGCCGCCCTCGACCTGCTTTTCGATCCCTTGGAGGTCAAGAGACTCGGGCTTTGGTACATACCCAATGGGCGTGGATCTGTATAGCGCCTCGTCCTCTGGGCGCTCCAACCGGTCGACGATCCATTTTAGCACTCTAAAACATTGCATAAATGTATGAACGCAAATCATTAAGGCGGCATGACAATAATAGCGCCTCATTATTATTATATCAGAACGCGAAGACTTACCTAGAGTTCTCCCCAAAGCCTGGCCACATGTACGACCCATCGGCGTCCTTCCGGAACCAGTTCACATGAAAAACTTTTGGCAGTCGAGATGGGTCCTTCACACGGCTAGGCATCGATAGCCAGTGGCTGAAATAGTCGCCCATGTTGTATCCAATAAATGGCAGCATTGCAAACGGGTCAAATCTGCAGCGAAAAATCCAGACCCCTGCATTAATATCTTCTGCAGAATCGTTTCATATAGACCATCCCTTGATATGCTTACCGCAATTGTCCAAGGTCGCTTCCCTCAGCCGCAGCGGTCTTCTCACTCGCGACCGTTGCGCCAACCAAGACTCCATGGCTCCAATCCTTTGTCTGAAATACAAGTGGCACAGTCGTCTCCCGTCGTCCACCAAAGATGATCGCAGAGATAGGCACGCCATTAGGATCATCCCAGGCAGGATCTTTGGCGGAACATTGATCTACTGCCACTGTGAACCTCGAATTTGGATGTGCCATGGGTGTACCTTTATCCCCCATGGAAGGCTCCCAAACCTCGCCCCTCCAGTTCACGACCTTACCGTCTGGTCGTGACTTAGTCATGCCCTCCCACCAGACATCTCCCTTGTCGGTGAGCGCGACATTTGTGAAGATGGTATTCTTGCGAATTGTCTCCATTGCGTTGGGATTTGTTTTCGCAGATGTGCCAGGAGCAACTCCAAAGAAACCAGCTTCGGGGTTGATAGCATACAGTCGTGAGTCCTTCGAATTGATTTTCATCCTGCATGAAGGAAAGGATTGTATGTTAGATATCATACATAGAAATTTGTTCCGGCTTTTAAAGGATAAGCAAATACTTACCAGCTAATGTCGTCGCCGACAACTTGAACCTTCCATCCAGGTAATGTTGGTTGCAGCATTGCCAAGTTGGTCTTGCCACAAGCACTGCATGATATTTATATTGAACAGTCAGCTCACAATTTTTGCGTTCTTGTACAGATTGACCAACGCACTTCAAAAGACGAACCTTGGAAAAGCTGCTACGACGTAGTATTTCTTTCCAGCAGGGCTCGTGAGCCCCAAGATGAGCATATGCTCCGCTAAAGAACCTTCGTCGCGTGCCATGACCGAGGCGATCCTCAGCGCCAAGCATTTCTTTCCCAACAGCGAATTTCCTCCATATCTATGAATAAAAGAAACGGCGTGATCAGTACCTGGCAGGCAAAAAAAAAAAAAAAAAAAGAAAAAAAAAAAAAAAAGCAAAAGCAAAAGCAAAAACAAATTCAAATAGTTCTGTCCGTCCAATGAATTATATACCCGCTGCCGAAACTCCAGATTTCTCGCGATTCTGGGAAATGAACGACCTTCCGCTGAGCTATATTACAGGGCCATATCACATCCTTTTCCCCGGGTCCCAGCGGCTTGCCCACAGAATGTACACATGGCACAAACTCCCTGTCGTGTCCGAGCATATCCAGGACTGGCTGTCCGATTCGCGTCATTAACTTCATGTTGACCACCACAAACGGAGAATCCGTCAACTACAAAGGACCAGAAGAAAGTCATGAGTTATGATTGGAAGAATACCTCGTTGTAGATCATTTTCCACCAATATAAAACTCACCTGTACGCCGATCCGAGCAAGAGGCGATCCGATAGGCCCCATGCTGAAAGGGATCACATACATCGTTCGCCCTATTTTACCACGAATAACAAAAATGGGGTCAGGTCCGTTTTTTCTATAAGCAGGCGTATTGTTCGATGTCATTAAAAGTCGCGTGTCTAGCATGCATTACCTCTCATAGACCCGTGGAATGATTTCTCGAGCTCTTCTCTCATCTTGCCCGGTTCGACCCAGTTATTTGTTGGGCTATTTTCAAAACAGAACATTCTCAGTGTCAGTTGAAACGCAACAGTTGGATATTCCACGACATTGATTTTACTTACCCTGCATCAATTTGGTGGCGGCTGCAAATAAAAGTTGAGCTCTCCGACCGAGCCACGTCCGCGGGATCCGTGCGCGTAAGGTAAGACCCCGGTCGCAGCTTACTATCCAGCGGAATCATCACTCCGCTCTTCACCATCCCCTTGATAAGACTCTCATATTCTTCCTCTGACCCATCACACCAATGCACATGGTCCGGCTCCAGCAACGCCTGCTGTGCCCGAACCCAACTGGCTAGTCTCCTATGCGATGTTGGCACATCATCATGCAAAGATGCCTCGTCGTCTGCTTGAGAGTGCTGTTGAATCGAGGCCGAGGCCGAGGCCGAAAGAGGTGAGCTGTGGCTCGCAAAAAGAGTCTGGCGGGATGCGGGTTTGGAGGCGGCACCTAGAAGACGGGCTTGGGAACTAACGACGGGCGATCGGAAGAGGTTGCGGCCGCCTCTTAGGAGGAACGAAGTTGTGTGCAGCCGCTGTGAAAACATAACGATGGCGGCCATGACTGTTGGAGGATTTGAGGATGCCGTTCTGGGTGCGGCAGTAGTCGCATGGACCAGCTGTGCTGAGAGGGATGGTCTATTAGGGCGGAATGGAGTATGTATGAGAGATCACAGACCAAGGGTTCTTGAACAGGGCTCACTTCCTCTTTTTGTGGGGAAAGAGCCAAGCATAAATGCGGAGTTCAAAAAAGGACACTCAGAGTTGCCAGTGGAGTCCAGAATGAGGGCATTCGCCTCATTCGTCTTCTGCGAGAGATGAGATGAGTTCTCGAGAGGGACTTTACTTACCGTAGAAGGAGCATGGTCTACAGAGAGGGGTTGAAAAGGGAAAGGAAAGAGCGATTTGCGTTACGCTGCTGCAAGAGTGTTTTGGCTGTTGAAGGCGGAAAAGGTGAGAACAGGAATAGGAATAATGCTTATTGTAAAGTACAGATGCATGCGAGAAGAAGGACAGGAGGGAAAGGCAAAGTGTGTACGGCTGAAGAAGAAGTAAGATAGAAAGAGTGAAAAAGAGAAAGAGGAGGATGAAGGAACGAGCGTGGAAATTTAGTCCAATCCTCACATCCTCACATCCTGAATCACCCAACCTCCCGAAATGGAGTTGGACCCACGAAGGTCTTCATTTCACACATGTTTCGAGAAACCCATTCAGGACCTCATAGAGCAAATGGCACATAAAGGAGTACCGGTAGCCAAGTGGGATAGGTCGTGATATCTTATGGTATACGCGTGTTAAATATCTATTCTCAGCCTCTATCAGGGCACCTTCCCCTTCCTGCCTTACGAAATCCTGGTGCCTGAAATAAAACTATCGACATCTTCCATTTGGCAATGCAAAGCATGATTTTCTCACGGCTACTGTTGCGAAGGACATTCTAATGAACACAAGCAGATGGCTGTACGACCCTTCTCCATCGGCCTATCGCTATATGCATTCTCCACACTACCTTCGTATTCACTTAGCCGTATCGCTAAGTGGCACGCCTTCGCACGCGTCTCCAGCGATAAAAAGGATCCTCTTTTTAAGCAGTCTTCAGAAACGACGCAAATAAATTGACACCACCATCGCTCCTTACTAGGCTCGTGAGAAACAGTGTGCAAAATACTTTAATTCGAGTTCAGTTATTCTTGTTTGTGTGTGTCAAGTCTCCGAGAACTGTGCATTGACTTCACCTCTGCAACAAAGATGAGTTTGCAAGTTTGCAAGAATTTTCTCAGATTGACCTGCTTATAATCCTTGTATTCCTAGAGCGGAGTGCTCAATTGCGGCTGGATACACTCAACTGATGCGCTTCAAAGAAACCTGTTGTCGAGTATGGCATTTCGAAAAGCTCTGGGTGTCAAAAACACCTTAGAACCACGCGTTACGAAGACTGTCAACCGTGTCAGGCTCAGAATTATTATGCACCCCTTGTCCATCCCACTTTTCTATCGCCCATCGACGAACCTGATGTATGAGGCAGATGCTGAGGGAACTTGTCCTTCGCGGGGATTTCGTATCTCACTGTCTTTGAAGGTATCGCAAGGTTCGTCTACCGTCAAGGTTCACCTCCGGTTTGACCGCGACAAAACAGTACGTCATTCTCTAAACAGAAGTCCAGCGGGTCTTCAAGGACATCCAGTACATCATGCAAAACAAGGCAGTCGCTCTCTTCATGACCGACGACGACTTTCAAGAGTAAATGACAGCAATCGACAGAAGGTCGGGTTCTGAATACAGGGATCTTATCGTGGCCGCTTTATTACCCAGTAGGTTGTCGCCACCGAGAGTCCTCTGTCATCCTGGCGCAGCACTCGATGTTGTTATCGATGATGGTAGCAAGCACAGCGGAAATAGCACCTTAGAAAACAATACTGACATACAATCGACTCTCTAGGGTCTTTCCAAACACATGGCGTCAATCCAGGATCTTTTACAAACACTTGTCGAACAAACACACGAGTTACAGAAGAGACTCTTCAGCAAAGGGATTGCAATTAGGTCAGAACTCATGGCATTGGATCTTCTGAATATCAGGGATTAAGTCTTCGAGTACCTGGGGCACAGAGATTTCGTCAAATGCATGCGACTCAACAAGGTCTGACACAATCTGGTCGCATGAGGGGTTTGGGAGATAGTCAGTCTATGGGAACATCAAGGCCGAATGCACCTCCTCCGGAGGCCTTTCGACATTATGGTCATCTGGCCAAGGCTTTCGAAATGACTTTCTCCAGTAATGACTGGCGTCTGTGTTGCAGCGTAGAATCGAAAAATGAAATTGTATCTTTCGTTCGTGGACGCGAACCAAATGATCGAGCTCATGTACCAGACGACAAATCAGGAGGAATTAGACCTGACTTACGATCATGGCCAGGACCCATATCTCCTTGAGGCATGCCATCTGTGGTGCGTGATGGTAGGTCTGCCGAACCCCAAGAAAGCTTCATCTCGACAATATTGAAGTTAGTTGTTCGTTTACCTTGTTCTGGAAAACACGAAAGAGATGCTGCAAGAGATACTGGACTCATGTTTGCAGCTGAACAATTTACTTAGGTGAGACCTCACTCGCATGTTCACCGATTTCCATTAGTTCCATGCAGCAACCTTGCGAATGGTTTTGCACGACGGCAATAAAAAACAAAAAAAAAAACTCCTTCCGTATGCTCCGTGAAGGCCCTCCCCTATCTCTTCAGGGCAAACAATTCTTGAATGTTCAGCCCATTACAATTTGTCACTCACACTCTGCCTAAGCACCAAGTCTTCTTTGGTTAATATGTGCCATCACCTGAACCCCTGAGGTTTTTTTTCTTTCTTTTTTTTTTGCAGCAACTCTCTATGATAAAACCAGTATTAGAATCCGGGTCACGACCATCTCGAAAACTCCGCCCCCCGAAGCTTCACCAATCTCTTTATCCAAGCCGAAAGTTGTTGCGACAGAACTACCGGAGATCAGAAACTTCGAAATCTCGCCAAAATCCATGCAACTGAACAAAGCGCAGCCAGGATGAACAGCCTTGGTGTTCTGGAGAACCGTCGAGCTGACCTTTAAGCTGCGAAAGGGGTTTCTTCATCCCAGCTCCCCAACAGCATCAACCATGTAGTCCGCATCTTCGTGACATCCTTCTTTATTTCAGATATGTTTAACTATGGCGCGTTAACATATCTTCAATCTCCAAAGCTTGACCTTGGCTTTGGAGGGAGGGGATTATCTCTTGACAGGCTTCATTAACGAAACTAAGAGTAAAATGGACATCTTTCCAATAAGCGGCGCGGTCTTTGAAGGGTTCCCTGATGCGGGGAATTGTTGTTCGCTAATCCTGAGTTTCTGAGATTTTGAGCTAGTATTCTTTATAATCTCTTGAGTCCGAGCTTACAAAGGCTCCAGATCGAGAACAACAGGACATCTAGGGGCACAATAGGTCGTTGCCTGAGGTTCGTAGCTCTATTTCCTGATTTAGATGTTCTGGAATGTTTGCGCGGAATGGCGGTCAAAGAATCGACGCTATCACATCCAGGAATTTTGTGAAGATGGCCAAAGCAGGGGCGTATCCAACGTTTTGGGGGTAGGTCATGGGCTATGGCCGGTTGGAACCTTCGGGTGAGGTCATTCGGATACGTTGGTGGCCATGCCAGGAATGATGATTTCTTGGGATGCATGGTGCAGTGCTCAGTCTCGTATCTCTCGAGCGTATGCGGGGACGTTTTTCACTGGCAACGGAAAACTATGGTACAGAAAATCTTGACCACAAGCATTCGGCTGTGCTGATCTTTCAGAACACGTCTTATCGTCCTGGAAGCTGCTAAAGGTCGTTTATGATTGTCGGTTTATCATATAGATGCACACCTTTAACTAAAAAGAAGAGAATGGTACAATGATCCAAGTGCAGGGACGAGATATGGTCCTTACAGCTGAGGAAAAGACAGACAGCGAGAAATGGCTATGCTTTATCGCACGATTCAGACGCGTCTGCGAGAACGATGAACCTTAATCTCCATTCTCTGCAAGCCTGATAAAAATGGACCGTGCGTTTGTTAGACCTGCTTCAGCAGCAGCGATTCTTTTAGGTCTTGAAGGCTGCCCTGCACTGCCTCAGAAGCGACTTATTCGAGTAGGACGCTTTCGCCTTTGTTTGAAGAGTGTCACGAGTCTTTTCTTTTCTTTCGTGCACCCTGGCTAAAACTGTGGTACTTTCACCTCCATGGTTTATTTATTTATGACATGGCCCACTACGCTTCCATTTGTTTCCTCATCCTGTTCTGCCCTCTTCATTTTCAAAAAAGACATGGTCATAAAATCAATGCATAGAGCGGACCTCAGGCAACAAGAATATACCCAAGTGCTCCTTTAACATCTCCTCGGATGTCATGCCTCAATTCAAGATCTTTACAAGCTATTGTCAGTCAATATACAGCCCCAGAAAAGACGTATTCAGTAACGTAACAATAACGAAACCCAGAATCACGGCGATGTACCTACTAGAAATTAGAGGGCTTTATTTTCAGTATCTGGATCGCATGGATTTTGGGAAGCGCACACGGTTCTACAAGACATGGTACGACTAGAAGCGGCAGCCATCCCACGTACGGTCACTGTCCTCCCAGCACCTTCAGCCCCATTCCTTGATTCTCAAAGAGTTTGATATTGGTTTCTCACTGGCGATGAAGGCTATGCTATTGGATATCATGAATTCATGTCCATTATTGGTACAGCCCTGCAGATGCTACCTTGATCGGGAGGCTGCCGATGGCCGTCCATAAACATATCAACCAGTTCACGTCTTTGTTTAGAGCCCATTCGTAGTTAAAAAGGCATGGCAACAGAAATGGCCCTGTTTTTAAATGAAAAAGACGCGTTGAAGATCTTGGTATCCTGCCAACCCTCTGAAGAATCGGCATCCTCAACGCAATCCTGACGCGCGTTGGCGCGCAGTAATCCTACCCGCGCTCGTCTTTTGTAGCATTAGAATCTATTGGATCAGGAGCAATATTCATTCAAATGAACGCCAACTGTCATTACTATAAGATGGCCACACTTCCATCTTTCTGTGAATAGCAATTGCATTCGCAAATTCTGTTCACCATGCCCGCTGCGATGCCGTGTGGGTGTGTGGTTTTGACCGCTTCTATCATAAAACCATCAGACTTGTTTTGCCCTTCCTTTCCTCCTTCTTTTACTCTTTTCCCGTTCACCCACAACCCTCCGCTTTCTCTCGCACACGATGACAGAAGCTGCACTCGGACTAGACGCCGAAGCGACCTATCCTTCTCAGGCCTTTCGAATTTCGTCATCTTCTGAAGCATTGCTTGCCTCTTCCACTATCAAAATCACCACCCATCTCTGTAACAGGATCGGACAATATGTCATTCTCTGGGCGGATATTCAGCGGGTATTCAAGGACGTCCAGTACATCATGCACAATGGTATCACTGTCCCCTTCATGACCGATGATAATCTTCAAGAGTAAGAATTTTTTTATTCAAGGAATCATTTCTGATGGGCGATGAATACAGGGAACTTATGAAACTTATCTTTTTTTATTTGGTAGGTTATCGCCACCAAGGATCCTCTATCGTCCTGGAGTTATTCTTGATATTGTTCTCGACGACGACGCCCGCGTGCTCTCTGTCAGAAAGCAAGCAGACTTGGCACTCATAGACCACCTGGCGGACATAAGATTGAGTCTTCAGCATATCTTTGAGAGCCAGACCTCGATCCAGGGCCTTCTACAGACCATTATCAATCAGACGTACGAGCTGAAAAGCAATCCCTTCAAGAGTAGGACCGCATTCAAGTCAAGGATTAAGGCACTGGACCTGCCAGAGATCAGAGACCTGGTCTTCCAGTATCTGGATCGCAAGAGTTATGTAAAATGTATGCGGCTCAACAAGGCATGGCACGGATGGGCGGAACTAAAGGTCTGGGAAACGATCAAACTAAGCGGAAAACCACGAATGGATCCTTCTATTGAAGCTCTTCGACGCTATGGTCATCTTGTCAAGACCTTCGAGATACCCTTTCCCGCTACTTTCAGGACCGAATATCATTCGCTGGATCTTTTAAACCTCCAAAGTCTTTCCCTGACCCTTTCGAGTGGAAATGTGCAGCACATGGCCGAACTCATTTACCGACATGGATACCTGAAGCGACTGAATGTGATGCAAGTAGAGGAGGGGAGCGAGTCTCGTCTTGGCATTTTGCAACTATGGAAGGCGATCGCAAGTCTGCAGAACTTGAACAGCCTACATGTCTGCAACGTCGATCTATACACCGCCGTCAATCTCGAAAGATTGAGAGAGCTGCATTTACTTTATACTAAGACTGCCCAGGATACGATACTCCAACAGCTGCAATTCTTGTCACGATGTTCATCCTTGGAGTCTCTCGAATGGCGTTCAGCCGCTGTTATTCAAAAGACTGGAGCTGACACAGTTGGAAGATTTGTGAGGATGGTCAAAGCGGGGACGTGGCCCAAGTTGGAGGCATTAACGATAGATCCAGGTACTTTGGCCCTTTCTGACGAAAGCATAGCATCTATCCTGGCAGCCATGCCACGAGTGACGTTCGTGGGGATGTGCAATTCAGCATTCGGTCAACTGTCGATCCAGTCTCTCAGGGCCCACTTCTCGACCCTCAAGGGGCTTGATCTCATGGGATGTCCTCAAGTGACAAAAACAATGCTGATGGAAGTCCTCTCTTTATGCCCACAGCTATTAGAGCCCTTCAGAAATCGCCTCACTAAGATTGCCGCCGATAGAAACTTGTAACTTTGTGCACTATAGCACTCACCCCAAAATGGCGTCCCAAGGAAAAAACAACAACAGCACGTCCTTTGTCAGTGGATAGCTTTTTGAATGTCCTTTCGCATGAAATAAACGCGCCTCGTAGTGTCCCTCTAAAATGAAAAATAAAAAAAAAGTAAGTGAAGAAAAGGATTAAATGTTGATCCTGAGTTAAGTCTAGCAATATTATATATTCAGGTACACTGCGTTATGCAAGCGCGTATGTGTTTGCAATGGTATCTTTTATCTGGGCATTTTTCTATTTTCTTTTGTTATTTCCGGAGAGTTTATCAAAGAATATACGTCGTTGCTACGAGACGGTAGCTGAGCGCGTTAGCCGTAAAGACGCAATTCTATGTGACCAGGAAAACTGTGCTATGGGCTGTGTCGACAAACGTTGGTGTCTTCGCGTACGTGAAGCCACGCTGATCGATGTAGACTGATTCTCTTTAATCATGAAAGGACCCGATATTGTTCCCTCCTTTTCATTTTCTCTTTGCCGTTCGCCTACCAGCAGCTCCACCATCGCTTCTCGCACGCGGTAACAAAACGCAAGCTTTCAACGACTGTTGAAGCGGCCTGCCCTTCACAGATCTTTCGAAGATCATCGTCTTCCCAGTATCAAAATTGCTACCCACCCCGATAGCAGGACTAGACAATATGTCACTCTTTGGGCGCATATTCAATGGATCTTTAAGGACGTCCAGATGGCTCTGGCGTCGAAGAGTCCAGATAGGCAGATTCGTAAGCGATTCAGGCCGTAGCTCGATCGTTCTCCAAACCATTAGTAGTATTAATCTGTGCCAAGCTTTGTTCAGCAACATACATTTCACTAAATCCTTGCGTCTTAGGAATCAAAAGATGTATGTAGTTCCTAGCCTCAGTCGGCACGCCTATCGCCATGGCTTTCCTTCTTCGTAAGATTCTTTCATCATATATCCACTGTTAAGTTTACCAGAGAACGCAGTACATTCGATGTAAACCTGGCTCCTGTTTGGCATTCATTTGACATGGTTCCGGTTCCTGCCGAGGCTTGGTTCAGTCGATTGTCCCTTTCGCGTCGAGCGCCCTTTGCATTTACTGTCAAGTTCATATCCCTTCCGCTGTTTGGATGGAATATCTGTGTTGGTTGTAGGTACAAGTTTAGTGGGCGAAGCAACGTTTATTTCTTCATACTGGTTAAGTATTGATCAATGTCCAGAGCTACAATTGGCTGCTCCAATATGAGGCCGTTCCAAAGCAATCCTATTTGTGATACAATGAAAACAAAGCCTGGCTAGTTCCTGCAACTCTACATGCTGATATAGCGCATGTTTCCTTGACACTCTTTCCATATCTTCTGATCAACACCATCGTCGTTACAACCGTGAATGGAGAATAAAAAAATGATAGGATGGGCGAGCATGGCCACTCCACAACCTCTGCTTTAAACCGCAGCGCGGTACTATGCAGCGTACCTTGGCAGGCATGCACAGCCAGAGATTGCTTTTCGTGCCGTGGTCCTTGAAAAGAGTCACCACTGAGCACGCGCTGAGCGACCAACATCTGCCACCATCAAACAACATCCTGCCTAGCCTCAGTCTCGAAACGAGAGTCAGTCGCCTGGAGGGTCTGATTTCTCTGCCTGGCAAGTTGCCCAAGCGGACAGCCTTGTAGACAGAAGCGGCCAGTCAGGCAAAGGAACAAGCCATATAAAAGCGATGAGAGAGTACCTTTGGATGTTGAGGCCAACGAAATCTTTGGCAGCTTGATTTGGCGGATGAAGAGGGCATCTGGATCTTGGGAAAGGGGATGGTGTCTGGGTTCATCAAGAGTAGAATATTAAGGGGAACCCAACCGGCTCATTTCCCGCTACGACGTCGACGAAGCTGATTACTCTACGCCCAAAGTCTTTATGCCTCTTGAACAACCATACCATGGAGCAGGGATCCTGTAGCAGAGTCCAAAAAAATTTTAAGGTCTCCAATACGCGCCATTGGCACGACGTCTCCTCTTACTTTGCGCACTGCGACGAGCCAGCAAACGTCGAGGCCCATTACGAGTCTTACAAGTCCTCTCTCGAAACCCTTCGCAAAGACAAGAACGACGAGGTTCGAAAGAGCGCCGGTAGGGTGTTGAATCTGCTCAGTAAGGAGATATTTGAAAGCAAATTCAGGGAAAGGCTGCGTGAAGCCTCTACAAGGCGATCAAAGGAGAAATTCTCCGGCGCTTTTCTAAATGTCGCGGAGGGCGCGAGCGATATCGCAGCGACTGAGACCTCGCAAGGTATCAATATATTGCACTCATCATGGATCTCGAGGGTTCTGTTTCTGTGGATGTAGCACCTAAGCTGCTTAATTCTTTGAAGTCTAGCATTCAAAGGTCCAACTCTCACTATTACAGAGATGGTGAAGAAGACGCTAGAGGCAACAACTTCAACGAAAGCAGCGCCAGCAATAAAGGCTTCGAAGAAAGTAACACAAGTGGTAGGAGCACCAACGGCTGTAGCGCTAATGACTGCACCATCTCCACCACAGCAAATTATTCGAAAGCGTGGGAGAGCGTCAAAACTCGACGATGCAAGCAAGTTGCAGCGGAGGGAGGAGCCCAAGGCGAGGTTGAGAGTACCATGGCACGAACTAGTGGAGTCGGCGCTTCTCTTGGTATGTAACGGTTAACCTTGAGAAATGGCGGTACTTATGCAATCGCTAACGCTCAATTACTCCCCTAATATGACATAGTACGACAACTACGATGTTGCTCTACCGCGAGCGAACTTGGCCGAGGGATTGAGTGATGAGCAGGCAGCCTTGTATAACTTGGCTCTGGGAGAGTTAGGGTCTGCTAAGGCTCTTATGAACAGCCAGGAGAAGTTCGACCGCGATAAATGTCTGCCCTTTAAGGACGCCTTGTAAGTATCCATTCAATTTTTGCTCCGCATTCGTACGCCTTCCTGCACTATTTACGAGTTTTATTTCTGACCAATTTTGCTGTTGAATTGTTACTTGGTAGTGTTGCTATATCTGGGATTTTGAATACGTTCTCGCCGCTCGCGGGGAGGGCCTTGTCTGCGGAGGAATTGCAGCAAGTTGAAGCGCTGTGTGCCGTGCCGGACCTCCACGGGAACAAAGAAGCTAGGCTTCAAGATCTTATTCGAATTCTACTTGACATACTTGCCAAGGGCAAGTTGGAGGACGTCCTGGAGAGCACATATCGGATTCAAGTGGGGGAACCCTCTTTTCGACCATTTCTGCACGTTTTGCAGACAATGTAAGTTTTTTTATTTTATTTTATTTTTGCTTGCAGCTGTTATCGCTCGGCAGGAACATCAGCTAATCGATGGAATTCATATTAGTATCCAAAACATCATACGACCAATGTATGGCGACAAGACCCCTTCGGAAGCGGACTCACTCCATCTTTGGGCCTCCATCTTTCAGCAAGGTCTCCCACTCGACAGTACTCTGGCATTTCACTTGTAAGTTAATTCTCTTGGACTTTATTTCACTTCATTCATTATAAATACATATTCTAACCATCTCTTGACGTTATAAGGGCAAGCAGGGATGCGCTGCAACGGCACTTTCGAGGTCAAGGTTGGCCGATGTCTTCAACACAGGTGCCAATGCACGAAAGTGCGATTGCTTGTTGACTGTTGGCGGTCTGGAGGTCGCCAATTTTGAGTACAAGCGGGGAACAGCAAACAAGCAAGAAGTCGCCTTCCAGCTGCGAAAAAACTTGAAAATCAACAAAAGTATCCTTTTGGAGCTCGATAAGTACGGGATGGAATGTCCCTTATTACTTAATGTTCACGGTAAGTTGAGCTGGCAAGGCTCGTGAGGTATCATGGTCGTTTATAAAATATAATAGTACTCATCATAATGACACAGGCCGGTCCGCCGTCATCTACAAGCTCTGCAAGTGGAAGAGCATTTGGGTTGCTGGCAAGGCATCCAAAACGTTCATGTTGCCCATGACAAGAAGGGAGTTCCAATGTTTCTTAGAGGGTCCGGTCTTTCAATTGGCGAACCTCCTGGTAAGTGTTTTGAGTAGCTTTTATTTGCCCTTTCATTATTGCGCATCAACACCGTGTAGCTAGCATGAATCTCATTGATGTTTTAGGCCCATTTAGACAATGGAGAAATGGCTAAAAGGCAATATAAATACGTTGGCTCCGGCCAGCAATCCGCATAATAGCATGCTGACCTTGGCTGCGAAAAAAAAAAACCTTGCAGGGGATAAAACGCCTTAACGTGTCTGGCTTGATCTATAGCCGCTGATTACGTATCTATCCGACGATAATTTTCTGCGATCGTAAATGGAGCACAAAGCGAGGTTTAGATGACTTACAGCCCGCTGCCTTGAAGTCATAGTACTCTTCGGCTGCCTTATTACGATCGCAGCCTGGCTCTCGGGCAGACGGTGTTAAAGCATTAGGTCTATGCTATAATGTGACCTTTGCCGGGTATATCAAGACGCTTTCGATTAAGATGATGCGCAATCTGTTCATTGATTATTTTATTTTTTTAATAAAGCTGGGGCCTGTCCTCATACATGGTTACCACTCTCACCCACCATTTTATATGACACACTTTCGTGCAAGCACTAAGGAAGAGAGAGGAAGAGAGAGGAAGAGAGAGGAAGAGAGCATCGCCGTGTGCTTGGCTGAGATACACGGCACTGTGCCGTTCGTTTCATGTGCAATTATACTCTAACCTTGCTGCTCACGGACGACAATGGACCCTGCGATTTTAACGTGCATAGAATTCATAGCAGGTGATCCCATTTCGCATGTTTCGGAACCTGAGGCGTGCGGAAACAAAAAAAAACAGAACCAAAAAGGGCGCTTGGAGGGTTGAACCTGTGAGAACTGCTGCCCTCCGGAGAGAACTTTTGCGGGTATTCCCGGCAAGGGACCTGTCTGCTAGTTAGCGCATGTCCGCGTGCTCCATTCTCGAAAACAACCCCCTTTATATCCCAACTCCTTATTTCCAGCATACTATGTATTTCCTAGTAGGGTTCTTCGCTTTGAGGGTTCTCGTGTTATGGAGGGGATGGGGAAGATACCCTTCTTGTAACAAGGTGCTTTCAGCTTTTAACACACTGATGAGGTGTGGCAATTGTTGCGCAGGCCCTAGGGGCAGGCCCAGGGGATGTGACCTGTCAACTGGCGATTGTGGATCGGTTCCGCTTTGGTGGTGAGGACAGCGATAGTAGATCTTTGCTAGTTAGTCTGATAGATTCGCAGGGTCGGTCGACTCGAGAGACAAATTGTTATAAAAAAAATAGATCATCGCAAGGTCAATCGGGAAAGATTAAAAAAATATAATGAATCGTATTATCATTCCAGTCTACTTTCTACATGAGAAAATATTTACGCGTCTTAGCTGAATGGCCTTTGTACGGGGGTCGAAACGCGACTTGATTTTTTTCCTTTTTTTTTTTTTAGGTAGACAGGTAGGTATATCATTGTCGCTTGTGCATACGAATTGTTCGATGTAAATCAAATTGTTACTTTGAGGATGACATTGTGCAGGATCGCGGATGGATGGCGTATTGAAAGGCGACTGTTGTCCTGTGGTGCTTTCGGGGTAAGAAAAAGTATTAGATAATTTCTAGGGTCATGTCCAAGCGAAACGCGAAAATCGTTCTCGTGAAATGGTTCCGTAGACGCGAGAAAGACAAAGGGCAGAGTTCTGAGAAGGGCAGGCAGAGTGTGGTCACTCGGAACATTGTTGCCAGGATGGGCGCAATATATATCAACATCCAAAAATCCCTGCCAATGTAAACCCTCCTAATTTTGACTACTGTTGGTTCTCATTTCACACATCTTCACAGTCTCAGCTCTCATCATTTCTCGGGCAGTAAAAAAAATAAAATAGAATTGTGGGTGCCATTCCAAACACTTCGAGACTGAACATCGAGACAAGAACTGCAACTGTTGGCGCAATGCACCATGTAATCCAGCCTGTACTACAGTCGATGAATAGATTGCGAATAATAAGAGCCATTAGGTTCCACAAACTGGTAACCGCCCTTGATAGCCAGAATGTATCACGCCGACTGTGAAATATTAGTGGAATGGGTCATCTCCAGTTACATCACGCGCGTGTGTCGATAAATCAGGCCGCTTATGTGTATCGAATTACGCGTCAAAAAACTCAGGACCAGCGTCTAGAGGTTGAGGACCTCCATCGTGGCATGTTCAGCTATACCAGGGGTAGATTCATCTATTTTGAAGACGTTGACAAGGCAACCTTAACAGACATCGCGTCTTCTTATTCACAAGAAAGGATGGAAGAAGAGGCGGCCTTGTATGAAAACAGAGGGCGTCCCAGGGTTATTTGTGCATACGATCCTTACCCTAGAGCATAATGTCCATCAGCCTACAACACGGCTTTTAGCCAACGGGAACAAAGGAAGTTGCTTAACGAGGATCGTATTGATTTTGTGCAGAATAGACTAAATACTGGACCCTCAGCTGCACAGTTTCGAGAAACTGCTTTCATACAACGGAGTATTATATAAGGCGTTGCTAGCTGACGATCAGTATAGAATAATCTTCTTCAATTTTATTACGAGTGCGCTAAACAAAGGCGTGTTTAGGCCGACATATTTATGGACGACCATCGGCAGCCATCGCAGTGAGGCGGTCTCTGCACGGCTTGAGTAGCGACGGACATGAGTTCAGGATTTCCAACAGCATCGCCTTTGTCGCCTGCGAGAAATCCATATGGATCTCTTGGAGAGTCGAGAAGTGGATCCGGAGATGCTGGAAGGACAGCGGACCACATACCGTCGAAGACACACTGAAAGCAACCACGCGTGGCATGGCTGCCAGGATAGATGCAATGTCTGTGTCGGAAAATTTGAGATAATGTCGATCTACACCAAACCGCTCCAGCTTAAGCCAGGTGCCCGCTTTGAACATCTCCACAAGTTCAGGTACGGGATCTTCAAAGTGACCCCTTGAGCCTGGAAACCATTCCAGGGTCTCCAAGGACGGGAACTGTGATAAGAAGGATATCTGACCACATACCGTACCACTGCTGCTCGAAATGCACTCCAAATATAACGCTCGTACACTCAAGAATTCGAAAGTACTGAATGGGGGCGGAAAATTCCAGACATGGAGGGTCCTTAGGTTGGGTAAACTGGCGATCGTTTCCCACAGCTGGCACACTGCATATGGCTCTCTTTTTCGCTGTTCAAATGCTTTTCTAGCTTCCAGTTGGGCCGTCGCAAATGAGTACCTATCTTCCTTCTGATAGATAGCCTGTATTTGTACCAAGTAAGTATGGCGATAAATGAAGTCGCATACGTGCAATGTGTCTACCAAGTGACCGTTCGGAACGACCAAGATCAGCTTTTCGAGCTTGATAAGATACATGTCGTAGTACTCCTTCGTAACAGAGGCGGGGTTGTCGATCCTGAAAGTCTTAACAAGGTGACTATAGCGTCGAAGAGCTTCTACAGACAGATTATTTCGTGGTATGCCGCTTAGCCTGGCCGTTTCCCAGACCTTCGGTGCCGCCCAGTCGTGCCACTTCTTGTTGAGTAGCATGCATTTCACGAAATCTCTGCGATCTAGGTGCTGAAAGACGTAATTCCTGATTTCTGGTAAATCCATCGCTATGGCCTTAGGCTTGATTGCCTTTGCATTGCCTGGTAAACCTTCCTCCGATTCGTATACGCGGTCAGTAATTGTTTGCAGAGTGCCCTGGATCAAAGATCGACATTCGAGGATATATCGAATAGCTGAGTGTAGATTGCCGCTATTATCGGATGCAGCATGGCTGGTGTTCCTGTTATTGGTCCTTAGGTCCCGCTGGTCATCGGTATCGTGAAGGGCCGGGCCTGCCTGTATTTCCGAGGGAAGTTCCTGGGCGCTGTCTCTGAGTACGACATCGAGAACCGTACCAGGGCAATGGAGAATTCTTGGCGGTGCCAATCTATCAGGTAGGAACCAGAGCAGCAAGCACTGTAAGTTCATCAAGTTCAATTCATCCACATAGATCAGATCAAATACCGAAACCCATTGTCTCCAAAAAGAATCCTTACTCTTGAAAGTCATCATCAGTCATAAGGAGAACGGCGGAGTCGCGATCCATGATGTACTGGGCGCCCTCGAAGACTCGTTGGATATCTGTCCAGAGAATAACGTATTGTCCAGTCTTGCGGTCCAGGCGGGTGCCGATATTTATGATGGGAATGGCCGTTGGTGCTTTAGAAAGCAGCGATATACGAAAGGTCTGTGAGGGGCAAGCTGTTTCGGCAGTTGGGTTCGCCATAGTCGGTGAGATGCGATGAGGAAGACAAAAAGTGAGGGAGGAAAACACAAAAAACGTATTCCTGGGAAAACAGGGGATGCAGGATCAAGTGATGAAGCAGTTGGTCTATGCATGTGTTGTTAGGGGCCCTGAGGCGACTCTAAAAGCGCATAAAAGACTGGGACCCTGTGAGCTAAACAGCTCCTCATTTTAGAGCCAGTTATCTGTAAGGCATATGGCACAATCAGGCGGACTGGATGTTGCTACTCGCATAAGCGTTGTTAACATCGTGTAGATGTTTTCATTGGTTCCGCGCGTTGTATTGAGTGTGCGCGACGGATTAACAGGGAAATAGTAGATATACCAAATGCCCCAACCAGCACACCAAGCGGCTCTGACCCGCAAGAAATATCACGATTATCACACTTAGATACGCTGTCATTTCTCTGACGCGAGATAAGGCTGTCAAGACCTTGGGATGGGAGCGGGCAGTACTTTAAATTCCTATCAATCCGACCAACAGACTTCCGCTTCAAGTAGGCCGTTCTAGGGGCTTATCCGCAAAGCGTTCTGGCGACCCCAGGCGCTATCTACCTGGCCTTTTTTTTGAGGCAGGTACCTCCCATCGGACATCCAATAACGCGTGTCGGAGCTGAATGAACACAACGCGTACGAAGAGAAATATATTAAGGAGCTCTGACGGCCAATTGAAGTGTTTTTGTTATTTTTTCAGATCAGAGCGATCTTTTCTCTCTCCCCACTTCCCTCCTTCCCTTTCCCATTGTGTCCTACTCCATCCCCCATTCAAGGTATGCATAACAATCCTTTGATGATCCTTTGCCACCAACAACACACAGCAGGAGATCAGAGTACAAAAAGTGCACAGCTATGATGCTTTAACGATTAGTCTTTATGACGTCTCTTCGGAGCCATGGATCCAACATACCCATAACCCTGAGCCAAACACACCGTCAACAACTCTCTTTTCTCTCCTGTCTATCCATATCTCGAGTGGTTGAAAATTGTGTGAATCGATACTGAGGACACTAACAATCCTTATTTCGCGTTAATTGTTCTTTGTTTTCATTGAACAGGTAGTATCCATTGGCGTTTCTTTTTTTCTCTTTTCTTCAGGACGAATGCAGGGTCATGAAGACAGCCATTGAGCAGCCAAGACTTTTATGAACAATAAAGATGATATTACAACGAAATACAAAGGTGCTTTTTTTTTATTTTCAGGATGTCATTTTGGTTGATGGAACTGGGAGCTATGAACAGATGAGTGGATAGAATTACAAAAGACTGTGTGATATCAATTGGCATCGCAATGACAACGAAAAACAGGTATATAGAAAAAAGGATCTCCTTAGACTTGGCAAACGAGTCCTCCCTTCATCGGAACTCGTATGATCCAAATGAGGAGCGTTCCGCCACATGGTCAAGACTCAATTCCTGGAATCTATTATCAAACGACGAACAAAAAAAAAAAATTCCCCCATCGTGTCAATTGTCTGTTGCCATTGTCGATTGACTGGAGCCACGCGTCTATTTCTTTCAGTAAAAGACTTACTTTTCACTCGATTGGTGATAGTAGTACCCATTGATCCGGCCAGTCTGCTTGTGATAACAAATGTAATAAAACCCGGCGAAACTTGCGCCAGTGATACCCTCGACATGATGGTCAGGTACCAGGAAATGTTCCTTCCACCTCATGAAGACCACATCCACCTTGCGAAAGTCGCACTTTGCATCCTCAAGCCCGCTTAGGTGGTTGACATTCTCAAAGGGCTTGAACTTTTTCTATCCACCGAAAAGGCGAAGCCGATGCAATTATAAAAAGAATAGAGATGGGTTAATAAAAAAACAGTCGCGGCCATGCGCCCAAGTGATCCAAGTGATCCAAGTGACAAAGAAAAAAGAGATGGGCTTGTGGCTCGGTTGTGCTGCTTACCCAATGCTCCTCATCTGTCACTTCGCTTGCGTCCCATTTTTGTGTCAAAAAAGAGTATTCCATTCCAACGATCTCGGCGTCAAAGAACGTTGTCAGTTCTGGGTATTCTTCTGTCAGTCCCTTGATGTGAAGGTAGCCGCATAATGTCGAATCGTTTAGGTTCACGTCCTACATATTAAATGAGACATAAAAGAATAAGCACATCAATCCCAAGCAAGAATATGCCCTGAAAGGAAAAGAAAAAGAGATGAAAGGGAGCTGTGTTCGCTTACCTTGATGTCGACCATGACTTCGTAACCGTGGCTTCCAGACTTTTGCATGCCCTGGAACTTGCTACCTGGGTACAGATGACATGTCCTTGTAGGCATCTGTCGAATGGACTCGAATGGATCCCTCTTGCGTTGTTCCTGTTGTGCCTTCAGCAATTGCTGTTTCTTCAGGAGTGCCTGCTGCTTCAACTGAGCCAGTGCATGTGAGCTGGAGGAGATCTGTAACGGACAGGTTGAGAGGTGTCCCTGGAAATGGACAGGGGAGATGTGCTGGTGGGCATAGCTGTTCCTTTGATCGTTCCTGTTACTGCTGCTGTTGTTGTTGTTGTTGTTGTTGTTGTTGCCGTCGAAGTTGTTAAAGGTATCGTTATGGCCGAGGATGACAGCTTGCATGAGGGCGTCGTCTGAGACAGGGCAGGTACAGACTGCTTCGACTGATAGGTCAATGGGGCCGGTAAGGGCGGTTGTGATGACGGCGGTCTCCTGGACGGGATCTGCGGCGGCAACGCGGGCAAAGACAGGCATGGCGGCTGGCGTCTTGTTCTGAGTTTGAATCAGAAGAGAGAGGGGCTGGCTACTTGCAACGGTTCCTGGGGATTGAGGAGCGAGGGAGAAGAGGGTAGTAGGGGATGGCAACGGCGGCAGTATGGGTAGAAAATAAAGCGACAGTGGTGTAACGAAGCGAGGGAAGTGAGGGAGGTGAAGAGAACAGTGGAAATGAGGAAGGAAAGGCGAACACAAGGTTTCTCTTTGTTTTTATGAAAGCTGCTGTGATGCACAGCAGGCAGCAGCAGCCAAGGTCCTTCGCTCCACACAACATTCTTTTTTTTTGCGGCAGGCAGGGGGTCGGAGGCACCACCTGACTCCATTCAAATTGACAGTAAACCACTCAATGCTTCCCACGCTACCTTGCTACCTCTTTTTCCTCTCGTCTCTCTTTTTTTCTCTCCACCATCTTGCTCCGAGCATCCATTCGTGGAGGGTATCAGTCAAGTCAACATGGAAGAAGAGGAGATGAAAGACCTCCTTTTTTTTTTCTTTTTTTTATTTCTGAGGATGTATCTTTTCATAGTGTCCTGACACACAACGTGGTAGAAGTACACATGGGTGAAGAAAGGGAGGGGTCAGTAATGGATAGGGTAAGCTGGGATGGATTGGAACCCGCTTTTGATGCTCACTACAAAAGACCTTCTTCTTTGGTTGAATGTGGTTGAATAAAAGTTTATTGTTGAGTCCATTCCTGGGAGGGTCACACGGCCCCAGATGGTTTCCCACGATACCATTGGTCCACGGTCCATGAACGTCTTTGTCCGTTGTACAATAGACCCATAACATCGTTTTGCCTACTAGTCTACTTGTCATCGTACTCAACAACCGCCAAGGCGCCATCCTGACCTAGTGCGACATCGTGCACAACGACCTTGCGTCCGTCTTGTTCCAGAGGCATCTTCACTCTCTTTGGCACATAGCTGTGTTCAAAGTCGCCATGGCCCAGGCGCCCTGTCTTGCCACATGTACCCCATGTGTAAAGATCCCCCTTATCTGAAAAAAGAAAAAAAAATTGATATGGTTACTCAACCGCATGGCAACAGAAAACCGTTTCAAGCGCTTTGAATGCCTTACCATCGATGGCCGCGGCATAGTCCGTGCTGGCGACAATTTTTCGGACCCCAGATAGCGCTGTGATCTGTTCGGGCATCAAGATCTGGATCTTGTCATGACCCAGACCCAGGGCTCCGTATCCACATGTGTACACTTTCCCACTCTCAGTCAGCAGCAATCCAAACGTGCCTCCTGCAGCCACGGACGCAATTACTTCTGTCTTAGGGATAGGGTGCGGAATGTGAATCGGTTCGAGGATCTACCGCGGAGAAAAAGGAAAAAAAAAAAAGAAGAGGCAAGAAGTAGATCAGATATCGAAACGAGGATCCCAATAACAATGGGGGTGCATGGAATAATTCTCTGTAGGGATAAGGGCTTTACCCTGTCGATCTTCTTGTTGACCATGCATTGGCCGTACTCAGCGTTGCCCCAGATCCAGATCTGGTGATTCTCCAGCAATGCAAGAGTAAAATCCGTTGAAGTCGAGATCTCCTTAATCCGTCCGACCTCCTTCCCTCGAGCTTTCCAGCTCAGTCGCTCAATCAGTGTTGGCAAAGCGCGATCAGAACTCGACTCGGGGCCTAAACCAAGTTGCCCATCTGCTCCCCATCCCATCGAGTACAAGTTGCCTTGATCTATCGAAAATCATAATTCAGGATCAGTATTCGAGTTGAATGATGGCTACCAAGTCTCTTTAGGATTCGTACGTACCCGTGCGAAGAACGGTATGATCGAGTCCACATTCCACCTGAACAACATTCTCATTCGGATCTAGGAGCTGCACTTGAGTGGGCGAAGGCTCAAACACGAACCCCGCGACTTGCTCGCCTATGAGTTCCTTGCCGAACGTATCCTTCGATCCTCCTAATCCCAGCTGCCCATACATCGAGTTTCCAAACCCAAAAAGCATTGTCTTTTTCGATGCTCCCGATGCTGTTGCTTCTGAAGATTGCTTGCTATCTGCTGAATCGATATCCTGCTCTTTGGCGAGCAACATGGAGTGCTCGCGACCACAGGCGACCGCCAAGATCTCCATGCCCGTGGTATCGATCGCGCTGAAGGTACTCTCATTATCTCTAGATCCGCCACCGAGCTGGCCGCTGTGGTTCATGCCGCCTCCCAAGACTCCGGCTTCGCCATCGCCGGAGAGCGCGATCAGGCGGTGGGATGCTCCTGCTGCTATCCGGGTCTTGTTTGGTCCCTGCAGTCCAGCGGTATGTCAATAGCATTAGGTATTAGGTATGGATGTTGCCCAATGTTTTGGATAAGAACACGCCTAATTGCCCATTGATTAACACAAATTAGACTAGGCAAATTGTTGAAAGTGGTACCTGGGCAATGATGGAGTCGCTCTCAAAGACTGTCATGTCCGTTGACCCGTAACCCCATTCGACGACGGATGCCTTTGCGCGCCATGCTGAACTGTGGAACTGACTGAGCCGGAGGGTTGCATGTCTGAAGACAAATCCCCGCTGCTGTCGCGTTGCATGAGCGAGTGTCCTTGCGACGTTCATCATTCGATACGGTAATGAAGAGAAGGTCGCGTCTTTGCGCCTGACCGAGCGTGTATGTATCGCGGGAAAGTGGTGTTGTTTGAATGAAGACCCGTCAAATGAAGGGACTGTCTTCATTCAATTGAACACAACAAAAGCGCGTTGTTGGGATTGCGAAACAAGCGTTTCGAAATACAAACAAGGACACGCATCCTCCATCTTTGACGTGTTGCACCTCCATTTCATCCTCACATGTCCAACATGGTGGTGCCCACACCATCGCACCAGGAGACGCAGGGACCGGACGCAGGACCTGACCAGGATTTGCTCAAGGCCTCGACCACTCCGGTTGCTGCATCCTCGACAGAAGAACAGGCGATATCACACTCTGTTCAAGAAGAGACTAGGCCTGCTCTCAGGGCTGAAGCAACAGCAGAGCAGACCACGACTCCCACGAATACCCAAAAGCCAGAGCCCACAACTGCAGCCTCAGAGATGGCCATTACACCTGTGCCAGCTCAGACTCAGGCACCGAAGCAAGTCTTCTCACTCTTTTTGACACCGGAGCAACGGAAAAAGAAACTCGAAGCCGAAGGCCTCTCCACCGTTGCACTTTCCAAACGTGGCCGGAAACCTAAACCCAAAGGCCCCACCGGTATCGCCGCCCCTCCTTCTCCTCACTCCATGATAACTTCTAAACCATCGATCGATCCCAAATCCATCGTTGACCCCAATATCTCCAAAAACGGCGAGACACACCCCTTCTTTCAAGAGATCAAGGCCACCTCTCAATTGCACGTCACCTCCTCCGCGAGCAGTTCAGGATCTGACGCTGCGAACGGACATCACGCTAATACCCGCAGATGGTTGAACGACAAACCACAGGAATCGCCCTTCCCGCTAAGACATCAGCAATTCCATGGATCGGAGACCATTGATGTGATTAATGGCGTCGTCGCACGGCTCTGTGGCATTAACGCATCCTCGCCTACAGCTCCAGCCAGCACAGTAGAAACACTACATGAGATTGCGAAGAGGTCTTCTGGAAACACGGAGCATAAACTTTGTGGATGGTATTCTCTCCGCGCCTCGCCCGATCTGGGGATCACAGCTCCGCAATACACGGTCAAGCCTCGCGGGAAGGACTGCTGGACACACTGGGGTAGAAGCACAGGCGCGGATACGGATCGGGAACAGAAATGGAGGGCCTGGTCGGAACGCAATCACCGGTTACAGAAGCCGACCGAGCGGGAGAGACAACTCGTCAGTCCCAGAAACAGCGGAGCTTCTCCAGCGGAGGAGTTTGAGTCCTGCCAGCGAGTCGCCGCAAATCAAGATCTGTGGCAGCGGACGTGGGCGACGACGCTCTTATCGAATGCGAGATTAACACCGGGATTGGAATCGACGGCGACAGATGTACAACTGCCAGCAGCAGATTTGGCAAGGGTAGGAGAGTTATGGACGGAGAAGTATCGACCGCATCAGGGAGCCGAGGTGTTGGGGAACCGCGCCAATACGGAGTACTTGACGCAGTGGTTGAAAGGCTTGGAGGTCTCGGGGTGGACACTGAACCCAGAAGAAGCAGGCGCAGGCGGGAATGGTATGGCCAAAAAGACAGCAGATATTATTATGGGCACAGCCAGAAAGCGTAGGAAGCGTCCAAGGCGAAGAGGAGGCCCGGAGCTAGACGATTTCATTGTGTACGACGACGATGACGATTTTGAGAGTCCTTATGACTACTTGAGCGATGAGGACGATGGCTTCTTTGCGGCACCCAAGCCCTTGTCTTCGTTTTCGCGGTTGGCATATAGTGACACACCAGAGTCGGCTCATTCAGGGAGGACGTTACCAAAAAAGGTCGATATCAAATCCAACACGGTCCTCTTGAGTGGTCCCACGGGAAGTTGCAAAACTGCGGCGGTGTATGCATGTGCAGAAGAGAGCGGATATGAAGTATTTGAGGTGTCGCCAGGCACAAGGAGGACAGGGAAGGAGGTTTTGGGACTTGTGGGCGAGATGGCAGAGAACCACCATGTGCATGTTGTCCCCGGAAAGTCGGACGTCAAGGACGATGTTGTATCGATAATGGGCGGGAAGAGTCATGAGAGCCCGGTGGCTACACCTGCGGCAACACCTGTGGCAACTTCGACGATTCAAGCATTTTTTCAGCGGAGTCAGCAGAACCAGGCTAGTCAGCGACAACAGCAACAACAACGGCAACAGCAACATCAGGAGATGTCAGAGAACGGGGATGATGAGTATATGGACGAGTCTTCAGATGTGGATATAGATGATTCCGATGGCCGTCATTCGCCAGCGGCCCCTCCGAACGATACCCAGCGGACGACAAGGTCGTCATCATCGTTTTCATCGTCCTCAGTCGCGGATGGGGGGAAAAGTAGCAGCCCGGCGTTTCATGAGGACACGCTTTCGGATCTGTACTCTCTCCTGTCGACGACGAATCCTCGGCAGTCTTTGATTCTTTTGGAAGAGGTCGATATTTTGTTTGAAGACGACAAGGGCTTCTGGGCGAGCATCATGACCCTCCTCTCAAAGAGTCGGCGACCTGTCGTCATGACCTGCAATGGTGAGTCGTTCCTCACCACTTGCTACTTAACATGTTCAGACATCTATACTATCCGCCACCAATTCCTAATCGTATCGACTTGTGACACTCTTACAACAACTTAGATGTCTCGAAGATCCCTGCAGAATCTCTCCGCTTCCAAGAACATCTGGAATTTACCCGACCCTGTCTTCGTGAACTTCACCAATACCTCTCATCCGTCTGTAGGATCGAAGGATTCATCTGCTCGTCCGAATATATTCTTGGACTGATCAAACACTGCCGATACGACGTGCGGAAGTGTCTTATGCAACTTCAGTATGATGCAGGCGTCATACGGAGCAAACCAGCCCTCTCACGATCGTCCTCTGGCATCTTGTCCGCGAATCGCAGTACCACCCCGGTGCCCGTATCACCTAGCAATCCAGTGAACAATCATGGAGATGGATTACAAAATGGAAACAGGACAGGAAACGGGGCAGGGTCGCCAGCTCGGAAGAAGCCGCAGCGGCTGTTGAGGATCAGCGCGAAAGGAATTGTGCCGGCCTCAGCGCCTGTGGGATTAATGGATCGGAAGGTGGGGTTGAACCCGAAACAGGAATTGGAGCGCCTGGATGTTCAGGCGCAGTATGCAGAGATGATGTCCTTGTGCGATTCTGGGCTGCGGATGAAACCTGCGCGCGTTATTCAGGTACGTAGAGTGGATTGAGCAATATTCTTGTCGCGACATTCATCGATTTCTAAAGCAAGAACCATGGCTGATTGATACGCTTTTTTTTTATTATTATTTTTTTATTTTTTATTTTTTCGCTCTTTTAGTACTATGAAGCAGACCAGTTCGAGGCGAGTAAGGACGATGTGGTGGGACAACACTTTTCGGTCTACAAGCGACCATCGGGCGCAGACCACTTGTTGCTGGATCAAGAGATCGCCTGTCTTGTGGAGGAGGGCAGCGAATCCTTATATATGTCCCTGGCGGAGGAACAAGGGATGTCACCGACGTTTTCTTTTGAAGATACGATCAAGAAGGATGATCCTGCACAGTCGCTCTCAAAGAATTTTGTTCCACAGAACGATGCTATGGCAAGGTATGATGCTCTTCCCCTTTATTCGCGTGTATCGAATAAGGCGCGCTGTGTGTGATTCATTATACGTCTTGACAGATCAAAGAAACCTTTATTTTTCCATTTCTTTTTCTTTTTTTTTTTTCTTTTTTTTTTTTTTTCGTTAACGAAAATATGGACTATTTTTACTTTTTCTTTATAGAAACGTACAAAACATGCAACCTGCATTGGAACAGACATTATCGCTGCACGGACTCCGGTTCAACCTCGACACAACTTTCGAGATCTACGCACCATTACTCCGGTCCATGATCCACGCAGAGGCTATCAACACGGTCATACCCACCGGCAAACGAACCATGCGCAGCGGTGGACATTTGCGACGGCACCTCAACAGGCTATCGGATTCTGAGCGTGGGTTGATGCTCGCCACTGCTTTTTCGTTGCCATTGTCATCCTTGTCATCTCCGTAAGCTAGAATCGAGAAATAGTATTAACCCCTCGACATGTAAATTATAGACAGGTCTTCTTTTTTTTCTTTTTGATAATAATAATAAGAAAAAAAACGACTGTATGCTGGTCCCCCCCCCCCCCCCCCCCCCCCCCGGGGTCAAAAATGTACATGTGGATTGCATGTTGAGGTCGTAATTGGCTTTTACTTGTGGGATGCTTTTTTTTTATTTATTTTTTATTTTGTTCTTGTTCTAGGATGGGGATTATAGCGTGTTACTTTTTTGGAGGATGAAGTATCTTGACAGCATCCTTCGTGTACACATAAGAAGCACCACTCCAGATCGTCGTCGCCGCACATGTGTATCTATTAACGATTATATCCGTAAGCAGTAAAAAAAAAAAAAAAAAGGAAAAAAAGAACAGAAGTCAGTAAAAACGCGACCAAATCTTCAAAGACATCCATACCCTACGCCGCCCAACCACTTGACCTACCCAAGGTAATCGAGTCCCACGTGTCCTGTGAACTCAAAAACAGGCGCTAAGAGCGACAGACAGATATAGGCCATCTGGATTGCCGTGTTGACTTTACTAATCATCGTTGGATGGACTTCCGCCGAGGGAATCGAGAAATCCCAGTACCGCGTAAAGGTCTTAGGTTCCGGTAGCGAAATATATCGATAATAGAATGAAGCCAAAATGAGACCCGCATCCCGCCCAAGAATAATTCCTGCAATCGGAATAGGTATGAGGTGCTGCATTGCCAAAGTCACAGTCAAGATCGTCATCAGCGTCTTGTCAGCCATGGGGTCCAGGATCGTCCCGACGATGCTTTGCATTTTGAATCGGCGGGCTATCCAGCCATCTAACTAAGGGGGGGTTTTTTGTTTTGTTTTTGGCGGAAGTATTGGTGGAGTGTTAGCCTTTCCCTAGGATATGTTGCTTCATGTCGATGGTGGATCTGGGTGGATATATGAAATAAAAGACTTACGCCGTCCGTGATACTGGCGACACCAAAGAGGATAGCGGCATTGGTATAATCTCCTTGCAAGACCCAATATCCGATCACCGGGGCAGCGACTAGCCGTGTGAACGTCAAGAAGTTGGGCAATGTATAGATATTTTCGTGCAATAAAATCTATCAAACACAGAAGACAAGTCAATTGATCCACGGTCAGCGTTGTCCTTGCTCATGTCCTGTCCTGGTTCGATTTTAGATAGCGGAGACAAAGTACTCGAAGGCTGCACACCTTCTTGACGCCCTTTGATTTTGAAGTGTCCTCCTGATCCAGGTCCGTTTGTGGTTCCTTTGATCCCATATTTGTTGAAAACGAGCAACTTTGGATGACGATCAGACTCTTCTTTGCAGAAGGCGATATCCTATCCGGAAGCGAAATAAATATATGACGAAGGAGGTATGTCAGAATCGTACTTGACAATGTGCAGATATTTCTTTTGCGTGGCCAGAGAGGATTTCCAATGATGGCAGAGCAATTGAAAGATCGGATCAGATATACGCAAGTCTTATTTCGGCAATAAATGCGCACAGGCGCCGAAGGATACCTTTGCCATGGTCTTTCAAAGATATATCCATATCGCGCCAAGGATCCCGGCGTCCTGTTAACACATAAAAAAAAGTAAAAAAAAAAAAAAGGGAGAACCATGGCATCAACAATTGAGGAAAGATAATGGCGTTTTCCTGCTAGATAGAAAGCATTGAGGTTGATATGATAACTGATTGTCCTGCGGAGTGGGTCCTTACGTGCGGTGTATGCACCTAGCGAGGATTGGTGACCTGAAAGGCAGGGTGTTGTTAGTCCTTGCAAGCATATGAAGAGATCGGACCCTGGTCTGGCTTAAGAGTGGTTGAGGAAGGGGGAGTCGTTGTACGAAACCCCATGAGGACTTGCAGGCCATGGAGGAGGGAAGCAGAAAGGAAAGCAGAGCAAGGGAATGGGTGGAACGGAGTGAGGATGAGAATGAGGATGAGAATGAGAGGACGGCGGAAAGACAAAGGGCAGATCAAAAGGAATCGGAGGAGTGTGGAGCTGAGGAGAGAGAGTCTGCCTGCCTTTTTTGTCAAAATGGGTGGTGAGAAGTCGCGCATGAGCGCGCGAACGTGACGTAGCATTTGCACCGTTATTCTCATCTGATCATCATCCTCGCTTCTTTCATCCATCTCAATCCCTTCACGCATTCTCTGCAAAGGACACCCGCTCGACCTCAAGGACCTCCCTTTTTCTCTTACGGAAACACGAGTTAGGAGGAAGCAAAGCAACAGGGACCAACACAGGACCATCGTCACCACCCCACTCAAGTTCACGACAAACGCCATCATCGTCATCATGAACCCATACGAGAACACGGGCGGATACTCTCAACCGCAGCCCAGACACAACGCCCAGCAGCCATACCAGCAGCAGCAGCAACCTCAACAGCAGCAGGGCTCCTACTACACATCCAACAAATACAACCCCAATGCCTACCAGCCTCAACCTCAGCAGCAACAGTACCAACAACGGAACCATATGACCTCGCCTCCACCTCTTCAGCATCCCGTACCTACTCATCCTCCTGTGCAGATGCGTGATCCCGTTCCCTCCCCCTCCCCAAGGATGGCTTACACCCAAGCTCAAGGACAAGGCCAACAAGGACAGGGACAGCCGTACCAGCAGAATCAGTACCGTTCTCAGCAGCGATCTAGCTTTGAACAGCAACAGCAGCCCTATGGAGGATCGCCTCGGACTCAATATATGTCTCCTCAACAGCATCATCAATCCTTGCATCCTCAGCATCAGCAACAGCAGCATCAGCATCAACAACAACAACAACAACAGCAGCAGCAGCAGCAGCAGCACGGTATGCCGTCGTTCCCTTTCAATCTCAATGACGGAACTACGCAACTGGGCATGCAGTTTGGAAAGTCGGCAGTCATGGCAGGACAGGAATACGTGGAGCAAAATGTATATTTTGCTATTTTATTTTTATTTTTCGAGGGCAATTGAAACGTGTCAAACTGTAAAGACAAGCTTCAAATTCCAGTTGCCTAATTATTTTTGTGTGCGTTCGAATGCTTTAGCTCAATCGCTGGGTCAACCGTGCAGCATTGCAGCCCTACTTTAATGTCAGCAACCAATATGTCGTCAGCAAGCTGAGGCTCCTCGTTTTCCCCTGGCGCCACAAGGTACTGCGTTCTTTCGTTTGACAAATGGTCAAAAAGGAGTATTGGTGTATATCGTAATACTTACCATTAACCTTCCCTTCCTTATTTTTTCATCCAATTGGTACATGAAAAATGACACAATTCTAGTTGTGGACTCGCGTATTAAAGCGGTCAGAGACAACAGGGGAATCGATCGGATACTTGCCTCCACGAGACGACATCAATTCACCGGACATGTACATCCCTGTCATGGCCTTTGTCACCTATGTCCTCATGATCGGAATCTCCATGGGAGCTACCAGCAAGTAAGTGGACCCGCACTTTATTACAACTGTCTTTGTCTTTTGCAGCAGCTCTTTTTTGGGGGGGGAGAGATTTTTTTTTATTTTTCTGGTCTTTGGTTTTTGGTTTTCAATTGCTGATGTTTGCGCTCATGTAATTTGCTTCTAGATTCCGTCCTGACATTCTCGGACCTACTGCCTCGACTGCATTGGCGGTCATTCTGCTGGAGTTCACTATGATCAAGTTGTGTATCTATCTGCTGAATATCACAAGCGAAGTCCCTATCCTCGATCTCTTGGCCTACTCTGGATACAAATTTGTCGGGTAAGAAATGACAGGACGTTTTTTTACCTCCTCATCTAAATGTTGAGTGATCAATTATTGATGGATGTCCATTTTGCTCAACTCTTTCTCTTGTTCATTGCTAGGATCATTATATCGATTATCGTCCAATTGTCTAATGCCCCGAGATATGTATTCTGGGGCACTTTCTTGTACACCGGAGCAGCGACAGGATTCTTCTTGGTAAAAAAAAAAATCCTTTTTTTCTATTATTTATCCCTTCCAACTCCACCCTTTTTCGTTTTCTGAAATGATACCCATCTCTAACCACGATGAAAATATATCTCATATTGGGATACATTAGCTGCGATCATTAAGATACGTCATCTTGCCGGAATCTTCAGCGGGCACGGTCATGGCTCCCCAGCGAAAGCGCAGGATCCACTTTTTGATCTGTCTGTCCGTCCTTCAGTTTGGCTTCATGTGGATCCTGGTCTAAGCTCGGGCGGTTTTTTTTTAAAAAAAAAAAAAAAAAAAAAAAAAAAAAAAAAAAACCCCACCGCCACTAAACAAAAGGAAGAGGGTGTCCTTTCTTTTGCTGTGCAAAGAGAGGATTGTCCAGGATGCGATACAACAATAAGGCGCACGCGATACCTATCTCACCACCGATCACAATAAATCTACTACATACACATTTTAAGAAAAATAAAGAATGCACGTTGCAACAAAAAAAACCCCCCCAGCTGGTATTCACTCGATTAAACGGCGGCGCTCGATTTATTTCGTTGCTTTGTAAATACGAAAAGGTGCAGGACTATGAGGTCTGGAGTAAGACTATGATTACAAGTTGTTATCTTTTTTTGTTGTTTTAGAGAATATTTTACACATGGGAGAGGGAGACTGATACAGAGAGGTAGTAGAAGGAGAAGAAAAACGCAAAAACACTAAGAGGTAAAGGAGCCAGAGTGGCAGAGGAAAATGAACAGTGAGGAAGAATGAAAGAAAAGAGACGAATAGATGAGCGAAGCAAAAAAAAAAAAAAAATCTTCATTGCACTTTAGTGTCTTCACCGCTGCCTCCATGTGCACCATTACCATTCGTGTTCAAAGTCTTCACAAAGAATTCGAGCTCCGAGAGCTTGGCCCGGGTAATCGGGGCTCGGCACATCGGACACACTTTGGCTGTATCCACCGCCTGCAAGATGCAGTCGCGACAGAACGCATGCCCACAGCGTGTCATTGTTGGAATCACCATCACCTCCAGGCAGATGCTGCACCGAAGGTTCTGATTGATCCAGCTAACGGGGACACTTTGCACAGTCGCATGCTCAACCTTCATTTTGAGCGCCTTTGGTGTTGACTGGGTCGAGGATCCAACGCTGTACGATCTGTTGAACGAATACGGCGAAGATCTCGCAGGAGGTGATCTCGGTAATGAAGGTTCCCGCAAAATCAAAGGCACAGGTGAAGGTCGCCTCGCCACGGGACTGAACCGATGTTGACTCGCTGGAGTTGCACTTCGACGAGACGATGTCGGGAAAGGACTCGGTCTAGCCTCAAACGAATACGAGCGCGGTTCGAAAGGCGGCGATGCTGGGAAGGACGGGGCTCGACGTCTCCTGCTGCCAGGCGGGGACATCATCCTCTGATCATCTCGCCGCAAATTGAGGATCCAATTGACCTCCTCCTGCACCTGTCCGTCCGTCACTCCATCGTCTTCCATCTCTACAGGGTCCTGTGAGCCTCCTACCTCCTCGACGTCGCTCTCGCTCTCAATGTCCTCGTAATCGATTTGTGGCAGATGGTCCTCCACTAGAATCGCGTCCTCAAGCCGTCGTTGGGACTGTCCCTCCAAATACTCGTCTTCTGCAGGTCGTTCAGGCGACAAGATGAGCTGGATAGGACCGCGAGCCCACGGATGATGAGGATCCAGCTGCACTTCACGCACATCACTATCAATGCGCACTGTGTCATTACCAAATCGGTCGTCATCATCGCCGTTATTGTCATTTTCTTCCTCCTCGTCGTCTGGAATTTCGAGAATATCGATCGAACTATGCGATTGGTTCGCTCTCCTCGACTGGCTTCTCTCCACTGACTCTGATGATCTTGAAACCAATCGTTGCAAGGTCGGAAGGTGGAACGAATGCTGAGGTGTGAGTCCAGATACGCGGGGAAGAGAATCGCCACGCGGGTAGTTGACTCGTCTCTCTGGACGAGTCAAATCAATCACTTCAATGACCTCCTCAACGTCTGGGCCGCCCACTGTCGTGCCTGAAGGTAATGCTCTGGGCCTGGGGGTGGTACTCGACTCAGATTGTCGGTTCAAAGAACGCGATTCTCCAGCTGCACGACCAATTGTGTTGGGCGTAATAGTAGAGTCGGATCCTTCGGACAAATGTGTCGCTGCAGGCGATGGCTCACGCTGTCCTGAAACGTCGCCTGAGGAGCTCAACCCAATGATCGAATGTGCCGGAGAGCCACCATAGACCTCCACAATACTGTCCTCATCATCCGCCTGGTTTGATAAAGCGTCGTTCTCGTCGACGTAAAATCTAGAGTCGCCTCGATCTGTACAGTCGCCGCCGTTATCGTTGTTTTCCTCCTCATTGTTGTCGTACTCGTCGTCATCGCCAATGATAATGGAATAACCTTCTGGATATCCAGGGCCAGAAGTTCCATTCTCGTCTTCATGATTATCGTCCACGTCATAAACCCTTCGTCGCTTAAGAAAGTGATCCTTCTTTCCCTTTCGGGGCTGCACATGTCCTGCTGGTCGCTCAGTGTCAGAAGGGGCATGTTCTGAGTCGTCGCCATCAAACGGTTTGGCGGTCAGTGGCGAGGCAGACATAGAGGGTATCGAAGAAGGGGGTGTGGACGATGCCGATACTGTATGTGAGGGCGGCGATGCGTGGTGACCAGGCGTGCTGGCACCGGACGCAATAGCCGTGGGGTCGTCGGAATGCTTGCGCTTCCTGATAGGTTGACTGGAGGACAAGTCTATGTTGAAGGACATGTCCACGGAGTGGGATTGAACATCTAGGGCGGCGAAATCAGCGAAGGAAAAGCTGGTCAGTCAAGAGTACTCTGGTGCTTATTGTGCTGCTGTATGCAAGCAAGCAAAGCAAGTAAAGCAAGCAATTGGCACTGGCGCGACAAATCTGCGACCGCATTAGGGACATCCGTCGCTGCACGCACGCACAGGTCGTAGTTGAGCACAAACGAAAATAGGACAGTAGGAGCAAATTGAGTCCGTCGAATAAATATCCGTGGCTGCATCCCAAACAACACACTTCAGATATCAACCAACCGCAAATAGTCCGGCTGTTGGTCATACAAAAACACCACCACCACACCACAAAAGTCTAGTCGTTTTGACCCGAACTGCACCGACCCCCTCGAAAAATCTGGACAGGCGCATCTCGTCACCCCTACTACTGCTTCTCTCCGACAGTCTGCCTTTCACCCTTGCCTTTCTGCCGAACAATCCCAAGGACAGGGAGCCAGAATGTGCTTGTCCTCGTGCGGGTCAAACTGCACGCAGCCATTGCGAGGTTGCCACTGATGGCTGGTGGAGGCATGGTTGTCGAGGCGCAACTCATCGGTTTTTATCATCCATGAGAGCAAGGAGATAAAAGAGAAGGGGCAGAGATTGAAAGAGAGATAAATAGATGGATTGCTCCTGATTTTGATGGTGGTGATGGAATTGAAGGAAGCACAAAGGGAAGAGAAAAAAAAATGAAGGATAGGGGACTAAAGGAAGGAAGCCTAGTACATCGCGCACAGGACAGGACTGAGTTGGACTGAAGAACTGGCCAGACATTAGGAGAAGTGTGAACAGACTTGGACACACATCTACCAGGGCTTGGTCATGGAGCTGGAAGGGACGATGACATCGTTTTGCCACCATAATTTTCCTGTCATGGCTGGTCTGTCTGACATCGACAAAAACAAAGAAGGATGGAAGGAGAAATTGTATACAAATGTGCATGCATGTGGAAATGGATAATAAAGAGAAAGAGAGGGCGAAGGCGAGAAGACAAATCAAGAGAGTAGAAGCAGAAAGAGACGGTGTGGAAAGTACGGGTTATTCGACCAAGGTATTTGTTTTATTCTTTTTGCTTGCTTTTTGGTAGAAAAGCCTGTCAAGGTGAAAAGAGTGAAGTGGCGGAGGGAGAAGACAGAGAGGGGCGGTGTATTCAAAAAGTGTATAATTACCCTTGCTAAACTGCTCCAGTGATGGAGAAGCAGACGAAGCAGCAGCTGAGGAATATGAGGACGACGAAGCAGCGAACAAGTCCATGCTGTTGTTGTCCTTGAGCTGCAGCAGGTTGTGCTGCTTCTGCTCCTGCTGCAGCTGCTGCAGCTGCAGCTTCTGCTGGCCCTGGCGGCGGTCCTTGTCCTGCTGGTCCTGGTCCTGGTCCGTTTCCGTGTCCGTGTCCGTGTCCGTTGTCAAACTCGTCGTCATGGTCTTGTCCTCAATCAATCTTGCTGAATGGAGCGCAGCACCCGAGCTCGCCATCATCGACTCTGACCCCGAAACTGCTCCTCCGGAGGCGGTGGGAGAGTTGGGGGAGACCATTTGATGCGAAGCGAGTGGGTTTGTGTTTTGATTGAAGAGAAGATTTAAGAGAGAGCGACTTTTGGAATGGGGGAGGGGAGCTGGGGTGGGGAAGGGGGAGGGGAAAGAGTACGGAGGAGGGAAAGGAAGGGAAAAGAGAAAAAGGTCAAGAAAAGGGTTAAAAAAAGCAAAGGAAGATGGCTTGAATGCACATATTCACACACAAACACATACACCCCCATATACTCACTCGCACATCCTCTCATCATTCGTTCACTCGTCCCACTCTCTCACCCTTCCTCCCACAACTCGCACTCCATAGGACGAGGAAAAAATGGCGGCAAAAGTATGAATGTATATGTGTATATTGTAGTATATTGTATATATATTTGTATAGACCAACTCGTGTCCTCAGACACATTCTGTGCTCTGTCTACTCGCTCCCATGATCAGCCTCAATGTGTGTCTGTCGAGGGCAAGGAAAGTGGTTGCTACTCTCACCAACCTCCATCGAAACCATTACCCCCTCCGCTTACTGCGTCTGCGCTCCTCGTCTATTATCTCAATTGTTTGTTGATTCCTTGTCCCATCTGCTCTTTTTTTTTTTTTTTTTTTTTTTTGCATGGACTCATGCACCTTTATGATCTCCGTGCAATCGCAGATAGCGAGCCATGCATTCATGAACAAAGTGGACAAATGGACAAATGGACAAGTGGACAAGTGAACAGGTCAACAAGCAAGCAAACGATTAAGCAAGGAGAATGGATCTTTTGTTCCGATGATAAAAAGAACCCCCTGGGACCCCCCCGCCGTTGTTTCTCATTTTGGTGGCAAAATGCGTGAAATCGAAAACCTTATTTTGCTGAGCAACTTTCTCACCTGCAACGCCTGCTTTTGAGTGCACTCAAATGTCGACATCGCTCCCTTTGCAGTCATATTCAGGGCAATTGTGCATTTAATTTTTTACACAGTCTTTTTTGCTTTTCCTTCCCTTCAGATATGGGAATATCTGGGAGGTTTGTTACAGAGGCAAATGAAAAAAATGAAAACTGGGAAGAAAAAAAAAAAAAAAAACTGCCCTTTACTTCTTTTTCAGTTACACTTCCTTCCCGCACATCAAAACAGGCAAGCAATCAATCGAAAAAATAAAATAATAAAAAATCCGTTAGTTTTGGTCTTGTCACGAGACAGGGGTCGCAAAGAAGGGTCTACCTGTCTTCAATGCCTTGGCATGTCTTAGGACCGACTGGAGCCTGCTGCAAAGATGCTCCTGGTGGTGGGACAAGCGATCACAACGGTTGCCGTCTTCGAGATATCCAGACACCCCCCTCGAAGGTGTCCTGTTGTTGCAATTGACCGATCATTACGTGGGCAGTAGGACCACAGTCTACCCCACACACAGCTATAAGCATGTCTGCATCACACTGAACATGGTTTGGACTGCTCTTTTTAGGGAGGGGCATTTATTACAGCAGATGCGCGTCCTTGCAGCAATCTCATTGTTCCTTCCACTCCACCATTTCCCCTCCTCCTGCTAACGCTCCTTCGCCATCGTCCTTTGTCTTTGTCGCTTTTGCTACTTCCTTGTTGCTTTCGAGGTATGTTGCTGTCCTTTGTTGCTCTCGCTCGGTGCTTGCCTGTCATGGTTCTGCCTGTCCTCGTAGATGGAATGACGCCCTTACTAACCGCTCCTTTTATACGTTCTTCTCCTTGTTATCTCTTCCTTGTCGTTTGGACTGGGCACCATCTCCGCGTTGTTTCGCCAATGTTGAAAACGGTCTCTTGCGTCTCTATTCTTGGCACTGTTTGATGCCTCTACATTTTCTACATTTTTTCTACTTTTGCGTCTTTTGCTTTGTTTCTTCACTTTCCTTTACACCAAAAAATAGATCTACATATTTTTATAACCATCCGTTACCCCCCAACTTCAAGAAGTACACTATCCCATCATGCTTCTCAAGCTTTCTGCCGTCGTCCTCTTCATGGCCTCGTCTGCCGTGGCCTTCCCTTCTTTCTCCCACTCGGAGAAATTGGCTCCCATCATTTCATCTGCTGATGCCGATATCATCCCCGACTCATACTTTGTCGTCTTCAAGACTGGCGTGCGTGCCAATGACCACTCTGCCTGGGTCCATGACCTCCACAAACGCGATGTCTCTATGAATGGCATCTGGGACAACATCACCAGCGGCGTCAAGCATGTCTACGACATGGGTCCCTTCCAGGGTATTGCCGGCCGCTTCCGCCCCGACGTTCTGGAGGAGATTCGCAAGAACCCTGACGTAAGTTCTGGTTGAATGGGCTGTTGTTGGGGGTTTCTTGGACGACACTGTTTTGCACTTAAGAATCCGTCTCGTATCCAGCGCGGATAGTGGGGTAGCGAATAGTGAGATAGTGAGATAGTGGGTATATCTTTCTCCCTCCTTGTCCCCTGCGCATTGTCTGCGCCCCTTCTTTTTTTACACGATGCTGTCGTCATTTTCGCCCCCCCGGTGGGTGCGTGTGTGTTTGCTCAGTCGACATCAGCAGGTGTATTACGGGCGCCATTAGGCCAGGGACGATGGACAGGACCGACCCATTTATGGTTGCGAACTATAAATTAATTCTGCTCTGCAATGCAGACGGGGCGGTGGGCAATAATGATGACGGGATGAAGAGGATGCTGCAGGGCCATCCAATCCAATCCAATCCAATTCAGTCCAGCCCAGTCCCGCCCACTCCAGTTTCAGTCTGGTCTGGTCTGGTCTGGTCTGGTCCAGTCCATGATGGGATTTATTTGGCACCAGGCAGGAGAATCACTCGACGTTGGAACGGCCTGTATTGTATACTTACCTGCCTTATCCTACCATCTTCTCGCAGGTCGACTACATCGAGCGTGACCAGATCGTCTACACCTCTGAGATCACCACCCAGAGTCGCGCTCCTTGGGGCTTGGCCCGCATCTCCCATCGCAAGGGATTGACCCTCGGCACCTTCAACAAGTACGAACACAACCCCCGCGGAGGCGAGGGTGTCCGCGTCTTCGTCATCGACACCGGTATCAACACAGAGCACAAGGAGTTCGAGGGCAGAGCCGACTGGGGCGCCACCATCCCCCAGGGTGACCCCGACAGCGACGACAACGGTCACGGCACCCACTGCGCTGGAACCATCGGAAGCAGTGCTTACGGTGTTTCCAAAAAGGCCAGGGTCGTCGCCATCAAGGTCTTGCGCTCAAACGGATCCGGTACCATGTCCGATGTTGTTGCCGGTGTCGACTTCGCAGTCCAGGCCCACTTGGCCCTCAAGTCCAAGCAGGGTCGCAAGTACAAGGGCTCAGTCGCCAACATGTCCTTGGGTGGTGGCAAGTCCCGTCCTCTCGACACCGCAGTCGCCAACGCCGTTGATTCCGGTCTTCATTTTGCTGTCGCCGCTGGTAACGACAACCGCGATGCTTGCGACTACTCGCCCGCTGCTGTCGAGACTGCCGTCACTGTCGGTGCGTCCACCATCGATGACAAGCGTGCCTACTTCTCGAACCACGGCCCCTGCGTCGATATCTTTGGCCCTGGTCTCGACATCTTGTCCACCTGGATTGGCAGCGACACTGCCAGACGCACCATCTCTGGAACCTCGATGGCCTCACCCCACGTTGCTGGTTTGATTGCCTACTACCTCTCCCTCGCTCCCGAGAGCTCGTCTTCCTTCCACACCGGGCCCTTGACCCCTAAGGAGATGAAGGCCCTCTTGATTGCCCGTGGCACCCGCGATGTGTTGTCTGACGTCAAGTCCGACACTCCCAATATCTTGATCTACAACAACGCCTCGGAGGACAAGGAGAGCTTCTACGCGTGGTAAACCAGTCTTCGTCAACTCTTGATTTGCGAGATGAAGGAACGAACGCAGCCAAAGCTGATGATAATCACCATTCCAACAAACGACAAAAAAAAAAGTATCGAAAAACGACGTATTGACAAGCAGGAACGACAGGACGGGTCGAACACCCCCCACTAGAAATTAGTCTGTCTTTGTCTGTATTGCCTTCCCTTAGAAAATCAATTTTGCCTGTTTTTGTTTTGTTATTCCTTACTTTCTTTCTTTTTTCACATCCCCTCTTCTACGTGATGAACCCTCACTCTGTCCATATCTTTTGTGAATAAACTTGTAATATAAAAAAGCAGTATTTTTTTATTACTTCTTGCTGTGACAAAAAGAGTACTGTTGAGAACTACAGCTTGGCGCGGCTGGTCGTTCCATGCTGAACATGATCGCGCGTGATGTCCGAGATTTTGGAGCAGCCAGCCAGGGCCATGGCCAGCTCCAACTCTAGTTGGATGAGGCTCAATGTCAGAGAGACACCCTCCTCGCCCTAAAGATGAAGATACAGATGAGATCTGAGGGTAAGCAGGCGAGGGAGATTCAACAACGCCAACGACAACAACAACAGAATAGGCGAATGCAAGTGGATAGCTCTGTCCAATCACTTCATTTACATCGTGAGCAAGACCCCAGAGGATAGGGCGTCCCAGGAAGACAGCCTTCGCACCCAAGGCGAGGGCCTTGAGCACATCTGTTCCTTTCCTAACACCCCCGTCAATGTAGACCTCTACATCCCTGCCCTGGACAGCCTCCAACACCTCGGGCAACGCGTCAATCTAGAGCATAAAAACGAGAAAGCGGATATGTATGTCAATATCAGACAGATGGGGGTTAATCATACAACATGTAACGAATGCAAAGTCCACACATACCGTGGCCAAAACGCCATCCAACTGTCGGCCTCCATGGTTACTAACAACAATACCCTTGACACCCGCATCCGCCGCCAATTTCGCGTCCTCGGCCGTCAAGACGCCCTTGACGACGATCGGCAGATCCGTGATCGATCGGATCCACTCAATATCCTTCCAGTTCAAGGTCGGATCGATCTGTGCGACCACATACGCAGCAAGACTGGACTCCTGGCGGATGACCTTGGCGGCCTTGCCTTCGCCAGCGCGTTTTGCTTCCTGGCTGGCGCCGTTTGCTTGGTTCGACAAGGTCTGCTCAACGGCCTTGTCCTTCGCGCCCTCTTGGTCCAGGATGTTGGCCATGGTGACCTTTGATTCCTTGGTCTCAAAATTGGCCATGGTCATGTGCTGAGGCAGCTTGAACACATTACGGACATCGGCCAGACGGCGGCCCAAGAAAGGTGTGTCGACAGTAACAACCAATGCTAAAAAAAACACGAAAACAAGGATAAGCGATAAGCGATAAGCAAAAAAAAAAAAAAAAAAGGTGAGTGGTTTATGGATAAACCACATCTCTCTTTCCCCACACAGCTCCAAACATGGTGAGACATCCGGCCGCTAGTCGGAGCACCAAAAACAGTTTTGGGTTTCCTGTTCCTGTCCATCGCGCGGGCAGGACAACAAAGCACAGCATTTTGGCTGTTTTCGAGAGGGTGAGGTTTTTTTTTACCTTTGTAGCCAGCCTTTTCAACACGTCGAATTAAGGACTCGGCCAAGGCACGGTCCTTGTAGACATAGAGCTGGAACCAGAACAATGGCAACCCAGGAGTCGAATGATCGACCTCGATCTCCTTTCCGGCCTCGATGGTGTCCTCGGCCGAGGTCGTTGACCAGGATGAGAGGATCATGCACTTCTTGGCCTTGGCGGCGGCTGGAATACAAGACAAAGTATGAGAAATTTGTTAACAGTTGGTCAATGCATCCCCCTCTGATGCACACGCGCATGCATTTTATTTCTTAAGCCCGTTATCAATCCCATATTAAATACCTCGGGCAGTGGCCTTTTCACCAGCATCATTGGCAAGACGCTGCATGGCTGTGGGAGCAATGCAGATCGGACTGCTGACGGGGTGGCCCAGAAGAGTGGTCTGGGTGTCGATCTTGGAGACGTCCCTCAAGATCCTTGGGCGGAGACGAAGCCTTAAAAAAAAAATGTAGATGGGAATGAAAAAGAAAATAATCCCACGGTAAGCAATTGCGCGTCCGTATTGTCTAGGACAGGTCATAAGAAGCCCTTCACGATCCCAAAGGACCCCTCAGGGATCTGAGACGAGACAGAGCTCCGCGTTTTTGTGGAATTCATACCTGGTGTATGCATCCTGGTTATCCTTGATGGTCTGCATGTCATTGGCACCACTACGGTAGTAGTCGAGCGCATTGAGGTCCATGGTGACATGGGCATTGTGCTCCAAGTCCGCGAGACAGATAGGAACGAGGCGCTGCTTTTGCGACATGGTTTGGGTGCTGGGTTTTTCTTTGAGGAATGGAATGAACAGAAGAAGGAAGCAGAAGAAGTGAAAGCTTGACTCATGACCTGAACCTCTTTTGGACTTTAACATGACAAACAAGGTTTTGCTGAAGCGAAGAGGCTCACTTCCGAGATAGAAGTCACAATGAGGAATGAGAATGCCTCCCTCCCTCTTTCCCTCTCCTCCATGGGGACTGCCGTTTCCCCCCGTTTACTTCGTGCGAACAAAGGACCCGGACACTGATCAGCAATCTCTTTACACATTCACACATTCACACACACAAAAGATTGATTCATCCCCACAGAACCACTCATCGCCGCGACCTGAACTTTCTTGACCACTGCTTTTCCTCACCTTCCGTAGCTAGACCTATTCGGGGGAGGTTTTTTTTTTCTCTTCAACTGCTCTTGATACAATTTTTATTTATTTCTTTTGAAGTGAGCAAAGTAAAGGCTATTAGATACAGAACATCATTCATACACACAGAACGAATATCAGCCATGAGTTTCGGACGGCCTCCAAGCTTTATGACCTTCTCGGCCGCTCCTCCAGACCGCGGCAGCTTCCCTCTCGACCATGAAGGCAAGTGAGGGACAAGCTATGTCTTTTTTAGTGAGAATCGCGATTGACGCATGTCCAAAAAAATGTATAATTCGTTAACCCAATCTGCTCCTTTCTCTAAAAAATAAAAAATAAAAAATAAATTAGGCGAGTGCAGCGCGTTCATGAAGGAATACCTCAACTGTCTGAAGGAGAACCAGAACAACAACGGGATGTGCAGACATCTTTCCAAGAAATACCTTAACTGTCGCATGGAAAAGTAAGGATCTTCAGGGACTGGGCCGTGCTAATGTTGGTGATCGTCATCAGTCTGAGCGACGGCTATTCACCTACGGAAGGAAGAGTGTTGCGGAAGAAATCCAAAAGACCTCCTAGGTGCTTTTGTACAATGTTATCGAGGATAGATGGTCGGGGTTGGTTGTATAGGAGAGGATGTCGCAGTGAGAGGGGAGGAGTGGAGGAGTAGAAGAGATATGATGTACGAATGAGAAGAACAGCTGAGGAAAAAAGGAGAATGCTTATGAACATGTTTATATCCTTACAGCCAACAATTATTTACAAAGAAACTGGTTGTCCTCCTCTTGGTGGTGGAGCTGTGCTGCATGTTTTGGTGGCACCTGCAATGTCCTAACCTTTTCATTTTTTCCTTTTTTGTGCGTGCCTGAACATTAGAGGTCTAATGGGAACGGATAGTTTCAAAAACTTGGGCTTCCAGGATGATGATGAGGATGATGAGGATGATAACAAGGGGGCCAATGCAAGGGCAACATCATCGACACCTCAGCAGTCTTCAAAAGGGGCAACAACAGCAACAACCACAACAACAGGAAGATAGAGCAAGATTCCCCTTGTTTGCACTGCCGTAGCTAATGCAAAGATTGCAGAATAGAATAAGGCATTTACAAAATCACACAAGCCTACTGAAGCGGACTCATGCAGCCATGCAGTCAAGGTTTTGAAAAACAGGTCGGGGGAACTCGTTCTTCGTTCACCACAATAGAGAGGTGAGGATGGGGGAAGGTAGTGATGGAGAAGTCTTGGCGCACGGCATACCATTGGAACCATGGCTAAAAAAAAAAAAAAAAAAAAAGTGACGGGAAGGGCGTTTTTACTTTTTTCTTATTTTATTCAGAACCAAGATCGAGCGATAGGATGCTTCCTGAGAAAACGCGTATTGCTGCTGTGGAGTTGTCTATTGTAACATTGAGGCATACTAGATTTGTTGAATACATGAATATGCCAGTAACGCACTCGATGATATTGATTCCCACTCCAAAAGTCGACAAACTATAGACTATCTGTGTCCTCTCTTGCCTGTGTTTGTTTCTTTTTTTTTTTGTTTGGACGTCGAAATCCGCCCTTGCACAAAACACTCGTAGAAACAGCATGAATTGCTCATCAGCGGGACTTACCCTAATTCGGGTCTCGTCTTTCTCGAATCCGGTTGCTGAGTATCCCGGTGATCCCAAAGAGTTGCACAAAGGATTCCTATGCATCCGCGCCTCTCTCTCTCTTCTCTCTCACACATACTCATTCACTCACTCTCACTTCTTTCTTTCTCTCGCTCTCTTTATATCCTCTCTCTTCTCTCTCCCTCTCTCTCTGTCTCTCCCGATTTGCTCTCTGTTTACTCAGGATGATGAACCGGCTCATCATGAGGGCAGGTAATGCCCTACGGTACAAGGGACAAAAGATCTCTTAAGCATCATCCCATGCATATGCGTCCCTTATTTTATTTTTTTTCCCTTTTTTTAAGCATCTAATGCACTCGAAGGTACCGCCACAAACAGAAACGTAGACAACAAGTCCAGCTTTGGTTGCATGCGAGGCATTTGTATTACTTAGAGCATGCATGGTAATCAGTGGCGTTATGGGTCAATTGAAGTGTGAACGGGAAGGAAAAAGTAAAATCGCTGGCAATGTGTGAAGACATTATGATGTCTATTGCATGCACATCAGTCTACATACCAAATATACGGATAGCATATACAAAGAAATATATAGCTCCATGCGTGGAGTCAATGAAGACATGGGACATAGCACTGTCGGGATGCTGGAAGAGGGATCACGCATTACAGCATGCGAGCGATGGTCTGGCCCATACCTCATTGTTGACTGTGCCTGCATGCCAAGAATGGGCGGTGCTGAGACAGGATGCAGGATGCCCTGATAACTGCCAAATGAGAGAGAGTCAGAAAGTGGGGGGATGGGGAGAAAGAAAGGAAAAGAAAAGGGTGGAGGGACGGACCATGAAGGTGAATAAAGCGTTTTTTTTTTTGAGATTTGAAATCGAAACTTTGAACACTGAACTTTGGGTCGAATAACAATTGATGACAACACTGCAATGGTCCTTCCTCTTTCCCATATAATGTGCCGATCCAATGTCGGTTCTACATGTCCTCACCCTCTTTTTTCCTTTCCTTTTCCTCCCCCTACCTCTCTTCTCCCCCAATCCTTTTGGTCCGCACGCAGGATGAATCTTTAATTCAGCTACTCCAAAAAACTATCGGATTACTTTTCAAATATCTGACCTGGAACAAAGCCCCTCACCCTGTTCCCTCAGGTAAGGTTCAGACCAACATTGACTGTAGCACACAGTCATTTATCACTATTAGTACTACTATTATCATTATCTTGGGGATCCTTGGCGGTGGACAATCATAGAAATCCGATTCCTTGGGTCGACCCATTCCAGACCTTGTCCCTCATATTCTCCATGTTCTATGTCCCCCTCAGAGGCACAGTCGTATTTGTTGTGTGTGAGCTTGCGTCTCTTTTTTATTTGGTCCGTTACACCAGCGCAGGTTGCACCGAACTTTTATCCTTAAAAGGTTTCGCTAGAGCTGTCTTTTCTTCTACGCGAGACGCTCATGCTACCAGCCCCACATCCAATCTCTCCTTTTGAAATACCCTCCTTTTACCAAGAAAACATCAATTGAAAGCGCCACAATGGAGGTCCACCTCATGTCGGGTCCGCATGAATATCAACAGAGTTTTCAGTACAGGACACGCTTCTTCCGCCAATACAAAAAAAAACACGCACGAAAAAAGATTCCCCAGATGGTTGTAACTGCGTCCATGACAGTTTTATTCTCTGCGTGCCCATTAATATCCTGGGTGGTTCATCGCTTTTTTCGACCCCTCTTCAGCTGTTTTCTCTACGCTACCTTGATACTCTCACGTCCTCATTCGCGTCCAACAGTGAGTTGCAGAAATGCATGGTACCAATGGAGTAGCCACGATTTTTATTATTTTTCTTCCCGATCCGTTTGACAACATTCCAAGGAAGCACATGTTGTGGCGGTACACCTCTCGTTCTCTATATACTTTTTTCCCTTTTCTGTACGTTGGCGAAGGCATCATGCGGCAGGGGGAGGGAAGCAGGGGGGGAGGGGGATTAAGAAGCATTCGAACAATTGAGGTTATTTTTGTTTTCCCTGGTTTTGGGACAAAACAAAAAATACGTCTGGAAGTGTGCATCCTACGCGTCAACAGAGATGCATCGCCGACCCAACCACGCGTCCGGTTTGTGCAGCGAAGAGAGGAAGGGAGAGAGGGATGACAAACATGCACAAAAGGGAGGATCAGGCCCTGCAGTGCAAGGGTGCATCACATCTGCAGATACCTTGTGTGTGTGCTTTATCAGTTTCCCATAGCTCAAAGCGTATGCTTGTCTGGTTACGCGTTTTATCACTTTGTTCCTTCCGTCTTTTCCTTCATCCTCTCGTCGACCCCGAGTGCATCGCATGGACCTTATCGCTCGTTTTATTCTCCTTCACCCCCCCCCCCCCCTCATCATCCCTATATGGCGATTTTGTTCTTCAGGCTTTGGTCATCTTTCTTCCCAATAGTCCAAAACCACATTACTTGTCCTTTGGTGAATGCACCCCGTTCAAATGTTGCACCGGTGTTCACAGTCTTTTCCGCGGATTATTTGCAGAAAATAATAAACGATATTTTTTTGCTTCGTCTGTTATATATATATCCTTCTCAATGCTAGTTGCTTTCTTTCTTATTCCTTGTTATTGTCTACTGCACATGTGGTCTGTCTTGTGCATTGGCATATCTGTAAGCCGACAACCGCAGCTTTGTTTACGCTGACGATCCCTTGTACCCTTGTACCTCGACTTGTGTTCCCCGATATCCCTCAGTTGACCGTTGAGATAACTCTTTTATGAATATGAATAAGAGTAAGAGTGTGTGAATACTGTCCTCTTTCATTAACCATGCCAATCTCCATGTCCCTGTCTGTGTCCACGTCTACGCCTACGTCTATACCTATGTCTGTGTCTCTGCCACGCTTATTCGACTCGGCTGTAGTACCGTGCTACCCAATGTGCTACCTATGCTTTCACTTTTCATTAGCACTTTTTTTTCTTTATTCCTCACCACCAATATCTAAGTCCGAGGCATGCAATGCACGTTCCACCGCGACCCTCTCATTCATTGAATACCGACCGTGTCTACAACAGCCGCGAACACTAGGATAATCGTTCACACCTCATTAGCCACGGCTTTTTAATTTATAGGTATCATTCTCTCTCTTTCTCTTTCTCTCTTTCTGCAACAGGTTCTCTCCGACTTTGATATCCTCCAGCAAAAAAAAAAAAACGCCGCTCACTTCTCATCGCCTATCACGAAAAAAAAGACCACCATTGCTAAAAAGCTGGGTAAACATCTGAACCCATGGAAGAATTAAGCGGTAAGAAAGGAAGCAGTGCCGCTCCGGCACCGAACACGGTTTCAACCATGCCCGGTGCATCGCCGCCCCCAACAGCGGCTCCGATAGGATCGTCGATCGCATCCCGACGATCCTCTCAATCGTCGTTCTCATCGACATCGCCGACTCTTATCGCGGCCTCCCCTCCGCGTACCCCTCCGATACCCGTCACAGCCCCGCCGTCATCCCTCACGTCTAGCAGGGATGAGAATCAGCCGCGGTCCAGCCTCATGGGCAGTGACTTATCAGACTCGATCACGAGAGGGGCTCAGGAACGATGGCTATCCGAGCCCAACAAGGCGTACTACCAGGACGGGTGGTGCATGAGCCAAGCGGTGACCGAGCTGATGCCTCCAAAATATAGCTTCAAAGCTTCAGCTAGATCGGCCCCTAGGAGAACAGAAGGAGAAGGAGTATGAGCCAGGTATGGGACGTGGCGAAGAGGGACGTGAACGAGAGAGAGAGAGAGAGAGAGAGGGAGGAGGGTGAACCACAAGAAGATCGGAGGAGGGTTCGTGGGTGGCAAGATCGACGGAGCAGGCCACCTCAGACAGAAAAGTGGCTATTCGCCGCAGAATCTTTTTTTTTTTTTTTTTTTTTTTTTTTTTTTTTTTTTTTTTTGGTTTACGATCGGCCTGCCTTTTGGGCGGGATTTTCCATCGATTATTGTCCCTGCTCAATCCTCGCTGGGTTGAGTTGTGAGCATCTCGCCGGGGTGTGGAGGAGAGTCTTTTCTTCACTTTGCTCAGCGTCGCTGACCTCGCTGACTTTGTCGTCAGCCAATCAGGTACGCTGAATGTGGCCGCAAAGTCTCTTGAAGGCTCCCCTTCCCCACGCCTCCGCGAGATGCTCACAACTAGCCCAGCGAGGATTGAGCAGGGCCTATATACATAATTGATGGCTCGCTTGATATATTTCAAGCGAAAAGCAGAAGTGACACTGGCTAAGCTAGTCGTCTCGACCTCTTCTGTTATATGCAACAAGCATATTTAATTAAGGACCTTAGGCTCTTTCTTTCTTTTTTTTTCTTTTGACGCTTCAAAATAAAAAAAAATTCCGTGTCGTAATCTTAAACAATTGTATATATTTCGAATAGGAGTACAGAACAATGAAAGACCCAGGGGAAGGGAAGGTAGGGAGTCCCTGGAGAGCATGTCCGCGCTATTGCTGCTGTGATTCCAGACCCGGGAACGGATCCTTCTGACTCAAGACCAGTACCCTCTTCTCGTGTGAGATGTACCCACGAATGTATCCGTTGTAAATCATGTTGGCCAGCATGCACTCGACCTCGTCCTCATCCACCTTCACCCCCACAAAGGCCAATGCCGTCTGAAATTGCGACACACTCAGTCTGTTGGTTCGATCCATCGATGTGAACCTAATATACACATACATACACATATACATACGCACGCACACGCACAAAAAAAATAAAAAAAATAAAAAAAGTTAGAGATCATTATTCAGGTAAAATCGCACGCAGGAGGATGTGAAAAACACAAGCCAGTGGTAACGCACACTTTCTTGAAGAGCGTCCGAACAGCCACGCCGCGCGACTGTTCCACCGTCAGATAAGTGCCCAGGCTAATGAGTCGACTTCCGCCGCTCACCAGAGCCTCGTCAAACATCTGCACGTTCCCAGTCTTGATGGCCGTGGCCAGGGGTTGGTACAGCGTCGACAGCTCCGGGAATTCCTGGAGCAATCGGACCGAGGGGAGAGAACCGTGCAAGAGCCTGGTCGGGATCAGGTAGTGCAGGATCAACCGTCGGTTGTTGTGGAAATGGGGTGGCGTATGATCAAATGCAAACTGTAGATCTGGCTCCGCCTAAATATAGTGTCAAGGAGAATACATTCATTGCGTGAGATTTTGGTTCCTGAGTATCGAAGGGATGCCGTAGAAAAAAGAAGAATAAGAAGAAAATGATGTGTCCACAGTAGGATGATGCTACCTTTTTGAAATCCTCGTTGAAGAATGAAAGAACTCCAGTGTAGTAGCGCATGGTGACTTGGTGCGCCATCGGGAACTGCTCCAGATCTGGTAGATCGGCTGCCTTAACGGCACGCAGAATGTTTTTGCAGAGGTTGTGCGACTTGAGCTGTAGTGGAAAGATGAAGGGAGCGGGTGGCGGTTTCATTTTTTTCCCCCAGTTTGCGTTAATGATGGGGATCATGGACCGACTGAGAAGTACTTTCAAGGCGGGTTTTCCTGTGTACCTTAAAATATGTCCTGAATAAAATCCCAATGATGTTGTACGTCCCCCACTTTTTCGACGCATCCAACGGAGCTCTACGTCAAAAGTTACATTTTATCAGCTCGGTCAACCATAGCAGACATTGCCTCCTCTCCCTGAGTTTCATCCGCCGAGTCCCTGATAGCATTTCGTAATTACCTGTCGGTGATACACGCCGTGAAGGATTTGTTGATAGTTCGCGCACAATCCTCCAGCTTGGAGGGTTTATCGCCTCTTGCCTCCAACTGCTTATCGGCCTAGTAGATTGATCCCAGGTTCCCGTCGTGATTGAGAAAAGAAAGAAAGAGATTGGTTCCTGCATCAGCTTTCGAAGTACCGTTGTCGCTAACATGGAACCATCTAGCAATATTCCCTCTCCGCTTTTGTTGTACCTGGACTGCAAGTCTCCGCAGGTCACCGTTGAGGATATAAAGGGTTTCCAGGCACCAATTCGTCATGGCCTGGAATTCACGCAAGAAGGTCCTAATGTCGTTCGAATGGAAGGTATAAAAGTGTCAGTCATCTTCAATGTCTGCCCTGTCAGATATGTCGTGTTTCCCGGTTTATGAAACAATTGCGCGCTTGCGTTCAAAGAACGGTTCCTTACGAGATAGCGTTTGATTGTTCACTGTAGGCAGCGACATAGTCCCCATCACGAACGCCCATGCACGCCATAATATGATGAAACACAATCTCGGTCCAAGGCGGTGGAAGTCGCTCTCCGCAAATCCGTTCGATCTCGTATACCTAAGAAACGCATAGTTTTTTTTTTTTTTTTTTTTTTCAATAGCCACTGTTAGGCCCATGTAGCTTCCCTATTTTCTTTCGTCCGCCCTGCACACGCTTTTTTTTTCTTAATATGCTTGCCCTAAATAGAAGGGTCAGTTGTCTCTTACGGGTTCTGGGGTTTCGTTCAACAGTTTTTCAGAATGTTTGCTGTAAATCTGCAGAAAACTGGCGACTTTGTGATCATGCTCCTTGAGAATGCCATGATTCACCTGCCCCAGATACATTGTGAGTTTCATTTCAGTTTACTTGAGTGGACGGAAATCTTGTCCTCCCGCAGATTCGTTTTTTTTTTTTTTTGGAGGGTTTGATTCTTGTGAGTGGTTTGATGCGGGTCAAAGGCGTTGGTTTGGTGCTCATGCTTTGATCACATGGAGGTGATCATTGGTCCCCCCTCCCTGGGAGTAACGTGACTTCATGTGGGCTGTGCTTTGGCGGCTGTGCGCTCAAAACGCGTTTCATTTCCCGCGTTCGCGCCGTGTTTTTGCCCCTGGAAGAGCGATGGACGTCTATTGGCGGAAACAGTATAAGAAAATAAAGAAAGTTTTCAGGCCCTCCACCCTCTCACTCCTTTTATGCGTGTCTCAGCATGTCTACAAGTCCTTGAGACCCAATAACCCTGAACGCGGTCTGGATCAAAGGCCATTTTCCTACCACCTAACACAGCACGTGCGTACGGACCATCTATCTACATCTATAATTATATTAAACACCCTCCTCCTCAATTTCTCTTGCCTTCACTTCGTCTCCCTATCTCCTCCTCAACTATGTTTCTCCCGGATGCTGACCAGGTTGGTAAAGTCATCAGATATGTATCTGCTGGTGCAGCTATACTCCTTGCACTTGTCGTTGTCAACGACAGAATGAATCCCGACAACGACAAAGGAGAATCTGAGCGACCGCCGGCGGACATTAACGACATGGACAGCGACACTGAAGACATATTCCTTTTTGAGCATCATCTCCCAGGCGACTCTCTTGGACAGCGAGTCTTCCATGACTTTTCTAGGCGTCGAGCATATTCCCGCCGAGAACAGCAGCTTCCATCGGTGCCATTGTCCCGCCCAGCTTGTCGCATGAACGCTACACCACTTGAAGAGGGCCTTGAGCCCCCACCGCCATATGAAGAGGTATCGCCTTTACTTTCCTGAAAGTTACTCGAAGAATTCTCTGTATTTAGTCCATATTATATTTGACTTTTTTTTTTTAAAAAAATTATATAACAAAGAAACCGTTACTTCAACACCTAGGCGTGTAGTCCGTACTACCTGGATCGGCGAATGCCTGGGTCAAGCCGAGCACCAGACCCAGGCCCAGACCGCTCTTCCCGTGACGAATTCCTGGTGGCTGACTGTAGCTTGAACGAACTGGAAGGCTGTACCGGCGATTTAGATCGTCGAAACAAGAACCGAAACAAGCGTAGGAATCGGAAGGGTCGCAGACACTAGGATGTTGCTAGATAGTCAACAAGCAACGTAGATAAACCTCTCTGTAGCGTTGAACTCATTTTCTATCTCCTAAAAGGCCATGGTGCCAAAGATTAAACATCACGATTACCTCCACATCATGCAACCAGTGACTGTGTGTGCCATAGGAAATCGCACATGGAGGAGCAAGAAAGAATAAGCGGGAGGCGATAAGACGAAGGTCAATGCGAACGCTGTTTTATACCGCTGCTTATCCAACCTAGACCTAACACACACAGCAGTCAGGTCAGCTGTCGCAAAAGCACTCTTCTCTCGTTTGTTCTGCTTGATTGGATGTTCCTACAGACGGGAAGGAGACGGGAAAAGAAAGAGAGAGAGAGAAAGCAGAAACTATGTGGATGTAACAGCGCTAAAATGAAAGTGTGGATTTATGCATACACAGATGCTGTGCTAGGCGATTACGACCATAAAGCTACTTCGCCATTTTTTTTTCTTGACACTTTTGACCCCCCTCCCCGATAAGAGTTTACTTCTTACACCTCTCCACCTCCTCCTCCTCGCTATCTCCTTCTTTTCCTTTCTGAATCCAACAGTACCGCTCCACCACTCATACCCCAATTGAACAGCCACTGGAACTACTATGGCAAGTCCTGGAAAAGCCCTCTTGGAACTCAGCAAAGTCGCCGCGACGTGCTTGCATGATCCCCATATCAGAGGTGTGGCCCTCAAAGTTGGAGGTCCAGCTTTCCTAGTAGCCTCGAGTGCGATGTCCATCTATCAATATGTAAGGGTTCATTTTGATTTCAATCATGGATAACTGAATTAAGACGAGACCCCGGAGACGGGGTGGTGTTGAAGGCAAAATTTGCTTAATGGTGAAGGGTTTGATTTCGAGCTCATTAGGTCTACGCCAAAAACGAACGCGAGGAGAGTCAGACGCAGATACGACAGCTACAGGAGAGTTTTCAGGAGCGAGACCTTCGGGACGAGAAGCGACAAGAACTCGAAGAGATGCACCGCGCCGAAGTCGAGTCTCTTAAACGCTTGATGAGCGAACGGGAGCAACAACAGCGATACGAGAATGCCGGCTTGATGGAAGCCATTCAGCAAAGTCATGCCGAAATCCTGGAGCATGCCCAGCGTGATAGCGACAGGCGTCTAGGCGAGGCACTGCAAGGACCGATGGAACGGCTCGCGGCGCTCGAGCAATCGCTGATGCAGCTCCAGATCCAGCGCCAATCAGCCCCGATGTTAACACCCCAGGTCTTGATGCAGATTGCCGCCATGATCTTTCCGGCCGTCTATACCGCAGCCCTTATGGCCCTCGCACGGCTCCATCAGCCCACAACTGACGATGATCTGTGGTTACTGGACGCTGATTCGGTAACCATGGCTCAGGAGAGTACAGGTCGTATAGGGTACTATCCATTATCGTTCCCGTGCGCATCAATCTCGAGCGCATCCTCGTTCATTGAGGACAGCACTGAAGCTGAAGACCGCTTCTACGACTGCAACAATGACGATTGGGACGATGATCCTGAGGACATTGATTCTGATGAGTTTGAATGGACCGAATCAGAGGTTGAGAATATTGGGTGTCGAGAGTCTGACAAATGAGTACTATAACATGGACGCGACGCGTCCATTTATTAAGGCGGAACTTTTATCTTTTCATTATCTGCAACAATAAATACTAGTAAGAGTAAAGCGACCGTGAAAAAGAAAAAAAGACGTGTTTAGGATACCCTTCACTAGATGCAGCGGTTTGCTAGCAGAACGAGAGGAAGCGCGTAGCGATACATCACCAAAAAAACGAACTATACTCCTTCCCCCGCCCGCAATGCAATCGAGGCGTGAGGTCAAGATCAATGGGTTTGGCATTTAAGACAATCATGCAACTTGCCCTCAGGAAAGACCACCATGAAGCCTCATTCTCCCGCAAGCGTTGTCTTTGCCATACATACGCACGCGTCTTTTTTTTTTCTTGTCTTTGGGCTTGAACGACGGGAAGTGCTCGGGGGAATATACAGGAGTGCTTGACGGTGGCAGAGTTTCATGCATACTCAGGTGATACGTTGAGTGAGTTAGTTCGAAATCACAATTACTTCGCCATTTTACTCTCTCCTTCAACTCTTCTCGCCCTTCAATTTTCCTTTTGCGCCCTTATAACTTTTCTATCCACTCTCATTTTTCGTTTTCGAATCAACCATGGAATCAAAAATAGCCGCTGCGTCCACAAAAATAGTCGCTGCATCCTCGAAGATCGTTGCAATCGCAAAGACCGTTGCCATGCACGTGGAGGACCCCAGATTCGTAGTGGCTGTAACTGCATTAACTGCCGCCTACTGCCTCTATGAAAATTTTAGAGGAGGTAATGGGCCGGTAACGTATCGTCCCTATACCAAAGAGTCAATGGTGGCATTGTGTTGTGAAAGGAGCCTTTCTCTTCTGAAGTGAACAAAGACTTGACAGTGCTTCAGTCTAAAGATACGAATATTAAAATTGTACGCTTTTGTCGTCACCATCGAATAGTCTCTCGAAAATTCATCCGGTCCAGGCCATCCAGCTGGTCCAGGACATCCACCTGGTCCAGGACATTCACCTGGTCCAGGACATCCACTTGGTCCAGGACATCCACCTGGTCCGGGACATCCACCTGGTCCAGAACATCCACCTGGTCCAGAACATCCACCCGACGCAGAGTATCCAAAAACGTCGGAACAGCGGCAATGCGAGCAAGAAGTGCAAGAGCGCAAGCGAAAAGAGGAACGCCGGCAACAACAAAAGGAGCAACGGGTACTAAGGGGGATTATCAAGCAGATAGAGAACATGCGTAGGCGAGAGCATCAGGAAGCTCAGACGGAATTAAAGGATCAGCAGGCGCATATTGAGTCTCTCGTGCTAAGGTTGAGCGAGCAAGAACATCGACAGATCCAGATGGAGCAGGAGATGTCGGGGCGGTTCAACCGTGAGAGCGACCGGACTTCAGCACTTGAGCAGATGATGATGCAGATGATGATGCAGATGCAGGTTCAACAACAACCGACTCCGACTTTGACGCATGAGGACTTGATGCGGATTGCTGCCATGATATTCCCGATGGTATTCTACGAATCCCTCATGGCTATCGTTCATCTCGCTGAGAACGACATGATGATTTTAAACGCTAATTTGACCACGCAAGTCCGAGGAGAGATGATCCGTACGGGATATCGTCCATTTCCAGCTATCAGCGCATTGACATCTGCCTCTTCCTCAACTCAACACTATGGAGCGGAGACCGTTGACCATCACGACGGCGACAACGACAACAACGACGGCAACGATGATGAACTTACGGATCTTGGCTTTGACGGGTTCGACTTTTCCGATTCAGAGGAGGATTGAATCGGCAGAGAATTTTTGTGTCGAGCCGCTGCTATTTTTTTTTCTTTCTCTCTCATGCACACTCTTCTCTAACCCTCCATACCGAGGCTGGGCCATACGCTTATTTTTCTTGAGCGCAATAATCGCGACTCTGTGCCTGTATTTGCTCTAAAAATAAATAAAAAGTCCTCCGCTAGTCTGACTCACTTTCCGTGCTATACCTGCTTTGATGTTGCTGATGTCCAGCTATGCATTGGACACCACACAGCGATAGTTTCACTGGTTTATAGATCGTTTTAATATACGCTGCCGCACAAAACTGAGCCAATGTCTCCTATCCCCAACGTTTCTTTTCGTTTCCTAGGATCCGTTTATGTAGGCATTGCTGATGCTTGACAAAAATAAAACTCCTATCTTCCTTTACATCTGTATTGCATATGGTGCCTTCAGCTTGCTCTCAACTTTCTTTTCACCACATCTACGCTGAATATGAGACCGATACTGTGGTGTAGTGAATGAGAAACATTCGGCTGGCCTCGCAGAGTTGATATTAGATCACGGGGAAGAGCACCGCCCCCAGAATAAAAGAATAAACAGCCTGGTTCCTGAACCAGAGTCTTTCCTAAAATCATTTGTATTGTGGCATATAGCCTATTTTACACGTTGCCTCTGTGTTCGATAGCTAGACTGAGTCCAGGTATTAATTTAAGCTACTGAGCAATAAGTAATTGCTCGGTCACTGTAATTAAAGATCCCTTGATTCTGGACAGTCATATTCTTCATGTATCACATATTGCATTCGTCCAGATTGTCCGGATAACACCGCACCAACGACAGGTACTGACTATCACCGTCAGCAACCCACGCAACGAGATACAGTCAACAGGGAATGCCGACCCTGATCATTCGCCACCTTTGCACCGTCAATCGCTCTTATTTAGACACTGTATTTGCCCTGCAGCGTTTCCCCGATCACCGATCGTCTCATTGAGCATCCATCATCGGCTTACCCTCGTGAAACGGCATTATAAAGGTACAACGGGGGTCTGATTAGCGAACATTGGCATACAACGGTTCCAGAGAGATGGACTTCATTGTCATGACTTCACTTCAACGGATATCACATAGGCGAACTCCTTGCAACTACCTCAGTTATACCCCAAAGGAATATAGTCTTATCTCGTACCATTTAGCTAAACAGATCCCAATATTTATTTCCTTACTTTTCCTTTGTGTTAATACATCCCGATCTAAAGGAGGACCCTGCACCACGAACCAGTAAGTAACCGACATATTCCCTTGCAGAAGTCCTAATCGCATGGTGCCTGAGATATTTTTGGGATTGAGAATAAGTGAGAAAGAGATGTGACTTCACATACCACACCGATTAGGTATTTATTTGTATAAAGTATAATGATGAGCTGGAGGTACACTTGTTAAACTAAATATACAGTGAACTCTGGTGAAATATGCAACAGCGCCTCCTATTGTAAACAGAATTAATGGTAGAAGTTACAGAACTCGTTATTAGACCCCTACACAGCAGTGGCCTTGCAGCGTAGTTTCCAGATCAGTTCCGTAGCCTGCGTCTCAATAAAGCTGACAAACTTGTGGATGACCTGTCGTGTAATCGAAGGTGGCGAGGTGAATAGTGTTCCGTCCAGACCCCAAATTGGGGTCATACTGGGAGTGAACCTTCACATTTAGGCCACTTCCATTATTATTCATGAGACTATTAAACTATCTAATACTCCAAGCCCTAGATCGGGGCTATAGAAACCCCTACCGGGAGCATAATAAACAAACACGCTCTTTTGTCTCCTTGACTCATACTCAGGTACATAAAACATCACAAATAGGCTACCCCACTCCTTGATTAGGCTGACCGGCGTGATGCTGCGGTACATCGCTAATCCTCCAGGTTTAATACGGAGAGCGGTCGATAGAGTCGTCGCCTAGGAGCAGCGACTGAGTCTCACCGATTGTCGCGAACCGTGCATGTTTACCCCTGAGTTCTTGATCATGCTTCCGTCCTGAGCACTGCCTCATAGAGAGGCGAGCGCGAAGTATTTATTTAGCTCAACCATTTGTATCTCTTGCTTCTGTATCGATTACCCTCATTAACCACCCTGACCTACGCATATAAACTCCATATTCCATACAGACACATACACCTACACTCACCGACCCGAGCCGGAACGGATAGTGCCGTTACGAGTGAGGGATCGCGACACCGATGCAGGACAGACCTTGGATATGGGTCGATGTCTTGGGACAAACCTATACAATGGGTTTCGATGCAACGGCACGGGCCTTGTTACAGGCAATGTCGTGCTCATGGTGCTCCTTGCTTTTCTTGTTGTATGCGGCCGTCGCAGCTCGGCCCCACTTGTCGATCTGCTGCAGACCATCGTGCCAGATTTGCCTGCAGACATCGCCATTGGCACTGCAAGTCCACAGATGGTCGTTGTCCTCGTCATGGATGTCGCAGGCTATCAGCGATTTTTTATATATAATGGATAGAGTCCGCAACACAAAGCAAAGGACCAGCGATAGTAGCTACACTCAAAGTACAGTCGAATCTGGTTTTTGTGGACAGTCTGCTATCAAAATCGTTTTCAGTTAACCTCTCACATATACGCTGTCGCCTGCCGTTCCTCTTCTACAACCATAAATGCGACATGAGAGACGCGTCCAAGGATCCTGCTAGAATGTTGACATTGCTACGCCACGGCAGGTGACACCATATGTTTGATTTTTTTTTCTTTTTTTAAAATAATTTTTTAGAGAGGTTAATTCAATATTTTTTGATGCAAACTGTCCACAAAAGCCAAATTCGACTGCACAGCAATGAATGTACCATAAATTCTATTGATAACTAAGTTACCTTTTATTAAACCTATTTAAAGCGAATATAGCCAGTTTTGGGCTAGGCTGATACTTTGAGTGTAGTTACTATCGCTGGTTCTTTGTTGTGTCGCGGAATCAATCATCCTTCGCACACCTTCTTTGGAAGACGTGATCATTTCCCAGATCTCTGTGCGCATCGCGCCCCTGACTTCCAAATGCTGTGGTTCCTCGCAAATTCCATCAAATATAGCAATGTAGACGTCCAAAGTCGCAGAACGCACTAAGCACAACACCAAAAAAAAAAAAAAAAAAAAAAAAAAACGCGACAGCAGACGCGGCTGCCTCCATGTCACACCGGCTATTATGGGAATAGTGGCAACTGTCCGTTGTCGTTAAGGTAACAGGCGTTCAGTGCGTTAATGCGAAAGCAGTGCTTTCTTCTTTTATTGTTTCAACAACGAAGAGGCGTGCATATATGCTAGTACGCGTTTGTTCAAAGAGGGCCAATGCCCACCAACACCGTGAATGTGTTTAGCACTTGCCGCTGTACTTGACAGCGGTTGAGGGCAAGTTCTGAGACGTTTCGCCGTTGCCGCTGGACGTGGCACCCTTGTGAAGCTGGATGGATCGCACATTGCCCGAGACGTTTTCCAAAAGAGGGTACGAGTATGTCGAACCCTGGGCGACGTAGATGCTGGCACGCGTGTACTTGCCGCCACAGTTGGCGTTATCAAAGAGAGTGAGAGTGACGGTAGCGGCAGCGGGATCGTCGTGATAGTACTTGATCGACTTGATGTTCGTGAACGGGCTGACCGAGTAGCAGGTTTCGTACGCAGGGATATCGAAACTGTTGCACTTGCCCTGGTAGCTCTGAGTGTCGAAGACAGAGAGTCTGCAGGCAGCCTCAGCAGAGGCAACGAAAGCGGCGGCGGCGACGGCGAAGAGAGTGAACTTCATGGTGAAAATGTGGTTTGAGAGTTGAAATGTGAATCTAGTGATGGGAGGTAGATGTTGAGAAGGTGAGGATTAGGAAAATCTGTCGATCTTTTTATACCTTTCATTTTTTTTTTTTTCTATTGCTGCTTCCTTGTTGAGAATGTTACCCGAATTGGCTTTTTGAGGTATCCTATTGGCTAATTTAATCAGCCAGCCTCTCACTTCGGATCCGCGGTAATTTTTCAAACTTAAGGTTTGGCCAATAATGCGCTGCTTTTGGTGCATGAGCCAATCAAATCAGTATTTTATTTTAGGCTCAACAGCCAGATACAACTTTGTTAACGGTTGATGCATCGCATAGACTATTCCCTTCTCCCGGTGCTTGTCCCTGTTTCCCGTTTGACATAGTCTACAGATGTTGTATCCCTATTCATGTACCATGCGCCTTGCTGAAAGAAACGACATGTTTGTTCACTTCGAAAGTCGAAACTTATGCTGCTAATTTAGTCCGCATCTGTGTTCTGGTTATAGTTTAACCTGTCTGTCCAAGTTGAGAATCTTTTCACCAAGATCATTCTCTTCGCCCTCGCGTCGGAGTCTTTGCTCCTTCGCTCTTGCGTCGGGTCCTTCTCAATGAATTCTATGTGCCGTATCTCCATGCCCCAGTTCTTGTTTATACACGCACAGAAGGGAGCTGCATGCCAAGTAATGGATGGGCACAACGTACACAAACACACAAAGACATATGGAACGGATAAATGGAAAAACAGATGGGTGCAATGTACAGCCCACGCCTGGATTAAGAGACAAAATGTCTCTTTAATTCGAATTTTCGTATTCTGTCTACGCCTGCCAGTATAAAAAATATAACAGAACATAAAATTTATATGAGGAAGAAACGCATAAAGAGGTGGAGGAGGGTCTGCTGGACGCGTTAGACAGGGGCCGCGCTATGCTTTGTGATGGAAAGAAGCCTGCACAGTCTCTTGATCTCCGTGTTGCCATATTCATGAGTGACGGACTTAAGCTAATGGCCGAGCTGATAGCACTTAACAAGGGGCAAGATACCATTGATACCATTGATAGAGTCCGCGTAAAAAAGTGCCGACATTTATATTTTTACAATAATAAATTTTAATACAGTCGATTGCGGCTCTCACGTGAGAAATGGTTTCTCGTACGTGCAGCACAAGAGAGCCTGGACATGGTTGCATGGCTGCATGCACAATGTAAAGAGTAACGAAGATACGAGGAAAAGAGGTGCCGTAGTAAAGTTTTTGCGGCTCCCTTTTTAGACTATCTGCAATGCTTTACCCTATTGTTTACTTACAGACAGGATACCGACGAGACAAGAGAGGGATCATTATTTTCTGGGCAGACGGGCCCCTTATAAGGTACGTTAAGGGTACTTGTCTCCGCTCAGGTTAACCTAATCAACCTAGAAACCTTAATTTCTTCAAGACGCGTCCAGCAAAGAAAGCGGCTACGAAAATATATTTGTTAATTTGTACATAAAACATGAGTTTTCAGGGCGGCAAAACTCCTGGTTTCACATCAACAAATTTTGGGATGGTGCTTTTTGACTGAATTAAAATAAAGATATAAGTGTCGGAACTTTGACAGTGACTGCGAGTCACAGTCGAAACTTTAACTGGTGATTGGATTGAACCTCTATTCTAAAGGCGAAAAATACAGTCACATATTCAGTCGGGTGTCCTTTTGTACGCACAAAGCCACAATATCCATCGCACATTCTAAGTCACGAGCGACCTTTGTGCACATAAGGGACTCAGCGTAACATGTGACTGAATAAGTGGCTGGTTCAATTCAATTCACAATTAGAGTTATCGGTCTAGTTTCGTATGGTGAGTTGGGCCGATAAACCAGATTCGACTGTACTCCAGTAAAGCATGTGACTGTAGGCTCGACCCCAGCCTGAGGGAGAGAGCATTAAATGCACATGAATTCAGTCATTGCCTTTTTAGGCGCAGACGACATTCGTCTCCTCTCAGGCTGGTACACAAGTCGGGAGTCTACTATGCTCTAAATAAAAAGGAAGGTTGTTAAGGGTTCTAGCTGTGATTCTTGGAGTCTTTTAATATTTTTTCGGGGTTCGCAGCTAGAACCCTTAACAACCTTCCTTTTTATTTAGAGCATAGTAGACTCCCGACTTGTGTACCAGCCTGAGAGGAGACGAATGTCGTCTGCGCCTAAAAAGGCAATGACTGAATTCATGTGCATTTAATGCTCTCTCCCTCAGGCTGGGGTCGAGCCTAATGTGACTGAATATGTGACTATATTTTTTGCCTTTAGAATAGCTCGTTCAAAGGGGCTCAATTCAATCCCCAGTTAAGGTTTCATTGCAGGTTTGCGCGATAAAATCGAGTTTTGACTGTCAGAGGGACAACGAAAATTCGGATTAAAGAGACATTTTGTCACTTAATCAGGGCGTAATAAAGGCCGGGAACTGTATGTACAGTCACCTTACAAAACTAATTAGCGAATCAGACTTTTACCCATGCTTTTGCGCATTCTTTTACAAATTACCTATATACAACACACCTAAAGAGTTATGCAGTCGCTATGAAATTCTTCATGTCTATCGAAAAGCTCTGGGGGAACATCTTTGGTGAATATCAGGGTGGTTTATGCTGAAGGAGAGGGTTGTGGCTCGCTCAATATCTGCCATTACCACCTCTGTGCTTTTTCACGAATTCCAGTCTCTGGGGCATCGTGTCGACTAGCCTTGCCAGCTGTTCTTGTGGTAAAGCATTCCACTCCTCCACTAGAGCTCTCACCAGGGTTGCAATGTCCCGAGGTTGACTTCATCGTCGATTGAGGGCAGTACCAAGGAGGGACCAAACATGCTCGATGGGGTTCAAATCTGGGGAATTGGCTGGCCAGTCCTCTATCTTGCGAAAGCCGTGCACTTGGCGCCAACTCTTTGACAGCACGCAGCTGTGCACTGGGGCACCATCTTCCATGAGGATTCCATCCTGTACCTCCGTCATAAACCTGAGCAATTCACCCTCATACACATCCTCCACGAAGCACTGTCCGTCGCGACGTCCTCGCTCAAAAACAACCAGCCTGGACTTTTTAGTAGTTGTAAATGCGCCCCAGACCATGAGGGAGGTCCTACCGCTCTTGAATGTGGGTGCGAGGCAATTGCCATCGTACTTCTCCTCCGCTGTTCGCCAAACTCGAATCTGGCGAAAATTCTCTCCAACCTCGAATATTGACTCATCAGTCCATACTACCCTCGACCATTGCTCCGTTGTCCATTTGCTGTACCTCCGCATAAATGTGAGTCGCTTGTCCTTGTGAACGTCGCTGAGATAGGGTTTCTTTGCGGCTACCCGGCTGAAAATGCCAGCTGAATGGAGCGCTCTCCGAACGGTGCCTTCGCTCACTTCATAGGGTACCATGTTGGTGATATCCTGTAGAGTGACACGTCTTTCACGCTTTGTATTGCGTATCATACTCCTAATGTCTCTCTCACTCAGCGCTCTTGGCCGTCCAGGAACTGGGGCGTGTGCAGTGGTGCCTCTTTGATGGTAGATGTGAATAATATTGGTCACTGTGGGCCTGGGTGTGTTGCGCTTCGCTGCAATTTCCGTATGGCTCATCCCCGCTAGACTCATTCCAACGATAATATCTTTTTCTTCCATGGATAACTGTTTCGGCATGGTAGTTACTCAAGCTGCTGTCAACTGTGCTTGGAGAAGAAAAGTCGTGTTGAAGAAAAGATGTATTTATTTGCTCATGGCTTGAAAATTATGATTCGCTAATTAGTTTTGTTAGGTGACTGTACATACATTCACCATTCATGAAATTCGAAATTCATTGCAGAAGTCAGACCAGGGGATAAGGGATGGATGATTCTAGGGTAGAGTCCGCAACGCAAAACAAAGGACCAGCGACAGTAGCTACACTCAAAGTATCAGCCTAACCCAAAACTGGCTATACTCGCTTTAGATAGGTTCAATAAAAAGGTAACTTACAGTCGAAACTCGTTTTTAGGCCGGGGTTTGTTAACAAAACGCGGCCAACAAACTTAATTTGAAATTGAATTGACCTCTCTGAGTGGACTATTCTAAAGACCAGAAAATACAGTCACATATTCAGTCACATGCTCTACCGTTGACGTAGAATCCTTTATTATTCCTGCAAAGCACGCACCAGTTGCTTCACTGTCCGTCGAATATCAAACGTATTCTTTGACCCCTGCTTCGCTCTCTCTCTGATTTGCTTGAGGCCTTCGATGCTTACAAGGTCTCCAGCCAGACCCTTCAGCGCTTGAGCGGCTATGTTCCATTCCTCGTCTGCGATCGGTGAGCTTGTGTATCCGTCATGACTAACTTCTTCAGACTGGTCGCTTTCTCCATCTGCATTCACCTGCTGCTGCACTTCCTCGGCCAGCTCCTGCACATCCTTGTTTCCTACTATTCGGAAATTCCAATTATTTTCCATATTAGTCTCGGCGATCAGATGCTCGAAATGTATTCTCTCCTGCTCTTCGTATTGGTTGTGTCGGGAGTATCGAAGTGGTTGATACTGTTCAGCCTGGGTTGGCTGCCGTCTGAGCTGCTCACGCATTTCCGTCGGAAGGACTGGCGTTTTGGCGAAGCAGTTTCGCAGCGTTAGAGGCTTCACTCGACTCCATGCATAGGGGATCAATGTCCAAGCGAGTTCGTTGGAGATACATTTCTTCTTTTGATAGTTGCGAGCGAGATAGGTTTCATAGCTGAGCATCTCCAGGAAAGCTCGTTTGAAAACACTAATTACGCCCGCGTCGAGAGGCTGTGTTACTGATGTGGTGTTTGTCGGGAGCCGCCGTATGTGGAGATGCTTCCAAGGCGTGTTGGTTCGCAGATCACGCATGTCGATGTTGTTGTGCGCACCTGCGGAGTCAAGAAGGAGAAGGGTTGGCTGCGAGAGATCGTCATCAAACATTCGTAGCCATCCTACGAATACGTCGTTCTTCATCCATCCCGAGCTTGTTTCCCTCATGAGCATCCCTTTCGCCGAATCTTCTTCAAGATTTGGAATACTTGTGCCTAAAGTAAAGAGCATCACAGAGTCGCAAAGGTCAAGATGAAATATAAAGCACCGATAAATAGATGACGATTGCAACATAAATCATACGTTCAACACATTACCGATGACCAACGGCTTCAATGAATTCTTGGTGTCTGCCATGGCGAGAGAGGACCCAGAAGCATTAATGCAGAACAGGATGGAGACCCTGCAGCTCCTATTGGCCTTGATGCCCGACTTTGACTCTTGAGTTGTGTAAGACTTGTTGTCCAGCTCCTGCAAGTAAAAGCCAGTCTCGTCGCAGTTGAATATGTTGTCTGGAGTGTATTGGGCGCAAAGCTGACGGATATCGGTAAGCTCTGGTTCAATCGCCTCCAGGTCGACCGATCCTGCTTCTCCATGAAGCTGGCAGTAGGTTATCCCATAGTGTTTCTTGAAGGCGTTAAACCATGAGGCTGAGAATGACGGCGGTGCCTCAGACACGGTATCGCCCGAATCGTCCTGCAGATCGACAAGAATCATACCTGCATTCTTGATCATCTTGCCATTGACAGGGATGTTCTGCTTCCGCTGAACTTGTAGCCACCGATATAGGACCTCCTCGATCAGTACGTTCTTGCGGTTGACGATGTAGTAAGCATCCGCAGGGGACATCTTGGCTGCAGCACGTATTTCGTCTTCTCGCTTGATCATGCGCCTAAGGGTACGTCCCGGAAGACTGATGCCTATCATAGGCCCGAAGGTGTTGTAAGAAACCTTGATGTTGAGGTTTTCCTTCCGATCATAGAGATAATGATATATGTCCAGTAATTCGACTTGCTTCTTCAGGGTGTGAGAGACCCTGGGCATTGGGATCTCGAACTGGTTGGGGTTAGGAAACGCAATGAATGTGGTCATATCTTTGCTCCTGGCACAATCCAAAATGAATTTGTATCTCAGTCGATGAGTGCGCTCGGTATCCTCAAGTTCGCTCTTGGTGTATTTTTTGTGATTTTTGGCAGGAGGGTGTACAAGAGTTGGTTTTTGTTTTTTGTTTGATGTCGTTGCCTGGATCGAGAGCGACTCATATTGTCTTTTTTGGGAGGTTTTTGTAGCCATGGTGTTGAGATGTATAGAATGCAACATGAGAGACGTGTCCATGGAGAGCAAGAAGCACGCTCGCAACGCAGCATGTGACTGAATATGTGACTGTATTTTCTGGTCTTTAGAATAGTCCACTCAGAGAGGTCAATTCAATTTCAAATTAAGTTTGTTGGCCGCGTTTTGTTAACAAACCCCGGCCTAAAAACGAGTTTCGACTGTTAGTTATCAATAGAATTTTTGTACATTCATTGCTGTGCTCTTTGCATTTCTCAATAATGTCCTTCCATAAAGACAGGAATGTTTCTTTAGGGATCTTTAAGAGTATGCTATTCATCTTGCAGTGGACAGAAAGAATTGTTTCTTCGTAGTCGGTGTTCGTATAAATCGAGGATCTGTTGGCATAAGTTCTTGATAGTTGTCATGGTGAAAATGTAAGAAGGTGAATGGCATTCTATTGGCCGTTTATTGAACCTATCTAAAGCGAATATAGCCAGTTTTGGGCTAGACTAGCAAACTGTTCAAAACCAGGAAACAGGATCTCCTTTACAGATAGAGAGGGCTGGGGCACACACCGGAACCGTAAACGTGGCAGGTGATCCTGGATGAGATTTGTGTAACGCGCGCCGATTATCGCACATGGACCCTTTCAAACAAAGCACAGCGCGCCATCGATCAATGAAATCGCAAAGTTCTTGCTTCCAATAACCATCCATGGTCCCCGGTAAGTACGATGCTGGATACCGATAAACACCTACTCTCGGTCAACACGACCGCTCCATAAAGTCCATGTCTTTATCATTGGTACCGTCATGAACAAAAGCAAGTCTTCAAAGATATGAATGAACGCAATTCAGTTTTTATTTTTGTACAAGTTACTGCAATGCAAGTGTTTGACGATAAACAACACAATCAAACGATGAGTGTCGGCCTGTTACTGATTAGAAACTAGAAGGAGCCAGGTGCGGGGAAAAAACACCGCGATTACTCGTGAAGAACCTTGATGCCGTTGGCCAAGGCTGCAAAGGCCAGGACGCCCCACGACATGTACGTTCCAATATCGCGGCCAGACGCATGCACACCATCAACGATACCCATCTGCGTCAACAGATCGTTCAACAGGCCACCCTGGAGCAGCTGCGATGACACGAGTCCGATAAAGAGAGTGTGCAGAGCGACGCGCGAGAATCCTGAGAGTTCCAAGAGGACGAGAAGAATCAAGGTGACGGGGACAACAGAGGTGAACTGGGTCAAGACTGAGCCGAATGAGTTGCGCTCCATCTCAAAGGCATTCTCGGTACTGGGCTTGCTCCTGAACTTTTCGATCTTGGTCATCGTGCGATCGCCGTTGTCTAAAAAGTCACAAGAGAAAACGAATATCGGTCGTATTAATTCATCTGCTGACTCGTCCCACGATAGATCTGCGCAGCGAAAACTTGACAAATGATAAGGACAACTTACGCAAAGAATCGTTATTCTTAACAACAGTAATGGTGGTCTGGCTGGGATCGGTCATGCGACCCAATCGTCTATTGCGCCAGATGCGGTGCGCCAAGAACAAGAAATAGATAGCCAAGAGCGAACCATAAACTGAGCTGGCACTCATCGCGCCACGATCCTGCTCTCCAAACCATTGGGAGTGAACATTTCCAATCAGCTTCTGATATTGGTCATGGGCCTTGTGCATGGGCGACGAACTGGGTGTGGCCGAACCCCACATGGAGCTGACCGAGGCAGTAGCCTTTTCGTAGCCATGGCGAGCTTTGTCGGAAGCCGAATGGTAGGACTTATGAGCTTCGTCCGCCATGTTCTTGGCATCGCCAGTTGCATGGCTATAGGCGGACGAGATCGACTTGGATGCCTTGTGAGAAAGCGACGAAGCCGATTTTGACGCATGGTGAATGGCAGCCGAGCCAGACTTGGACGCATGGTGGATGGCAGCCGAGCCAGACTTAGACGCATGATGAATGGCAGACGAGCCAGACTTGGATGCATGGTGAGCAGCAGACGAGCCAGACTTGGACGCGTGATGAGAGGCGGAGGATGCAGACTTGGAAGCAATCGAAGCAGCGTGCTCGAGCTTAGCCTTGAGGTGTGCTGTGTCGCGGTTGAAGGTCTCGACAGCACTGTCATACGCGTTCCTAGGGGCCGCCTTGATCTTGGCCTCGGCATCCTTGATCGTGGTGGTAAAGGAGTCGGTTGCATCCTTGATGGCCTTATGGAGGCGGGACTTATCAGCCTGGTCCTTGGTGGCGCGGTAGGCGTCATTGATGTTGTTCCTGGCAATGTTAACAGATCTCTGCAAGCTGTTGAGGAACGAGTTGTAAATTTCGGCGCGCGTGTTCCTGACGCTCTTCAGAGTGTTCTTGAAGGCACGTTCATAGTGATCCTTGGTCTCACCGGTGTTGTCGACAATAGCGTTCCACTGCGAGGTCAACCACGAGTCGGTCTGCTCTTCATAGTACTTGGCCTCGTTCAACTTGGACTTGATCTTGTCAGCCACCGAATCTAGCTCCTCGACTGCACCAGCCTCGCCGCGGTAGATGCGGTCCAAGACACTGTGGTAATAATCCTTGACAGGCTTCAAGCTGGACTCGAACGACGAGACAGATGGAGCATTCTTGGACTTCGCCGCAGCCTGATTCCACAGATCGTTCAGCGAATCATGCACGCGCTCGGTTGAGATATGTTTCTTGGGCACTGTCTTGACGTTAAGATGACGGTGATCGTGTCGGCTAGGGTGATCCCAAACCTCTCTGCAATCCCATCCACCTGAGTGATGACGCGAGAACCAGTACTGCGAATTGGGACCGCATTCGTACTTGGGTGGGCTGTAGACCAACGAGTTGACGGCTGACTTGAAGCGATCCCATTTCTTGTGGGTGATCTCCGAAGCCTCGTCCTTGATGTCTTCAACCTCGCGCTCGGTCTTGTCAAGGGTCTGGAACCACTTTGATTTAGCCTTCTCGCGCGCTTCCTCGTGGACACGCTCCGCAGACGCAAGGGCCTCCTTGTATTTCTTTTCGGCAGCCTCGTATGCCTCACGAGCTTCCTTCTTGTAGCCAAACATTGCCCACTTGGCCTCGGCTGCAGCCTCGTCGCGTGCCTTCCTGGCTTCGATGACAAGCTCCTTGGCGGCCTCATCCGCATCCTGGGTGAGAGTTTTCACATAATCATAAGCGCGTCGCAGGACGCTGTTGTTCCGAAGGAGCGAAGGGTCGTGATGAATCTCATCGGTGTCGTCATCGTCTTCGTCTTCGTCTTCGTCCTGGTTCGAGTTCGAGGGATACCAATAATCGCGGAAGGTCTGTCGGACGTTTTCAACAACGCCGCGGTGGTGGTGATGATGATCCTTGGGCTCGACTATCTCCTCGTGTTCAGAGACAATAGTGGTGGTGCGGGTGACGATGGTTGTGGTGGCGTCGTTGACGGTATGCGTGCTGACGGTTTCTGCTCCCATGGTTAGTAAATGATATTTGGCTTTCGGCTGGTGCGTGGGTGTGGAGGTGGGCTCCTTTGGGATTTAATTTGATGCAAAGAAGGTATAGATAGATACAAGATACAAAGGAAGAAAATAGACAATCTTGGTGAAAGAAAAGGAGTGCAGTGGATGGCGTTGAAGAAAGGATGTAAAGGTTGAGTAAAGGAAGGAAGGAAAGAAAGGGAAGGAAGAGAAGACAAAAGAGGGGACGGAGGCAGATGGTATTTAAAGGAGTGAACAAAACGCTTTGGACGCCTTTTCTATTGCCTCGTTCATGCGGCAGTCACTCAGTAAATTCATTATATCATCGTGATGCTCTGATACATCATCACCCGCAGGCAGACCCCACACAGCAAATGGCTCCCCCTGGAGCCCATGATGTCACCCTCCATTGCATTTTGCCACCAACTCTCGTACCTGGTACCCTGCTGCCTCTCTTACTACACGACCACGATTAGGGCCAGGAACCGGAAAAGGAGCCATTGTCACAACAAACCACTCAGATGCGCACCAATACGCTACTCTATACTTAGTATCGCGATGGCAGCAGGCAACAGCATTATTGTCGAGGATGTCCGCTTTGCTCTTCCACGAGAACCGTCAAGCGATGAACAGTAGTTCTTCTCTTCCTCTCAACGTGTCTCCTTCTGGTCCCTGTACCAAAACTCCGCTCTTCGCCTCCAAACCTGTGCGGTCATGATGATATGCACACACACGCACCTTCAGCTCTTTCTTTCTTTTTTACTTTTCTTTTGCTATGTCGAGTGCGTCTCGTTCGTCATGGTCGTAAATAAAGTCGTCAATTGGCGATACGCTCATTGTCGTCCAACATTGCGGCTGCTTTAAGCCGTTAGTGCGAATGCATCCTTTTCCATCTTTTATTTGCGCGAGAAGACCCTGAGATGGATACGTTCTAACAATGCACGAGCGTATAAAAGGATGTGGTTATGCCCCTATTTTTCCGCTACCCATAACAACTTTTTTTTTTTTTTTTTTTTTTTTTCCTTTCGGTGGCTCAAGCCAACACAGGAAAGTAGGCCAGCACAATACCAGCAACGACCGTGCACATCGTGACCGCCCCCATCGGCTGTCCCTCCTGATACACCTTCAATGTCGTCGCCGAACTCGGGTTCGTCGGCAACGATGTCCCAGTCGCGGTCATCGTCGTTGTCGTCGTCCGGGTCACCGTCTTTGTCACCGTTGTCGTCCCCAGTGGTCCAGAATTTCGGGAAAGGGCCTTACAGTAGGTATCCAAGCTCGATGACGACGGCGCCTGGTTGCTTCCAAAGACCATTTCGAGCTGATCCGTCTCAGTAAAACACTGCACACATGAGCTATAGAGCGTGAGGAACGTCCCTGTGCACTGGCATTCAGCCAGGATCGAGGTCGAGATCGAACCGTTCGAGGACTGACCGATTGAGTTCAGAATCGTCTGACACGGAGCAGTTGCGAACGCGGGCATGCAGGTGACACAGGATGCAGTGCTTGTTGGGAACTGGACTGCGTACGACTGCGAACGAACGGGAATTGGCAGGATGCAGGCGATAAGTAGCAGGGCCAGTACATCCAGGAGCAAGAGACGCGAAGATGGGTTATTAAGACTCATTTGGTTCGTGTTGGTGTATGAGTTTTTGGAAAGATAACTTTGTAGAGTGTTGCACAGGATCGCTCTTTTGTACATCCGCGGCTGTGTGTGCATTTATAGCGGCAAGTGAGAATAGAGAGCCTTAAAAAGATCAATGCTATACGAGTGCAATGGGTACCGATTGTGCTGCATGCGCAAGGATACCTCTGGAGACACGGAGTGGGATAGTGATCAGTTATCGCAGATATTGCTAAGGACGGGCAGTAACCAGCAGCGACCCAATCCATTGCGTCCAAGTCACCCTGATATTTGTCCGGAGCAGCTATGAGCTGAGTGATATCTGACGATTGATGAATCTCATCTCTCCGAATTGTTTGAACAACAAATAAAAAGCGTTGATGCCGCGTAGACTTTTTTTTTTTATAACCAGGACCCATGGGGACGTATGTTGATGCCGCGTAGACATCGGCGAGGATCCCTACAACTTTTTTTTTTTTTTTTTTTTTTTTTTTTTTTTAACGAGAACCCTACTAGGAAATACATTGTATGCTGGAAATAAGGAGTTGGGGTATAAAGAGGGAGTGAAGCACGCGGACATGTGCCCGGGCAATACGCTGAATATGCTGGCGACAGGTCCCTTGCCGGGAATACCCGCAAAAGTTCTCTCCGGAGGGCAGCAGTTCTCACAGGCTCAACCCTCCAAGCGCCCTTTTTGGTTCTGTTTTTTTTTTGTTTTCGCACGCCTCAGGTTCCGAAACATGCGAAATGGGATCACCTGCCATGAGTTTTATGCTTCACTTTTTTTGTTTTCGCACGTTAAAAATTCAGGGTCCATTAACGTCCGTGAGCAGCAACGCTAGAGTACAAGTGTATAGGAAATGAACGGCATAGTGCCGTGTATCTCACTCAGCCAAGGACACGATGGTGTTTCCCGAGCAAACATATTTTACACTATCGTGTACGAGGCGCGTGCAGAAGAGGGCCTCTTGTATTTCATTCAGGTGGAGGTAGGGCCGTGCCTCGCCACCGGGTCGTACACGGTCCATTTGCTCTGCTCAGACATCGACCTTGGCTGATATACACCCTGCCCTCAAGAACAAGAGGAGCTTTCAGTATGGCGTTCGCGCAATGAGCAGGACACATGTGGAAATGCACTCTTTAGAGACAGAATAGGTCTATTGAGTAGAAAGTACTGGAGAGAAGATCAATTGGATAGGGAAATCTATTGGACAAAACAGGCTGTTGAGTTTGTCGACTGAGCCCCTTGTGTTTGGTCTGCATGCGCAAAAGGTGCATGAGCGACAATGCTGTGGACGTGCTCAGCTTCGATGTACGCGTTGTTGCCATTGCTACTGGTATTGCCGCTCTTGCTGCTGCTCTTGCTACTCTCGTTGCTGCTGTCGTCGTGGTCCTGTTCACGCTTGAATTTGTCTCTGTATACTGTCTGCGGAGTCCACTGCCACAAGGCAGATTAATAAAGATACGTCTTTCCTCAGAGGTACCTGCTATATACTCCTTGTGGCAGATTGAATAACAAGCAAGTGAAGCAACCAACGTCCAGGTAGTCTTCCTCTCTTCCTCTCTTCCTCTTTTTTTTCTGCACGGAAGTGTATGCATAAAAAGAAGGTTGGTGTTCTTTTGCCTCAACCGTTATCAGAGATTGGGCGTTTCCTTTTTGAGTTAGGTTTAACCTCATTTGGCTATATCCAACCCATGGATCACTGTTACTTCTGCACGCTGCTTTCCTCGATAGTGCTGCTCCTCTGCCCTGTACCGCTCCACCCACACGTCTCTTGCATTGCACCGATGAGGGTCGACTGCCACACTTGCTCGTCTTCTTCTTGTGCGTCAATGATCATTTCTGATCGACAACGAGAAAGACAGAGACAGACAGAGACAGAGTCAGGTACAGGGGATTTCCTGCTGGACAAAATCTAGCGTCTGTCAAAAGCATTTCCCAGCAGCTGACTCTTCCGCCTTTTCTTTTGGCACCCGTCCCGCTGTTCCTTATGCTTCATACTCCATGTTCCATGTCCCATATGTCATTCGCTAGTCTTTATGCTCTATTCTTTACTCTCTGCTCTCGGTATTCTTCATATTCTCCACAGTGGCCATAGTATTGCAGCATTCTATGGTCCAGTGATCTTCGGATTTTGCATTTTGAGCCCAAAGCGCGTCCGCAATGCTAACGAGCCAATAAATCTAGAATAAGCTGAACTGAACTGAATAAGACTGAATAAACCTGGACACCGTCAACTCCGGGTGCTTTTCATCGAGTGTGCATATTCCCAAAGCAAGAAGCACAGGCCATATAAACCCTGGTTCCCCCTACCTTTGTTCCTCATACTCTCATACTCTCACACTCTCACACTCGCACACTCCCTCACTCTTTCTTTCCAGCCCTTTGTATCTCTTCAAAGCACCATCACTTCAACCACTTCATACATCCTCACCTCCACTGCCACAGACCATCATGGACGCCACCGCTCTCACCCCTACCATCGCTGCATATATTGTTGCGACAGCCGACCCAGTCTATGTTAACGCGCAGCTTGCCCTGCCGCTCCTCACACAGACTGCTGAAAGGATACGCAAGGAACACCGTGGCCAGGTTACCCGTCCTATCAGCACCGCAACTGGATGTGCTTCTCTATCTCCACACTCACCTACGCTCACCCAAACTCACACATATATCTCAATCGTGTCCATCCTCGTCTTCTTTTGCAGGGTGTCGTCCTGTTCTTCGTACCAGACACGCGTGCTCTCCATCCCAGCCTGGACCTCTCCTACCAGAACAACGGTGTCAAGATCACAATCGTCTGGGACACTTCAGAGACGGTCAACACCCAGGCGTGGCAAGCACTTTCAGTGGCGTTCGAGGTCATAGTCGCCTCTGTCGAGACCGCAGTCGGCCTTCTGAGGCATCCGTTGGTGCAAGTTCGAGTAGTAAGTTCTATCCTTCCATGTCCGCACAAACGTACGCCAGCAAGGAAACAACATGGACTGGGTTACATGTAAAGTTGAAAATGTCGCTTGCTTCTCTAATGATAATGATTTTGCACGTCTTTGACTAAATTGTCCGCCAAAAAAAAAAAAAAAAAAAAAAAGCGGCACCTGTCGAGCTTCGATCTGTCGGGATCAGGACGGCTAGGACCCTTGCTTGCATGCTTTCGCATAGTTCCAGAGTTTGAGCTTCCGAACGAGATTGTTGGAAGGGCATGGACCCACCTTCTGCACGCTCGTGTCGTTACCGCCCTTGATGACCGTGCCATGTGGTTGGAGCAACACCTACACGATCGGATCGTCTGGTATAATGTCGGAGTGGGGGAGCATGATTCTCACACTGTTTACCAAGCTAGTATTTCCTCCAGAGATAGGGAGATCTGCCGCGAGCTTTGGAGTTCCTGCAGGCATCATGGGTTTGAGTCAGTGGGTGAGGCGTTTGAATACGCGGTGATAGAGCTCAATCCATGATGTGTGACCAGGGCTTGGCGCTCCGCACTGCAGGGCTTCACGGCCAGAACGATGAGTACGGTGTCAGCGTCGAATCATGAGGGTCGTCAAGTAATTGACAACTTAATGGGCATTGCAGACACACTCGACCTGACGCCGCAAGGGAAGCTCGCGCTCCGAGGCAAGCTGGATGGACTGATCGGGGTCCTTCATTCATATCGTAACGAAACTAATGGCTTTTGCGGGGTCGTCCTCGTCGAACGCGAAGTTACAGCGTGCGTTTTGAAAGAGTTCCTAGCGCAATTCGGACAGAAGTTTGGCCTAGACTTCATGCGACCCTCGCTGCTCGCTGGCCGTCGGATTAGGAAGGCGGATGCTGGTGGGTGCCGCGAGTAGGCTGAAAGGGAAAGGCATGCGATCGAGGGCTTTCACCGGGGTGACGAAAATCTCTTGATTGCTTCAGAGGCTAACGGAGAGTTCGTCATGGAAGCCGCTCACTTTACCCTAGTTGTCAGGTATGTTCCTCAAAATCTACTGTTCACCGAGCCAAGTGGCCGAATTGAGACAGGCAAGCTGAGCTAGCTTTTTTCCATTGCTCTGTCTGCATCCATTATAGGTTTAATTTGAAGGACAACGATCTCGACGCGTATGTCAGGTCTCGCTCGCGAACTCGAGACCAGACAAAGGATATTGTCGTGTTGCGATCATGCAGTAACATATCCCATCCCAAGCCCCATGTCGGTCTGCAGCTGGCTCCCGCAGGCTCTGGTGCCGTGGGCACTGCATTCCTGAAGCTTTTAGTCTCCTTGGACCTCTTTGTCCGTGATTTGACCAAGGACCAACATGTACTAACGCAAGACAAGGACAAGAAGTTGGCGAATAAGGCGCTCTTAGTCAAGAGTAACCACGTACAGACGGCGAAGACGGCCCTGGGACAGGCTTATCTCGAGGGCTTTTTGGAGGACACCCTAATGGAGGTTGGACACCTCGTCAATCCGTTCCAAAGTATCAGTTCCTGGGAAGATTTCGCAGTCCTTTACGACAGCGTCAAGACCAGAGTGCCCGGGCATTCGCTCTCTCCTGGAATACGGTGGTTTGAGGACCTTCAGGCTGTCGAGTACGCCATTGGCTAGGCAAGGGTGAGGAACGACATTCTGAGACTGAACATCCGGACTTGTGAAAGTCATTAGATGACAGTTGGAAGCATCTGTTGGATGATGATAAGCTCAGAGAGGGCAAGGAGGAGGAGGGGGGGAGAGGGGGGGAGAGGGGCACTAAGGACGGAGGGATATTGTACTTCATCTCCCTATAAATGATGTTTTTTCAATCAATTTATATTAGGCGCAAACGATCTGAAGGACGCGCCGAAGATTCATATTCGCATATTTTCAGGTACAAGAGTTGGCTTTATTTTTCTAGACATTCGGTAGTGTGCAAGACCATGGCGTACCATAGCCGTGGTAGTAAGGGGAGGTGTGTTGTTTTGTTGCTGCGATAGTCATTACCAGTTCCTGTTGAACTGTCCGTTGTTGTTCATGTTGTTCATGTTGTTCATGTTGTTCATGTTGTTCATGTTGTTCATATTGTTCATGCCCGTCATCTGAGGATTCATGCCCGTCATTTGAGGGTTCATGCCTCCCATGCCTCCCATGCCTCCCATGCCACCGTTCATACCTCCCATGTTATTGTTGCCCATGCCTGTCATCTGCGGCGTAACACCCATTCCACCCATGTTATTCATACCTCCCATACCCATGCTTCCCATACCTCCTCCGCTCATACCGCCCATGTTGTTGTTCATGCCTCCCAAGCCGGTCATCTGGTTATTCATGCCTCCCATGCCGGTCATGTTGCTGTTCATACCGCCCATACCGGTCATATTGCTGTTCATGCCTCCTCCGAGTCCACCTCCGAGACCGCCGCTCATGCCTCCGCTCATGCCTCCGCTCATTGATCCCATTCCGGTCATCTGGTTGTTCATGCCTCCCATGTTGTTGTTATTATTGTTGAAGCCGCCAAGACCAGACGAGGTAGGAGGTCGCATGTATGAGGATGACATGGGAAGTTGGCCTGTAGCTTGGACCTGGAGTGGGGTCAAACTGCTGTTGGATGATGATGAGTTCATGCTGCTCAAGGCGTTGTTGTTGTTGTTGTTATTATTGTTGTTGTTGTTCATGCCGCCGAAACTGCTTCCAAGACCGCCGCCGCCAAAGCTGGACGAAGAAGGTGTCTGAAGAATTCGTGACTGGCCCATGGGCGATGAGCTGAACGTATTCGACAAGGAGGGCGACTTGTTGAAGGTGTTCATACCGGTCATGTTGTTGTTCAGCCCGCTGCCGAGACCACCGGTGTTCATGCTGTTCATGCCAGTCATGTTGCTGTTGAGGTTGTTCATCCCTGTCATATTGTTATTCAGGCCGCCCATATTGTTATTGTTCATGCCAGTCATCATAGGCGACTGAAACTGGGGACTTTTGTTGATGTTACTGTTCATGTTCATGCTGTTAATCGCGCTCAGCGTATTGAGGCTCGGTCCACTGCTGCTGTTGTTCATGCCAGTTATAGCAGGAGTTTGAAACTGAGGCGTCTGCATCGGCTGTGAAACGCGGTTCAGCGGTAACATGTTGTTGTTGTTGTTCATGCCGGTCATATTGTTGCTCATGCCAGTCATATTGCTGTTCATGCCGGTCATATTATTGTTCATGCCGGTCATATTGTTGCCCATGCCAGTCATATTGCTGTTCATGCCGGTCATATTGTTATTGATACCATTCATGTTGTTGCCCATGCCCGTCATGTTACTGTTGATGCCTGTCCTCATGGTGTTGAGCGTGTTCATGTTGTTGTTATTGAAGCCGGTAGTCATACTGGTCTGCATTGGTGGTGGTGGGGGAGGAGGTCCCTGGCTCATGTTGCGGTTGATGAAGGGAGCAGGGACAGGAGGCGCCGATCTAGCTGCCATGATTGGAGGCGGCCTTGGAGGAGCTCCAGTAGGGTTGACAGTGATCGCTCCAATGCCGAAGGGATTGGCAGGTGCTGTAATAGACAATAAAAAACTAATGATTAGCAGCTGCAGATAAAGCTGAAGAGGAAAAAAACATTTCTCAAATAAAGTCTTGTCGATCATGGGAAACTTACTGGCATTGACCCAGCTTGCCTTGCCAGTGGGCTGGCTAGAAATACCGGTCATTTGAGGGTTCATGCCAGTCATCATCTGCTGTTGCATCGTAGGAAGACCCATCGATGCCGTGCTAAATGTTGGCTGAGGTGCATTCTGCTGTCCAGTGGGATGTGTTGGGACAAAGCGAAGTGGTCCTGTGGGGTTGACAGGCACCAAGGGTGCAGGCAATCTTCCGGACGAGACTGGCGGTGGAGGGGCCATGCGGCGAATGGTCTGCATGAGCTGCTGGTTCTGGTTCGCCTGCTGGACAACAGCTTGCTGGAGCATCTGCTGCTGCTGTTTCACCTGCTCCAATTCTTTCTTGACATTATCCGACTCCTGCTTCTCCTTGATCTTCTGCATTTGCTGCTTAACCTTCTCGGCTTCTTCAGCCTGGGACAGTTTGATTGCCTCCAATGAGCCGGGAACAGGTGTCGAAGGCTTGGCAGCAGGGGCTGGTGATGGAGGAGCTGGCGAAGGCGCCAGGGGCGCAGACAATCCAAGAGAGCCGAGGGAGCTGCTGCTGTCAGTCCTGCCTGGCGCACTGGGTCTGGGACGCCCGGCAGGAGAGGAGGCTTCTTTTGCCTCCTTCTTGGGGGAGCTGGGCTTGGCTGATTCCTCCTCTGGTTCAATCACCTTTGGTGCTGTGGTTGACGCAAACTTCTCGATCCACTCATCCTCGTTGTCGCGGTTCTGAATCTTCCAGTTGTCATAGTCAAAGCCAAGGAGTTTGGGATCACGAACCTCCCAAGCATCATCATCAAAAGCTAGGTCAGCTGCAGAAGTGCTGGTCGCAGGCTTCGAGGCCGTTGATTGCTTGCCTTTGAATGACGAGGGAGAAGCCTTTGGGGTGTTGCTGAGGGCAGTGCCGATCTTTGTGAACTCTGATGCATCAATAGTCTTGGGTGCAGAAGTTGTTGCTTTAGGTCTCGTGTCTGTGAAAACATGAGAGAAAGCCGTTAGCTATCGATGCCCATTTGGATTGAGTTGTCTTCCAAAGCATGATCTCAGCTTGAATCATTATGTCCACTTACTCTTACGCTGAGGTGTATCGTTCTTCTTGCCAAAGACAGGGGTGCGGTTGGTAGCGTTCTCGCGCTCCTGCAGCTCACGGGCAAACTGCTCGTCAGCTAATTCCTGCTGTCTACGCTGTTCAGCCAAGGAGGCTCCAGATGTTCGAGCAATCGACACTTCATCAGCCTGCATCTTCATAGCCATCTCGCGGTCATCTACCACATCAACTCCGCCGTGAGATCCTGCAAAGCTGACAGATTTCTTAGGCTTGGGAGCACTAGCAGCGTCGGGTGAAGTACTGCCCGATCCAGATCCAGGACCGCCAATAGCCTTGCGAATACGGATGATATCACCTTCCTTGACATTAAGTCCCTTCAGGACATCTCTGCTTAGCTCGGGCAAAATGCTGGAATCCATCTTCTCTGTGCGGAAGATAGTTGAGTATCGGAGCGCATCCTCGGTTGCGATGCCAGCCTTGATGAAAAAGTCATACCAATCGAACCCTGCCTCGGATACCTTCATGCCGGTGGCCTTTTCGACATACGCAATATCCTCCTGCGACATCTCACGCACAGGTACAGCGATCTTAACGCCGTTCAACTTGTGCAAACTGATCTTGCCATCGTGAAAGCCCAAATACTCTGCCTCCACCTTGTATTTTCCAGAGCGGTCCGTCCACATCCTCGTATTTTTCGGTTCTAAGTGGAAAGAATGACCCAGTTTGGTCAAAATTGACTATAGTTGAAATGTGGATGTAACCATAAGACCATTTAGCACGCTTACTGTTCACAGGAGCTGGTTCGGACTGCGCTGGAGAAGCGGCGGCAGTCGTAGTCGTGGCAGAGATCTCCTTCTTGAGCGGTTCGGTTGGCTTCGCAGACGGGACTGCGACAGGAGGCAGTGGTGGGGCTATAGAAGATACAGTTGCAAGTTGTATTAGGGCACAATCGACGTCTTCCTCAAAGTCCAGGGACGACCCTCTGTGAAGACACTTACGAGCAGGGACAGCACGCGCTTCGACCGCCGTTGGCTCCTCTGCCTGTACTTGGGCAACTTCTTCCTGCAGCTCTTCGGGTGCAGGTTCATCCGCAAACTATTATGATGAGTATATGATTCAGAGTTATCTGTCAGTAATGTGGCCAAAGTAAATCAATTGCGCATAATTGAAGAATTACAGCCCATCGCGATACATACCCTCACATAGGATGCCGGGACGATACCCACTTGTTCGCCAAGCTGCACTTTCCACCATTCGTCGCTGCTCACATAATCTGAGACCCAGAGCTCATCATTCTCACGAATGCTGAGTTCCTCCTCTGTCATGGCGTCAAAGTCGTACAATGCAATCGCCCAGCGGCCCTCGCACACTGGTTCTGGTTCGATGTATTGCTGTTGTTCCTCCTCATACTCTGGTTCCTCTTGAACAGGTTCTGATTGGTGGTATGCGGCACTTGCTGCTGAAATGTTGGGTGATCCTTGTGCAGTCTGATAAGTTGACGTTGATACGACTGAATCACGCACGGATGGAGCCGGAGCAGCTGATGCAGGATGTGAAATACGAGACTTTTGCTTGGACTCTTGAATTTTGTTGAAGATGGCCTCGGCTTCTTGCTTGGAAGCAGCCTGGAAATCGAATGAGGCCGGGGAAGAACCGCCCAAATCCAGATACACATGCTTCTTCTCTTGCCTGACCTTGTCCACGTCTTTGATTGACCATTGGCGCACAGGGGACTGCGAGATAGAGATAGGAACAAGTCAATGTTACTATTAGAGGGGTGTCTCTTCCATTTCAGATTGCTGCAACGGTGACCCAGTGACGATGAGAAAAAAGTGGGCTGTTGTTTGGTGTACACCGCCCCATTACCTTGTCCTCTTCGCTGCCAAAGAAGATGGTCAGGTTGCCTACACCTAGACTTCCCTTCTTTTTCTTCTTTTTCTTATCGACCTCCTACAGGGATGCGCCATTTCATAGTAGAAGCAGAAGTTAATATTAACATGGCTCTCCGTCGGGGGTTCTTTCCCTCATAAACCTTTTTCTTGTAAAAGCTAAGAGCAATTAGCGATAAAAACAAAATGAAAAAAACGGCGCTGCTTACATTGACAGACCAGAACTTGAGGTCGTCCTTCTCTGCAGGCGCCGTTGTTGGTGATAAAACGCTGCCGTTGGATCGAGGGACGGCTTCAGCTAGCGCCTCGTGGGCAGCGGGATCTTCCTCATGATACTGCTCTTCTGGCTGATATTGGTCGTCTGCATATTCTTCCTGGTATTGCTCTGGTGTCTGCTGTGCCTGTGATTGTCCGTCCTGTCCTGCAGAAGCCTGGAATAAGAGAGAAAAAGAAAAAAAAAGAAAAGAAAAAAAAAGAAAGAAAAAAAAGAACCGGCATGAGCAACCGCGCGTCTTTGCGACAACCTATTTGACCTTGTGCGATGAGAAAGCTTTAGGAAGCCAAGGTCATTAGGTCATTACCTCAACATAATTTCCAGGCACAAAGCCGACATGGGTGCCATTTCCGACCAGGAACCAATCTGGATCATCTTGCTCGTACAATGTGAGCGTGTCGCCCTCCTCGAAGGTGAGCTCCTCTTCTGTTGTTGCGTCGTACTTGTAAAGACCCACCACAGAACCAGTTGCGGCAAGCTATTTTTGAACAAAACGGTACATGAAAAGCAATAGTCAGGCCAAGTGCACGCTGGTGCTTCTTCCGTATCCTGTTTCCCTTTTGATAATTGTGGTTTTGCAAGGAGTATATTGATGCTAGAGAGAACTTTGCTGCTGCAAGTGGATGGACGCTAGGATGTTGAGAAGCCAGACGCATGGGGTGTGCGGTAAAGGGACGTGTTGCTTACAGGCTCGACATAGTTGCTTGGTATCAGACCAATGTGCAGCTCGTTGGGATCGACGGTCTTGAGCTTGGCCTTCCACCACTCGGGGTCGTCGTCCTCGAGCACGTAGAGGACGTCGTTCTCCTTGATGGCCAGCTCCTCCTCTGTGTTGGCCTCGTAGTCATAGAGTGCGACGACAACTTTTAGGAAAGGCATGGTTCAGTCGGTGTTATACGAAATAAGGAAGAGAAGGATGGCAGGACGGGAAGGATGAGAGGAAGGGAGGAAGGGGGGAGATGATGATGATGATGATGATGATGATGATGATGATGATGATGAAGGGCGATGGATGGAGGAGTATGGATGTGGAAGTGTGAATTGGTTATGAGGGAATAGTAGCGAGGTTGATGGAGAAAGCAAAAGTATCAAGAAATTACTCGAATGACGACTGGTGCAGTTCAGTCCAATGGCTGCAGTGGTTTGGTCACACTTTCTCACACTCACGCTTAGCTGTACCTTGATCAGAACTCGGGAAGGCAGACCTCACCAACAGCTTCCGGAACCATCGTTACATGCTACGTCTCGTCTACCTCCCCAACGCTGCAATCTGCCATCAAAGCTGGGGCTCTGTTTGTCGTAACCTCTTGTTCCTTCCCGCAGTGGCCCCATTACATCGCGACCATCCGCCACTTTTTATATCAGCCGACTTATTCAAAGGCTCATGTCCGATGGTGATGTGGATACCAGATTCTCTACAGCCCATTCATATCAAACACGTCCTGCAACGCCTACATGCCAGATCCTCTCCATCGCCGCTACTTGCGAAATACGACCCAAAGAGGCCTAAGCTATATTTGGCATCCAGCCAGCAAATAAAAGACCGCGTTGCACCTTGACCCCAACCACATAATCGTCGCGTAGACTAATGGTACTTTCACTTGAGGTTTTGGCATGTTCGAGACGCGTTGCTCACGAAACCTCAGAGACAAGGCGTACAGGTGTGCACAAGACAATGGGCCCCATTGCATAGCCTGCTTTAAGCATCGACTCCGATTTCTTAGTTCTACAGGGAGCATTCCTATGTTTGTAACGCGCCTTTTTTTCTTTTATTAAGAGCGCGCGGTGAAAAAATAAGTCTTTGAGCTCCATCGAAAAACACTCATCAAGTCAGCTGCACAGCGCGGGTTGTTCGAAAGGCGATTGGAGAACAGATGGTGCGATTTTATTCTTCTTCGAGAGGGGCATTGTCCGAGTTCAAGGACTGCTAGCATGCTGAGGGATGGCTGCTCCTTTGTACTGATCGAACTTTGGCGGTTGAGGAGGTATCGAAGGACCGTGTGGATTTTCCTTGTCGTCTGGGACATCATCCTTGTCGTTGATCTCGAGGCCCTGTTGATCACCGGATAGTGTCCTCTAGTATAATATCGAAAACAGCGCCAGTACGATCGAGGATTCATGGTGACCACACTTAATTGAGTAGGCCAAGATAGCGGCTCATTGCGTTCGTTATGTATATTTGAGGCGGAGAAAGTATCGAAAGGCTCTGCCCTTAAAAAGCCCTTTACTATTTGAAGCCATCGTCGGTCATGAAGAAGACACTCGACTTGTTTTGCGTAACACTCTACGCATTCTTGAAGGCCCGTTGAATATCCTTCCAGAGAATAACGTACAGTTTAGCCTCAGTTTTCAGACAGGTATCAATTCCGATGGTGAGAAAAGATGATGAAGAAGTCTGGGAAGACGGTATGACGCGAGAACTGAGCGTTTCCTTTTTGCTATAGCGCTTGGGAATGTGAGATACCGCTCGCAAGATGGACAAGCAGCAGAGCAAAGTGGCGGAGTGAAATGGACGCCAAACCTTATCGTGATAGACAGGATCACCAGGGCATAACTTCGACGTTCTGATTGATATCGGTTCAGGGACCCCACCTCAGGACACAGCGACGATTTTTCGAGCAATTCAACTTCAATGAGCTGTCGGAAGAAGCATCACAGAGTTACTACGCATTCGAAATACATAACACAGTCTGTTCGTCCTCCACCCGACATGGGTTGGGTCCATTCCTTAGGATGGAGAAGAGCGAGGCGAAGCCGCGCTAATCACCAAAAAGTACCGGGAAACAGCCTCCACTGAATGCGGTTCATTTTGATGGTGTTTGGCAACGGTGTGTGCATCGGAACCTTCACCTATTAAGCTACTTGCTTGTTAATATTTGTGCTTTGTTGATAGCATAACTAGTCAAGAGCTCTGCTCTGGACGGCACCAATTGAACGCTTCATCCCACGGTCCCGACAGGTAAAGAAGCACCGACGGCTTATGTACGTACAGTATCAACATGTGCAGAATGTCACACTGCACGTTCTCGCAAGTGACAATGAATCTTACACCTAGCATCAGTACCAGGCCAAGCGAAAACCAACTGACGATCAAGATCCAAACACGACCATCGGCTACAAGGAATAAAAGACGATCGAGTTGGAGCATTAGCCACCCAAGAACATTCTTCCATAGCCACAATTGATTTCTTTGTGAGCTCGACATCCACTATTGAGTTCATTCCTGAAACATCATCAAGTATGGCATCCGAACTGTGTAATCGAGCATATTGTGGACTTGTTCCCAAAACAGGATATGCACCCAGCCCACAGCAGCTCCGACCTGGCATCTTCCTCCAAGGGTAAAGATTGATTGGCAGTTCAGCGTTTTTTGTTTCGCGCTATCGCTGCATAAGATCGATTTCTTCTATTCGTTCTTATGCTAACACAGACTTGACCGCATTTAATTCGTTCTGCCCTGTCCACATTCCAGCTCCCTGTGAAAATACACACGTCTCTGGCAAGCACAGCATCCCTTTTGAAAACCACACAAACACCCGTGCCAAGCTTGCAACCATCAGTCATGCCGACCCACGCCCTTCACAGTAGTACGAGAACCCATCGATGATCAGGACTGCGCCAAGAAGGAGCTGGGTCCAATAATTCGGCCTATATGCATGGATGAACACCTCGAGGTCAATAAGTACAAGGAGCGTCGACTGAGAGGGCCTGTATAAGCGCGTAAAGACCATACATTTCTTGGAGCCGAAGGTCAAAGAGCCGACTTAGATCTCTTGCACGAGAAATAGTCAGGCTTGTCGCCAGGACAGTAAGCAAGGCAAATCTAGCTCAGCATCGATGTCTGCCACAGCAAGAGCAGCATCATCTGTTGGTGGTGAGCCATAACCGATGCCATCGCGATGCCGAGGTAGCGCTTTCTGAGTGTCACCTGCGACGCCTTGATACCCTTGACACCCTCTTCACTGCTGTCAGTTGGGATCTCGGTGCCATACTCAAGAGCAGTGAATTGGGGCCCCGTAAGCTAGTATCTTCCATCAGACATTCGACCTCCCTTCCCCCCATCCGACGCGACCGACGGTGGATACTCGCAGAGAGAGCCACAGCCTGTGGCGTCGCCTTACCATCTGTGTCATTTTCATCATTTACGCCGAGCCCACAAGACTAGCGCAGTCGAACCTGAACGCACATGCACTGGAAAGGATAATAAAACGCAGGGCAGAAAAATATTTGTTCTTTGCTCTTTCTGCTTCCCCCGACTCTTCCTGATGAAATCATATTGTCGTTATTCCCTTCTGAAGTGAAACATGTGTTGTCCGGGCAAGAGTAGGGACGGGGTTGTGCGCCTACCTTCTTTCTAGCACTAGACGTCGTATATGCCCAACAACTAGTTTCTGTGCCCCTTTGTTCTGATACCCTCGCCACCCTTTCGGTCCCCTTTACTGATAGCACTGAGTGAGCTCGCCCGCTATGTCGTTCTGACTGTTACTCTATATGGACTAAGAGTGTTGTCCCTCTCATTGTCCTCGGTCCAGCATTACTACACGATAGCGCGATCTACCGCTTACTACCCGCGCAGCCAAGTATCTCATTTCCATTCACGTCCAGTGTGGCCCAGTCGCCTCCTTTCGGCGCCTATGTCCGATACAACCAAAATACTCGAGCCTACAACATTTCCCTGGGACTTTAGGACCCTGCTAATGAAGTTCTAGTGCCAGCGAAGACCGCAGCAACCTTCACTAGCAACCAACTGCTCACACCCATCTATCACTTCGACTCCCTGACGACTCACTCTATTATGGATGCCAAATCAAACCCGGTATCATACATGCAGTCATCAACACCTGCATTCAGCGTGAGTCGCGCTGTATGCGCACAGCATTATACTTATCTTGTTCTTGCCCAGCTTGAAAATTCCCGATGGATAAAAAGTAGCCCCCCCCCCCCATCGCATCAGTTACACATTCCTCGTGGACACGCATCTTCAACCGATGGTATCCTCGTTGGACTTGACACATACGCGTCCCAAAAGGTAATTATCACACAAAGGCCAGCATCTATAGTCATAATAAGAAGCCAAGCATACCTCGAACTTAAAGTAGGTCAGCACCGGGGAAACATCAATAATATCACGTACCGGCGCCTCCATGGATAAGGAATTTGACAGCGGTATACTCATGGCGGAGGATGACCTGACTTCGTATTCAGCAGACGGAGACGATACAGACAAAGGCAATATGGATGATATGGGCGAAGGCAATATGGATAAAGTTGAAGAAGAAAAAGAGGAAGAGAAGGAAGAAGAGGAAGAGAAGAACGAGAACGGGAGGGATAAGGAGGACGATAAAGTCTACACAAGGACGCTGCTGACACGGATTGTTTGAACTGGACTATCTTCATCAGTGACACAGAGGAAGGAGAGGGAGACGAAGAGGCAGAGCAGAGGAAAGCAGGACGGCGAAGCTGAAGAGGACGATGATGCGGTGACAGAACATCGGCGCGTATGCACGTCCCGACAAAGTCTTGAATTCCATTGCAGGAACCCTTTCTCTGGACATCGAGATAAGGACTGCATTCGTTGACGCCTTGTAGCCTGGGTATTTCTTATGTAATGCAGACCTAGTACCTGCAATCTCAGGCACCGGGCGAAAGCGCTACAGTCGGCATTAAGATCGCGGACAATAGGAGCCCCCCGGTTCGGCAAAATGGTGACGACGAGCTAGTGGAACCGATAGGTTTGATTCACTTGGGCTAGATAGATGTGTCGATGAGTACTTCACGGAAGACAGTGAAGTACAGTACACACGATTATCCTGCACAGCAAGGAAATATGCTATTTGAGTTTGGTGCGTACACACCAAAAGTTCATTGAAAAACCTCTGGTGAAAAATAGCCCAATCGAAAATTCCTCATCTTCTGTGTGTCTATGCCTTTTATCCTGGAGTATTTTCCTTTGCTCCTTCCGTAGAGTGCACCAATAATGCGTATCGCGCACTCAATTCATTCGGCTTGAAACCTAAACCCAAAACTGTGGTCGGGCAGTAATTCTAAAAGATGTAGACTACTCACCTAAACGACCTAGAAGGATAATGTGTGAAGAGCATGATTGAATGCGCTATAATGAACAGAAGCCTAATGGTGGCGCAGATCGGGCTCAAGCAGCACTTGACTGAAAAGAAGCTGCCAGTGTTCTATGACCAGGAACAGGCAGTCCACATATCACGTGCAGTTGTTATGATTCTAGGGCAAGGCGCGTTCTTTATTTGAAAGACAAAAAACAACGGCCTAAAAGCACCATCAGGAACAGGACCAAGCTTTCCTTCGCCCAATATGCCCGAATCGAAGAAGCGGCGGATTATCGAGGATGAGGAAGAGGACGAGATTAATACCCCTGCTCGGGCTGCAGGTGTAAAAAGATCGGCCAGGGATGTGAAGGACAAGGTATTAACAGGGCGCTACTATTTGCCACCAACACTGCCCAAAAACAAGTCGGGTCCATGAGCAACCGAGAGGGCGTGGGAGTGAGAGAGACTGATGTTTGAACAAATTTTATTATAGCTTGCAAAGAGATCAAAGCATGAGGAATCTGAAGAGGAGCAGGAGCAGTCCATGGAAGATGAGGACGACACCGAGGAGAACAACAGTTATCGCGAGGAACCTGAGGGCTGGGGCGCCGACGAGGCCGATGCCTCGGGCGATTTGACCTGGAAAGAGCGCGCCAACATGGAATTCGAAAAGTCCAAGACTCAGCGCGGTCGCCATGGAGTATGTTATCAACTGATGTATGAATCATTTCTTCAATGGCGACACGACTGCTCAAAAATATCGGTTGCTGACAACCACTTTCATACCTCGACGAGCAGATGGTCGCAGAGATGGGCGTTATCGAGGTCATCGAGATGTTCGACTTTATGTGCCATCGCCATCTCAAGGTACCCTTTGGACCGAAAATCAACTTTATTATCGGACATAACGGAAGTAAGTGGCAGCGCGCCCGCAAGTCTTCTGAGCATTGGCATCTACAACCATGTTACCATGTTGACCTGGAATACATTCGACTCGTGATCTTTGTCGCAATTAGGTGGTAAGAGCGCGATTTTGACTGCCATCATGGTCTGCCTGGGAGGAAAGGCGAACGCCACCAACCGAGCGCAAAGCTTGAAAGCCCTCATCCGCGAGGGAGCCTCTCAAACCGAAGTCAAGTTGCAGCTTCGAAACCGAGGTCCGGATGCTTATAAACCGGAGATCTTTGGAGAGAGTATCATCATCGAGCGTCGTATTTCCAAGGATGGTACCTCAGGATACAAGATCAAATCATCCAAGGGCAAAACAATCTCAACAAAGCGCGAGGAGCTCTCTGCGATATGTGATCATATGAACATCCAGGTCGACAACCCTATGAACGTGCTCTCACAGGATACCGCACGTCAGTTCTTGCAGTCTTCCACCGCCGAGGAAAAATACAACTTCTTCTCTCGAGGAACTCAGCTCACGCAACTCAGTATCGATTATGAGGCTATCCGGGAGTGTATCGACATCATACAAAGCACACTCAAGAACAAAACCGAGATCCTGCCAGAACTCTACGAATTGGCCAAGGCAGCTCAGGCTCGTTTCAAGGACAGTCAGCAGGCGGCTACATTGGAACTCAAGGTCGAGAGTTTGAAGAACCAGGTCGCTTGGGCGCAAATCGAGGATCTGGAGAAAGGTGTACAGGAGGCGGAAAAGAGCCTTAATGCGGCGATGTCAAAAATCCCTGCCATCGAGAAGAAGCGAGCCCAGGAACAACAAGCTATCCAGAAACTGGATGAGAAAATACAGGAAGCAGAGCAGACTGCAAGCCAACACGACAATTCCACTGCCCCGGCTCAAGAACAGAAGCGGAAGCTCGAGCACGAACTGCGCGAGAAACGAAACGAGTTGAAGTCCGTCCAGGAGGAAGAAAAGACGGTCAATGATGAGATCAAGGCATTAAAGGATCAGGTCCGGAACTTTGACCAGAAGATCGAGCAGGAGACTAAAAAACTTCAGGCCAATACCCACTCGAAGCGAGCAGCAATCGAGGAGCAGATCCAGAGGCTGAGCAAGGAAGTTGAGCAGGGCAAGAGACGGCATGCAGAGGAGAGAGAAACGTGCGCAAAGCTGGAGACACAGATCGATGAACGTAGAAGTCGACTGGAGCACAGCAGCAACGCCGTCAACAAGGCGAAGGCAGAACTCAACGAGAACAAGGAACGGATTCGACAGATGAAGGATCAGAAGCAGAACGCGCTCAAGGCCTTTGGCCCTACGATCCCCGATGTCTTGACGGCCATCCAGGAAGTCACGGACAGGGGCGGGTGGAGGGGAGAATCGCCAGTGGGACCTCTCGGACGTCATGTCAAACTTCGAGAGCAAAGTTGGGCACCGGTCATCGAGTCTGCGCTCGGAAACGTGCTAAACGCATTTGCTGTCACTGTGGATGCGGATCGCTCAACCTTGTTCCAGATTCTCAAGCGGTACAGATGGTAAGATTTTATCGGCACGTTGATATGTAACATTGGCCGTTGACAGGCGCACTCTTGACTAACGAGTATCCGGTGCATTGTAATCTTTTAGTAACTCGGACGTAATCCTCACCCGAAAGATTATTTTTGACTATTCAGAAAAGGAACCCTCGAACAGCTTTTTGACAATCAACCGAGTCCTCGAATTCGACAATGAGTGGGTCCGGCGACTCTTGATCGACAAGAGCAGCATCGAATCAACGGTCTTGATCGAGAAACGTGCTGAGGCTGACCGCGTTACAAGCTCAGGTCGCGACGGTGGATTCCCTGACAATGTCACCCAGTGTTTTACAATGGACCTGGTACGAGTCGGAGACAGAGGAGGGGGCGCTGCCAGTATCATGATGAACCGGTACCGTGGGCCGCCTCGTCTGTCCAAGAACGTGGAACAGGAGCTGCAGGTACTGGAGGGCAATTCGCGCCGAATCGAGGACTCACTCCGCTACCGCTTCCGTGAAAACCAGGACTTCTTGAAGGAAATAGAAAAGATGGAAGAGGAGAGGATGCGGATTAAGAGATCCATGAACAGCCTAGAGAAGGAAATCAAAAGGAACGGACGGAGTGCCGATGAGCTGCAGGACGGCTTGCAGGAGGATGAGCCGGCCAATCTTCATGCGTATGAAGAGTCGAGACAACAGCTCTTGATGGAGATTGAGACGTGGAAGAAGCAGTACGAACCCGTGGCACTACAGAAGCAAGCTATCAACGCAGTGATGGAGCCGATTAAAGAGCAGATTTTGGAACTGAACGAGTCGATCAAGTCTCAGTACGAAAACACCGTAAAGACCCGAGTAAGTTGACCGAAGAACAGATGAACTTTGGACATCTTATAGGTGCTCGAGCTAACACTGCTTCTCTTTCAGTCCGATCTGGATAGGTTGAATATGGAGAGGCAGGATCATATACCTAGGATCCAGCATTGGGAGAGGAAGTTGGAAACTGAAGCTAGAACAATTCGTGAGCTCGAGATGCAGCTTCAGACAAAGACAAAGTACCTGGAGGTAAGGCGACATCTTCACAGTAACTCATGCAGGATATTGACGATCGCTCACCGGAGGCTTATGTGCTTATCATGCCTATAATCATGCTTTGTAGGAATCGACAGTAAAGGCTACTGAGTATTGTGAGCGCGTACAAGTAACAGCGTCGACCACGCAGCTGGAACGTCAAATCAAGCACTTGCAGGAGTGTCTGCGCGAGCAGGAAGCTCAGCGGGGCTGCAGTTTAGAGGAAATTGCGATGGACATGACACGCAAGCAAGATGAATACAAGGCTGCGAAACTGGCCATCCATCAACTCGACCAGTTCGTCTCGGTAGGCAGCTTGGATGTGAACAAAAGAATGCATTTGTTGACTATTATGCGTTGGCGCCCACATTGACAGGGAGCAGACAAATCGACAGAGTACTGACTGTTACTTGTTTGTGTGTCGTTTTGAATCATGCACAGCATCTGAAAACGACTCTTCATCAGCGTTTGTCGCGTTGGCGTGAGTTCCGCGCCCAGATGTCTTTACGATCAAAGTTCAATTTCAGTCTACAGCTTTCGCAGCGCGGCTATTCTGGAGAGCTCGACTTTAACCATCAAGAGAGGAAGCTTAACATTCGCGTAAGGACACGGTGACAAATCCATTTGTTTTTGTTCCTATAACATACATTGGGACTGAGAACGCAGCCATTGACTCCAATTTGATGTATGATGGTCTGAAAATAGGTCGAGACGGAAGACCAGCATTCGGGCAAGTCTGGGGTCTCAAGAGATAAAGATCCAAAGTCGCTTTCGGGAGGAGAAAAATCATTTTCGACTATCTGTCTGCTGTTGGCACTCTGGGACTCTATGTCAAGTTCTATCCGATGGTAAGAATGCGTCGTTCAATATGCTGAGGTGCGACGCGCGATACACGACGCACTGGCGCATATGAGTCATGCATGGTGCTAATGCAATTGCTGTTGAAAACATGTGCGTGCACGTATAGCTTGGACGAGTTTGATGTTTTCATGGACGCAGTGAACCGTCGTATCAGTATCCAGATGCTCATCGACACTGCACGCGAGTCGGATGGAGTACAGTATATTCTAATTACCCCACAGGATGCAAGCAGTGTCTCGCCAGGACCGGACGTGCGCGTGCACCGGCTCCACGACCCAGAGCGTAACCAGCAGACGATCCGGTAGACCTTTGTCTCTACTTCTTTCTCTGCGTTTTTGCAAGGCAGCAAGTTGATTTGTAATTGTACTTCATAAAAATATATTGTCTCGATGGTCTTAATCTCGAGCTGAGTAACAGAAAATAACAAGGAAACGCAGTGCATTGCGCCATGGGTGTCCATATCCATATTCGAAGACCTTGTTTACTCCCCCAGTCGGTCCGTTGCTCGCTTGACCTCAGTTTTGTGTACCCACATGCTAAAAAAAAAAAACAGTCCTGCAGGTAGTCTGGCCCATGGCAAAGTACCTGAGGACCCTAAAAAATGCCCACGGACACATACACATTGAAACCGAGAGTGCGAGAGGGGAGACTGTGTGGGGCAACCCAGAGTGTATAGCATGTCTTCAATTGCATCCCTCTGCATTTTCTCCCCCCTGTTTCTTGCATCCCTCCCTCTGCCCTCCCGCTGAGGAATGCTGGACTAGCGACGGTTGGGATTGTCTGGACAAACCGTTTTGTTTGCCTATGGCTGTCAAGAAGAAGAAAAAAAAGAGACCAAAAGGACAAGGGACCAAAACTGATGTCATACCATAGCACGCCTGCTCATTTTTGTGGTCTATGCTCACGCTCTCCGCCCTGTTAGTGCTTCACCTGAATTTGCTGGGTGCATTCACCCGCTACGGAACAGGGACGGAGAGGAATGAAGGAGGCAAGCAAGGGCGTAATGTAGTGCAGCGTAATAGGCCCAACGAAGTTTTCATGTGGACAAACAAACAAAAACCCATCCTCTTATTTCTATTCATGGCTTGCATGCCATGCTGTCTTAGCATAGCATGGACTGGCTACCTCCCGCACTGCGCTCACTCTTTTTTTCACTTTCTCTTTTTCTTTTTAGTTTTCTCATACCCTAACCAACTCTACTTTTCCTCTTCCATTGTTCTTCTTTACAGAGCCAGTGCCTCGATCCAGGCTTTGCTTTGCTCAAGCTTTGCTTATCGTTCACTCCCTCTCGACCCGACTTCAACCCACGGATCGACACCAAACCATACTCTCTCACACATTGCACACCGAACCCAATTGGATCTCAGGCACCCCCCACGCTCTCTCTTTTTTTGCTTCAGGTACGCTCAGAAACAAACACTATCACTACCACTTCAACTCTCACCCCATTCACGACTCGTACTCTCGATCTATCCCCAAGGGATCCAATACATAGAAACTACCATATCTTCCTACCAACCCCTCATCACCGTCAGCACATACTGCTCTCTCCTTCTATTTTTTCATCTCTACAGGGTCAACATCAAGGAGATCAGAACAAAAAATGTGGGTCGTGCAGGGACTGTAGAGACTCTATCAAGCCAGTGTCAACAAGGCAGTGAAACCCCCGTTTATCTCCATGGCCCTTATCCGCACTTCCCTTATCCATATCCCTCTTACTTCGTCGTCTGTTATCATCGCTGCTACCTGACCTCATCCCCCCTCCCTTCTTCTCCGAAGAATTAGAGTCTACAATAGTATTGCAGTATTCTGTTATTATACTTTATTATATCTATCGCGTGTCGGAGTGGCGAGTTACACACCCAGCTGGCGGTATATACTAGCGACGTTAGGGCAAAAGGCGTCAAGAGAGAGCACGTTCGTGATTGAGAGATGAATGAGATTATGTTGACGGCGTGCAATATGCGATCGGATAAGAGGATGATAGAGTGCTACAGTAGCCGGTGTCGAATTATAGAGCTGGACCACCATGGCAATCATACCATTGATGTGCAAGGTGTCGAGAAGAGGTGTTTGTAGCAATAATATAATTTCGATTCGGATCTCCCTCCCGAGAATCCCTTCTTCTCCATCACCAACTTGCACATAAACAATAGCCCAACTCTACGTAGTCATCCTCGTCCCTTGCCCTCGTCCTCATTGACCCTGGCGACGCGCGCGCGCACGCGCGAAAGAGAGAATAAGGGTAGTTTTTTTTTTTTTTTTTTTTCTCGCGCTCGCTCACTTTCTTTGTGCACCCGGTTTTTGTTGTTGTTCCTGTTTTTTTTCTCAGAACCCTGGACGCATACAGCATACAAGTGCATACACTTGTTCAAATTTCGGCTAGCCCCTGCCGTTCAAAGGAAAGATTGGACGAAGTCGCGGGTTCGTGTGATCTGACACTTGAAAGGAGTGTGATGTGGACCCCGCACATGTTCGTGTTTGCCTATTTCCTCCCTCTACTCCCCCTCTCCCCCTCCTTCTCATACTTACCCTCCCTCCCTCCCCCGCAGTTACAGGTCTATCTTTTCCACAAGGTACTGTGCGCTCTCTGTGGAGCAGTGTCTGGCTGTTTTAATTGATCCACCTGTTCTACCGGGGCAGTTACTTCACAACCCTACAAAGAATTGCCGCACCATGTGGCAGAAGCGAAAGAAAGTCATCCCCCCACGGCCCTTCATGAGCACCAGTCCTGTTGGTCCCTGACAGAGATGTCAGCATTGGGCGAATTGCTCCCTCCCCCTCCCCGAAAGAGAGGGAGAGGCAGGGTGCGGCAGGACAGGGCAGTAGAGGGGTCTGCTGGTGTGCCATAGGATGGCAGGCGGACTTTGAAAAGGACAAAGAACAGCTAGTCCGTGGTATTATCATGCCCTTTATGCCTATGGGTTTCTATTTTCTTTCTTTGGGACCCTGACAGGTGGGGGAAGAAGCAGAAAGGGGGGCAAAGACAAAGGCTACATGGGGTATGGCATAGTATAGCGTTATATAAACAGCAACCTCACCCCCCATCCCCCATCCTCGGCTCCATCCTTCTATTTGTTCCTCCTCCACACTGCACTGTGCAACGCATCTCCTACCACAACCCGTGAATTTGCAAACCCCCCCTTCTCCTCCTACCCATTGCATTAATCTATTCTGGGTAAGCCCGGATGCTGCCTACGTTTTTGTCACACCAGTCAACCTGCACCCCTCCCCCTGCTGTCAGCCTCGCTTCCCTTGTTACTTAATTGCTTTTAAAGGTGTTTTCTGCCAAAGCCTCTGCACCCTATGGTCCTGCTTACGGATCAGCTTACCCCGGGGCGACGCCTGTAATTGACCAGCCCACGTCCTTGTTTTTCGTTTTATGTTTGTTCTAGGAAGCTGCAAACAATACCTATTCAGGCAACAGAGCATCGACACGCTCTATTGCACCTTCCGGGACACAACGGTATATCAGTAATATAGCAAACACATCAAGGGCACGGAACATTATATACCACATAATACTACCATGGCATCCACCTTTGTACGGTCGCACTGCGCTGACCTCCCCCAAGGAGAGGATTATCCTCCACAAGAGCACCAGCATCGCATTCCAGTTCGGTCTGGCTCTGGAGATGAATTTGTAGACTCGGAGAAGACAACGGGTCCTCAGGCACCATGCGATTCAACTACCTACGATCACAACGGTTGTCGTCTATCCATACAGCATTCCACACGGCAGCAGGGTGCACAGGAAGGGCGGCATCCGTCGCCTTTAGCGCCACCACAGCAGGCCTCAGTCCTGGAATCACACTCCTTATCCCGTCCAGAGTCCCTTGACGCCACGCCGTCTCCCTGCTTTTCGCCGTGTAATGGGATCTCTTCCTGCTCTTCTTCCTCATGCAGTACCAAGCATGGCACGCTGATCTCGTCGTCTTTAGATACAGCTCGTTGTTTACGTTCTGGGTCGAGCTCCTCTTCACCTTGCCCCCTCCATCAGACTCTATCCCACAGAGTAAACCTCGTCAGCTCATCCAGCTCTTGCTCGTCCTCGCCCTCTTCACCTTCAACAACATCGTCATTATCACCATCAACCTTTCCAGCTTCCTCTTCCTCTTGCATTTTCCCTTCTTTGTGTTCGCCATCCAGTTCTGATTCTGGCCTTTACCCACAACCTGCTGGTTCAGTGTCGCTGTTGGGTCCGTCAGTATCCCCTTTTTTAAGTCCATTGCCACCTTGCTCTCCGACTCCTTTGTCTCCTCAACCACAACTTTCGCCTCCTTCTCCTTCGACTCCCTTACGGACCTTGCCACTATCGCCGTCCTTGAACCCCCTCAGCCTTCCAGCTAGGGGGAAAGCTACGAGTCCTGGTGCATCAACTCATACAGGTATGATCAAAAGAAACATCTAAGGGATCCAGGCTCTTTGTGCCACTTTTGGAAATGATGCACTAAAAGAGAGGGAGTCAGCATGGGGTAGGCTTTTACCTGTCCCACACGCGTGCTTGCTGCACATACCGTTTTCATTAGCACCGTTTTCTTTCGTTGACACAGTATATGTCCTCATACCCTCGAGGCGCTTCACCCCTTCAACCGCGGTATTCGTACCCATTATTTCAGGAGGTGTTTATGTTGCCGGACATGAGTACCACAACAGGTGCCTTTGGGGCAGAGATACTTTTGTCACTCCTACTGGACTGACACGTGTATGATTACGAGCTATCTCTTGTAGGCAATCACATTGAGGAGGTAGGGGAAGTGCTGAAGAAAATAGGGCGGTCGTTATGTGCCCTGATTCTTCCTTGTTTGCATCTCAGTGTTGGCTATATACCCGCATGTACAAACACCGAGTTGGGGGGAACACCAGTCTTTATCAGTTTGCTCCAGCCCTTTGGGCGACGATTGGTCCCGTATTCATTACACCGTTCATACATATTTTCGTCCTAGAACCTAGAACGCTCACATTCTCACCTCCCATCTTTAATTCCTTCCGCATTTTTCTTTGTATATAGACCCTGCTTCGCATCTTCGCATTCCATCCAAGTCCTCAGCCTCGTCCGACGACACTGCTTCTTTCCTCAACACCCCTGCCAAAAGTGACCCTGGATCCAGCACCAGCTTTGTCATCACACCATCATCACCACCACTGTTGTCCAAGGAGTCTAATTCGACAAAGAACCATACCTGTTCACACTCGTCCTATCCTGATCATCCCTCAACCGCACCCTCTTCAGCCTCCACGCCCCGTCCTCACTACGTAGTACCATCAGGAGCACTATCGACAACGTCAATACTACCAACGAGTCTCCCGCCCTCTGAATCTGCGTACCATTGTTCTGGTCGTGTAGATCCAACACCGTCTTCTGCCTCCAAGGTCAAGGCTCAGCAATTAGGTAAACTAAAGATCGCTGCTACTCTCAAGCACAAACACAAGCACAAACACAAACACAAAAACATGGTCGGATGTTTACGAACAATTTACTTTGGGACTCCGCCCTTTTTTTTTTTTTTTTTTTTTTTTTTTGGTATTCTCCATGCTGGATGATAACACACTCTTTGTGCTATCCATCGGGTTTTACGTTATTATTATTTGGTGTTGTTCTGTCTCCCTTCCCTCTTATCTCCTTTTCTTGGGGTTCCTGTAATACAAATAGGCCCTATACTGCTCGAACACGCGCGTTGACATAGCTTCGTGTTTCTGATCATGAACACATTTGCATTTAGTTTGTTACAGCTGTTATTGTTCATGACACTAATCAACTGACTAAAGCGACTCACTTATGAACACATTCCTACTTATCCTCAAACAAACACTAATATACCCCTCATTTCTCACTTTCTACAAACGTTCTGTTATAAACAGAGACAGCGTTACAAAGCAGCGGTCCATCTCAACAGGGTCCACACTTCCCACCTGTATCCTCAGAAACCGCTATTGCATCACAATCAACCCCTGCTAGTGTCGAGACCACCGTAACGACCAGAACAACTGAAGTCAATCCTATCATTTGCGACCCAGAGAAAGCGTACTATTTCAATCGCTTCCTCCAGCGTCGACGTCATCGACCGAACCCCGCAAACATATCTCTGACAGAGGTTCGACCTCTAGTTGATTTCGACTCCCAGAAGAACGAACAGCAGCAACCAGATCAAGGGGGCAAGTGTTTGGTTCCGCCTGAATTCCAAGACCAGTTCCCGAGCTCACTTGGTTATCTAGAGCACTTGGAGACGAGTCTTGTTTCGAACCAGCAGGCCGAGGCTCAAAAGAAAAGCAAAAGGCCACAGAGTTGGATCGCCCTCAAGAGTTTTGTTACACACCAGATCCTTGGCCGACCCAGCGAAAGCGACGACCAGAGATTCGAAACGAATTACTACAGCTACAGCGAAGATCCGGACAGGCCTCGTCCACGTCGCCTCAGTCGTTATTTGAACCATAGCGCTCCTTTGATTAACCGGTCTTTATCGTCGCCTCCTTCTTCGTCGTCGCTGCCTGTGCTTCGATCAGCCCCGATCAACCTTCTACGTTCGTCTTCTCTAATACCATCATTGGCGAGTGCTCAGCAGGTAAGCGAGAGAATGCTATATGGACTCTACAACTTACCATTGGGTGAGTTTGTTTGGTCGAAGCCGCAGGTTGTGCAGCCGGCAGCAGGAGGGTCATTGACTGTGGTCAGCAGCATGCAGGAACATGCGGCAAGCGATCGCCCGCTCACTGACAAAAAAAGAAAAAAAAAAGAGGCGAAACACGACCAATTGGGGGTCAAGGCGAGACAGGAAGGGCATATCTTAAGGTTGAGCTGCAGCCAATCAGACCCTGCGGGGAATTGTCTTGGATTGTGCCTGAGAACGTGTTGCACAAGTTTCCTTTTATGGCAGGCGGGTGTGTGTCTGTGCCCCCATCCGCCGCTCAATTCTCTTTAGTTCGTGTATTTTTTATTTTTTTGAGTTGTGCGTCAAAGCGCAGAGTGTCGTATGCTGTGACAATCACACCCATTGTGATGTGTGTCCCTAGGAGGGGGCATTTGTCTGTCTCTGTTCTGCACTCAGGCACATCCAATTGCTCAGACACCCACACTAATGCTCATGCCACACAAACATGCTTCGCTCCGCGTTTGCTTTGCTTTGCCTTGCCTCTCTGCTTTCTCTTACGGTAGCGCACAACCACATCTTCTCGGGGAGATACCGGCGCTTGTGCACATCCCTCGCAGGACACATGCGCCCCCTCCGCAGGTTCACTCCAAAACTGGTCTGATTCAGCCTCCCTGGTCCATATAAGAAGGCCACTGTCCCCCAGCACAGCGCCTGCTCCTATTTCTGCCCACCCTCTTCACGCTCATCATCCCCACTCTTCTTCTCCTTCTCTTCGTAGTAAACGACGACCACACTCACTATACGCTGGCTCGCTTATCAAAGCCATTACCTCATCCTCTTTCTCCTCTTCCTCTCCTTCATCATCATCATCATCATCATCTTCTTCTTCTTCTTTCTCAACTTATACTTCACACTCTCCCAGGCTGCAGTCCCGCTTCCACTCGAACACCTCCATCGCATCCTCAGCCTCATCCAGCTCTTCCTCTTTCTCATCCAATAACCATATAATGTCCCACACCCACTCTTCCACCTCAATGTCCCAATACGCATCACCATCGTCGAGTTCACTCGCATCCAACTCCACGGCATCCGGTTCTTCCTCCATCTCCTCCCATACCAGCACGGCTCCCTCTTGTCCATCACACCCTCGGGGTCCCTTCCGCAAATCTAACGGAACCCAGCATCCTCTCGCCATGGTCTCAACAATCGAATCCGACCGTGAATCCACAGCCACAACCACCACAACAGAGGTGTTTGACGGAATGAAATTTGAGATCCTCAACAGTGGCAGAAGCGCATATCCCTATGCTCAGCAGGAACAAACAACTATTTCAACACAGGCAGCAACTCATGTCAACCCTGCTCTCACTGGTGCCGGTGAGGGAGACTTTGCCGAAGACTCCCACGTCAAGGACTCGACTCTTGCGACTGGCCCTCGCAGCAGGTCGTCCGACAACAAGTACCCCGATTTGAGTATACTAAAAACTGCTATCCATTCTGGGTCGCCTCATCTCTTTATGCTCCATATCAAGTCTGGAATGGATAACAACGGAGCTCAAGAACTCGGCACACTGCACGATCCCACAATAGAATCGGACTGGACTGGTGTCGCTGTTGGATCTGGCAATGAGCAACCCATCTCACCTCTCGTAACCTCGCGCCCATCAATGGTGCGCCCACCTACTATTCCTACACACTCACGCCCCAATACTACAACTGAATACGTGCTGGCCAGACCTCAGATACTACCCCCTTCGACGCCTGAGCACGCCACTCCAACAGTACCGATATCTCCAAGGCGCGATTGTGAGAAGTGGACACCTCCACTCCCACAACTACCACGGGAACGACGCTCGCAGGACGTTCAGCAACAGCAGCAAACTCTTCGACAACCACATTCAGGGGCTCCCATCCCAAGGCTTTTGAAGCAGCGTTCGTTCAACTTTCTCAACAACGGTCCAGCCTCCACGGATGGCTCCTTCAGACCAGCAGCAGCAGAGGCCTGTGCAGATAACAACCCAACCCAAGCTGGTTCCTCCTCCGACGGTCCACGGCCTGTGGGACCACCTGATCCAATTCCTCCACACTACCAACATCTTCAGAACCGACATAGCCGGAGACCGAGTTCCTTCTGCAGACGCTCTCAAGGAGTAGAGCCCGAGAGATTCACAGCCGGTTGGATCGTCACGGAGAGCGCACCCGGCTCGCCTTCTGATCAACCTACTCCAAGGACGTCAATCAGCGATGATAACTCATCTTCTGCGAACCAGGGACGACCTTCAACGCCCGGCCGACATGCGTCCATGGGCCCTCATCCTGCTTCGAGATGGGGTCGTTTGCTGACGTCGATCCTCCCCTTGGGCTCTGGCAGCGATAGCGGTGATCGAGATGGAGCCGGAGACCCCTATCTCCACCAGCAGCGGTTGTTATTGGCGACATCGAGCCAGAGCCCTCAGGCGACGCCGTACCAGCAGCAGCTGTTCTTCTATGCGGACGAGGTCTTTGAGGAGCTAGGATGGACGGATTCATCGGACAACGGCTTCTCGCAAGATGATGAGTTCGTGGCACGGAGACGGTATTCATCCGAGGGGAGCAGTGACCGAGAGGACGCACCTTCGTTCTTTAATCCGAGCGCAATGGTGGCGGATGAGAGCCTTCAGGGCGAGCTTGCGCATGAGGACCGGAGGGATAGTATCGAGTACATGGATGCGCAAGAGTCAATGTTTGTGCCATCACAACAGCAGCAGCAGCAGCAGCAGCAGCAGTCGAGAGATGGTTTCGTGGTGCCGAGGACACTTTCGGTGGACGGCAAGATCCCGGTCTCGTGTCTGGCGCTGTCGTCGCCACCGTCATACTGGGAGGCGACGATCAAGTATCAGGGCTGGCCCAAGATCGAGCCTAGGCCCGAGAACGGGCAGGAGTTCTTGCCGCGGTATACGTGCTCAGTCTTCAGGGAGGGATGCGTGAACCGCAAGACGGAGCTCATTGGGAACTGGCGACCTTATCGTCGTCCTTGGAAGTAAGTCCTTTCGGATGCCCGTTGCTTTATTCTTGCGGGCTGTATTCGTTTTTTAAGAAAATCTCAATCTCTAACCATGTTTACTCTGCCTCTATTTTATTTTATTTTTATTTTCTTGTGCTTTTAGGAGGACGTTTGCTCACTTGCGTGGTACAGCTCTGAGGCTGTACGCCGTCGATGCCGAGGATGTGCCACGGTTACACGTCCGTAACATCAGCCTGCAAATGGCACGATGCGAGATGGCGATGGATTACACGCAGCGTCCGAACGTGGTCCGGATCCGGGCCTGCGACCGAACGGTGTTGGTCGAGTGCAAGGACCGTATTGATGCCCTGACCTGGCTCGAGCATCTGCAGGCGGCTGCCAATATCGCCACCAGTATTGAGGATCGTAACATGCCAAAGTTTTACACCTTGCCAAGGGCACAGCATCCTCATCCTTCGGTGGCTGCGTCCGCAGCTGGACAGCGTTCAAGCTCGAACTCGGCGTCGTCGTCGACGAGGCATCATTCCGCAGGCGAGACCTCGCAGCAACAACAGCAGCAAGAGCAGCAGCAAGAGGAGGTGTATCAAGAGCAATCGTATGGGCAGCAGCTTGAGGAGTATCAGCAGCAGCTCCAGCAGTACCAGAACCAGCAATATGAGCGCCAGCACCAGTCCTCGGTCGATCAAAGGACTTCGTCGCCTCCATCTCAGCGTCAGCCTTCGATTGAGCAGGCTCCTCTGACGCCGTTTCCTTCTCCTCCACCTTCACAGCGCCAGTGCCAGCCCTTGATGGACCACTCGGGATCACCGCCCTCACGTCCTCAGTACCGCGAGCGCCAGCCCTCGGCAGACCAGCCGATGATGACGTCCCGTCCACAGTACTGTGAACGACAGATGTCTGCTGAGCGTACGCCACGTCCGGTGCAGCGTCAGCGACAGTCTTCGACGGACCAGGGGTCGACACATAGCCAGAGCAGTAGCCGGAGTGGTAGTCGGACGCCTCCGCAGTCACATCCGAGCCCATATCAGCAGCTGCAGCAGGTCCTTCAGAATCAGCAGGAACAGATCCTGATGATCCAAAATCGGGTGCAGAAGCAGAGGCGGGCACAGCAGCTTGTGGTGCAGTCGAATGTGTCGTCTTCGCTATTGCCCGCGTCGACGTCGCGGCAGGAGAGTGCACCGGTTTCGCCGCCTTCGCCGCCTTCGTCGGGACGGAGTAGCAGCAGTAGCTTGTATGGTGGTGGTGGTGTTGCGCAACAGCAACGTGCTTCTTACCAGCAGCAGTATGAGTCACGGGGAGCAAGACAGAGTCTGACGACAGAACACGATCGACAGCATGGACAGGCGCGCGTGCTGCACGGCGAGGATGCGGTGATGCGGTCTGTGCTCCACGCGCTTGGCCAGAACTTGTCCGAGGATGAGGATGAGAGCGACAGTGATCTCGATGAGGATGATGGACAGGGCACAGATGTCGATGCCCCTACTGCCAGTGTCACAACCAGTGCTGCGGTTTCAGTTCCTCCTCCTGCACCGGTGTCGCCGTCGTCGCCGTCGTCTTCGCCATCGAGGAGCGGTCGGTACCAAATGCCGACGTCTCCGTCGTTCAATCAGGCGTCTCGACGGGATAGTGCTCAGACGCGTTCACGGTACTTCCCACACCAGGAGACGGCAACAGCGACGATAACGCCGACGGCGACGGAGGACGCGACGCGTGTGGCGATGTTGAGGGAGCAGCGGGCGCAGCGACAGAGGGAGCAGAGAGAAGGAGAGGATTGGGAAGAGGCCTATGTCGCGTACGCGCAAGATCAACAGCAGAGGTTCCAGCAGCAGCGACTGGAGTTCCAGCGGGAACAGGAACAGCAGCAGCAGGCGAGGAAGGAGAGGAGGAGTTGGAACCGCAGGCTGTTTGGAGGGTTGCGGGGAGGTCATCAGCAAACTCAGCAGACGCAGGTTGCTTCGACGTGAGAGAGTGAGCGAAGACCCTCGTTTTACATATACCATACCGTAACCAGGTTACACACATCATCGTATTATATAGTCCGCACATTTTTTTTATTCTTAAAAATATATATAATAATAATACTTCGTAACTTCTTTTATGTCATCGAAAAAAAAAGAGGAGCAGGATGGATAGGGAGGGAGGAAGGGGGGGAGATGGAGGAAGGCATGCATGCAGTACGCCATGACACCATGCGCGTGGGTGGGCAGGCAGTAAATGTTGTAATTGCTAGGATATCCTAAAAAAAAATAGCGAGCAGAACATACCAGGAGCCACGCCCATGGGGGTTATTTTTCTGTCACATTGGCAAGAAAATAGGGTCAACTCAGAAAGGGGTGTGCCCACCTAAGCTTTTTTGCTTTCTTGAAAAAAGGATGTGGGCGGAGAATGATTTCATTTTGTATATTGGGCAAGGAGAAAGGGGAGGGGGGAAGAGTAGCATGGGCAGGGTGGACGCTGATGAATGTCCGTTCCTGTTTGCTCTATGCAGAGTGAGCGGTGAGCAGAAAAAGCATGGGAGAAAAAGAGACCGGGCCCAGGGTTGCAGAAACGAGGCACAACGGGGCAGGGAGAGGAGAAAGAGCAATTGGCTTTAACATCGGCATGCATGTCCCATCTGCTTTTTTTTTTTTCCTTCCCTCTCTCCGCGCGCGCTCTCTATTGTATGCATATCTGTAATGTTATGGTTCTCTGGTTGAAAAATAATGAGTATGCCTTTGAGGTACTGGATAGGGTATAGACCGCAATGGGCTACAAATGGGGTGCATGGCATGGTGCTACATCGGCTTATTATCGGCGATAAATCGCCATTCGACATTCCTATCTGTCCCTTTAGAAAGCAGCGAGGAAGAGTGAGTGCGTAAACGAGCGAGGGTGAGGCATGGCGTGGTATGAGTAATGGATCGTTGTAATGGGATATGCATGTAATTGTAATGGCCAATGGATGGTATGTGTGCAATATGGCGTTGGCTTTATGGCTTTATCCTGTCCGTTGCAACGAACGAGTACGGTGCTCCGCTGGGATTGAGGACGGCAACACAACCTTTGCTTCTTCCTCTTACTCCCTCTCTTTTTTCTCTTCTAGCCCGTTTCTGTGTAGCTTCTTTTTTTCACACTTCCACCTTCCTCCCTCCTACTCTTCGAATCGATCACCCTCCACTTTTCCCTCATTCGAATGAACAGTGATCGGAATCCCACCCAGGTCATCGGCCTTCCCTCCTCCTCTCTCACCGACCCTACAGCCGGCCTCTCCAAGATCAAGGCCACGGCTCTGTTGCTCAAACAAAAAGTCGCCGGTATAAGCACCAAACCTCAAAAGCTGCCCAACAAGATCTCCCAACCCTGGTCTCTCTCCTCCCGTGCCGCGTCCTTCCCTCCCTCAGCTTCGCCTTCGCCCTCGAATGGGCAGCTCTCGAAATTTTCAACGGCACACGGAGGGGGGAGAGCGAGAGGGTCGAGTATGTCCAGCGGAGGAGGAGGGGCAGCGAATATCAAGGCAATGATCGCCGCTCGAGAGGATCCGGCCCTGAGTTGTAACAAGATGGCCCCGACAGGGACACAGCCTGCACCTGCACCGCAGAAGCGGGATGCTGTCAGGGAAGGGATGACCAAAGTTCTATTATCCCCTTCGTCTCAGTCTCAGACTCAATCTTTGTCGCAGCCTCATACAAATGTACCCACAGCGACAGCACCGACCGACCTATCACTGCCACAGGATCAGAAAGTGCCAATCGAAAAGCTGCCTTCACAAACCCCTACCACAACCAGTACCAATAGCAACAGCAACAATAACAGCAGCAGCAGCAATGACAACAACGACAGTAATGGCAGTAGCAGTAGTGCAGATTTAGGGAAACGCTCGACGAGGCGGAGGAAGGGTGGCGAGACGCTGGTGCCGAGTCAGTTTGCGGCGACTACTTCGACCTCGAGTGGTGCTTCGTCTGATATGCCGCTCTTCATGAAGGCGTTCCAGCAGGACCAACCTAATGCCTTGAGCATCACTACTTCCACAACCCTTCCTTATACCAATATCGATACCGATCCCAATACCACAAAGACCACCGAGGATGCGGATGCCGTGAAGAACAAGAATACCACCCAAGATACCCCGCGATGCGATAGCATCCGCTCTCCCAGGAGCGAGAGTACGAGCAATCGGTCGATCAGTAGTGGTCTTGCGGATGCTTTGCCTGTGGAACAACAGCAGCCACGACTGTCGCCAAATAGATCTGGAGCTTCTTCTCCTACTAGCATGGTCTCCCCGCACGCACATTCGGATACGATGGAGATCAAGCCTAAGACCCCACCATCGTCTATTTCATCGATTCCAACATCAACATCAACATTAACACCAACACCGACGACGCCAAAGACGCCCTCCGCTGCGACAAGAGCCCTGATGTCGGTCTTTGACCAGCCCCGTCCTATAATGTCCCCTCGTCGTCACACGACTTCGAGCGGCTCTTCGTCTTCGTCCTTGTTTTCGTCGCGCCATGGGTCGCCCCCACCTCTACCATCGATTTCTCAGCAGCAGCATATGAGTATTGTAAACCCGGCGTTGAGACAATTGCAAACACCCCAGATCCCGACGAACCTGGTCCAGGCGCGGATTATGCAGCAAGAGGAGCAGAAGCGAAGGGACGAGGAGTTGGCTAAGATCCCGATTACAGCGAACTTGCGGACGGTGAAGAAGATCCAGGCAGTGCTCGTGGATGAGGAGGAAGAGGAAGGCGGTAGTGTGGGACGGGGAGGGGAAGGAGAAGGGGATGAGAATTCGAGGTCGGGTTCGGTCTCGGGTTCTTCGTCGGCTTCATCGTCGTTAAGTGCGCGGACGACACGTCCAAGGTCGAAGACGGCGACGTCGAATACAGTAATGGTCTCGATGTTGGTCGGGGGTAAGCAGCGCGGGGATCGGAAGCATGTGGAGCCCGTGGCGATCCCAAAGAAGCTGGCGGAGCAGGTGGAGAATATCTTGGGGCGGAAACTTGCAGGCAAGGGATGCGTCCTTGACGAACGCGAGAAGGAGCGCGAGGTAGGTCTTTGTGGTGTTTGGTGTTTGGTGTTTGTTGTTTGTTGTTTGGTGTTTGGTGTTTCAGGAGATGCTTCGCCGCTTGCGCCCATGCACAATGAATTTTGCAGTCAACACAAATTTCGACAATTTGTGTAACAAAAGAACGTGCTTTACAAAAAACAATTGAGAGAGATCCATACTAACTAATTGTTTCAACTAAGCACACAGGTACTAACCCATTTTTAACATTATTTTTCCAAACCTATTCACACTACAATACAGGAAGAAGAAGCTCGCAAGGTTGCCGAACCTTTGCCTCCAATCGTCCGCGGCCAGCCCCGGAAACGGGCGCTCACATCTGCACACATCCGTAACCTCGTCTCCTCCTGGGACCACAAAGTCGAAGAGGCCAAGGAAATCACTTCAGAAGCCGAACAGATCCGTCAGTTCCTGGAAGAACGCAGCACTGCACACGCGGAGCTGCCCAAATTCTCGAAGGTGCCCCTTTCAGGAAGCGAGCTGCTTAAGCCATTGCCGTCACTCCCAGCGCCCCCGCTTACGATGCCGACGTTGTCGAGTAGTAAAGGCGAGGGGCAGAAGAAGGCGGGTGGGCATAGACATGCGAAGGCGGCGAGTAGTAGTGGCGCGGCGGTGTATATGTCGAGTCGGAACGCGCGCTCGGCCTCGGGGTTGGTTTCACCAACGTGGAAGAAGGGCGAAAAGAAGATGGAAGAGGAGATGGCGATGACGGAGACGGATACACCTGTCCCAGTCGTGGGTCGGGATTTGGCAGAGTCCGTCAAGCAGTCTACTGTCTCGGTAAGTTTGCCTTTGCCTTTGCCTTTGCTTTTGCCCTTGCCTTTGCTTTTGCCTTTGCTTTTGCCTTTGCTTTTGCCTTTGCTTTTGCCTTTTTTTTTTTTTTTTTTTTCTTTTTGCATTTTTATCACTGGTTTTTACGCAAATGAGTGCTAGGATATTCACCTGCTCATGATATCTCTCTGTGCTTTCATAGTCCGAGATGCTGGAGACAAAGAGAAGCGGCCAAGTGCTGGACAACAAGGCCGTGATGAGTCGACCACGCCGGGCAGGTGTCCGCAAGCCCACTGCTGCGATCAAGGAAGAATCATGAAACTAACATTTATATTTATTGACAAAAAATTTGATGACCAACGTGCAACCATGAAGAGTGCTCAAAAAAGATGACACGAAATAACGAAAACGAAAACGAAAACCATAACCACACATACCCATATTCTACAATCTATTTATTGTGAACGCAACAGAAATAAAACATAAAAGATAATTCTTTTTTAATATTTAAAAATACAAAATAATGGCAAAAGTAGAAGAGGGGGTATGAACTGAAATGAAAATGCGAACAAAATGAAGTGTATGTGCGAAAGATGTATGTAAAAAGGTGTCTAAGGGAAATTCACAACAACGTTCTTGTTAGCCTGAATTATGAATTGCGCCGGTACATTTGATCCGCCAGCGCCTAAAGTAGGCCCTGGAGGAGGTGCGAGAGAACCCGTTGGTGTTGCCGTCGTCGTCGCCGTCGAAGTTGCTGTTCCTGTCTTGGCAGACCCAGTGGTTGATACGGTCTTGGTGGTAGTTCTCGACAAGATTCCAGTCGCAGTCGAGGCCGTACGCGTTCCGGTGGCAGTACCGGTAGCAGTTGCAGTGCCACTCGTAGAAGAGTACGGTGGCTGTGAGTAATGCGCATCTCTGAATTCTGCAGGTTGATAAGTTCCCGAGACGGCATTCGGGCCTGCATTCGCCACCAACCCATTCGCGTTCACGGTCGTGCCATTGCGCTGTCCGAACGGTAGAATAACAGCCCCAGCTTTCGAGAGTTGGACTTCCGGAGCGTTGACTTGGAAAGTTAATGATTGGTTCCAGGCTTTCATGTCCAGTTGAATTTGCCCGTCCAGGGTGTTCAAATTCACGGTCGAGGGTGCTGTTGAAGTAATGTTGGTGGAATTGGATGAGGAGGGAGGTGTGAGTGAGAGGGGAGAGGAGAATCCGACAGAGGCTTTGATGTCGCCGCTGACACTCACGACCGAGAGTCGGTCCTGTACAATGACAGATGCGAGCGTTACAGTCGAAGGTGAATTTGCCGTGTACGAAATCGAAAGTGCGTTGATATTCAGCGACTATCAAGAGAAAGAAAAAAAAAAAAAAAAAAAAAACAAGGCATTGATGTTAATAAACGGAATCCTTATACTCATGAATTCAAAGCTGTTGAACGATCGTGCTATACATACGTACCTGAACAAACATGTTGTGGTTGCTGATCCCCCTGAACCGCCAGGTCGTGTTTCTGCGCACATTTTCGTCCAGGTTCACATAGACGTCCTGCTGATCAATCATAGCATCCACGGACAATTCCGACCGACCAGGAACAGTCCTCGGCATCTCGATCGTCAAAATCGAGTTTGAGCACAAAACTGTCGACATAAAGAACTCTCGATGGCGATCAGCCGCATCCTAAAAAAAAAAAGTATTTCAGTACTCGTTATGAGTGAAAGGTCCCTGTCGATCCTGCAAGTAAAGGCAAAAAAAAAAGTCGATGACGCTTTCGACCACAGCAACTTACATTGAGTACGTAGCGCAGGGTGTTGTTCGAGAGCACCTCGACCTGAAAGCCAACCAGGTCCTGTCGCGTCATCTTGTAAAATTGTCGCTGCAGCTTCAACAACACACGGGTCTCGGTCGTATTGGGTGAATCTATAATATTGATATTCCCTCTCTGTAGTACAAAAGAAGCAAAGTTGGAGATTGTAGGTCTGAGTGAGTAAAGCAGCACTGCAACACTCATAGACGGCTTGCGCAATAAGCAATGGACTCAAAATGAAGTCATGACTTACTGTCCGGGTTTGATATTCGAGAGAGATGCCACGGACGGAATCTGGGTCGATCTCATAGACCAAAGGGTCGACTGTGTTGGGATCGATTGCCACGCATACTGTGAGCTTGTGCAGCAAAAAAGTCTATTTGCAAGGAATAACAAAAGAGTCAAGTTAAAAAAACCTGAATTTCAGTGGCAACTATAGAAACGCATTGCGATTGCTGTCGTGCCGCTTCCTTACAGTAACTGCGGCAATGATTCCAGCAGGGATGAGGATCGCAAGGAGCAAAACCCACCACCGACATCCTCCAAAGAACCATTTGCAGAACTTGCGCTTTGGTACTCTCGTGTATGCGGGTCCTTGCTGGAATGGTGGCAATGGCGCAAGGTAGTTGTGCTCGTCTGCTGCTGAAGCCTCAGTACCGTATATGCTGGATGCATCGCCGCTTCCCCCGATAGTCGTACCGCCACGGATCGTGCCTGCTGCCCTGGATCCTGCTTTTGATCGCATCGCCTCAATGGCAGAGGGGCTCATATCACTCAGAGCTCCTCGATCCCGGTCGGATCCGTAGTGGTGGTTGTGCTGGTGATAATGATGCTGCCGAGAGACTGGACGGTGATTCGAGGCCGACGAGGGGACGTTGGAAGTTGTAGGTGATGTTGGTCTTGCATGATAAAGATACCGCTCCATCAAAGGATCCTTGGACTTTCTCGTCGAATGGTGTTTGCTCATGCTCGAATGTGGCCGTGAAACGGATTGTCCATCGAACTCTGGTGATAGTCCAGTGACAATACCCGTAGTCGACATGTTCTTCAACTGCCAGGATTGGTGGCCGGGATTTCCGATCTCTTGCATTTCCACATAGACATGTTGCGGGCGATCTGGAGATTGCGACTCTGTGCGATCGGTATCAACAGACAACCGCGACTGATTGGAATGCCTATTTCTCCGAGAATGCCGCGATGATGCCGTTGAAGATGCCGAGAGAGGAGGAAGGTCAAAGTGTACCACAGATGAGTTCCCAGTTCGGTAGCTGCTGTCCGTATCGACGGACGTATTACGCTGATGGTCCTTGCCGCGTCCATAACCCCTCGAAGCCCGATTCTCCTTGCGACGCTGCTCGAGGTCCTGCTCGTCCTCGCTCTCGCTGTTAGTCTCCCAGTGTTCCGATAGCATGCCCTCCGCATCCAAATCCCTGAGATCGCTCATGTGTGGGTTCGTGAAGTCTATTGGTATCGCAACCATGTCTCGGATGGGACTCGTGGGACGACTCCGTCCACGGGAAACGCTGCTCTGGCGCGAAGAATATGCTGAAGAGGTCGATGACGGCGTTGGAGATGGCGACACCAGTGACCGAGGCTCGGGCGAGACGACTCTGATGGAGCTCTGACTACGTGAAGGCGGGTACGAAGACTTGATATTGCTCCGCGACCGCGACCGTTCGAGCTGATGATGATCATGATGCCGCTGAGGTCGATGCGTATGGATCTGACCCTGGCTGTGTCCAGGCGGATGATACTCGCCGTGCTTTTTCCGCAGGGCCTCATTGGCTTCCTCCTTTAGCCTGCGCTCCTCGCGCTCCTGTGCCTGCCGCTGCTGACGCTTCTTCTTGCTGCCGAGGCCGAACCTGCGAGACGTCAAGGGCGGGTCATCTTCAAGCTCTTTAAGATTGGCATCCAACTTGTCATTCGAGACAGCTGTCGAGGAAGAGGTGTTTGAGAGTGTGTTGGAGTCAGTGGTGAGAGGAGTGGAGGTTCTGGACGCGACTGCCATAGAATCCTTTGCCTTGAGGGTCTCCGAGGAGGACTTGATGCCGATGGTCTGATGTTGCGGCTTCGGAGTCCTGTCCTGGTCCTCGGCCTCGGACACTTCCCTGGCATCAGACCCAGTATGGATGCCCGAGTTCCTGATAGAAGGCCGCGAGAGTCGTTGAGCCAGAGTTTGCGGCTGTGCAGTAGATGAAGATCCCGGGGTGTTCTTGGTCATTTTTGGAATATGGGTCTCAAACTGTGAAACAGTGACCCCTGCGAAAGTGTTCGCGTTGCCGTAGTGAGAATGAACTGCCTCTGTTCAGACAAACGCAGCTGCTTGGTACTGTCGTGGTTGTTGTTGCTGAGTGAACGGAGGATAACAGTTGTGAGTGGCGAAGGTTGCAGTGGTGGTGATAGTGGTGCAATTGCAAGAAGGGTTGAAGAAAGAGGTGAAGAGTGTGCCAGGGGGAATATGTTTTGTGGGGGGAAGAGGAGTGTTCTGAAGGGGCGGGAGGGAGCACTGGTGTTACGAGGAGGAGGGAGTATCGTCTCTTTTGGCTTGATGAGGACGAGGTATAGTGATATGTATTTATACACTGTCTATGAAGTGTTGCGTGTCTATATGCCCTCAAGAAAGAAAGAGAAGGTGGAGGAAGAAAAAGCGAATGATGGTGATGCTGAAGGAGATGAGATGAGATGCATCCTTTCCAAGAGTGCCCTAGTCTGTCTGTTTGTCTGCCTGTCTTTCTTTCCGCCTGCGTCAACGAGCTTTTTTTTTTTTTCATCTGTACTTTGCTTCGGTAACATGTATCACACCAGCATGCAGTTATTGAGTTCCAATACATTTCTGATGAGGAAAGCGGGCTTGTACAACCATAGTCAATGGTATTGGGCCTCATGTTCCATGTCAAAAAGCTAGCCATCTCGCTGAAGGTCTATTCTTGTCTTTGTCGTTGCCGTTGCCGTGTTCGTATGTATGCAATAGCTAGAAATGACTGTTGGAGCAGCCGGGGCCGGTCTCCACGCTTCCCTTTGGACGAAAACCACTACATCTGTTACATTTCAACCCAGCCCAGGGTGAGGTTATTTCATCACCATCACAAAGTGAAAAAAAGGGAATTGGCCAGTTCTGGTTCCTGCCCCTTATTCATCGACACAAATTGCATCTTTGTTGACTCTAAAAAAAAGAACGCGATGGATCAAAGGACCTCTCGCACGGTTTGAGGTCAGGTTGGACGTCAGTCCTTATTTCTGTGTGTTTCTCTTGCTCTTTTTGCTCCGCGCAATATACCACGCGCCTTTTAATTGAGCCTCCTTTTTCGAATTGGCTGACTATGCGGTGTGGGTGCGTGGGCATTCGGCGTGATACGCTTGTCCTTGCGCTTGGTCCTCCATTTTTTCAGTTACTCATCCTGACTGAGGCAGAAATTTATTTTTTTGTTGACGTTCGTGCCAATGGAGATTCTGGGTTATCTGCTTTTGTATTTCTTCCCTGCAGCATTGGATAGCTAACGACGAGCGGCCCAAGCAGCGCTGAATGAACATCTTCACTTAAAACCGCCAAAGGGGGAACAAAGAGAATTACATCGGGCATCTGTGCAACCATTACGTGCACAAACAATAAATACACGCTGTCCATTAGCGCCAATTGATCATGACAGGCCTAATGTTCTCGCCACCTTGGCGAAGTGGATTCTTTTTCTATGAAACAGCTTGTAACAGGAACGAGGATCGTATTCCTCTTCATATCGATGCATCAAAAGCGCGGTATCCATTCGCGTCACTCACAGGCGCGCGTGACAGGCATGCCCCCTCAGCTGCCCTTGTATTTATGCACGGTGTCAGGATGCGTCAAAGAGCCACAAGTTTAAGGTCGGCACCAAGTACCCCGACTTAACTTAATGTTTACAGTCCTCTTCCGGTTGGATAGTACAGGGCTCTCTCAGCCTATACGCTGCGCGTATTATCACGATCGTCATTGTGCTCTTTTTTCCTTCTGTGTGCTTGCGCGTGCGCTGTAGTTCGCGTCCTGCACTTGACCGTTAACTCTATAATAACACGATCCGCACATCAACAGGACAGGGCGGAGAGCGTGGTAAACTGGGACGCGTGGACGGAAAACTGGGAGAGCTGCACTTTTCAGGGCTGGTAAAGTTTCGAAACGAGATCTTCGAGCTCAACAGTTCTTTTTCTTTCTTACTGCATGTAGCCATACATGACTTTTGGTGCATGCAGCATTTTGGCCCCTCAATTATACTTCCATGTACTGTACAGCACATTCAATAGCTTGGTAATGAAACGTAGTTGGTTGGAAAGTGTTACTATGCTGGTAATGCTTGAAGACTACCTGCAGCCAAGGGATAGGAACTGCTCTTGGATGCGTCGAAAAAACTTCAACGGGACGAGAAGATAAACAAACAATGGCGCTCCTAAATGCTCTCATTCCATGACTAGTGACTATGTCTTCTTGATACAACTTCTACAGAGATAAGCTTTTCAGCAGGGTAAATGGCTGCAGGTACATCCTGAATTGCCTTGGATTATTCAAATGTTTTAGGATGTACGTTTTAGGCGCATCAGATCAATTGCGCTGCCAAAAGATTACTGGCCTGTGCACAAACGCGCTGATTCTTAAATTCATCTTTGTGCAAACTCGTTCTCCTCTTTCTTGACAGGTTACTCAAAGTATATCAACCGGAGATAGTTTGTAACTATTAGATCTGTTTTATTTCTTGATGTTTTTACAACCAGGCCATAGTCTAGTCTATCAGACATACCCCTAGTTTCATAAATCACAATAACCTAATGCTGACTCTGAGCTACCATGAGGTTAGTGAAATGATCCTGGAGCATAGCAATCTGTATCTGAAATAGCTGCTGCTGTGCCTCGAGCTGTTCTTTCAGTTGATCTTTCATCTGTTGCTTCAGCTTCTCCTTCAACCTCTCCACGATTTGCAGACCTTCTTCCTGGCGATACTGGTACTCTTGTTCTCCTCGAGGCGCCGTTGCTGACACTCCTGTCAATGTTGATGCTGTTGCTTCCGTTGCCGGTACATCCGTGAGTGAACCCAATATGGTAGCAGATCCAGAAGCAAGGTTAGACGCAGACGTAGAATGAGAGGCTGAATAGATATGGGCATTGGCTGACGAAGGAGTGTTGTTGCTGTCGCTGAGGTTCTTTGCCTGACTATCGACGAGCGCTGATTCGTCTTCATAATGGAGCTGATATTTTTCCTTGTATTTTTTGACATGCTGAAGTGTTGCCGAGCAGTATATCTCATTCGGAAACCAGTCATACATCTGCCTGAAGCCTATTGATTAGAGAGGAAGAAACCCCCAAAAGCGAACAATTATTAGATGCGAAGAGAAAGATAGCGCATGCATTGGCAATAAAGCAGAAGATAGATTTTGAAATGAGCGCTAAGTGCACCTGGTATGTGATATGTTAAGTTCTCTGCGCTCTGGATGATCTGAAGCCGGTACTGGAGCCAGGCTTGAACCCAAGTTTCGTCGCCGGCGGTGAACGCGACATTAATCAATGCTGCATACGGTCAAGAACAGAATGAAAAACAAAGTCAGCATGTCGTTCAGCAAGTCCGCATCAAGAAAGTAATACATGTGTTAAGGTTACCTTACCGATAAGAACATTCAGCATTAAAATAACTGTGAAGAAAAAGTAAATGATCATCACCATGTGGAAAGGCCAGTTTGGATGTTCTTGGTCGTTGAGAATATCGCTAATTGGATCATATCGGCCGCCCTTATTTTTAAAATGGCATGAAGAGATAAAGAGAGAATATAGTCGTTTTAAGTACTGCATACCTAGTCCATCAATCTTTGAGATGTCATCAAATTAATCGCGACCTTACCATGAATAAGTACGTCGAAGATATGGCATAGTAAAAGTGCCTCGGAAAACTCAGGCCCAGATCCTTGCAACTTTCAAACGAACACGCGTGAAGCAGATGCAGAATGGCAGTGGTGAAGGCCAAGATCCCACCAAAGAAGATAAAGAAGAACACGCGAATCCGGCTGATGATCATAATGGTGATTGTCACGTAATTGGACACACTTTTGCTTACACGAAGCTCAAACAACTAGAAACAAGATGAACCGTATATTAGCGGTGAGGTATACAGAGTAAGCGACAAATGATCTCGCAAACGAAAAGCATCGGCGACTTACGAAGTGAAGTGAGATAAATAGCACAGAGAAGCTTAGAAGACCACTTCTGATTCCCTCTGGTGTCCTTTCGATTTGCTCCGCACCGCCCGCCGGGAGGGAGTCTGATGATGACAGCATGGCGACGAGTTGAACGATGCTTGCTGCCATGGTGAACCCGAATGTGACCAAATCCACGATGTTATAAATCGACCTATGCGATAGAAACCGAACGATAGCCACGAAGATAAAGAGTACTGATGAGTAATGGCGAAGACATCGTTCTTATGCAGGAAAAGTATTGTGTGGTCCTTACGCAAAGTATCGCTTCCATCCCTTGAAGGCCTGGACCAGCTCCAGCCAGAGGAATATGAAGGATCCAGCAGTTATGGCAACAAACACTCCAACAAGAGGTCTTCTATTTGGGCCATAAACCTGAATGAACACCGCCACGAGTACCAATGCGTAGTAGCAGCACTGGCAGAGGAACCGCAGTGGCCAGTACTTGAACCCGATTGTGTTCCTATGGCAAAATTACATGGAATAAATATCTGTTCCGGTGCATAAATCATGTGCGATAAATACATGTATATGCCATGTATATGGTCGCTTATCATTTGTACTCGATCAACGCAGCGAGGTCAGGGTTGTCAAGCGGCTCCAGAGCAAAGTCATGGCACTTAACGACTGTGTTGCTCTTGAGATTGCACTTGTGAACGATCATGTAAAAAAGGATTCGTGGCCAAGAAGTCCATTTCGCAGGCTGTATAGGAGATATTTCCGAAAATAATCTAAGACTCCTGTCCTTGACATGCCAAATCATGCGAAAATCAGCGATAAATAAGGACCGCGTAAAATTGTCGTTTTGAGGATTATGGACATTTGGAGTATGAACCAGTTGTAGTACTGGGTCATCGCACTTATAAAGAGGTCGAGTATTGGACTTCCAGAACTTCAGTCTAAGCTCTGGAGGATGAGCGATGGAGTGGCGTCCGATAATGAATGGTCGGTCCTTGACAGGAGCATAAGCAAGGCTCCGCAGAGTAGTCAAGGCAAGCTCGGAGTGCAGTTGCTTCTCGTCAACCAAACTATGCAGACACTGCAAGACTGGTAATATGAAATGTGGGCTTTTTTCGAGTCGTGCCTGGCGGATGCAGTAATCGACAAAGACTTTTACGAGTCCCATGGCTCGAGGCTCTGTCTTAGCCTTCTCGACAAGAATTGCAATAGGATTCGCGCCCTCGTCCATGTCTTGTTCAGGTATCCATCTCCCGAAAGGTGACGCGGGTATTATGGTTACAAATCGCTCGAAAGATAGGTGTTCCTTCGGCTTCCATAGATCTATGCACAGGTCGGAGCTTGTGCCCGACAGGGTCACAGCGTGCGTTTTGTTGCCAGAGATGTCAAACCCTAGCACTTTTTTGGGTTGATACGACAGGCTTTTGTCAGCATAGTCGTCCATGATATCCGTATCAATTGACCAAAGGAAAGGCCGATGTATGCAGAGACTAATATCTATGTAATTTGAACAATATATAGATATGCATGACCCTTGTAAATTCCAGAAGTGGCAGCGACCTCGCATTGTCAAACAGGTAAAATAATGCTTTTTACTGTGTCATACCTTGGAGAGTGTTATTTTTGAAATGACATGGGTGAATCCCCATGAACTCCAACTTTATGCACCCTGGGAAGATACAGGAATGAGACTCCGCGTCTGTCTTCGTTCTGATCTTCAGGAAAGATCCCCGTACGTTGTCGTCCTTGTCATCATCAGAGTCATTAAGCTTTTGAAGCTGATAGTGTAATTTCCAACAGGAAATCCCTGTGCACGACGTCGCTATAAACACAAATATAGATCTTTGTCAATTATCTATGGTGAATGCTGTGGATATCTCGTTATTTAAAGCTCCTGAATTGCTTGAGATCTTACATAGTAAGCGAAGCTGGCGCTTGGAAATGATCTAGAATGGAAAGATATATTGCATAGGGAGTGACAGCTTTAGACGCTCCATATAATACTAATACTCTCATCCAAATATTTGGATCGCCTTTGTTACCGGACAATACCTCTTTTCCTATAACAGAGTTGTTAGAAATTTGGTGGGATTCAACTGATTCTGTCCTATCGATATTGAGCTCAGCTGTGGAAATTCCTAGGAAGATGTCGTATCGTCTAGCAGGGACTTTGTCCATCTCAAGACTCCACTGTAAGAATCAAGTAGGGAGAGAATTACAATGAGAGTCATGGTTGTTGAGCGACGTTCACTGACGAAACCATCATTAAAGAGACGAGACTCACGCTTATAAGTCTTTTTGAAGCATCGATCGTCACTGGCGGGAGCCGTCTATTTGTCAAGAGTAGAGATTGATAGGGATCTGCATTTAAATGGACGCTCGATGGCTCTACAATCTTGGCACACAAGGCAATCTGATGTCATTCATATTCGTACTCGATCGAACAGAGAAGCGACTTATTATTCGATAATGCGGCCATGGTTGAGCTCGTCGCTGGGAATCTGTTAAGATTTTCCTTGAAGTACCATCTATGCGCTATTTCCGAAGAGTAATTAGCGTCTTGGATCTATAACTGAGATCACCCCGCTCTTTGACTGCTCATAAATGTTCTTATCTGGGCCTTCACTGTCAGCCTGCCTTGGCTCGAGAGAACCAAGATGATCACTTTGGTCTCCATGCTCAGGATTTGAGGCCATTACTCCCTCCTATAATGGAGAGGCAGCAGGACCACTGAGAGTAGGAGTAGCCTTAGTGCATTCTCGCACGTCCAAGCTAACATGACTCCTGTTGCTCATGAGAGAGTTTGAAGGGTAAGTTGAGAGTAACTAGGAGAAGACGTGGAGTGGAAGAATTTAGTCAGGGTATGTTTGAAGAGAAAGAAGAGGAGCTAAAGGGTGGGGGACAAGGACTTTTCGTTTAAATACGTCCAATTACTGGTAGCAATTGGCAGCGACGGCGAAGTTAGCAAAAGGCGAAGCTAACGGCAAAAAGCGGCGCTGACTGCAGAGATTATGGCGAGGCCTTAAACTCCTAAGTCGGCCGCAGAAATTATAGCGAAAGCTGCATAAAGCGAACTTTACTGCGCAGGTAAAAGTTAATGTTGTAAATCGAAGCCGCCTGCAGAATTGATGGTGAGGCCTACAAAACACATAGTATGCCGCTAATATAAAAATGCTAGGCTGAGTACATTGGTAAGGGCAAAGGTGAGGGCGAGGGCGAGGGCGAAGATGCGTGAGCTGTGTTTCCCCAGTGAATTTAGGCCAGAAGTAGCCCTTTGCAGCATGTTCATAGACGCTTAGTGACATCGCATGAAACCCGTCATTTATTTTGGACACCAGATTCATCTCATTATCATAGATGATATATTATAGCTGCTTAAGCACGAGGTCGATTGCAGCAGTAGGGTCGGCAGTTGCAAATCTGTAAAACTCAGGGCAGCTGCAAACATTGGTGGTATCTCAAATGGCGTGCATAGCGCGGCAGGGACGAGAGTAGGGACGAGAGTAGGTTCGCGACTCAGACTATGCACAGCACGTTTCGTCACGTGCGTATCTGTGACGTAGACATAGCTGGGTACCGCGGAGAGTGATCACTCCAAAGGACCATCACTCGCTTCGCGCCTGCTCCCTTCTATACAACCATCGGCACCAGTCGACCATACAGGACTCAGGCCATCGCTCGACACCCCCTTCCTCTGTCCATCACGTCTTCTTTATTTTCCCGCCTTCGACTGGATCCTCAACCTTGAATTTGTCCGCCCGCTGAACGCCCATCACAACAGCTCATTCACGTACCATGAAGCGCGCTGCTGAAGATCAGCACGACCACCCTTCCAAACGGCCCCAGTCACTCGCCTCTGTCCATAACAGCCACCTCCCAGTGAGCCCTAACCTGAGCGCAGGAAGTCCTAGTCCACCGCGGAAGAAGGAGGTAAGCGAGCGATGATATGGACTTGATTAGACAGGAAAATAGATGGATGCCACATCTTTCATCAACGGAATCACATCTCTAACAGTGCCTCTAACAACACAACTTGGGATCAATTTTATCTTGCTGACATCAACAATAGCTCAGGGTGTGGAAGGGATGTTCGCAGTTGAAAGAGTTCGACCTGGTGGACAAGCTGGGTGAAGGCACCTTTGGGCAAGTCCTTTTGGTTTACTAGCTGGTCATGAACGCCATTTTCGTTTATTTCTCATGAACGAAAGTAGTGTTCTAACAGTCCCTCTTGTCTCTTGCATTCTCTCTGCCTTCAATGGCTGGAATTCAAAATCCCTATGTGGACAACATCTACTGGATATCGTCTTGATAATCGGATACGCCAACGCTATTATACCATTTGTGCAACATCCGAACATCGTCTTTTTGGGTCAACATATCGTGGATGAACAATAGAGAGGTTCATAAGGCGCGAAGAAAAGGATCTGGAGAGCTCTTGGCTCTGAAACGCATTCTGATGCACAACGAGAACGAGGGTATACCTATTACGGCGCTAAGAGAGATCAAAATCCTGAAGAGATTGCGGCATGATAACATCGTGCCCTTGCATGATATTGCCGTAAATCCAGGTAAGGGATACGATCATACATCTGCTTTTATTCTTTGCTTGACAGCAGAGTCTCTGTAGCTCGAAAGGTATCGGAGTAAAATTCTGATTGTTCCCGTGCTCGGTAATTGGAAAATTAGGGTCGAGGAGCGGACGCAGTCGTGCGAGTGTCTATATGGTCTTCCCGTACATGGATCACGACTTAAGTGGACTGTTGAACAACCCCAAAGTCCGACTCTCCGTTCCTCAGATCAAGCTATACATGAAGCAATTGCTGGAGGGCACTATTTACATGCATTCGGTATGCGAATATCTTCAGGATGTGAAAGGCGCGATACATGCTTTTTTATTTATCTATTTATTTGAGTGCCGCTAATAAGACATCGCCGCACGCCTTTACTCCACATTAGCAAAAAATCTTGCATCGAGATATGAAGGCTGCCAACTTGCTGATCAGCAATAATGGAACGCTAAAGATTGCGGATTTCGGATTGGCGAGACCTTTCAAGCCGGAGGGCGAGGACTACACATCCAAAGTCGTAACACGTTGGTACCGTCCACCTGAGCTATTTCTGGGCGAGAAGAAATATGGGCCTGCGGTGGATATGTGGGGCATTGGGTAAGTGCAATAAGAACTCTGCTCTCTTTGTTCATTGCAGCCCTTTGATGTGCTGAAGTTGACATTGCGCTTCGTCTTGTGATAGATGTGTATTCGGAGAAATGCTGTTTGGAAGACCAGTACTGCAGGGAAACTCAGATCAGGATCAACTGGACAAGATCTTCCAGCTTTGTGGCTCGCCCGCTGAAGATACCATGCCCGGATGGTCAAATCTGCCAGGTCTGGAAGAGAAGGGCGTTGTCTATCAAGTAAATAGAAACTATCCACGCAAACTCAAGGAGGATTTTGAGCCGTACGGAACGCTAGCGGCGGATCTGATGGACAAGTTATTAGTGCTGGACCCAAAGAAGAGACTGACGGCATTCGCTGCATCTGATCACGATTACCTCTGGGTCGAGCCACTACCAGCAGAGATTGGAGCGTATGTTACGCATACCATGCATCTTGCATCCGCAGTGGTGAAACCTTTTTTATGGTATGATAATAACAACAATTCACCTTAATAATCCTCGACATCAAATAGGTTGCCTGTGTATGAGTCGAGCCATGAGTATGATCGACAAAGAAAACATGAGCAGAACCAAGAGCGCCATGCATCACATCATCACAACAACCATCATCATCATAGCGCACAAAACACAGTATCGCATGGGCACCACCAGGCCCCACGACACGGTGGTGCACCCGGCGGATCGGCTGCACCCTATCGTCCGAATGGTGGTGGTGGCGGCGGATATGGAGGCGATCATGATAGGAGAGATAAGCCAAGGGGGCATGCACCTTCGGCTTCATCTGTGCAGCCATCGGCATACAGACCAATACCTTTGCCGCCACGGCCCCAGACGTCGGCAGTACCTCCGGCTGCACCTAGCGCCCCCAGCACTAGCACCACTGCTCGCCGGCCATGAACGAGCGTTGTTTTGAGTCGGAAGTGCTGGGAAACGGTTCAGCCTCTGGAGGTGCGCATATATATACATAGTTTGTGTCTTTTCTTCACAATGCCTTTCTTTCATTTAGTACAACAAAAAGCATATCTTTCTCGATAATAACCTACTCTGTTTGTTCTTTTTTTTATTATACGGGGTTATCATCATATGCTACAACTTCATAAATGAAGGCAATAAAAAAAGAACATGAGTGCAATCTGATAATGGTCAAGAAAGACACGCCAGCGTGCTTTATTGTGGAAAAGAAAGAAACAACAAAATACAAAGATATACAAAATTGTGAACTATCTAATCCTGCCTCATGCAGCGAGATTTTGGATAAGGCGATAGGGCTCGAACTTTTGGTCCGCCAACAGGCTTGGTTCCCAGGACAAACCTCGGTTCTCTTGGGAGTGGAAGTGGGACAAAGACGGTGGTGTCGGGCATCAGATGTCCACGGTCCATGATCCGATTCCGGTTGCTCAGTCTGCGGTGCTCCAGCTCGGATTTTGGTTTTGGAAGATTCCTGACAGCAGCTGCGTCTTGTTCGTCATCGTCAAGCGTACGAGAGTCGCGGTACCCAGTGAAGAAGAGTCCGCGAATTTCGCCCGCATCTCCAAAAAAGTCGAGCGCATCGTCGGGATCGCTGTCGCTGTCTAGAGACTCGAATCCTGTAAATTCAGCTGAGAACGCGGCTTTGTCCGCGACGTGCTTGGTCGTTGGTGTTGTCGAAGAACCCTGTGGAAAGGACTGAAAGGGTTTCATACAGGTGTTGTTGCTGGGCGCGGACTCGATCACGATATCGACCAGGTCGAAGGGATTGGGATGGTGTACGATGCCTCGGCGAGAGAGCTCGGGCTCTGCATGGCGGTAGAAGGGGTTGGCATGGTCATCAAACCAGTTCTCGTAACCGAGCGAACCAAGGACTTCAAGTTTCTCTTCGTAGATCTTATGCAGCCTGCAAGAGGGAGGAGGTGGAGTATATGGACGACCACCAACGGACGAAGAGGACGAGTTGGCGGAGTTGTTGAACTTGTTGACAAGACAGGCGTTGCTGGTGTTAATAGTCAATGATCGTGCGGCGCGGTGCATCATTCAGAAGTAAGAGACGAACGTTTGACGTGAAAAAGTGTTGATAGGAAAAAAATTTAAGAGTGTTTGAGAGGAGCAACAAAGTCGTAAGTGCGTTGGGTTGAAGAATAGAAGCAAGCAATGCTGTGAACGCATTCCTTTATATAGTCTTTGAACGAAATAAATGAGCTTATTAACACGACGTTCCTCAAAAAGTAATTGCCGAAAAGAACAAAATGTGCCCACGATGTGTTGGGAAATTGGGCGAATGCACCGTACACCCTGTCTCTGTGGGCCGACATGCTCAGCCTATGCATGCGCATGCTATGCAAGACAATTTGCTTATCCGAGAGGCAATGAGGAAGTCGCCTCGATCAGCTGTCCGCTCCACATCCGAGATTGAATTAAGTAAACGGGCTTTCCCATTTTATGAACTCTTTCTGGCACGCGTCTCCATGTTTCAGCCTTTCTGGATACTTATCAACGGCGCGAAGGCGTGACAAATTTGAAATGTGAGCGCCCGAGCTCCATTCTCTGCTCCAACACCGGCATTCGTAAATGAACAAGCGCAACAGGAGCAACATGCGTACATACAGTAGATAAGTATGAAACAACTAAGGTTCAATGGCCGAAGAAACAGACAATGCGTTCATATAACAAAATAAAAAAAGTTGCCCAATGTATTATAGTCTTTCACTGTATTTAAGTCGTTCTCCTGTCTCAAAGAAAGAAGTCGCTATTTAATCGTGGATCTCGCCGCAGTCAGCAATCTCAACGGTGGCAGTGGGGGCACCACTTGGGGTTCCGACAGCCTCCAACTTCTTCAAGAGTTCCTCGCCCTGCTCAATCTTTCCGAAGACAGTGTGCTTTCCATCCAACCAGGGAGTATCCTGGAAGCAAATGAAGAACTGGGATCCATTGGTGTTGGGTCCGGCATTGGCCATAGACAAAACGGGACCCTTGTGAGCAATCTTGAAGTTCTCACTAAGAAATGAAATGGAATGGTCCAAAAAGAAGCAGGCAAAAGAAAATTGTAATAAATAGGAGTGAGACATGGTCAGCAGTCTGGTAGGCAAATCGAGTGCTCACAATACGCGCGCTAGGGGCTTCTTCTTTGCGAACCAACGTATCGGGAAGCATCCCCTGTGCACTGGAGCACGCACGGAAGCACGAGCACCCCATATGCAATTGCTTAGTTAAAAATAATTTGTTCCCAAAGCAGCAATTTCGGGTGTCACCTACTCGGCAAACTTGGCTCCATAAATGGATTCGCCTCCACGTCCATCTCCACGGGTGAAATCTATTGGCAAGAGCATTGGTGCAAGGGAGCAGCTTCTTTTGTTAGAGGCAGCGATCACGCGAGGATGTCTATCAATAGCGTAGCGCCTAAACAAGGCAGTTACGGATACGTACCACCACCTAGAGACATAGATCAAGCACAGGGAATTGAAAGCAGTATTCGGCGACACCAATAGACGCGTAAGAGGAAACAGGCATTAGTGAAATTAGGCCTCAATATCATATCCATAACCAATCCATAGCTGTCTTTGAACGCGTTCTAAAAACAGTAGGCGGGCCCTTGTTGCACTTGTCCATTCATGCCCAATAACGACCACATATTTGAAGATATCGACCTCGTACCCTGAGCCATGAAACCAGGGATGATACGGTGGCTAAATGCAATCAATTATACTATTGATGTCAATATCATGGAAAACAACAGCAGACAGTGTTGCCAAAGTGCAGCGTAGTTGCTCTTGAATTGTATATTCGCTTTGCACTTACAACTTGCTTCCCTTGTAGGTCAGGGGCATACCGGAGAGGGCAGACTTGCCCTTCTCACCAGTGCATAGAGCCCTGAAGTTCTCGGAGGTCTTGGGGACGGTCTCGTTGAACAGCTTGAAGGTCAAACGACCAGCTATTGTGATGTTTCCGAAGAGTCGTGGGGGTCGAGCAATCAGTCCACTGTGCAATTTTTTCGACATCCATTGAAATAAACGTCTGGCGTGTGAATTGTCGACTCCATACCAGGCTTGGCGTTGATGGAGATATCAAAGAAGACTTTAACGGGCTTGGTCATTGTGAATTGTGCGGTGAGAGTGAGTGAGTGAACGAGTTCTGATCGGGATCAAGGAAAAAGGGAGGCCAAAAGACAGTGACATCGATCGATCTACGTCATCTTTTTTTCACGAGCAACGAACCCATCAGCCAGCACTCTCATCCTTTTCTTGTCGCCATCATCGAGGATCGACCCAGCCAGCTAGTCAGTCTCAGACCCAGTTCGGAATCACTTCAGCAGGACTCTGGATAATTTATCAGGACCAGTATAAGAACAGCGATCATCCTTTTTCGCCATGGCTTCCACCAGCCCTAACATCGATCCTAATCAAACGATCTATGTCCGCAACCTGAACGAAAAGATCAAGAAGAACGGTAATAACCAACCCTCGAACCAAATGAAATCCAATCAGGAAAACACTGTGCGCGTTAAAAAGTAGTTTTTGGGTTGCAGTGACGAGGGAATGTGTTGTCGCGGCATCGCCTTCAAACCAGGACTGATCTGCATAAAACAGCGTTCCTAGGATGCCAACAAAGCGCGACCAAACTAACGGCTATTGCCCTATTCATCTTGATACATCCCGACCTACTAGAGCTGAAGCGTAGCCTGTACGGCCTATTCTCGGCATACGGAAAGGTCATCTCAGTCGTTGCTTCCAAGACGACACGGGATCGTGGCCAGGCTTTTGTCGCCTTTTCAGATATCGTATCTGCGACAGCAGCATTGCGTGGATTGCAGGGATTCAGTTTTTACGGCAAATCGATGGTACGCATCACTCTTCCCGACGCGTCTCGGAACAGAATTGCTTTTCAATGTCGTGGAATTATGCTGTGTATTGTCGCTGGCTCTTGTTATATTCCGCCTTCGAACGAGATCTGACCCTTTTTTTTTCCCTCATCTGCTCGGCTATCTGTGCTAATAGGAAATCCAATACGCAAAGACGAAATCACACGCAATTGCCAAACTCGATGGAACGTACAAGCAGCCTCCTATGAAGAAACCGGGCGCAGAATCAGCGGATCAAACTATTTCAGTGTCGATAACCGGTGCGACAAAACGCGAGAGAGAAGCAGACTCGGACTCAGATTCAGATTCAGCAATGTCGGAATAGGTCCAATAGGCTACAGGAATATGGCCGCCGGAAGAAATGGAAGAGAGTCGAGGAGATCGCGTCCTTCCACATTCAGACTCAACATCAGAACTTGGAACACTAAAACTATCAGCTGAACATTGTACAATATAAGCGCTCATCCAAATCAATACAACAATTCTAGGAGTTTAATGGTTGTTTTGTAAAGCGTATCAAGCTCGAAGGTCCAATTATTGACACGCAAAGCATGGAGTAAGTTTATGGCGTAATATACAAAAAAGGAATTGTGTCTGGCGTTTCTTGTCAATTCTAATCGTGCCTGAACTGTGCTGGCGCAAAACCTGGAGTTGCTCTAAAAAAAAACGGACATGAAAGCAGAAACGAATTCATGTCAGTCAAGTATATAATGATACCTCCAAAGGAGCACTGATGGCATCCGAAGCGAAGTGCATACTTGATCTGGGAGCTTTCATCCTCGGGAATATCATAGTTCAAATCCAGATCATGGTCCTGGAAGGACTGTGATTCTGATCGCCAGTTCTGCCATTGCTGCTGGTTTGATGATGGCAAGGCTGTACTCGCTGCTGACTCCTGACCGCCCCACAAAGTCCTATGGCCACTTGCCCCAGCATCAGAGGCTCCTGTAAAGGTCGCCGCTTGTCCATATTTGGCAAAACCGCCGTCTTGCATATCTGTTAAAGAGTCGCTTGACGATGATCCTTGCCCGTTCGATCGACGGTACTGTTCCTCTGCAATCGTACTTGAGATGGGTAACGTCTCGTACGTAGGATACGACGAAAAGCCAAACAACATGTTCGAGTCTACTACAGTTGCTAAGTCATGGTCAGAGGGCCAGCCAAACGATACGTCTGAGGTATCCGTAGGGCCCCATCCTGACTGTCGTGTTAACTTTGGGTCCTCCAACATCCATGCTGGAATCTCTGCCTTGGCGTCCTGGCCCGTACTCATTGACTCGTCCTTGTTGTCGTTTCCTTCAGCGACCCTCGTCCCTGGAGTCGATTTGCGTGCTTCTGGCGCGATATCTGAAGGCGGAAGATTTGGTGGAAGCGTGAACGGGAATGGGTCAGGTGTTTGAGCAGATCTGAAGACGTGGTTGGGATTCATGGCCATAGCGTCGAGCTTCTGGGCAGTGATTCCGGGCTGGTAAGGGTTCACCTCACTAGGCGAGGGTAACTTAGCCCAGGGCCCATTGTCGGGTGTCTGAGTCGCAATAGTTGCTGAGGGGTCATCATTGTTTTGCTTATCTATTCCGATTGATGTCGAGGACTCTTTGACTAGGTGCTGTTCTCCATGTGAAATCGCGGTTTGTAAATCAGCATTCCGGTCCTCAATTGTGTCAAGATGGAAGGAATGCTCAAAGGTCTTTTGCAGTCGCTCCTCTGGTTCCTCGAGACTGAGAGCCTTAAAGTCAAAGGCTTCGCTCATGTCCTGGTCGTTCATGATGCTAATCGTTGATTTGGTTTGGTTGAGTCCGAAAAGGTGTGGGGAGAAAAAATAACGTTGCATTTTGTGACCCAATCCTGCTGTAATTATCTTCAGAACCGAACCCTCTACGGTTTCGACATCATTTGGTGGATAGTTTGTTTTATTGGTGTTTCTGAAGCATGTTCACAGCCCTTTATGAGGAGGTCTGCAAAGTGGGAGTAACTATCCATGTCTAAGCATCAGTCTTGACATCCTCCATGGCCTTCTTCTCGTCAACCTTGGCATCATCAATGCCCTCGGCATTCTTCTCATCGACATAGGAGCTGTTGACCAACATCTCCGAGAACGGAATCAACTTATCGACACCACGGATCTCGTTTGTCAACAAAGGTAACCTGAATCATTTAGAACCAATAAGGGTTATCTGTTAGTACAGGGCTGACCGTAATAAATAGGCTGTAATCGATGTGTCCCTGGCATACCTGGTGACGTGGAAGTCCTCGTAGAGATCATAGATCTGGTTCAGGTACTTCTTCTGCATTGCATATCGAACCCGGCACTGCTCACAGTTTGAATCCTTCTTTGGGAACAGCAGCTGGTTGACAACAATGTTGTGGGTGTCGATTTTATACGACGTCAACTCCTGAATCATGCGCTCGGTCTCGTAAAGCGACAAGAATTCAGAGATGCACACGCATACAAACGTGGTCTTATCCGCATCCTTAAACTGGTTGTTGACCTCAGTAATGACTTCGCGCATACCCTCCAGCTTGCTAAACATATCCTCGGGGTTGCCCTGCATGCCCATCATTCCTGACATCTGCTGCATCATGGGTCCGAAACGTCCGCTTAGCTGCGAAACCTTTGCCAGGGCCTTCTCCAAAACGCTGGGGAAGGAGAGGAAGCGCAGGGTATGTCCTGTTGGAGCGGTGTCGAAAATAATAACAGAATATTCCATCGCCTTGACCTGCCTAGAGAAAGATCAAAGTGGGATATAAAGGCGCTGTCAGCGGGAAGAACTAATAGGTCGTGCTGCTAGTGCTGTTTCTTGCAATATGAACGGCTCATTGCAATCGAAAAGCGCCAACATACTTCATAACTTCGGCAAATCCCATGGCCTCATCGACACCAGGAATAGCAAACGCAAGATCCTGCATCATAGAAGAAACGCCGCTTCCTTGATCATCGGCTAGAAAGGGTACAGTAGTCAAAAATTAGTCCAGCTCTTCCTGCAAATGGGAGCGAACCATCTCGTGAGGCATGCCACTGTTGCAACGCTTCCACTATATGTTCTTACCGTTATCGATCATCTCCTGGATAGAGGATGTGGGGTCGATTTCCTGCAGAACAAAATCGAAGATTCGTCAGTTCCTGTTATAGCTGAATCTGATATTACTGTGAGGGCTGCATATTGAGTAGTGGGATCGTACCATGGCATAGAGGTTGGTGAATCCACTGACAAGGGTGGCATCCTTGCTGAACTTCTGTCCAAACGCATCGGACAGGTTGTGGGCGGGATCTGTGGAGATCAAAAGGACGCTGGGACGAGCCTTGGCCAACTGGATAGCGAGCGAACAGGACGTGGTAGTTTTTCCTATATTATAGGAAGAAGCAGTTGCATGACAAACAACGTCAGGTTGGTATGTGCTGAGCCCTGGGTCGCAAAAGTTGCACAAGTCTCGACGTTCCTGTGTGATGAGGAGATGCTCCAAAAAGCTCTTCGCATCGTGGTTGCACGAACGGTCGGTCTGGTGCTGAAATCCTTACCGACTCCTCCTTTGCCTCCGACAAAAATCCACTGCAGGGATGTCTGATCGATGACATTCTGAAGCGTGGGCTCGAGGGGTTCGAGGTCTTCGATATCGGACATGGCTGTGATGTGTTGGGGATTGATGGAACGGAGAGAGTGTTAAGTCGATGATACCCCTGAATGCTTGCCCAAGTGATGGAACCTTGACGAAGGTTGGGTGGCTTGCGATACGTCCTTTTACACGCGCGCTTGGATCACATTCAGGCAAGCATATGCACTGGATTCTGATAGGATTCTTTCGCTTGGGGACACATACGTACTTTCAGAGATGCGTAGCACGAGATAATGCCCCCGCTCTTCGAAATGTAGGCAACTCCTGTACCCCCAGCGGCGGCAGTTTAAAACTAGGAAACAACAGCTCAATGTCTCAACCCAGAACGCGTTATTTGGATGCTTGTTTGTATCGATACGCGTTTTTTTGCGCGTCGTGTCAACCACTGTTCAGTTGGCATGTTTCACGCAGACATTCTGGCCCATATTTGTTTCCTTCTACAACATCAACAACAGATGTTAACCCAATAAGATATCCTTGTAAGCCCGTTATACCTGAGCATGGGATTTCTCCCTAGGCTTGACTCTATCCTCAATTCCTAACTCTGACACTCTACTTGATGAGACCCTGGTCCTTTTTCTTCTTTTCTTTTTTTTTTTTTTTCTTTTTGCATTTCCCTGCGTGCTTGTTTGTTCTTCTGTCGATCTTGCAGCACTATAGCCATATATCGCTAGCGAATAGATTGCCCATTGTCAACGGCGGCGATATAATTGACTGTCGACTTCAAACTATGCAAAGGAGTCGATTTTTACGCTGTGCTTGGACAGCTCAATCCCATGACTGCTTGGCTGGCCCACGGTATTAGCCGCGGCTTCTGGCGGTGAGTGTGGCGAGACATCCCTTGTAGGATATGAGCGCTTGCAGGTAGGCTAACAGGTTCCCAGGCAGCATGGCTTATGTCATATGGTGGCAATAGTCGAGGAAAAGTTTTTTGATGGCTGAGAAATGGACCGAAGTCCGGATAATGCGGATCGAGAGTGGTCACCTACGGTATGGATGTCAAGATGGATGTACAATCTGCGTTTGAAAAGTCCAGGTAGCTCGAAATGGTTATCAATCCCTCCGACTCAGACCAGATTCCTGCTTCGACCATCCATATAGAATTCTTATCATCCTCAGCATTGGGCTGGTGGGCGGCAGCAGATTGGTACCAATTCTGGATCCACAGAAGCAACGCGGGTTCTCCGGATCAGAGCAATACAGATGGAGTCCACGAAGTGTGCCACACGTTTGATGAAGCCCACAGTTTGCTGGATAGTCGAATCCTTGAGTGACAAGGGCAACGCCTGGAGGCTGCGGAACTCGGTCCTCTAATACTCAGTCCAGCCATTCGGGAATAATGCATTCCATCTATCTTATGTATCTTCAGGAACCTGACCAAGCGCTCGTATCGATGAAGTGCACCGACGGGTTAACCGCTGCACTATCCATCACATAGCCCAATCGTTGGCCCAACTATCCGTGCTACTGGTTGTGCAACGCCATGCTGGGTCGCACGCATTCCGTACATTCACTGGGTCCCAGATACTAGAAGATGACAGCCCTGATCTCCGATAGGTTGATCGCCATGATACTTGGAATGATTGTCGTTGTGTTGCTGGATAATTCCTTCATTAAATTGTAGGGTTGTAGGGTTGATCGACAGCGGTTTACAAAATGTCCTGCAGCAAGCTTAGGAACTTAATTATAATATTCTCGTCGTCTGAGGCGCTATGACTATCGTATTTGAGGCTATCGATATACTATTGATCTATCGCGTTTTCGGTGCTCACATATAGCATTAAAAAATAAGTGCCATGTCGTCGAGACAACTCTCACAAACATGTCAATTACTACATACCATAGCCAATAAAAGTCAAATTTGGACACCACATTCAAGCGCACCTAGACCAGTCAACTTATACGACGTTTGGTACCAGAGATTTCCTGCATACACAAAAACCCCCATGTGTTCTTTTAACCGACAGACGTGATGACTAAGTCATGCGGCATTAGAAGCATGATCCTTCTAACGTTCGCTCGCGTGGAGGAAAAACACCTCCACTTCGATTGAAACCGCTGCACATATATGTCTCGACCCGTCGCATGACAGCAAATAACAATGCACGAGAGTTAGCGTGTACGGGAGAGGACAAGGAAAAGTGACTCCGTACAGGATCTGCATGTGCTCTCCACTGAGTTGTATATGGCATCCATAGTTTTTGACAAAACGGCGGGGGAAGAGCTGAACGACCAAGAACGCGCATTGTTGGCAGGATCATATGACAACAACGTGCTTTGGACCTTTACATATGAGCCGTTGCGATGCAATCCTTTCCTCGCGTACATATGCATGTGTCTGTGTGCTTGAGCATGTTGTATCCGTTATATTCATCCTAAGAACTATCTTCCTCAAGGCATGTTCCTCCTCTTACATATCTCCCTGCACCTCGTACAGTTTTCGATAAGATGCTTGCTTCAACTCAGCGTCTTAAGCAAAAGACTTTTTTTTATTTATCCTCACCCCTTCGTTCTCCTTCGCTTGAGAGCAAATGAACTTATCCATTCACTCTCCTTCGCCCAAGATGATTTTCATGTTAGGAAATAGTACATTTACAGTAAAGCTATGTATGTTTCCATATGAGGTTCGTTGAAAGATCGAAGGATCAGTGCTCATGCTTCTCGAAGGAAACGAACTAAAAAAATAAAGAGGCGCTGCATTAAACAACGAAAAAAAATAATCAATCTAGACGTTTTTGTGAAAATTGACGCGTACACCATTGCTGTGCTATCTATGTCAGTCAATTTCGCGCACATGATAAATGCGGCGACAATGCTCGCCAGCTGAATTTTAACAGCGCAGCAGGAAAATTGTCGGCTTCAGAAGATCGCACTGCGAGTACTGGGGCACAAATATAAACATATACATGCGAAAATAAAACGCATATAGGATATGAAGCGCATTTCAGTTCACAAGGGAGTCTCCCTGAATGAGGGGGGAGGATATCAGGGCGAAGCAATTACTGGTAATAAGAACTGACAAAAACGCAGAATACCACATCGCGAAAATTCCTGACTCCATATTGCGATCGATATTGTAAACACCTAAACTTGAGACGCGGTATGTGTAATCGACAACGGAAACAGTAAGGTCTAACTTACGTGGATGGAAATGGAGAAAAAAAAAAGCAATATAGAAAACCTGAACACCTAGGTCAATAAAGACTAAAGTGATCATGCGCTCAAGAGCAAACGGGCCAAAAAGGATTCGCAGACTGCGAAAATCGAGTTCAAGGAGTAGCATCGACCTTAAGAACAAAAAAAAAACATGAGTTCTTGCTGGGAGTGCAGGCGAGCGGACAAAAAACTCATAGAGTTTGGAGACTATCGCATCTGCAACGAGGAGGAAGCTAAAGGGGGAAGAGGGAGGACATATAGCGAAAATAGGGTGGGGGTTCGAATTCAGCGTGATCCAGACTTCCATTCTGAATCTGACAGCCAGCATGGCTCTCAGCTCTATGCACCATGTTTAACGCAGAGGAAGATGCTCCCAGCGGTGTGGATTATATCACCCCTTAGATTGGAACTTTACCGAAGAACCACCGTACATACCATTCTGTGTTCAAGAGGCGGGAGACGAATTTTTATTATTATCAAAAGGTAACGCGACGCGCGCGTGTTGCGAATTGACAACTGTATTTTTGGATGCATTGACGCTTGCCGCTATAAGCAAATGAGCGCTGTCGCAAAACCAGAAGGCTACCCCGGGTTTGTCAGAATGAGAAGCGACTTTAGCCCCACTCATTTGTGCGACTCAATACCATCACTCCCCTCTGGCTCTTGGCGCCTTGATCGCTTCTCTCCTTGTTGGCTATTCTCGAGCTCAAAAATGCACGCAGCCACATTCTAGAAGAAGGGAGGTTGTGTTGCGTAAAATAGGAGGGTAAGAAAAAAAAACAGGAGGAAGAAAGAGGGCACGGCCAATGAGATATGTAGTCCCTTGAACGATGAATGTTGGAAGGACGAAATGAGCGTATAGGATTATGAAGACAATTTAAGGAACGAGAGCAAAGAACAGCCCCGCGCATTTTTAATTTTTTTTCTCCTGGATTTGCCTTGCCATCCTTCTTGTGAGCGTGTCCAGCCAATAAGGGAGTGCGTGCGCGCGCTATTAATACTATCCAGACATCCCTTATAGTCGTAGTCTTTTATGGACTCCGGGCCGCCACAGCTGCACATCGCGCAGAAGCAAGGACTAGATCCTGTGTAACATCCAGAGGTATGGCATGCACGAGCCGTTGCCCAAAAGGAGTCTATCTCGTCTCATCTCGTCAGCAGGAAACTAAAATAGCCAAGCTGCCGGGCGCCTTTGCTTCGGGAGGTGCCAGGTACCAAGCAGCTTCTTCGTCCATCGGGGGCCAGAAAAAAAAAAAACCTATAAAACCTATCGCCTTCATCCCTCCTTTGTTGTTCTCCATCCCACCTCAGCCCTTACAGCTTCCACAGCAACTCACCTTCTCACACCCTCCCCTCGCCCTCTACCTCCAACCCTAACCGAAAATGAGATTCTCCACCTTCGTCCCCGCCGTCTTGGCCCTTACCCTCTTCACCGCCACCCAGGCCTCGCCCTCTATGATGAAGCGCGACCGCAACGATCTCGATGCCGTCGTCAACCTATTCGTCCGCGCCCACACCAAGGTCGCTGTCGATGCCTGCGCTAAGATCACTGCCGATGTCTGCGCCGATGTCGACATCACCCTCGATGCCAAGGCCAACGTCCTCGGTAGCCTCGTCACCGCCAATGTCGATGTTGAGAAGCTCCGCATTAGCGCCAAGGCCCAACTCGACGTCGACATCAAGGCCAAGGTTGACGCCGATGTCAAGGCCATCGTCATTGCCCCCATCAGGGCCTCGGTAGAGAGGGTCATTATCAAGCTTTGCCCCTTGCTTGAGAGGGAGTGCATCAGGGCCAACGCCCACAACATCGTTGCCAAGGTTAACGCCGACGTTGATGTTTACATCCACAAGCTTTGGGTCGCCCTCAAGGTCGACCTCCCTGCCCACATCCGTCTCCGCGCCAAGGTCATCGTCAAGGAGATTTGCGTCCACGCCGGAATTGTCGAAGCCGCCATCAGGGCCCGCGTCTTCATCGCCTCCAACATCGATGTCCACGTCAAGGTCTGGGCTAAGGTCTGGGCTACTCTCTGGGCCAAGGTCAAGCTCGTTGCCCTCATCCGTGCTTTGTAAACCCCGAAAACGTCGCCATCCCGTTTTTACAATCCTTCATCGGATAGAGCTCAACAGTCCATTCTTGCATCTTTGCTATTCCCATATCTTCATAGAACGCGTACCTTAGTGCCATCTTTCTGACACGCAATCTACTCGACTATCTATCTTTTTCGCTTATATCTTCGTATATTTGCTATTCTCAATAAACGTAACTGTTTGGTCCAATCCTTGCATGCTTTCATATATCGTTCCTCCGTGCCTGACCGTCCGCATCAGATATTGCCCATGAACGTTGCGATGATAGATATCCCACAACGACCATTATTTCATCCGTGTTGAATACAATATGTGCTCATCAAACATTGTTTCCGTAAAGGAATAGCATTTGACTTTATGTAGCATGGGTTGACAGTGAACAGGACTTAAGTATATTCGTAAAAAAACAGTAAACTGTGTGTAGTTAGGAGGATGGTGATTTTTTTTTTTAAGAAATGGATGAGAACAAGCAAAAACAAATCAGAAGCGCGTCGCCAAGGTAGGAAGAGGGAGGTTTATGGAAAATGCGTTACTTAGAAGTTCTTGGTGAACTCGGTGGTAATGTCCTTCAGCTGGGCAAAGGACTCAGCGCTCAAATCACCAGACTTGCGGATCTCCTCGAGGAGATCTTTATGGTTGGCAACAAGATGGGGGATGAAGTTGCGCTCGTACTCGCCGACACGGTTAACGGGGATCTTGTCGAGGAAACCGTTGACACCAGCAAAGACGATAGCGACCTGGTGCTCAACGGGAAGAGGCTTGTACTGGGGCTGCTTGAGCAACTCGGTGAGACGGGCACCACGGTTGAGCAAGAACTGGGTCGAGGCATCCAAATCGGAACCGAACTGGGCGAAGGCAGCGACCTCACGGTACTGGGCGAGGTACAACTTCATGGAACCAGCAATCTTCTTCATGGACTTGGTCTGGGCGTGGGAACCGACACGGGAGACGGAAAGACCGACGTTAATGGCGGGACGAATACCCTTGAAGAACAACTCGGCCTCCAAGAAGATCTGACCGTCAGTAATGGAAATGACGTTGGTGGGAATGTAGGCAGACACATCTCCTCCCTGGGTCTCAATGATGGGGAGGGCAGTCATTGAACCACCACCGAGCTTGCGGTTCATCTTGGCGGAACGCTCCAGAAGACGGGAGTGCAGGTAGAAGACATCACCGGGGTAAGCCTCACGACCTGGGGGACGACGAAGCAAAAGGGACATCTGACGGTAGGCGACGGCCTGCTTGGACAAATCATCGAAGACGATCAAGGCGTGCTTGCCGTTATCACGGAAGTACTCTCCGACAGCGCATCCAGAGAAAGGAGCGAGGTACTGAAGGGGAGCGGCCTCGGAAGCAGTGGCGGCGACGACAACGGAGTACTTCATGGCATCGTTCTCCTCAAGGGTCTGCACGAACTGAGCGACGGTGGAACGCTTCTGACCAACAGCGACGTAGACACAGTACAACTTCTTGGCCTCCTCAGTGCCATCGTTCCACTTCTTCTGGTTAAGAATGGTGTCCAAGGCGACGGCGGTCTTTCCGGTCTGACGATCACCAATAATCAACTCACGCTGACCACGACCGACGGGGACCATGGAGTCAATACACTTGATACCAGTCAACATGGGCTCACGGACGGACTCACGGGGGAGAATACCGGGGGCCTTGACTTGGGCACGGCGACGCTCAGTGGCGGCGATGGGGCCCTTGCCGTCGATGGGGTTACCAAGGGCATCGATGACACGACCCAAAAGAGCCTCGCCGACGGGGAGATCGACAATGTTACCGGTACGCTTGACGGTATCACCCTCGCGAATGAGACGATCGTTACCGAAGACGACAATACCGACGTTGTCGGCCTCCAAGTTCATGGCCATACCCTATGATTGACGAGACATATACGGATCAGATCCTTGCTCATTCTGAATCCAAGTTGGATATGATGCGTCGAGCCTCAACTGCTCAATTGGTATGCAAATGACACCCAGTTGATCCAAAAAGGGTGATCCTGCTTCCAAAAACGATAGGTATCCGTCCTTTACCTTGACACCGCTGGAGAACTCAACCATCTCCTCGGCCTGGCAGTTCTTCAAACCGTAGACACGGGCAATACCGTCTCCGATGGACAAGACACGACCAGTCTCCTGGATGTCAACGGAGGAGTTGAGGCCGTTGATGCGGTCCTCGAGGATGGAGGTGACCTCGGAGGTAGCTATTACAGTCGAATTGATTCAAGGAACGCGATGGTATTAGTTAATTGAGAGATATTGCTTCCTCGACAGTAACATAGAAGCGGAGATGTATGTTGGGTTGCATACCAGGCTTGGCGGTGGCATAGTTGCGGATGGCAGAGAAGGCACCGACGTTGGCGCGAACCTATTAGCAAGCCCAGCAGAGTATATATTAGTTTCAATCGTCAATTAAACGTGATGGGGGCTGAAGGTGCGCAAGAAATTATTTTGCTGATCACTCAGATCGAGCCCTGTTTTTGAGATCCGACTAGACCCGATTCTAAATGATCGTAGGAATAACACAAGGAGCTCTGTCCCAACGATGAGGGCAACGCGTACTCAACGGAAAGCCCAAGGAAGAACCTCTTCTTTCACATATTTCCTCCACTGGATGGCAACCAGATTGAGTGGCCAAATATGAGGTGAGATCAGGTTGATATCCTCTTTCAGGCACACAGTGAACGCGATAAGTGTTGACCCAATTGGCGAGTACTGTTGCCAATTGATCAAAAAGAAGTGCTGAAAGTGGAAGGGACATGATCGATGATGCGAATTGCAGTTGAGATCGGATCCATGGGATCAAGTCGAGATCGAAGTGTGGAGCCAGAGACAGTGCGGGGTCGTAGTGGAGGAAGGTGTGATCGAGCGAGAGACAAGAAACAGACGCGATTATTGTCGTTAAATAGAGGGTGGGTAGAGAAAGTGGTCATGAAGAGAAGGTAGTAGGTAGATAAACAAGTGGTGCACAAGGGGGGACGTATTGCTTCTTGTCGTCGTTGCTGTTGCTGCTGCTGTTGTTGTTGTTGTGAGGATATGTAGCTAGAGGAGTAGGGATGATGAGGACGAGGATGGGATTATGAATGAGATGAATCAGATACATACCACGGGGGAGCTGCGGGCCAAGGCGATGGCAGCGGGGCGAGCAGCGCGGCTGAGAGATCTGAGCATGATTATGATGCGGCGATGGGGAGAGGGGAGAGGATGAAGGAAAGAAGCAAGAGGATGATCCCTCGACCAGCGTTGTATACACTCTCGTTCCGAAAAAACAAAGACGGACGTCACCTCCCCCTATAATTTGAACCTTGCAAATACACAGGCCCTATTTATTCGCTACTCACAGTACGCGTATTCAAATCATAAAGAACGCAAAGACACAGGAGAAGCCCAGCACGACTGTCGTCGCGAGGACAGCAGGGAGGACAAACGGTGCCGCATTCTCGCTTTTGCGCACATCGGTATCCGTTGGAAGGTCTCGCTTCTGTAGCTCCTCCTTTGCGTCCTCAGAACGCTTGCTACTGGCCTGCTCAATTGTAAACAATTCTGAGTGATAGATTGGTGGCGATCTTGCGTTGGAGAATTGGACTTGAAATCCCTGTGTTGAGGCAAAAGGTACCCAGGCCGGAACTTTAGCATGATTGCATTGGAGACATATTCACGTAGATAGCTGTATGCATGACAAGAGGGAACACAGACACACCTTTCCATGCTGAATAAGATCAGCTGGGACAGTGAATTGTAGGGACGACCGAGTGTTGTATCCCTTTGCAATCTCAGCAGCAATGCCGTCGTGTAAACAGATACCGTCACACTCACCTCCAAGGACCATCAGATCGACCTGCCAGCCCTTCACTGTTTTGCCCCTATGCTCGTCCAGTACCTTGATGGAATACGTCTTGCCTGGTGCCCATACGGAACTTGCACTGGGCTGAGATACGATGATGCCGGAGACAAGAAGAGAGTATTGAAGTAGAAGAAATGCTAGCAGGGTAAAGTTTTGGGGCGAATGTTGGACCATCTTTTTGAAAGCGAGTGAAAAGGTATCGGAAAGAGTGCAGTTCAGTTATTGGTACAAGAGGGAGCAGCTCAGGAACAGCGAATAGGAAGAAGTAAAAAGGGATTGGTGGACGAGGTGTGAGACTTCAAGTCGGTCGAGAGTAGAGGCGAGTGTGCAGGCCAGGTAGGCCAGGGGCGGGACAAGGTAAAAACGGATCTGTGCAGAAAGAATGGAAGAGAAACAAGGAGCTAGGCCTTTTTTTTTCTGCTTGCTGTCTTACGTCTTTATGTTCAGACTTGAACTGTGGTATCTTAAAGAAGGATGGCAGCTCAAAGATAGAATGTTTTTGTGAAGCCAGGGGCAGGTTAGAATGAGAATCCAGAACGATGGCAGCGTGCAGTGCGGCTGCAAGGGAAAGGACAGAGACGAGAATAGGCCGTGGTTTACCTCAAGGCCTTTCTTTCTTGCCTTTCAGAGCCATTGCTATCGCGCCATTATTTCATAATGAATTAAAGGCCAATGTCTGGCATCAGGTGTTGATGTTGAAAAGGTGTTGACGGGATGTTGGATATACACTCGATCAGGACATACGGCGATCAGGAGATATTTGAAGGAGCCATCCATATTGGATAAAATAATTAGAGGGAAGAGCATTGAAGGATGCCCAGTATAACCGAGGGAGCTGACGCAAGGGGATGAAGTTATCCTTGGAGGCAACCGTGCCTGGTGCAGCTATAGAGAATGAATTCAGGCACGGATGAGATATTATTGTTTCCATGCGATTTAAGCACCAGTATGGCATTTACTTCGGTGTATCTCCTTGTATCTCGTTGGTCAAAGGCAGCCGTACAGGACCTCTTTAGCCTACGCGTTTTCTGTGCCCATGTATGTGCAGCACCGCGGCTTGGACGTGTCAAGGTGGACGCGACTGACCATCGAACTCTTTCTCCTTTCGTTTCTCCCTGGTTCCCACTTTTACACCAAACCTCTATCCTGATAACTTCATATTCTCATGACTGTACGATGGGTATTGAGGGCTTGTGGCCTTTTCTGAAAAGAAAAGGATATGGGACTACGGTGCGCCATAGACACTCTAACCTCTCCAATTCTTCCACAACGGCCCGACGCGTCTAGTAGATATTCCTGGTACATTTCTCCTTACTATCCAGTACGCCTACACATCCTACACTATGGAGGCTGTACACACCATTGTCGAAAGGGAACTGAAGACGCTGGCGACCCTACCAATCCAGTCATTTGCCTGGACGGCTACCCTTCGCAAGAAAAGAAACTCACAAACCGTCGTCGACAAGCAATCCGTGACAAGGCTTTGGAAATGGCCCAAGAGGGCCTCGATGGGCTGGAGGGTCGCGTGTCAAACAATCTACGGGTGCAGAGGCAGCATTTCTTAACTGTGCAGAGGAGCCTGAAGAAGTCTTTCTATTGGACGTGGGAGGCACGGCATGCCTTTGCTAGCTATCTTTGACAGGAGAGGTGATCCGTGGAGGAATGCCGGACCGAGGCAGATATCAAGCTTGGGATGGACTGCATACTGGGCGACGTCGTCGTATCGCGAGACAGCGACATACTTGTCTACGAAAGGATCTCAGCAGTGTGGCGACCGATCTCAAGAGGGCTGATCCTTCTATATGACGTTCCAGGCATTCTAGCGGCACTAATCAACGGGGTTCAGCTCACAGTCCTGGGTGTAGTCATCAAGAACGACTACAACACCAACATCCCCATGCTGGGTTGTGTCAGCAAGCAGAGTACGTGATTATTACGAACCGTCTGCTCAAGATGGTCGGGGGTGCAACTGGTAGACAGGGGGATGAAGCGAACAAGGGTGATTGGGATGGGCCTTTGATAATTTTTCACCAAGTCTAAGCTTACGTCTTCGCATACATCCTTCCTGTTCTACTTTGTCCAGAAAGTAAGTATAAAGCATCATTGCTAGGGTCTGTGGAGAGCACTACTTTTTCTTTTAATTGTCAATGACACTAATGGAGGACTACTTTCTTTCTTTGATAGGCACATTCTCTCGAATACATCGTTGTTGGAGCGATCGAGTATTACACCTCAAAAAAATGCCCAGCCTGCGAGCAGTTTGTCGGACTGGTTGAGATACGCAGGCTAAATTGTAAAGCCTGTAAGACATACATGCACCGCAACATCATGGCAGGCCATAACATCTGCAACGTTATCCGCGGACATTTGCTCAATCAGCGGCGACCGCTGTATCTCCAACCAGTGGATGAGAACAGGTTGTACCCATGGGAGCAAGCTGCAAAGTCGCAGACGGAAAACAGCAGCAGTAGTAGCAGCAGTAGCAGCAGTAGTAGCGGCAGTAGTACGATGACTTCTGCCTCTGTGGGGCAAGAAGGAACCCAGAGGCGCAAGCGAACAGCTTCGGACAACAGCCTCAAAACAGCACTCAACCGTTGCTCGTGACGTATTTATCCAGCAGTATTAAACTGATGGAGCCCTTCCCGCGGTCGTGTCATTTCTCTCTTCTACAACTTCCCTTCTCTCGACTCCAACAACCACTTTGAGATAATTGACAATACGACGAACAAGTAATAACCATGGAAGCATCAAAGACCATCGTCGTCGACAACGGCACTGGGGTAAAGCATCTCGCTCTCTCACTTAGCGTTGTGTCTTCATCCAATTTTTTACATCACATCGCATCTGACAGGAACCGTAACCGTCACAAGCTGTCCTTGCTCAAAGGACAAGAACTTGCAAAGAAATGGATACACCAGACACTGAAGTGTGGATAACCATGCGAGTCATGGATAAACAAGATATTAGTAGACGCCTTGCGTCTAGGACAGCGATTCGACTCAGCATTTGAAGGCGGATACAGCGGATGCAGGCTGGAGGCGCGGACGACTAAAGTTACAGTCGTGTTCACCCTGCAACAGCCCTATTCTATCCTCCACGCGTTCCTGAGCGTTAATATGCCATTTCGTTCGTCCAACCATTACTCAACCCTTATCATTTCTGGTTCCGCATCGAAATCGATACTAGTTTGTCAAGGTTGGATATGCGGGATCCAACTTCCCGGAGCACGTCTTCCCCTCGGTCGTCGGACGACCCATTCTGCGTGCTGAAGAATCGATTGGCAACGTGCGCGTCAAGGATATCATGGTTGGAGATGAGGCTGCAGAGCTGCGATCAATTCTGCAGATGAGCTACCCCATGGAGAACGGCATTGTCAAGAACTGGACCGATATGAGACACCTCTGGGACTACACCTTCAATGAGAAGCTGAAGATCGACCCTCGTGATACCAAAATCATGCTGACGGAGCCCGTCATGAACCCCAAGGCTAACAGGGAAAAGATGGTCGAGACCATGCTTGAAGGATACGGTTTTCAGGGTGTCTATGTTGCCATTCAGGCAGTCCTGACCCTCTATGCGCAGGGTACGCGTCATTTAATGCCATTTTGGTTGCTGAGTACTTTTCGAATTGGAAGTGCATAGTATTTAATTACCATTTGTCTTATATCGCCATAGGTTTCCTTACTGGAGTAGTCGTCGATTCGGGAGATGGAGTCACTCACATTGTGCCTGTCGTCGACGGATACTGCCTTTCACATATCACAAAGAGGTTAGATGTTGCTGGTCGCGATGTCACTCAGTACCTCATCAAGTTGCTCTTGCTCCGTGGATATGCCTTCAACAGAACCGCTGATTTTGAGACCGTCCGCCAGATCAAAGAGAAGCTTTGCTACACCAGGTATTATCTCTTGCCTTCCTTTATATATGCCTTGTTTACTTGTAAAAAGCGAGCTTTTTGCTTATTAATGACACAACGTTGTCTCTGTTTAGTTATGATGTAGACCAGGATGTCAAGTTGGCCAACGAAACCACCGTTCTCGTGGAGAGCTACACAGTATGTGGTATCACAGGATGATGCGAATAACTCCTTGGACGAACTACGTACACGAGCTTATTTACTTTATGCCTGCGTCCTGTTAGCTTCCCGATGGCCGTGTCATCAAGGTCGGCTCTGAAAGATTCGAGGCCCCAGAGTGCATGTTCCAGCCTCATTTGATCGATGTTGAACAGCCTGGCGTCGCTGGTAAGTCGTGATCTAGGGATCTAGGGATCTAGGGATCATCCTCAGCAATTTTACCTCATCTCCATTTTGTACTAATCACCATATTAATCTGCCGGTTTTTTGAAATAGAACTGCTCTTCCAGACCATTCAAGCAGCACCTGTGGATACGCGATCTGAGTTGTATAGACATGTTGTTCTTTCTGGAGGATCGACCATGTACCCTGGTCTTCCCAGTCGTCTGGAGAAGGAGGTCAAGCAACTCTATTTGACAGAGGTTCTCAAGGGCGATGTCCAACGCTTCCGCGTAAGCTTGATTTCCTGGGTCTCAATTTTTCTGTTTATCAGCTCGTTGTCCTTATCGACTACTAACATCGATGGTATCCGCATCTCCGATACCCCGTTAGAATTTCAAAATCCGTATCGAGGATCCTCCACGTCGCAAGCATATGGTATTCTTGGGAGGAGCTGTTTTGGCCAACATCATGCAGGACAAGGAGCAGTTCTGGATCACGAAGCAGGAATGGGAGGAGCAGGGCGTTCGTGCATTGGACAAACTCAATGTTGTCTTGTCCAACTAAGGTCAAATGAGATAGCAGGAACGAAACAGATATACCTAAAAAGACAAAGTAGACAAAAAAAAAAACCGAGCGCCACATCTCTTTCGATAAGAATAAAACAAACCGCAGCATTGCAGTAGCGGTATCAGGGCGCCAGATGTCGAATAACTTGGATCCCGTTGTTTAATTTAAAAGTACATGTATGGGTTTCAATATTGCTATTACTGCATGAATGGAACGAAGTAAAGAGAATCGATGTCTAAAAGTCAGCGAAAGATCATCTAAACATTTGTTCCACAGCAAAAGACAATGCTAATTTCACTAATACATACCTCCATCTCAACGTCCTCACCGCTGAGCTCACCACTGATATCACCACTACGTGGGGTTGAAACGGATGAATTATGTTCGGACCCTGCGGCCACAAGGACTTTACCAGCACTGGGCCATTGCTCCTCAATGGCCTTCGCCACCAAGCCGTCGTCATCAGCGACCAATGTTCCAGCCTTCCATGCGCCATACTTGAGACCAATCGCCTTATTGAGCTCAAACTCTCTGGCCATATCCTGCTCATTGCCCTTCCAGTCCTTGTACAGCTGCAGATTCTGGCGACCCATCAGTCTCATCGTCTTGACACGTAGATCATTACCGCTCTGTCATAAACGTATGGACAGATATGAAGGAGAAAAGAATCAGTAAAAGAAATCAGATATGCTCAAATGTTTCCTGTGCATTGCCCTCATATCAATTGGTTCATTACCCATGACGGCAGAAACTCTTCCGCGATCTCTCTGAAATGTCCGATGCCATGTTTCCCAATACCCTTGATCAGCAGCTCACGCTCCTTTTCTGTCCATTTTCTGGCGACCTCTGCCTTCGCACCCTTCGGTGGACGGAAGTAACTATTTCGAAATTCAGGATTGAAGAAGGGTATGAGATGATTCGTTCGATTACTTGTCCGTTCCTTCAAATTTTGCCACCAAAATAAACAGAACGAATGGAAGCTGTTTTTACTCTTGGTTGAGGGTGCCATCAGGGTGGATCATGTTTTTGGTGATGGGGAACTCATCTCTAACGCAGAACTTGAGTCGAAGCTCATTGATTCGCTGCTGTCGTGCATCAAAGACTCGTGCAGGCTTTGGCGGGGTTGCATTCTCTTGTGGCTCTTGTTTTGGTTCCTGGTCCAGTGATGTAACCTCCATCGCTGATGACGACTGTATGGGTGAATCCTGTTCGCTGGTCATAGTAACTTAAGCTGGGATATTATGAATAAATAAGTCTGATATGCGAATAAAGGTAAGGAAGTAGTATTGCTTGAAGTGAGTGAACAAATGGAGGGAAAGGGATCAAGACTCAAGAGTGTGGATAGGTTGTCAAATCATGTTGTTTGGTTTCTCAAAAGACGCGTCTCAGGCACCAATTAGTTTCATTAAACTCTGACTGCGTTTATTAGAGCGCACTTATCACGGATCGATCTTTGTCGCCTTCTTGTCGCCTACACTTTCCATGCCGTCCTGGGGCTCGTCAGCACAACCGCACTTGTAAACATCTTCTAGGGTGCCGCAATCGAACTCGGGTTTTCCTAATCTTTCATTGACGATATTGTGGGCCGCACAGGCCCAATTGGACAACGAAGCACGCGAGGACGTCTGGGGCGGGTGTTCTTTCAATAGTTGCTGGAAATGCTCCGCACTGATGAAGTCGTTGTAGTCGTATTTCCAATTGTACAGATGAGGAAGAAGGAGAGGGTAGTATGTGTGGTGAATAAAAAAGTTGCCGCAGGAGAGACGTTTCTGCTAGAATGTATTTGATCCATTGATTACCATTCGCCACATGGATATAGCCGCGAGAGCAGATAGATCCACTGCTTAATTGATGCACGCTCATCCTGCGTTGGTTTGAGGGGATACCTTGCCGCCATAGTGTGGATTAACTTCCAAGTAGCCCGGCCCAGCTCAGCTCTATACAACGTCCACCAGGTAACGATACAATATGAGATACGCCGTCAATAATAACTCCAGAGAAGCAGTTGAGCCATACAATCCATTTTGCCTGCTCCCATACTTTGCGGTTGCATTCCCTAGATGGGGCATGATTGTTCCACCAAGGCTAAGGGACGGATCGACAAATATAGGTTCGTTCTGTTGCACTGGTACTCCCTTATCCGCAGTACTGGTCCTGCCATTGTTCAGACTGATGTTATTCCTTGGACTCATTAGGTAAAACGGTATCGCGAAAAGGCCTATGAAGCAGAAGGCCAGAATCGCAAGTGGTATCCTCATTCGAAAAGGTCGGGTCATTGTGTGAGATCAGTTCTGAGAGAGAAGGGTCGCTATGGAGAGAGCTGTGCTGGAAGTAGTCGTGCTGGTGTGAGAAGCGAGGGAAGTGGAGGATGGTGCAGAATGGAAGGGAGGGGCTCATTCCAAAGGGTGATGATGCCGAACGTCTTCAAAACCTTGTTATCGATTATTTCATCGGGCGGTATAGTTTTCCATAAAGGCGAACTAGAACTAGCTGACCTGGTTGCGTACCCTGAAAATCCACTATTAACATGGATCTATCGTCGTTGGTTACGACATCGCTGATCCCGAGCGTGTACCCTGGGATATTCAACCATGTTTGCATCCGAGAGGAGGAGCTCCCAAAATGAGACTCTTTCCAGATATACACTTCAGAGATGAGCGTGTTCTCAGACAGTACCTCGACAGCTTTGGACCCGGTGCAGTCCATGCCATTTGGAAAACCAACGATATCTTACCTCGAAAATAAACCGACTTATGGGATCCAGTTTTCTTTTTAAATTCGGAAATCGCTTTTGCATGGATACGGTCCCCTTTCACCCTTCACGGTGTGGATCTTGTCTGAAATCCTGCACCGTCTAGACCGAGCTTTTCTATACGTTTTCGGATATTATGTATGAAAAGGCTGGGCCGCAGCGTTCAGGAAACCTTCCTTGTTATTTGACCTCTTGTTACCATCGAACGGCTCGAAATAGAAGAACCGAAGGGGCCGATCAAGAGCACTGTCAACACTATTAAAAACCGTCGATGTGCAATGTTCTTTCTTGGGCAGATACCCAGAGGTCTGAGATCCCTATATACGTTTGCAGGAGAAAATATCGAAAGAAATACCAGGCAACGAACATGGGAAATTACAACGATGCTATTTTAGACAGACTTAGCATTGACTTGAGGGTGAAGTTAATCCTTGAAATGTAGAAACGTTTTGAGCACGGTTAAGAAATGATATGTATTTGAGATAAACATTCAAGATAGCGTCTTTATAGAAAGGCGCTGCGAAAGGAGCTTGGTACTTCGGATGAAGAAAGAGAAGGAGAGTGCAGAGAAGAAAGACTTGGTAGAGACGATGAAGTAAAGTAAGAAACGGCCACTTTTGCGAAAGTGTTCTTTGGTGACCACTCGGTAGTTCAGTATACAGAATTTTGGTGAGAACATAGTCGTCCAATTGCGTTTTGAAGTCACGCGTAGCCATCCATGGTACACATCCAGACGTGTCCAGACGCGTCGAACAATGTGGGGTAATACATTTAAGGTTGTCAAGGCGCTCTGGTCAATTGAGACACTCAGGGCAGGGGTGGAGGCTGTCGATGCGGTTATTGATAGTCATCGCTAGTGTAGGGAGGCGGCCCAATGATAAATAACCATTAGACACGAACAGAAAAAAGAAATAAGGAAGAGAAAGAAAGAGGTGTAAGAAGAAGACGAATAAAGCGAACAGGGCACCGTCGATAAGGTGCGCAAACGGCAGAGCTGCTACTGCTCATAGTGTCTTTGATTTCACTCGGATCGGAATAAACGTATTAAGGGAGTGTAAGATTAGAACGCACAACGGACAAGAAAGGAGACAATTCAAGCTTGGTGACTGTGATACGTCCAGTCTCAGTGCTGGCACGCGAGCCACGTTTTCAACACTCATCATCGCCTGCTCGTACTTGGCATCATCAACTCCACAACGACTTCTAGCATCAAACAGCAAGATGAGGTCCTTTGAGTCTCTGTTCAACGACTCGCAGTGGGAGATCCGCATCCCCAACGCCCACATCGAATCACTCCACGAAGACTACAAGGCGGTCACCCAGGCGAAACCCAGGACTCATGTCTTCTACGGCACGTTCTTTTTGCATGTCTTTCTAAAAGAGTTTCGACCTCGTCCATCTATAATATCGCCGAACATGCAATTAACAGTAACGACTAATGTTTTTCAACCAAACAGACGAGACTGTATTATTCTTCCTGCAGATTTCACTTCCAGAGGACCTTTCGACCCTGCACGAGGAGACCGCAAGCCAGGTTGAGGATTTTTTCCAGGCGCTTGAAATCCAAGTCGAGGCAGCATACGTAGATCCTCTTTCATTGGTAGCCTCAGGCGCAGCAGGACAGAACGCCTTGTACAAGAGTCCAAACGGCTCGCGCCCTGCAAGCGGACAGCAGCATGCAGACAGAAGATTATCGACCAGCTCCCCAGGATTTGGAGCAAGACCTGGATACAATGACCAGGGACGCATCGAGTCGACTATGATGTATACTTACGCCTACAATCCAGCAGATCCAGGAAAGAAAGTTGAGATCCGGCCAATTAATGGATTATGGACAGCTATCTTTCCCTTCTCGGTCCCGGTCTGTAGGTTGCGAATTGTGAACCGGCATGCTCTTATGCTATGGAGTGTTGATGAGCCCATGAAGACTCTGACACGATTTTTGACGACTGATTTCGTATCACTAGCATTTATGGCGACCAAGAGTGCCAACCCTATGCTCATGTTGAGTGCGCATGTGCTGTTCCGACCCGCAGACCAAGTGGTCCCTGTATCGACACCGATGGACGATCAATACAATCTCGAGTGTTTCAGCATGGTCAACCTTCTGGAGGGCTTGTCTGACGGTATGTATTTCAGCTTTGGGCTCCTTTGGGGTTTCGAATGTATCCCGACTGCTCACATTGCTTTCGTCCTCTTCGGTCGGTCGTCTTGCCAGACCCCACTTTTGCTATGGCTGTTGTCCCCCAACATCACTATCGACCGGATACACCTCGCGCTAGGACTCAGCAACCAATGGCACCAGTACTGAGACGAAGTGTAAGGCGAACTATTGCAGCACGTTCTGCCTTAAACGTTCGGATGAGGACAACGCGTGTTTCGCCTACGGAGAACCCTGTCATGATGTCGATTGAGGTTGAAAACAACTCGGAACACGGCGCAAAGTTCAAAACAACCCAGCTAAATGTGGAGGTCACGCATGCGGTGGTGACGCCTCTAGGCTCCCCTGAGCTAACAAAGGTACATAGGGGAATCATCGATACATGCTGTTCAATGCCATGGTTTTACGTGTTTCGCAGCGTTGCTCTGCATTCAAGCTACTACCCATCTTAACGTTTACCATTTTTTGATACCGTGTAGCTGCCGATGGTTCTGAATTCATCAGATCATGTTACGTTCTTGTACTCAATCTCATTCCTGGACAACCCTGAGTGGCAACCTGAGAGTCCGTTGCTCGGCAATGCACCTTTTGAACCGCACAGTCGACACTCGAGTGAAAATTTGGCACGTTCAGGATCCTCGCGGGATGCTCAGCGCAAAGTGACCATTTTTCTTGAAGGTATACCTGAGGTGGACGGCGTTCAGGGCCAGATGATCCATTCGCACTGGAACTGCTTCTTGGATATTACGGATTTGAGGACGAACGATAATATGCCAGGAGCAGCAAGCGTTTCGTCATCAGGTCCAGCGCAGAAACAGTTGTATGCACCCCAGCCGTCTCATCCGTCTGGATTACTTCCTTCACAACACTCGACTTCAGGGACGCCTACAAACCCGCAGGGCCATCATCAACATCAACTTCACCATAGAAATCGATCGCTGCCTTCAAGTCCACAGCCTCCGCAAGGTCTCCAAAGGAACACATCACTTGCGCGACGTGTCTCGAACGGCAGCTCACCTCGCGTCGACAATAATCGCCCTTCGACTGGACCTAACAACGTTGGAGAATCACGCGCGAGACGATCGTCAGTAAATTCGGATGGTGCGCCATCAGCTCAGCAGCAACGAAGTGCGGCGCTCAGCAGTGCAGGCCGAAAAAGCGGGTTGGGAGGCTGGGGTTATGGACGCTCGAATAACGATAGCTCACAGGGACTTGCACCTGTGCAGGAGGGGTCATCGTACCTTTCTCCAATGGTTGTCGCTGAGAGTGAGGCGGGGGGCCACGATGAAGAATCATCGCAGGGGGGTGTCCATTCCCAGAGCGGCCGACCCGCCGTCAACGGAGCTTTGTCGCCTGGTCTGGGATTGGACTTGGCCAACCAGGCATTGACTGGAGTGACGCAGGGTCGGACTGATCAGGATAGTGGCGATGGCATTGTCGTGTCCTTTGCAGGTATGTCTGTCACTACTGTCGATTCTTAGTTGTCGCTATCTCGCGGGATGTGGAGGGACTTACGACTGTACACTACTATTTTTTCTTTTTAGTTACGGATCGGGTGGTTGTAGGGAAAATTTTCAACTTGGAGATCTTTATTGTCAACCGATCTCGCCATATTCGACGCTATACGCTTGTGGTGCCCAACAGGAAACGCGCCAAGGGTGGCGATCCAAGCCAAGGATCCAAGGTGCTACCACCACTGCCTAGTGGCGAGCGCGCCGTTGTCCAAAATGTACCAATTGACCCATACATGGAAGAGCCAGAGCTCTTGCGTCGCCATGTCGATAACGAAACTACAGAAGCGGACATTATCTGCTTAGAGAACAACATTCGACTGAGGTATGCCAATTTTGTTATCCTCTGCACAATCAATTGCAATTGGAAGTGAAAGTCGCTGGCGGACTGACATTAAATTGCCTTGTCCTTTATTTTAAACTAGTCCATTATACCCATTGACCTGCCAGAACTTGAACCTAAGGTTCATTGCGATCAAGGAACAGTTGCATACAATTGACTTGGTACAGTTGGTGGATAATGATACAGGATTCGTGACCAACCTGCGGAACTGTCTCTGCTTCATGGCCGAGGCATCATTTGGTGCTCTTTCACAGCAGGTGCCAGAAGTACGGAAGTGAAGCACATATAGAACAGACACAAAGCAAAATAACTACAGGCATAATAAAGCGGGCTTGTAATGGATCCAAGTTGGCAGTGGGTGGTGAATTGTGCATTTTGGGCTGCGACTGCGAACTAAATTCAATTCAGACACAGCACGGACCTTACTTTCGCGTCTGCAGCGAGCACAGCGAGAACCCCCTGAACACCTTCAGTGCGACGGCGACAAGGACAAGAAAGCGAAAACGAGGACAAAGGCCACCATGGACTTTACCGAATCATACCAACACTCAAATTTCTTGACTCTCTACTCTCCTAACGGGAAATACCTCGCCTCATATCATCTCGCCCAGGAAGGATTCGTTCGACTGCATCCTACAGCACCCATCCAGCCTCATGAGGATGGCGGTCAAGGTGTGATCGTCCTTCGCTTCGCGGCAACGATGCAAATCATGCGTGTCATCGAGATCCGACACTTTCGCGATTCCTTGCCCACTATAAGCGAGATCGGCTGGTCCCCTGATTCAGCCTTGCTCCTGGCCGCCTGTCCTGTTACTGGCACCGTGCTTGTCTATTCTGTCGAGGAAGAAGAATTCAAGGCAACGATTACGGTACCAGGGATTGGTTTTACCAACACCTCTTCAAATGAGTACAATAAAACGAACGGCAGGAAATCAAGGAGCGCCAGTGCCAGTGACACTAAGCAGATGCGGGAACTCAAGGCTATGGGATACACGGCCCCAGGGGCCGAGATCCTTCGCGGCGTACGATTCAGCGCTGACTCGCGGCACATCCTCATCTGGGAAGACAATCTCCTCCGCCTCAGTATCTGGTCCCTCGAGTCCCCGACCGATGCACCTATACCCCACTCGGTTTCACTGGCTCAGCGCCAACAGCAGTACCAGCAGCAGCAGCACTCTCGGGTCTATGTGATCGAGAACCCGAAAGCCATGTCGAAGTCCTCGATCACGTCCTGCTCGGTCCCACCTTACAGCACACTTGGCACAACTGCGACCTCTGCAGCAGGAGCGAACTCACAGTACGCGTACAGTTTGCGTGGAGATCTACAGTATGCTGCCATAGTAGAACGAAATGGACGGGAGTGCAGAGATTACATCTCGATCTATGCGACCGAGAACTTTTGGACTCGACCACCCGTGCATACGTTTGCGGTCGCAGGAGACCGTGAAGGAGGGATCAAGGATGTGGAGGGCATTGTGTGTAGCCCAGATGGGAGATATTTGGTTGTTTGGGAGAACCCGCTTCTAGAGTTCAAGATTGCTATTTACTCCATGGATGGGAGATGTGTGGGTTCATATGAAGTACCAATTGACGGCGAAAACTCGGGTAGGGGCACCTATCAAGGATTTAGCAATGGAGGTGGCGGTATGGGAGTCAAGTCTGTATCATGGCATCCGGGATCGAAACTGCTCGCTATCGGGGGATATGATGGGAAGGTAAGGCACCCATCCGATAAATCATGGCGCGAGACTTCAAGGTCTGTATCTGTGTTAACATGTGCGTGCGAATTTGCTCCGCGGGCCATTAGATCCGTTTAATGAACCATTTGACATGGAAGTCGATCCTCGAACTCACCCATCCTGCACATATAAAATACGGGCCAACTACAGTGCTCTGGCGCGAATCCGAGTCAACAGTGGCCGTGTCGGGATCTGTCCGCGTTCAAGGAGGCATTGAATGTAAGAGCCCACTCCTGTCTTCAGTAGAACATGAATCGTGCTCGGTAATGACAAACTAATGGATCCATTGGGCCGACTTAACCTAGATACAATTGCGGACCAGCCAGCATGGATACCGACGATCCGTGTAGATACTCAGAAGCCCAATGCCAAGATCGGAGTAGGTTGGTGTGATTTCAATTGCGATGGCACGTTGCTTGCATCGCGGAATGGTATGTCACTCAATATCAACTGTATGGGCGCTATGAGCGCGTATTTCCAGTCTACCAGCAGCTAATATATAGACCCCCTGTTCCTAGACAACATGCCAACTATCCTGTGGATCTGGTCCATGAGCGAGCTGGAACCAATCGTCATCATTCAGCAACAATCGCCGATCAAGATCTGCCGATGGGATCCAGGCTCTCCCTTTAGAATTGTCTGGTGTTGCGGCTCGGGCTACGTATACAGCTGGCGGTCATCGGTAGAAGTACAAGGAGGGATCATTGAAGCCATCGAAGTTCCAGGAGAGTCATTTGAGGTATCCTCACTAAAATGGTGTCCCGATGGTAAAGGACTCCTGTTGCTGGATAAAGACATGTTTTGCCTTGGCTTCCCAATTGAAGAGGAGGAGGAGCATACGATCCATGAGAATACTGCTTCGATATTTTCACGACTGAGATGACAAGTCGAATCAGATATCTGTACACTAGTAATACAACTTTTTTCTTTTGCCCTTCCTTCCATTATTGCATGCCGCATGTTGTTTTGCTTTGTTGTTGCTGTTGCTGCTGCTGCGGCTGATGATGATGATGATGATGATGATGATGATGATGATGATGATGTTTATTCTATTATTCCAGCAAATGATATCCATAACTCAACTGCCCGCCGATCCTCCGTTCCACGGATAATATATCCTGTTTGATCCAGATCCAGCTTGTAAAGAGTCCTCTACGCCTCAACTTCTGATGGGTCCAGACGAGTCTCCTTTCCAAGGGCATCGTACCGCTTTACGATGTTCTGCTCATAGGGGTGCTCCTGCCCTTCAAACACGAAGAGGCGGGCGAGCCTTGGCTCCCGAAGACGGTTCTTGGGCAACATACCGGAGACCGCCTTACGGATGATAGCATCGGGGTCCTTTTGCATGAGGTCGTCATATACGATCTCCTTCAATCCTCCAGGATATCCCGAGTGATGTCTGTAGAGTTTGCTCTTGGCTTTTGTTCCTGTCGTGGCAACACTCTTGGCGTTGATCACGACAACGTAGTCTCCACAGTCAGCTAAAGATTGTTTGAAGAAAAGAAAAGTTATAGAAGGGTGGCGGTCAATATCATGTCGAGTATTACGTATACGAAGATAGCGTGGTACATGCTTTTGGTGTGCGTTGGGCGAGGTTGTTCTTGAATGACGTCCAGATATGGTTGGCACGCCAAAACACCGCCCCTGCTTATATGAAAAATGCTGCCGATCCTGTTTCGAAGCTGAAGGATATCATAAAGAACGGACAGAGAGACATACATGCAGGATCGTAGATAGGCTTGTGCTTTCCCATGAGGGTCTCTGCGATGCCAACGGACATACGGCCGAGGACTCTCTGCTTGGCGTCGACAAGGTGCCATACCCTGGCGTATGCCAATGCGGTCTGTATCAAAAAAAATGTACAGACAGGGGTTAGGAAAAAGCGGCTCCGCGTGCTCAAAGCGTATAAATCGCTACATTAGTTTGGATAGCGCACCTTTCCAATGGCTTGAGACATGTTGATATGTAATTGTATAGGGAGAGGGTGGAGACGGCGGAACGAAGTGAATGGCGATGCCAGGTGAAATTGATGCCAGGGACAAAGGAATAAGAGACGAGGGGTCCGCGTGGCTTTTGATTGGCCCTTGTTGACATTAAGGGTGGAAATTACCTTTTTGGGAGGTTGCAGTCCTATCCGGTCAATGGTTTTGAACAGCTTCCCCCTTCCACTCACCGACTTACTCCTCCTAACGTTTCCGTCCCCACTCATTCGGCCCCAGCTTCAAGTCTTTCCAGCTTACACCAAAGACATAGAAAGGACACAGGGAGACACCAACAGAGAGATTGCCTGCCTAGCGCTATGTGGAAAGTGTCTCGAATCAGCTGTTCCACCGGACTTGGGCGTCGCACAGGGAACTCGTCGTCGTCCTGGATCTTATCGATTTATTCTCAGGAGTCGCAGTCAACAATCTTGAGATACCGCGGATTTCAATCTGGAACAAGGCGTGTCTTGAATCAAAGCAATGGTGGCAGCGGCTCCAATACCACTAATGGTTCCGGGAAGCTTGTTAGCGACAAGATCGCGATCGATTCGAAGGCAAAGATGCGTATGGATCTCCGTAAAGATGCTATATCTAACGGTGGAGGCAAGGGCAGTACCAATGGCAGCAAAAAGTGGGAGCGGTCATCGGAGCATGCGGCGAGAACTCAGGACAGCCCCTATCGTCGTGCCTACGAGGAATCCCAGAACCGATCTAATAGCGGTCAAAATAACCGCGGCAACAACAACAATCGGAGACAACAATCGGGTCAAGAGACGCGGCGAATAGGAAGATACTATGATGAGCGGCATGGCGGTAAAGGCTCGGATTCTTCCTCACAACAGGCCCGTCAGAACATGCCATCTTCATTTGCAACATCGTCTTCGTGGGGATTCTCGGCACCTACTCCTTCAGCACCTCCCAAGCCAGTAGTCTCACCGCCTCCGTCATTCGCGACGTCTTCTGGATGGGGATCCTCAACGTCGATGCCAAACCCGGCTGTCGCACCCAAGCTTACTCACCAGCCAGTCGTCCCGGCACCTAAGCAACCTTCCGCTCAACCCGCAACTCCGATAAAGATCAGCTCCGAGAACGTGAAAGAGGCCGCTCCTAAACCAACGGAATCCTCACCAGCAAAACCTGCAATATCGACACCTTCAGTTTCTACGCCATCTACTGCCTCTGTATCGACAGCTTTAAAGCCGGCACCAGCAGTACAGCCTCCTCAGCCAGAGCAGAAGCAGGCAGCGTCGACGTTTGTCAAATCAACACGCACCGCCAAGGAGAATGCCAAGAGACAGATCGAGCAGCGATCAAGGCAACGCAAGCAGCGCCAAAAGCCCGCCAAGGATGTCTTTATTCCTGATGCGATCAGCGTCTCCAACTTGGCAGGACTACTCGGAGCCAGGATCGGACACTTTGAGAACACCATGAAGGCATTAGGCATGGAGATTACTCGGCACGATCACAGTAAGTACAGTGCGGTTACAAAGGAATGATCGGTTGTGGCAGACAAAGGCGCTAACGATGATGCTTCTTTCGGCTAGTTTTAACATCGGAGGAAGCGTCTCTTTTGGCTTTGGAGTACAACGTCAACCCTATCCTTGGCTCGACCGAGAAGTTGTTTGATCTCACGGCAAAGTAAGGACAGACACACGGTAATGGGTTTAATATGCAGGCTACAGCGGAGCGATTGTTGACCTTGCAATGATTTGTGCACTTGTTGTAGACCTGAGCCTGAGGACATGTCTATTTACCCATTGCGACCACCAGTTGTGACCATCATGGGACATGTCGATCATGGAAAGACGACGCTTCTGGATTCCCTTCGCAAGACCTCTGTTGCTGCAGGAGAAGCAGGAGGCATCACACAGCACATCGGCGCCTTCTCAGTTCTTTTGCCATCCAAGCAACGAATCACCTTCTTGGATACTCCTGGACACGCAGCATTCTCGGCCATGCGCGCTCGTGGTGCTCACACGACCGATATTGTCGTCCTAGTAGTCGCTGCCGAGGACGGAGTGATGCCCCAAACCGCAGAGGCGATCAAGCACGCCGAGGAAGCTGGTGTTCCCGTCATTGTTGCGATCAACAAGTGTGACAAGTATGGAGCTGAGCCAGACAAGGCCAAGCAGGCGCTGCTCAAGTACGGTATCACGGTCGAAGACCTTGGAGGAGAGACGCAGTGTGTTGAGGTATCAGGCCTGACGGGTAAGAACCTTGACAAGCTGGAGGAGGCGATTCTCACTCTTGCTGAGGTCCTGGATCTGAGAGCCGAGGTCGACATGGGAGGCGAGGGCCATGTGATCGAATCCCAGATCGAGAAGGGGCGCGGGAATGTGGCAACCGTCCTTGTAAAGCGTGGAACGCTTCGTGTTGGTGACATGATCGTTGCAGGAGACACTTGGTGCAAGGTCAAAGCGCTGGTTAACGATACAGGGAAGAACGTGAAGGAGGCCTCGCCTGGTACGCCGGTCAAGGTCATGGGATGGAAGGATCTTCCCAAGGCTGGAGATGAGATGCTGGGCGCCGAGTCCGAGGAACAAGCCAAGCTTGCGGTGACAAATAGGGCGCTGAAGAAGGAGAGACAGGAACAATTGAAGACCTTGGTGGCCATCAACGAAAAGCGTCGTATCACTGCTGAGGAGGAGGACGAGGAGAAGGCGGCACTCCGAGAGTTCAAGCGCAGAGCATGGCTCTTCCACCAAGGCGTGCTTGACGCCTATCCTGAGCAGCCCCAAGTCAAGAAGCAGATGTCTGTGGCTGCCATGGCCGCCAAGGAAGAAGAGGAAAGCGAGGTCAAGAATCTGAGGATGGTAGTCAAGGGCGATGTCAGTGGTACAGTCGAGGCAGTCTGCGATGCGCTCTCCGGTTTACCCGCTAACCAGGTCAAGGTCGGTGTCATCCAGAGCGGCGTAGGAAACATTAGCGAGAGCGACATTCAGTTTGCCTCGTCCTGCGGAGGTAATACGCTGTTTGTGTCCACAAGTGATTCCCAATATGCTATCTCCAGAGAGCAATTCTAATATTTTTTTTCGTTTCCTCCTTTATTAGCCATGGTCCTGGGATTCAACGTGAAGGCGGATAAGAAGCTTCTGCAAACGGCACGTCAGATGGGCGTCGCTATCAAATCCTACAGTGTGATCTACAAACTGCTAGACGATGTCAAGGTCGAGATGGCGACACTGCTGCCTAAAGATATCGAGATCCAAGTTGTGGGCGAGGCTAAAATTGCACAGATCTTTCCCATTAAGATGAAGGGCGGTCAGACCCAGAACGTGGCCGGTTGTCGTATCACGAACGGAGGAGTGAGCAGAAAGGAAGATGTGCGAATTGTCCGCGATGGCGAGGTCATTTGGGACGGACGATTGTCGACGCTGAAGAGAGTCAAGGAGGATATTCAGGAGGCCAAGAAAGGGACGGAGTGTGGCATGGAATTTGACGGATTCCAAGATTTTAAAGAGGGAGATGTTATCCAGAGTATTAAGAAGATGGAGGTCCTTAGAAAGCTGTAACAACACACACATATTCACCAGCACACAGCATCGGCGCCATGGCCTGAGCTCTCTCATCCTTTAGTTCTTTTTTTTTTTTTTGTATTGTACCATAGCTCATTTCCCTTTCACACAATATAGATACAATGCAATTGTCGTTAGTATTTAATATAGATAATATTGCATATTGGATAACCATGGTTCGCCACTAATTTTGTGAAGTAAGCCACACGTGACTGATAAGACTTGAACAAGCTCTCTTGTCAAGCCCGTTGTTCATCAACTCTCGACCATCAACCACAGGAAGGGATATCAAGGAACACTAACACCATGAGACTGAACACCTTTATCCTCGCACTGACGTTAGCCGTTTCAGTTCAAGTTCTTGCCGAGGTACGCACCGGTTGAGATGCACAACAGGGATTACAAGAGACACATCGGTGCATCATCTGGAGACTTTGATTAGATGCGGCGTGGCTTCACTTTGGACATATGGAGACAGGCCCTGGATAATCAGTATTACTAATGCAGTGACTAACCCATGGCATCACTCAATAGGAGGTCACCCTTGGTGTATGGCATAAGTTGAGCGATCACGAGTCGTTCGAGAAGCGTGGGGAGATTCGCGTGGATATCGACGAATGGCTCAGCCTGAACCAGCAGCGCGACCAACCTACCGCGTCCTCGACCCAGGGCTCAAAACAAAGGCAGCAGCAACAGCAGGAGCAGCAGCAACGACAGCAACAGGGCCAGCAGAAGAAGTCCTTGTTCGTTTATGAAAACGCTCAGCTCAGTGCGAACGAAGCCGCGTCTCTTGCGGAGGACTTTGTCCTGAACGTGCAGGCACCCATCAAGGTCAAGGAACTTGAGGAGCCTCAACCTAGGGATGTAGACGAGAACGGCAACTTTGTGGAATCGGAGGAGGACTTTGAACAGAGGATGGAAGAATGGAAGATGCAGCAGGAGGAACGTGATGCTCAGGGTGAGATCTTGCAAACCCCTGGAAGCTATGGGTTCTATCAGATCAAGCTGAAGGACGAGAGCCGAGGCTGGGAGGCTATGTCCTCGATCAAGTCTGTAAGGATTGACGCCCGTCTAGATATCACAAGGAGTTGGAGGCTACTTCGTTTTTCTATGCTAATCATCCTTCTGTAACATTCTACGCGTTGCTTTCCATTGTTAGTGCCTGCTGCTCGCATCGGACTTCCAGGAAGAGATTACGCTGCATTTGGATCGGGACAACCAGATCTTTGCATTCGATTACTATACCACTGAAAGCAAGTGCGAAAGCGACCATAAGAATGAGTTCGCTTTGACGTCGCTAGACCGTTTCAAGAGCGTCAAGGTGGATCTTATCGGTAGCGCGTCGGGACCCAAGTAAGCATTTTGTCATCTTAACCCGAGTCTTTTACGCCACCGCTGGATTATTTGGTATCCATTACTAGGAGAACGTGGACTCGTGGATTGTATATTGATGCCATTCTTTGTCCATCCTCGTTTCTATAGGGCGCACTATGTCAGAGCCCAGGCCATGAAGGTTGACCAGACCGGCCAACCTGAAACTGAAAAGACGTTCTTCCAGAAGTACTGGTATGTTCTACTGGGTTTAGTCTCAATCCCCGATCCAACGATCCTCAACGGCGGAATGGATATGCGGCATTTCATGCAGTCATTAACACGTTGAGCTCGATATTCATACTCATAGGGTGTACATTGTCCCGATTGTGCTCGTCATGTTGTTCACTGGTGGCGAACCGGAGAAGACGGCTGCATAAGTGATATCTGCAGCACTGGAAAAGATGACGGCCGCGGAGATGCGCAAAGAATTGCGTGGAACATTGCAGAAGACAGAGAAAGATGAGCGGCATGGGCCATTAAAGGGTGATTAGCATAGAATTTCAATTGAAAATGACGGATCTAATAAATAAGGAACCATTCATGAATTGACGTTGCTTAATGCGCGATTGATGAGAAGATGCACCGTGCGCTATTTTCCCAGGAGCCAACAAAACACTTGCATACTGTCGTTTTTGAATTGAGTTATTTTATTTTATTGCTAGAAGTACAATTGAAAGGAAAAGTAAATGCGTTCTAATGAAAGGGAAGGAGTCGGATAGAGTAATGCGCTGCAGAAACCATGCCAAAGGACGAACAGTAACTGTGTTTTAGGTTGGGATATCCAAATGGTGCTAAAAAAAGCGTCGTTTCGAGTGATCCGTTCGCTCGTCTTTGCCTTTTTTTTTTTACTTGTGGAAGCGGAAGAATGTGGACCTCTTCTTGAGCTCACGCTTAGACAGTTTCTCCTTGTTCTTCTTTTTCCTATCCTCCTTGCCCAACTTGTGCTTAGCGTGGTTGGCATCCTTGCGACCACTGGTCGAGATCTTTTTATCCTCCGCCATGTCGGTATCCTCAGCTGAACACACAGACATCACCATCCATCATGCATGTCGAAAGAAAGAAAGAATAGAGAGAAAGAACGTTGTATGAGTTTCAATTGTTCCTTGTGAACCAAAGACGTCTTCCTGTATGTTGTGTGCTACAGAACCAAAAGTCTTTTCCTTTCTTTTTCTTTTCTCATGCCGCTCTGGCTCTGCTGCCGGGTCTCTGCTGCAAGATGCAACAATCGTGAAGGAATAATTTTATCCGCTTCTTCGTACGAATTGCAGCCAAAGCATTGTAACCGTGGGAAATGATGTTGTCATGAGTACATGTCTTTTTGCTTACGTTTTTCAACCTGCATGAGCTCCTCGCCGCGGGCGATAGCCTCAAGTTCCGAGGTCTTGGGGCCCTGGGCGTCCTTCTTCAGACGCTCGGCCAGGCGGTGCACACGGGCGGTCTCGACAGGACCAAAGACGTTCTCGCGCTTGATAGCACGGAATTTGCGAGCAGACTTAGACCTAAGACCTTTGGCCATGGTTGTGAAATCGTTTGTTGCAAAAGAGGGGAAGGAGGGGGAAAGTAGATGGAGAATGTGAACAGAGCAGAATGTGTGTTGTCCTTGTCTTCTGTTTACTTTTTTTTTCTTTTTTTTTTAAGGCTATTGTGTGTACGTGGTTGTTGTACGTGAGTTGCGCCAAGATATAAAAGGGTCGTCACGGCCTTCTCTGTCGCAGCCCCAAACCAAGCAACCTACCAAACTTTCACACACACACACACACACACACACACACACACACACACACACACATATAGCCCCACCGCACTCAGTCAAGCAACATGAAGTTCATCGCTCTTGCCGCTCTCCTCATCTCCGCCGTTGCCGTCACCTCGGCCGCTCTCCCCGTCGAGCCCAAGAACTCGTTCGCTCTCGCTCAAGAGGACCACAACCAGAACCAGAACGTCGTTGAGTCCAAATCCACCTTGCGTATGTCTTCAAACTGATGGAGTTTACAGAAATGGACTTGAGATGCTCACACTACTACAGAACTGATACTGTGTACCGAACGATGGTGAAGAAATTAACGGCTATTGAACATATACAACTAACCACTATCCCCTTGTAATATACTGCGTTAACAGCATCGGGCATCAAGGCCTACATCGTCGTCTTCAAGCAGTCGGCTGCCGCTCAGGTCATCGAGAAGGCCGAGCGCGACATCTTGGACCTTGGTGGCAAGATTGGACACCGCTACAGCACCGTCATGAAGGGCTTCTCCGCCTGGATTCCTACCCCTGTCGTCAAGGCCCTCGCGACCAACCCCTTTATTGAGTACATCGAGGAAGATGGTGAAGGTAATGTCACAATAACAAGAATGAGATGATAACTGTTGCGTTCATTTTTTTTGCTTTACTTTATCAGGCGACAATTGCTTAAGCAATGATGATGAACTATTAGGCGCTAACGATATGTTTTATCGATTGTTTCTTTTTAGTTTTCGCATTTCACTAGGTCTTGAATTTGCACCTTCGCCTCGCGCGCGCATACAATTTTTCTTTTCTTCTTCATAACGGCACATCTGTATAACGGCCATGCCGGTAATCTCACACCTTCATTCTTAATCTCATTACCCACTATATATCCACTTATATATCATTCCACATTAGTTTAGCACCGATTCAAAACAATAAGTAATTCCAATACTCAATAAAGCGCACGCATATATTCCTCAGAACACTCAGTTTGGTATATGCGCGACGACCACGAATGGTAACTTATCTTTTTACTGGACGAAGAGACTATGACACGGTAGACAAACATTACATGAAGATGGCAGCGCTTTAGGTCTGGGTTTGAAACAAGCTGCTGGCTCTTGCACAGGAACGCGTTTGTCAATGCTCGCTTCGCCGTAGGCTTTTTCCGCTGTAATTTTTTTTTCCTTTGGTTTCTCAAGACTCACTTTTTTTTTTGGCACCCGGGTAATGCTGCAGCAACATCGTGGAACTACACTGTTTTAGTTTCTTTCTTTTCATTCTCCGGAATGCAACCATGCATTACCCGTGAGCTTCGCAAGTAGAAAAGGGTTCCTGGGAACAAATAAATATGTAGCGCGCACAAACGATGCATATGCGCCTCCTCCCCATTACCTGTATCGCGTTCCTCGGTGTCTTGGAGGACTATCCATTTATTTACTCTGACCGTGACGAATGAAGGATGGCCTATGGACTATCATGCAAAGGTTCGTTCGTTCGTTCGTTCGCCTAATACACGGCTTGAGGAACCTACTGGTGGTCTGATTATTGACTCTTGCGCGCATAATGTAGCGTTCATACGTGCTTGCTGTACGTCGGGGTCTTCTAATCCTATATCGCACCCACCTACCTTATACTGGAATCACTCTTTCGTCTTCGTCTCCTTTCTTGATTCCTTTTATCTTTCACCTGAGAGTGCTACATGCTGTCCGAAAATGGTGAATGAATTAGTGTAGCAAAAAACAACATCAACGCAATAGCCAAGGTGCGGATTTAATCCCCCACAACATGTTGTTTCTTGATTGCTTTCTCTCGTCTGATGCTTTTTTAGTGATTTCCTCTGTCTTGGGCTTTTTACCTTTACATGAGACGGGACGCGCGCGCTTTTTTTTTTCTAACGTTAAAAGCTTGCGCTAGCAAAAGATGCCCACCGTTGCTGGGACTTTTTTTTTTTTTTTTTTTGCACCACTTCATTTTGATGGAACCGCATCGTCCAGCTTGCATCATCGTACAATGCTACATTGTGTGGCTGCTTGATTTCATCAACTCCGCCGCTGTCTTTAGTATCGGACAACAGTAGCAAAAAAAAAGAAGCTTTTAAAGGCGTAATTCTTTTCATAGTGCTGCTGCTTTGCCGCAATGTATATGAGTGAATCATGGGCAACAACTTCACCACAGGGCCATCCTTCAAGGTCTCGAACTTTTTTTTTTGTGTCCCTGTCCTCTGTCTCGCTGGAGGGTCCTTTTTTTATTGCCTGACTAAGTCTATATCAGCCATAGGACCATAGGTCCGCTTCGCTTGGTACCGTTTCACAATCAAGCCGCCATGTCTGCGTATCCGCCATTTCGCTCGTTCGCTTCGTGTTATATGCCTATCAGGTGAACGAATCTCGCTCCGTGTATCTTTTTCGTCGCTTCCTCTGTCTCCATATTTTTCGTTTTTTTTTTTTGGTTTCAATACCGGTTGTTGTTCCTTTTTTCAAATCCCAGCTTTATTCTTTTCCTTTAGTTAAGAAAAAAAAAAGTAGAAACTCGAGACGAAAAAAAAGGGTAATGTTACGACTGAACAAAAAAGAAGGCAATGGATTTAGAACTTGGCAAAGTTCTTGGCACCCTTGACGACCTTCTTCTGGACCTTGAGGACGTTGAAGCGGACAGTCTTCGACAAGGGACGGCACTGACCAACAGTGACAGAGTCGCCCTGCTGGACAGCAATGAAGCAGGGGGAGATATGGGCAGCCAGGTTCTATCATTAAAAACACGTCGGACAAAATTATCGCCGAGACAAATAGTTAGTCAGTTTTTAGCCTCTGTAATGCTAGGTTATTTTTATTTCCTCTCCCCTGTGATTGCAATTGCGTTCTTGTATATATCTTACCTTGTGGCGCTTCTCATAACGGTTGTACTTGGAGATGAAGTGGAGGTACTCACGACGGATGATGATGGTGCGCTTCATCTTGGTCGAGATGATCTCTCCGTTGAGAATACGGCCACGGATCGAGACATCGCCAGTGAAGGGGCACTTCTTGTCGATGTAGTGACCCTCAATGGCCTCCTTGGGGGTCTTGAAACCAAGACCGACCTCCTTGTACCAGCGGTTGCTCTTGACCGACTTCTTGCCGGTAACCTTGGCGTTTTGGAAAATACCCTGCTGCTTCTGGAAAGCCTTTTCGATCTATTGACGTTGGTATTGTAAATAAGTGAAGGTCGAGTAACCTGAATCAGCTTCTTATTGCTCTGAACTTGCTGGTGGAAGAAAAAAAAGTCCTGAATTTGTATAAGGTGGCGATAACGATCATTATTCTGTAACGAGATAGTGGAACGATAGTGCCAATTCTCTCCTGAGCTTTGGATCGTTTGGTGGAGCTCCATGCCCGTGATCATTGCTGTTGAACACATCGACTTTACGATGCTATCGCCTTCAGCTGCTGAAAAAGGCGTCTAGGGTTTGATCATCTGTGGTCGAAAGCCGATAGCCATATCGACACGATGAACTGCTGTAGAATTATAAGAAATCGCTCCTGCTATTGTGCTGTGTCCGAATCCTTTTAGGTAAAGTAGTGTGGCCTGCTGAGGCACAGCTCTACTGGATCGATCCCTCTAAACGAATCCCATGATCTCGATTGATGGGATCCTGCCAGCTAATTGATCCTGAAGATCGGGATGTTGACGTCGAATATGATTCAGCACTGCTTGATCATAGTTTCAACATGGGATTTGACGATGGTCTCTCCCGACTGCACTGAATGAGAAGACGATTGATCTAAATGATCCCAATTGCCAAAGTCGAAGTTCTGAATCCTGCATACTCGCGACAAAAGCATGTGTTTTTCTGTATGTTGATATGGTCGCCGCTGTTCCCCCTGTGAGTCCGGGACCCTGATCCTGTCAAGTTCACGTAGGACTGGACCACCCCCGAACGCACCTGCTCAGACATGATGGGAAATTGGTTAAAAAGGATTTTCAACACAGTGCGGTCTGGCCTTGTTATTATGTTGAATTCATCCCGTTTCTGATTGGACGAACTACAAGCCACCAATCCATTCAGATTCCTTGACCTTGCACTGCATTGGTAGTCTACCACACATGCGAATGCCTTCAAACGATAGTTTATTTGGACACGCTTCGTTAACGCGATTTATTTTTGAACAATTGCTATGATACAGGAGACAGCGAACAAACAGAGAATGGAGCGCAAGGTTGCTTGTCGGAACAAGAGAATTAATGGCCAGCTCGGGATATTATATGTACATTGGGCTAGACCATCGCGATCCCGCTCGATGCAACAGAGAAACAGCAATTTGAAACGATATGGTCAAGTCTTTTTTTTTTTTTTTTGTCGACTTCAGAAGGCGCTGCTGTTATAGACCAGCGAAGATGCCCAGTGGACAATATCCTTGACGTTGCTCACAATAACCGCAGCCCTCTGTCCGATACCTCCTCCCCTTACAGGGTGCGCTTTTTCTGTATCAGCATCCAAATACCGTGCGTTCGTGCCAGAAGCACCCTCGTTCTGGTCAGAATCGTCGTGCTGTGACTTGATATATGCAGCCTCTGACCCTGCATAGGGGTTCTCAATATAGGCAGCCGGATCGACTGCATCTTCAGATTCCATCCCATGCATACTTTCGGCCTTCAACTTAGTTGGGTTGATCCGCACAATACTCCTGGCGGGACGCTTGGAGGAAATCCGCATCAAGATTCCTGCATCCTCTTCATCATCGTCGATCAGCTCATCATCTGAAAGAGCCTCCGTATCAACCGATACACACTGCTCGACGGAGTCATTGAAGCGTAGCTTTGGCTGGCGATGCTGCTTAATGACCAGTGATTCCTGTGCCTTGGTTTTGGGTTCGATTTTTCGATCCAATTTAAGATCCGACTGGACATGGAAAAGCGTATCAGCCTTGAAGAGCTCTGATGCGGTCTTGTGCTTGAGCGCGGGTTTAAGTCCGCTCTGCGAAGTTGGCGAGGTGGGTATCTTTGTTCCTCCTGGTATCGTCTGTGCGCCGAACCGAGCAAGATCGAACTCGTCTATGCTGGCCTTATAGAGCGGTCCATATAGCCAGGTCGTATCGCAATCCTTGAGCCTAGAAACATGGCAAAGCAGGAAGCACAATTAGTCAATGTGTTACAGAAGAATTCCTTTTTCTATAGCTGAGTACAGAAATAGTATAAACAAAAAAAAAAAAAATCCGCCCAACAGTATTCGGAAGCTAATCATCAATGTAACAACAAAGCGGAGGAGGAGCATACCAGTTCAGGGTTTTTGGATTGATAGTCTTGAGGTTGTGCCGCTGCTTGGCCCAATTACGCCAGGAGGCATTTTCGAGTCGCAAGCCGTTGATGAGGTCGTTCTTTTGCTTAGTCATGAACTTCCATGAAGCGGCGATATCGTCCTCGTTGTTCCAGCCATTGCCGAGGTAGTCGATGGCGAGAGCGGGCCTGACTGTGGGGATGAGCCGGCCGGCGTCGGTGTCGTCGTGCATGGGTGTGGTCTTTGCGGAGGGTCCTTCTCGCTGGATGGAGGTGCGGGCATCGGAGGGCGAAGCAGGGGACGCAGTACTTGAGGAATGGTGCCTGCTGATTCTATTGCTGCGGTTGGAGGATCGTTCGCTGGTGACGGAGGAGCTCCTGTGACGAGAGGAGGATGAAGAACCGCTGTGTCTGCTGTGGTGCCGGGCTCCTGAGCGGGCTCTGTCGGTTGTGGTTGTTGTGGTGGTGGTATAGGAAGACATATTTCGTTTTGTTCTGTATGTGGGATGTGAGAAAGTGTATATATCGGACAGATCAGAAGTGGTCGTAGTGGAAATAAGGAGTGAGCTGAGGGTTGATAAGGATAAGCCAGCTGATAAAGAAACGAGCCAAGGAAGACGAAGAAGAACAAGAAGAGGAGGGGGGAGGGTACGAAACAGCTATGAATGAATGTGTGAATGAATGAAGAACAAGAAGAGGAATGAATGAAGAGAAGGAAAAGGGAAGGGTGCGAGTGTGAAGCGACGAGTAAATAAAAACGAGTGCGGAGAGGGATGGGCCGAGAGATAACGGAGCTGAGCTAAAAAAATAAAAAATGATAACTTATTTATTTCAGCTTTCCTAGTGCTTTGCCTCCAATGCAAACGAAGCGGACGGACCTGCCTGTCTGCACATATAGCAAACATCGGAATCGGATCAATCTGCTGTCTGCTGAAGCGAGCAAAGCAAGCGCAAAGGTCGTCTGGTTAAGCAAACATGTGCCTGCAGCCTATGCCTCCGACTCCTCGCCTCCACTGCTCACCCTCGACTGACTTGTCGATCGAGCTACGCACAGGGACCATCTCAACTGTTGCCACCAAATCACATATCTTCTCCAGCCTCTGGCCACAAAGACAACTACGCCGCATGGTGTCTTGGGCTGCGGCCCCAGGGAACCATCGTAGAAAGTTGCTGGCCAGAACACTTCTCTTCTTCTCTCGACTACTCGCTCTCTCCATTCTTCTCCACAATCCTCCCACACAAACAAAGCTCTCCCTCCGCCCTTTGCCCTTCGCCCCTTTCCCCACTCACTCATTCGCAATTGCAACTCTAGGGCGCGAAAGATAACGTATCAGAATCCCTTTGTGGCATGAACTATACCAAATAGCCTAGGAAGCATGAATCGCCTACATCAAAGAACTCAATGGTAAGTGCGCAAACAAAGAAACTAGTTTTCATATGGCAATCGGTTCCATGTCACCTATTTTTCATTTTTCTCCCCTTTTTAGACCAAGACGAACCAATGGTGATGCACTCTTCCGCCGAGAAATACTAAACGTGGCGGGAAGGAGTGGAATCCATTTTCTTATCTCCAAACTTCAAGAAGGACGAGATAGCGAAAAATAGTCCAACGGATCAACCCCTTTCCCTCGCGCTATGTTTCTTGATGTTGTTCTTACTCTGTGCAGCATAAGCGAGCGAGCTTTTTGGTTGACAGATCCAGGCCTGGTCGAAAAAAAAAAGACCAAGTAAGGGGCTTTCATGAATTTTGCAGAAAACTAATGGGACTGAATGACCAGCCAAGCATAGCAGCCATTGCAGAACGCTTTGTTTGTATCTTTTCTTTTTTCCCTTGCAATCAAGGTTGAGATGTCAACTTTTTCCACGTGTCTGCTCATCTCGTAAACGTCCTGAAAAAAATAAAAAAATAAAGGTTGAATTGCTATGACTCTGCTCCTTTTTGCATCCATCCTGAGGATCCGATTCTTCCCATTGTAGACTACCCTGGGCGCTGTCTCTGTAGAATAGGTCGGAAGGTGTGTGTGTGTAGACGAAGATGAGGATGTAGGGGGCAACGCGAAAGTATTTATATGGCCCTGCACTTCTTGCTTGTGAGATATTTGTTCTTGGATATCGCGCTGATCTGTACCTCGGCGGCATTCAGAGCTGTCCCTGGCATCCATAGATAAGCCCACAATGCTCAGAATCTGGTGTCTGTTACTGCTATGATGCGCCGGACTAAGTGTCGCAGTTCCCTGCTATCTGAAGTACCATCCAAAGAGGATGGTTTAACGTTCCTCATCAAGAATGCGGAAGATCCCCCGGTTGATTATTGAGGCTGATCACAGTCTCCAGAGCATTATGGGGCTCAATGATAAGAGGGCTGAGTCTGCTCCCTAATTTTGCTTCGTGCAATTGATTTTCGGGCCGCCAAGTTGAACATGGCGCATGGGAGGAGTAGTATGAAAACAGGCATGCCCGTTTACTTTTTCTACAGGCCAAGACACTGATCAAGTACCCATACGAGTGGCTAAGTTGTCTAGGGGTCGAAGCTGCCTTAAGCCCTTCTTAAAACGACCAGCTGTAACAGACCTGTTATTACTCTTGGCGACAGAAGATACAGTGTCGCTGCTACCCGGTGTAGGCTGGCTAAGGAGGTTGCTGCTGTCAGAGGCCACAGTGACCCAAAGGTGAACTCCTTTCTGATAGTCAGTGGCATGTAGGAAGGCATATCCCTGTGCTTTGTATTACCTCCATTCCTTGTTTTTTTTTTTTTTTTTTAAACGCACCATTGACTTTTTATTCCATATACTAACGCGTCCTATGTTCGTGTACGTAAATGTCGAAGATAAGTTGAAGCTGTTGCCTTGAAATGCTCACTGAACCCGTTAAAGGCAACGATTATTACTTGAGGCAGCTGTCTCTTCTCGAGGTCAGTCAGGTTCTCCTCAAAGTGTTTGATATTCGATCTTCCTGGAACTTGAGCTTACTTGGTAGGAAGCCATTGTCAATAACATTAAAGGCGTAGAAAGCGATGTTGCAGTGTCGCAGGCAAGGTAGCAATAGCTCGGGAACAACGGAGTGATTGACGACATTGACTCAAGCCAACAGTGTCCATCATGCTGATACTCTATACATTTGCGCATTAAGAAACGAATTTATTGATGCATCGTCGTTCAAACGTCGTCTACATCTGTCTACAAATGCAAAGAAGCCACGACAGGGCCACATCGATTGCAGAGTACATCCTGCTCCTTGGAAGTGAACGCCCAGCACCGTGGACATTTGTGCAATGTCGCTCGTCGCACTACCAGACGACACGACCCCACCTTCGGCATACAAACCTCCCTCACAAACACATTCTTCCCTGCAGCGGAAGCAACGTCCATAGACAAATCATCACTCGTAACAAAGACCTCCGAGGTAATGAATAGCTTCGCGAAATCATCCGCATACTTCTTGACAACCCCACTCAAGATCTCCTGCTCCTCCACAGGCGTCTCTGTCTCCGTAGGTAACTGGAACTCCACAGTCGCCTCCAACGAGGGTCCGATGACCTTGGCAGCGCGAGCCTGCTCCAGGAGCTGGTTGGCTTCCACACGGAGCTGTTTCAAGATCTGGAACTCCTCGCGTAAGGCAGCGTCGTTCCAGGACTCGGAGATTTCGAGCCAACCGGTACGGAACACGCTTGGCTGTGAGCTCATGAAGCAGTCGCGGTAGTTCTCGTAGACTTCTTCGGCAAAATGGGGCGCCAATGGTGCAATGCTCTTGTTGAGGGCGTTCAAGACCTTACAAAGCAGAAGAGAATTATATCTTTTCAGGTTAGTGTTTTGCCCTGTTTTACCTTTTTTTTTTTTTTTTTGGCCACCAAATAATAAAAGAAAAGACTTACATGGAAGAGCACGGTCTGGACAGCACGGCGCTTTGGGCTGTTCTCAGCTTCAGAGTACAAGGTGTCCTTGATGACATCCAAGTAGAAAGAGGAAAGCGTTGTGCTCGTAAAGTACTGAAGCTGACCGAACACTAATGAATTGGACGGAAAAAGGGGGAACAAACTAAGGTATGTTAGAACCTCACCGCGTCGTTAATGGATCCCACAAAGGGAGAACACCCGTATCGGAAGCCGTAAACATACCTTTGTTGAACATGTACTCGTCATAGGCTGCATTCACGTTCTTGCAGAACTGATACGTCTCGGATAACATGAACCGATCTAAACGACTCAACTCCTCATACGCAACCGCCTCCGCCTCCTTGAACCCATTCAAGTTGCCCAGGATAAACCTAGCTGTCGTCCGAAACTTGCGCATGCTCTCCGCCACCTGCGTCAAGATCGTCTTGCCAATCGCAATATCCTTCGTATATTCCGAAGATGCCGCCCATAACCGCAGCAAATCCGTCCCGTATGCCGGATCCTTCTGCAAGTTCTTACCTCCGTTGATGATCACAGCTGGGTCAACCGTGTTGCCAAGGGACTTGCTCTGCTTGAACCCCTTCGCATCCAGCAAGAACCCGTGAGTGATCAACGTCCCGTAGGGCGCCTTGCCCGTCAACGCAACTGATGTCAGTAACGAGGACTGGAACCACCCACGGTGCTGATCCGATCCTTCGCAGTACACGTCCGCCACGAAGGGGAGATGGGGGCGAGGCATCTTTTCCTGGATCATGGTCCAGCTCGTACCGCTGTCGAACCAAACGTCCATAGTATCAAATCCGCGGCGGTAGATCTTGCCGTTATTCCTGTACTCGGGCGCAAGGAGTTCCTCCGTGGTCATGCTCCACCACGCATCTGCACCGTGCTCCCTCACGATATCGATCACATGGTGGACTGAGGACTTTGTTAACAGCGGCTCGTCCGTCTCATTGTCGTACATCACCGGGATGGGTACGCCCCAAGACCGCTGACGTGAGATACACCACTCCGAGCGCGAATGCACAAACCCTTCAAGGCGCCGTCTGGCCCCTTCAGGAATGATGCGCACGCTCTCGATCGCCTTCAGAGCATCCTCCTTGATGGTCCCGACGTTCGCGAACCACTGCGAGGTCGCACGCAGGATAACGGGTTTCTTAGTCCGCCAATCGTACGGATACTTGTGCACATAAACGTGCTCCTGGATCAGAGTCCCTCTGATAGCGAGCAACTGCAGGACCTTGTCCGTACCCTTCGTCTGGACATTGAGCCCCTCGAGTTCCGGGCCCGCCTCGGCCGTGAAATCGCCCACGTTGTCGACAGGGCAGAACGCTTCGATCCCGAGCGGGTAACAGGTCTTGTAATCGTCCATACCATGGCCAGGAGCCGTATGGACAAGGCCAGATCCAGAGTCCGAGGTGACGTAGTCGGCCGCGATGAAGGGCATGGACTCGGTGGTGAGAGGATGCTGGTACCGGCTTCCGACCAGGTCTTGGCCAGAGATTTCGCCAAACAGCTCCAGAGTGGCAGGCTCGGTAGAGTCCTTGGGTGCGAAACGCTTCTTCATCTCGTCCAGCTGCTCTGCGACAGCGAGGTAGACCTTGCTGGGATCATTCGTGGCACTAGGACGGAACAGCCTGTAGGTCATCTTGGGGTGAACGGCGACACTTCTGTTGGCGGGTAAAGTCCAGGGAGTGGTCGTCCATACTACGGCGTGTAACGTTACAGAGTCCGGTAATAACCTCGCTAACCCTTGAGCTGATCAACCATTTTGCATAAAAGCAATGTAAATAGCTATACACTTGTTGACAATACAAAGAAAGAAAAAAAAGAACCCCTCTTCATCCTCCCCGTCGCAGCGTAACACTTACAAGGATGGTCCACCAAGAACGCGACCCATGCAGATCGACTCTTATGATCCTCCTTGTATTCGAGCTCGGACTCTGCGAGCGCAGTCTTGGATGAGGGCGACCAGTACACGGGCTTGTTAGCCCTGTAAATAAGCCCTTTGTTCATCATCTCATAAAACACATTGAGCTGGCGCGTCTCAAAGTCCCTGTCCATGGTCCTGTACCCGTTCTCCCAATCGCCCATGACACCGTAGGCCAAGAACTCTGCTCGTTGAGCTTCCACGGTCGACTGAGCTGTGGCCTGGGCGACGGCGCGGACTTGGGTGGGGCTTAGGCTGGATCGGTCCGAGACCTTGAGTTCTGCGAGGGCCTTGAGTTCTATAGGTAAGCCGTGGCAATCCCAGCCAGGGCGGTAACTATGAACGTGCCATTAAAAAAAATGGACGTTAAAGTTCTGCCGCATAGATGGTCCTTTTTATCTCTTCCAGCATTGTTCACCAAAAAAGAATAAAAGCACAGATCACTTACTCGACTTTGAACCCTCTCATGACATGCTGTCGGTTCACAAAATCCTTGAGCACCTTATTGAGCGCATGGCCGAGATGCAAGTGTCCGTTCGCATATGGAGGCCCATCATGGAGCACAAAGAGATCCCCCTCATTGTTTTCACGCTGCCAGGCGTACAGATCTGTGGTGCAGCGCTGACAGAACAGATGTTCGCGAACCGCAGCGTCTGCGCGCAGGGGGAATGCAGTCTTAGGAAGAAGTAGTGTGGGCGCATACTTTTGGTCAGGCTTCTCCTTCGGGGCCTTCTTATGTGTGGTGGGAGTGATAATCGCTGACATGGCTAGCTTTTTCTGCTTTGCTTCGGTTGCTTTGTTGTTGCGTGGTAGATGGTGGTCGATGATTTCTAAGCGCGTATTTGTGTCACGTAGGATATGTTCAAGGAGAAAGTTCGGCGTGCTGATAAGACTGACAAATGAAGTTGAAAAAAAAAGTGCTTGCTGAACAAGGGTGGCCCGTTTTATACAATGTTTTTTTTTTTTTAGTAATCCAGGGGCCAGTTGGACAAATGCTACAAGATTGCTGCGGCCATATCAGTTTTCCAAAAAAAAAAAAACAGTAATTTGAGTCAGAGGAGTCATTTCAGTAAGAATAAGTAAGAATGCGGGTGCACGGATGGAGCGGTTTAGAACGTCGATTGCCTCTGGATTCCTTGCACTGCAATAGACGGAGAGCAATTTGTATAAGCTTTAATATGTTGAAACGTACTTTCGCAGGCCAACATGGAGATGCTCAATGTGACGGGGAGATCCTATCGCGCACTGTGCCTGGACTCAGGCCTGGCACTCCAACTGCTCCCGCCCATGGGAAGGACGTTGAAAAGCTGGATCTGTAGGGGCAGTGGGTCCCGTTCATATGGAATCCTATATGGAGGATGACAAATATATTTATTCTGTCTGCGTATCACTGCAGTTCCAAAAAAGAAAAGCTTTTCGTAGAAGCAAGTGTAACGGTTGAAATGCGTTCTAGAGAGCTCCAGTAGCTGCGGACACGAATCCAAGGTTTCCAATCCCACGATAAATCTTGATGCCCTCTTGAGCCTATACTTGGCTCTTGCACCGCCGTTTTATGTGGAGAAGACTGAATAAGGATGTTGGAAACATGAACTGCCCCGAAAAAAAGACCCAAAGTTCATTGCGCTTTACACCGTTCATAAAGATAGCTCATAATCATTTGTATCGGACATCTTCTGATGCGTTGGTCATATTTATTGTTCTCCCCTCGCGGCAAGGTTAAGATCACCCGTTGCCATTGAATAGACCACATCAGGTCGCTCTCTCATAACTGCGGTGATAAATTCTCTGGCCGCTATGGTTTCGAATAATCGAGTTTCTGTGGGAGTGTTCCCATCAGGAATTGTACAGCCAGTCATCCTTAGCGCCATCAGGGCTAACGCGATCACCATGGGATTCTCCAACACATTTGCAGGGATCTCTTGGGTGAAAACAGCCGGAGGTGGCTTCAGTAATGAAAGGAAGCGATCACGCGCAACTCCAATAGACTCCTCAAAGGGAAAAGTGGTGCCTGTCTCTGTCATGTTGGGATATCTAGGGGGGACCGTGTAGAACGCTTGTCAGAAAACGGGCGACGATAAAAACCTTTGCCGGAGACGAACCAAACAAGTACCAGCTGAGCAGCCGTGGCAGGGATAGAGAGAAAGCGCGGATATGATAGGTCAGGAGGAAGAGGCAGAGGATGGGTTGTGAGAACAGGGAGCTAGGAAAGGAAGAAGGAAGAAAAGTAAGAAAGAAGAACAGACGAATGGTGCTGTGCTTTTTGTTTTGATCATGTCGGCCACACACAGAAAGAAGTAAAGCTTGTGCTTCGCCTTTTGCGTTATAGAGCAATCCGCGCCCCTGAAATTTCCCTGGCCACAACAGAGGTGGCATATTGATTTCCCTATTAGCATGATACACAAAGAAGTCCGAAGCACCTCAAAGGACTCAATGCCCTGAAGATAAGGACGGTGTCTCCCGACACCTAGGGACGCTGGACGAGACAGCAGGAACATGGCACAGATACATTGCAATACACGTTACGTTGTTATGAAGCTCTGACAAGTACCCTCTCAGTCAACTTTCGTTGACATTCCTTTATCTGCTTACATGCTTGCTGCCCTCTGTTCTTCTATCGCTCCCGCGACACTACAGTCATATATTTCCTGCGAATAGATTCAAATCATGAGCCGCGGCGATACAATTGGGTCGATCTTGAACTCTTGAGCCGTGCAAAGGAAAGAAGAGCCGCTTTCTATGCTGTGCATGGACGTTTCAACTCTACAACTGCATGATTAGCCCCCGATAGTGCAAGGGCATGAGAACGCAATCTCCAACAGCATAGCTTCGGTCAGCTGGGAGTGATGAAGGGAATAAATTTCCTTGAGGGCCGAGAAGTGGGCTTTCAGATGCTGGAAGGACAGTGGACCATACTCTACCCCATACAAGCTGAGAACAGTCAAGCGCGGCATCGCTGCCAAGAGAGATGCGGCATCCTCGTCCAATAGTCGGAAGTGATTCATATCCAGGGTCAAGCCTTCAAGTTCCGGCCAGGTCCGCGCTTCGAGCATCTCCACAAAAGCCATAGTTGTACTGCGTTCGGACGTTGGTATCCCCTCCCGAAGTGTGGTATTCGAAGGCACGGGATGCCATTCCAGGAACTCTGACCCTGGGCATCCAGGCATCCAGAGAGAAATCTCAGCTGTTGGCACGTTGTGTTCCAATCGACCCTTTGGTGTTTGATACACAGTTTTCGTAATCTCGGGAAAGTAACGGCAACGTTGTGGACCTCAACATCGAGTAAGTGGAGAGTCGTCAGATTCGGCAGACTGCCGATGGTCCCCCAGACCATAAGTGAGGTGAGCATTGATGCCCTTGGATGTACGCAAGTTAGGTCTGGTCGCATTAGATGAGCATGCTGATAGATTAGATCCTTCAATTGCATCGTTCTCTCGGTCGGAAGAACTAAGGCCAGGCTTTGAAGGTTCGGGAAATCCAGCGTCGAGTACTCGATCATGTTATTGGTAAATTAGTCGAATGAGATAATGTGGACCAAGTGGCGGCTGTGCAGAAGGGTCTCGAACGAAGGGTTCCATCGCTGCTGCATCGTTAAGTGGAGTGTTCTCCAAACCATAGGTACTGCCAATCCGTGCCATGTCTTGTTGAGTCGCATGCACTTCACCAAATCCCTAGGATCTAGGGACTGGAGAACAATCTTTGTGGTCTCTGGGAGGTCCAGTGCCATGAACTTCGGTTTGACAATGGTTGTGTTGGGTGGTTGACCCCCCATCAGCTCATGCGTTCGGTCGACAACGGTTCGCTAGGATATGTCTCTGTGCCTTGAGTACCAGCTCTTGAGGAGGCTGGGTCTTGGTCAACGTTGTCTGTATCGTTGTCAAATCTCTTCGCATCGTCTCCATGGTCGCCTTGGCCTGGGTCAGGTTGTCGGACATCATGGTATCGCAAAAGGATCGAAAGAGTTGGTTGCAGGAGCGAAGAGTCGATTGCAGGTCATCCTTTACGTCTGGGGCAAGATGACTCTTATCCATGCTATTATCCTTGTCCATGCTGTTGACCATGTCGTTGTTATTAGCCTTGTCGTTGCTGTCGGCCTTGAGGGGACCCTGCTGGACGTTGGTACCACAGAGGATGGGGTCCTGTCTCTTGCGGATAGACCCATTGGCAGTGTTTTTGAGAGCGACGTCGAACACAACAGCACGGCAGTAGAGGATTCTCGGCGGCGACAGCCTGGCAGAAAAAAATCATCTTCGACTATTAGTTGTCTGTGCTCAAAACTCATCAGCACCCTTTCCATTGAAAGATCTTTACTCTTTAAAGTCAGAGCCGATCATGAAAGGAACAATTGTATTGTCCTGCCTAATACATTGGACATTATTGAAAGCCCGTTGAATGTCCTGCCAAAGGATAACGTATCGATTGATCGTGCGATCAAGGCGAGCATCGATGAGTATGGTGGGAGAAGTCGAATGCGCGCCGGAAGAAGGTGAAACACGAAAAGCCTGCGAGGGACGATTCAGCTTGAGCTTTTCACCATGTAGCTTGGGCTTTTCACCATGTGCTGACTGCGTCATTTATGTTTAGAAATAAAGCAAAGGAGCAGTTCGAACGGATAGAATGCGAATGAAAGTGGGGATGGAAGGAGGAAGGAGGCGGGAGGTGGGAGGAAGAAGAAAATGAGAAAATACATGGCGATGCATGAAATAGACAGATAACACAGAGGAGCGTGGTTGAGGGTAGCACAGCTCTTGGTCTAGGGGTACGGTAGAATAGTTCATGAGGCCAAATGGGAAAAGGCGAAGGCCTCAGCTCGCCATCAACATGCGACGTTTGTCTGAGACCCCTTCAGACGAACATTATACAGCGATATTACTTTTCAATATGCACAGTTTGTCCAAGGCTTCAGGATGTGAGGGTCTAGTCGGACAAGGGGTCTGCCACATCAAAGAAAAAAACCATGGATGAAGGCAATAATGATACCATTCCACCCGTACACGCGCATAATCTCGTCCCTGAAATAACATATTCAGGTCCGACCGTTGTAACATTTTTTTTTAAATTTTTATCTGTATGAACATTTACGCACTACTGCCTACTGTGTGCTGGAACACCTAGACGCAGAGATGTCAGCGGCCCCCAGGACAAGGCGCTCTCTGCATGATTTGAATAGCCGGGGACATAAGTCCAGGATTTCTAACAGCATGGCTTGTGTCACATCGAAGCAACCAGAAAGATCGAGCTCCTTGAGGGTGGAAAAATGAGCCCGGAGACCCTGGAATGACAGTGGGCCGAAATCTGAATGGGGTACTTTGAGGACCGACACCCGAGCCATGACTGTCAAGATGGAGGCAATATCGGCGTCAGAGAGACCTAACACGTTCCAGCCCAGGCTGAGTCCCTCTAAAATCGGCCAGGTCCTAGCGGTGACTCTTCTCACAAAGTCCTTGGCTGCGATTGTTTGGTCCCAATGAACGGTATGAGCTGCAGACCACTCCAAGAACATCAACGAGGGACAGTGCGACAAGAATGCTTGCTGCTGAGATGGTGTATCTGGGCAACTGAATGTGTACTGCAGTTTTAGTGCTCGTAATGAGGAGAATGTGACGGCAATGTTGCAAACTTCTATGTCCCGGAGACGGAGAGTCCTCAGATTCGGTAGGCTTGCGACCGTTCTCCACAATCGAGAAATATCGAACCCAAGCGAAGCTTCTGTGTTGGCGCATCTCATGTTCAGTTCCCTCAAATGCGTCCAGCAATAGATTGCGTCGATCATTGATCCAACACCCTGGCGTGGAAGCGTCAAGTTCAACTTTTGGAGCTTGGGGAAACTCAGCGCATAATACTCGACCGCAATCTCGTCGGGGTAGGGTATCTCGAGGGACTTGATCAGATGGTTGTGGCATCGAATGGCCTCGCGGGATGGACAACAGTGTGGATTGGAGCTTAGCCTGACCGATTTCCAGACTCGGGGCACAATCAGCTTGTGCCATGCCTTGTTGAGTCGCATGCACCTTACCAAATCCTTAAGATCCAGGAACTGAATGACATGGCTCCTGATCTCTAGCGAATTCATTGCTAGGGCTGCCGATTGGGTTATATTTGAGTTGTGCGATAGATCCTCCATCAGCTCATACGTTCGGTCGACAACGGTTCGCAAAAGACCTTGGACCGCACTCAAGTGCTCGAGGAGATTTTGCTGGTTCTCTAGGATATGTCTCTGTGCCTTGAGTACCAGCTCTTGAGGAGGCTGGGTCTTGGTCAACGTTGTCTGTATCGTTGTCAAATCTCTTCGCATCGTCTCCATGGTCGTCTTGGCCTGGGTCAGGTTGTCGGACATCATGGTATCGCAAAAGGATCGAAAGAGTTGGTTGTAGGAGCGAAGAGTCGATTGCAGGTCATCCTTTACGTCTGGGGCAAGATGACCCTTATCCATACTATTGGCCTTGCCGTTGCCGTTGGCCTTAGGGAGATCCTGCTGAGCGTTAGTACTATGGAGGACGGGATCCTGTCTCTTGGACATAGACCCATTGTCAGTGTCTTTGAGAACGACATCAAGCACAACGCGACGACGATAGAGGATTCTCGGTGGGGTCAACCTAGAAGATGGGGTAGGTCGGTAACTATAAATTGTCTGTCCTCAAAGCTCTCCAATACTGTCTCTCTCTCACTCTCAGAAAAGTTCATTACTCTTGAAAGTTAGAGTCAGTCATGAAAGGGACAATACTCTTGCCTTGCATGATGTGTCGGACGTTCTTGAAAACCCGTTGAATGTCCTCCCAGAAAATAACATATCGAGTGGTCGTGCGATCATAATGAGTACCAATCCATGTTCCGGATAAGGTTGAGGATGTGTTGGATGAAGGTGAGGTTCGAAAGGCCTGAGAGGGGCAATTTTCGCTGGAAACTTCCACGCGCGCTGGCTTGGTCATTTTTGCTTTAAGAGGAGGAGGGTGGAGTAAACAAGATAGGAATGGGGGCGGGAAAGAAAGTAGAAGTGAGAGAGAACGAGGGCGAAGGAAAAGAAAGAAAGAGTAGAGGCAGAGGGCGATACTCGCATGAAATAAAAGGACGCAGAGGGGTGCGGTATTTGGGACATGGTGTATTTGGACGTAGTACAGCTTTTAGCCCAAGGATATGGTGAGTGGTTCACGAAAACAAGGGGAAGAGCGAATAAAGTACTTATAAACACCCATAGACCGTGGACTTGAGCTACAAAAGCAGATGCCGACCAAGGTCAGGCACAGCATTTAATCACGCAGAGAATCTTTCGTCATGTACTGCTCACACGAATAGTTCGCCAAGGTGTTGTTAGTGAACAGGTGGGCTCCTTCACGGCTTAGGCCCCAGTTTGATTGTTCTCCGAACCATTAATACCAGATGCCCATGCCATGTCTTGTTAGGCCGCATGCACTTTACGAAATCCATACAATTCGGGTACCAAAAAACGAGTTCTCTGACCTCTGGCAGGGCCAGTGCCTCGTCTGTTACCCTTGTACCCTTGCCGCAGTCGCTTTTTAGAGAACTTCTTCCTCGAATCGTGTGATTCATCAACGAGGTTTTGCTAAAGCACTCGGAAAAGTGCAACGTTAATCATGAGGGGGATGGCAGACTGTGCTTTCATGGCTTATCCGGCATTCTCGAGCACCTGTTGTATATTCTGCCAGAGAATAACATATTGCCCAATCTTTTGGTCTAGGTGGGCATCGATTCTGCGGTGAAAGAGGCAGGCGAAGCTTTGAAGGACGTTGGGATGCGAAAGACCTGTGAGAGGCAGGTCATCTCGACGTTTGCGACAGGTTTCATTATCATGGCGGGTATGTATTCAATAGGACGTGGACGAGGAGGAGCAAAAGGCGAAGTGCTAAATGAAAATGCTTCAACTGAAGACCATGGCAGTCAAACACAATTCTCCTGATCCAGCACAGCTTTTGGCCTAAAGTCGCATTACCTCTCACAGTATCCGACCAGACTGGTATCCTGAGACGCGTTTGTGCGTGGATGCTTTTTTTTTTTTTTTTTTTTTTTTTTTTTTTTTTTTTTCAAGTCCATTAAGAGTCCGGACAGCAATATTCACAGGTCTCATATGGGGACGATGCGACTTTTCTCTCAATTGTAGCTTTGCGGGGTAAGAAGAAATAAAAGTTTCGATCGCGTCTTGTATACCACCCCTGCAAAATAAAAAACAAATGCATGATATGTCCGGTAAGCACGCCAATGCTTGGTATTTGTAGGTTGTTTATTGTGCAAGCCAGGTCCGCTTGCAAGCAATGCTGTGAAATCTATTGTCGTTGTTTTCTTGCATAATCCTGATCCTGCTTCCAATTTGATGCGCGCATCCGATTTACTTGACAAGAGAGGCAAGCTTTTCCTCGACCTCCTTCGCGCTCAATCCATCCAAAAGAACCTTCTTCTCCTGACCATGCTCTAATAGGACGTAAACGAGAAACAATCGGCAGACGAGAGGCATTAATACTACCGTTTGGATGGGTGCCATGCACAATGCGCCATGGAGGGATTGTCGATCCATATCCTAGCAATCCTTGGCACACTTTGCATGCATAATCCTCAACACATCCAGCAAGAAACTCAGGGTCTGATTGTGGTTTGTGCGTCGTCAATCTAATGCTGGTTCTCTGCTACTGAACTCACTCCTGTCACTGATGACCCACGTCTACGACCCCTTTAACAGTGCTTACCGAAGCGAGCAAAGATCTTGGCCTCGGCGCCCTTGGCCTCGCGGATAAGAATTGGGAGGTTAGGGTTGGCAGCCTTGACAGCGGTATAGTTGGAAGCAACGAATTGCCTGGCATGAGATTAAAAGTAGCACAACGTGTCGTTAGTGTGCTGCTGCCATTCCGTCGTATGCTGAATAATTGCTGTCTATGTTGTGCAATAAGAAATATTGGGGGCTGCAAGGAGCGCGTTTGATCGGGCAGAGTCGAGCTTTATCCTCTGTAGTCCTTTGAGTGCTCAGTACCGACCAAGGTGCTGTTCTTCCTGACTGAACATATTCTACTCAATTGCGCTCATATCCGGTGCTTCCTTAGTTGCGCTGTTCCTGTACAAGGACTTCAATATCTTCGCTGTTCGAAAGTCTGGTGGATTTGATCAGTGATATGCATGAGATGCAAAGCCCTCCTGTGCCTGATGTGTCAGATTGATCTCCTGTTCCTTTCCAAAATGGTCGCATACCTGAGGCCATTGCTGGCAGGCGAAGTCTGGCAAAAGTGGACACGGAGTTCCTTGAGGCTCTTTGTAAAGGCAGACATGATATGTGTGCTGAGGTGAGGGGGGAGGTGAGGGTTGCACGGAGTGAAATCTAATGGCTCGGGATGATTGCCAGATCTCAACGCTCCGGAGCTGATCACCGAAACGGAATTGTTGACGTAACATTATATCCTGTCGGAACGTTAAATCCTGGAGTAATTTTTCGGTCGCGTCCAAACTCAAAAGTCGCGCTTCTGAACCGTCCTGTGGCTCGTCTGCAAGAGGAGAGGGAAGAGCTGGTTTACATACTTTCGCGGCGACCAATCCCTGGCGGATTTTTATGGGGCAATGAGCCGCACAAACCCTGCATGAACGAACATCCTTACGCATGCCGTATGAGCCAATGGCCCCATATATCTCTGGCGCAAGGTCAAAAACCTGCGAAAAAGAAAGACAGAGAGCGCTTGATAGGGGAAACAGGATAAGGAGCGCTCAAACACGGAGCATCGCAAATACCATTAAAGCAAACAATCCCCTCTCTCTCTCTTCCGACTGTCTACCCCCCTGCGAAAATCCCTTTGCATTTGGACTTCTCTGCTGCAGCATACTGCGGGGTGTAATCAAATCCTTAACAGCCGCGGCACCACAATGTAAGCCGTGTTAACCGTACTGAAATTCCGGAGTGCAGACGCATTAGTAGGACCACAGCGACTAGATATCGGTGTCTCTCCAACCCCTAACGCCTGTTTCGCAGGAGTAGTCGCGTATTGAAACTAGATGCAACTGGATTTAGAGATGACTAGGCTAGGAGATGCAACCCGCGTGTCTCATCACTACATATTTGCTGTTACAGGTGATGCATGCTAAGTTGGCATTTGGGTACTAAATAAATTGGGCCTTCTGTACGAGCTGTGACCTGTCTTTTGGCAACTGTAGTAGATCATTGCTAGTTAGGTCTGAGAGATTCGCAGGGTCAATCAACTCGAGAGACAAAGTGCTATATAAAAAAAAAGGCCCTACTGTACGAGCCAATGTAGGATCCCAGGAGGATACAGAGACAATGTAATCAAGCCAACAAGACCAGCTCTCGCCCTATCTCATTTGGTTCTCTTGCAAACTCGAGGGATCTATCGTCGCGCTACTCTTTTTGGCTTATCCTAATCTTGACCACCCACGGAACCAAGTTCCTAGCAAAGTCGTAATAGCTTTCTTCACTCCTTATTTTTTTATTTCCCTTATTTGCATCGGTTGGAGGACCTGTGGTTTGTGCATTCCTAATCCATTGAATCAACCTCCTTTTCACCCTTACCTTAACCCACCCAACGCTCTCTTTCTCTCCTCCTTTTCCCTGTCTGCTCCCACCACTCTGGATAGACCAGCGTGCTTCCTTGCCTTCAATTTCTTGCCACCCCTTCAATGCCTCACACACCGTGTTCGCCCGTGGAGAGGGGAGTGGATTGAAGGGATACGGAGCTCAAAGAGGGCTAGAGCTGAGACTGGGGCAAGCCGGTAGAACCGTTTAGATGCCATCATCCGTCTTTCACAACGAAGCCGAGGCGCATGCGATTGTGCAGCATGGTCCCATAGTCGGTTGTCCTCTACACTGCCGTACGGAAAATAAAGTGCCACAAAGCTGTGAAATACTCTCTCGATACCTCTTTCCCTTCAACCGCTCCTCGCCCATCCGCTTCTGGCAAACATTTACCACCAGTGTCGTCCTCATTCTTCTTTGGACTCTTCCCATTTTCCTATCTCGGCTGATGGTCCTCACCAATATCTCTTCATCCTCTTTTATACTATTGAAACATTGCCGTTCTTTCTCTAATATCTAATCTCACACTCGCAAACTCATAAATTAGGCACTCGCTATCCGCTTATATATAACCACCAGCACCTCTTTCGCCGCCCTATACCCGTCCTGGAAATATCTCTCTGCATACACATCTTATTGCGCTTTGTGCTTTAGTATTTACCGGCAAAACTTAAGACTTGATCGTCCGCTTCAGGTACAGAGACCGTAACATGATCGACAGGAACAGCTTCTGTGCGTTGGATATGGTCCTGATTATGATCAACGGTGTTAATAGCACGCTCTATCGTATCCAGGGCTATTATCAATGCCGCGTTTCAGGTCCAATTCTTCGTCCTCAGCAATGAACTCTCCTTTTTCCTCGTCCGACATCAGCCAATCCAATGACATATCGTTTTCAGGCAGGTGGTGCGAATCCATTGATGTGCCCCTTTCTCCCATATCAATGTGGAAACAGGAGAAACCATTCCACGAGTCTGGTCCCTCATCTAGTAACCCTCGTCTCTCCCTCTCTCCAATTGGTGGTGCCACAGGTGTTATGAAAAAACTACTAAGGCGGCGGCGAGGTAACACTGGCAACGGCGACGAAGGAGGAAGTACTGTTGTTGGTGCAGGGGGACCATCTAGTCCGACAACTATGCCATCGTTTGTAATCGTCGGAGGACAGGGGGGAATGGCTACAGGGACTACAGTTTACGATGTAAACCCGCTTCAGTCCCTTTTCTCCTCGTCCTGTCACTCACCAATCATGATTCCCTTGAGCTCGCCGACGAACCCTACTGGCCCTACTAGCCCCAGAAGTTTGAAATTTTCCACACACCGGGACCCTCGTGCACAGACGATACAAATATCAGGGCCAAATCCCACATATACGCGAGGTCGCTTCTATCTCTCTTCAGAAAATGATCCCCTCATGAACGGCTTCCTTACCTTGTCCGTTGCGTCAGCTCGCAAAAAGGTGAACAGAAGATCACTCTCAGCAGATAGTCTTTGGGCAACAAGAGAACAGCGGTCATCCCTGAGGCTTAGCAAGCGTTCAGACGGATTGATCACCGCAGTTGGTCACCAATGGAAACACATGTCGCAGGCATCCTTGCTGGAGAGCAAGCAAAGTAATTCTGGACTGCTACTGGGCCTGCAGGATCATCAGCAGAAGCGCCCTCTATATATAAAAGAGGTCGGCTTTGAATTTTACAGCAGTTCGGTCGAGTTTTTGAACACGCACCACAATCGAACCAACACCGCAGACAACTGGGCCAGCAGGAACAAACGGAAACCATGCATCCCTGCAAGACGCCAAAGCGAATCCTCTTTGCTCAGCAGTATTCTCGAGGCGAAGAATACGCCTTCCAGCATTGGGATCGAGGCAATAAACAAGGAACGTGAGGAGATGAATGATATAGGTCTGTTTGGCCTTGGTAGCTGCTGGGAGGACCTTGATCCTTATTGGTCTTCGGAAAGTTACATGGAGTGCGAGTATCGCTCTCTTCTTTCATCGGTTGACATCATGTTGATATCCAGTATTTCTTCACCTACTCGGTACTACGACTGCCCTAGGACGCGGCAAGCTGTTAGAACCTACCTGACTGCAGGAGAGCGCGAGTTCGACGACATGATTGAGTTTGGCTTCCCATCCTCAGAGGTTATTGAAGATAAGGAGGGCAAGTCCAAGGACTACCGGTTCCTGACACTGAGACTCACCCTGACGCCATGGCATGCTCGAGCGGACGAGACGATGCTCTATGGTTCAGGGGACTCTGAAGGGTCAATGCCGCTCAAGGATATGATGAACAAGTTTCTCTCTCGTACCTCTGCCATGCTCTCTTCTTCCCCGCCACGCGGTCTGCATTCTGCGTCTGATCCAAAACTCCCGTCTGCCAACGACCGCAGATCTCCTGCTCCTGATGATGTAAGCACACAAGCAAAAAATCAAAACGCTCAGTACGAGAGTGCACGATACACAACATCGACTTGGCCAGGATTACATCCTATATCAGACGCGACCGATGTACATTCAACTCCCTCCAGTCATGCGGAGCCATCAGGCGCGTCGTCTAGGCAACGAAAAGACGGTACAGTGCCTCCTAAGAACGCCGCGAGGAACAAAGCATGCGGCCCGCGAAAGGACAAAGGATTCCGTATCATGGATCCCTCAATTGTGTCGAACGCGTCTTCTAGCGTCTGCAGTATGCGCTCTGGTGAATATTTGAACACGGAACCCGAATCCTGCGCTCCTTCGTCACCAGCACCATCCCCTACCACGCTCTGCCGCCACACCTATCCTCAGCAACAACAACAGCCTCCCAGGAAGGGCTCTCTTTCTCCCCTATCATTGCCTATGAGCACAAATCATCACAGTGAGAAAAACATGCCGGTTCCACCTGTGATTCCTCCTCGTCGCAAGGCACTCTCGCCGCCGATCCCACCTAACGAACCTGAGCATCCCCAGCCTATCCTTGACACGACCTCTACGCGATCCCAATCGACTGCACCGTTTACCACAACGAGAAAAGCACACGCAACCCAATCGCAGTCTTCATCCCATGCGCACTTCCAGCCTCAACAGGCGACCGTTACAACCTCTTCATCCCCATTGTCGTCTCCAAGAACTACAACTCCAAATTCCACGCTGAGCGCTAGTCCTATCCAGCCTCCGTCTCCAATCGCGGACGCTACGCTGCCGATCCCTGTTCTGGGCACGAACAGAAACGTAACGTCCCCCCGTCGTCAGCAGCAGCAACAGCAGCTAGCAGATACGTCGGATTTGTATGGCGGTATTACAGCTATGAGGGCCTCAAGGGCATCGGTGAGAAATAGGGCAGGGCAATCAATCACGATAACAATGGCTACGCAGCAGCATTATGGGCAGCAGTACCATTCACAAACCGTATACCCTCTGCGTCCACGTCGACGACAGGATAATGGCAGCAATACTGTCTCGCCGTTGGAGGTCCACAAAATGTATATGCCACGAACACCATACACCCCGCCTGTCAACAGCCACTAGGGCGATAATATACTAGGCAACATTCTTTTTGCTTCATGACTCTGTTGATGTTGAGATAAAAAAAAATATTCTGTGATGTTACAACTAAGGCTAAAAAAAGAGAACATCCAAAAGAGAAGCTCCCTGGCGGGGAATTGAACCCCGGTCTTCCGCGTGACAGGCGGAGATACTCACCACTATACTACCAGGGAATGAGCTTTCTGAAAGGCGATGATCAAGAATATTAATTAAGCAGACTTTTAATTTTCTCTAAGTGCAAGTTACCGTTCTATAAATGCAAGATGCCTAAAAATTACGCACCGTTCCTCAATTGCATGACCCCAACTTTATTAACATTGGATCTGGATTAGGAGACGTGTATCGCGCAACAGGTCACGTAGGAGTTAGGTTAGGCTAGCTATGCGACATGGGTTATGAATTTGACGCCTCAAGCCAACATAGTTGGTAGAGGATGCGGCTCTGCCGTGCATGGAAGGCATCTATGGCTTCAAGGCCTTTGCGGACCATGTGTCTCGTGCTCATGTGGCCGTTCCTCAATTGCATGACCCTTACCATCTGGAATTTTATTATAATAATAAAGCTGAAAGGACTACAAGGGGAAAAGGGTGCGCTCCTGATGAAGGACGGAGTGCTAGTCTCATACTCACTGCAGACCACAATTTCGCACTCGCATAGACTCGCCGCAGGAGCGGCAACAGGTCATACTCCCAGCAATTTCCCTCGTTACAAAAAAAAAAAAAAAAAATAGCGCGCGGCATCGTTTTTTGTCACTAACAGTAGGTTCGCGATTGACATTTTATACGTGCAGGACGATTTTTATTTCAGTTGCTGAAGAGTGGCAACTCAAATGCCCTTAGGGATGGGGCAACGCACAAGTCCTCTATCCGAGAACGCAGTTCCCACAAGCATCACACCGCGTTTGCGATCAACTGCAGCCGTAGTGGAAGTCGAGATCAAGTTTCCGTCATCGACCAACACCGTCTCGACCAGATACTTGGGTGCACCCGAAACGGTGTTCGCCTCTGGGTTCTTGGACATCTTCACGATCTTGGATGGACCGTCAACGGATCTACCTTTTGTATGAAGGTGCTTAACCATGGTGAGGGGTTGGACATGACCCGCAACAAAAACATCGCCAGTGGCGGGGTCGTAACTGGGGTTGTCGTTATAAAAGTCCAGCTTGATGTAGTCTTGAATGATGAGGGAGTGGTCCTCGTTGGGTTGGAGCACATGCATAGCACCGCCGTGGCAGGCGGAGAGGTAGATAAGTGAGCGATCGAGGTTGGCGGCCATGCCGTTGGCAGTGACAACGTGTTCGTATGCGACAAAAGTCTTTTCGGGCGAGTAGTAGACGACATTACTCCATGGTCGTCGCGAGAATTCTGATATTGTGCGAAAGAATAAAAAATAAACACGCGTTAATTCCTTGGCAAAAGTGTGTACATGAGAAAGAAAGAGCGAGAAAAAAAATGCGAAACATACCTTCGATACCCCTCATGATACCGGTTGAATGGCGATGGTCGTTCGAGACGTAGAAGGAGCGAGGTCCCAAGGCGACAATGTCATTAGGAGTTCTGATAAGTTTGTGCTGGATTGTTTCCTTGTACTGAACGGCCTTGTCGCCGATCCTGTACTCAAGAACCTCGATGACACTTCCTGTACGACGGTGGTTCACAGCAAAGATGGTGAGCTCTGTGGGAGAACGCTCATAAATATCAAGTCCGTGGTACACTCTATCGACGTCCGCAGGAAGGCCAACCAACTCCATAACGTTGTACTTCCCCGACTAAGAGCGAGCGAGCGAGCCATTGAACCCAAAAATGCAGGTGAAGAAAAGGTAAGCCGGATATGCACAATTGACATCAAATAAACAGTTGTGAGAAGGGTCTTACAGGAATATCATAGACAACAAACTTGTCCTTGAACGCATTCTCGGCTGAGGTATTAACCGGGCCAATGGGAGGGTACCAGCCCTTACGCGACTCGGCATGTCCGCAGGTTGTGAAAGCAAGACCCGAGGCATAATGGATGTGAACATCCTCGCAGGCTTCCAGCCCTTGAACAATCTCGCAGCCAGCAGTGTTGAACGGCTGCACCGTACCGAGAAGGAGTCCTGAGTCGATGATCACGTCCTTGACAAAGTTGTAGCTCAGGGCAGCAACTATCACGGCGATAGCAGCGTTGATCCTGAAAGTATTGCGCTTCCATGTGGACGACAACGACGAGGCGGTCTTCGTGCCGCTGGAAGACGAGGCCGTGCGGGTGATGGTTGTGGTTGTGGTCTTGATGACCTTGCTTGTTGGTTGCTTCTTTGGTGAGGTCGCCATTGCAAGAGACTTGTGGATTGGCAGGAATCGCGAGGACAGAGATGAATGAACGAATGAGAGCGTGGGATGTGGAGATGAAAGGGTAAAATGCGGGGGGACGCGGAGGTAGATTATTGTCAGTGTGCGTATAATTTCTGCAGTAGACTCTCTTTTCATAAGCATGACCACAGAAAAACTTACTGGGCGATCAGCAACTGCCCGATCTTTCGGCTCAGAGGCACTCTCTCAGCCGAGCAACCGATCGACGAGTGCTTCTCAAAAGGTCCGTGCTTCAATGGCAGTGAACAACCGACTATGCAATTAAAGAGCGATCAATCTTTTTATATCGAGACGGTTGACCCTGCGAATCTACCAGACCTATTGGCGAGCGAGCGCGAAATTGTGGTCTGCAGTGAGTATGAGACTAGCACTCCGTCCTTCATCAGGAGCGCACCCTTTTCCCCTTGTAGTCCTTTCAGCTTTATTATTATAATAAAATTCCAGATGGTAAGGGTCATGCAATTGAGGAACGGCCACATGAGCACGAGACACATGGTCCGCAAAGGCCTTGAAGCCATAGATGCCTTCCATGCACGGCAGAGCCGCATCCTCTACCAACTATGTTGGCTTGAGGCGTCAAATTCATAACCCATGTCGCATAGCTAGCCTAACCTAACTCCTACGTGACCTGTTGCGCGATACACGTCTCCTAATCCAGATCCAATGTTAATAAAGTTGGGGTCATGCAATTGAGGAACGGTGCGTAATTTTTAGGCATCTTGCATTTATAGAACGGTAACTTGCACTTAGAGAAAATTAAAAGTCTGCTTAATTAATATTCTTGATCATCGCCTTTCAGAAAGCTCATTCCCTGGTAGTATAGTGGTGAGTATCTCCGCCTGTCACGCGGAAGACCGGGGTTCAATTCCCCGCCAGGGAGCTTCTCTTTTGCGTTTTGCACTTCCAAGAAGTATTATTGTGCTTTTTTTTTTTTTTTTTTTCAGACATAAAGGCGGAAAGGAAATATAAGCTTCAGGATGCTAAATGGATTGATGTTATCTATGCTTTTTTTTTATGATATGGCAATTCTGAACGGCAGATAATAAACACACACTAGAGAATAAGGCATAAGGCTATCTTCAGGCTTCGCCCAAGACGTCCTTAAACAACAATTTCGTCTTCAATGGCGCGAGGTTCGAGACCCAAACGATCAAGGCAAGCATGGTAGCGTTCTGGATCGGTCTTCTTGAGGTATTTGAGAACGGTCTGACGCTGGTGAATTAACATGCGCAGACGGCGGTAGTTATGCTTGTCCTTCTTGTTGTTGATAACGTGGTTGTTCAAGTTCTGGATCCTGACTGTCATGACAGCAGCTGAAGTGATCGATGGACATGGATGCGAAAAAAAAGAAATGAAGCCGTTAGGGAATTGAATATTCATCAGTTAATAAGCCAGCTCTCTCTTCTTGACAGCAGTTCTTCCTGTAAAGTCGTGGTGGCGCTTCCAATACCTTGAACCTCGGGGCTGCCAGTGTCACCCTCAGCACGCTGAAATGCCTCCCTAGCCCTCCTGACGTTCTCCAGCGCCACCTGCTTTGCGTTCCCGTTCTCCAGTGCTGAGATACGACGGATCAACTCTGCCTTTTGTCTCTCGATCGGGAGCTGGACCCGCTCGTTCACCAATGAGGATCGATTCATCAGCTCCTGGACCTGAGCCTGAGGGACCCTCTCAAAGATCAGATCTGCCTCCTGCTCATTCAAAAAGTGTTGGTATCCCGATGGCTTTGAGGTCGACACCACCAGTGGAGTTCTGGACGATGATGAGAAGATAGAGGGCGATAATGGCGACTTAAAGAAGGAAGAGCTGGATTGTGATGAAGCACCGTCCTCGGTTGAGTTTGCACTCGATTCTGCCTCCGCGGGTTTGATAGCTGCAAGAGGAGATTGGAACACATTCTGCGGCTTGATGAGACTGCGTGTAAAGTCGGTTTCCTTGCCAATGATATAGTCTGGCGTCGAATTCTCGAACTCCTGACGCTTCCTCTCCTGCTTCAAAAGATTGTTCTTGCGGACCTGAATTACGTTGTCCTTCCTTGATCGGCGGGGTCTAGCGAGCGCAGAAGCCGATGTGTGGAAAGAGGCGTTGGGGTTGGCCTTGGCGGAAGCAACTATATGGCAGTCGAAGGGAACAGGGTTGGAAGGTTAACTTCCAGTCGAAGCAGATCGCTTTCTTCTTTCAGGGCCGTTTTGCAATTAACAGTTCCAGGTCCTGGATCAGTATATCAAGTTCAGTTGCAGGTGCTGTCCCTGAGTGTCGATTCGATAAATTCTGTCAATAAGGTCGTACCCAAAGAGCGTGCTCCGGGCAATGTGGCACGAAGACCGAACATGACGAGCGAGAGTGATGTGAAGGAATGCAGTGGTCTCCGAGAAGGATGCAGCCAGTACCGACTTCCGCTGATCTTCAAAAATAATAAACAGCTGTAGGTGCAAGCCACTACAATGCCATTCCTTGCCTGAACTTCCCAACTCCACCCTACAGCAACTCTTTCAGCAATCATGGTCCGCTTCAAGAATAGATACCTGCTATTCGAAATCGTCTATGCGGACACGCCACTGGGATGGACTTCGATTCCCGCGACACTAACTTCGGGAGCGGATGCTTCACACCATTCTGCAAAGCCTGATCACAGTCCGTTTGGAGACACTGGCAGGAACAATTGTCGCCTACCACCACTCGCCAATAAAGACATCATGCACGCACTTAAAGCCTCAATAGTAGAAAACTTTGGCGACTATGGAGCAGGACTGACTCAAAGGCCCCTCACCTGTAAGTTCCCGTCTCGTTGTCCGGCTCAGTTGGTTTTACTTGCCAGACCCAACTGCACAATTGGCTTCTGACCACCAACTTTGATCTCAATAGTGAAGTACTTTTCACCGCACACCAACATTGGAATCCTTAGGATATCTAGGGAGGAAGTACACATTGTCTGGGGCGCCCTTACTTTCATCCGGGAACTCAAAGAAAAGCCATGCATCATCAAAGTTTTGCACACATCCGGTACGACAGGGATCATTTTTGTCCGCAATGACACCAAGCGACATTGAATAGTATGTATAAGTATTTACATTATATCGTTTCTCCATCTTTCTAGGCACAATCAGGAATTGCCAATTGACTACGATCAAGTACGATCGCGACAGGATCATGTTCCTCAGAAACCAGGCGCAGCTCTTGCACGATACACAGACCTATACGCAACTCGGATTAGCATTCAAAGATTCTGCCGACAAAATCAATGCCCTCGAGCTCTAAGAATAACCAACTCCATCTCTATCACCTTGTAACATAATGTTGTAAATAAATCGAAAGAGCTTTCTACTACTGCAATCCATTGTGCATAGCCTTGCAGTTAAGTCCCTTTACCCAGCAAGGAGCCATATTAGAACAATACCAACATAGTGACAGTATATAATGGAGGATTGAATGGATACACTGTCTAGCACAGGTTTCGACGCGTCTTTATTTAGGGAGCGGACGCTTGTTTGCCAACAATAACGCATAATAATATACTCTTTGACGTAGCCATTTCAAGGCTATCGATAGTAACTTTGAATGCTTCTTGATCCCCTCACCATATTGCTGATCGTAAATTCCCTGGGAGTAGCTAAAATAATATGTGTGATATGCTGCCTGAAAACCTCAAGCAAGTTGCTTGGTCGACAAAGCTATCGAAACATGCACAAAACTTTAAATGTTAGGAACCAAGGTGTAAGACAGCATTTCCACCCTTTCTTATGTGCATGGCACAAGTCATGATGAGCAACCTTCAGCAGCCAAACCATCGTCTAAAATGGTCCGGGCAAAAGTGGCCGTCTAGGTATCGTCTTGTAATAGAAATGCGTTATTCTGATCGTCGGCCCTTAAACCATGGCGTCAATTGTGCCTCGGCCGCCAGCTCAGGGGATACAACGCGCATCTTTCTCAACAATAGCCTCGCTACGGTTGCTCCATGCTCTTGTACTGTCATTCAATTGGTGATGCTGTAGTAAAAAAATGGCAGATACTGCCGTTTGGGATCCTTCTCCATCTTTCTCGCCTCAGCTAGCGCTCTTTCAGTTGAATACGCAAGCAGCCAACAGAGCTTTCACATTTACCTCCGTCGTGACATCTTGACCCTGTTTAGCTGCAATGCCTTCAAAAAGCCCATCAAGACGCACCCAATACATCAATCTCGAGTGTCTCTGTGCTTCCTTCAGTATCATGAATATTGAACACAATACCAACAAAGCTATAGTGCAGTGTCTAAACAGCGATCCAGTGCTTTGCTATCTAGCAGTGCTCCCTTCTCTGTTCTTCGGCTAGCGCATAGACTCTGAGACGTCGTCCTGTTGTCAAGGAGAGTAAAGTTCAGATGGTGGCAACAGCGTATTTTTGGATTGTATGTAGCCGCAGTTCTTCCAGTACGTGAGTAATCAGCAATATACGTACAATTATTTTTTTGAAGAACAACTTGGAACGTTTTCCCACTTTTCTGATCTGATCATCATCATTCTCATCGTCAACGACCTCTCACCACCTACACAACCACCACCACCACCAACAACAACACTATACTCAAAATGTCTGGAAACATTGGCTGGGACGACGAAATTGTTCTTCGCAAGCGTTCTGATCACGCCAAGGTCACTCGCTCCTCCTCCGATATCAACGCTGCCCGCCGTGCCGGTGCAGTCGTCTCCACAGAGCGCAAGGTTGTCACTAATGCCGGACACGTTGGCGAGGATTTCCGCCGTATCGCCAAGTTGGCCGAGACTGATGAGATCGTCGCCCCTAAGGCCGTCTCAATGGATGTCGGAAAGGCTATCGCAAAGGCTCGCATCGAATTGAAGTTGAACCAGAAGGATCTCGGCGTCAAGGTCAACGAAAAGCAGACTGTGGTAAGTGTGGTTGTCGAGTAATTGTTCTCTTTCTCTCACTGGCTGCGGCACTTGGGACCTATCTATCTTTTGGGGCGCTATCTTTTGGGGCGCTATCTTTTGGGGCGCTATCTTTGCTTGGATTCTCACAATCACTGTCCTATTGTTCCCTTATCGATTACCTAGATTAACGATTACGAGGCCGGACGTGCTGTCCCTAACCAGCAGATTCTTGGAAAGTTGGAGCGGGCCTTGGGCGTCAAGCTCCGTGGCAAGGATATCGGCTCGCCTTTGACCTTTGGAAAGAAGGCGTAAGGTGGTTCTTTCAATTCTCGTCATGCTCAAGACTACAGTATATTTATTGCAATTGACGATGTTATACGGATCGCAGGCGCTTCAAGGACATACACCACCATTTAGACACCATAGATGTTTGTAAATACAACAGTAAAGATCTTTTTCAGTGCCTTCTTGTCCCTGTTGCTCCCTGCCTTTATGTGTCTGTGCGCCAGTGAAGAACAGTTCCGCGCAAAAGACCAGAAGACCAAAGCCACCGTCTGATACCATTTCAGGGCGTGTTGTAAAAGAAGCATCGTCCTTCAACGCGACAATGATCAGCATTCACAGGACCATTCTACTATTGGACCACAGTCCGCAGGCTCGCAGGAAGGCGTGCTATGACAACACGAAGAAGGACGAGGCAGCAGACGAAGGTACTTGTGAAAAAGTGAGCAGCGGCATCTGGAGCAGAGGGCCATTGCAGTTCCATGTTTGACCTGACTCCATCAACTTTCTGGCGATCGACTTATAGACAGTGATGATGAGTTCGAGCCGGAACCATGCTCAATGTGGTCGAGCTTCGTACACGCAGCATTACAGTACTCGCGGCTAGCGTGGGACCTCTCGCCCGTTGGGCAAAAATCGCAGGTACGGCCTCTTCATTTCGTTTGAACTTACACGGGTGTTGCTTGATGGTTACTAACCACGCCTGATCCCTTTATCTAGATCTCGGTGCATGTTGCACCTGGGGGTCCAGCGATTTACAACAGCATTATATTGAATGCATGGACAGTACAGGAGCAGAGCTTAGGACATGTAAGCAGATCGTTGCCTCTGTCTTCATCTGTAAGAGCTATTATTTCACTTATGTAACAGCGTTTGCTAACTTCGTGTGCCGATTTTGGTGCTATCCATAGATATCATATCATCTGCAAGAGCTCCAGCACCAGGAAGATGCAGCTGCAATGAACGAACAGGAGATCGCGGCGACCTCCAAGGGTTGGATATTGTTGGCATTGCAGGGCGCCATCGCACATATCCTAGAGCCGATTTCTCAACAACCAGGATCTGCACCCAGCGCGCAGACTACGCCCCATCACTCAAGCATAACAGCTAATGTAATAATGGTCCTAACGGACATGGAGGACCAGCCCGAGGACCTGCCCGAGGACCAGCCCAGAGAAGGCGAAGAGGATACGGTTATGGATAATGATATGACTGTGGCCAGTGAACATGACAAAGGATGGCGATACGGCGACCTGGATATACGCAAAATCCTCGTAGAAGCACTTCAAACACTGCAGGATGCCCTGAGGAGCACAAAGTAGGCGGAAGATACTCACCAGCTTGGACGCGCTCAAACGAAAGACTATTCTCTAATACTTGATATGCATCTTGAATGCGCTAATGCTCTAGAGTCGTCAATATCCATGTAGACTTTGTGCGGATATGTACCCAGAAGACTCAAAGGTTTACTGATATTTCCAAGGAGCAGGTGGGTACTTTGCTGACTGATCAAAAATCACTCAAAAGGCAAGGCTTCTGTTATTCAAGAGTGCTTACTTCGCATTTCGGCCTACTATTGTCTAAACAGATTTCGAGGAACTGCACGGCTTCAGTGTATTCGGTTATCGCAGAGGACGAGAATTCGACAGCGAAGGCGCTCACCAATCTATATCTCCTTCGGCACAAGGATGTGCAACTTCTTCGACTTCATAATCCACCTTTACAGCGCTACGACAGAGCAATGCCTATAGACCTCTTTTATAGGACAGATCATACCCAGGCGCTATACCGAAAGAAAACAGACACGGACACCAGCAACGAAATAGCTACTACCCTTCAGATGACCCCTCGAAATGTTCGACAGGCAATAGAACTGGACTACGGAGTAGAATGCGCAAAGAGTTCTCGTGAGTGCTTGCCATTTGAATTTCCTCCGCGTATTCGCACGTGTATTGCTACATCAGGGACGAAGAGTACTAACCGACCATATATTCTCCAACACCAATTGAATTATGGAAGTATTGCCTACTCAATGCGCGCATTTAGTGTCAATATCGCCATCAACGTTTGTTTCATCATTCTTTTCTTTCGTGCATGGTAAGGATTACTGATGTACAGTGCATAGGCGCTGCATGAAAATGCATAACAAAAGGACTTACCTGCATCATTTTGTGGATTACAGGGTCCGTGCATCTCCTAAAAACTTTGAACTCGGATGATGTTGCTTCGATGGCTCTTTTCGATCACGACGGCCAGCTCTTTGTTCACTGTCTTCATACATCATCGGATCCGCGCATCTTTTCAACAGAAGAAGCATTGCAATCTGAATTGAAACGAAAACTGAATGCATCTTCACATAATCATCACCTTGAGGTAAGTCATGGGTAGATTATCTTGTTGGCGTCTAGACGTCCTGGTTGGATGACACCTAACGGCTCCTTGCCCGATCACATCTCATTAGGATTTTGTAAATGCCATCATTCGACCCAATACAATCACTTTAGGAGCAGATTATTTTGAGCAGGAGGGCAATACATTTACGGAGATTATTCCTTCAGCATTGAAACAGAAGGCTACATTTCAGACTGAGGGTGAAAGCGCGAATGTTAACGCTGCGGAGGATGCACCAAGCTCAGAGGGTGTTAACATGGCGCTGGTGCACACAACATCAAAGCTCGATCTCGAGACCCGATGGCTGGTCCAATGGGAAGGCGAGCGCATACATCCTATTCTTGTAAGTCAGCGCCCTTGCTATAACTGAACATAGGTTTCTGAGACCTTGAAGGATTTTACTCGAATTGACACTTTTTTTTTAAAAAAAAATAGCCTGCACATAATGTACACATCCAAAAGTTCAAGAGCGCCATCTGCAAAAGTAGCGTTGACAGTGCAGGATTAACGACAATACAGGGAGTACTGGACGCATTGATAGCGGATGCGCGTCCTTTGGTACTTCCTGGGGAGTTGCCACAGTCAACGATCTCGCCTCAACAACAACGATTTCGCGAGAGCGCTCAGGTCACCTTGGCGGACCTGTGGATGATTGGCCAACGCTTCAAGTCCGTGTCGCCGAGCCATGTTGAGGTAGGATGGGCTGACTCGTGCAAACGTCCCTCCCCCCCCCCCCTTTTTTTTTTTTTTTTTTTTTTTTTGCTGATATTCTAATGCCGTATCTATTCCTATATTGACATAGGCGGCGAGGCTGATTGCAACCAAGATTACACCAAAGGGATTGGATCACCAGACGGTGAAGTTGACTCTTGTGCCGCCTAATAAGCGTGCTGCTCTGCCCCATCTTTACACTGCTGGTGCGGGTCCCAATGTCGATGGAGGAGAATTTGGTGGCGATGGCTGGAACCGTAATAAGGGCACATGGGGAGTCGGTGCTGGACGCGGCGGTCGCGGAGGACGGTTTGACAACAATCGCGCCGGTCGAGGAGGAGGTCCCGCAGGGCGTGGGAGAGGAGGGTCAGGAGGATTCCGAGGAGGTCATATCGGCAACCCCGTCAACATTACTGGTGGTGCCAATAATGATGATACGAACTATGATCCATCGACAGCAGGGCTCAATGGCGAGATCATGGTCAGCATGACTGGAAAGACGCAGCCGGTTCCGTACCTGGTCACGCAACCGCCGACGCGCGAGGAGATTGAAGAGTCGGAGCAGGAGTACCTCGCCCAGCTGGGCGATGACGGGTGTCTGTTGAAGGCCTATTGGGGCTCCCGCGGCGCGCAGGGGTCGTCTATCGCAGCGGTGTTGAACTCTGTCACGTCGCTGGATTCTCCTTCTGCGTCGGCTCCTTCGAATCCACTAGGTCCGGCCACTCCAGCCATGGATCCACTGACTGCTGTTGCAATGGCTGCTCAACAGAAAATGAAGAAGTTGGCGACGAAGCGACCGAGATTGCAGGATTTCGCAGGTCGAACACCGGTATCAGAAAACGGTGGATACACGAATGCTCCGATCCAATAAAGCACTCTGCAGTCGTTCTTCCTCATGTCAAAGTACATGTTTCTCTGACTTTGATCTTTTCGATGTGGTATGACATGATTATTTTGCATAATGAAGAGCTGAGGTTGACACTGTTACTATTGTACGACATTCAGGCCGGATAGATGCTTCGGTTGCATGAGTTCCCACTAACGGATCTGCATAGAAACGACTATTTATTCTTGCGTGATAGCGATGGACTATGGAGTGGCAAAGAGATGATTGAAGCATGCAGTAAAGTCTAGTCTCATGCAAAGCAAGCACCGCAAAGCAAAGCATGATCTGCGTGTGAAAGCGAAGGATGGAGAGAAGGCAATCCATTAGCCGAGCCGCACAGCCATAATAGGTTTCTTGCGGGTAAAAAAAAGACCTAAAGTAGTTGTTTCGGGTCGCACAAAACTGGTCGCATACCATTCGGTACCCGTGCTTGCAGTGTTCGATACGGGCTACCAGAGCTATCATACTCATGTGGTTGTATAGTAGAGTATTTTGTGTGGTAGACAAAAGCAAGAACGCGTGCAATCTGGGTTTGGTTTGGTCTGGTCTGGACTGAAAATATGAGGAGGAGTGCGTGTGAAATTATGTTTTCTACGGGATAGATTGAGACTCCAGCGGTAACGCAGGCCATATTTTTCGGAAATGTGGAGCAAGAGTCTTTTGGGTGTTCTTTTGTGGAGAGAGGTGTGTGTGAGAGAGTGACAGAGACCAGGTCGCTTTGAACAATCTTGTGAGTGTTCCAGAGTAGCCCCGGGATGTGCATCGCAAGAGTAGACCCTGTTTCTTTTCTGTTTTATTTAGGATGGGACATAGGCATAGGATCACAGGGGTATGGGCGCCATTTGGGTTCCTGTTTGCCAAGAAAGGTGTCCAGATGGATGTGGGGTGAGCGTGGTGGGGTTCATTCGGCCCCCTTACCCTCCCTAAAATCAAGATAACTTTATCTCAGATCAAAAGATATTTGAGATTCGAGAGGGAGAGGTTGGGGAGCATGTGAAAGGGGTAAAGAAAAGAAAAAAAAGGACCAGGGTCAGTTCTTTTTGATGCGCGTATGGGCCAACATCTCCCCCAAGCATTCGTTTGCTGCTGCTTCCTCCGGCAAACACACACACACACACGCTTTCGCCGTTTTTTTGTTTTTTTTGTTCATTCGTCTTTTTTTCTGTCGCCTCATTCACCCACTTCATTTTTCCACGGTTACCACTTTTCATCCTCTTTCTTTATAACTTGCTACTTGCAATAGCTGTTCTCGTCTTCCTCACTGCTGGCCAGTCAAAAACGGTAGGGAAACAAAAAAAAAAGCCAGCTGCTCGGTACCGCAGGAGGTATACTCCAGAGAGCACCTTTCTTTGAACGAGACATGTGCTGCCTCGGGACATTTTTCCCTTGCGCTTTTGCTGTTCTGTCCTGTGGTTCGTCGTGTATCAACACCTCCCCCAGCGATGTGTTCAGGCTTTATCATATGTCTATTGGAGAGATATTCTTTTGCCCTTTCGCTGCTTGGCAGTCGATTTTAAGCATCAACAATTTTGTCCCCCAATTGGATCGTGGAGAATGCGTAGAAACGAGCGAGACTATATTTGTATAAAAATGATGATGTTCTTGTGTGCATGTGTTGCAAAGAGGGAAAGATGGTTATCGGTCCTAGTGTCCAGGTATATCTATGTACGCCCACAATTCCCAGCATCAAACAACAAATAAATCAAGGGAACCCAGCGGGAAACAAGAGTGGGAAGAAGAGGATGAAGCGCAGGCAGGCGCGCGTGGAGAGAGAGAGGAGGAGAGAGAGCGAGGGCTCCTTCGCTTGGAGCAAGAGTGAGTTGAGTGGGCGAGAGAGGAGGGGTCGCGGATGGGCCCAACCTTAATATTTTTCTCCAAACCCCACAAATTTGGTTTTTGCGTACTCCACGCTCCGCTCGTACACATTACACACACAGGCACTCCCTCGCTATCTCTTTTCTTTCTCTTCTCAGCTGCTCTCTCTGTTCTCTCTCTTCTCTTCTCTCTCGCCCTTTGCTCATTCTGTTGTATTTATCGCACAAACATCCTTGATACATTCATTCATACGTCTTCACCTAAGAGTCCATTACTGTTTCTCTTTCTCTCTCCCGCCCCTTCTCTCTCACTTTCTCACTTTCTCCTCTCCTTCCCCCTTTTCCCTTTTTGATCTGCTCTTCTTCACTCATCTCTCCTTCACTCCCTTCCTCATCGAAAGAGTCGAATCATCGCTCTTTTTCACACCTTTAATTTTTTCACACCTTTTTTTTTTTGTTTGCGCACCCCTTCTGAATCCGACAAATAGATACACCGCATATCTATCAAGTCTTCGAAAGACCCGCCTTCGCCAGCCAACAACAACAACCACAACAGCAACCCTTAGTCTCCTTCACAGCCCCTACCAATCCCTCTTCTTGCACTCACTCATACGACCATGCCGCCAGCCCCTGCAAGGGATCAGACCAAGGCTCAGCCCATGTCCATATCCCAACTCTGCCAACAAAACGACTCGGACGACGAGCTGAACCATCATCACGACGTCAAGGAGGAGCTCGACCAGGACCCATTAGATCTCAACGCTGACGATAACGCTGGCCGCTACAGACAGAGCAACGGCCACAACGACCACCACAGCGGTCATTCTTCAGATGAGTTTGAGGAACTTGACGACTCGCCACGATCCAGGCCCGGACTTGAAGCCAGCGCACGAGACGCGGACGAGCAGCTTGCAGCAGAGGCACTCGGAGATATGGCCAATGCTGCGCGCACATCATCGGCATCCTCGGTGACCTCGAATGGCGCGTTTGCGGCCCCGAATACTCCATTCATGTCGAGGATGTCGAGTTTTCCGATTGTGAACTCGGCATTGAAGGCCTATGAATCGGGCAAGCAAAACAGCAAGGTTATGAAGGTAAGAAGACCAGACTAGACCGGGGAGGGTATTCATCGTCGTCGTCTTTGTGGTTGCGTGCGTGGGGAGGGGATTTGTGCGTTTGTGTGTGGAGTTTGGCTGTTTCTGATATAATTTGTTGAGTCGGGGCATGGCATGGTATCGTTGAGTAGGATAGAATAGGACATGCTCGATTTGGTTTTTGGTCTTACTCACCCTATGTCGACATTATCGCCCAAGTGCTCACTTGTACACATGCGCATGCACGTTCTTCTCGCAAACACATGCCCACCCCTGCTCTGCCCTCTTCCTAGTCTACCCTGCCCTGCCCTGAGTGATGCGACTGTCGTCAGTCAGTGGGCATTTCTATTCCTTTTAATTATCCCTTCTGCTCAACCCTATATGCCACACCCTGAAGAGTGGTACCTCTTCTTCTACTCCACCTTCTCCCATGCTTGTGCTTGTACTTGTGCATCAACCGACATCGCATAGTATCCTCATTTTGTCATGCAATCATGTCTTGCCCCGTGGGGATGTGGCGATGTGTGGGGGATGATGGGCGTGGAGAAGGGGTATTTGTTAATTCCTCAAGCTATATTGCATTTTCTTTTTATTCTCCACGCCGCCGCGATTGTCTTGCATACCATCCGACTTGATTTCTGCTCTGCTCTGCGGCCTGTAGTATCATTCCGTGGGGTGGGGTTGGATTGTTTGTATGAATGAATGAATGAATGAAAGCCTGTTTGTTATTTGAGAGCCTCCTCTCTCACTCTATCAGCCCGGCTATACCCATTAGTCCTACTTGTAATACATTTTGTGTGTTCGTATAATTAATGAATGTATTTATTATTGTGGTCTGGGCTGTCAGCGGTGCGGAGCAAGGGTGTGTGCATGTGTTCAATTATTTGCGGCTCTTACGTGTGCCAGTGAAAGGGGACTATTATTGCTGTGCTCATCTCTGCACTGCTCATCTATCTATCTATCTATCTATCAATGGTCGATGCTTTTATATTGCATCTTAATCCTAACCTTCTCTACTTTTACTTTTCCGCCCTCGATGACAGTATGGCGCCGAGATGGTCGAGTCCGGTGTCAAGTCGCTGTCCAAGCCCGTGTTCGATAAACTGGAGCCCAAGCTGGGCCAGCTCGACGACTTTGCGTGTCGCCAGTTGGACAAGGTACGGTGTCTATTTTTCGTTTGTTCGTCCTTTTTGATTGGCGTCATTCTTGGTGGCAATGAGGCCAAGGTCGCGTGTCGTGGGTTTGTGTATACAAGTATCATCCGAGGGGAGGGGAGGAGGAGGAGGAGGAGGAGGAGAGGGGGGGGGAGGATTGTCCCCCTGAGGATGTGTATGCATGGTATCATTTGATCCTTCATGACATTGTCTACCCTTATCTTCAAAAAATTCATCATCTCTATCTATGCATTCATCTTAGGGGCTATGTTTGTGCTGTTCTTCTGATCCTATGGAATGGGCCTAACGCGTTTTTTTTTCTTCTCCTTTTGCTCTCTTAAATAATTAAAAGGTCTATCCCTCAAAGTCGGATGCGCAAGTACTGCCTTCGCCAACCAACTCGGCGCGCTCTTCCAACGACATTGTCCGCCCTGAGAATGGTCTCAATGGAGCACCGAATGGTAATGGTTCATACTTTCCATACCGCTCACGGCGCGACAGCATCGACAGCACCTCTTCCTCCAACACCAGCTCCCGGCCCAGCTTTGATATCCTTCGGTCACGCGCCAATAGGCATGAAGATGGTAAGATGAACAGTCGTTTAAGTAACAAGGGTTGGTACAGCCTCAGGATGTGCCTTTGCTGACCAGGTTGATTGTTTTTCTTTTTCTTTTTCTGTTTGCCTTGCTGTATTAGTCACGTTGAGACAACGATCGGATTCGCAATCCAGTCAGCGCAGTTTCCAGTATGTCAATGGCTATTACCCCCAACAACAACAGCAGCAGGTCGGAGCCCTCTCTTCGGCTCCATCTCAGCAGTTCTCGGGTTGGAGGGGTGTGGTGGCCACAGTCGGTACTGCTTCGGCAGCTGGTGTGGCCATCTTTAGCGAGGAGAGCATGAAGAGTCTCAAGTACTGCTTGCAGTGGCTTCAGGTAAATAATACAAAGCGTTATGTGAGTGCAATGCGTCCCAACAAAGCTAGGCAACCCATACTAACATGATTCCTCTGTTTGTTTCTTGCGTTCCGTAGTATGCCGTTCATCACATTGACCATCAAATCGGCCTGCTTCGACAGTTCTTGGTGTCTTTGGCCAATCCCTCGCAGAGCACTGCCATGATTCCCTCAAACGCCGCGTCGACATTGGCGTCGATCAAGAAGGAGGTCGTCGAGACGCTTCGTAAGGTCATTAATGTGGTGTCGCGATATGCTGGCGCCTGCTTACCAGATCAGGCCAAGATCAGTGTGCGCCAGTTCATCCTCTCCATGCCCGTCCGCTGGGCTACGATCAACAATGAATCCGTCCCCTCCACACCCATGGGTTCGCCCTCACTGGGTCCTCAATCTGACCACAACCCTGAGCAGCAGGCGGCCCTGAATGAGACCTCGGAGCGGGCGACCAAGGTCTTGGTTCTTGCGCACGAGTCGTCTGATATGCTCAAGTCTGTGGCCTCTATCTTCAGGGACTCTGTGGACAAGGCTGAGAACTGGATGGACAAACTGCGATATGTGGGAATGAATCCCCAGAACAACAGCGAAGGCTTGCCCAGTTGGGCACCGACTGGATTCCCGGGCGCACCTAACGGCATGCCCGGTGGGTTCCCTGGCTCGGAGAGAAGCAGTGGCAGTTCTAGCACTGGACTTGAGCAATACTCATTGCGCCAGACACAGCATTCCTCGAATGGCACCAACGGCAGCAACGGCCATAATACGCACACGAACGGAGTGGGATCTCCGTCCCGCAGCCTGAAGGGATCGCCAAGGATGGGGGGCCGCGATAACCACAATGCCCGCCACGCGTACCGCCAGAAGAGCGCCATGTCTGGAGATGAGGACTCGGGCAGTGACGAGGAGGATGTGCCCGTGACAATGGACGATAGTGAGGATGAGATTATGCGTGGTCATGCGAACGGCCATGCGCCTCTGAAGCGGAGCATGGGATCTGGAACGCATGCCCAGGGCAACGCGGTCCGTCGTCGTAAGAAGAGAGGCGAGAGCGCTGAGATGGTTGCTGGACTTGGACAGAGCAACGGCGCGGATCCTCATGCGATCAAGCAGGAGCCGAACTAAAAGCGATTCATCTCTTTGTCGGTTCCTTTCCTTCAAGGCATATTGGGAATCCTCCTTGGTCCCATGGAAACTAAGCGGGAAATCGAGAGAAAGGAGGGGTGATCTTGCCTACACAGTTTGTGATAATACCATCAATCGCCCACTTGCCACGAACACAACTCTCACCAAACCGACATTACAGGCGAACAAAGGAGAAACAAACAGCAAGCTGCTTTGTATTATGTCTACACCTTTTCTAGGAGTGATCGATCTTACGGCTTCACTCTATCTTTTCTTTTTTTCCTTTTTTTTTTTGATTCCTTTATTGATATTATCTTGTATTCTAGCCTCCCCAAAGTTTTTGATAGCCCTTACTTTTTTTTTTGTAGGTGTTGTCATTGTTGTATTCTACTGTCCATAGTGTTTTTGTTATCCCAGGATGTTTTTTTTTTTTTTTTGGAAAATATACTCTTTTATTTCATGTGTTCTCTGAGAATGTGCTTGATGCTGGTCATAGTGCGAGTATCGATAGAGTAATTCATCACTCCAGGCTTCAATGGGCTACTGTACATCTAATGTCAGGACTTCCGCTAACAAACCCTTTGCAGCTTCCCCCCCCCTCCATGATCCCATGATCCTCGTTCAGGCCATAGCGACAGCGAGGACAGAAACGCTGCTGCATCCTTATCCTTGAAATCTTCCTCGGCCACTACCGCCATAGATCATTCTCGAAGCGACCATGGCGGTTGAGAGGGCCTAGTCCAGGTTCCAAAACCAATGTTTCTGATCTGCAGGGGTAACATCATCGCAATCTGATTCATGGTATCAAGGGTCCGAGTCCCAGGGGTGCGGGTGAGGATAGGGATCTTTGTGTGGTGGACCTGGCGGGAGTATTCCTGCTGCATTAGTTCCCTTATCGGCTGGAAAGGAAGCTTCTCGAGTTTTGCTACCGGCGGATCGCGTCATCGGTGTTGGCAATCGCGCTTATGGATCTTGTTATCCTGGAAGCGTTGTGTCTTGTCATTGGAGACAACTGGTTTGATGAGCTTGTCGTTATAGTCCATAAACTGGTAATGGTCTAGGTACCCGATGCCGAAACTGGCCATAAGGAAGCCCCTTAGGATTTTCCTCATCCACACTTTCGTACTCCTGTTCGCCCGTCAAGGAGGCACCCTCCAGGGAGACAGGTTTTGGGGGTGCAGTGAAGGTCGGGTGCTACCGATGCTGTTCAGGTTAGTTTATTTTTTTATTTTTCAGGATTTTGGAAAGTCTTGTGCTTGCTCTCCTGGGTCTTACTGCTGCTGCTGCTGGTCTGGCTGGCGTAGCCGCCGGTTTAAGGACGCTATAGACCGCTCTCCTCGTGTTCTTCTGCGCCTAGTCAAGGGACAGGAATTTACGAGGGATGACTGGCATCGTCGTTGTTGCCAACGGTCGCGTCTGTGTTGCGTTTGGTGAAACGTGGATATAGATGGGTGACGGATTTTAGAGCACCGATGACGGCTTCCATGGCGTTTGGGAACGCGTCAAGGATTTTAGTTTGGACACCCTGGGTCATTTCTGCGAGCTCTTCGAGTTCGTCGGCGATCTGCTTGAACACTTTGGCTACCCTGTCTTCCTTCTCCTCCTCCGCGTCCTTGTAGCCATATTCGCCGTCATAATCATCGTAATCCCCCTCATCTTCGTCCTCTTCCTCCTCGCCTTCTTCCTCTTCCTCCTCGCCTTCTTCGCCATCGTCCTCTTCCTCCTTCTTCTCCTCCTGCTCGTCGTCGCCAGTCTCACTTTCAATGTCATAAAATGTCGCGTCTATGATACCGCTGGGTTGCTCGTCAGCCTCGATCACGGCAATACCGATCTCGGTCACCTTGCAGTCGGCAATGATCTGTCCGTCCTCTGCCTCTTCATCCGCCATTTTCTCATCTTCCCCTGTCAGCTGAAGTGGGAGCCAATGCCATGACGAAGACGGAGGGACAGCAGAGCCTAGTCCAAATAGCGTCCATCTCTCGCCTCCAAGGTTCGACATCTGCCCCTGTTGCTGCTGCTGCAATGGCCGATGATTGCGCAGGGCTTGGGCTCTGGGCGAGAGATGTATAGGCGCAATCGAGAGATAGTAGACGCTTGCGGAGATGAGGAGAGCAATCGAAAAGGGGAGACTCAGAATGACCCAGGGATGACGCCCAAGCGAGCCAGTCTTTTTGTATGCTGCTTTCGTGAAGAGATCATGCTGCGATTCCGCTTGTGAGGGAGACACAGGAGCACTGGCTGGATCCTGACTGGGGACTGAATGATAATGATACATTGAATGGTGGTGATAGTGGTCGGTAGAATATGTGAGGAAAATATAAAAGAGTAGGGGTTTTATGGCAGGCGGGCTAAAACTATCCGAGAACCGTTGAACGAAAAGGCTGGTGGTTGTTGGAATGTGGCCTCGCCCAGCCCGCCTACGCCCAAATAATACAACAGAAAGATTAGTGTGAGCTGGATCAGCCTGAATTTCCATCTTCAACGACCACTTGTTCATATTCTCAATGGCTCGAAGGAACCAGAGGAGGGTAAAAGACGATATGTGTGCATTACTTCTTTATTATGTGAAAATATCATCACTCGTTCTTTTTCGACGCGGTCTTGTCTATGGCACCCACTACCGTGACCATCGGTAACCATCCTCCGGCTTTCATCTCGATCTTGGGTTTCCAGCCTTGAACAATAAGCCCGTCCAACATGATGACTGTCGACAGCAGGTACAACCCCATGCTGACAAAAGTATGCCACCACGCGTGCAGGTACAAGTCCATAACAATCCACCTACCCGACGTCGCATCCCGGATCTGCATCTGAAGACCCTGTGGCAACCACGCCAGCAACGGTGCCTCACAAAAGTTCAAGTCTATCATCCATACCGCAATCGCAAGCGCATACAGCCCAATGCCGACCTCGAAGGCCTGCTTCACATCTGGATACTCTGCCTTTCTAGCTCTGTAGACACGATAGACGAGGTAGAGAGTAACAAATTCCAATGACCCAAAAGTCACATGGAAGCTGTAGAACTGCGTGTTCCCTTCTGTAAACGCGACCAAGAAGGTGACGAGCATACCATGGACGGTGAGGAGGATCGGAAACCAGGCAGGCTGGGGGCCGAAGCGAGACTCGATTAGACAGAAGAATAGGGCGAGAACGGAGTAGAGCATGGGGAGTTCATCGAGCATCTGCATGTGGTGAAGGAGCGTGGCATGAAAGAGGAAGGAGCCAATGCCGACAACGGTGATTGTGCGGAAGGCCAGTTTGAAGCGGAAGAGACTTGGTGCCGCTACTCCAGGAGTGGTATGAGAGGAGCTGCCGCCGGAGGAGGATGTTGTACCGCTGGATGCCATGGAAGACTGCAGGCGACCAATTGAGTAACAGGCAGCTTCTCCGAGAAGGATCATGGCGAAAGAGGAGAACGAGTTGAAGAACTCAGCGATATAATAGGATACCACATAGTTCTCTGCAGGTCGAAAACAACAGTTGAGGATAAGTGTGAGTTTTGGGTTTATCGAACTGAAGCGGGTCATTCGAATGAGATGGCTGTTACCTTCACACCAGTCAATCGAAGAGGTGGGTGGCCCCCAGTAGCCATCGCTGTTACTGATGCCCATCTTGTTGTGATGAATGAGAGCGGAGCTGAGGCTGATGATCTTGTAGTGGAGGCACAGTCCAGAAAAAGAGAAGGTTCGGGACGCGTTCTTAGTATGATGTGCGACCTGCAGATTGTCGTGTAGCTTGCAGATCCTCCTTCGCGACCCCTTCCGCCTTGACTCGACATGTACCTTTAAAAAATAATTATGAGGGAACGAAGGAGATAGATAGAAACTATATTGCTGCCCATAGTGCCTTTGCTACTCACAGCACCCGCCTTGCTGGGCCTCATCATTTTCAGTGCCATCTTCTGCCCACCTCAGCAACGCCTGCGAAATGCCCGCCTGTTCCAACACAAATCGGCGTGAATGCCACGCCCACTGTCGCGAAGATGAACATGACGATTACTGCCTCAAACGTTAGGCCGTCGCGATTGTTAGTGTCGATACTATCTGTGTTTTTTCAATCTATCAACAAGGCAGAGACGACAGATTCGGCAGGAGTGGTTACGACGAAGGAAATATTGTCGTTGTCAACATCACTGGCGCTGTCCCTACGTAGAAATGTCTCGCAGACGACATTGTCCCTAGCGGAAGAGGTATCGACTACGGGCAAAGACCACTCACGCTCCGATCAAAGCAGTGACATCCACAACCACGCCAATAGAGAAATCCGTGACAACCACGCCAGGAATAAAGATAGCTACAACATTGGAGATCACATCAACAACAACAACTACATCTGAGAAAGACGACGATCCACGTTCAAACTGACAAGAGTATCGACAGCAGTAGCTCTACTAGCAACAACGGGCATGAAGTCAACATCGACCCAGCCGGTCGAGGATGTTGTTTCTTCAGTGGAAAGTGTTATCACAACCATATACATATATTTCCGCCGCCTTCGTCGGCTACTGTGGCAACTGCTGCTGCTGCTGTTAGCACATCTCCTGCGCGTATTCTCTGACTATCGACTACTAAGCCGTTCTCCGGTACGATCGCCTCATCATTACCGACAACAAGTGCGGATACACTCACACCGAAGCAAAAAGGAGGATGATCTGGAAGATGTACAGGACGTGTAGGATGAAAGCGAAGAAGAGGAAGCAGAGGAGGAGGAGGGGAGGGAGTTGTTGCAACACAGCAATAAGGGGGGTGGGAACAAGGACAAAAACGATTTTGATGATGAGGAGGATGACCGCATTGGCAAGAGTGATATTGAGGATCCAGAGAACGAAACCCCAGAGCGCGCGTACGAGGACGATGACTATGACTATGACCTCAATAACGATTCAAAACTGTTCGCCATATACAACGGGAGGAAGTATGGACCCAAGAAAGGCGCTGCGCCCAACAGTTAGTGTTTCATGTATGAAAATTTTATGTAAATCTATGGAAAGCCAGACTAAAGATCTGATAAAGTCTGTTCTACCTGTAGAACAGGCCAAGAAAGAAAGGTGGAGCACGAGAAGAGGAACTTGGTGAATCTCGAGCGGTGGGATCGACAAGGCTGTGGACCAGAAGAGTGACTAATCTGGGGGTGACCTTCGCAAAGCCTTTGACAACGTCTCCAAGAGAATCTCCCCCTGTCCCCCCGGTTTTCGAAGACATTGGCCTTCAACAGCTGCGCAACCAAAGTGTGTTTGCATAGGACAATACACCACACAGTGGAGCTGACAAAGGATGCAAACGAACCCGAACCTACTCCTATCAATAGAGTTGTTCGTTGTAAAAAGAATCTCATCATGAACTTTCTTCTCGGTTAGCTCCTTCAATCGCTCATCTTGCAGATGCGAGCCGATACCTGCGACGACTTTGTCTGGCTCAGCGCAGGAACACCTGGATCGAAGATAGATGGGGCGATGTTCAGAATTGACGAGGCCGTACGAATGGGCATCGAAAACGACACCTTGGTCAACCATACATCCTGATAGCTCGCATCTGTTTTCAGATGTCAATGGTCCTGGAATTGCGCCGGATTTTAAGACCCAGCTGGACGCCTTGATCTGGGAGTGAATGAATGATGAGAAGAATTTCTCATTGGAACAAGTTTTGAACGTTAACTGGAGTGTCCAGACTCTTGACGCTGTTCGAGGAACATCCATAAGAGGACCAGCCGGTGGTGGAACAGAGGACCAATAATGAGAATAGCAAGGATCGAGTTCTGATGAGTCCATAGAACCTATCTGGTGCATGGAATCAAAGTGATGGACGATACACAGAAAACATTCAGAGGCGGCTGCTTGGCTTGCCGACAATGTCATGGATAGATTAAAGACCCTGATAGGCAACAGGGCCTCAGAATTCAAAGCCAGAAACAAGCAGGGACTAGGCAGGTGAGCTGTCCGATGAAGAGATGCGGAGAAAGTCGCCACAGATCAAGTCTCGACAGCGGGGGCTGCGCATCAGCAGCCGCAGCCGTAGCAGCAGGATTTACAGAAGGACGAGACAAACTATGACCCGAAATGCGGATGGACCCAAGCTCGGCTGGGCTAAATGGGGAGATGCAAGGATACTTGGATACCACAAAGTATCGGTCGAATTCAGCTCGCGTGCTTTCGCCCTTGTCTTTAATTGCCCTGCAGCAAAGTATCTAGACAGTTCGACGCAGTGCAAACTGCATAGAGTGACCTAGCTGCTGTCAGTGGACAAAAATCTTATCAGATTTTGTGGAGATTGAAGATCAGATAAAGAGAACTAGTGGTCTGTTCTTTTTTTTTTTTTTTTTTTTTTTTTTCATTAGATCAGGCTACTGTCGGTTGAGCCTCAGACGAGCACGATTGAGTGTCAGCCTTTTAGCTTCATGACCCGAGAAAGGGTGCAGCGGTATCTTTGGTCAGACGACTACCCGTTTGCATTTGTCTGCATTGATGCATTTATAATTGACCGACCATCTGTCCAACCATTCCAGCATGTTTAGATAGACTGCAAACATGTGTGCGATATAGGAGTCGCGTGTTTGCAGGAAAAATAAATAATATATACGATAATCGCACGACAGTCTAATTCTTGACATTAGCCCCCGAGTACATAGGAAGAAAAAAATGCGTTCAGGAAGTCAAGTGCCTGATCTGCAAAATCACTTTTCTTCGCCTTCAGTAGCGCACAACGGCATTTCATGCATTGCGAAAGTAGAGAGCTTAATGCTAGGTGCCGCGCATGCACGATGGGGTACTCGCTGGGCTCTCCCCTTGACTGGAGAGGGGAGTGGTCAGTGCCAAAATAAGACAATGCCTGGGCCAAGGAACATATTTGTACGTAAGTAGCTCCAGCAATCAGTTTTTTGAGAAGACACACATGTACATGTAACCAAAGAAAAAAACATGGGCCAGAGCTGGGGATTGCATAGTTTGTTTTTTTCATGGGTATATACAGTAACAGCCATGAGGTGGATCTTCCGTAAGAAATTCATTTAGCCCAGGCAGGGTGAAACAGGCCCTGGGTCCTAACCAGGGCCTATGGTCCGTGTGCGTGGACTGGGCATGATCGCTACTTTTCATGTCGGGTGTTGTAAGACGTGCTAATGAACAGCATGAACGAGAGGGTCACTTCCTCTTCACGCTGTACGTGTCGTTTAAAAGATTATCAGAACGTGGATCAATTGGACCAGGCAATAGCGATTTATGCGGGCGGAGGAGGAACAGGTCTGACCCTCATCCGATTTCTGGGGCACTCAATAGCCATTGCGCCCAACATGTTGCGCTCACCCAACCAAAAAAAATGTCTTGCATGGTTAGCGGAATAGCACCTCTTCTTGTGGCGTTGCTGTGTCCAAGGGCAACGATTGCTAAATGTGCCTTCATGGAAGCGTTTTTTTTTGAAGTCGATGTCTGAAATGGCCCTCAAGTTTCCTGCACCCCCTTGCTCCTTGAGAGTCCCCCCTTTTTGACATACTGAAAGTGTGATAAAACAGACATCTCTCCCCCTTTTCTACATGGCCCGTTCTTCTTTCGCGCCATAAGGGTCCAATAGCGGTTGTAAAATAAACTGATAAGACTAAATGCATCTTTGGATAATTACAGATGTTTGATTGTACTTCTTGCGAAGTTGATTATTATTGTAATAGTTTTCTATGATACAGAGCTACAATGATGATGATGATTTTTTTTTTTTTTGGCTTTTTTGGTTTTTTTTTCCTGGGAATATGGTATGTACAGGGCGAAAAAGCGAACCGACGGTATCGAAGAGTGAGATTATATACAGCAAAGTGGTCAAGGGGTTTAGTTTGTTGGTAAGGAGTGTTCTACCAGAAGAAACCACCCTTCTTGTTCGCTGTGCTCATTGTCGTCGTCATGGTATACTGAGGCCCTGCTGGAGACTTGCGGCGCGACTCGACGTCGGCGGGGTGACCCAAGGAGAAGGCAGGAGGGGAGATGCGACCCGAGCTCGTCTTGTTGTAGACATAGTTGGTCATGGGCGAAGTTGGTGGAGACGAATAGGCGGCTGCTGAAGAGCTGACACTGGTCAATGTTGGCGAGGACAAGGGCGAGTAGGTTGAGGTCTTTTGACGAGGGAAGGTCTGCAAATCAGGAGGGTAGGTGTAGCCGAGTGCTGGGTGCGATGCCATAGCATCGGCCTTTTTGCAGCGATCAGAGCAGTAAAGACTTGACTAGAAGAGGCAAGGAAGAGAGAGTAGGCGTTAGCTTTCAACGGTCTTTCGAAGATGTGCATGTGTTTATGCTATGGTGGTGCAAAAGCATGGGAAATCGAAAACTTACCTCCCAGGCAAGTGGGATGTGTTGTTCGCAGACGGGGCACCAGTTGAGATCCATTGCTATTGGTGTGTGAGTGAGTGTGGAGAGAAAAAGATGGTAGGTGCGTAGGGATGGTTGCCAGGAGAGAAAGAAAGACTGAAGGGGCTCTGTGTCGTTTGCAGTGGTAGCAATTGAAAGTCGAGTGGTTTGTGCTGTAATGAACAAAAAAAAGACCTTGGATGTGGGGAAGAGGGCGGTAGTATTTATATCAGTGGTCGAGGCTGAAGCTGAGGCCGAGGATGAGGAATAAAGTGTCGAGTGGTACTCATACTTGGCAAGCAAACACGATGTTGTGATCCATTCAATCAAGGTGCTTATTTTTACAATAGAAAATAACGAATTGCCAGGCCAGGAACAACAATCGCGTATTATTCTTTACTGTCGTATCATATATAATACTACTGAATAAGATAGAATAACAAACATCACTCTTTTCAATAGAACAGAATACAAATTACTCATTTGACTTGCGAATTATAAATGTCGCCCCTTCATGACTAACCCAGCTTTCTTGCCCAGTTCTTGCCTGTGATTCGTCCGTTTGGCTACCCGACTCGAAGAGTCATTCTTTGCTGTCCCTCCCTTGCCACCCCGCACTGCTTTGCTCAGTTGTCCTTTGTCCTTTTCATAAAACTCTTTTTTGCTGGGTATGACAGCGGCAGCCAAGCAAAGAGCACCATCCCCCCATCCTGGCCCATTCGCACGACTTTGATTTGCCCCTTCACTGGGCGCAACACTTTTTACCCTCCCATCTTCCCCTGTAGTCCAAGCCAAGTAAGACGTCTCTTAGAAGAGGGCCAATGTGGTGTTTCCTTTATTGCCATGATGGCGTGAGCTCAAGCACGTACCACCACAATATTCTTTCACTGGTTGTGGTCAATGATCCATTAGTTCAAACCGACTATGTCCCCTCAATACGATCACGGTCTTTTATCGTACTGCGTCTCTTCCTATAGTAGCACGATTGCCTGCGGTCGGCTGCGGTCGCCTGTCGCAGCATGCTCCATTGACTTAGTGTACCGTAATCAGACGTGCCACGACCGCAGCTCAACTGCACAAGGTGTTTGTAAGGCACTTTTTTCCCTTGCCCTGCACTTCTTCTTTATTGTTACTGTTGTTACTGTTCTTACTTGAGGCTGGGCCCCCTGGCATGTCCCTCAGCTCCAAAGACATCACGAAAAAGTTGAATATAACAAACCTTTTGTTTCCAGGTCCAAAACAGGCATCATTTCCTATAAAGTCATCGGTTACGGCCCGGTCTGTATTTGGACATAATTCCGTGTGTAGATTTAGCGAATAGGATGCGAGTATCGAGGAATGTCGCCAGAAACACAAACAGCGCCGCTGTAAAGAAACACAATCCCTTCAGCCTGGTTCGTCTTGCGCACTCTCCCGGTCGCCATCCGATGATGCACCCGTGTCTCTCCTTTGCTTTCTTCGATGACGATCGATGGGAGCACAGTGTTTGCTGCCGCATCGAACTTCCTCACCGCCACGAATACCAGTTTTAATAATTTCCTTTTTGAATGCTCAGTCATCTAGAATCCTCCATGCACTGCGTACTGGTGGCAATGGCGGTGCGTTGAATAGAATGCCAGATGAGTTTCATTTCATTTCAGCTGCGCCTGAATGAATGAACACAAACAACTATGTGTGATTGTTTGCTCCGATAGCCCCTGTTGTGCTGCTGGGTGACACGTATATGTTTTGTCGCTCGTATGGTCGCGAAAATGACGCCAAAGACTGTAGTTGAAGCGTATTCATCGGCCTTGCATTGGCTGCTTGGTAATGCCTTCTATTGCTTTCTAGTGCTTTCTACCACTTACTCATCGATCCTATGCCGTCTCCACCTCCTTTCGTCTCCTCTTCTTCCTTTCTTTACCCTGTCTCCCAACCACTGTTCTTTTCTTGACCATGTCACCCACATTTTCCTCTAACGGCTCATTTTGCTCACCCGTTCACCAGGGGCCCTTGTTTTCATTTAACTGAAAATAAAGTGCATCAGCCGATCCCCTCATGTTTTTATTGTTCAGATGGTTTTCTTTTATTAGACGGATATCTTTTTGGTATGCATGTGTCCAGAAAACAACAGCGGGCTACAAACCTAACGTGAAAAAAAACAATGGACAGGGTCTTTCTACATTCCGGGAGCTCCAACGACTGGTTCATTCAGAAATACGCGCTGGCATCAGATGGTGTGTCTCTTTAACCATTGATGCATGTGTATGCGTCTAAGCTATCATTAACATTTGGAAGTGGCCATGGTTCATGGCCAGATATTGCAACTGAGCAGGGTAACTACGTTGCTTAGGTCAGGGATACTATGTATATTCGCCCAGGAGATCTTGCAGAGGAGCAATTGTCTACCAAAGACAGGCCGCAGTGCCATGGCATTGTAGCATGTGGCATATATTTCACCACTTTCGCATGTTTTCCTGCTGTATCATGCGATGCTCACCATTCTAGTGCTACAGAGACCCGCTATTTCTCATCCCAGGAGAAGTGTATTTGTGTGCATCTTCACCCCCTTCCCCTCCACATTCTGCAGTAACCTGCGGCAAAAATGGCGAATTTTACTTGTGACAGTAATGTCACCTTTTCTTCCCTGGCAAGCACGTTATTCGTTAGTGGCAATGGCGTGTTTCCGCTATCCCATGGGCCATGGACTCGTACCAATCCAAAAGTCCACCTTCTGTCCGTGCGGTAAACACAAGACTGATGCGTATCTCAAATCGGATGGTGCAAGAGTTGGGCGAAGCGCTTGCCAAGGCTGCAGGTCTAACATATCTGGTTCGCTATCACAATCTCTATCGAGTCCACTGTTGTCTGCTGTTCATTCAGCACTGATCCGTCAATTACCGCCTCAGCCTTACTCTCGTTTTCACGACCCTGTGGGCAGTTGTTTCTAAACTGAGGAAGAATGTGTCTTTTCAAGTTATCTTTTCATCCTCGCCGCTCCTAGGCGTCCAATCATGGTACATAATGAAGCGATATCTCTCAGTACTTCACCGTTCGTGGTCAATTGGGTTTGCTTCACAGCCCACTAGGTTCTTCAACCTAATTTGCTTTGTGGAGGATTCATAGTGCTGAAAGGCGGAGAGGCACAAATCGATAGGGCAGACTTTAGTTTTTTCGCTGCTCTTTTGCTTTCATATATCCCGCACATCCTAATGCTTAACATTTGTATAAGCCCCTTAGGCCACATCTACACATCTATTCTCGTCCTAATTGCCGCACTCACTTCCTCCGCTGTCCCCTTGCCCTCTATACCCCTTCGTCGCGAGATTCTCCCTAGTTTCAAGTTTAAACAGCGTTCCAGTGGATCTTAGACCTCTGTGGAACCAGTGGGAGACCCTAGTCTAGTCTACGCTCGACCGAACCTGGCCAGTCGCAACTAGTCTTAGCTCCCCAGACTGAAAGTATGCTTGGGTGGTCTGTTCACAAGACAAGATTTTATTTTATAAGCGGAGAACTTGGCCTTATACGGCAACCATGCAAACGCCATCCCCTCGATTATCTTGTCGCGGCTAGTTAACGAACGCTAAAGCGATTTCGAAGTAGTCTATGTTCCTAATCACCAAAAGAAATACGAGATGGAAACAACAGATTGAATTCACATGGAAGATATAGTCTGATGTGGCCTAGAAACATTGATAGCTCTAGAAAACACATCGGAGCTTGACTATGAGAACACAGATTAAAAAAATTTACACATCTTACTTTGTGGCTCCATCTCCTAGGGGTTCTTGACCTAGAGGCCTTCTCTGGAACAGGAAATGCGCAACGAGAATGGACTCAAAGAGCCATGTTCTCGAACCAGGAAGCATCGCTCTATACACGTGATGCATATCCTGCCGCATCGTTTCTATTCTCTGACGGAGATAAATTTTGTTCTTAACGATTCAAGTTCATAGGGATGCGACGCGTTCGAGCGTCTACGAGCCTCATGCAATTATGTCTTAAAAAGTCAATGAGAAAGTGGATGAATATACAGGAATGCAGAGGTATTAATCACTTTCAGTCATTCCCCGTTCGATATCTCCATACCTATATGGAAAGAATGAGGAAGCGATGTGATCCTTCCGATAACTATGCCCGTCAAGGCGCGATAAGGACCACTTCTGGATGCGCGCACTCCAATTACGACAATAAAGACGGGCACGGAGTGCCTGTTGAATATTTTCAGACTGTGTGTGGAAGTGCTGGACTTTATCGCGGTCCTGAGGATAGCAGCATATTTCCTAGCGAAAGGGCGATTAAGCAAGCGGGATCAAAACAGGGAATTCCTGCGGCATGAGGATGCCGCGTAGTGAGGCATTAGGAGGAAGCGCCCTGAGATTGGCGGACAAAAAGTTGTCAGGCGCAGGCTGTGATGATACGCCCATCTTGATCACGATGCTTTGGTTCACCAAACATGTTTGCACATTGGAGCGCACGTTGCACAGAGACCATTCATGGCCTTCCACATACTGTTATTTTTAGAAATGACAGAACAGCAACGTATCATAGCTCATCCATCCTGGCGCCCTGGTACTTGGCTAGCATATCGGTATGTCGTAGATATACACACATGTTGTCGGTGATAAGGCCGTGGACCATTTTCAGCATCGGTAAGAATAAAAACCCTGCATACACGCTAGAATCGGGACATGCAAAACGTTGCTCACTTGCTGCCACCTCTGCAAACGGATATGACCATGCAAGTCTTTTTATGGATCATCCTCGTAGTCTGAAGTTTACTTGCAGACAGGCAGCAGATTCGGGCGTAAATATACGCTTCAGGCACGGATATAAATGCTTCATGACGAAAGGAAAGAGGGAGCTGATAAGAGGGAAACAACCCTCGGTCGGTGATGAACAACAGGATCCGGTCTTGGGATTTATCCATTTGGGCCAGCAGAATTACCACATAGTTCACCATCCTAAGTGCGACGTACGGAAGAGGCATTGTCAAGACCTTCGCTTGGGTGTTCAACTTTCTCCTTCAGATATAGTTGTTGGCTTAGCTGATTCGTTCGGAATTTCTGTTGTGTCGATTGGATACAGCAATGCTTTACCCTGACCAAGCAAGACAAAAGTGCATACTATGCAGACAACAACCTGTTTCTCTCTCGCGTTGCTGTTGTCATCAGTCAAGGCGAGAGAGAGTCCTTTCTCGCGAATTGAGTCTTGCGGGAGAGATAATCGGTGGTGAATAGTTAAACGATAACGAGCGGAGGATCATCCCGTTGCTCGCTTGCTTTATCTGGTCGATTAACGATGATGGCCTTGCAGAAACAGGAGCAGGACGATTCATTTTTCGGAACTTGTGTTCGCTTCTATTATTGTTTTCTGTGCAGCTGCAGGTCTAAATTTCGTTTTTTCCCTTGCTCCGCTGCTCTGTTGTTCTGCTGTTGTTGTTTTTTGTTTGGTAGGTTTTTCTTGGTCTTGGTCGTCCTCTTTCTTCTCTCACTCCTTCTCCCAACCCACGCCCTCTCCACCTTCTCAGACTTCTACACCCTGTTTTCACGACTTTCTCTCATCGTTGGTTCTTTCCCCACTCTCATTCCTCATCCTTGAACATTGATTTCTCTTCTTTCACGAATCCATTCCGCTTGAAATCGAATCGTGAAACCCATTGCACCGAGAAGGCGCACTTTTTCTGTTTGTTTTATTCATTTGCCATATTCAAATCCATCCATATTCATATCCTTATCCAATTCCATATCATATCCATATTCATATATTTGCCATTACCATTTTTTATTCACAGCTAATCAGCAAGTGTTCTCGCAGCTGATCCCCCTTTGTCTCATTCATGCTGGCGCTCTCTTGTCTTGTTTGAACAGGTAAGCAGCGATAGGCATTGGTTGCCATTGGGTGGATAGCACACTCCATCTTGCCCTTATTTCCAGAAGTTTTATCATTGTACCTGAAAATCAGAAAATAAAGACGAAACACGCGCACAGATGCTTACATCCCCCCCTCTTCCCCGCTCTTTGCGGGGAGAGAACGAGCGAAGGAGTGTGTGTGTCTTTGTGGATGTAATTCTCCGATACTGGGGCAGTTGGAAGGAGAGGAAGCCTAGGCGTTAGTAGGGTGGGAGGTTCAGCAAGAAGACAACATACCAGGATTGCACACAGATAACACAGAGGTGGAGGCAGAGACAGCACAGGACATTCCATGTATCCGGGGCCTGAAGAAAAAAAAATCAAAATCCAGCGCGCTCATGCTCTCAGATCAGAGGCATGTCCCAATGTCCATGTCTTCAATAAAAATAGCATCAGAAAAAAAAAGGAACAAAAGGATTGCGCGAAGGGTAACCGCGGCACGAACCACCTCCTCCAGTGTCAACATTTTTCATCCTGAAGAGAAGATCCATTATATCACAAACAAACATTCAGAACGAAGGAGGGACTGACCGTTTTCACTCCATCTTTTACGCTGATTACTCCATTCTCGTTCCACTCCGCCTCACTTGATTCAAACCTTTACTTTGCCTCCTTCGCTCTCTGATTCTCCCAAGCACACACTCACGCTTTCTACACACATTGGCGCATTTGCAGCAGCGATTGTGGTTGTTTGGTGTCACACACAAGTTTTGTACACACTCAACACGCTATATACAGCACGTTTGAGCAAGAAAACACTTGTGTTATCGGACACCAAACAATCAGGCATCATCATCGTTTAAAAGGCTGGGTTGAAGGGAACAAAAGGGAGTCAAGTTGTGCCCTGTTATGTCATATCGATTATTTCCTAGTATCCACACCCGCCCATCACCCTTATGATTCATTCTCCTTTCTTTTTTTTTTTGTTTGTAAACGATTCTTCGTCATTGCCCCATCCACAGCTTTTTTGTGCGTGTGTGCTTGTTGCTTATTGCCAATTGCTTGGAGTTTCGTTTATTGCTTATTACCTTGCATAACATACATTTTCGCTGACCACACCTTCACACATCCACACCAGATACACCACTCAATTGCGCACACACAACATACAGCATACCATCCCACCCTATTATCCATTCGACCCACTGCCTCTTTTCCATCATAGAGGAAACAACAACAGCAACAGCCCCCATGGCCTCGCTTTCTATCAACACCACGCGGAACCACGTTCGTTCTACGTCCGGGGAGATGCACAATATGCAACAGGCCCACTATCAGATTCCCCGCGGAGCAACAAGCATGTCGAATCTCAGAGACAATGGTTACATTCACCCGGGGAGTCGACCCATCGGACATGATGCAGTCCACCACCGAGGACCACGACCAAGTAAGCAGAACCGCTCTGGATATCATCCCACACAACTGAAACCAATCGCGGTCTTGAACGATGTCCATAGCTACTGACTGACCTTACTTTATATTTATCCCCTCAATCTCAATATGATAGTCATGGAACGGTACGGGCCACCACTGCCTCCAGCCCAAGTACCGCATGGACCGTCCTACGATGACATGTATCGCCGGGCGCGGCCAAAGAACTTTCAGAACGGCCCCATATCTCCGCCAGGTACGATTAATTGAATTAATATTGAGATTAATTAAGTCCTTCCTTCACGCAATGGTGTTATCAATTGGGCGATAAGATGCTTATCCCGCTTTTCACAAGTGAGAGCAGACGCACAAGGGAAACCATTAAAGTATTTTGCCAATGAGGGGGGTGCGAAATCATTCGAGTGGAATGATCGGCTCTGACACTTATTCTATTTGTTCTATTGGAAATATTAGTGGTCAATGATATGCCATGGCGACCTCAAACCAACCTGCCAAATGTCGAGCGACCTGAGATTAATGTTGAAGAATTGGCAGGCAAGCAGATGTTGCCTCTGGAGCCGCGATCGATCCTGGAACAGGCGGTTGACGAGTCCACGATGACCCCAATGAGTCGCTTTGTGAGCATTATGGAGGTCTTGAGGTTTCGGGGATTGTACATGGCCAACACAAAGGCGTTTTCTGTCGTTGATATCAAAGGCAGAGAGACTTCTTCGTGGACATGGGAGAAGCTGCACGGGAGAGCAGAGAAGATCAGTCAGACCATCCTCGAAAAGACACAGCTGCGCCGAGGCTCCCGTGTGGCCCTCGTCTATAGGAAATCGGAGATCATGGAGTTTCTGGCGGCGTTCTATGGATGCATGATGGCAGGAATGACTGCGGTACCGATCAATGTCATCGAGGAGTTTGCGGAGATGACCTACATCTTGAATTACACCAAAGCGGAACTGGCACTGACAACGGAATACAACCACAAGGCACTCAGCAAAGACTTGGCCTTGCACAAGGGCGTGGACTGGCCCCTTGGCGTCACTTGGTGGAAGACCGACACCATGGGAAGCTGGAATCCAAAGAAGAAGGATGGCTGGCCCGACATTGAGTTTCCCGACCTCGCCTACATCGAATATAGCAAAGCACCCAACGGCGAACTGAAAGGCGTCGCTGTTAGCCATAGGACAGTGCTCTCACAATGTCACGCCATCAAGCAATCACTCGGCGCCAACCCTAATAGGGGCTGCAGCGCCGCTCCAGCCTCGCCTTCACCTTTCACCCCCCGTTCCCATACTGCCCCTGCAGATATCAAGACACCTTCAACCCCAACCAATCCCATTTCTCCATCACGGCGATTGAGTACGACTCCTGTGGAGACAAAGAAAGCTGATGTCGTGCTGACTTGGCTTGAGCCACGGCAGCAAGTGGGTCTTGTACTTGGTGGTCTGCTGGGTGTCTATCGTGGAAGCCATACGGTCTTTATCCACAGTGGCGTCACGGACACACCGGGTCTTTGGGCCCATTGCGCACAACGATACCGTGTCACCTTGGCATTAGGAGACTATGAGGGCGTGCGCGAGTTGCTGAGGTTCAGGCCCACAGATGGGGCCAAGAAGGAGGTGCCCGGTCTTACATGCCTCGAGACTTTTCTCATTGATGCCGTGATGGTCAAGCCGCTACTGGATCTTCAGTTCGCCAATGAGTTTTTGTCTGACCTGGGCGTTCCCAACCCTCAGCATGTTGTTGTTCCAATGTCGAGTTTGCCGGAGCACGGAGGCATGATTTTGAGTATGCGAGACCATTTGGTATTCCCAAGAGGCGCCGATGTGATCGACTTTGGGTTTGAGTACGAGATTCCAAGAGGACCCTTACCAGAGCCAGGAACGCGACGTCGACCACAGGGGTACCCACCAGCCTCGAATACCATTTGTCACTATCTACTGGACCGCGGTGCACTCAAAAGTAACATGATTCAGGTCCTTGCCACTGGAGAAGAGGCGCTTCTGCGGGCGTCTGAGCGTGGTGTTGTCCTCGTTGGCGCGTTTGGCTACGCCATGCCTCGAGGTAAGCATTGTGCAGTGATTCTTGCGGCTTGTATCAGGAAAAACGTGGAGCTGGATGCCGTTACTAACATGAATTCATTTTTTTTTAAGCAACACTGGCTATTGTGGATCCGGAGACTACGGCATTGTGCCAACCTAATCGTGTCGGAGAGATCTGGATCGACTCACCTTCAATTGCATTTGGATTCTGGGAGCTACCCAAACACTCCCAGTCCATTTTCCACGCCTTGCCATTGATCGTTCCAGTGGACACCATGATCCCTGAGGTTTACGATCCCGTACCGGCCGGCTTTTTGAGAACCGGTCTTCTTGGTGGACTGATCGAAGGCCGTGTGGTGATTTTCGGACTGTACGAGGACCGGATTCAGCAGGAAATCGTGGATCTGGTTCATCCCGAAATCGTCGAGTTTGATTACCATTACACTGCCGATCTTTCCAACACAATCTTGGATCGCATTGTCGGCTTTACGGCTTGGTACGTTGGATCGTACTCTACTGACACAATTCATGCGTAGGATGGGATTTTCAAAATAACTGACTTTGTGAGCTCTATTTTTTTGTTTGTTTTCCAAATAGTATTGCGTTCGAGTGCATAGTCAATAATGAGCATCTGCCAGTGATATGCGCGGAGACTCCCAGGAGTCAACGTGGCGATCTGGTCAAATTAGCGGACTTTGCGAAGCAGGCAATGCTGGACTACCACGGACTGCGACTCTACACCATCGCCATTGCCCCGACAGGAAGTCTCCCTCGAGCATTTAAGAACGGGAAGCGGGTACTACACCCGGTCTTATGCCGCAAGATGTTTGAGCTCGGCCGATTGAGGTTGATGCACATCCATACTTCCGTAGATGACACCGTCTTTAATATCCCTTTCGGAGACGATGCCACTGGTGGCATTTGGGGTGTCGGTAAGCACTATAAATTACTCCGGGCCTTGCAATGGGCATCATTATTTTATTTCGAATACTAACAATGGTGCTCGTGGAACTTTCCATTTCTACAGAGGCACTTGCTGTTCGTGAGGCGGCCCTACCCTCACATACGCGCATGGTGCAGTTCTCGTGCTGCGATTATCCTAAGGAAGTCTTGGACGAAAAGACCAAAATTAATTTATCGCAGTTCAGCAGTCTGCCAGAGATTCTTGTTTGGCGTTCTGTTGTGAATCAGGACGAGATTGCTTTCGTTGGAGTTGACGGGCGTGGCAAAGAAACCAAAGGGATGACGTTCCGCAAGTTCGGCATGAAGGTCGTTTCGATTGCGAACTACATTGAGAAGCGTGGCGGTTTCAGGACTGGAGCTAAGGTTGTGTTGCTATTCCCGAACGGAGTCGAATTTGCAGCAACGGTCTACGCATGTTGGCTCCTCGGCCTTGTCCCGATTCCTGTTCAGTTACCTGAGGCAGCGCGTCTGCATGAGGATATCACCCTCTTGATGGGACTCTTGGCAGAACTCAAGGTATCGCATTTGATCGGAAACACTGCTACGGACGACCTGATGAAGCAGAAGACGACTATGATCCACATCAAAGCCTGCATTGGACCACGACAGGATGCCAGCGTTCCAACGGTCTTCAATGTATCGAAGGCGCCCAAATTCAGTAAGAACTTGGGCAAGGATTCCGGCTACATAGCGCCGCCCGCTGTTGCGCTCGCAAAGACTGCGCCAGCGATGGTCTTTGTTCACTACTCGAGCGACATGCGTCAAACCTTGGTGAAAGTGAGCCATGCTGCGTTGATGGCTCAGTGCAGGGCACAGAAGGTCCAGTGCCGATTCAAAACTGGTAGACCAATCTTGTCATGCTGGAGATCGTTCTCTGGTATTGGGCTGTTGTACTCTTGTGCTTTAGGCGTGTACGTCGGAGCGCCGACTGTGATGATCCAGTATTCGGACTTTACAACGGACCCTCAGATCTACTTTGAGGCGCTCGAAAGACACGGAGGTATGGACCAAGGCCGTTTTGCACTTTTGTGTATTCCGATCTCTGAGTGCCACGGAAAACTGATAATTTTTTTCGTATTCTTTTCGCGCGGATTAAATAGCCAGGGATGCGCTTTTGAACTATGCAATGTTGGAGCAGGCGATGAACGCATCGGAACCGGTCAGCGTGTCGTCGTTTAATTTCACTGGAGTGAAGAACTTTTTGTTGAACTCTGAAGGCAGACCCCGCACAGAGGTTAACCAAGCGATCGAGAGGCGGTTCGCACAGTCTCGACTGGAGAAGACCGTTATCAATGCCATGTTTGGACATATGATCAACCCGATGGTGACAACGCGATCCTACATGAATATCGAACCTGTGCGACTTCACTTATCTCTTAAGTCGTTGCGACGAGGAGTCATCCAGGTCACGACGGAGCAAGAAGATCCTACCGGTATTTGGGTTGAAGATAGCGGCATTGTAAGTGCACCTTTGTGAGAAAAGAGCATTTTTTTGTTAGCGTTCTGTTGATCCTATTGCGCATCGCTAACCGTGAGGTTATTTCCTTTCTTTAGCCCATTTGCGGAACTACAGTCGCTATCGTGAACCCAGAGACGAGAGAGATTTGCTTGTCGCGTGAGATTGGTGAGATTTGGGTCTCGTCCGACGCCAACGTCCAATCTTACCAGGGTGCGGCGCGTGAGCATGGCGGACGCAGCCTGTCCAACGCATCGCCGCTAAGCGTGGAAGCGTTCCCGCCCAACGGCAACTCAGAAAAGCCGCAGTCGGAGCCAACGTCGCCGTCGGATGTCAACAGCCGTTACAACGTAACAATCGCCGGAGGAGATGCCAGGATTAATTACGTCCGCACAGGCGAGGTTGGGTTCCTCTGGAACTATTCTAAGGAAAGCTTCAATGGTGGCAAGCCAACCAGTCTGCTGTTTGTCCTGGGCTCGATTGGAGAGACTTTTGAGATCAACGGACTTATGCACTTCCCCAAGGATATTGAGGCGACCATTGAGCGCGCGCACCCTAATATTGCACCCAACGGAAGGTAATATTCACCACAAAGATTCACGAAGTGCCATTGATCAAAGATCAGGACTGACCAACATTGTCTTGTATTCTTTTTTCGTTTGTCGTATAGCATTGTCTTTCAAGCTGATCAGGCCGTGGTTTGTGTGGTCCAGGTTCGCCAGGCGGATAACACAGTGGTGAATCTCAGTCTATCATTGTTGCACCAGGTTCTCGAAAAGCACCAGTTCGTGCCCGATGTCATTGCGATCGTTGGGGAGGGTGTGCTGGCCAAGAACCGGTACGGGGAGAAGCAGCGCGGCAAGATGCTCAGTCTCTTTATGAGTGCAAAGATGTAAGTCAGCAATTGTCTTACTCCAAGTTGATGGCTATGTGAGACGGACTTCTTTGAATTATTGTTAACGTGTACGGGCGACATATCTATAGGCCTCTGCTGCACATTCACTATCCTCGTGGAAAACTGCCCAAGTCTGTCCCCGAGCAGATGCAACCCATAGTGCCCATGACCCCGATCATAGGTCGACATGGCGCCAGCGGAGCAGGGTACATTCCATCATCCCCTGGTGGACCAAATGTCGAAAAGCCCAGCTCTATCCGATCTAACCGATCCACGACATCTATGGCGTCTATGCGCTCAGTGCGATCCTTTATTGGAACCATGTTCAGCAATCTCAAGGGCGGTCATGGTGGACATGGTGGTGTCGGACCAGGTCCTAACTTCAGTTCGACTAATGTAAGCAGCGGCGGAGCTTATCCCGCTGGATACAGTCATCACTCACACGGAAGCACAACTAGCATTGGTGGCTACCATGGATCTAGACCGGGGTCTGGATCCTCTATTGGGTTGAGCTCCTCGTTCACAGGGACGCTGCCCCCCTCGACTCCAACGGGACCATCGACGTTATCGAATGCGTCGGTCTCGTCTCCCTCTGCAGTTTCGAACGGCAATATCTCACCCAGGAGTACGGACCAATATGGGGATGGGAGAACATTAAGCTCGGGAAGCATCCCTCAATGTGAATCCCCTGCTTCGGCCACGACCCTAGCTACGGCTACGTTCCCAGGTAACAGCAACAGAGCTACCCTGGCACCAGCCTCTGTCACTCCCTTGATCCCTTCGTCTCCATTGCTGGGTTGCGCCACCACCGTAGTCCCTGGATCTACTGCCGCTACCGCAGAGACGGTGCAGGAAGACATGGCCAAAGTTTCTATTCGGATGCCAGAAGCGTCCAAGTCCGATGCTGGAAATACTAAGGCGACGAAGGGGAATGAACAACAAGGAACCGCCATTGTTGTGAACACGACGAACGTGCCATTTTCGGAGACGATGGACGGATTTCCTTGAGTGAGCGATGCTCTCGAAATGTAGATCATACATGAAGGAAAAAAGAAAGACAACCATACCTTTCAACTACCCTTGTCTTCATACCTTTACACATGCACTCATTGTAAATAAAATCCATAACGCAGTAATGCATAACAAAGTCGACTTTACTGTTTTTTGTGGTTTTTCTATATAGATTTCATAATACATGTTTATGGCGTTCACAAAGGCCTTGCGCCTTTGCGGGTCCTGTAAAGATATGCTTGGCTACTAATAGCCAAGGATGTCCAAGTTTTTGTGCTGTGAGCTGGTGCTTCTTGAAAGGGACGTTATTGACAAGATGTGCAATAATCGGCTTGCTGACAATTGTTGTGTTGCGTATGGTCTCGAGTCCAGATGCGAGGGCGACTGCTGTACCTTTGTACTCCCAGAAGAGACAGAAACAAAGCGCCATGTCCTGTCTTTCCATGGATTCTAACGGTGGTGTTGAGCTGTTATTTGTGTCCGTCCCATGTTGTTGATGGAAAAATAAATCTCTGCCTAAGCATGTATCCCAATTGTCTTGAGAGGCGCTGACAAGGCATCCCATTTAGTCCGTCAATTGTTTTACAGACACCTGTGCCATCATCAGAGCATATTTTACATTGTATCCAAGAGAGAAGGGGGGAGGTGTGGTGTTTGTGTAGGTCGCTGCGAAGGAGTGGTTTCTGAAAACAGCCATAAAACAGAGAGAGGTGTGTTCTCGGCGTCGCATTATTCACATCGTTGCTCTTAGGACACCGCTGCTTCCGAATACAGCCCCAGATCCGCAGGGTCGGGTTCCTAAAGGATGGAGGAAGTATCACTGAGTCCATTATTTGCTGCCATGCTGGAGGTGACAGGAAGGCTGGTTCGTGAAGAATGCTATAGGAATCGGAGGCGGGGCAAACGGGTGGAATACGCTCGGGCCATCGCTCGTCGATTGAAAGAAAGAAAGAGAGAGAGCGAGGCGCCGCACGTATTTAAAGAGAGATTCGATTCCCTTTTTTGAACGTTCATTGTTCTCCTCTCGACCTATCCACCTTCCCTTTGGATCGCCACCTTCGAACAATCATCGTCCTTTTACGGCAATTGCTTCCTGCCTCATTATCCACTGACCTCGCCTTCTGCTAAAGGCAAGCAGTAGTACAGCCAACGCAGAAGAAAAGGTACCTGTACACTCCAGGCAGTAGCAGGACCATTTTTTAAAATATGGCGCCCGACCCCTCCGTTGTCATTGTCGGAGCCGGTATCGCAGGACTTGCGCTGGCGATCATGTTTGAACGTGCAGGGATGCATCGGTATGTGATCCTGGAAAAGGCGCCTGAGGTTCGCCCGTTTGGTAGCGCGGTTGCACTGAGCGCTATCATGCTGCGGTGCTTTGAGCAACTGGGCTTGCTGCCCGAAATCATCGCTGCGTCCAAACCTGCGGTCGGAAACGTATTCTTGGATGGCGATCTCAAGTATATTGGGAATTTTAGTTCCATCTTTATCGGACAACGGTACGCGGATATTTTTTTCCGCTATTGGCACTCGCGTTTTTTGTTCTCGGTTTGTTGCCTTCTTTAGCTGCTGTGCTAACTTTTTTTTTTTTTTTTTTTTTTTTTTTTTTTTTCATGTACCTCTGCATTAGATATGGATACTTCAACATCGTCATCCCTCGTCCAGACTTCCATCTGATCCTGTTTCGCCATGTCCCCCGCACAAGATTTACTTTTCCAAAAAAGTGCTCTCCCTGAACCAGACCTCCGAGAGTGCCCAGGTCCGCTGCTCCGACAACTCGGTCTTCTATGCCGATATTGTCATCGGTGCCGATGGTGCCTACTCGGGTATTCGGCAGAGCCTCTACAGATCAATCCAAAATGCCCCCAGGAACGTGGCTCAATTAGGTAGAGGGGGTCTTGCTTCCGCATTTAAGAAACGATCGTCCAATGGCTCTGGTGGAGGCGGTGTTGGCCACAAAGGCGATATTCGGTTACCAAAGTCGGACCAGGAGCCGCTGAGATTTGACCAGCATGCAGTAGTTGGGCTCACGAACCCCTTGGACCCAGAGAGGTATCCGTTTCTGAAGGACAAGAGCTGTCAGGTCATCACCATTATAGCAAGAAATGGAGTATCGGTACGAAGAATATCCTCTTTTATATTATCGTCGCCGCTATTAGTCTATTACTGTTTGGCTTTCGAAGAAGCTAACGCGGTGAAATATTTGCCCGGTAGACATGGCTGTTCCCAATGACGAAAAATCGAATCTGTTGGGGTATATCCTCTCGGACATTCGAGACGCCTTCAGAGCAAGAGCTGGCAGCCAAGGGCCTCTCTGCCAACTTCAAGGTCTCTGAATGGGGTCCCGAATCTGTCGACAAGATCTTGGACCTAGATTATGTCAAGAACCAGAAGTCGCCTTACGGTGGAACCATGCAGGATATCTTTGATCAAACCGAGAAAGGCTCACCTGTTAGAATCATGCTTGAGGACAAGGTACGCGTCTATATGGAATATATATACAATAATAACAATAGTAACGATAATATAAAAGAACCGCTTGTCACCCTGCACTCTAACGCTCGTTTCTTTTCGTTCTCGTTTCATTTACCAGGCATTCAAGACTTGGTATTATAAGAGGACAGTTCTCGTGGGTGATGCCTGCCACAAGACCATTCCGTTTTCTGGTGTAGGGGCCTTGCATGCGATCCTCGACTGCATCACCCTCGCCAACGCCCTGTACGACATGCCCGATGGAAACGCTTTCACGCTCGCAGACATTAATCAGGCCTTCCAGACCTACTACGCCCAACGCGTCGAGAGCGCCGCTGCGGCTGTCAAAGGCTCCGCGCAGGTATCTCAGTTTCTGAGCCGCACAAGTGCCGTGGGCCACATGATCCGCAAGGCGACCATTGCCAGCATGCCCGAGTCCATGATCATGATCGCGGCTGATCGCATCTTTGCCAAGCGTCCCATACTAAGCTATCTACCATTCATACCCGACTATGGTGCCCGCAAGAGCGTCCCACAGTCACTCGGACGTAGAGATCGCGAGGAGCTCGAGATGCTTAGGGGGAAACAGAGGCAACAGAAGGCCGAAGAGGTGCTGAGACAGAAAGAGGAGAAGCAGCGTAAAGTAGCGTCATCCCCAAGGTCTGGGCGGGACCTACCCAAGGATAGTGCCAACAGGATCTTGCACGCCGCCACAGCCTCGTCATTTGGAAGCTCTCCCTCAGAACGGTCCTCACCCCTACCGCGGCACAACTTTTTGAGCGAGAACACGTCCGGACGATCGGTTGTGTCTTCCTCATTGACCCCCTCAACGGCCTCGATGGATCGGTTTGCGGTCTCAGGCGAGAGTGAGAACATTCCCCCGAATCAACAAGAGTTCATTGTGAGTAACAGTGACCAGTGGCTAGAGTCGGATGCTGCCTCAGATTCTGCGTCCATGTTCTCGTTTTCGAGTCGATATACCCTCCCATACGACGCCGAAGAGCTTGCATCCCAGTATTATTCTGGCCGGAGAGCTATCTATCCGTATGTGGATCCAGGTGCCGCCGCACATAACGCTGGAGAGAGGGCCTCAACTGGGTCAGTGATGTCGGCATTGTGGAGGAAATATGGTATTCGCGGAACGGAATCGTCGGCGTCATTAGCTTCATCATCGGCGAGCAGTCGCAATATCACTCGTCCAGATTCAATAACTGGTATACATGGTGATGACAACGGCCAAGCAGAGCATAAAGATATCGCTAAGGCTGAACCGGAAACGTCGCCGTTGAGGAATAGAGCCACGGCACCCGAGGAGTCCGCAGGATGGAAGCGTCTGGATCAAGAGTTCAAAGAGCAGAACGCGAGAGCATTGGCGTATTACTACGATATTGGATCAAATGACGCTGCGACAACAGAGCACGAGCTACCAGTTACAGTAGAGGCTGCTGAATTAAGTGATGGGCAAGATCAGAGCAGAGTATCGACGGTGCGGTTCGGAGTGCAGCATGACATCGCGGACCAGAGTAACATAGGAGTCAAAAGACAATGATGAAGCCACAGATGCCGACGTGCATGCCACTGCCAAGTAATTCTAACTGTTCTAGGAGTAATAGGCGAAGTCGTTTAATATTATTCAATAAAGCAAACATCTAAACTGAATGCGAAAGTAGAGCTCACTTAAGAAGACAGCTTCCTAGACATAGTTCCCATACTACCGATCCTGGGGCAATGTGTCGATTCTGTCCTATCCAGGATCCCATGAAGATACGTTCACGTACCACAGAATAGTCCCTCTTCCTAGACTCCAATGCCTATGATGCATGCCTTGTCGTCCACTTTTGCGGCACAGGAAAAATCGTAATAGGCTCAGACACCTTTGTAAAATATTGATCGCGGCAATTGACCGCTACAGACCAAATAGAGACTTGACGCTTAGCCATAAGTCGCCAATGCACATGAACGTTGCACACGTATAACCAAAGTGAGTGCATTACCCTTCGGCATCGTGAGTTGAGAATATTAGTATCGGGTGTAGGTGACGTTCACGGTTATATTATGGTAGTGAAGAGATACATTCTATCGGCCGGTATGTCATCGTAGAAAGTACGATACTAGAAGACACGCGAACGGCGAGTTTCAAGGAGGATTTTGGTGAGGATATCTGCCAAAGCCCATTACGGTGCATAGATGACCATATCCGGCACTTCCTGGATGCCATCGACATCCTTCGCAGTAACCTCAGAAGTTTGTTAAACTGTTCTGAGTCGCGTTGCAATGGACCAATTGGGGTTACACGAGCCCGATCAACCTTCTAAAAAAAACCTCGTACCAAATCCATGCAGCCCATCCTCGCAAGAATCCCATGCAAAAATATCTCGCTGTCAAAGCACAGCCAGAAACGCCGCTCTTTGCTTTTCTCATTCAACATTACTTTGATCCCTGCAATGTCCAAGGATGTACGGCGCCTCTTTGCGGCGCAAAAGGCCGCCAAGGCTGCTGCCGGCTCACCTGTCTCTACCGGGTCAGGATCACCTTCTCTTGCATCGTCCTCGAAACGGGTGACCCATCCACTCGCAAAGTACGATCCCAAGACCTTTCGACTGACGTGCGCAATCTGTGGACCAGCTCAACCCATCAAGTCCGATAGTCTATGGAGCGCGCACTTGGTCTCGAAAGCTCACCAAGAAGCGGTCGCTAAGCTCAGGGCGGTCAAAGAGCAGATGCAGAAACGGGAAGCAGAGGCGGCAGAACGACTGCGGTTACAGCAACAACAACAGCAGGCGCAAACACAGACCCAGGGTACAAAGAGGAAAGCATCAGGAGGATTGGTTGCATATGCAGACAATAGCGAGAGTGAAAGCGACGAGGACGAGAAGAGCAAACCAATGTCAAAAATACCAGAGTCAAAACGCGCCAAGGTTGAAGACGATACTGTGGATCGGGAGCAAAGACAGGCGGTAGCGGATATCGAGGAAGAAGAAGAAGTTGCTATGGCAGGACTACCAGCAGGCTTCTTCGATTCCGGTGCAGGGCCTTCTGCAGATCGGGAGGGTGAGAGTGGCCATGATGGGGCTCAGGAAGAGAGTATGGATGGAGTATTACCAGCTGGATTCTTCGACGATCCGGAGCAGGATGCCAGAGTTCGAACGGAAGTTGGCGGAGCGACTGCAGATCAACAGCAGCGACAGGTCGATGAAGAGTTCAGGGCGTTGCAGGCAGAGCTGGCACGCGATTTGGAGCGGCAGGAACAACAGGAGCAGGCATTGCGGTTAAGACAAGCATCTGGTGTGTCTGCGAGCTCGAATGCGGCAGCAACGAATGGAGCAGCGGCAGCGACCGACCAGATTCCGTACGAAGAAAAGGTCGAATTGGAGGAACAGGAGTTGGAGGAGAGTATCTTGGCACGGTCTGAGGAGGAGTATCAACTATTTATTGAGATGCAGGAGCGACTTGACGGATTGCGGGAAAAAAAGAGCCGGTTGCTTGCAAATCAGCAATACGTCTCTGCACCTTCACCTTCTTCAAGATCAGTATCGGACTCAGCAGTAAGTAAATCTACCTCCAAGGCAGGGAAACAAAAGGGCAAGTCGATTCTGGATGTTGTCAGAGAGCAGGAAAAGGCCAAGAAGGAGAAGGAGCGCTTGGCTGCAAAGGAATTTGCAAAGCTCGTCGCGGCAGGTCAAGACGACAGCACAATGGTGAGCGATGACGAGAAGAGCGGTGAAGACGACGACGAAGACATAGAGGCCATGATGGACTGGCGGGCGAGGCGGTTTTGATCACCCCCAAAGCGATAGCTGAAAATAAAGTCCGTGTTCTTTACCATTACCACTCCTTTGGTGCTTGACAAGGCAAAGCACACATATTTAACAAAAGGATCTATAGCCTTTTTATTCGCATTACAAAGCAGCGTCATTAATGGACAAAAAAGAAAGAAGAAAAGTAAAGAGCGTAGCTACTGGCTTTTTTCTAATTGTCAATATTGCTCGACCCTCGGCGATTACTCGGCACCTCGACAGATAGCACGCGTGGTCCATGGATCCATTCCTGCCGAAATCAGATCCTGTGCTTTCGCACCAACGTTTTTGCGCCAGGCCTCGCGATTTCTATCGAGATGGCGCTGCAGAATGTAACTGTCGCCTTCATAGCCTTGATCGTAGCTCCACTCAAGGTCCACGAGAGTATAGTTCTGCTTTAGGCGTTGGCTGAGGTACTCGAGCGATCGGTCGTCATCACAGACACGCGCGTGCTTGATAACAAGACGTAGTAATGTATTCTGGCTGGACTGGAGAAAATCGCCGAACGTAAAAATATCATCGACTTTTCCGTCCACATACTGGACCTCGATCGCCCTGAGTGTGTTTGCATTTCCGGATAGTCCCAAGGTTAGCTCTCGGAGATTGACGTGCGATATCGAGAGACGACATAGGGTCCGATTCGTCTCCAAGAATCCTTGTACAGCCATACCCATAGACCCGAGTTTGCCAAAGGAGTGACTCTCCATCCGCAACGTTCGCAAAGTGGGATGTTGCTGCAGGCTGTCGAGGACCATTGCACCGCCAGTCGGCGTCAACTTGTTCTCGGCGAGATCCAGGTATTCTAATCTACAGACTGGGTCTGACGCCTTCAGGGCCTCGCAAAGGAGCGAGGCCACCTCATCACTCATGCCGGTATCCTTCAGCTTCAGGATGGTCAGTCGGGAGCATGCACTCGTGAATAGATCCTTGAGCAGCATCGGGTTCGATACGCCTTGCTGGAACAACAGCGAACCGCTAAAAGAAACCATGGCGATCTGAAAGTCGGCTCGTAATGCAGCTCCTAGCGCCTGTGCTCCTGCTAGCGTACCTCTGGGCAATTCGATCTTGAGCTTTGTGAGTGTAGGGGGTGGATAGGCTGGATTAGAGATGACTCTGGCCAATGTCTCGGCAGTTTGGTCTCCGCAGCCGCTACCCATAATTACGAGAGACTCCAGCTTGCTGAGATCCAGTTCACGGACCATTCTTGCACACAACTCGTCAGATGGCTCCTGAATCCTCGGAAACACTAGTTCGATACAATGCAAGCGACGCATTAACCGGATGATGCTTTCGGTAGCGTCCAGTCCCAGCTCATCCTTGGAGTCGGAGACATCTAGACACCTCAATTGCTTCCCACTCACGACTCGTTCCAATGCCATGGCTGCTTCATCACCAAAGCCGGCGTAAGGAAGGGACAGTTTCTGCAGCTTGTCTCCCGCGGCCTCGATGATCTCACAACAGCCCAAGTCTTCGATCAAGTTTTCGCCAAGGTCGAGCTCGCGAATGAACTCCAGTTTCCTGAGCAGTGCTGCAATATATTCAACGCCGTCGCTCGGGATCCTGCAGTTATGGATTGCCAGCGTATTGAGGTTCCAGCAGTCCGAAAGTCCGTTCGTGATCGAAACTAGACGATTCAACTTGAGAGAGACATCCTTCAAACGGAAGACGGCCAGATTCTTGCAGGCATGTAGGATGGCTTCCAGCACTTCATGGCCTTCCTTCAGAGAGATACCCGTCAGTTCCAAAGAGCGCACCATGGGTAATTCTTTTGGGATGTTTACTCCGCGGCCTGGAATCAGATCCTTGATGTGCTTGAAGTGGAAGTAACGAACCTTGCCGGAGACCATAATCTTGAGGACAGCAGGCAGCTTTCTCTTGCCCATGGACGCAACCTCCCTGTACTCGTGGCATGTCAGCGTCAGCTTCGCGACATTGGTCTTGTTAAGCGAGTCACCTAGGGTTCTGAGGTCCTGGAACACATAGTGACGCAGGTGTACATCGAGCTCGTTGAAGGCGCCGGCTCGAGACATGGCAGCCATGAACGAACCGATAGATTCGCTGGAGGACAAAACCACTGTGACGATGCCGAACCGCTTGTCGAAGTCGCCTCTGTTCAGCACGATCTCGTTCTCGAACGCGTGGTCTTGTCTCTGGTGGTAAGTGGAGCGGTAATGGTCCAGGCAGATCCATTTAACATGGCCGTTCCCGTCCACTGTCCTGAACAAATTACCGAGAGCACGATCCTGATCCTTCCTTTCCAGGAACGATGCCAACCGCCGGAGATCCGCGCCTTCGATCTGTACAACATCGTCCAAATGATCATGCATAGACTTGATACTGTCCATCTTTGTCAATTGTCGAGTGTTGTCGTCGCTTGCGAGGCTACCGCCATTGTCCATACCTGGCACATTATAGTCGAGCGTGCGCTGATAGGCGGTCAAGTATTGGATAGAGACCGCGACCTTTTGTTCCAGGTTATCAGTGAGATGGTCCGGTAGATCCACGGCGCTTATGGTGGACAGCGCTGGGATGGCTCCACTCGCTAGTTTAATGCCTAGCTTGAGCGCATGGAGGAGACGCAAGATATGGGGACCGTACTTGCGAAAGAACTCCTTGGGACGCGTGATCTCGTATCCTTCATGTCTTGCGATATGGATATGGTTCAAATTGTGGGGTCCAGACGGGGTTGTGTGGGTACCACACTCGCAGAGGAAGTAGAGCCGGAACTTGACGTTTGCGTATCGGCTGATGATCAAGGAGGGATTGAGCCCCTGGTAGGCGACCTCGGGAAGGACGATAAAGAGCCGAGGCAGCGTGTACTCATGCAGCTCGAAGGTCTGCGCCAAAACCGCCTCCGTCTTTGCTAGCAAGATGTCCATCTTGCTTAGGATCTGGCGCTGGAGCCCCGTGTTGTTTTTCTCGAGCATGACCAATTCTGAAAGTTTGGCATCGGACATCTGCACGCTCTGCTGGAGTTTATCGAGCTGTGATTGAAGATTATTCAGTGCATTTATGATAGCCTTGCCAGACTGGCTGGTTTCCTCGCTCTGCTCATTCAAGCCGACAAATAATGGTTCGCCGCCCCGAAGGCGGAGTGATTGCTGGTCAGTCCCGGTCTGGAAGGGTAAGGGAGCACCCAGCTCCTGGCTTGCCACTTGATGGTCAGGAACGACATCCAGTAACTCTCCAGGATAGGATGCAATCCTTGTGGGGAACAATCTATTTCGAAGTAAAAGAATTAATAAACAATCAGTTTCCCAGGAACTCCTTCGTATGCAGACCATGATGCGCCATTATGCACTGAGGCGCAGGTTGTTTAGACGGTGCGATACTTGCCTCTCTTGGTGCTCGTTCTCGAGAAAGGGTACTGATGTACCATGGAGCTCGAACTTGTCTCCAAAGTGGAAGAATGCGTCCCGGATATCCTCCAGCAGGATGTACGAACGGCCATCACTTCCTTCTCGAACAGGGATCTTCTTGACTACCTCGTTCAATTGAACATTTTGGAACACTTGTGGCATATCCATTGGAAGAGCGCGCCGCGCCTATGCTCGCGAACTAGGCACAGTCGACAGGGCACACGAAGATGTTTGACTTGAGCGAGTTTCGGAAGAGGGTTGGTGAAAGAGGAGATGGGGTATGCGGATAGTGAACCAGTGAGGTTGAAGAGGACTGGGGAAGATGAAAGGGATAACGTATGTGAATGAAGATGACAGGGGAGGGGGTGGTAGCGTTGCTTGCCTGTAGGTGTGCCCTTTACTCTTTGGCTGCCGCTTCGCTGCTGTCGTGGTTCGGTCTCGACCAAACACCGTTCCTAATATGAGAAGTGCCTGCTCCTTTGTGGTCCCTCCACTCACTTCTGTTCCCGCTCTGAGAAAAGGCGGAGTGAAGTTGGTGGGCAGTGGAAGTTCACAGGAGGGCAAGAGCAGACACAATTCCCGAGGCGAGGACACGAAACGTTACAGGCCGAAGGTTGGAGGTCAAGAGCAAGGGAAGGAGCAGACTTTGGTTCCGACGAAGGGCCTCTTTTATACCCTCAGCGTCCCCGAGGAGGATGGATGAGGGAAGTGAGGCAATGCGTGTGTGTGCAATGGGCTCCATGGGCCCTTTATTTGAGGGAGTACAGCATGACAAAGAATATATCTGAACGTCGTTAGCCTTCCTGAGTGTGTGTCCAAATGTACAGGGGTCCTATATATTCATTACGCGCAAGGATTCATAGTTAACTATGATGAAGCGATTGCATAAGCTGGGAGGTAGACCATCACCAAGCTAGGTCGGAAAGCGTGCGCGCGCAGTCCATTGAAGCCATGAGTAGACTAGGCAGGGAGAGAATGGGAGGCACACAGCAGGCACCGTAGGTAAGCAAGGAAGCGGATGCAGTGCACCACACAGAGCGGACAAAACCTTCTCAGATGCAACTGCGGTTGTTTGGTGGTCCCTGGCCGAAGATGTTTTTCAGGTACGGCCACTGCTCTCAAGGCTCATTGTAATTATACTCTTCCCGTGATATCGTGGCAGGCTGAATATGAAAGCAGTGTGTGGTGCTCATCATCGTCTTCTCTTCGTTCCTCTCCATCCGACCTTCTTTCTCATCCCCTCTCTCGACTCGATCCTCCCTCCACTCCACGCTCAAACTCTCATATATCCACTTCACAGATATAATTATATGCCGACCATGACAGTCTCTGAACCAACCAAGCAGGAGACGCTCGACTTTTTCAAGCGCCTTAAGTCACAGCATGCCAACAAGGCAAGTCCTCAGGAATAAACCATCGCAGGCGAGGGATATATCTGGGGGATGGTGGAAAGCTCTGAGCAATCCATGGCCTTAATTGACCATCGCCATCGTCTTCTGCACCCTGCTGGCACCCTTCTGCACCTTCAATCGACCACAGAGCCACAGATCGTATCAGCCTTCTAGATCATTGTTAACATTTTTGTGCTATTGCTCTCTCCCCTATATTTAATAGATGTGCGCTGACTGCAATGCAAAGAACCCCGACTGGTGCTCTATTCCCTTTGGTATCTTTCTTTGTTTCGATTGCAGCTCTGTCCACCGCAACCTCGGCGTTCACATCTCATTTGTCAGGTACCATTCTCTATTCTCTACTTTGGGATTGTCGCAATGCCTGACTTCGGTAATAATATTCTTACCTGGATTCCGTCACACTGACAGTTGTTTTTCAATTCTCTGATGATGTTACTATTGCAGATCTTCGTTGCTGGACTCTTGGACATGGGATCAGCTTCGCACCATGAAGGTTGGTGGTAACGCCGCATTGAATGAGTTCTTCAACAAGTCGCCAATGGGGAGTAGCAGGGATGCAAAGACGAAATACACCTCCAAGGCCGCTGTTGCATACAAGGAAAAACTGGAGCAGCGTAAGGCAGAAGACGCGATCAGGTATGAACGAGTCTCCGATAAGCACTCATGGATAACAAGATGTATTAACGGCTGCCCTGCATAACATCAAGACTGCATTTATCTAATCGACAAACGCAATTGTAAACACCAACGACAGCAATCCTGGCCGTCTCGTTCCTGAGGCTAACGCGGCTAAGCCAGTAGCATCCTCCGTCGCCTCTGTCGCCGACGAGGATGATTTTTTCAACACCTGGAACGAGCCCAAGAAACCTTCCTCAGGGACATCGACACCCACGTCTTCCTCGACTCCTCCTCCTGTCTTGGGCATGGGCGCCTCATCTCCAGCGACATCATCTCCTCAGCGTGCTGGACTGGTGCGCCCACAGCGATCGACTTTGACTGCCAAGAAGCCCACCGTTGGTGCTTCTAAGCCCATGAAGCTGGGCGTCAAGAAGGTTGCTGGCGTGAATTTTGAGGAGGCCGAGACTAGAGCGAAGGCCGAGGCTGAAAGGATTGCTGCCTTGGGAGCTGAAGCTGCTGAGCAGGAGAGATTGGAGAAGCAGGCTGCTGCTGAAAGGGCGGCTCAACGTGCAACAGAACTGGAGAGCACAAGGAACCAACCACAATCAGCCCCGAGCCTTGTCAACTATTACCAAGCTAATTCTGCAGGAGATACCCCATCAAGGGCCAACGAGGATGGACTGGCCCGTCTCGGAATGGGCATGGGTCGTATGGGTTTCGGTGCTGCTCCTTCAAGCCGTCCCTCAAACAGCTACGTTTCAAAGCAACGTATGAAATCTAATCTGTTTCCAATCTCAATTGAGTCGTCTGCTGCAGCATCCGTAACTGCATTCATGTTGTCTGACCGCCTCCCATCCAATTTCTTTTAATACGATAGCCGAATCGACGACTGCTCGCGAAAAGTTTGGTAGCCAAAAGGCCATTTCTTCTGACCAATATTTCGGTCGCAACAACTACGACTCTAAGGCACAGTCAGAAGCCCAGAACCGTCTTCAGGCATTCTCAGGAGCAACCGCTATCAGCAGCAACCAATATTTTGGTCGCGATGAGGCCGGGCCCCAGGAGGAGGAGGTTGACCAGCTTAGCGCTGACTTTGCTGCTCTTGGAAACGCAGTGATGAAAGGCGCCGATCTTCTTAACACGGTCCTCAACGACATGACTTCGCACTACAACTACTAAGGAACGCGGGCGTTTTGATCCTGAATCTTTTGTCGCTTCTATGCCTGGAGTCCACATCGCATGTTTAGACCTGTCTGCTTTTCTTTAGAGATAGAATTCCGTTTTGTTTGTAGTACCATAATTATTCCCTTACTCTCCTGTGGATGTCATGTTTAGATTCAGATTGAAGCGTTAATCATATTAAAAACCGCAGTATGTTTATTTCCCTCTATGCCTTGACTTGTGATGCGACATGCTCCGTCGTTGGCGTGTACTTGACCCAGTTCCACTTAAGTCCTCCGCGGATCTCGACGGGCTTGCCTTCGTTCAGGACCTTGCCCTTCCAAACCTCGACACCATATGCCTTGCCGTGATCCAGTTCTGGTCCACGAAGCTTGACAGAGGTGACTTTGTAATAGCAATCCGTGAAGCCCTTGCTGATCAGCTTCGTTGTTGTCTATGTAGGACAGGATCACAGCGAGTTATAGGTTGTGTGAATATTCATCTCCAGTCCTTGAACTTTACGCCTTCATATCCTGCAGATCCAATTGATGTCCATTGAGTAATGTATTGAATCGAAGATGCCAGCACCATGCTCGTCGCGTTCCTGAATTCCCGACACACTGTGAAATATCCTTCGACGCCTCCAGATCAGTTCGCAACTGAATAGATCCTGCTTGATATTGTTGAAATGATTATTTTTCCTCGTCCAAACGGATAATCTCCAAAGCGGAGAAGACTACCTATATCCTGCTGTCGAGTGTCCATTCTGACGTCCAGTGGTTCTAGTTGCCGGAGCGAGTGCCTAGGTCGAGCCACTTACGATGTTCTCTCCGACACCGCTGGCGTCCATGACCTTCAGCGCCCGGTAAAGGGTCTTGGGCTGTGTCGACTTTATGATAAAAGGCAGCGCATTGGTAGACTTTGTGAGAATTTCCTTTGCAATAGCAGACATGATGGATTATGTCAAGAGTAGTGAGGGCAGGAGAGGTAAGCTGAAGGATGATGCTCAGGACACCCGTCTTTGTTTTTGTTTAAGCGCCGGCATGACTGTTTGGAAAGGCTCCACGTGAGACTTTCCATTTCCAAAAACCGCTGGTACCACAGACAGCGCTCCTGTCGCGCCTTGCTCCCTTGTTCCCTCATCCCATCGCCATTCAGCGCCACTTGACATGAGTCTGCCAAACGGCGATCCCAACTCGCCGCACCGCTTCATGGGTAATTCTGCACCACAGCGATCTACACCAAGTAATGGTCAGGAGGTCAGGATGCCATTCTCTCAGAAACTCACTGCAGGCGCCACGTTGACTCCAGAATCTCCTCGCGCGGCGTCTTCCACTTTTATGTGCCAACAGGCTGGGTCAGAATTGGAGAATGTTCCAGCGTCGATGGTAATCAGTTGAATTTGAAGCACAAAGTGCCATGGGACACTGTTCTCGACATCAGTCGAGGAAGGAGTTGTCCCCTACAGCATACTGACTATGACAACAATCGTCTTGTTTGTCAACCACTGTAGGGTCTCTTTGACCGAGTCTCGCCATCTTGGAGCAGAGGCTCGAATGCAGCACTGGATCAGGAGAATGCCATTCAGTACTCCAGGATAAGGGGGCGCGTAATTGAACCCGAAGGTACTCATGCTGAGACTTATCAAAGGAGGTCATGGAAATCAGTGAAGAGGACTCGGCACTGAGAACCAATGTTGCCTGCCTCTTTAACATTTTCATTAGAGTACGAGCAGACGCGCAAAAAACTGAAGGATACGCAGTATGAGCTCTCGAGCACGAAAACAGAGCTGGAGCGAAAAATCATTACTTTGGAGCAGGCCGCCAGGGAATCAGAGATCCTCAAAAAGAAGCTGATGAGCAGGGTGGATTCTTTGGAAAGCGATCGACGGTTTTTGTTCGAGCAGGAAAAGAGCCTGAATAAGAAGTACCAGGCCCTTGAAGAGTCGTCCATAGAGTTCAAGGTAAGGTTTTACGCGCTTGATTCGCATTGCATTTGAAAACAAACAGAATCAGGCCCTCAGACTCACCAACAACACCTCGCCCTTTGTTAGACATCTTCAAACGAAATCATCAAAAATCTTCGAGAAGAGAACATGGATCTCAAGGAACGTCTTTCGCAACTCCGGGAGACGAGTCGTGCTACAGAAAGCGAACTTTCTCACAGGGTCAGAACCTTGACGGCATCATTGACGCACCAACAACAGACATTGGCCGAGAGTCAGGGCACCACCCAGTCGCAGAGCAGCCTTGCGGAGGAAAAACATCGACAGCTGACGGAGGCGCTGATCAGGATCGGCGAGCTCGAGGATCAGAACAGGCAGCTGCGAATCAATGAGCAAGGACTGGAGGATGTTGTCCGCGTGGAGAAAGAACTCAAGAACCAAGTCGCATATATTAAACAGCTAGAGGGCATCAATCGGCAGTTAACGGCGGACTGTAAGCATTACAAGGAGATGTATAGGAATGTTGAAGTACTCAAGGAGGAGAAGACTGGATTGGAGCAGAGGCTAAAAATGCTGGAAAGTCTTCGCGATAAGTGCGGTATGCTGGAAGTGCAGAAGGAGGTTCTCCTCAAGGAGAAGGATCAATGGTAATTTGCACTCGTCCAGCTATGGTATAGAATGGGGACCTATTTTGTAAAGTCAAAGACTAATTGTCTGGTACTGTTGTCTTATTAGGACCGCGTTCTTGGAGTCCTCCGACATAACGGATTTCAACTCGCCATATGATCTCGCCAAAACCATTGCTAGTCTACGTGCAGAAAAGGCATCATTAATAGAAGTCAAAGGCGAGTTTGAGGCGGCCTTGAAATATCGCGATACACAGATCAAACAGCTGGAAGCGCAGATCGAGAAACTGAAGTACACTCTTGTCGAACAGGAGGAATATTGCAGGAAACAGGCATTCATTGCACGACAGCACGAACGGTCCAAGGAGCTTGCGCTTCGTCAAGCTGAGAGTCTTAGGGAGCAATTGGTATGTTTATTGCAAGACGAATGCTTTTTATCCTTAAGCCATCATTATTACGCATTCCGACTTTGAAATTGAGCTATTCTTTTGCCCCTCTTCATAGAAATCATACGATACCGAAGAAGCGCAGTTGATGGGAGGGTCGTACGACAGCCAGAAGACAGCCAGGATCGAGCAACTTGAAAAACTTGTTCAGGAATATCATCAGAAACTCGAGAGTGCCATCTCCTCAGTAAGCAATGAAATGCAATCCGAGCAGCCATCAGCAGAATCCGTGAGGAGCTTCGAGTTACTGCGGGCAATGCAAGAGGAGAATGCCGCGACGTTCAGCCAACTGAACAACGAAAAGCAAACCTTGTTTGATGGTAAAGAACTAGCGCACACCTTTGTGGTTGGTTTGAAGACGAGGATCCACGGCAGAGTTTGTATGCTAACATGTTTGCGCGTTTTTTGGTCGATAAATTTTAGTCAAGTTGCAGCTTGAACAGGAAATCCAGCTTTTGCGAAAGGAAAACGCTTCGTTGGACGCCAAGGTCCTGGAGCACGAAATGGCAATCGGGGCAGGAGCATTCAATCCTGCGGCCTCGCGCGTTCTGGAGTTGAAGGACAGTCCCGCCTCGCGGCACCAAGCCATCCGTCAACACATCCTTGACTCTTTGAAGGAGGAGAATAGTGCGCTTTTGAAGGCCGTAGCGCAATTGCAACATCAGCTACAGTATCATGCAGAATTGCAGGCAAACGACAGTGACGATCAGGAGGTGGCTCTTCAGGATGAAGGACTTATTCCTGCAGCCAGTTATAATCGTCTCAAGGCAGATCATGAACGGCTACAGGACGAATTGGCTGAGAACGTAAAGCGCTCAAAACGTCTCAAAGAGGTATGCTTTCAGGATTGCAAAAGTGTATTTCTACACTGTATTTGTTTGCGCTTATTAATTAACGATGCGTTGTGTCTATATCTTCATTAGTCATGGACGTTGAAGGCGGACGAATTCTTGGATGCTGTCCGGTCCTTGCTGGGTTACAAGGTCAACTTTCTGGACAATGGCCGTGTTGAATTGATCTCTATCTACAGCCCTGAAGATCAGCAGTCCTTAATTTTCACTTCAGGGCTCCATGACGAGGGAACCATGCAGCTTGTGGGCTCTGGCAGCCAAAAGTACATGGAAGAGCACAAGGAGACGTTTGAGCACTGGGTCAACCAACTGGGCAGCATCCCTGCATTCCTGAGTCGCATCACATTGGACTTGGTGGAGCAACAAGCGCAAGAGCAATTGCAGCAACAGGAACCTCAGCGAGTATTCCAGACGCCGCGATACCCACGTCTCGATGAGGACAACACGCAAAACTCTGACATGATGATGGATATGTGAAAGACGAAGTCCTTTCAGTGTACAATATTGGTGTATGATGGCAAATAAAACAGGCAAAATATACTTGCTAACGTCGATTCTCATTCATCCTACGCATACATCTCTGTTTTAAATACTGAACGCGCCCCCGGGACGAACTCACAGCCACCGCTCAATTAGGAAGCAGGCGGCGTGGTATTTTGTTCTCCTCATTTTTGCAGGCGCCTTCGTCTACATACTTCTACGGCTGTCACTACTTTATTTGTCTTGGCCCAAGCAATGAATAGATAAAGGATTACTAATCTATCATATGTTCCTTTTCCTTTAAAGCGCATTCTTCATGGACGCCAGATCTGCTTCCTTCATGAAAGCACTAATCGGAACAACTTCAGCTATTCTCTTTCTTCTTCTTCTTCCTCAGGTTCAATTTACAAACTCGTTTTATTGTAGGAGTCATATCACTATGTTTATTATTATTATTATTATTATTATTATTTTCAAACAGCAACACTTCCTCTCGCAGAAGCCGCAACAATTTCCTCCTTTTCCTTCTGGGCCTCGGGGCTGGTCACCGGGATCGCATGCTTACCCGCCAAGATAAACTCGTACGTCAACGGCAAATGATCCGACCACATCCTTCTCGAAAACAACATCTCGTCAAACACATGTTCCGGCTCCGGGACCGCATACATCCTGTACAGCAGTTTGTCCGTATTCTGTGAATCCGGGTGCAATGATCCCGGCGAAGTCGTCGTCGTCGTCTGGAACGTCCGCACAGAATCCGAAGAATGCTGACGCTGAAGTGGCGGATGAAGATGTCCTCCGGTAGTGTGCGACGCCCGGGGTGGCGATGAAGGTGAGGACGAGGGGCTGGTCGAGTACAGACCCGAGCGTACCGTCGATTTGATGGACCGGATCGACGCATTATCGGACTCATCCTCCTCCAGGTGTCGATGCAGATGCTGCGAGATCGGTTTCGGGACCAACAATGAGGCAGGATCGCGTTCAATCGGATGGTCCCACTCAAACTGATGGATAATATTGTTAATCGGATGCTGTTTCGTCTCCGCGTTCTCGAGCTCCTTCTCTAACAACGTCGGGCGGATCCAGAGTACCTTGCCAGGGGGTACCAACACCGGCGAGATCTTGCTAAGATCGATCGACGCCTCTGTCTCGTCCTCCCCAAAGAAATCGCCCGCATCCGCATACGTTTCCTGATGTTTCAGCATCTCCCGCTGCATCGCTCGTCGAATATCCATGAACTCTTCCAGCAATTTCTCCTCCTTTGTCAGATTCCAGCGGATCACCTTCTGCACAATCTCGAGACCGATACTCATCTGTGCAGACTTCTTCTCCTTTCGCTTGCGTTGGCGCTCTCTTTCCTTGGCCTCCTCTCGTTCCTGACGTGCCCGGTCGATGTGCTCGCCCTCATCCTCCAGGAGCTCCTCGAGCGTCTCGGATGAGTCGTGAAGGACTTCTATTTCAGTCGAAGTGGCACCCATTCGAGGTGAAGAAGGGGGCGACGGAGTTGCTGGCGGCGAGGGGGGAGGTGGCGGACGCATCGCCAGAAGGGCCCGCATGGCATGCCCGATGTTTCGAACGCTTCCCAGCGAGAGACGTCCGACGACATCATCGCCATACGAGAGACTTGTTACGAGCTATGAATGTCCATGAAATATAAAGAAACCAATTAACAAAACCGGTCGAGCAAACCCCCCCCCCCCCCCCGATAATGAATAACAGTAAAAAAAATGGTGTTCCTATTTACCTTGATGGCACGCTTGCTCATCCTGGGGCACATCACCTTGGGTATGCCGTAGGCATAGCACCTCACACGACGACCCGGTGGCAAGAACGACTCGGCATTGTTTTGAGGCAGATATCCTGGCAAATAAAGTCGTCCTCTCGCATCGTCCACTTCCACTCCCAAACCCAATCCAGAGGCCAGTCCAAGTCCCACATGTGGAGCAGTCGTCGCAGTCGCACTGGAATGGCTAGGCACCTCTGGCGTGAAGCCCGTGGCGGGATCCGCCCAGAGCATCGACAAGATCGATGCAATACCCGCACCCAAGGAATGTCCGACCAACAGCAGCGAATAGTCCGGTCGTGACTCGAGTGCAGCCTTGACCTTTTCTTGGATACCGATCGTATCAGCCGAGGCGATCGTCCTCGCAGCCTTAAGGAACCCACCATGCACCTTGAACGGTCGCTTCCTTCGCTGTTGCTGAGCTTCCCTGTCGACTATGTTTCCTTGAGAATCGACCAGCGGGGTGGTATCATGGTCGAGCCACAGATCGGCAGCATCGCAGGTCAAGTCGATCATGAGGTCATGCAACGACTTTGTACCACGAAGAACCAACACGATCTGCTTGGACTCGACATCATCCAACAGGTAGTAGCGAGGACTGTAGTAGCCATCCTGGATCGTCGCCGCGGTATCAGAAGAGTAAAGGATAGAACCCAGGGGGGTGCCGGTATAACAATGGAAGTGATGATCGCTCGTACTGGTCGTACGAGGCAACTCAGTAGCTAACGGCGACGCAGACGGAGTCGTGTGCAAACTAGCGGGCGCTGGTGGCGCCGAAGGAGCCGTCGAGACCGGGATGGGTGGTGGAGGGTATCTCTCTGGTGCGCCCATGAACTCTAACGCCGTCGATCCATACATCGCCGAGCAGAACCTCGAGAACCTGTAAGACGCTGCCAAAAAGTTGGTCAACTCTGGGTTCGGCGATCCTGATCTCATCGACGGCGTGCCTGGCGCATAAGCAGAGAACGAGGCCGCAGTACGACCCTCGCGCTGCTCTCGAAGCTCCAGGATCCGTTCTTCTTGCAAGCGCTCCTCGGTCGTCAACCCACGATGACCCTTGGTCCACTCCTCGGGCCACGCCGCAAGTGCGCTCCATGCCGTGCTCGACCCCAGCTCTTCGTCCTTGGATTCCAAACACTCTCCGATAAGACGACCCTGGGTCCTGACTCGGATCGTTTCCCACTGCTCTGAGGTCGCAAACTGGATCGCGACATAGGCCATGAGGAGGCGCATGCCCTCCAAGGCAGGATAACCGCCAGCTCCACCCTCACCGTCGCCAGATTGGATGAATTCGCGGTTGAGGATGGCCCAGACCTCACGGAAGGTTTCGCCGGTCTGGGATGTGCTATCGGGTCCGAAGAGTGTGTCCATGAGATCTAGACCGTCCTGGACAGTGGTGAGGGCCAAGTTGACGGAGCCATCAACGGTCTCCAGAATCGTTTGGACCAGGATATCGCTAAAGTTGATTCCCAACAAGGCCTAACATATTCATATTTATAAAAAAGAAAAAGAAAATGTATTTAGCATACTTTCTTGACTTTTAACGCTAACGGGCGATGAACTAACAATACTTACAGCGCGGAAGGGTAATGAGGCAATAAACGCTGGTGAAAGTCTAAAAACACATCGACAAGCGCAATGTTAATTCTTTTTTCCCACCTCTTCGCCAAAGGTGCTTTGCTTGAGCAATTTCATACCCTCGACTGCCTTCATCGTTCTGTCCGACAACGCCCTTGACAGCGTATCCCAGGACCGTATCCAGACCCGAGACGATCGTCCTTGCGACGCCCAGGGACATACTCGTCGATACCATAGCGACCTTGAGAGCCGAAGAGATCGCGACCTGCGAAAGCGAAATGTAGGTCGACAGCGGGATCGGTGGGTTGGTTGACAGGGTCATGGTTGGGTTCAACGTGGTTGTAGTTGTGGTGACAGCTCGTGATGCGGTTGCTGAAGGTGCTGCGATCGCCGTTGCTGTTGTTGTTGTCGCTGCTGCTGCTGCTATTGTTGTTGTTGTTGTTGTTGTTGCAACAGCAGTTGTGATCAAACTGCTGTTGATATTGGTGCTATCGCTGGTCTTTCTTTCCTCTGCCTGGTTGAAGTTGCCTGTTGTGGACGTCAAAAGAAAAAAAGAAAAATAGAAAAAAAAAAAAAAAAAAAATGTTGGTCAGTGCGCTGCGCTGTTGTGTTCTTTTGTTTTGATAGACATATCTCTCAGACTGCATCAAACAAAAAAAAAAAAAAAAAAAGTACCATTGTATTCATGGACAAGGACCCTTGGAGAATCGACCTGGGTTTGTGAACGCAGGTCATCTCCCGGCAAGGATGGGTATAAGTTTGACTGGGACATTTAAAAGTTGTTTTCCTGTAGTTTCCTGGTTTTGAATGTTCTTGTTGTTGCTGTTTTACCAGAGTGGATTCGATATCAAAGAAGGAAGCAAATGAGGGGATGTGTTATTACTATTATTATTTTTTTTTGTTGTTGGTGGAGGGAAAACACGAGCTACATGAAGGTTCATTTTATACTTTTTTCCCTTTTCCCCCTTCAGGGCCCAAGCAAAAAAGGCCGCTCGCATGTGCAAATATGAAGATCCACTTTCCTTCCTGAGAAGCACGCGCCTCTCAAGGAATGCATGGCAAACCCAAGTATTAGTCTTCCGTCTCACCATCTTGTCCTTGGACCCCGCCTTAACACTCGCACAGAGCAAGAGCAAGAGCAAGAGAGAGAGAGGCCAAGAAACCGGCCTAATCTGGATCAAGAATAATAAAAAATGCCAAGACGCTTGCAAAAAGTACGCCATGCGATTGAAATCCAGCTGAGCAATCCTAAATCATATACTTTAGACCGCGCCAACAAAAAATACACTTCGCCCCAAAAAAGGGGACACAGCGAATGCGGATATGCCGGATGCCATAAACAACCTCAGCATCAAACACCAACAGCATCGCTTTGCAGGGACACAGGCCCAGATAGCGAACAAGCAGGTAGACCACACCTAGGCGAAAAAAAAAAATGCATGGGCCAATTTCTGGTCAGTCTACGACTTTTTTTTTTTTTTTTTCGCCACCAATTTTGACGTTTACTTTGAACAGACAAAGAACGTGCTTCTTGGCATCCATTCCGTTCCTCTGTCCTTCCCCCACATACATTTCCTGTGCTTTGAAAATGGCCCTGGATTCTACTCCACATACATGTGCATGCATGGATAATACAGTCTTGGCTTTTTTTTTTTTTTTTTTTGCACTTTTGAAACGAGACAGGAGATGATGTCTTCAGCAAAATACTCGGACAGATTTATTATGAGGTACTTGAAAAGAAAAAAAGAAACGGATGCTGTTGTCGTGGAGAGTCATGTCCCTTGAAGGTTGTAATTGTGAGTGTGATTGTGATTGTTCCCGGTTGTCTTCCGTCGTGAGTGCTTCTTTTTTTTTTTCTTTTTTCTTTTTTTTTTTTTTTTTGTGCAGTTTTACCACTGGAATTCTTTAATTGCTTCTTCGTCTTAATCTCCTTTTACTTCTTCTCAACATATGGCGACTCCAAGTGCTGGTCCAACATGCTCAGGACCCGTCTTGCCAACCCGACAATCTCACTCTCGTCTGTCAGGGCATCATCCATCTGCTGTTGGTGTGGCGAGCCCGACTCCAGTGTCTGGGTCAACCGTGCGACGGCGGGTATAATGTCGTGCGAGCCGGTAATCAGTTCGACCAAATGATCGTCGCCCCCCTCCAGGAACTGCACAATCGTCCAGATCGCAATGTGTTGGAATGTCGTGTCAACGCTGTCCAGGAACCGAGAAAGATATCCGTGCAGACCGCCCTCTGGCTCATCCCAGACATCAATAAATGGTCGATAGTTCTGGACCTTCGAAGACAGGTTTCCAATCGCTGCCGCACTGTTGCCCTGCACCTCCACGCTTGACGAACCCGTAAGAGGGATCAGCACATCAAGTGCGCCCAACTCAAGCAACCTAGGCTTCAGATCGTCTAAGGAAAGAAAAGAAATGAATATAGAAAAATTTGGAATTTATGAAAAACGGAAATGCATTGCTATCAAAACACAAAATATAAACTATACACTTACCGCTCAAAGCCAAAACTGCGACGCAGGCCGTCATCTCGGACTGGACGCTGAGGGGCACATTCAGCACCAAGGCGCAGACGCGCTCCACCGCTCCAGCTTCAACAATCGCCCTCTTATTGCGCTCGCTGCTTGCAGCAAGATTGCGGAGGGTCGAAATGGCGTGGCACTGAATTTCCTCGTTCTCGTCATATGCAAGCAATTCGATCAAGGGCTCCAGAAATCCTGCGTCGATAATAGGCGACTCATTTAAGGGGTGAATGGAAATGTTGCGAATGCAGGCGACAGAAGAAAGGATCAGGGGCAAGAATGTCGACTGCAACAGGCGAAGGAGAGGAGTCAATCCCCGGGATCGAACAATCTCCAGCTGGTACTTCTCATCCGAGGCCAAATTACGGAGGGCCAAGGCTGCCTGACACTCCACTTTGAGACTGGACGAGTCCATGAGTCCAATCAATGCATTCACAAGCTTGGGCTCCGTCTGCGCCAGCTTTTTCCGGTTAGCGCTGTCGACAGCGATGTTGCTGAGGGCTGTCGTGCAGTAGTATTGGACGTCCGTATCTGGTGAGCTGAGCAAGCTGACTAGTACAGGAATGGCTCCAGCATTGACCAGTTGCTGTCTGTTTTCGTCCGAGTGTGTCATATTGAGAAGAGCGCCCGTCGCGTTTCGCTGAACTCTCATATCCTTGGATCTGGCCAAGCGCGTCAAAGGGACAAGTGCTCCTGATTTCGCGATCTTAGTCTTGTTCTCGTCTATTATGGAAAAAAAAAAAAAAAAAAAAAGATCCGTGTGAGAATGGTAGTTGCGATCTCTCTTTTTATCCTGGACTATGCATGTCATAGACTGAACATACCATGTGTGGCGAGGTTAGTGATGCAGCCCACAGCGTTGCATTGAACCTCAACATTAGGCGAAAGCATCTGGCGGATAAGTGGCTCAAGCCCTCCAAGCTTTACGATCAGCAGCTTGTTCTCGGCTATTTCAGTTCATTTGAATGTAACAATTCATGCAGAACAAACACTGTAAGTTGTTGGCGCTTGCATGTCAATCTGCAGACAATCCTTGCAATATCCACTTACGATTGACAGCCAGGTTACCCAAAGCAGCCGAAGCAGCTCTCTGGACCTCAACATCATGAGATTGGAGCAGGAAGAGGACAGGCTCTAGCGTATCCCGATCTACAGCTTTGACATCTAGCGAGAGCAGTAGTTGTAATATAAAAAAAAAAAAAAAAAAAAAAAAATGGACACATGATGCAGTTAGAAAGTTGTGTTAGTGGGATCCTGATCTTCCATTACAAGGCCCATCTCACACAAGGTGAAAAAATAAGATGACATCTTATTTTTGTGATCTTGATGAGAACATCTCATAGATAGATGGATGCGTGCATCGGAACATACCCTTTTCTGTAATCTCTGCGAAGGCAAGAGCGGCGGACCGTTGAAGGTCAACATTGTCCGAGAACGCCAGGGTAGAGAGGGCACGAAGAGGGTCGCCCTCAAAAAAGTTGGTCTCTGTGCGGTCTACAGGTTATCATATGATAAAAAGGAGTTGGTCAGTCGGTCAGTCGGTCAGTCGGTCAGTCGGTCAGTCATCCATAATCGCCACGCGGACCGCATGGGAAGAAACGCGTACAACAGCAAAAGGAAAAGAGAGATGAACAAACACCACATAAGGGCCTGGTCTGCAAATGACACAACAATCAACCCAGCAACGTAAATAATGCCCATGCACTTTCGAGATGCAATAGAAATAGATATAGAGAAGCGTAAAGAAAGAGAATAATGAGAATCCAAGCATAGTATGGCTGAGGAGAGTCCGGAGGCGTTATAGGAAAGAGGGGAATCGCCCCACCAGGCTGCGACATATTGACTGGAACCATAATAATGATGACGAGCGCGGGGTTCGGTTGAGGCCCGTTGAAGTGTTCAGGTCCGGAGGCTGTGTCGGCGGCTCCATTTCAGATTCTGTCCAGCCCTGTTTCCTCCTCCGCCCCGCCCCGCCCCTCCCTCCTTCAATGAACCTCTTGGCACACAATAGCCGCCATTGAGAAACATTGTCGTGGAGCGGAGGATTAATGGTGGATTGGACAGTGTGAAAAAGAATATAATCATGCAGCTCCTCTGTTTCCAAACCAGTCCATATTCCCACCCGCCCATTATTTCCTACACCCCTCCAGTGAGAAAGCAGACGGCAACTCCAGGGGGTCCCCCTCATTAATTGCTACTGCCAACGTAATCCTTCATGTTGTTTGCCGATATTATCCAATGAGTAATTGCTGCCAATCGGGTCAGTCGTGCAGTGTCGGAGAGTGGGAAAAACGAACAAAACGCAAATCCTTGATAAGGATTTGGACTTACTCTCCAGAAACTGCAGCAGGTCTGCTACGGCCTCGCGCTCGTTCTCCTGAAGCAAGGGCTCGTATAGACCATTCCGATTGCGGTCTGTCATATGCAGCGGCCAGTCCACGTTTGTTTGAGTTTCATAATCAGTTGCGGAATGCCAGAGTCAGAGCGTTGTGGTGCCGGTGAGCAAAACAGAGTCCGCGGATGAGCAGCCGATTGAATCGAAAGAGGCAAAAAGAGTTCACATCAGCCATTGGTTGTGTGGACGAAGGAAAAGTCGAATGAGTTCGTCGAGAATATATAAGATATGAAAAAAAAAGGTTTATTAGCAAGCACCTTTACAAATGACGCGCGGGGTCCATCTGTCGAAGCAAACGCGCCATGGGGAAGGAAAAGAAAAAGAAAAAGAAAAAGACGCGGCGGTGTTTGGTGCAGTCCACTTACCGACACAGCAACTTGAACAGACACCCATGGAGGAAGAGTCGGCGGCTAAGTTGTTCTTGTTTTGCTAAAGGTACCTTGTCGAAGCTGTTGGGGTCAGGGATCGTAAGATGGAGTGAGACGAAGGGGGGAGAAAAAAGGATTAACAACAGAAGAAAAAAAATTAAGGGAGGGGGGACGTGAGCCCTGCGATGGTCTGCTGAGGGGGTCGCGCGGTTGCTTTAATACTGGGAGGTGGGGGCCGTCATTGCCATTGCTCTTGCCGCTCTCGTCGCTCTTGTCCCCTGTTGCGGGAGACCGACTTCGCCTCACTGCTTATAGCAACAGAGATTGAAAGAAGGAAAGAACAGGAAGCGAAGCGACGGAGTGGCACTGCCAAAGACCGGGGTGTCAAGTCCAAAAGGGCTGTGGGGCGAAAAAGGACCATTACGAACAAACACTTCTCCACAGTTTGTATAAGAGTACCCCTCAAAGAGGCGACATGAAGGGGCCATACGCAATAATAAAAAAGGTCCTCCGCCGCGTATAAAGATGAATGACGAAGGAAGGGCATTAAGTGTTTGGTAATCCAACAAGGGAGGAAGGTGAGAGAGAGAGAAGGGAGACGTCCTGTTGACGGTGAATGAGAGAAAGGTACTTATGTCGCTATGTGTGTGTGTGTGTGTGTATTTGTGTCGAATGGTACAGTGGCGGCACAAATATGTTATATACCTTTGAGGTAGTGGTGGGTGTTGTTGGGATGGTGAGGGGGGAAAAGGTGGAGTGGAATGGGAACGAAGTGAGCGATGAGCGAACAAAGGCGGACAATGGCAGGGTCGATACACAGCACTGCACGTGACATGTTGCCTGCCTGCCTGCTCGCCAGCTTGCTGGATCTGCATGATGTCAACCCTGACCCCTCCTCCCCTGGGGATACTTCATGGATGTTCTCGAAGGATGACAATATTTATTATTATATAGTTTATTATATGCAAGGTAGTAAATGGTAGGTAGAAAGTTACGACGATGCCTTTTAAAAGTACTCTGGCCGAGGCATCGCCATGACAGGCGTCTGTAGACCGGCCCCTGGCTGCTGCTGGCTCACGTACTGGTTGCCATAGGGCGAATTCTGGTGAAGAGCGCCCATCATCGGATAAGCTGTAGGTGGATAAGGCATCTGAACCTGAGTTGGATGCTGTTGTTGTTGCTGAGGTGGGTACATGGTGCCTGCATTGCCATAGGGGCTGGGGTTGTACTGGTCGTAGGCATTGGCCGACATGTTCGAAACCGCTGATCCCTGGTGGACATGTCCGCCCATGTAACTTCCAATATTGTCGTATCCTCCTGCGGTTGATTGATAGCTGGCTTGAGGTATATGTCCGCTGCCTGCGTAAGTGTTGTATGGAGAGGGCGTCAAGGTTGAATGGGCTATAGCAGCCGGTGCAGGAGTTGCCACAGGTGCAGCTGTCGTGATGACTGGGGTCTGGTATATATTATTAGAGAAATGGTGAGTCTCCGTAGCGGCTGCTGGTGTGCTTGTCGTTGCTGGACTAAGGACGGATGTACTGAGGTCTGGGGCGGCGGATGTAGCAGGCTCAGCCGAGGGCGAAGCGCCGGCCTCTTCATCCTTTGGCTCTTCTACGGGGATTTCGTACGCCTGTTCGGCGCGTCTGTATTGAGAGGGCGATGGTCCAAGCTGGTAGGTGCCGCCGACCTTGACCTGGGCGGCCTTCTTGTCGTTAACGGCTCTCTGGATGGCGAATGTGACCAGGATGATGGCGGTGGCGATAAAGAAGATAGCGGATAAGATGCAGAAGGCTGTTGAGGCGAACATGGACTGGCAGGCGCGCTTGAAGTTCTTGTCGTCGGTCTCCTTGCCAGTGGGAAGGACTTTGCAGGTAACGTTCCTCATGTCATTGGCAGGCTTGGCGATACCTCCGACGGAGGCCAATATCCAGAGCACGAGGGCAAGGCCGACCCAACAGCCCTCAATATTAGCGCTGATAGACCTGCCAGTCTTTTGTCGGATGACGAGGACGAGGGTCGTTATGGTGGATAAGAGAGCAAAGGCTAGCGTTGCGCAGGCAATGGCTGAGACGGAACCTGCGTCCGGCGACTTTGGGTAGGCGGAGAGGTAGAGACAACAACAGACGATGACCAGGAAGCCAGAAAGGAATGTACCGATCTGGACCACGAACAGTGTCCGTGAAGTAGGCGAGAGATTCATTTTTTTTAACAGTGTGTTTGTAGGCGAGACGATGTCGCGAGAGAAAGAGAGGGAGAGCGTGTGTGTATGTGTGTATGAGAATGAAGATGTTGCTGTTGCTGCTGCTGTTGTCGCTGTGTTGATGCTGCTGTTGTTGCTGCTGTTGATGTGTAATGAAAGAAGGTGTGAGACGTGAAGTATGGAATGAAGTGTGAGAAAGAGAGGAGTGCTGTGGGCGGAGAAAAGAAAGAGGAGAAGCAGAAATAAGCTTCCAAAAAGGGTTCACAGCATGCCCTATGAACCATGCCGTGTTCGTCATTGGAAAACACTTTCCGCCGAAAATAAATACGAAAATCCTCCTTCCCCCCCCTCCTTCGGCGATTGAGTAAGAAGCATGAGAGCGCCTTCATACCTTTTCCTGCTGACGATGGATGGATGGTGATAACTGCAACTGCAGCTGCAGCTGCACCATCGGACAATAGTCGACTCGCTATTTTTTCTCAGAGGAAGACTGCATCGACAGTTCAGGGCCACTTCCTTCTCTTCTTCCCTGTGATGTCTTGGACCCCTGGACTGCCCAGCTCCAAATGTGTTTATTCTTAGACCTGTCCGACTAATTCGCTAATTCCAACGACCGTCGCTGGCCTATGGCTGATCACCTGTGGGGTTAGGGTACCACATTGATATTTTTTCTTGGCTTCCAACTAGAAAATGAAGCCACGCTAGACCTGACATTGCAATCCAAGGAGCAGTGGAGTGAATATCCACCATCTGTTTCTCTCATGCGCATGCGTGCTCACCTAACAACAGCCCAGACCTCCAAAAAAAAAAAAAAAAAAAAAAAAAAAAGAGAAATATGACTTCCTGCCAAGAAGGCGCGTCCCCTACATGAAGGGCATCTTCGTACGAAACCAAAACACCATGTAGTCTACGTACATTAATAAAATCTATAATGTTTTCTGATGGACTTGAACGTTATGCGTCATGGCTGAATCATCACTATCCCCCGAAGCACTGACCAACTTGAGCAGGAAATGATCGCCCTCCCTCCTTCTTTCGCATTTGAACTGAGCCTTCCCACAACCGTGTCCTGAGCAATCCAAGACCCGAATTGATACATTAATGTTGTCATCATTATGTTGGTTGTTCTCTTTTCTCTCTCTTTCTTCTTATTTATTTAGAAAAGTAATGGGTACCAAGGTAATACAGGGAAATACGGGTTTTATTATGTACAATGGATCACTGCTATGCTTGGGTCGGGGAACCATCATCATCACTAGCAATGCCTAGTTTATGCGATACGCAAATCATCGATCGTCCCTCCTTCTCATTATAGCGAACGTACAGCTTCAGCCTTGAGTCTTGGTTGTTGGATGAGACGTCTTAGGCAGTACGGGCTCCCTGGAGCTCACCCTCAAGGATGATCTTCTCGATAATCTCCTGCTCGTTCTCTGTACCAAAGATGGCATCGAGATCTGACTTTGCAGGGCGCGCAACGGGGCCCTCAAAGCCCTTTCCTGTCGCCGTCTGGAAGATATCGAACGCTATTAACAACAGCAGCAACATGAAGAAGACAAGAGCTCGTTAACAACAAGTAATGTGGATGGGATAAAAATATAAAAATAAAATCGCGTCGAATCGCACAAGCGAAAAACGACTTACATTGGACAACATCGACAAGAGCGAGAGAAGACTGGTTCTCGTCGTTACTCTTCTTGGAGTAGCCGATAGGAGCCTTCTGGGCGCGGTACTTGACGGCCATACCGGGTTCAGTCACGATAAAGACATCGGGCATTTTCTGGCCGGGGTTGTTGGGAGCCTTGTAAACGATCCTCTCCATTTTGAAAAAAAGTTTTGTGTGGGTGTTGGTGTGGGAAAAGAAAAGGGTGTTTGTAGCGTGAGAAAGTGGTGGCAGTTGATTGGTAAAAGGGAAAGATGAATGAAGAAAAGAACTGAAGAAAGGCGAGAAAGCCCTTTTATAGCTTTTACAGACGTCTCGCAAGCGACGAACTATGATGCGCCTAAAACGTCGATATTATGCTCCTCCATTGTGAAACATGTCCAGGGTGTCACCTGACCATTTCCAGCAGCCGGTCTTTCCTCCGTTGTTTTCCTGGCCTCCCTTACCGAATCGCCTACATTCACACGACGAAACAAACTCGACTCGCCATCAAGACATAAGCACCATGGCAGCAACTACGAAAATCGCAGACCTGCTTCACCGCACCTTCATTGTCGGACTCTTCGGCGCAACAGGTACCTTAAGCAGCAGCAGGACCACGCCGAAGTTTTCAGGATCCAAGGAATCAACACTTGCCACCAACCACTAACCTCAAAATCCGCTCACCGTTTCATTTTTACCTTGTGGATACCTCACCTAGTCTACATTGGAATCGGCACGATCCAGCTGGTCAATGCCCGTATTGAAAAGAACAAGATCATGAGGGCAACCTGGGATGCTGTAAGGGAAAATCCTGCTTTTTTTTTCTCTCTCTCTTCTGGTGAAACCGATCAATGCGACAATATGTGGATACCATTCAATTAACATCCTTTCCTTTTATTTTCGAATAGGAACAAATGGCCGAGTTGCGTCGTCAGGGAGAACTTGAGATGGAGCGACAGAGACTGGAGCAGCAAGCAAGAAGAAGCCTCGGAGAATAAGCACCACATGCAGATCATCACCAACATCATCACCAAACAACATCATATACACTACACAGCAACCAAGCAGCGTGTGCCCCGATCTCAATAAACACGCAGTGCAATATACAATTATACAGTACAATACAACATTTATCGATATCGTTTTTAATGGGGTACTTCATGAAATAAGGACGGGAGCAATTTGCACTCTTCAGTTCAATCCGTCGGGCGTCATTATGACGTTTCCTGGGATACACGGTTTCCGGCCTGGATCGCGCGACCGACCTTTTCCAGATCCTCACATTCTTCCATCTCCAATGTCGCCTCATCCCCCAACTTGAAGCCCGATTGCTCGACCCGCAACAAGTCCGTCATATGGCCGACCGTTCCCAAATGTGCCGCAATGTCTGCGATCAACGTACGGATATAGGTCCCCGACGAACAATGGACTCGGATATGGAAGACCAGTCCTTCAGGCGTCGACGGAATCGGGACGTGATCTGGATTCTCATCCGGATGGTGCTTCATCCGCTTGGGCTTGAATCCCATCGTAAACGAGGGTGTTGACGGTTCTGTTGCGGTGTTTGAGTTTTCGGAGAGGAACCCATATTGTTGGAGACTGGGATCTGGAGGGGTAGTACCATCGGGGAAGGAGAGCAATTCGAGTCCATGGATCTGCACTTTTCGTGTCGGGATATCCCTTGGTAAGGGTAAACCCTCTCTTGCATAGTCGTACAGCCTTTTACCATCCATACTTATCGCCGAGTACCTGTATCGATACCATCCTGGAAGCCATTAGTAAAAAAAAAAAAAAAAAAAAAAAAAAGTGTCGGACCGGTCGATGCCGCAAAGGCAGGAAAAAAAACTTTCTCTTTGTAAACGAATGTATGGTATCCTTACAGCGGAGGTGTCTGCAAGATCTCGCCTTTGAAAGCACACAATGCCTGGATCAAGTCCTGCTTGGCGATATGATTCGTCGGGCCTTCTGCAACCAACGATCCTGTACAATCCAGCGTCGTTGAACTGAATCCTAGCCGACCCTCAGCGATATAGACCTTTCATGGGAGGTGAGTCTTTTTTTCTTTTTCTTTTTCTTTTTCTTTCAAATTCTCCAATTTTTTTTTTTTTTTTTTTTTTAGTCTTACTTTCGAAGACGCGGACATGCCGTGAAGCTGTTTGGTGCCTGCTCCCAATCCTACCACTATTCAGTTGAGATAAAAAAAACCCATTAGCTACGCGCACATTACAGCCGTCCATATATTAAAAAAAAAAAAAAAAAAAAAAAACGCACCTACGATACCCCGCGCCAATGGGTCGAGGGTACCTCCATGTCCAACCTTGACCAACCCGCGCTTCGCACGCTTGGATCCATCGAGCTCCAAGAGACGCTGGACGAAAGGATGGGTCCGATTCCGTTGACAGACATGTTGTAGGTGATCCACAATCGTGGTCGAGGTCAGCCCCGTCGGCTTGTTGACCGCAAACAACCCTGTCAAAGGTGAATGCTGCAATGGCGAATGAGAACACGACGTTGCGTTCGAAGCTGCTCTCAAGATCCTTGAAGCCCACATGACAAACAAAGCAAGCGAATGGGCAGCACAACACAGAGTTTCTTTTTTGTTTTTATATTATTTTATTTTTTACAAATGTATGCTGCGTAGCACAGACAATCTGTTTCAGCACGCGAGGAGCGGTGAGGACGCGCCGTGCTGAATACAGACTTGACCAGACCCACACCAATCCATTTCCGTGTCCACCATCCCTGATTTCTGCCATTCGATCACATTATGTGGCCCTACTGGCGTGGTCGGAGACGATACGGACGAGGGACTCAATGACGCTACCAAAGTTGACCCGGACGAAGACACCGACGAGGTCGAGTCTCTTCTGTTGAGACCCTCAATAGTCGTCCAATCAGCACCATCATCAGCATGGACTGCATTGGCGGCAGCATCGGCAGCACGCCTAAAAGCACTATCTCCCCCTGCAGAGATGCTCATGCGGTTCTTCTTGTACTCTGCCACTTCCGCCAGAATTTGATTGCGACCCAATCTTGATGGACTGCGTTGCAGGGTTTCTGGAGCGTTCCTGTGCCCTTGGGCCTCCAATTTTGCAACAGCTTCTGCGACCCTGTTTGTTTTTGAAAGCTGAAGTTCCGGAATCTTACTCCGCGCGGGCTGCGTTTGTGTCTGCTGCTGCTGGAGGCAATGAAGGTGATGAAGGTATTGAGGCGCAGGCGACAACGTCAACCTCGACAAAGATGGCGGCGTCGGCGACCTCGATCCCGACCTCGACCTCGTTGGCGATGCCGGAATTGAAGGTAGCTCCTTCGTGACATTGGCTACCACAGTCTTTGGCTCCTGTGGTGGAAGCAGCGGAAGAACAGTCTTTGGCTCCTGTGGCAGCGGAAGCGCAGTCTTTGGTTCTTGTGGCAATGGAAGCACAGTCTTTGGCTCCTGTGGCAATGGAAGCACAGTCTTTGGTTCTTGTGGCAGTGGAGGCACAGTCTTTGGCTCCTGTGGCAATGGAAGCACAGTCTTTGGCTCCTGTGGTGGAAGCAGCAGAAGCACAGTCTTTGGTTCTTGTGGCAGTGGAGGCACAGTCTTTGGCTCCTGTGGCAATGGAAGCACAGTCTTTGGTTCCTGTGGCAATGGAAGCACAGCCTTTGGTTCTTGTGGTGGAAGCAGTGGAAGCACAGGGACCGACGGTACGTCAGGAAGACTTTTGTTGCAATCACTGTCCGTGCTTGAGGGACCATTAAGGGACTGGAGCCGTTCTGAGATGCTTTGATGGTGCTGGAGATAAGGGGCAAAAGACGACGAGGACGCTGACATGTGTGCGATCGTCGAAAACATGCCATCCATACCAAACCGGCTGATCAGTTCATCTTCTGCAGAAATATCACTGTCGTTGTCGTCGTCGTCGCTGTCCTCCTCTTCATCGGACTCTTCCTCATCGGACTCTTCTTCGTCGCCATCCTCCTTCTCGTCGAATTCTTCTTCGAACTCGTACTCATACTTGGCTTCGTCTTCATCCTCATCCTCATCCTCACCCTCATCCTCATCAGACATCATCTCGTCAAGGCTCTCGTTCCTATAGTTCCACCCCAGTTCGCTGTCGTAGTCATCATAGTATCCCAACACTATCAAATCGTCCACATTCTCGATCTCCAGGATCTCGTGGTGAGTTGCCCAGTGCACATGCTTGGTCACCGGTGGTGTCGGCAGTGGACGTGAGCGATTGTTTTGAGTCGGGACTCGTCCCTGGGAATATAATGATGATGATGGTGATGAAACAGGAACTGGGAGTTGGAGCTTAAGTTGAGGATTTCGTTGAGTCCATTGGGAGCTAGGACTTGATTGCTGAAGGATACGATGTTGCTGAGGTGCTTCTCGTCCTTGCTGTTGCTGTTGTTGCTGTTGTTGTTGTTGTTGTTGTTGTTGTTGTTGTTGTTGTTGTTGTAATTGTTGTTGTTGGTACTGTTGAAACTGTTGCCTTTGTTGTTCCAGTCGAGTCTGCCGAAGTTGCATCTCTTCGTGCTCCAAAGCCTGGTACTGTAACGTAGGCCCCAAGTGAGGATGCACTTGGTGTTGCATTGTCAAGACAGGCCGAGTCTTCTTCAGAATCGGCCGCAAGACCTTCTTGGGTTGTACTGTGGTCGTATTCGTTGTTGCTTTCGATGCCTTGTCCGTCGTCGTCCTCTCGCGACCACTCGATGAACTCGTTCGACTACTTAACGAGCTCAAAGATGTAGCAGACCCAGAAGAGGTACGACGGGATCCCAGCTCCGGTCGACGGGTCGGCAACAGTTCCTGGGACTCGATTTTGATCAAGGCCGGCCGTTTGGCCCTCTGGGCCGCTGAATTGGCTGTTGTATCTGTTGTGGTGGTGGTGGTGGTAGTGGTGGTAGTGGTGGTAATGGCGGTGATAGTCGTACTTGCCATGGCTGCAGCTGTTGCGGTCGACACAGCTACTGTTGCTAAATTTTTGGTGCCAACTTCCAGGGGAGACGCGGGCTTGGTATAATGTCTGATGCTATCACCGTTGGTGCTAAGGGTATTGTTGTTGCTGCGATCACCGTTGTCGATGCTGAGACCATCTGCGAATCCCTCGTCGGTGGTGGCAGCATGGGCCAGGAAATCGTTATTGCTCACAGCGAACCCTGCACCGTGAGCCGTATGATTATCCTCGATGCTACTGCTGCAGCGAGGAGTGATTGTGGGAAAGGAGGATGAAGAGAAGGCGGTGGTGTTGCAGAGAACACTGTGTAGGAAGTCTACGTCTGTCATTTTGTGTCTGTGGGGATGTGAGTGTGCTTGCTTTTTGTGTGAAGAGAAGGAGTGGATTGGGAGAGGAGAAGTAGTAGCAGTGGTTGTGGTAGTGGTTGCGGTAGTGGTAGTGATGGTGTTTTAAAGGCGAGGGAAGGAGTGTGGATGCTGAGAGGTTGCCACCAAAATGGAGTGTGGCACAACGAATGCGAGGGTGAGAGCACAAAAGAACAGCTGTGTCGAGTTTAGAAAAGAAGAGATGGAGATCCACAGGAGTGTAAGGAACGGGCAGAAAAGAGGAAGATAGAAGAAGAGAAGAGAGCTTTTCATTTGAAGACAATGGCCGGTTCGCTTTATGCGTGTGTGCTCGTATGCTTCGTATGCTTCGTATGCTAGTGTGCCTATTGTTCACCACCATTATTACAACACCATGCTCATCCTGCCCCTCCTCTGTTTGTTCTTTGCGCAATGCAGGCAGCAGCAGCCCCTCTGTTTGTTTGTTTGTGGTCAACGCGATGAAATCATATTCAGCAACAGGGCTCTCTTTTCCCTTTTCCCGCCTCTTAGTCCCGTCCAGGGGCCGCTGGGAAAGTGCACACAGGACTGCATTTTCCAACGTTCGTTGGATGCGGAGCCAAGGAAACAAAGACCGTGCTCTATGACCATGATGACCAATCGGAAGGTAATGTGGTTTTTTTTTTTCATGGTTTTTGGTCGTTAGGGCAGAGCTAGTAGTCTATGAAAGTCTCCCGCATCGTCATCTGTTTTCATTCATAGCGGAACTCTAAAACCAGGACCACAGTTCCTGTAATCGTGGTATAGCCATGGACCTGTACCGCAAGGGGCCAACTTTTTTCGAATGTCTCGTATTTGCGGCAAAGCGCAGAAAGAAAAAAAAGAATGAAGGCAGACCTGCGGCAAAGAAAGAAAAAGCACGCACGGAAAATGGGACCCAAAAGTGGAGGAAAGATAGATCGACCGAAGGGGAAGAATTTGGTAATGGTGCAGGAGCTGCAAGTTTCTTTGCTTTATTTTTTGTTTTCTTCATTTTTGTTTGCTCTAAATAAGAACCCTTTGTTATTGTGGCCCAAGTGTCATTGCACCTCATCTTCAAAACAATTATGCTGTGTTTACGAGCAAAAGTCCAAGAAGGCGAAGCGCTAGCTTTTGTTTTCATACCAGTGACAACCATCCATGAAAAATTCTTCTGAAGGAGGTTGTTCTAGAAAACGCAAAAAAAAATCTCTGCGACCTGAAATGCAACGCGTCTTTAACGCGATAAGCTTGCCGTATAGAAGCAAAAAGAGTTGTTCTGTCACACTGCCCTTCCTTTCCTGCTTTCCCCTCGCTTCTAGTGAGCAAACCCCATCATCGTACTGTACTTTAAAACAGAAAAACAAACTCCGCGGTAATAGCCTTCTCTTAATAACCCATTTGAAGCTTGATACCATTACTTTCAAGCCTCTCTTTCCTTCGAACGCGAGCGGACGCCCCGAGAGGATATAGAAAACGTGAAAACTGCACAGTGTCATCTTCCCGGAGAAGGGAGCGTAGGAGGGGAAAAGAATAATGAGAGAACAAAAGCAAAATGAAATTAGTACACCAATAGAAAAAAAATCCCTCAACAAAGCATAGCGCGGTTGAACAGATATAGATCGAGTGGTGCTAAGATATGAATGGCTACAGAAGTCCGCTTTATAGCATCGTGCGCAATGCGGAAACAGCATCGTATCGTTTTAACTCTGCATTACTGTCGCTCGTTGATGCGACACGTTTATTGATGGTTTTAAAGTCCCCTGTGTATCATGTATGCCAACTAGACTGGCACCCTGAATGTCGATCGTTTCTAATATCAAAACATTCTCTCTACTCTAATACCACCAGAACCTCCAGTAGATGACCAGCAAAAACACAAAGCCCACAATGACAGGCGGTCCGTATTTGCGGTACAGTGCTTGCAAGTTCACATCTCTGGCCGTCTTGCGATACCGAGCAGAGTCCCTCAGCAACAGTTCTGATTTTCCTTGCAAGTTATCCAGCGTCTCTCCTCTACAGCATTGCAAACCAAAGTGAGGATTCCTTGTTAGCATACACAACAATGCACAGCTGTCAGTGCGGCGCCATGATCCTTGATACAACAGGCCATCACCTATAGAGCAGGTCCTCCATGTTCTTAGTCATAATCTTGGTCACATCTTGAAGGTCCTCATGGAGCTTTGTCAGGTTTGATTGCGTTCTGGTGTCCTGGTACAAGCGCTTTGTGTTTTGCATGAATGTGTCTAATTAAACATTCATTGAATAAGCAAAGACGTCAGAATAGTATCCATTTTTGTATGCTGTTCCTCAGCCAACAGCTTCCTGCTGCAATTCGCCACATACCAAAGCGAGCAAATGCGTAGGGTCGAAGACCGGGGCGGTCGATCTCGTTGCCATAGCTCATAAAGAATTCCTTGGAGAGATCATCCAGATATGTAAAGGCCAGCTTGCGCGGATAGTTCTTTTCGCATATGCACAAGTAGACCACACCATGGTCAATGATGTAGCTATTGCAGATCAGGCCAAAGAAGAATAAAGTGTTCAGTTAAAGCGAACCGATTGGTGATAAACAGCACAATCCTGATCTGCTTCGTGGTTGTGTCCTGCAATTGTTAATTCAATCCATCCCTCTGATCTGAAAAGGGTAATAAGGAACCTGGGAAGATCAGCCCTCATAGACTGCGTGTGCGGGTGTGCAGTGTTCTTCTTGGTGCTGTAGGTGCTTCCTTAAAGTCAGTGACCGCTCCAATGTCATGTCATATTAGAAAGATCCTGACTGTAATATTTCTGCTCTCCCTTTTGTGCGCTCCTGCTCCGATGGGGTTTGTCCAACCTATCAGATCCTGCCGCGAAATACTACTAAAAAAAAGGCTGAATGGTGCTTACTGGAACACATAGCTCCCTGACTCGATCGAGCATCGCTTCTCAGAGTTCATGTTCAGTTTGCGAAAAATGAGCTTTGCTTGCGACTTGTACTCCTTGAGCTCCATCTCCACCTGGCGCGGTTATCGCGAGAGCGAATGAGAAAGGAGAGGAGAGAGGCGCCAGGTTTAGTGACTTGTAATTCTTTTCATACACGTCGCGCTTGGCTGCTTCAAACGTACCTGCTCATCATCGATAGAGGCAGCCAAGGGTAGTGCTATTGTTGAAGAGTGTCAGATAGTGTCAGAGAGATATTATGCTGCCGAGAATGCATAGTAAGATGCCGAGAGTCGTTCTTTTACCGTCTGAGACGCGAGCAATCATTGTCGTTTTGACCATTTTTGTCGGCGAGGATGTCCTGTTGGTTCTGTCGGTACGAATATAGCGTGAAGGTGTAGCTAGCGGTAAAGATGGGCGTGTTTGGTCTCTTGTGAAAGTTTGGTGGAAATGGAATGAGGAAGAGTGTAAAATAGCAATCATCATGTCGAAGGTGCATTCTGCAGCATTTGAGCCGAGTCTCATCATAGTGGCTTGGCTCATACGAGGACAGATCTGTGGTTCAATTAAAGGCACATCATGCTATGGTGAAAGGAAGTGAAGCAAATATCCTGGCGCATTGAATTCGTAACCGCTTTTGTTGAGGCTCAAAAAACTAAGAAAAAGGTCTTTCCTGTCTTTATTGAAGTAGTTAGAAGAATAAAAGGATGCTCGCTTCTCTCTGGATGCACTTAAGCCTTGATGGCGTACTTGCGGAGAGGGAAGTGGGTCTCCTTCTTCTGCTGCTTCACAGTCTTGCGGGCAGCCTCGTGCTTGGTAAGACGGCGGCGGATGGCGCGGGTCTTCTTGACACGGAGGTCCAAGGGAAGGAAGTTCTTCTTCTGGTAGAAGAGGCGGAGCTGAGCACGCTGGGTCTGGGTGATGACAGTCATGACGCGAGCAATGGACTTGCGGACGGTGGAGCTAAGGGATGGTCAAAGAGTGTACCGTGTTAGTGACACTCGCTTATGCTGCTGCCTTGAGACTCCTGTTCAAGAGATATTGCACTGTAGATGTCCTGAGGTCAAAGTCATCTAAAGCAGCGGTAGTGGATCTGTCGGTCGATATGGCGAGCCAAATCGCAGCTCAAGATACCCATTCATAAGACCAAAAAGTACGGACGACGACCGACAGCACTCCTGTAGATCGTATCAGTAGCATAGCCTGATATTTTCCGTGCAAATCTCTTTAGGTCCGATTTTGAGGACCTTTGATGCCGTTCTCATTGTTTTTAATTGCTGTACGCCACTGTCGCCATCGTGATCTTTGTGCTGAGTCGCCCTGTCTCCATGGTTCCTGGCCACCGTCCATAATACACGCTCGTGCGCCAACTTACATCTTGGTCAACTTGCTGGCGGAACCGCCGGCAACCTTCTGGACCTTAAGGCTGGCAAGCTCCTGCTTGAGCTCCTCGAGCTGCTTGGTGAGCTCAGCCTTGTTCTTGGTGCGCAATTCGTAAGCCTTGACAGCAGCCTGTACAAAGAGTCGAATAGGAAAGATGGTGCACTTGGTCAGATATTGCTTCCGATGGCTGTAGATTTGTCATTGAATAGGAGATGAAAAGTGCTGATCCTGAACTAAAGTCGTTTTCCTGAACGCTCATCTGATCCTAGCTTTGAGTTCCAATGACTAAGTACTGATGTAGTTTCAAATTTTGAAGCGCTTGCCGTCGGTGGCGACCTCACGACGTCCAGTCTGTGATGGGTTAAGATAAATGACTCTCCTGTTGCCACAGACAGTCAAATAGAGTACTCTATGCCAAACCCAGCTGCATGAAGCGTTGGTGGATCATACGTCCATAAAGATCTTTGATTGTCGTTGAGCACGTCTCTTTCAACGGCGTGTCCTGTAGTTTCAAGTCGTGCGCCTCGCAAGTGGAATGAGGTGTTTCTTCGCGCCCTGTACTCTGCAGTCCACCTCCGAAGCCTCAGCTAGATCCAGATGTACGGTCCCACCATGGATCAATACCATGGCCCCCTCATGCAATTCCAGATTGGATGCCGAGTTGATGACTGATCCTGCAAAGTAAGTCCGTATTCCGATACCACCATCGAGACGATAAGATGATTGAAAGTGCTGCCGCCGATCGTAGGTTCAGTCATGTTGGATGGATGGTTGTCCTTTGGCGTGTCGATATTGATGGATGTCCAAGTGCGAAGATCATCACATGATACATAGAGCAAGTAATAGAGACCATTTTTATAAATTGGAGAAAAGAAGGCTCCCTTGACTCTCGCGCCCACCCGCCCAAAATACTCCAACGGCAGCGCACAGTCACAATGAACAGGCACTGAATACCAAAGAGGGGAAAGAATCAGCAAAAAAAAAGAGAAGATTAAACACATTCCTTGCTGCCATTCCAACAGCATAACCATGGGCTCAAAGTCAAAAAGCGCTTCCTCAAAACGAACGCCGGCACTAAGTACGTATCTCAGACGCATATTTACTTAGTATATATACACGAGCAGGAAGTTGACCATGATATTTTTTTTTTCCTACTTCAGATGAATCACAGGTATTACTTCAAGAACAAAAATATAAAACAGAGACACTACCTTATACCGGCATACAACTGTTTATTGTGGACTTACACGACATTGAATTGCTCGTATTGAACCCGTAGAATCATGCCATTCCAGTCAGCAAACGATCAAAGGTACGGGGTCTGATTCTAGGCGCCCTGCATGTTTTACATAGCCCGACACGATCCAAAGGGTACTGACCCTGTCTGTCTTGTTGTAAATAGACATCACAAAATGAAGTCTCCTCAACAATATCATTACAGGATCAGGATGCTGGATCAATGGAAGCATTACCTGCAAGCATGGATCTGACCACTCAAATGGATCGACCACAGATTGGAACTCAATATGAGGATGACGAGGACGATATCAATGATATTGAGATGCAGGGTGATGATCGAGAGAGCAGTGACGGAGACTCTGATGTGGAGGACGATGAAGATCATGAGCTGAGGGCAAATACTGCCACAATAGTCAAGGTACAGCGAAATCGACGATTAGTTTACCTCGATCGACTATTCAGGAGACACTTGAAATTAAGATCCAACTTTGAACCATTGAACGGCTCTAGAAGGAAGCACATACCTCAGATCGTGTCCAGAAAATAATGACGAATCCAGAGATTGAGGCTGCATTCCATGAGCAGTACATGACCCAGATCACGCAGGCCTTTGGCGACGAGCTTAACACATTACGTGAGGTATGCGCCTCTGTACTAGACTCAACCGTGCTCCTCTACGCTCTGAAAGCGCCGTTACTGACTAACCCCTCTGCATAACTTGCCATGGAACCCCCTCTGCAAATAGACGGACTCGCTGGAAGGACCGCATCTGGAACTCCTGATCGACTCTCTTAATCAAACAGGACACATTTATTCAGCGGTAGAAAAGGCCCTCTGGGTTGCGGGAGCACAGTGAACATCAAAACCTACAATAAAATAAAGTTGTGTGACATACCATCGTCCATCTGCCACCTTTTTTATTTATTTTTTCTTTGCTTATCTCAAACCGTTGTTTGCCTATTCTCTTCTCTCTTGTTCTCTTCCCATTCACCTTGACTAAAGTAGCTACACCATGGACCTTTCCGATGAGCAGACGCCACTCATATCCAGTCACCGCAACAGCATCAGCAGTAACCGCCTCGGACGAGGTAGAGGGGGGTTCTATTCCAACGAGCGTAACAATTTCAACACCACAGCTACAGTCACACCCCCTCAGAGTGACCCATTGCCGCGACCACGGCCACAGAGACTACTCCAAGCACAGTTCATTCAAAACTTGGATAGGAATTATCAACACGAACGTTCGCACATCATTACCCGTCGACACTGGCTCGTCCTGCTTCTGGCTTGTCTCTTGCTCTATGGGAACTACTATTGCTACCATATACCTGCCGTAGGGTTGCTCAATTGCTATGATGCGCTGGCTTTTTCTTAGGAATGCTTCAGCTAACACGAATTTTGTTTTGTTTTTTTGGCATATAAAGGCACTGAATGTGCAACTGAAGGAATGGCTCGGCACCGACTATGCTACGCATCAATACCATCTCAACCTCCTCTATTCCGCCTACTCTCTCCCAAATATTGTCCTTCCTCTACTGGGAGGATTCTTGATTGATCGCCTGTCGGCCGCAAGGATGTTGCTTCTCTTTAGTCTTTGCGTTTGTGCTGGACAGGGTATCTTTGCTATTGGAGTCTCTGAAAAGTCCATCTGGACCATGGTGCTGGGCCGTTTGATTTTTGGAATTGGAGGCGAGTGTCTCGAGGTGGCGCAAGCAAAGATCACGACCGACTGGTTCAAAGCCCGATGGCTGGGCTTTGCTTTAGGCTTGAGCCTGTCGTCAGCGAGGGTAGCGACCGCCATGAACGACAATATCTCACCGGCTATCGCGACTCATGGAGGAGGTGTCGTTGGAGCCAGCTGGGTAGGATTCGGAGTCTGTGGGCTGAGTCTTGTCTGTGGACTCTGGTTGACATATCTGGACCGGACGGATTCGAGGCGATCCGCAGGAGTGCGATCGAACGCAAGGGATCGGAAGACAGACCGGATTCGCTCAAGAAGAGACAATATCGTGGGTAGACAGGCGATCAATGTCTCGTCCGACTCGACCATGACCATGTCCTCTGTTGCCCTTGAAGAAGAAGATGAGATTGAGAAAGAGAACGAGATGGCCGAGGACGACCAGGTGCTGTACTCGGAGACCTTCACCCTCCAAACCAACTTTTGGATCCTCTGCCTTTGTTGTATTTCGCTCTACGGTACGTGGAGCGTGTGGGAATCGAAGCAAATGGCAACAGTTCCCCCACATGATCATCGCCCCTTGGCTCATCACTCCGCGCACCATCTCCTGCATATATCTTCAATCTAACGGGAGAGATAACGTTCATAGGGGCTGTCATTCCATTCATTCACGTTTCGTCCGACTGTAAGTTTTCTATCTCTTCGCATGAACGGTTCCACTCTATATGAGATAGCCACTAACGCAATTTTCATGAACAACGCTAGTTCTGCAAAAGAAATGGTACCCAGATGACCCCAGGAAGGCCGGTGCCGTCATGGTTAGTTGCAATGGAAACTGGGAATCAGCTGCCACGGGGTGTCTTCAAAAAAAAATGAATTTCTCTTACACGTTCTTCTTGATTTTAGTCAATACCATATATCGTCTCATCAGTTGGATCGCCGCTCTGCGGCTACATCGTCGACCGCTTTGGGAACCGAGCGCGCTACATCCCCCTCTCGGCAGTGCTGTTGATCTGGGCCCATATGCAGCTGGGCTTCACCTTATTCACTCCAGTGTGCGGCATGCTTGTTCTCGGGCTTGCCTACTCTTTGTTTGCCTCCGTACTCTGGCCATGCATTCCCTTCCTGGTCAAGGATCACCAACTCGGCACGGCTTACGGCCTGGTAACTATCGCGCTCAACTTCTCGCTAACACTCTTTCCCATGGCCGTGGCTTCTATCCTTCACGCTACCAAGGGCTCTTATCGCCATGTCGAGGGATTGTTAATTGTTCTAGCCTTCATTGGACTTTTGCTGTCGATCCTATTGAACGTACTCAACCATCATAAAGGAGGATACCTGCAGTTGACTGGAGAGCCGGTGCCATCAGGGCCCCAGTACCTGGACGAGGATTATGAGGAGCGTCTGAGACGAGAACACCGTGAACAACTACAACGCCTTGACCATTATGACCCGCGCGAGCCTGGCTTTGAGTATCGTCGGCAGATGAGATACTCGCAGGAGCTGCTGCAGGAGGAGGATCCAGATATTGAGGACATTCAGGATATGGTGACGACCAAACCCGTTGGAGAAGGCATCATTACATTGATTCCACATCGACGGAGGGATTCTATAGCCAGCTTTACGGGATATTTGGGGAGGGCAAGACTGAGGCACTATACAAACCATGCGCAGACCGCGTTTCCCTAATAAATTGTCGCGTTGCATGAACTTGCGCTATTGGGCATTTGATGGATGTCACACAGGATCAACAAATGGAACTCGAGCCATTTAGCCATTTTATCAAGCAATCACATCATATCGTCACTTCTCTTCTCTTCTTTCCCACACACCTCCACCTCCACCTTCGCCTCCACCAACATCCTCTATATAGTCTCTTCAACGTTATTGAGCATCAGTCCACACCCCTGCAAACAGATATGAAGATCGCTCTTTCGACATTACTCGCTATCACGGCGCTGTTCTCCAGCACCACCGCAGAGGTCAACACGCCTTTCACAGTCAACACGCCCTTCACAGTCAATAAGAACCCCGTGGATGTCAGTATGTGCTAGACCTTTCTCTCTAATGTAATAATTCTATATATATAGCCCCTGGTTTGATTCTAACCGCAGCCAACGGGGCCTTCTCCTCTAGCTCTGTTTGTAATGTCTAGGTGTCCGGATGCCATCAAGTGCGAGGGTGTCTTTTCCAGGGTCTGTAAGTCCTGCTGCTTCCCCTTCCTCTGATGCTCCATTTGTATCTGTTGTGGCCGGCCAAAGGATATTCTCGCTTTAACCACGAGACAACCTCTCTTAACCTCTCTTGTCAATGCACTAGTCCAAGCAGAGAACCTGCCTCCAGTGGATCCGCTGCTCTCGTATATCGGCTCCATTGACCGTACCAGCGTCTCGACCTCAGATGTGCACACCAACCCGGCCTCTGGATTCCGCAACTCCACCACCACCACCACCACCACCACCGTGACCTGTAAGCATGGACCACTGGAATGTGCAGGCAACACGCAACAGTTGTGCTTTAAGAAATATTTCTCAGATCATTCGGTTTGGGTACGTTTTGTCGTCACAATGAACTCGTTACAGTCGCGCAGGATCGGTGAGCCAGAATATGCAAGAGAGGTTGGGGAGAAGATCGTGGGTGGCACTGTTGATAAAGAGACAGAGTCGTTGCTGGACAAGGTTGATGAGTGCAGTAGAGGTCAGGAAGGATTTGAGCTATTGGTGGATTCGGTGCAACATACGATTGACCATGGCGTCGGGTAAGCAGATGTACTTACCGTGTATCCATTTGGACAACTTGGATCCTGTCAGGAAAACCTAATACCTCTCCTTTCTTTCTTTTCTTGTTCCACGCACCTAACAAACAGGACGAGCTGCACAGTCTTCATCGACAACAAGAAACGTTGTGTGGTTGATGGAGGGGTCTGGAGGGAGTGTCCTGAAGGAAGTTCAGTTGCTGATTTTGTCAGATCAATCAAGGAGGCCGCCTTACAGCTCACTACCACCTTGATGAAGAGCTGTTTGTTCCGCCGAAAGTCTTGGTAGAGCGGACAGAAAGGGAGCAAGCAGATAGCGTCGTCTCCCTTGCACCCCATTCTTTCTTTTTTTTTTTTGTGCAATACATTTTATTCTTGAAGACACTAGGACTGGGGCCAGGATCTCATTTTTCGAACAGGGGAGTAGGAAATCCATATGCCAATTTGGTGTAGGAAATCCATATCCCAGGCGGGCGTAGGAAATCCATGTAGTTCCATGTGGCTTATAATCTATCTTTCTTGTAGCTTCACACTTTTCGTCGAACTTTCAACTACAAGCTTTTTTGGCCTATTCGGAAGCCGCCTCCAGGAGAGGATGATGGGAGGCTCCAGGTTCAAGTCCTGGGAAGAGCGTAAAACTCATAGAGTTCCTTATGACGAGAAACAACTTGTCCCTTGAAAAAACCATGTGAGGACAAAAATAGACTATAACGGTATCTGAGGGAATCAAATAACACTTTTTTACTTTCGGAAATGCGTGTGTCAAGTAGAAGGAGGGGAGGAACGTCTTTGGAGCACTCAGACAGCAGGCGTGCCGAAATCATTGTAGCGCATTTTTTTTTATCGTTATTATTATTCTGCTGTTGTTGTTTGGAGCAAATGATAGAATCATGAACGACCATCGGCAGCCATCTTAGCTAAATCTTTTTTACAAGATTCAAGTAAACGTGGGCACGACGATACAATTTCCGACAGCCTGTGTTTTGTCAGCGTACAACTGGGATCGAGATGGAGTTCCTCAAGAGTCGCGAAGTGGTACTGCAACTGCACGAAAGATAATATACCGAATACTGAACCTCGTACATCAAACACAACTACGCGAGGCATGGACGACAGGATTGTCTCGATCTCGCTATCCCAAAGGATCAACGCGTCACAATGCACGGTCAGCGCCGTTAGCTCGGGCCAGGTGCCAACATCGACCATCTGCATAAAATCCTTGCCTGTGGCGTCTCCAATCTGGCGCTTGTAGTTATAATTTCTCCATTCCAGAACGTGCAGAGCTGGGCATCGAGACATGAATCGCAACTGGTCGACTATTGTATCTGAAGAGCTGTTTCTGGAGTGGTACTTGATATGGAGTTCGTGTAATGTCGGGAGAGAGACGGAAATGTTGCGGACCCCGAAGCCATGGAGATGAAGACTCTTGAGACCCGGCAAATTGGCCACAACTCTCCACAACTGAGGCGCATAAAACTCAAACTCTTCATCGGAGTATGAGTAATGCAGCTCCAGCTTTGTCAACGATGTGTGCCGCTGGATGAAATCTATAATTTGCTCCACTTTTTTCATCGAAAAAATGACATCCAAATGTCGAAGGTTGGGGAAATCTATTGCACAATACTCCAGGTCGGATTGGCTCATTCCAAGGGAGTTGACTAGAAGGCGGCGGCGCTGGAGGGCTTCAACAGATGGATTGTATCGTGGCTCGTCCCATATGTCGATCTTTCCCCAGACCATAGGTGCCGTCAATTCATGCCATGCCTTGTTGACTCGCATGCACTTAACCAAATCCTTATGGTCTAGGAACTGGAGAACAGTCTTTGTGATCTTTACCAGGTCAAGTGCCATGACTTTCGACTTGACTGTAGCTACGTTGGGCGGTCGCTCCTCCATCAGCTCAGACGTTTGATCGACGACGGTTTGCAAAAGGCCCTGGACCGCGCTCATGCGCTCAAGGAGACTCTGCTGGTGCTCTAGGATATGTATCTGTGCCTTGATTATTAGATCTTGAGGAGGATGGACCTTGAGTATCTCCGTCTGTACCGTTATCAAATCCCTTTGCATCGTCTCCATTGTCTTCTTGGCTTGACCCAGGTCATCAGACATCATAGTATTGCAGAAGGATCGGAAGAGCTGGTTGTAGGATCGAAGAGTCGATTGTAGGTCGGCCTTGACATCTGTAGAAAGATGTCCCTTGTTTTTGTTGTTGGCCTTGCGGTCCTGCTGAATGTTAGTACCGCGGAGGACGGGATCCCCTTGCTTGGGGGTAGGACCATGAGCGGTGTCTTCGAGGACGACATCGAGCACAACAGCGCGACGGTAGAGAATTCTCGGTGGGGTCAATCTAATTGATTGAAATAAACCAGCTGCCATGAGTTTGTCTGTATTTAGTTCCGTTAACGCGTTTCTCTCATAGAAAAACGTTTACTCTTTAAAGTCGGCGTCAGTCATAAAAGGAACAACGACCTCGTCCTGCATGATACACTGGGCATTCTTGAATGCTCGTCGAATGTCCTGCCATAGGATAACATATCGATCAGTCGTGCGATCATGGCGAGCGTCAACGCGTATGATGGGAGAAGTCGAGGGCTCGCTGGAGGAAGACGAAACACGAAAGGGCTGCGAGGGACGATTCAGCTTGGGCTTTTCGCCCTGTACTGGCTGTGTCATTTTTGTTCAGAGAAAAAGCGAAAGAGCAGTTTCGGGCAGAATTGTAGGGTTGGAGCGAAAGTGAAGATAGAACGAAAAGGAAGAAGGAAAGAAAGAACGAAAGAACAAAATATGGCGATGCACTCAATAAATAGACGACACAGAGGGGCGTAGCACAGCTTTCAGCTTAGGGGGCATGGTCATGGGGACAAGTGGGAAAAGGCGAAGGCACTATCGACATGCATTGTCCGCTTGAACCATTCTCAAACGAAAATTACACCGTCTTTTAAAAACGCATCGCCAAATATTCATTTTCAATAAATATGACCAAGCCAAGTAAGGATCTAGCTCGATAGGCCCCAGATACCAGGAGAGCATGGGTGAAGGCAATGACGATACTATTTCACTTGCACAGCATATGAAGAGAGTATAAGGTATTATTTGACGCGTCTCAATCGCGTAGTGGGCATATCTGGCTTTAGGTAGGCATTGTATTGCATGCTATCGTGGCTATTTGCACATTATTCACCAGTTTGGCGGGCAACTGAGAAAGAAAACCGGAGGGAGCTGTTGTATAATTGTTAGCATGCTTACCGTCAATAGCAAAGTCGCTACACAATGGAGCATTCGCCTCTGGTATCTTGGAGCCGACGCATGTGGGGCTGGTATTCAATTTTTTTTATTCACGAAAGAGTGTATCACGTGCCGTATTAAGGCCATCGCCTGTGCTTCTCCTGGACAACAACAGAGAAACGTTCACCTTGAAAGAGCAGCCTTGAAGCGGCATCCTACTTTCTTCATTCCACCGTACCCATTTGACATCTGGAGCATCAGCGGACAGGAAAAAGAGGACTTCGTCGACCTTTGTGTTTCGTTCAGGTACGCCTTTCACCCCTCGTGGACAACGCGCTGCGGAGCCACGACTGGAAACATATATCTGCGCCATTTTTTCAGGAAATGCTACCACGCAGCATGAGGACGCCATGATATGGCGGGATCAAACCAGACAGAGTGGACGCTAATACATTTTTTATAATCTTCTTCCGATCCCTGGCCCACAGTTCTGTTTCTTTTATTTTCTCTTTCTTTCTTTCGTCTGTTATTTTCAGTTATTTTTCGTTTCTTTGTTGTTTTCTACAATTATCCTTCCTTTCTTCCGTACAAGCATATTTCTTTTTGCCTTGCTTTCTGTATCAAAACAAAAAAATGGATCAATTTGCTGCTCAACAACAAGGGTCACCCGCCGTCTCGGTCTCTTCCCAACCAATCAACGCTGCCATGTCATCATCCGCCGCCGCTGGATCTGCTTCCAACGCTGTCGAAGGAGCCCCGGCCTTTCAGCCTGACGAGAACTCCAAGACGCTCTATGTCGGAAATTTGGATCAGAGCGTCAATGAGGCATTCTTGCAGGAGATCTTTTCGCAGGCTGGAGGTCAGGTTGAGGGCGTCAAGATCATCCGTGACAAAAACGTAAGCACGCCGTCTAATTCTCATATTTATCGTGAGGTTCAGTTGGGTTTCGCCTTATTAGCCGCCAGATTGATGACGTGGTGTTACTTGATACGACGACTTTGCGCATGATCAATAATGCTCTCCTTGCTCACTCAATAGTTCGCTCATCAAGGCGGCCTGAACTACGGCTTCGTTGAATTTGCTGACCATGTGGCCGCTGAGAATGCTTTGCAAAGCATGAATGGGCGACGTGTCTTGCTTCAGGTACGGATCGACTGACGCGCACTTTGACAGCAGTTGCCCAAGCGCACAGCATTTGATGTTGCATTATCATTGGGGACGGTCTCATAACCTTTATTGCTTGATGTATAATAGGAAATCAAGGTCAACTGGGCATTTACTGGACAGGTTGCTGGCAAGGAGGACACAGCATGTAAGATTTCGCACGACAACATCAGATTGTTTCGCATAGGCGGAATCATATCCAGGTTATAATTTCTAACCAATGGCTCTGGGTCCTTCTTTATCGTAGCGCACTACCACATTTTCATTGGAGATCTTAGTCCTGAGATCAACGACGAAACATTAAGCAATGCCTTTGGCGTGTTCGGAACCATGACGTAAGTGCAGACATGAGCGTTCTCGATCGGCAGCACTGATGCGATCCGATGTCTCTGCTAATCCTGCTTCATAACCCACATAGCGATGCTCGCGTGATGTGGGACTCCAACTCTGGCAAGTCCAGAGGCTACGGATTTGCTGCGTACAAAGAACGTGCTGTAAGTTCAGGATCAGAGGATCATGATGACCATTGCACTTTTCAGGATCAAGATATACCACCACCGTTTGACTATACATTAATTCATGACTATCACTCAAAATTATAGGACGCTGAGCGTGCCATCACCTCTATGAACGGACAGGTCCTTGGAAACAGAGCTGTGCGTTGCAACTGGGCTAGCCAACGTGGCATGCCTGGACCGGCCTTCCATCCAGGTATGGGACGGATCATTGAAATGACTGCATTTCCTGTGACAGTATCTGGCATAGTCTCTAATTTTATTGTTTTAATTACTACTGCAGGGATGCACCATCATGGCGGAAATAACTTCAAGATGGTTGCAAACCAGGCGCCTCAGTTCAACACGACAGTCTATGTCGGAAACTTGCCGCCTCACACCACCCAGGAAGATCTGGTGCCATTCTTCCAGCCCTTTGGAATGGTGATTGACATCAGATTGCAAGCCGACCGTGGATTCGCATTTGTGAAATTTGAGACACACGAGAAGGCTGCCAATGCGATTGTTCGACTTGCCGGCACCATGATCAACGGTCGTCCCGCTAAGGTAACATTCCTCATGCTTTATGTGCACGTCAAATGAATTTATCGAAGCCGTCAATTGACATGCCAGTCTTACCATTTATGTGATAGTTGTCCTGGGGCAAGGATAGGAATGCCGAGAGCGCTACTCGTGGAAATCAATATGGCTACTATAACAACAACGGAGGATATTCCATGGGGGGTCATCAAAACAACGGCGGTTATCCTTATCAGTACAGCAACCACATGAACCACCATCATAACAACCATTATGGAGGCAATGGACAAGCCTACGGTCGCAATGGAACTCACCATCACCATCATAATCAGCATCATCACAGCCAGCATCATGGACATCATCATAACAACCACCAAATGGGTAACCACCACCACCAGCACCCCTTCCAGCAACAGCAACAGCAGGCTGGAGGATTGGATGGTGTGCCTGGAGCGACGGGGTCATCAGCTTTGGCTGCAGGCAGCTCCGCTCTTCCCCCTGTGAATGTTGCTGTCGGCAGCAGCGGTGGCAACAGTATCAGCCAGGAAGCCTATGATCAATTCTCCTCCTTTAACGCAGGATCGAGATAAGACATGACAACCAAAATCGATACTAACAAGGGTTGCAAGGCGAATCTATAGAGAACATTTAGAATGGCGATCGCTTGAGCAAATGCAAAGGCGCGGTAAAAAATACAATAAAATGAAATAAAAAAAATAAACAGAGGCACGAGCTACATGAAATACTCTTGAAGGCAATTGGATTGAATGGGTCTTTGGGTTAGAATGCCACATTTGTGATGATATGAGCTACGTCTGTTTATGCACGGTTGCGATGTTGAACACGTTTACGGGATAAGAGAAAGGGAAGTATGCAAATTTAGATAGCGTGGGTGCCTTAATAGCCCAACAATGCTCATGGTGAGATTGGCGCCCTGTGGATCGTATCAGAACAGTAATGGCACAGCGGTGGGGCTCATCGATGAACCCTGTCTAGCCGCAGATACTGTGCTGCTGATGCTGCTGCTGCTGCTGTTGATGTTGCTGCGCCCTGGTTGATTTTGACTTGCAAGCAATCGATTGTTATTTTTCCAGGGGAAAGAGATAGTGAAGCGCTCGGTTCAGGTCTCATAATTGACGGAAGGAGCGTCGACATGACGGGGAAGTGGCGATGTCGTTCCCAACAACTAACAATGGGTCCATTGCTTACTTTAGGGTGTTTTGTTGAACAATGTCTCTGTTGTCGCAGTATGCATCCATTGCGCGGATCCATTGCGTTTATTTCGTTATCAAAATGGTCAAATTGCAGACGATGCAAACACGTTCCCATTGTTCACCAAGGCATCATTGGATAGAAGGACGCGGTGGGCTGTCAGCTTGTCAAACAGGAGGAGGGGGAAGGGAGGTTAACCATTGGGTTGTTGCACCCAAAAAAAAAAAAAAAAAAGCAAAAAAAAAGGCGCCATGAACGTTCGGAAACGATAAAGACGAGAAGAAGAGAAGGACGGCAGCCGTCGGACAAAATAAGGCAGCCGGCCGTAGTGAGAACCGTTGTTCTTGGGGCAGAAAATAATTCTATATGGTGACTGTTGAGCTCTGATAATGAACAACAGTTTTTCTTCCGCCCCAAAATTAAGGAGAGGGTCTCTTTGTGGCCCCTTCGCTTACTTTGTTTATTCATTTTGTTGGTCAGAGCTTTTTGGGTGCATTAAAAGCAAGTGGGCTAGTTAGACTCGGTTGTGTTGGTGGCCACCTTTTCTTTTTTTTATGTTATCCGCTTGCGATCTGCATTATTTATTGCGCTTATCAAACATATGGGGGGGGGGGGTCGCGTTATTTTGCTTGAAAATCATCTTGATGATGCGGATCAGACAACAGAGCAGTCTGTTTGCTTGTTCAGTCAAGTAGTTTTGGGCAGTTGAAAAAATAAAATAACAAAGCGTCCCAGGAATGCTAGGAGTCCGAGAGATAGCATCATTGCACAGATAAACAAGTGGCAGTGGAAGTGAGTGAATGGGCGAGTAAGCAGTGTCGATTGTGAGGTTCAATATGTAGAATTGTATTGTAATGAAGCGTGTCATTGAAGGCAGAACCAGGCGGGAACCACCCTCAGGGAGCCGTGTCCAGGTGCTCTGCAGCAGCAGCAGCAGCAGCAACAACAGCAGGGGTCTTGTCCCCACATTCGATAGGATGAAGAGGGAAGGGGTAGGTTGTGCCTTAGGCCCTGAGATCAAAAGAGGCAACAAATGTTGGGGATCAAACAACAATTTGTTCCAGCTGGCTGGTTGGCTGGGTTTGGTTTATTTTTTTTATCTCTGTAGAATCTATGCATAGTTCCCCTATAGGAAATTGGTGGCGAATCTTGAATTGAATAACCGAAATGAATCGAAGGCCAAAGGGTGAAGGGGATACGATCGCGCGTTTCTAGGGTGTCCTTTTGTCCCACCGATCCGCTAGGGCCTGTCCACACCCCACAAACCATCCAATCCTATCCCATCGCCCCGCCAATTGGATAGGCTTATTGAATGCAGCCGTTGTCCTTTATCGCCTACAGTTCCTTTACTTTATTCTCGCACTGGAGAAAACGAAGCGGATCAAGCCAACCAAAAAGGCGTTCTTTTGGGCAAAAAAGCCGTTTCTTTTGGGTGCACTTCTTTTTCTATCTCTCCTTTCCCTTCTCTCTTTTTTCTTTCCTTCCTTCTTTCCTCACCCCACCCGTCACCGAAAACTCCCTTCTTTCTCCTCATTCACCTCTTCCTCATCCGCCTCATTCACTTTCGCATCTCACTTTGTTAATACTTTGCATAGAAACCTCACACTCCCTTCTCTTTCATTCATTCATTCATTTCTATCTCCTTTGCTTTTTTTCTTATTATTTCTTTCTGTAGTTGCATTTGACCGTAATCACATCCCTACCATCCTTTTTTCTTTTTACCTTTGACGAAAACCGATTATATTGAAAAGTTGCATTCAATATCTGTTCTCTTAAAGCCGAAAAAGAAAATACCCCTTCAATTCTCCACCGAAAAAAAACCCCAAGCAAAAAAACTCCCCAACATGACTACTTCGTTGCAGTCCAATTTGACCCGTCCATTGACGCTCAAGCAGGGCGTCACCGAAGTCTCGATCCTCGTCCCCTCCGATGTCTGGGTCGCTGCTGAGCAGCTCAGGGAAGAGTTCCTGATCTCGGCCAACGCTGCCCCTTCTATTGCCGAGGATGCTGGAGCCGCTGCTGCAGATGATCAGGCACCCGAGATGGCACTCGTCGCCCGTTTCCTCAAGTTTGCTACTGACAAGAGCGAGCAGGTAAAAAAAGAAAAAAAAAATGAGGGTCACTCTTTCATAATCCTTCTCACTTTGTTGGGAAAGAAGAGAGGGTGAAAATGAGGAAGTATGGGAAGGTGGGATAAGCAATTGATTCGACCGATTCAAGTACATGTGGATGAGGGGGGGGGATACGACAACAGGTGTACAAGAGGATCTGGTTTGTTATGCTTGCCTCAAGGATGAAGTGTCGTGAAGAGTAGCCCTCGGACATGGTGTGCTATCGATATTTCTATGAGAAGAACAAAAGGATGCTTGCAAAAAAAAAAAAAAAAAAAAGCGTTTTGATCGGTATACGAGCTGGTGGTTGGAATGAATGTACGATTACAACGATCTCCCCCAGCAATTTTATGAATATCCTGTTTCTTTATGTCGAGGACAGTGAGGGAAAAAAAAAGATCCTTTGCATGCAATGTAATGCTGCTAGAATGTAGGAAAGATGAGGGATACAAGAAGAGGATGGTTTTTTTTTTTTTTTTCCGCTTGTCCCTCATTGAAGACAAGTTAAGGAGGGGTTCAAATGGTCAAGTGTCCCAACGTTTTCTGGTTTCTTTGGGTGCTGAAAGAAGGGTAACGGGTGGGAGAGAGTAAAAAATTGAAATATTTGTTTCCCACGATCCAGTGGTTCTAGTACTAACGAAGTGCCCATTGCCCCTGTTGTCGATGAACAAAATAATAAATAGAGCGATCCATCCCTGCAGTTTATCCCCGTATTGAAGACTGTTTTCGTGTTCTTTGTCGCCAAATACCTCAAAGGAAACGACATCCATGTCGTTACCCGTCACCTGGCAAAGGATACCCGTGTCGTCATCATCAACGCCTTTTTCTCCGCACTGGTCTTCCTCCGTTCCACGGATGCACTCGTCCAGGGCGAGTACACCCAGCCGACCTCAGCTCTGTTTGCTGCTGCTGATCAGGGAAGCGCCAAGCTCTTTGCCATCTTTGGCGGCCAGGGTAACATTGAGGAGTACTTTGAGGAGTTGGCCGACATCTACGCCACCTATACCACCTTGGTCCAGGACTACGTCGAGGACATGGCCGCCGTGTTGCGCGAGCACGCCAGATCCGAAGACGCCTCGGTCTTCCACTCCAAGGGACTCGATGTCATGGGCTGGTTGAGGAACCCAGACTCGAAGCCAGATGTTGCGTATCTAGTCTCTGCACCCGTCTCCCTGCCCTTGATTGGACTTGTTCAGTTGATGCACTATTATTTGATGTTGAAGGTAAGAACAGAGTGCAAACAAAATACCGCCAGAGCGGACAACGGAAGCACAGTTCTGGACCCAGATACTAATGCCCCTTATCTTTATCTCAATTGCAAAACAACAGGTTCTCGACCAGACCCCAGATCAGGTTCGCGATGTTATTTTGGGATCAACCGGACACTCCCAGGGTATCATCTCTTCCGTTGTCATCTCCTCCTCCGCCACCTTCGAGGAATTCTTTACCAACTCACGCAAGGCCCTTGGCCTGCTCTTCTGGATCGGAACCCGCTCTCAGGAAATCTATCCCCCAACCACCCTCAACCCCGCCATTCTCCAGGACTCGCTCTCTAACAATGAAGGTAACCCTACGCCTATGCTGGTCGTTAACTCCCTCCGCGCATCTGAGGTCTTCAAGTACGTCGATGCCACCAACCTCCATTTGCCTGAGGACCGTAAGATCAAGATTGCGCTGATCAACGGTCCCCGCTCGGTCATCTGCACCGGTCCTCCTCAGTCCTTGTATGGTTTGAACCTGGCCCTGCGCAAGCTGAAGGCCCCCACAGGTCTGGAGCAGGGACGCGTCCCTTTCTCACAGCGAAAGGTCAAATTTTCTTCCCGTTTCTTGCCCATCACTGCACCCTTCCATTCGTCTTACTTGGATGGTGTTGCTGCTATGGTTGAGCAGGATATCGCCCGTGATGACTTGGCCTTCGATCATACCCGTATGACTGTGCCTGTCTTCTCGACTGATGTTGGCAAGAACATCTCTGGATCGCCCACAATTACTATGGACTTGGTCCACCAGATCTTGTCTCTTCCCGTCCACTGGGAGAAGGCCACCGCCATGGCTGGATTGACCCATGTGATTGATTTCGGTCCCGGTGGTTCCTCGGGAGTCGGTGCTTTAACGGCCCGAAACAGAGATGGAACGGGTGTCCAGGTCGTGCTCGCTGGCGCCAGCGAAGGAATCAACCGTGAGCTCTCGTATAAGCCGGATCTCTTTGATGCCAACCCCACGTCTCTTCGCTACGCTCCTAACTGGGCTAGAGAATTCCAGCCCAAGTTGGTTCGCTCTGTCAATGGCGATGTCCATATTGATACTCGCATGTCCCGCCTTCTCTCCAAGCCTCCACTGATGGTTGCTGGTATGACCCCCTCAACCGTCAACGAGATCTTTGTCAGTGCCGTCATGAACGCTGGATATCACATCGAGTTGGCTGGTGGCGGACATTATAATGAGGCTGCGGTCCGAAGCAAGGTCAAGAAGATCATGCACCTCACCACACCTGGCGCTGGCATCACGTTGAACACTTTGTTCATTAACGTCCGCCAGTGGGGTTTCCAGGCTCCTTTGGTCCCTAAGCTGCGTCGCGAGGGTCTTCCCATGGAAGGTTTCTGCTGTGCTGCTGGTGTCCCCTCCCTTGAGGTTGCTAGCGAGTTCATCACGGACATGTTCGGCGCCGGAATCCGTCACATTTCTTTCAAGCCTGGTTCTACAGAGTCGATCCGTCAGGTCCTGGCCATCGCCGCTGCTCACCCTGAGATGCCCATCATTCTGCAGTGGACTGGTGGTCGTGCTGGTGGCCATCATAGTTTCGAGGATTTCCATCAGCCCATCTTGGACACCTACTCTGCTATCCGTCGTCACTCCAACGTCGTCTTGGTTGCCGGTTCTGGGTTCGGTGGCGCCGAGGACACCTATCCCTACCTCACTGGAGACTGGTCTGTTCAGCTCGATTACCCCCCAATGCCATTTGATGGCATCCTTTTCGGTTCCCGTGTGATGGTTGCCAAGGAGGGCATGGCCTCGCTCGGCGTCAAGCAGGCGATTGTCGATGCTCCCGGAGTTGATGATTCCGAGTGGGAGAAGACCTACAAGGGTCCCACCGGAGGCGTCATGACTGTTCGTTCGGAGTTGGGTGAGCCCATTCACAAGATTGCCACCCGCGGTGTCAAACTGTGGAAAGAGATGGATGATACCATCTTCTCTCTTCCCAAGGATAAGCGCACCGCTGCTCTTTTGGCTAAGAAGGACTACATTATCAAGCGCCTGAATGCCGACTTCCAAAAGGTACGGTTGGCGACAATCTTTCTACGCTCTCTCCTGCATAACGTATTTCTCTATGAGTGGATCGCTGACGTTTATGCTCATTCTTGTTCATGAAATATAGGTTTGGTTCGGTAAGAAGGCTGATGGCAGTGTTGCAGATCTTCAGGATATGACCTATGAGGAGGTTATCAACCGCATGATCGAGCTCATGTTCATCAAGCACGAGGAGCGCTGGATCGACCACTCCCACCGCAACCTGTTGGGCGATGTCCTGCGTCGCATTGAGGAGCGTTTCGTCGGCGCTGAGAAGGACTCGATTGTTCAGACCTACTCCCAGCTCGATATTCCTTTCGACTTTGCTCAGGAGTTCATCAACACTTACCCATTGACCAAGACTCAGCTCTTGACCACCGAGGATGTTGGATACTTCTTGTTCCTGATGAACCGTCGCGGTCAGAAGCCCGTGCCGTTCATCCCTGTTTTGGACAAGGACTTTGAGGTCTGGTTCAAGAAGGACTCCCTCTGGCAGGCCGAGGATTTGGCTGCCGTCGTCGACCAGGATGTTCAGCGTACCTGTATTCTTCAGGGACCCACTGCTGTTCGCTACGCCACTCAGGTGGACGAACCCGTCAAGGACATTCTCGATGGAATCTTCCACAGCCATGTCGCCTCGCTCAAGGAGCGCTACTACAAAAACGATGATGCCAGCATCCCTCAAGTCGAGTATTTCGGCGGCAAGCCTGGTCGTTTCCAGTCTGCTATGAGCAAGGTTTCCCCCTTGGTCAAGGTCGAGTTGTATGAGGACGGCAAGGTCAAGACGGTCGAGACCTCGATGCTGGAGTCGAGCCTGCCTCAGACTGAGGACTGGCTTGAGTACCTCGCTGGCGTCGATGCTTCCTGGTTCCGTGCCTTGTTGACGGCTCCTGCTGTTATCCAAGGCAAGAAGTTCCTGGACAATCCTCTCGCCCGTATTTTCCGTCCCCGTGTGTCCCAGGCTGTCCATTTTGAGTACACTGGTCAGAAGCTCCAAACCGTTACCGTCTACGATCGCCGTTCGTGGTCGGCCTCAAGCAAGACCGATGAGCTGTCGCCCTCTCTTCGTGCTCGCCTGCAGCCCAACGAACTAATTGAGGTTGTCCTGGTTGAGAAGAACGGCGAGCGCCTGATTCCATTCCCTCTTCTCTTTCACTATACCCCTGAGAAGGGCTATGCCCCCATCCACGAGGTCATGGAGGGCCGCAATGAGAGAATCAAGGAGTTCTACTACAAGCTGTGGTTCCCTTCGGAGGAGGGTCAGTTCAACGCCTGCCTTGCCACCAATGCCTTTACCGAGCAGTTCATCTGCAACGGTGAGCAGGTAAACACTCCCGAAATCAAAGAGTTCTGCCAGGCTGTTGGTAACCAGGCCGAGCTCTACGTTGAACGTCGCCAGAAGGTCGTCTATGCTCCCATGGATTTCGCTATCGTCGTTGGTTGGAAGTCAATCATCAAGGCGATTTTCCCCAAGTCGATTGACGGTGATCTTTTGAAGTTGGTCCATCTTTCGAACGGTTTCCGCATGCTCGATGGCGCTGAGTCTTTGAAGCAGGGTGATATCGTCGACACTGTGGCGGAGATCAACGCTGTTGTCAACAACGACTCTGGCAAGTTGGTCCAGGTCAAGGGTGTGGTCTTGCGTGAGGGCAAGCGTGTCATGGAGGTCACTTCCGAGTTTTTGTACCGCGGCACCTTCACTGATTACCACAACACCTTCCAGAAGATTGTCGAGCTTCCCATGGAGGTCAAACTGACCTCTGCCAAGGATGTCGCAGTCTTGAAGAGCAAGGAGTGGATTCACTGGGCGGAGGGTGAGCACACCGTTGGACCCAATGCTTCGCTGGTCTTCCGTCTAAATACTATCCTTCGTTTCAAGAACAAGACTATCTTCTCCCACGTCGAGACCACTGGTACAGTCACTATGCAGATCTCGACCAAGGAGCATGTTGAGATCGCCAAGGTTCACTACAGCAACGAGGAGGAGACCCATGGAAACCCTGTCCTTGGTTATCTGAAGCGTCACGGCAGCCCTATTGAGCAGGCCATCCACTTTGAGAATGGCGGCTATTCAGTCATGCCTGAGGGTGCCTACAGCTCGGAAGTCATCTCTCCCTTTAGCAACGAGCCCTATGCCAAGGTCTCGGGCGACTTCAATCCCATTCACGTCAACCCTTATTTTGCTGACCTTGCTGAGCTCCCCGGAACCATCACCCACGGCATGTGGACTAGTGCTTCGACCCGCAAGTTTGTGGAGATTTTCGCTGCAGAGAACCATCCTCAGCGTGTCACCAGGTAGGGGTTTTTCTTCACGATGTTTGTTTGGCTGTGATCGTATCTGGCATTTTTTATTAACTGATATTGCATTTTTACAACTACAGTTACGAAGTCAGCTTCTTGTCCATGGTTCTTCCTCAGGATCGTCTTTCGACCAAGCTGTCACACATTGGTATGATCAACGGCAAGAAGATCATCAAGGTTGAAACCTTCAATCAGAACGGCACCAAGGTAACAAATACTCCGATTTGAATGTGTTTAATGTCGGGCGAGCGAATATCTTGCTATTGATGCATCTCATACTGACAATCCACCTCATGTTTTCTTTGACACCAGGTCGTTGAGGGCACCGCTGAGATCGACCAGCCTACCATCGCCTACGTCTTTACCGGTCAGGGATCTCAGGAGCAGGGAATGGGAATGGCTCTCTACGATTCCTCCCCTGTCGCAAAGGACATCTGGCAAAGGGCCGATCGCCATTTCTTGGAGAACTATGGTACGTCCTGAAGCCGTCTAGATTTTTCTCCGATAACCTTGGATATTATCGTTTGGCAGAGAAACTAACTATATCTCCTCGTTGTAGGTTTCTCCATCTTGGATATTGTCCGCAACAACCCTCACAAGAAGACGATTCACTTTGGTGGTCCCAAGGGTAACGCCATCCGTCAGAATTACATGTCGATGCGCTATGATATTGTTGCTCAGGATGGCTCGATCCAGTCGTTGCCTCTGTTCCCTGGCATCAACGAGACCACCCACTTTTATACCTTCCAGTCCCCCAACGGTCTATTGGCTGCCACTCAGTTCACCCAGCCCGCCTTGACCTTGATGGAGAAGGCTGCTTTTGAGGACATGCGTTCTAAGGGATTGATCCAGGCCAACTGCGCCTTTGCTGGTCACTCGCTCGGAGAATACTCTGCCTTGGCTGCCATTGGTGAGGTGCTCCCCATCGAGTCCTTGGTTGATGTCGTCTTCTACCGTGGTATGACTATGCAGGTTGCCGTACCTCGCGACGAGCTCGGTCGCTCCAACTACGGAATGGTCGCTATCAACCCCTCGCGTGTCTCGCCCACCTTCAACGACTCTGCCCTTCGCTATGTCGTTGATGCTATTGCCAGACAATCCAACGGGCTTTTGGAAATTGTCAACGAGAACGTTGAGAACTGGCAGTATGTCGCTGCTGGAGAGCTCTCCAACCTCGATGCCCTTTCGACTGTCTTGAACTACATCAAAGTCCAGAAGATTGATCTTCAGAAGCTGATGGAGTCCATGCCTCTCGAGGAGGTCAAGAAGCACTTGTCCCAGATCATTGCCGGTGCTCTCGAGAAGGTTGCCGAGAAATTGGCCAAGGATGGCTTCATCAAACCTGAGCGCGGTGTTGCTACCATTCCCTTGGCTGGAATCGACGTGCCCTTCCACTCCAGCTTCTTGCTCTCCGGTGTAGCCCCCTTCCGTACCTACCTCGCCAAGAAGATCAACCCTACCTTCATCAACGTTCCTCTGTTGACTGGCAAGTACATTCCCAACTTGACAGCCCAGCCCTTCAGCATCGAAAAGTCGTACATCGAGGGTGTTTACAACATGACTTCCTCACCCCGTCTCGGCAAGGTCCTCAAGAACTGGATCGACACCAAGCTCACTGCCAAGCAGCAGCAGCGTCTCGGATATACCCTCTTGGTTGAGCTGCTTGCATACCAGTTTGCTTCCCCTGTGCGCTGGATTGAGACCCAGGACCGACTCTTCAAGGAGTTCAATGTTACCCGTCTGATCGAGGTTGGACCCTCGCCCACTCTTTGCGGTATGGCTCAGCGTACTCTCAAGTTTAAGTACGAGGCCTACGATGACGCCTTGACCTTCCAGCGTTCGACTCTTTGCAGTTCTAAGGACGCCAAGGAGATTTACTATGCCATGGATAATGTTGAGTCGTCAGCTCCCGCTCCTGCCGCTGCCCCTGCTGCCCCAGTGGCCAGGGCTGTTCCCGTTGCGGCTGCCCCCGCCCCTGTCGCTGCTGCCGCTGGCCCTGCTGCTGCCGTTGCTGACGCACCTATCAAGGCCGTCGAGATCTTGCACGTCATTGTTGCCCAGAAGGTCAAGAAGTCGTTGGAGGAGATTCCTCTCTCCAAGGCCATTAAGGATCTCGTTGGAGGCAAGTCCACTCTCCAGAACGAGATTTTGGGTGATCTCCAGAAAGAGTTTGGTGGCAGTGGATTCCCTGAGAAGGGTGAGGAGGCTCCTTTGGAAGAGCTCGCCAATGCCCTCCAAGCCAACTTCAACGGTGCTCTCGGCAAGCAGACTACGTCCTTGATCTCAAAGATGATCGGATCCAAAATGCCTGGTGGTTTCTCGCTCTCGACTGCCAAGGCTTACCTCCAAAAGACTCACGGTTTGGGTTCCGTTCGTGCCGATGGTGCTCTGTTGGTTGGTTTGACCATGGAGCCAGCTGCCCGTCTCACCGGTGTTCCTGAGGCCAACGCTTGGTTGGACACCGTTGCCCAGGCTTATGCTCGTCGTGCTGGTATCACCCTCGGTGCCGGTGCGCCTGCTGGCGCTGGCGCTCCTGCCATGATGGCTGCTGCCCCCGCTGGCGCTGGTGCTCCTGCCGCTGTGGCCGATGTCCCTATCAAGGCTGTTGATATCCTTCATGTCATTGTCGCTCAGAAGGTCAAGAAGTCTGTTGAAGAGATTCCTCTCTCCAAGGCTATCAAGGACCTTGTCGGCGGCAAGTCGACTCTTCAGAACGAGATTTTGGGTGATCTGCAGAAGGAGTTTGGCGGCAGTGGATTCCCTGAGAAGGGTGAGGAGGCTCCCTTGGAGGACCTTGGAAATGCTCTCCAGAGCAACTTCAACGGCGCTCTCGGCAAGCAGACGACTTCTTTGATTGCCAAGATGATCGGATCCAAGATGCCCGGTGGTTTCACTCAGTCTTCAGCCAAGGCCTACCTTGCCTCTGCATACGGCTTGGGTCCTCTCCGCGCTGATGGTGCTCTCCTCTTGGGTCTTACCATGGAGCCCAATGCTCGTCTCGGAGCCGAGGCCGATGCCAAGGGCTGGTTGGATACTGTTGTTCAGGCCTACGCTCGTCGCTCCGGTATCTCCCTCGGTGGTGGTGGCGGTGGAGCTGCGGCCGGTGGAGCTGTTGGCGGAGCTATGATGAACAGCGAGGAGTTCAACCAGTTCCAGGCTAAGCAGAATGCCATGATGTACCAGCACCTCGAGATCTATGCTCGCTACCTCGAGAAGGATCTTCGTGCTGGCGAGAAGATGTATGAGGAGGAAAAGATTGCTACTCTCCGTCTCCAGGCCGATATTGATCAGTGGATGGCTGAGCACGGTGATTACTATGCTGAGGGTATCAAGCCCGTCTTCAGCACCAAGAAGGCCCGTATGTATGATTCGCACTGGAACTGGGTCCGTCAGGACGCCTTGTCGCTCCTTTACGACATTATCTTTGGACGCCTTACTGTCGTCGACCGTGAGGTCGTGGCTCAGTGCATCCACGTCATGAACCGCGCCAACCCCCAGCTCCTGGAGTTCATGATCTACCGCATCGACAATACCGCTGCTGACCGCGGAAAGACCTATGCTCTTGCCAAGGAGTTCGGTAACTTGCTGATTCAGAACTGTCGCGAGGTCCTCGATATTTCTCCTGTCTACAAGGACGTTGGTGTTCCCACTGGTCCTTCGACTACGATTGACAACAGGGGCAGCATCCTGTATGAAGAGGTCCAACGCGCCAATTGTCGTAAGTTGGATCATTACGTCAAGGACATGGCTGTTGGTGGCAAGATGTCCGAGTTCAGTAACCGCCAGAAAGTTCAGAAGAACTTGGCCCAGATCTACAAGATCATCAAGGCCCAAAACACGATGAAGTCTTCGTCCAAGTTGGCCATTAAGTCGCTGTATGGTGAGGTTATCCACTCCATCAACATGTCCAACAGCATCATCCGCGAGGAGAAGAACCGTCGTGCCAGCCGTGCCCGTCGTCCCTCGGTGAATGTCAACGCCGACCGCCCTAAAAAGGCCAAGAAGGAGACTATTCCATTCTTGCATCTAAAGAAGAAGAACGCCCAATCCGAGAGCGGATGGGAGTTCAGTCAGCGTCTGACCGGTGTCTATCTCGATGTCTTGACCAACATGGCCAAGGATGGTATAACCTACGAGAACCGCATGGTGCTCATGACCGGTGCTGGTAAGGATTCGATCGGTGCTGCCATCCTCAAGGGTCTCTTGTCTGGAGGCGCCAAGGTCGTTGTCACCACTTCGCGTTTCAGCCGTGAGGTCACTGAGTATTACCAATCGATCTACCAGCGTCACGGTTCGAAGAACTCTGCCCTCGTGGTCGTTCCTTTCAACGGCGGTTCGAAGCAGGATGTCGATGCCTTGGTCAACTACATCTACGATAAGGATCCTAAGAAGGGCCTTGGATGGGATTTGGACTACATCATTCCTTTCGCTGCCATCTCTGTGCAGGGCAAGGAGATCGACAATATTGACTCTCAGTCCGAGTTGGCCCACCGTATCATGTTGACCAACGTCCTGCGCCTACTGGGTAACGTCAAAACTAAGAAGATGGAGAATGGCTACGACACCCGCCCTGCTCAGGTAATCTTGCCCCTCTCGCCCAACCACGGAACATTCGGTGCCGATGGTCTCTATGGTGAATCCAAGGTCGCGCTCGAGACTTTGTTCAACCGCTGGACATCCGAGTCCTGGTCCGCCTACTTGACCATCACTGGAGCCGTTATCGGCTGGACTCGTGGAACTGGATTGATGAGCGGTAACAACATTGTTGCCGAGGGTCTCGAGAAGTATGGTGTTCGCACCTTCTCCTCTCAGGAGATGGCTTTCAACATTCTTGGTCTTATGCACCCCTCGATCACCAGCCTCTGCCAGATTGAGCCTGTCTGGGCTGATTTGAACGGTGGTCTCCAGTACCTGCCTAACCTGAATGAGATCAGCGCCAACTTACGTGCCGAATACCGCCAGACCTCCGAGATCCGCAAGGCTATCGTCGCAGAGAACACCCTGGATTTCAAGGAGACCCATGGTGCCGAGGCTGAGCGCAAACATCAGTCCCACAAGGTCACTCCTCGTGCCAACATGAAGTTCCCCTTCCCCGAGCTCAAGAAGTACAAGGATCTCTCGCATGCCCACAAGTTGAGAGGCATGCTTGATCTTGAGAAGGTTGTTGTCGTCACCGGTTTCAGTGAAGTTGGTCCATGGGGTAACTCTCGCACTCGTTGGGAGATGGAGGCCCACGGCCAGTTCTCGCTTGAAGGGTGTATTGAGATGGCTTGGATCATGGGCTTCATTAAGCACCACAATGGGCCTCTCAAAACTGGTACTCCTTACTCTGGATGGGTTGATGTCAAGACTGGCGAGCCTGTCAAGGACCGTGATGTTAAGGCCAAGTACGAGAAGCAGATTTTGGAGCACACTGGTATCCGTCTGATTGAGCCAGAGCTCTTTGGTGGATACGATCCCAAGCGCAAGGGTCTTTTGCAGGAGGTCTTGATTGACCACGACCTCGAGCCCTTCGAGGTCTCGAAGGATGAGGCTCACATGTTCAAGCTCGAGCATGGTGACAAAGTCGACATCTACGAGGAGGAATCCGGCCAGTGGGCTGTCAAGTTTAAGAAGGGCGCCAACATGTACATTCCCAAGGCACTCAAGTTTGATCGCCTCGTCGCTGGTCAGATCCCTACTGGATGGGATGCTGCTCGTTATGGTGTGCCCAAGGACATCATCGACCAAGTTGATACCATCACTCTCTACGTCTTGATTTCGACTGTCGAGGCCTTGGTCGCCTCTGGTATTACCGATCCTTACGAGTTCTACCAGTACGTCCACGTCTCCGAGGTCGGTAACACTGCTGGTTCTGGTGTAGGAGGTATGCTCTCGCTCCGTGGCATGTACCGCGATCGTTACACGGACAAGCCTGTGCAGAAGGACATCTTGCAAGAGTCGTTCATCAACACCATGCCTGCTTGGATTAACATGTTGCTCCTGTCGTCTTCTGGACCCATCAAGACCCCAGTCGGAGCCTGCGCTACTGCTGTCGAGTCCGTCGAAATTGGTGTGGACACGATCCAGAGCGGTAAGGCAAAGATTGTTATTGTTGGAGGTTACGATGACTTCCAGGAGGAGGGTTCGTACGAGTTCGCCAACATGAAGGCTACCAGCAACACTGAGGAGGAGTTCGCCCACGGACGCACTCCTAAGGAGATGTCTCGCCCTGCTACCTCGACTCGCTCTGGTTTCATGGAGTCCCACGGAGCTGGTATCGAGATCTTGATGCAGGCTAAGCTGGCCATCGAGATGGGTGTCCCTATTTATGGTATTGTTGCTCTCACTAACACCGCCACGGACAAGGAGGGCCGCTCTGTTCCTGCTCCTGGTCAGGGTGTCTTGACTACCGCTCGCGAGGCCAAGGGCAAGATGCCTTCCCGTCTCTTGGACATCAAGTACCGCAAGCGTCAAATTGATGCTCGCCGTGCCCAGATCAAGCAGTGGGTGGAGAACGAGTATGCCGAGTTGTCTTATGAGCTTGAGGAACTCAAGGGTAACAATGCCTTGACTGTGACCGAGGAGGAGTATCTCGCTTCTGAGACTGAGCGTATCCAGAAGGAAGCCCAGCGCCAGCATCGTGAGGCGCTCAACCTCTGGGGTAACGAGTTCTACAAGCAGGATCCTCAGATCGCACCCCTCCGTGGTGCTCTTGCATCATTCGGCTTGACAATCGACGATATCGGTGTCGGATCCTTCCACGGTACGTCGACCAAGGCCAACGACAAGAACGAGTCCGACGTCGTGAACAAGCAGATGGAGCACTTGGGCCGTAGCAAGGGTAACGCCTTGCCCTCGATCTGGCAGAAGTACCTGACTGGTCATCCCAAGGGTGCCGCTGCTGCCTGGATGATGAACGGTGTCCTCCAGGTCCTCCAGACTGGTTTGATTCCCGGCAACCGTAACGCCGACAACATCGACGACACGATGAGACAGTTCGAGTACGTCCTTTATACTTCGCGATCGATCCAGACTGATGGTGTCAAGGCTGGTTTGCTCAAGTCGTTCGGTTTCGGTCAGGTCGGTGGTGAGGTGCTCCTGGTCCACTCCGACTATATCTTGGGTGCTCTTGAGGAGCACGAGTATGAGGCTTACATCAACAAGCGTCAAGCCCGTCAGGCCAAGTCATACCGCTACCTCCATGACTCGATGACTGGTGGTCCAGCTCTGGTCCAGGTCAAGAACGCTCCCCCATACACGCCCGAGCTCGAGTCGCCCGTGTACCTCAACCCCCGTGCGCGTGCCCAGTATAACAATGCGACCAAGTCGTGGTCTTTCAACGCCAAGGCCCTTGTTCCCGCCTCGGAGAAGATTGATGTAGACATGACCCGCGCGATCCTCGAGACCTCTGCTACAGAGTCTCTCAACCAGTCCTCGAGTTCGTCCCGCGGTGTTGGTGTAGATGTTGAGATGGTTTCTGCGATCAACATTGAGAACGACACGTTCCTCGAGCGCAACTTCACGCAGAAGGAAATTGACTACTGCTTGAGCCGGCCAGATCCCCAGTCCAGCTTTGCAGGACGTTGGTCTGCCAAGGAGGCGGTCGTAAAGGCCGTGTCGTCGTTCTCGCTCGAGTCGGAGAAGGTCTGGACTCAGGGTGCTGGTGCGGGACTGAAGGAGATTGAGATCGTGATGGCCGAGAGTGGTGCACCCTCGGTCGTGTTCTCGGGTGCAGCACAGGAGGCAGCTGCCAAGGCTGGCGTGAAGGAGATCAAGGTGTCGATCAGCCATTCGGGCGCTTACGCAGTTGCGGTTGCAAATGCGTTGTAAAAACTCTGCTTTTTCATCATGCACATTTATTTTTTGTTTTTTCTTTCCTATACCTGCTTTATATCTTCCAGATTCTTTGTAACAACACACAACTCACCAAAAAAGAATCTTTCTTAGTTTTTAGTTTTTATCTTTTTTTTATATCTCTGTCCATACAGTTTGAGGAAGGGGTTTGTTGGTTGAGTAGGTGTTTGATGGTGGTGGTGTAGTGGCGGGATGTTTAGCACTGGTCGGATGGACACTGCAGGCGGCGCAAGGAAAAGTTGAACGCAACGCTTCTTTTCTGGAGTCCCTTCTCTCTTTGTTGGTCTGATTGATGCTAGCGCAACAGCATCCAGCTACTTAAAAAAAAAACGAGGAGAATAATATCTCACTCAATAAATGAATCCTTTTGTAAATTGATATCCTTCTTTGCGTGTTTGAACGTACGGAGCAAATGTTTGGCAATGAACTTTGCTGCGCTTTTTTCGATTCATTTTGTTGTGCATGTCTAAAAAAACACAGAGGGCGTAAGAGTAGAGAGCCGTTGGACACAACAAGGATGAGTTCATCTAATGAACAAGTCGCGCGCAGACGATCTGAAGATCGTCTTTACATGTTAACGGATAATGGATTGATTTACGAATGAAATGTGGGGTGAGCGTGGAGTAGCCTGATCGATCAGAAATGACAGCGCAGTGTAACTGCAGCCTGATGGCGTTGTATGAGACGGTTCTCATTACTTGCTTCTGACAAGACTCTGTTAACTAAAGCATGTAAATGCGTATGCACTGCTCAAGCTGAAAGATCATATTAGAGGAGATGCAGAAACCTCAGATGAGAGAATAGAGGGTGGCAAACATACAAAGAGCCATATGACAAGTGAATTGGGCGACATTGTTCAATTTATTACAGTGACAAATATCAAGCTTGCATGGGGCCTTGACTGTTGCGAAAATTTATCTGAGGGTATTTTCATCCCCAGACTCAAATCAAGTTTGCGATATGACTATCAGAATCATGGCCACCAGACAACATCATGATCTGAACGGATTTAAGGTATGCTTGATCTTGTGTCCTACTTTCCCTGTGTCAATAGACTTGATTAAATCTTTTCCAAGTGTCATAGAGCGAGTGCGTATCATAGAGCGAGTGCGTATCATAGAGCGAGTGCGTATCATAGAGCGAGTGTGTAGCATAGAACGAGTAGGCGTCATAATGCGGTTAGCGGCTACTGTTACTTTTTGTCAGGAAGGGGGGGAGGGAGGAGTGGCATAGGAAAGGTTACATGATCGATGAAGGATTAGTTGCAAAGGGCGTGCTAACATCTCCTGCCATGCCTCGAGGTACCTCACTCCTGCGTACTGGCCAACCACGTTCTCTTTGTGGGTATCAGAGATACGTTGTTTTGATGTAATCGGGGCATTGGTGGGGATGTCGAGCTTCCCGGTCCGGCTATTCCTCTGGCCAGCTTATCCTTGCCTCGCTCGACATCATGATGCTCCTTGGCCAGCGCCACCTTTGGTCCTTGTTCGACTTGCTCATTGACCACATCTTACATACCTGACATGTCCGCCATCAAGACTGATGGGTTCTCAACGCCAATAGCTGCATGGGCTCTTTGGATACAACGGGCAAGACGTACACTCTTCTGGTGTTGAAGGGTAATATCTCGTTCGCCGATGTTCGCCTGACTGAACGCAATTTTCGAAAGAGCAATCTTGTCAAAGCGAAAGAGACAGTTCACTTTCCATCCAGACTCGCTCTTATCTTCATTATCCGCACTCTGCACATCTCTAATGATCCTGGATGTCTCCAAAGCCTTTTCTCTAAGTTGCATCTTGCTCGGGTTAGAATCCTTGCGATGCTTGTATTTAACTGGCACACAGACAAAATATCAAGACATTATGACTTACGTGTGCAGGGACACTTTGTCTGTCATGACCCGGAAAACCGATGTCCATATATACAGACAGTCATTTTCGGAGGGAGTGCAGGACTTGAAGGATGGACATAAAATGAACTCACAGCTAGGAACAGATAGAAACCTTTAGTCTAGAAAATATACACAACAAAGCATTGATTTTGGGATACAACCATATCACTTACAGCTGTGAAAGGATCTGAAGGACCCTGTCCTCCATATTGCCATCAGCTGGCAGTCTTTCAGCATCCAGGTGCTTACTGTGGAGGACGCCCCGATCAACAATCAACTTCCTCCGAAGATATTTCACGCCTTTCTCCTCTAGGGTCTTGATATACCTCCGCATGTATATTGTTGATGGATGCTCCTCAAATCCTACAATGGTGCTTTCTGACAGGGCTCTATCCACGAGGCCGTCATCCTGAGCAGTCTTCTCGAAGTGCCCGCATACCCTGTCAGACATGGTGTTGAACACGCACGATAGGGCAACACTATGGCATCAATATGAAGAACATTTAGTCACATTATTTCAATACATAAGTGAGCAGCACAAAGCAACCATACATCGCGACCAAGCAAATTTGACATACTGGGCATCTTCAATAAGTTTGATATCCTTTGCCTTTTGGGGTTGCTCCTGGTACAGCTGCAACGAGTTGACAGCATGGTTGAAAAGCTGTGCATGGACTGGGATCATTCCTGGTTACGGGCTCGGGAATGTAACAACATTTTCACCGTTGACCTAGTGGCATATTTTAAAAACGTTTCAGGCACTTGTTGATTAAAGAATGACATGTCGCCAGCACAGAGCAGTCTTACAATCCTCGTCAGGAAAACCATGAGCGAGTGCCAGGGTTCCTCTGTAACCTAGACGCATCCTTTTTTTGGTTGTCAAGGCAGAGGAGGGTGAGGCAGCGGAGGGCAAGGTCAAGCTAGAGGTGCCTGAGGCTGACTTGAGCGGTGTCTGATAAGGAAGGATACAGGAAACAGAAGAGTGAACATCTTTACATGCCCTTTCCACATCGCAAGCGCAGTTGATCGCCTGTTTGGACACATGCAGACTGTGCCTTCACATTATTCTGGGTGATTGTGTCCGGCATATTAAGCGTTGCTTCTGTGATCATGGCTCTCTCTGCGGTTGTTATACCCTCTCTTGAGGCCTTGGTGTTTTTTTGCTGCAGCCAAAAGACTTCCTGGTCGCGACTCGCCCAGTCACAGTAATCGCAGAGAAGTTTCTTTCGGACACTGTCCTTCACTCTTGGACTCCCGATCATCAGCAAGCAGTCGCGCTGCTCTCCGTGTGATAACCAAATTCCCGGACAAATGCAGGAAACGTCGCGTCACCAGCGCGTAGGACCCAGTCTATGTGTGACATGACTAGTGCTTCAAAAACAGCGTGCGAGAAGCCGATGAAGTGCAATTTTAATTAAGCCCTCGGCACTAGATGTAGGATATAGTTCAGCGGATTACCTAGTGTGTCAGTAATTCGCGAGATGAAGGTCGAGCAGTGGGAAGGATGGATGATAGGATGGAGGAGTAACGCGAGTTCGGACGCGCTTTGTTGTAACGTTGTAACTCAGCTTCCGCCCCTTCCAGTCACACAACAGCAACGTACAACAAACCTTGTCTAACTCCATCCATTATCCCACAAGGAAATTTGTCTCTGATGCTCCTCCAAGGCCCTTATCTGCCGCTGATGTTCCTCCAAGGTAATGTGCTGTTTGCCATGGGCTATGATCGGAGTAAATGCAAGCGAGAAATAGAGAGCTCTTGCTGGGGGCCATCACTATCTGGCTCCCACTTAGCCGCTGATCAATCTGACCAGGTGTTGGGTGGAGATAGCGATGAACCACCATGATGCCCATTCAGTGAGGCCAGATACGCGTCTTCAACGAAGATACTCTGGCTGCATGGCGAGTGCGGGTATTTATAGCTCCTTTCTTTTTTTGTCATCTCACAGACTTTATTCGCAGTTGGTCGTATATCTCAGGCAAGAAACGTTGCTAGCATGACCCTGTGTCTAAGGTCAAACTAGCCATACATTCTGCCACATTGGTGCTGTCCACCCCTTCGCCATTTCAGTCTCCATTCGCAAGGCGGGTGCTCTATATATTTCTTCCTTATTGGCCCCAGTTCACGACAGGTCCCGTCAGTCTCACCCGTGGCTGGGAAGGAATCAAACATGATCTTAAGGTGGTCGTAGTTAGGATAAAATAGGGCGACTAACAAACATTTTCATGGTCAAATTGTTCGACGTTTAACGTATCGGTATGGACTCAATTTACTATGCACAAGGTCGGCCCTTGAAGAGGACCATGGGCGCCGTAGGAGTATATTCGTGTTGCGACGAATTTGAAACAACTAAAGCGCTATATGGCCATAGTTTCTCAGCGGCCTACTATATCCATTAAATAACTCAGACATTATTCTTGGAGTACCGACATCTCTTTATTAACCCAATGGATTATTTTTCAGATGGGATAATAGAGTATGGGATTAACCGCCCAAGGTTTATTCTCTGTACAAGCTCGGTCTATGTCATATGGAATTCGCTCGTCTTGACATGGTTCCTGTCTAAAATCATTTGCATAGTGTTTCAATACGATGAAGATGATGGTCTGGTTGGAAGTTGAAGAGAAGAACCGTCAACACAATTTTCAACCGGACTTCACGCCTGTTGTCCGGGGATTGTTCGATGCTCCGTCTTAGTGTAAAATACATACGGAGAGCACGTATTGTTGGTCAGGCATTGGTTCGCAAGCATTTTATGGACCGATCTCCTTGAATTTGTTGAGATCTCGTTTGAAAATGGAGGAAAGCACTGTAAGGGTTAAATCTGGGGTAGCCATGTTAGATATTCATCGCCATGGATATGGGCGCAATGCAGTTGGCCGAGACCGCTGAAGCCCAGGATGTAATAAAGTCTGCACCGCCTCTTGATTATTATTATATACACATGTTATTTTTTTTATTCGAGAAGGGTTTCTCCGCGTGTTAGAATGGCGATTTCTGCGCCAGGAGTCCTGTTGGCTTCTTTGACAGTCGTCCTGTTTCCTGTACTGCGGCGACGATTTCTCCGATGTCCGTTTCCAACACCATACCTCCTGTGACGACCTCGGCCAAGATATCGTGTACCTCCTTGAAGTGAAAGATCTAAAATGACATTTTTTTTTAAATAAAATCTGTGAGTTACACGGTCCTCAGATCTTGTGGTTGTCAGCTCGGTCAGCAATGGGGCATACCAGATCCAATTCACAGACATTCTCGAAGCACCTATCGAGACTCTCCACAAAGACCTAAAGAGAAAAAGAAAAGGCAGTTGTCATGGATCAGTTTTTTTTTTTTTTTTTTTTTTTTTTGCTGATCCTGGTTCTTTTTTGAATTTATGATATAGCCTTGTCCACGTTCCTGAAAGCGTTGCCTTCGTCCAGTTACATTTACCTGAATAAGATCCAGAATACCGAGTTCGCTCTCGGACTCATCAACGACAAAGACAAAGTACAGGGTGGCATAATGACGATAGATGACCCTGGTATCCTGACCTCCCAGCATTTGACTGCCCTCTAAAAAGTTGCATACTGTGTCCGGTCGTTTTGAGATGAGATTAAAGATCTCTTTGATGAGCGCTTGTTGTGTTGCAATGTCCTACATCCAGAAAAGAAAAAGAATGGAGACAGAAGCAAAAAGGTCAGACCTGGGTTCAGAGTGATGCCATGCTATGATGTGTTTATTTCCTGCGTTGATGCTTACGATGGGCTGGTAGAACTTTGTCAACCGTGGATTGCCATGGTTATTGAAAATGAGCACCGACTTGATCATGCTTGTTGGAATGCTGCTTGCCGATGCTTGTCCTATTGTGCCTTGTTGATCCTGTGGGGAAGTTGTCCGAGTGAAGTCGAGTAGTCAAGCGGTCTAGCGATTGAACGTTCAGAGCCGGGTTTTTGGAACGGCCCATTGGAATTCGTGGCGAAAAAAACCCCCTCTCCCTCCTCCTCGACAATAGTAGTGGCTTACAGCGTACGAGACGCGTACTTCCTGAAGAACACTCACCAAAGCAGTTGAGCGTGGTATTTCGAGATTGACAATACTTTCTATCGTACAGGCGCTTTATTATCATTGAAAATGGTGTTATTATGTTTTGTGAAGGATGCAATATGAACCATGCTCTCCGGCTATGCCAACAACACGACCACAAAGATCGCGACCATCGACCACAGGAGTGTCTCCCCCGTTGTTCTTGTTCCCACCATCCGTGCAGTACCACTACCACCCGACCCCTCATACAGGGTTGCAGGTTGACCCACACTCAGCTGCACGTTCTTGAAATAGACCGAGGTGTCCACAGGAGTAGCATAGGATGAATCAGATCCTCCAAAGAAGGACGAGAACATCAGTCCCTGGAACCCAACCATGCCTGTCGAGCGATAGGGTATGTTATTCATGGAAATGAGTAGGTTGCCGTTCTGGTACACTTGTAGGGTTCCATTCTGGTTGCCGGCGGGTTCGTTCAGGACCATGACCATGTCAATATGTGTCCACGTGCCTGGTGTAAAATAGATCAGCCCACGGCCGATCGATTTGCCGTATTGGTCGTTGCATAGTACCTCTGGAGTCTGACACAGACTGGATTTGGCATCCGCTGGAACATATGCGTACACTATTTGTGCGATGCCGCAGTAGCAGGGAAATGCTCGAATATGTAAGGAACGAGCACAATCAAGTTTATCTTTGAGCGACAATCAACAAACGACAAACAACAATTAGTATAATGAACTGTATTTGTTGTTTACCTTCGCCAAGACCGTTTGGTCTCCACATGAGTCGCATGGTCAGACAGTTCGCCCCCGTAGATTGAATGCCGCCTGAGCAGCCATCATTGGGCGTCCCACCATAGACCCCCGGCAGCTTCCCACCTATGAGCAATTCGCAAATGGATCGGGTTGAGTGACAGTCGATGTTAGTGAGCAAGTGAAAAATGGTGGCAACTAAAGTTTCATTATTCAGGAACCTAAAATAGCCCTGAAGTTCAGCAAGCACTTACCAAGGACCCAATTGAACCCATTGGGAAATGCAATATCATAACTGATCATCATCCGTTCAAAAGGAGTCTTGTCCCCAAAAGGCCTGGCATAAAACTGAGCTCCGCCTTTGATGGGGCCGACTGAGGGTGCATAAGACCCCTTGGGGTAATTGATCTGCAGCACGGGGTTGCTGGCATTTGTACCTCCGCTGCTGAATGGGTCAGGCACAAAGGCGATATCGTTGCCACCGGTAGCAATGGTTTTGTAGGTCGTGAGCCAGTTCTGGGTGATGTACGTGTCCCCACCTATCCCACCGTTGGTGCTGGGGCTGCTGTTGGTGGCGATGGGTGCACTGGGCATGGGTGCGACCCAGTTCTGGACGAAGCCGTTTTGAGCGTAGATCTGGTCGCGTGTGATAGCGCCAGCTGCGACGAAGTGTGTACTGAGGAGACACGATCCGACGAAGACGATGGGAAGAAGAAAAGAGAGCGAGTAGGAGGGTCGAGACGAGGATGAGTGTTTCCGAGAAAGCGAGGGTGTGGCCATGGTGTGTGTGTGTTTGTGTGTCTGAATGAAAATGCAGTATGCTTTATGATGCAGTAGTATGTGAAAGAAAAGTGGGAGACCACAAACAAACAAGACTTGAACTGGAGGAGGGTGTTGCGAATGAGGGAATGAGATGAGGATGAGGATGAGGATGAGGATTAAGGATTGAACGATGAGCAAAAGGAAGGTGATGGGAAGAGAGGGAAGCAGCTGGTTACACACTTTTGGTCGACCCACGACCACTGATCGGACCAGGAGGACGAATCCTATTTCTGTCACGGAGGGAGAGTTTCTTTTTTTTTTATTCGCTCGCAACAGCCTGCTTTACCTGTCCGCCATTTTTTTTTCTCTTCAGGATACAGGAGTATAAAATGCTCATGATGATGAGGTTGATGATGATCAGGGTTCAAAGTACATCCACAGCCCTACATACATTGTCGGATGACATGCTATACTATGCCCAAGCATGTCATCGATTGGCGACTGACTCCGGGATGCCTCTTACTGTCGAAGACGAATGTGTATCTGTGTATCTGTGTAGGACTACGGCCTTGGCAATGAAGGAACGAACGACGCGCATGAGTGAAAGTGAAGCAGGGGGGGGTATTAGGTTTTTTTTGTCCAAGTGTCCATGTGGGTATGATTTCCATATCTTACCTTCTAATAATATACACGCACGTCCATGATTGCCTTGCCCCTATCTAAATTGTCCTAATGATCCAAATGCCGTGTCTCTCATCTTCCCAACGGTAAATTTTTGTTGCTTGTCTGCCATTGTCCAGGCAGCATTACTCGCCTTAAATTAAGTGGCTTTCAGTTTGCCGCCCAGTTGCCCAAAATGAATTGAGATGGGGCTAAGCAATTGATGGGTATAGCGTATCCACATTTCGAACAAGAATCGAAAGCGACTCCTCCTTTGCTCGTGCATAATTCGGCTTTGGCGTTCATTAAGTGCAGCGGATGTCATCATTCCTAGTGTAGAAAAAAAAAGACGAAGGGGGAATGATACCTGAAGAAGTGAGAGAGAGAAGGGAGGGAGGAGGCGCGACGGCTATAACCGAGAAACTTCTTTTTTTTTAAACAGCTTCATATCCAAGCAGGTAGCAGGATTGTCAGACTTTTCCCCTGCCACATGAGTGCATTTGCATCATAGAGACTGACTGCTGAAGCCACCGCGCCTCCTACTGCAATCCCCCTCCCCACTTTTGCCACGCTACGCTATGATGCGATAGGGTGTAGCAAGTTAATAGCTAATCTCGGCAAGTGGAGAAAGGCAGGAGGGTCGGAAGAGAGTGTCATTGGGGCCGCAGGCAAGAGACGAAGGAGCGAAGGAACGAGGATAAGTCGAATCGGATGCTGAGTTGATGTTGACATGACAACAACACGGCACGCAGCAAACGATATAGTCAAGATGGCGCAGTTATAGTTGCGGCATTCTCTTTTTCTACAATGTGTCGATGATCGACTGGAAAATCACGGCAACATCCTTGTTCCTTCAATCGACAATAAAAGACGATGGAGGGATGGGTGCTGGACACGTTAGCAATTGACGGTGTCGTTTTTACTTCCAAAAAAGAAGAAAAAGAGAGTCGACAACAGACCGATCGTTGTTTCGTTTTCGATTGATTTTCGACAGAGGATATGGATGAATGAATGCCTGTATGCGGGGGCGGTGATTGCAGGAAGGTAGACAGCAATAAGTGTGTCTACAGCTGGGTGCATCGCCCAATTATTTCCACCGCATTCCGATGATGGAGCTGAGCGGATTGCAGGCACTGCGCCTTCTTTTAATGCTACGGACACGATTAAAAAAAGTATTCGTAATATATTCTATTCCTAGACAGCTTCCCTGCCCAATCGCTGTGTCGGACTTATTCTAGCCAATTCATTTATTTTATACGCGACTGACTTTGGTGCGGTGGCAAACAACCGAACCCCTACTTTCTCACTTGCATGAGGAAGGCCGATGCACTCTTTTCGTTCTCGCTCATTCCTCATCCTCCATCCACACACAACATTACCTCTACTATCCTCTTCTCGTTTTTACATAAAAGGCACCATGTTCTCCACCCATCCCCAATTTCTCAGAATATCCGCCATCATCCTTTCCCCACATCCATCCACGATACACTTGTCTCATACATCTAGCGCCATCAATTGACCGCATACAACCTTAAAACCTTGTCCATTTCATATTCATTCACACTTTCAGACGCCACTAATATACTCCAGTCTGGTTTCAATTGACATCTACCCTTGGCCAACAAACTTGTTCGACCCTTTTCTTCAACTCAGCCATCCAAGTCTGCCTCATTCTTTGCCATCCACTGCCCTTCTGTCGTTTGCTTGACTACATTTCGGTCCTGATCCTTTGCCTTATCAGAATCGACAGCATTCAAAAAAGAACAAATAGACTACGCCCCCTCCTTCTCCTTCTCTCACCGTCCTATCATCCCACCCGATTTCGAAACCTCGATGGGAGAAAACCCAAACCGCAGCCAGTCCACATCACCACCCACAATGAACGCATCCGCCCATATCAAATACCGATCCAACCCCGCCGCAGTCCGTACTCGAGATACCGACATGGACGGCGTCGAAGCTGAAGTCTCACTATTGTCCGTCCAAGATAATCAGGACGAGGTCATGGCTGGTGCTGACGATGACGAAGACGACGAATCGGCAGTACCGGGTCTCTGCGAGGACAGCGGTAGCGATCCCGAGAACGACGACTCTGAGGACGAAGGCCATCGTCACCAAGACCAAGATATGTCAGAAGAGGTCCTCAATGACGAGGAAACTAGCCAAACAGGCGCCGGAGAACAGCTGTACCAGTCCTCTTCCGCGGCATCTTCTACGTCCTCCCTCGGCGCCGAACCATCGATCATCTCTATACCCGAGGCAACGTACTCTGCGGTACCGATCTCATCAGAAGTCCATATTATCCCCCATTCCAGCAAAGGTTTCAAGTGGAACGAAGACCTCTTCCTGAGGCCGAACCAGCGCCGCAATTTGGGTGTCGACGACCTGTACAACTCAGACAGTTCCAGCGGCGGAAGTAGCAGCGGAAGCGGCAACCACAATTCAAGCGTCGGTGTCCATGAGATCCGTCTAGACGATGACGAGTCCCGACAGATTCTTCCCTCGTAGAATCTTATGTTTGGAATCGTTCAGTTAGTTTCTAATATGGCTGTTATAAAAGATTACAGCGGTGAGCAATAAAGCGTAGATTTAAAAACAACAAAAAATAAATGTCGCCTTTACTTACCCAGGCTACAAAAGAAATGTCTTGATAGTATTTGCTGCAACGGAACAATCTGGATGGTATACAATTGCCACCAAAAATGGTACGTCCAAGACCAATTGAGATGAACGAACCCCTTTGGTAGTACGAGAGAGTAGGTCGCGAATGAATTTCGTACGCGTCTTGTTCGCGTTCGCGTCCGTGTCTGGAAATAATTATATCTTCGCCTGGATTTAACGCACGCATCCCCTTATTTTTTTACAGCTCGCCCTTGAATGGGTTTGGATCCTTACCATTCCTATCCGGTGGGATCACGTATATTTCAATGAAGTACCCAACTGACGAAGTATACTGCTGACACCATTACCGAACACAACAGTACAGTCTCTGCATGATCATAGCGGCCTCCTTGGGTCGTTGTGGTCTTGAATACTGTGCTAATTTTTGGAAACCCCCCTCATGCCAGCTCATCGCAGCTGCGTGAACCAATATCTTTTATTTCAAAAACAAAATCGCAGAGTGCTGGGTCAATTAGGTGTTATTAGCCATTGCATGTGTATGGGGACGGAATGAGGATCGGCCTTGTATCCGTTCTGAGGGCAAGCGTGTATCCCTGCGCCTGTGAGGAAGTCCGTCCCAGCAAGCTGGTTTGGCGCCCCCATAGCAGCAGTCACCAAGTCCAAACAAAAACAATAAAAATGTATACCAGCACCAACTCCTTTACCTTTGCCTTCGTCCTCAAGCGCTTCTTTCCAGACGTTTCTCAGTCGTGTTGAAGAGATACGTCTTTCTCCCCTCTCTGGCAACGACGGTTCTCATTCTTGTGTCTTCGAACTTCAGTCTCCCATCTTTAGTCGCTTTTTCCTTTTTCAGTTTCCTCCTATTCAGCAAAAAGAATCGCTGTACATACTCTGCGCCCTAATGATTTCAAAGAACCTGGAGGAGGCTAAGGCCGATGTCAAAAAGGGCATCAAAGAGGCCCAAGGACATGCAGAGGCTCTGTTTGGTGGTAAAGGGCTTACAGACCCTATCCCCACAGTCGAGGTGAGTCACCACTAAAGTGCTCTGTCCCACTAAAGAGACTGCGCCAGCTTGTTGTATCAGCTTGGTCAAAACCGGTTTTCTCATTCACTTTAATCCAATTGTGTATTCATAATATATAGGACAAGTGGAAGTTGTTGCCCGCATTCTTGAAGGTCAAGGGTCTTGTCAAACAACACATCGACTCGTTTAATTATTTCATCAATGTGGATCTGGAAAAGATTATCAAGGCGAACGAGCGTGTCAAATCCGATGTTGACCCTCACTTCTATCTCAAGTACGTGTTCAGCAGATTTGGATTATATCTACATCCACCATGTCCTCATGCCAAGAATTTGTGCTAATTAGGGCATTCATTCCGTCGTCATGGTGAATTAGATATACTGGAATCAGAGTTGGAGCGCCAGAACGACCCGATCAGGAAGCCATGAACAGATCATACACACCACACGAGTGCCGTCTTCGTGATCTGACCTATTCCGCCAACATCTATGTTGATATCGAATATGTTCGTGGTCGCCAGATCGTAAGGCGCAAGGGCGTTCCCATTGGAAGGATGCCGATCATGCTCAGGAGTTCACACTGCGTTCTAACTGGAAAGAATGAGATGGAGTTAGCCAAAATGACTGAGTGTCCCTTGGATCCAGGCGGATACTTTGTGGTCAAGGGAGTCGAGAAGGTCATCCTGGTTCAGGAACAGATGTCAAAGAATCGTATCATTGTGGACGTTGACCGAAAGGGCTTTGTCCAGGCTGGAGTTACTAGGTACGATGCCCTGTTATCTCCTCGAGCATTGCAACCAGATGTTATCTTTGAATGCATATCTAACAAAAAACTACTTTGATTGATTTAGTTCTACCATGGAGCGCAAGTCTAAGACATATGTTGGAACGAAGCATGGCAAGATTTATCTGAAGCACAACTCGATCGCAGAGGATGTCCCGATCGTCGTTGCACTGAAGGCTATGGGTATGCAGTCGGACAAGGAAATCACACAGCTTGTTTGCGGACAGGATTCGAAGTACATCGATAAGTTTTCGCCCAATCTTGAGGAGTGCTCCAAGATGAAGATTTTCACACAGCAGCAGGCTTTGGATTACATCGGATCAAAAGTCAAGGCGCCCAAGCGCTCCTTTGGACCCGGAATCCGCAGACCACCTGTAAGTCTCGTTAGATGTACGACATGAGTATATTGACCGGGCTTTCTTACAGCTGAAACTGCCTTTCTGACATTGACTCTGATTTTGTATCGGATCTAGGCTGAGGAGGCACTGGACGTTCTTGCATCTGTCGTTTTGGCTCACGTGGAAGTCCATGATAACAATTTCCGACCCAAGTGCATTTATGTCGCCGTTATGACACGTCGTGTTGTTATGGCTATGCTTCGTGGAGACTTGGTTGATGATCGCGATTATGTGGGAAACAAGCGTCTGGAATTGTATGTTACTATCATTTGGCGGATCAAACTGATATTGCAAAAGGAGTCAATCAGATGGAGCAGGCACTAATGATTGCGATCCTCATTTTATTATTATTATTGTTATTATAGAGCTGGGCAGCTGCTTTCGCTGCTTTTCGAAGATTTGTTCAAGAAATTTAACTCGGACCTGAAGATGAACATTGACAAGGTCCTCAAGAAACCCAACAGGACTCAGGAGTTCGACGTATACAGCCAATTGCTCTTCCATGGAGACCATATAACCTCTGGATTTGTTCGTGCCATCTCATCCGGTAACTGGAGTTTGAAGCGTTTCAAGATGGAGAGGGCCGGTATTACACAGGTCCTGAGTCGACTCAGTTTCATTTCCGCCTTGGGTATGATGACTCGTATCTCATCCCAATTCGAAAAGACACGAAAGGTCTCTGGACCAAGAGCACTGCAGCCCTCGCAGTGGGGAATGTTGTGTCCTTCCGACACGCCAGAAGGAGAGGCCTGTGGTCTGGTCAAGAACTTGGCTCTGATGACCCATATTACCGTCGATGATGAAGAGGAGCCCCTTGTCAAACTGGCGTTCATTCTGGGTGTCGAAGGTATGTGTGCTATTCCAACAGTTATTGTTGTTGTTGCTGCTGCTATATAATATATCATGATGGCCATAAATTAATTATATCTGCTCACTCTCCTCTCTTATAGATGTGTCGCTGCTTACTGGACCGGAGGTGTACTTGCCCGACACTTTTATGGTCTTCTTGAACGGAAACATTCTTGGTATTACCCGCCACAGCAAACAGTTTGTCGCGGCATTCCGTCGCATGCGCAGAGCTGGACGTATATCAGAGTTCGTCAGCATCTTCATCAGCGACCATCACAACTCTGTCCATATCTCATGTGATGGTGGTCGTATCTGCAGGCCCCTTATCATTGTCGAGAATGGAAAGCCCAGAGTCAGGTCGGAACATATTGAGCAGCTGTCGGCAGGAAAACTGTCTTTTGATGACTTTTTACGCCTGGGATTGATCGAGTATCTGGATGTCAACGAAGAAAGCGATTCCAACATTGCACTGTATGAGCGTGAGATCATTCCCGAGTCAACACACGTCGAGATCGAGCCCTTCACAATTTTGGGTGCTGTCGCTGGCTTGATTCCCTACCCTCATCACAACCAGTCTCCTCGTAACACCTACCAATGTGCTATGGGTAAACAGGCCATTGGAGCAATCGGCTACAACCAACTGAGCCGCATCGACACCTTGCTCTACCTCATGGTCTACCCTCAGCAGCCTATGGTCAAGACCAAGACTATTGAAATGATCGGATACGATAAATTGCCTGCTGGACAGAATGCCACCGTCGCCGTTATGTCCAACTCTGGATACGATATTGAGGATGCTTTGGTCTTGAACAAGGCTTCACTCGACCGCGGATACGGTCGTTGCCAGGTGCTTCGCAAATACGCCACCTTGCTTAGACAGTACCCCAACGGAAGCTACGATCGTCTGGCCGATCCTCCAGTTCACCCTGACGACCCAGCCATTGTACAGGAGAAGTTTGAGGTTCTGGATAAGGACGGTATTGCATCGGTCGGAGAGAGGATCAAGCCTGGTCAGGTTTATATCAATAAGCAGATGCCGACGAACACCAGCTCAGATATTGGTGTCAACTCGCGGGACCCCACAGCCAATGCCTACAAGAATTCGCCCATGTCATACAAGAGTGCAATGGAGGGATATGTGGATAAGGTGCTGATGACGACCACGGATAATGACCAGACGTTGATTAAGGCATTGATTCGACAGACTCGTCGTCCAGAATTGGGAGACAAGTTCTCATCTCGTCACGGACAAAAAGGAGTGTGCGGCATTATTATCCAGCAAGAGGACATGCCGTTCTCTGACCTTGGTATCTGTCCCGACGTGATCATGAACCCACACGGTTTCCCATCGCGTATGACGGTCGGAAAGATGATCGAGTTGCTGGCAGGCAAGGCTGGAGTGTTGAAGGGTGAGCTACAGTACGGCACAGCATTCGGCGGATCGAAGGTGGAGGACATGAGTCGGATTTTGATCGAGAATGGGTTCTCGTACTCGGGCAAAGACTATGTAACGAGCGGAGTGACTGGAGAGCCACTGTCGGCGTATATCTATTTTGGACCGGTTTATTATCAGAAACTGAAGCACATGGTAATGGACAAGATGCATTCACGTTCGCGCGGTCCCCGTGCGGTCTTGACACGCCAGCCCACAGAGGGTCGTTCCAGGGATGGTGGTCTGCGTCTTGGAGAGATGGAGAGAGGTAAGCGCTATGATATCTTTTTATTTATTTATTTTATTTTTTGTGAGGATGCGTTTTCTTGTGCGAAATATTTCTCGATATACTGACATGTTCTATAATTTTTATTTCTTTTATTTTTTTTATTTTTTTTTATACAGATTGTTTGATTGGTTATGGTGCCAGTATGTTGTTGCTGGAGCGCTTGATGATCTCGTCGGATATCTTTGAGATCCATGTGTGCGAGATGTGTGGACTTTTGGGATATGCGGGCTGGTGCCAGCACTGCAAGAGCTCGAAGGGTATGGCGAAGATGCAGATTCCCTATGCGTGTAAGTTGCTCTTCCAGGAGCTGCAGTCGATGAACGTCATTCCTCGTTTGCAGCTCGAGAATGTGTTTTAATCTTCTGGAGGACTAAAAAGAAAAAAATAAAAATAAAAAAAGTAAAAAAGTAAAATAATAAAAAAGTTAAGAGCTGAGCATACATTCTGGGCATGCGTTGTTCCTGTTTCATGTTTCTACACATAACTGACTCTAGGACCATTTTCCCCTAGGCGACGCGTCTTGCTTTGTCGTGGTACAAAAAAAACGATAGTGGATGATATTGACCTGCGGCTCCCCCAATTTACGGTGTGGTCAAAAGGAGGAGAGGGGGGGGGGGGGGGGGGTTTGTTCCGTCAAATCGTGAAAGTGCGATATTTGAACCGGGTGGTTGCTGGAATTTCTGCAACTCGACTCGAGGGTAAGAGTGAAGAAAGGGGTGCCCTTATCTTTCTGTGGTCTGTTGGTCCGTGGGTCTTTGTACGGACCTCCTCCTCCTCCTCTTCCTCCCCCTTGCTCTCTCCTGATCTAAGACGATGTCATTAAGGAGAAGAAGGCAGGTAGACCTGCAGATCTATGAAGGGTTGATGCAGGCTGGCTCAGGCACTTTTGATTTATGAAATGAGGTATTTGCAGTGGTATGAGATATTTTTTTTTTGTCTAGAAGGAGTGGGTGAAGAAATGACAAGAGTTAGGAGAATTACATGGCTCCGGAGGAAAGAATAAAAAAATGTGGAGTGTACACGGGAGCGGGTGCACAAGGCTAGCTTACATACGGTGTGGATGTGCCTTGGAATTTGTCCTTGCAGAAGAAACGGACCTTATGCAAGCAAAAACTGTATATACAAAAAAAGGCATGAAGAAGGCAGTACATGCCAGCTGGCAATGGTTGTTGTTGTCGAGCGGAGAACAGGGCCCAGAGCGATAATGCGATGGGATGGGATGGTTACACACTCGGACAGATAGGCAGATGCGCTCGGTCTGCAGCTATGGATGCTCTTAATGTGTATCTTTGTATGTGGTGTCCTAGGCTGTTTGCGCATAGGCTAACTGTGTTTGCATGATACGATGATGCGCGTGCCTCTTTATCGTTTGACCTCGTTCTTACCTTTCTTTTTCTTCTTACTTTCTTTTCTTCTTCTTACTTCATCTTTCTCTTCTTCTTCTCCCTTTCGTCCCTCTGTTTCCTTCGCTTCTACATCCTCATCCTCATCCTCGTCTGATTCTACCCTCGACTGGCTAGCAAGCATCCCTTTACATCAAGACTCCAGCAATCGTCGTCATCAAACACACAGCAAATTTACCCTTCTTATTTTTCCCACATTGACATCATCTCTACACACACACACCTCTTTCTGCAGTCTTTTGGTTTCTTTTTTTCTGCCGACACTCTTTACCTCAACACACCGCCTTCTCCCCATCCCACCGCCCTCTTCAATTTCCTACCTGCGCACAAACAAACAACAACAACAACAACAACAAGACGAGCAGAACGAGAACAAAGGACAGGAAGGTGAAATAAAAATAGCGAAGGATGATTTGCTGCACATGGTCATGGCAGCAACCGTCCCAGTCGCAAGTCCACCCACTTCGTCGTCTTCCCTCTTCCGAAAATTCAAGATCTCCCTCCCTTTTCCCTCCACACCGCCTTCTCCACTGCCATCCAGCAGCGATAGCGGATCAGCCTCTGCAGATGAAGGGGGAAACACAACCGTCGCCAAGAGCTGGAGAGGACTAGGAACAACTGCCCCAGGTTCTCCGAGATTTAAGTTTTCAAAACTGCTCCTCAGCAGTCGCCACCAAGTCAGTAGTCACCTGCCACAGGAACAGCTGGACCAAAACGAGATCCAACCACCGGCATCTCCAATGCAGCAGCAGAACGGGGACCGTAGACAACACTATCGACCTGAAGTACATCTACCGTCAAAGCACCAGAATCCAACATCTCGCTCTCGGCGGAGCAGCTTTTTCAATTTCCTGCAGCCTCATTATCATATTTTTCATCGTCATCGTGGACCCAAAGACAAAACGAACACCAAGCCGGACCGGCATACGAGGAATGATCACTCAGCCTCTCAAGAGTCCATTACAAGGTCGTTCATGTCCCTACCTGATCCCTCCAGTACGAGTACGGGGAGTGGCAGCAGTAACCCCAGTAGCAAGAACTCACGTACCGCTGCACTCCCGGAAGGCAATGTAAGGAATCCACCTGATGCATGTTTCAATTAGCTCATCTCAGCCTAACTTAAAACATGCCCTAGAGAACTCACATATTGCGCCCTCGTGTCATCTAGGCTAATACACTCTCGGAACTACCCGATCATTACATGTCACTACCCGCGGGAGGATCGGCATTCTCAGCAACAAACGGGGTGTATCCGCTGCATTCAGAGGATCTGTCTATGACAGAGTTCGCAAAGCTAGCTGGCATTACTATCTTGCCCGAGGATGACGATTACGCCACGGCAAGCGACGAGCCATCAAACAGCACTAGCGACAGCAGTGCAGGCGGGAACAACGCTGATATGGGAGGAACGTTCGGGCTAGTCGGACATGGACGTGAATCGGGATCAATATCGGCATCGGCGGGTGACACAATGAACTCTGAAAGATACTCGACAGTGGGAAGTGTGGCGAGTAGCAGAAGTCGTCGGAAGACCTGCATTTGGGATCCTCAATTCTGGGCTGCACCTTCATGCGACAGTGGGCATCACGACTTGACGCCGTCGGCATCGTCGTCGTCTTTGCCCATTAAGCTTGTTACAAGTAGCGCCCCAGCATCGCCCTATCGAGCACGGCCATTATCAGTGCCGTACACGCCCAACGCTTCAAAGCCTGCATCTCTGAGAGGCGACATTTATTCATCAGGCAGTGAATATGGCAACATAGAGATACCATTTGTACGATATGATGGCCATGTTCACGAGCAAGGGGACCCAAGTCCTCCAAATGGGCAGCGGACAGAGTCTGATAAAGTCCTTGGCGTGGATCAGGTCCGGACGACATCTAGCAGCGCGCCTCTCAAACGCGTGGATCAGATGGCCAATCCTCCTAAGGACGCGGCCGAGCTCTCGCTGAACCTGAGCCGTCGGCGTTCATTTACGTCATTGACAGCAGTTGCTATCGAGCTGAACAACGTTAGTGCACCAGATCAAGGGGCTTCAGAGTCCAAGACAAATGACCTTCAATATCCACAGCAACAGCAGCAGCATCCGGGTCAGAGAGCTGCCCCTCGCGCAATACAGAGGGAGACGTCATCTGACTCGACAGGACATGCGACAAGACTCCAGCGTCCTCATAATCTGGCCCATTCTGTTGCGCTACACGCTCTTCAGCCTTCCAGGAATAGGAGCCATTCTACTGGACACAACCGCTCGAATCTTCGCGCTGGGCCATCGGGCGTTGCAAGGGCAAGGTCACCGTCTCCCTCACCTTTGTCCCGGCAGGTCGAAGTCTCCGATTCGGAAGGATGGGACACGCCACAGGATGAGAAGGAAGGGTTTGATTTTCAAACGACAGAGCAGGTAGAGGTCAAGAATTCCCGACCTCCCATATCCAGGGACGAGAGATATTTCGCCATATACGAGGACGCGGATGAAAAAGTGCGTTCCCCAGGATCGGCGGTTTGGAGATCTCCTCCTACACAGGATAAGCTGAGGCCACCGGCATCCGGGAATGAGTACGTCAGCCCGATATATCATCATCGCACACAGTCATTGCCACACTTGCTTTCAAAGTTTGAACAGCAAGACCTGAATGCAATGGTACAGGGGTCGATACCTCGATCCTCGTCTCCGTTTCGATTGACTCTGCCTCCGCCCTCACCTTCATCGTCGCATCCAAGCACACCTAGCTGTCCACCGAACTTCAGCCCAACCCGTGTATTTGCACCGGGCACCAAGGTCGGGAGGTTCACACTGGTTCAAGAAACGTGCACTGAGCATGCGAATGTTCTTAAAGCACAGCGGGGATATCAAGAGCATCAGGATCAGTTGGCACAGAGGCGTGCGTCGACGGGCGGATTGAGGTGCTATAATGCAAAGCAAGAAGTCGAGGCTGGTGTGTTGGAAGGATCGGCTGTGGAGGAGAGGTTGGCTGCGAATCCGGCTTTGTTGAACCCAGAGGAGAACGTGGTGGTCTTTCAGCGCAAGAGGACGAAGCGGTTGCAATATCCACCAGCATCAGCGGCAGCCGGCGATGCAGGTGCGGATGCAGACAAAGAGGGCTGAGGATTGACAAGGCCTACTTCGTAGTGAACCAATGCTGGTTCCCTGCTTGTGTATATTAGCTAATTAAATAAAATAAAAGTACCTTAACACTCTGCACAGCGTTCTGACATTTTCGCTTCGGCGTCCTCTATATCTATATTATGTGGCAGGGCCGAAAGCACGTGGTGCAGTTGATCTGGAAGGAAAACATGGTCTTTTGCATTGCAGCTACAGATAACGACAATAAATTAACGACATGACAGCCTGAGTATGCATAGAAGCCTCTCTTAGCGTTTGTTGCTGAGTTCTTGGTTAGGAAGTCAACATACAGCCCTGTCCGCTCTCCCGGCGTAAAGAGAGAGCGTCAGAAGCGCCAGCGCTAGTGGAATAGCTTTCTCACTAATGTTGCAATAAGGCAGGGAAATGTTTTATTGTTGAGTTCCATTGGAATCCAGCATACGGCGACACGCCAGAGAACACCAGCCCAAAGGCGGGATAGCTTTTCGCTCTCCTCCCGGATGTCAATCGCAATGAAGGAGGTGTTTGCAAAGCCTATGACAATTTTTCCTTCAATAAACCGACGAAATGGACAACCAACGTCCAGGCGAGCTATCGCATTGCAGAAATAGCGAAGCCTAAGGAATCATGCTCGATTTGATACATAACAAGATAACAAGGATCTGCGCCTAATAATTCGACTCAGTAGGTTACAAAAAAAGTCGCGTCGCATATATTTTTAAAGTATCGAAATTCGATTCAGTAGCCATGAACTGCACGTACCCTCCTGCTCACGTACGATAGGACTGACCATGGACTACCCAAGCAAGCGCGCAAAAATTAAGTTTTGTACGTGAAACCTTTTTTAAAGAGGAAGTCACTCTGGTCAATTCATTCGTATATGGGATGCGACTTTTTGGCGAGGAGCCATATGATGTGGTAAAGCTTCGCCACATCTCATAGAAAAAACATGTTTCCTCTGTTCTTCATTTTTCTTTCTGGGTCCCTTTGCCTTCCCCCAGTAGAAACCCTGCCTCACAGGCCAACAGCATGTTTTTCTATTTCTATTCGCTTTATCACTCTCTTCTCCATGCTCCATTGCACACCCATCTTGATAATACCAGCATATTCACGCCTCAGAAGCATTGCTGGGTTGCTCGTCTATGGCTGAGGGCGACAGTGTAGGGGAATACCCGAAGACATAGGTATTAGTTGGTCTGAATTCGCTGCGGTTTTTGACAGTAGGAACTATATTTATACGACGAGTTGATTGATAAATACCGGTGTGTGCCCCTTCCCCCCCCCCCCCAACATCTCTTTCGCACTTTGTTTCTTTGATCCTCAAATATAGACTACCAATCTATATTTCAGCGTCCAAGACTTCATATGACCCACCGCAAAGTTGGGGTCTTGTGGGCAAGGCTGTTGTGGTCGGAGTATTGTAAAACCTTCTTTACGTGTACGCTGATAGCGTTCGGGTCAAGAGAGTCTATAGAGGCATTACTGGAGCGCGCAAAAGACGTGTTAGCAATAAGTTTGGGGACCAGCAGATTCCGGGCAGCTTTCTGGGAGGATATTGGGTTACAGACTTACAGATGATCGCCTTGCAGAGGGCCCACTGCAACTGTTGTCGCTGAAGACAAGAAGACTCTGCTATGTGAGCCAGCATGTGCGCTAATTGTGCCTATGCTGCTTTATACCAACAGGTTTGGTGCCGGTTCACCAAACGATTTGTGCTGGTTCTCAAAAAGGTTTGCAGCTTATGCCTGTTTGTCCTCCGGCACGTGCGAAAATTCGAGGATCTCTGGGCTCGGTTGCAGGGGTGGCTGGGCTGAGAGGATGAACTTTATGCGAGTTATGGTATGTTCTCCAGAGGATCTTAATCGTTCTTTCTTCCCTTTTCGTTCCCGTCCCTCCTCCTCGTCTGCCTCTGAATTTTAGCGAGTCGTCGCTATTGAAATTCATCGATAACACTAGTGCGCCACACCCAAGGAAAACCATTCTATCCCGCTCAAGAAAATCCTCAAGAAGCACAACCGCTTCATGCCTCAGGAGTATCAGGCGTTCAGAGTTTTCCCTGATGGTCCCATCACACGTATTGAGGTCTCGACAGACGAGGAGACCGGACTCCATACCGTCTTCTGGGAGGACATCGAGTTTCAGTTCCCAGGTATCCACTGTGTCATGCACGGCGATATAGCCATCTCGCTCGCTCGGGACGCGAAAAAGAGAAGGTAATAAAACTTGGATTTCGACATACACGCAAAAGTAACAAAAAAGAAAAAAAAAAAAAAAAAAGAGAGAGAGAGATAGGGAGATGGTACGATTTTGCTTTTTCTTTGGAAGGTGGGTCCAATCCAATGGGCCAAAAGGCTATACAGATCCTTAACCAAATACTTCTTTCTATTATTTCCTGTGCACAAAAAAAAAAAAAAAAAAAAAAGGATTGAGCCTAAGTGCATAAAATACCATCCAGAGGTCATTCTGGATGTCATCTTGGTGAACGACGCAGGATTGGGATTCGCTCGGCAGCGGTCGACCGACGACTCTGTGAGCTCACTCTTGGTACGCTCCCCTCCACAAGATGATAGCAGCAGCATCGGTGGCGACAGCGTTCACAGCCCCGTCGAGCAGGACGGTGCCTTGTCCCAGTCATTCAGCAGCTTGTCCGTCAACAGTGCATATCAGCTCATCGATAATGGCGAACAGCAGCAACAGCAGCAGCAGTTTACTAGCACTTTGGCAATGATATCGACGAATCTTTCCAGGACGCCTAGCACATCAAGAGTCCCCAGGAGTCCTGGGGGAATGTTACCTAGTACCCCAGAGACAACGCCGTCAACGGACCCATTCATACCTCGTATTCAGACAACGCTTCAGACATCGGCCCATTTGTTTAGCCATTTTGAACAGTCCATCAAGTCGGGACAGCTGCACCAGGCCGAATCGATCAAGGAGGAGATCCGGACGGCGTTTATGAATCTCCAGGCAGAAATGGCGCGGAACCAGGAGCTTCAGATGCTTATGCTGGAGCTGCAGCAGACCGCAGCAGAGATGCAGCAAAAGATGCTGCGGATGCAACAGCAGGCGCTAGATCGACTCGCCGTTATCCAAAATCGGGTGCAGGCGGTACTGACACAGACGTACGAGTTGCATGAGTACCCAATTCCGAGGCTGTTTATTGTTTTGCCAGGGGAGACGCAGCGAAGGGACATAGTCCTGAGTCCGTTCACGAGTCGATTCAGGTTGTACTTTCTGTGCGAGTGCGGAGAGCACACGAAACAGCATCAGCCGATGCCGATGCACCTACAGGATCATGCGGCGATGCCGTGGAGCACCGAGAGTAGCACGAGCGTCGATAGCGGTGCGAGCGGACGTTTAGCGGTGGACAGTGGTTCTAGGGTGGCGACACAGCATATTCATATTGCGAAGCATGAAGGATACGATCTCGATCGACCGAACGAGTTCTTCCGGAAGTATGGATCCCATATCTTGACGCTGCTACAGATGCTCAAGTACGGAGTCGTGATTGCAGGGTTCGTAGTCCCACCGCTGGCACACCTGAGATTCATGGACGGGATTGATAAGGTCCAGGACGGCTTGATGCTTGCGGAAAACAGTTTAGAGCCCAAAGTGGACTATGCGATCCAGTATCTGGAATCACTCGCCTACCTACCAGCGGACAATATCGATAATATCGACAGAAACATGGTCGACGGTCAGAATCCGGCCCATGAGCTCGAAGCCCTCGAGGGTGCCGATTTGCGTCATCTAAGCAAGTTCTTGAAGAACAAGGATGAGGGTAAGGTGTTGGGAAACCTGTACAGGACCGTGACGAGTGAAGGTCGTGTCAAGTGGGTCTGTATCGATCATTACCGCGAGAACTATCGGGACTCGGCTATCAGGCAGTTCAAGGACGTTGTGGCGGTCAATGGCGGCAGTTTCGAGGAAGAGACAGGAAAGGTGGCGGCCCGACTCTCGTCCAGTATGGTTGCTAGGCAGTTTTACGATGCATTGGAGCGTGCAAAGTTCATTCAGGAGTTGTTTCTTGTTCTGGATTGGGAGGCGACACTCGAGGACTTGAGGCTCTTGCGGGACATAGTCAGGAAGACGAACGTGGTTAGCCTCAATCTCGACTTTTGTAATACACAGGGTCCGACGCGGGATGTCTTTAGCCGGAGCAGGCGATATGACCCGATCTTGCAGATGATGGCCAACACGAAGCTGCAGTCGTTTTATTTGGTGCGCTGCGACGGGTTCTGGAGTCGGCTGACCAAGACGGTAGCCTCAGCAACGACGTCCATGCCCTCGGCGATCCAGCTCCGGATACTGTCTGTCCAGGGCGCGGTCGAGAATCGGAAGATGGAACTGAACCGGATCGAGGAGGTCTTAGGTCATTGTTCACAGCTGACCTGTCTAAAACTCCAATGCTTGGATGTGGACGCGACGTTTGCGGTGGTCAGGAACACGACGGGGGGGTTCAGGAACCTTCAGACCTTGGAGCTAAGCGCGTGCGAGGAAAAGCATCGTCAGGAGCAAGTCGATATTACGATCCAACAGCCTCAGGCGGAGATCATGTCCATGACGATCATGACTAACAAGAAACCGTATACCCAGTTGGTCTTCTCGGGATATGTTCGGAGACTGGTCCTGTACGACCAATTAAATCTAACGGCCGATCAACCTGTCTTAGAGAGGATCATTCAAGAGAACAAGCAGCTGGTTGAACTCGGAGTGCGGTGCCTGGACAGCGAGGTCGTGGCGGTCTTTGAGACGATTCAGGCGTGCTGTAGGGGTAACCAATCCTTAAAGCGAGTCGAAGTACAGGACACAGAGGGAGGGGACAAAGTCTTGTCGGCGAATATGCACGATCCGAGGGCGACTCAACTGAAGCTGCGCGCGCCTGACTCTACGGCGCGGGAGGGGATCTTGAAGGCGTTTGGATGGGCGCTGAAGAAGGTTCCGCCGGGTTTGCGGTTCACATCTGGGCTGCTACATGGACTCGAAAGTGCGATGAGGCGCAGGGGATCGACACTAGAGAAGCTGCATGTAGATATCACGATGCTGGACGAGGAGTCGTTGGATCTGCTGACAAAAGTGATTTAGCTCTCACAGGCGACGCTCATTAAGCTGTATATAATCGTCTGCGCAGACCAGCAGCATTACCGGAACATGGCAACAGCGGCGTTGGCGAAGTTTATCATACAAGTCAGTCCTCAGATCACTCATCTGCAGCTGCAGGTGCACGGACTATCGACGATCCTGTTCGCTCTCACGACTGCTGCGTCTGCGGCTCAACAGGCAACGGCATCATCGTTGACGAGGACGTACACTGTCACGGGGCGTGGTCGTGGTGGGGCGACGGCAGCAGCTACGTTTCCGATGGCGGTCAATTCGACGCTCCTCAATGCCGTGTCGCTGCCTCTGCTTCAGGAACTGTACATCCAGCCGAAGCGCGACATGTACGGCCAAATGTTACATTGTCAGATCAACCCGCCTCATATCCAGTGGCTTCAGATCCCGTTCTCATCACCCCGTTTGGTATCTGTCACGCTCGGATATTTCGATATCCTGAAGGATGATTGGACGGTGCTGTTGCAGAGTCTTCGGTTTGACATTATTGAGAAGCTGGTGCTTGAGGGTACGAATATCTCGGATGGACAAGTTAGGCAGCTGATCGAGTTGTTGTCGAGAGCCGTGGTGGGTTTCGGTTGGGGAGGACCTAGGACTGTGGCATTGAAGGTGCTCAAGGTTGAAGGGTCGTTGATCACCGACCCGGTGCTGAGCGGCATCAAGGCGCAGGTGAACGCGCTTCTGCCGGATTGTGAAGTGTTTATCTGACGAGTAGCCGGGCACTATTTCCGCATAAGGGAGCGAGGCCGCTTGCGGGTTTTCATAACGAGCGTCCTTTTGAAAATATATACCCATCGGCATGGCTTCTGTGGCATGCATTTTTTTTTTAATACATAGTTACTTGGTTTCAAAAGTATACGTGTTTTTCAGCATGTTTATTTGGTGCGTTCAAGAGCCCGTCTTTCCTGCTGTCGCTGTCGCTGCCTTTCTTGCTAAGTAACGAGCCTTAGCATCCATGACCTGATCGTCCTGGTTTTTCCGCTTAAGCGCTTCGCGGATCGCCTCCTGTCTCTTCCTCTCTTCCTCCTCCTCCTTCTTCTGCTGCTCCAACAGCTGGTGTTCGATCTGCTCTGTCATCCTCGCCCGCTGATCCTTGCTTGCATCATCACGGTCATCCCTTCCATGGCGTGAAGACGAAGACCGGTACTTTGCGTCCTTATATGCAGCATACTCTCGTTCGCGGTCATACCTGTCGCGCGATCCACGATCCAAGGTAGAGGACGAAGAGGAAGTGGCTGTTGGTTTCTTTTTAATAATGTTGAGTCCACCCTTGAGCAACTCCCGCTTGTTGATGACTTCGCCCTCATCGTTTACAGCGACTTTGATTCCTCGCGCCTGAGCCTCCTTTGCTCGCTCACGGACCTCGAGCTCTTCCGACTTCTTCTCCTCCTCCAGAACCTTGAGTGCCTTTGTATCTCCTGCGATCATACTCTGTGCTGCCATCAGATCCGCACCCGAGGGTCTCAACTTTGTCCGCTCATCCAGCAACGACCGATAGAAGCCCTGCATCAACGAGCCATCCTTATCCTTGGCTAATGTCTCTTCCCGCTTGCGATCCGCTTCCTCTTCTAACCGCATGGCTTCCTTCTGAGCCTTGTATGCCGGTGTGATAAACATGTCCTTGTCCTTGAACTCCTCTCCTTCCTTCTCGCGCTCTCGTTCTAGCCGTCGTTCCTCTGCAAGTAACCGATCCCGTTTCCGGGTCTCGGCAGCTTGAAGTAAAGCGGCGACGTATTTGGGTTTCCGGTCGGCAGAGTCCTGTTTGCGGGCGAGTTCACGGGCTCGGTCCGCAGCCTTGAGTTGGTCGTAAACGCCGTCATAGTCGAAAATGGTCGGATCCTCCGCCAGAGCCGCATTCTGTTGCTCGATCACGGCGGTGGATTGAACGGCCGCAGTTGCGTATGGGCGGAGAGCTTTGTTGACAGATGCAGTGGAGGAGGAAGAGGTGGTGGGGTTTGGTCTTGAGAAGGAGGAGGGGGTCGTGGTAGTGGTGTCTTCGTCGTCGTCGAGGTTGTCTTCGTCGGAGCTGCGGTTGCCAAAGGCACTGCGGCCGCCTAGAGGTCGGCTTGCTGCTGGCTTTGGTTTGGCGAGTACGGGGCCCTTTTTCTTGATGTTGAGTCCGAACTGTAGTCCTGACATGGTGAAGTATCCTGTAGCCTGTCGGTGGTGAATGAGGAAGGAGCAAGCAAAGCAACTTGGACATGCACACCATGGTGGTGCCCAATTGGCCGTGGCTTATGTTTTTTGAGCAGCTGCCCACTCAGGCACGGCACGGCACGAACCCCTCCCACGCTTCTTACCGTCGTCGCCAACTCGGTCTCTCTTTTCCTTCCTCCTTCCGCCCGTCTCTTCACCATGTCGGCTATGCGCCATTTGCTCGACCTCTGTAAGCGCAGGGGTTTCCTCTTCCAGTCTGCAGAGATTCATGGCGGTCTTCGAGGCGCCTACGACTATGGCCCCCTCGGCGTCGAGCTCAAACGGAACGTCTCTCAGGAGTGGTGGAACTCGATGGTCTATCAGCGGTCGGACGTCGTCGGCATTGACACCGCCATCATCACCCCTCCAGCGGTCCTCAAGACCTCTGGTCATGTTGACCAATTTACGGACGAGATGGTCGACTCTCGACTATCAAAGGAACGATTCCGTCCAGACAAGGCTCCAGAACTGAAGCTGGATGATCAGGGCAGGATCCCGATCACGGCGCCGGATAAGAACACTGCAAAGCTGTGGGAGAACGATATCAGGACTCAATTCGCTAGGGGCGCTATGATCACACGTAGCGGAAAGCAGATCCTCATGGAAGTCGAGCGCATGGAAAGGGACCGGATCGTACTCAAGCAGGACCCCTCTACGACCTCAACAACCTCTGATCTGGACTCATCGCTTCAGATCCCGTATCATGGATATGTCGACCCGAACTCCAACTCGCCCTTCCTTACAGAATCGAGACCCTTTAACCTCATGTTCAAAACATACCTGGATCCGATCGACCCAATCGACAAGGTCATCACCACGACTCTCGACGCTCAGAAATCCTCCTCGGATCTATCAAACACGCGTCAGCTCGTCGACAAGGTCCTGTACCCCTCGCTCACTTATCTCCGCCCCGAAACCGCTCAGGGCGTCTTCATCAACTACATGACCATTCAGCGATCGCACCCACACCTCAGGATCCCCTTCGGCATTGCCCAGGTCGGAAAGTCCTTCCGTAACGAGATCCGTCTCGAACACGCCATCTTCCGCACCCCCGAATTCGAACAAATGGAACTCGAGTACTTTGTCGCGCCTTGGCAAGCACAGGACCAATTCACATCCTGGCGAAAGTTCAGGATGGACTGGTGGCGGACATACGCTCGTCACCATGACCGGATCCGGGAACGTCCTCATACACAGGACGAGCTGGCGCACTATTCCAGTGGCTGCGTTGATGTTGAGTACCTCTTCCCTTGGGGTTGGGGAGAGGTTGAGGGTATCGCCAACCGCGGTGACTTTGATTTGAGCAAACATTCAGAGGCAACTGGGATCAAACTGCAGTACACAGACGCAATCCTGATGCAGGAACGGCAAGCGCGCGAGAAGGCCACAGGACAGAAGGAGAACAACACAGAGGTCCTGGCAAAAGAAAGATACACACCGCATGTGGTCGAGTCATCATGTGGTCTGAACAGAGCCATGCTGGCCCTGATGCTGGATGCCATGGAAGCAGTAGACGAGCAAGGACGCACCGTCCCACTGGGCGAGGAGAAGGGCGTGCGGACTATCATGAGGCTGCACCCTCGCCTGGCGCCTGTGAAGGTCGCTGTAATGCCATTAGTCTCGAACAACAAGGACCTGGTCGATATTTGCACAGACATTAGTAACCGTCTCCGTCAGGAACTCCAGGTGAATGTTGCGCTCGAGACACAGAGCACGACGATCGGCAAACGGTACTACCGCATGGACGAAATCGGAACGCCCTGGTGTGTAACAGTTGATTTCGACACGCTCAACGATCATAATGTCACCATCCGCGACCGCGACACTGGCGAACAACGACGTGTCTCGAAGGACGAGGCCATTGACATTGTCCAGGACAGCCTGAGGCTATACCCTAGACACAGCCGTCCTCAGCAAACGATAGCAGCATAGACAATAAAAGATGCATTTCAATAACATTCAAACCAAGGACACAATCATATTGAGGCACGCAAGCGTATGAAATATTATGAAAATGATATCAATGAAAATGACTATTTGAAAAGGAGTGATACCCTGAAAGGAAAAATACTGTACAAGTGAGGAAATGAATACAAAAGTGACGACCGAACAATATCTAATCCAAAAAAAAAAAAAAAATGGAATGAAAAAGAAAAGAGAAGACGAAACCCAATGATGAATGAATAAATGCTAGACAGCGAAAGGAAAATGAAAAAAGACAATGCATCGCCTCCACCGCAGTGTTGCAACCAAAGGAGCATCCTATGCACAACCGGCCCCGCTTGGTTCAACACCGCTCGTCAGCCCCTGGCTTCTGCTGATGGATCGATCGAAATGAACTTATCCAAAGCGGTGCATGATGGCCTCGTAGCAGAAGAACATGATCGCGGCATTAGGAACAACACGCAGCATATGTGCCGTCAATCCACCGTAGAGCGCAGCGACACCCTCCTCCTTGAGCACCAACTGGAATGTCTGCTTCAGTCCATTATACTTGGGCGCCTCGTTTCCAACGGGGAGCTGTCGCATGCGCGTGCGAAGCACCTCGTGAGGGTATGTGATAGCCGACGCAATGAACTTGGCTGCTCCAGCAGCGCCAAGGTAGTCGATCCACTCTTCAATATCCTTGCCTCCAAGAACATATCCCTTAGAACCTGTGTTGTTCATCTTGCGTCTCTCGGCCAGACTCTTCTTGAGCTGCTCGTAAATCACCCACTGAATCGTTCCCTCAGCCACACCCAGATATGAAGCACTCAGACCACGGTACATGCCACGGATGCCCTCTGATTTAAGAATCTTATAGACACAATCCGCGCTATTCTTGTACTGGCGTACTCCCTCGACCTGGAGCTGCATTCTCGTTTTGACAAGCCAGATGGGGTTGGTTGCTGTTGCCGTGACAATGCCCGCGGTAATGGCTGAGGCAAGATGAACATAAGTCGTTTCCTTGCCGTTGTTCATGTCGGTATAAAACTTCTTGCCATTGCCATATGTCGCAAAGTTGATGGCCCTAGATATTTTTGTGCGGCGCATATTAGAATACGCTCCATAATACTGTTTCATTGTAGCGGTAGAGGGCAAATGGCGCATTACAGAGCGGGCGTTACCTTGCTGGAATGACGCCGACCAGGTTAGGACCCAGGCCCTTGTATAATGCACGAGGTCCCTCTTTGGAGTAGATGTGCCTAGTAGCAGAAGCGGCAAAATAAGCATTTTCAAAAGATCAGCAAATGACTGTTTTTTTGTTGTTTTTGTTCCGTATCAAATACGCTCCGTTGTTCTGATGCGATCAGCGCGCAAATCGGAGTAGAAAAGGCATACCCGAGCAGGAGAAAAGTATCCTTGATATGTCCGAGGATCGAATGGACTCCTGTTTTTGGAACAGTCGCCGCAGAAACACTCTTCGTACTTTGGTACAAGGAGGACTGTAAAACCAGGATGGAACCAAAAAAAAAGGAGGTAAAGAACCAGAGCGTGAGAATTGTGCTTAAGAAACTGGCCTGTGACGATCCTGGGATAGTATGTAATAATAGCCTTCTCCCTAGTCCATACCTGAAGTCGGGTCTTGACCACATCAAGCGGCGATGTCGCCAGTGCTCCTGCCATACCACCGGTTCTACAAAAGAGCATACACAATCATGATATGTCAGGAACGAGCATGCATGACCTTTGGTAACAGCAGCCAAATACAAGGACAGAAAGATCAAAGCAAATGACCAAGACTACAATAGGTGTAGTAAAACTTACCCTCCGGCAAGGAAGTGAACCCAGGAGAACTGCAATCCTGCAAACCTTTGTCGTTGAGTAGGCTGTGCGTTGCTGGTGACGACGGAACTTGAAGTCAGAACAGCGTCTGCAGCTGTCCTGCTGGCATTGTTACGATCGGTAGTATCACTGGCACTGTTTTCTGAGGATGACGAAGGGTTACTTCCATAGCTGAATGCGCCTTTTTGCTGCAGTTGCTGACTAAGGGAGCTAGTGGTGGCGGAAGACGAAGGAAGCATAGCTGGGAGAATAACGTTGCTCCTGGAAGCGGCGGCAGCAGTTGTTGCACTCATGGTTTTTGTTTCTTTTCCGTGGTCGTTGCTGAAGTGGTCGCTGCTGTCTGGTGGATACTTGACAGTATGGAACAAGGAAGACGAAGTGGGTGAAACGGGTGTAGCAGGGGCAAGGAAAAAAAAAAGTAAAGGCTACCATTCTTGTTTACAGTTTTTTTCGGTGACTGTCCGTGTCCAAAAGAGGAAAGTCTGTTTTGCTCCCAAGTTGGTGGCGCAAGAAGGCAAAAAGCCTTGTGGGCGCCAGCAGGCTTCAAATCCAGGGAGGAGGATGAGGAACCGAAGCCTAGCGAACATACACGCGCCGTAGCAGTCTTCTTTTTCTTCCTTCGAAGGAGGTCGGGAACGTACAACGTTTATCTCATCATAAGAAGTCGCCCAACTTGGCTTTTTATTTGGATATTGATAGCAACGACTATTCAGCGGAAAACACTGCAGTATGTCCGAGTACGATTACACCCTTGTCGAGAACACCTTAGCCAAGGAGGGATAGAAACCTATCGTCGCATGCGTTTGTCTGTACGCCGCTCCATTCCCGAAGCAGCAATTCGCCATTGATATCTTTTAGTCGTCGACTTCGCCCAACGCCTCAAATATATATGGAACTTTCAGCGCGGTCCCGGTGTTCCTTGCGAATATTGATAAAGACATAGATATGCTTCAGTTTCCCTCCCTTCAAATACTGACCTCCTTTGCCTCTACATTTTTATTTCTACAGTGCAATGACAACAAGACATACGTAGAATCCATTAGCAGGCATTTTTTTAGCCATAGCGCTAGATAGAAAGTTGAAAACACTAAGAACAATTAGGGACAGTGCCCAGTGACCTGGATCTTTTCCCACAGATCCAAGGGAAAAAGCAATTCACAGTATGGTGATCAAGATCAAAAGATCATCCACGTTCGGACATTATTCTGGGCAAGTAGGACCCTCTCCTTTTGGAGAGGATGCACTCGGTCTAGGTACAGATAGCAGCAACTGGAGAAGACCGATCGAGTAAGAAATCACTCGTGCCCACGACCACCTACATGTAGTTCGCAATATTAACGTTGCTGTGGAGATACTGAATTATTGCTGCGGGGATGCTTCGGATGATGTTCCGCCAAGAGTCTAGATAGAGCCCATTTTTGCTGCCTTGATATTTTGCTGTCAAAGGACCTGCTTCGCCTTTGTCTGTTCGGTCGCATGATGAGAAGGATACATCCAAATAAACATTGGACAAAGTAATGATGTTTACTTGCTTCCTGGGAAGATGCAAGGCATCAATTAGTCGCATCTCGTAAACAACGGTATGCTGTACAAAGCTGGGCAAGAAAAGGGTAGCGTGCTCAGCACGGCTCCTTTGCAAAGCGCGGTCGTTACCATAAAAAACAACCTTACCAAAAGGAGCCAAAACAAGCAACACGTGTTGATGTGAAAGAAAACTCTCCTAATTTCCTATTCACTGAAGGACGAAAAGTTCAGCCAAGGCGCCGATATGTAGCAACGTATCCCTTTTTATTCGTCTTGCTACTGTGCAAGGTCGACCAACATCGGTCCTTGAGGATCTCCAAAAGGATGTATTGGAATCCCCTCAGGGCAGTTTCATATACTTCCTTGCAGATTTGTGCGCACTGCTTTCAGTCGGCTTCTCGATATCAGAAGTGAGCAATGAATTATGATCATTGTCCTACCATAGGAAGAAAATTCTGGCCTAGAAATTGAGGGGGAGGATGGGATACAAATATGGAGCTGTTATCCGAAAACAAAAAGAAAGGGGCGGTGCTCCGTGCTTCCATAAGTCATTCGCTAGATCTTTTACATTCTTACCAGAACAGTATCCTCTTGGCGTCTTTTGGGTATAAAAACCTGCCACCAGCAAAATTTCTTTCTCCCTCACCACGACTCTTCAAAGAAACACTCCAAACATGGCCGCCGGTCAAACCGCTGACATCCACCAGAACCCCACTCCAGTCCAGAAGCGGCCAGAAAGAATCGACATTGGCGATGGACTCATCATGCGCTGGTCTACTCGAGCCGATGCAGAGAATGTAGCCAACTGTATGGCCGAGGCTTTCCGCGTATGTTTATGACACCTCCTTGTTCAATTTTGTTGCATGTTCGTCATGTACGAGTGTCAAGAAATTAACACTTTTCTTCTGATTAGTGGATCCAAATGGGGGTCCAAATAAAGGAGGATGAGGAGCCCGAGCCCAACGAGATAGTCCGAGCAGCAATGGTTAGTGTGTTTCCTATTCTTTACATTCCGCGCAGCATGTACGTAGATGAAGTCTCTTACCGTAGACATCGTTTTCTCCAATGTCGATAGCTACGACTCCTCCGTGGAAACGCTGGCGTCATGTCCGAGTACGACTACGCCCTTGTCGAGAATACCTTGGCCAAGGAGGGAGAGAACCCTATCGTCGCGTGCGTTAGTCTACACGCCGTTCCTGGTTACTACGGCAATGTCAAACTGCAGTATGGCAGACCTGAATGCGTCGGTTCACTTCCAGGTGATTAGCAACGATTGGATTTCTCCGGCCCAACTCCATCATTCAGTCGCACCATATGAAGATATACTAACAAGATCATGTTTCTGGATATAGCCTACCGCAATAGGGGCCTCGTCCGCCGCCTGTTCCTCGAGATGATTAACCCGGCCAGTGATGCTCGGGGCGACATTATCCAGTACATCCCAGGCATCCCTCACTTCTACCGCCAGTTCGGATACGAGTACGCTCTTTCCATCCCTACTCCTCTTCGAGTCGAGAACCTCGCTGCTGCAATCCCTCCACGCCCTACCAAAGCACAGGAATCAGACCCTGAACCTGAGTCCGAGCCCTTCTCGCTCCGTATGCCCGCCCTGGACGACATCCCCTACTTGCTCAAGATGAGCACCCCGAAAAAGCTCCACGTCCATGCCGAGCTCGGCCTGATCTATGACGAGGCTTACTGGCGGTACACTATCCACGACCGGATCCAGACCGCGCAGTCCAAGTACGACTGCACTCGGAGGTCCAGGATTATCGTCGATGCAAAGACAGGCAAGGACTGCGGCGTGATCGTCGCGGACATGGGGAGATCTCTCACACTCACAGTCTTCTCGCTCGAAGATGGCTACCACTACCGAGACGCCATCCACCCGGTCCTCAGGCAGATGATCGACATTCTGAACCAGCCCAACCGCTGGGAGCTGAAGGAGGAGAAGGAGGCGGCGGCAAAGGCCCAGAGCAATGCGATCGATGCCAAGAGTGACAGCGGCGATGAGAGCAAGAAGGATGAAGAGAAGCAAAAGACGGTGAGAGAGCCCAAGGTCAAGGCCATCACCAGTTTCCTGGACCGCAAGCACCCGGTATCGAGACTCCTCGAAAGCGCGTCCACTCCCATGCCATGGAACTACAAGCTCTACACCCGCATTCTCTCCTACGCCAAGTTCATCCTGAAGGTCGCGCCCGAGCTCGAGGCTCGCCTTGCAAAGTCGCCCCTGGCTGGTATCACTGTCACTTTACACTGTGACTTCTTTCGCAAGATGCTCGGGACTTCAGGACGAGGCCTCGAGGTGGTCATCCGCAATGGCAAGATCGTCTCTGCCTCTGACGGCTGGGTTCCTCCTACTCCCGAGGAAACGATGCTTGCGGCCCGTGCACGGATCGCAAAGGCCAAGGAGGAAGGCCGTCCCGACAAGAAGCCGCTCGAATTCAAAGCCGATTTTGCACCAATGACCTTCACGCGGCTGTTGGTGGGCGACTTGAGCATTGATGAGATGCTGCACTTCTATGGAGAGTGCTCAGTCCAAGGTGGACCTGAAGCCAAGCTCCTGCTCGAGATCCTATTCCCCAAGCAGGAATTCTATTGCGATATGTTTTGGTGGTAGTAGATCATTTGCCTCTGTATTGTCCAACGTCCTGCACTTCCCTTTTTCAGCGCTACAATGAGTTTCTCATTATGCATGTTGCTGCCCAACGAAGGATGAGGAAAGATCGTAGGCCGAATTAATTAAATAATATCTATCTATGTGGAATACAAACATCTGCACGCTGTCAATCGACAAAAGGAAAACTTGTGCAACACAAACCTTCATCGTCTTAGTGATTATCAAAGAAAACTTCTAACAGCACAGCCCCTCCCCGTCCCCTCCCCCCTCCCCCTCCTCCTCCATTACCGCATTTTTCAACGGCCGCCCCTGTTCACATCGATATGACAACCAATAACGACGTTCACGACAACACACCTTCACCCCAGTCCAGACAGAAGTAATTACAGAATATCGACATTGGCGACAAACTTATTATGTGCTGGTTCACTCGAGCGGATGTGTGAAAAATAATCGATTGCATGGCTGGGGCGCTCCGAGTATGTTCTGTCGATGAAGGCATTAGTTAAATACTCTTTACCTCCCAAATTCTTGTGTTTATAACAATGTTGACAGTTCCCGCGGTCTTCATCATAGTGGGCTCCACTGGGCATACCAGTTCCGGAAGACAAGGTCCCCGAGTCGAATGAGGTAACCCACGCCATGACGGTTGGTACCTCTTCATATCGTTGAAAGTCTGCCTCTTAGGCTATAAATCACTACACGAAGACGTTCGTTTTAAAGGTACAATATCTCCATTGCTGCCTGACAGAAAACGATTTCTTCGCGGAAGCAACGATGTGATATCCGATTATGACTGCACTCGTCAATAACACGTTGGCCAAGAAGAGAGGACCTAGCCCTAGCCTGCGCCGTATTTCACATTTGCCACGGCTATTACGGTAAGGCCAGTCTGCAGTATGGAAATCCAGAGACCATCGCCGCACATACAGGTAAACCCAAAGAGGAAAAAGCGATGGCCAGCAGCACATCATTAGCATTCAATCATGCAAAAGACGTCCTCATTCAAATAATAATAGACCGCCGTAACAGAGGCCTCGTTCGCCGATTGTTCTTGGAAATGATATACCTTGCATCGGATGATCCGAGGCGAGCTCATCCAGTTCATTCTTCTCTCCTACCCCCAGTTCGGCTACGAGTACGTCATCCGATTCTGCGGCCCTGTGGTTTTTGACAGCATTCTTGCCATTACTCTCCCACATACAGAGCCAGAATTCGAACCCGAGTCCTTCTCCCTTCGCACGCCAACTCTGAATGACACCCCTTACTTGATCAAGATGAGCACTTCTGAGAATCTACTCAAGTCTATTGGAAGTGCACGGTCCACGAAAATCCTAAGTCCGCCGAAACCAATCACCGTACTACACCAGATCTGGTAAAGACTGTAACCTTATCATGATGGATGGCGACGTGTTTCATCTTTGCGTTCGAGGATGGGTACCATATCCACGAAGCCATGTACCCGGTCTTAAAGCCGATGATTGACAGTGTGGGCACAGTCCAACCATTGAGAGCGGAAGCAATAAAGGGGAAGGAGGCAAAGGCGCGGTTCAAAAGCGATTAAGTCCAAAAACGATCTCCAAGAACTGGAGGAACAATCCCAGAGGCACTCCCGCCAGGTTCATATGTTTATGGCTGGCTTGAGTGTCAATTACTCCAGTGACAGTGCTCCCCAAAAGTAAGTCCAACAGCAAGCCAGTACGCCTGAGACTCTATGCCCGTATTCCTTCCTACGCCAATTTCATCCTGAAGGTCACATCTGAGCTCGAGGCTCGTCTTGCAAAGTTGCGACTTTTTCCGTAGGGTCCTCTGGACTTCAGTGACGAGGCCTCGAGGTGGTCATCCGCAATGGCAAGATCGTCTCTGCCTCTGACGGCTGGGTTCCTCCTACTCCCGAGGAAACAATGCTTGCGGCCCATGCACGGATCGCAAAGGCCAAGAAGGAAGGCCATCCCTACAAGAAGCCGCTCGAATTCAAGGCCGACTTTGCACCAATGACCTTCACGCGGCTGTTGGTGGGTGACCTGAGCATTGATGAGATGCTGAATTTCTATGGGGAATGCTTCGTTGAAAGCGAGGATGAGGTACAGCTACTTCTTGGTGTCCTATTCCTGAAGCAAGAACTCTACTTTGGTACCATTTGGTGGGTGATTGATATTTACCCCGTTGCTCTACACAATGCACTCAATGATTTTTTATTTAATTCTTTATTTCGTTATTGTAACGATGATGTTGGTAAACGGAAAACAGTAGATGCTGAGGATATTGAGTGGTAAAAAAAAAGAGAAGAGAAAATAAACGGATAGCACAAAAATGCAATAGGTCTTTTTTTTTCCTGAACAAAAAGAGTTACATGATAAAGATATTGATGATGTGAAAGGGCATGTGGGGGAGGAACGAAGGGTGGGTATAAAACATTGGACATTTCTGACAACCTGCCATGCCATGTTCGTTTCGACAAGTGGAAAATAGTTTTAGGGTATGAAAAATCGGTCGGTGGAAAAGTATGATAGGGTATGATGCCGGGTAGTGCAGAAAAAAAACAAAAGCAAAGAGGACAGCGAAGTTACATCTGCTGTGGATCAACCGGCATAGGCCCATACCCCAGATCGTTGTTTACTTGGGCCACAATGTTGGCAACTTCCAGGGCAGAGGGAGATACTCCTCCGTGCTGATCATTCGCCGCCATTAAATATACGCCCCTGCCAGAACCGTCGTCCTGCATCATTGCCATGCTAATTCCTGGGGTAGACACTGGCATGTTTGAAAGCATTGCTGGAGTAGGAGGCAATGGCATGCCCGAGACGGCCATGCTCATGGGCAAGGTCATTGACAGCGCTGTCGGCGTTGGGCTTCTCAAAGTCGCCGAGGGGACAATTGCATCCTGAAACCCAGGGGATCTCGATGGCGTCATGGTTTGGCTTGGTCCCTCAGAGACAAGTCCCCCATTGTTCTGAGCCTGATAGATAGGATCCAACATCACAACGTTCCCGTCAGCTCCAGATACGGATGCACCCCCCATGACCATCGATAGGGAGGGCACCGAGGATGACGAAGAATGTGTCGATAGCGCAGGTGTCAATAGTGCAGTACTAAACCCCGACGCAGTCTGTCCATATCGCGCTGCTCCACCGCCTGCCATTGACACTGGGTTGGGAGAGCTCCTGCCTGAGGTTGTGCCGATCGGGGCCACACTGATGGCCATTGTGGAATCCGCCATAGCGCCGAGCTGTTGAGCAGAAAACACGGAGAGAGGGATGGTTGGGACAGGCGCTGCCACTGTCGCTGAGGGAGTAGAGGACATGGTGGAAGAAATCACTGCTGCCGAAGCACTTTGACTGAGATGACGCCTATGCTTTACTCTCACAGAACCTCCTGTATAGTCGGGATGATATGGATGGCCATACTGGGTGCGATGCTGCTGCCCAATGGGCGCACCCAGCTGCGCTCCTGAATCACCGGCTCTGTCCTGGGGCGAAGTTGATGCGGATCCGCCTGGTCCACGCAGAACCCCCCCTCCTTGCTTCGATTCATGCGCGAGCTCGTGCTTCTTGAGTGACCGCGCGTGATAGTAGGCCTTGGGACAACCCTCCACGGCACACACATAGGGGCGGATATTGGAATGCGTCTTAGTGTGGGTCGTCAACGAGTCTGGACGAGAGAATTTCTTATCACAGCCTAAAAAAAACAACAACGAAGTAATGGACGAATTTATCACGTTAAATAAACGCCATGTCCGGGTAGCTTCAAAAAGTAATAAGCGAATCGCTCTCTCTTACCAGGGACAAGACATTTGAAGGGGCGCTCTCCAGTATGTGTCCGCAGGTGGTTATACATCTTGTGCCGCTTTGTGAAGGGCTTCATCATTCTCGGACATCCCTGCCAGTCGCAGCTATAGCAGGCTTTGCCGCTGCCAATATGGGTCTCTGCGACATGCTCGTTCAACTCCACCATGGATTCGAACGGGAAGTTACAGTCCCGCCACAGACAGACCAGCTGCTGCGGTGTTGTAGGATCCTCGCCTTCATTAGCCTCAGTTGAACCCTTGCGTGATTTCGCGGGTGAATCGTCGTCCTCACCCTCGTTATCCTCGTCATCCAGCTCGTCCTCGTTCTCATCGTCATCCTCATCCCCGTCATCCTCATCCTCTGTTTTCACAGATATGACAGTGTGAAGATTGGTAGGTGACTTGACAGCATAGGGCGCTAATAATGGCGATTTGTTCTCCTCCTTGATATTGTCGTCTGTCCCGGCGGCAGGTTGCGTCGCTTGTGGAGGAGGGGATGGAACGGGAGACGGGGGTGATAGGTTCGATAACTGGGGGCTCTTATCCTGATGCTCTTGCTCGGCGTCCTGCTGGAGGTTTGATTGTTCGCTTGGCTGCAAGATGGAAGCTACAGATGCATGAGGTGCAGCTACATATTCAGACAGACGCGCTGTTAGTATGCGGATAAAAAACGCCGAGACTCTTGACTTGTCCAGTCAAAACAAACAGAAAAATCTATACTTACGTTGAATATCATTCATTGCCTCGACTTCCGATGACTCCTGCTTCACGGTGCTCATCCTCCGTAACGGGATCGACGCTTCGATCTGGCGCTCGTATTGCATGACCTTCTCAATCAGTTCCTGCTTGCTCATGTCGTTCAACTCAGCCAGAGTCGAGGGTTTTTCTAGCTCAATCGCCTCTAGTTTGATGTCTTTACGAGGCACTGGCGCATGAGGTATGTCGTTCAGGTTATGTAGCTGGAATGTGGAAGAGACCTCCATGATAGTGTCGTCCACGAGCAAGCCATTGATTGGTCCCATAGTAGGCGAGGGCGCTGAAGTAGGGCCGGGTGAATACAAATGTCCAGATTCCGAAGGCGATCCAAGTGCAGAGGGCGGCATGGCACGCGCTTGAATATCGGATACATTGATTTTTAGTCCTGCCGCCGCTGCTGCTCTGGGGGACCTAGTCTGATGAGGTTCCACACGATTTGCGCCACCAAACATTGCCTGTTCTTTGGCCGCCATCAACTGATTCTGCTGTTGCTGGAAATCCTGCTTCTGAAGCATAATCCTCAGCTCTGGCGAGTGTTGTCCAGATGACGGATGACGGCGATGACGCTTAGCGGCCTCCACAATAGCTGTGGCGCTCACTTCAGATGAATTAAACGGTGGAGATGAATTAGTACTTGAAGGATGAGATGCCGTGGGCTGCATCGAAGGCACCATTGGCGTAAACGAGGTCACACATTCTGCACTTGGCAATGGAGTGGGATAGGCCATACTAGCAGAGGCGACCGCTGCATCGGACTGGGGAAGGTGTTGGATAGGGTATGCTGAAGGATCCATTTCCAGGTTGCGCGGCGGTGGTATATTTGACTGTAAATGTGCTCCTTGAATGTCCGTGCTCAACCCAATGCCCGTGGACACCATTGCCTCTATCTCTTGGGCTACGGAGTTCATGGTCGGAGGAACTGGCAAAACCATAACGCTTTGTCCCATGGGCATCATGATTGGGCCTATGGGACTCTCGATGGGACTAACAAGCGTACTCTGTGATGATGCGATGACTGCTGCCGTTATCATATCCTGGACGTGTTGCTGTTGCTGCTGTTGCTGTTGCTGCTGTTGCTGTTGCTGCTGTTGCTCCTGTTGCTGCTGCTGGATTTGAGCGCTAATGGCTTGCATGGCTAACGGCGGCTGAATCTGGCCATCGAAGGAGGGCTGAGGACGATGCATTCCTCGGGGTTGATTCGAAGACGGCTGCGAGGGTATCACAGGGGTATTGGAGCGAGATTGAGCGTTGATGTGTTCCTGAATCAATAATGCGTTCTGATGCATAGATATATCAGCGACAGATACAGGCATGTTAGCCATCATCTGTTGTGCATGTTGTTGTTGGAGCTGCTGCTGCTGCTGATGCTGCTGTTGTTGCTGTTGCTGTTGCTGTTGAAGTTGCTGCTGTTGTTGCTGAAGGAACTGTTGATGCTGCTGCTGATGTTGTTGTTGCTGCTGTTGCTGTTGTTGCTGTTGTTGCAAGTGTTCCGACTCTAGCATCTGAATATGGGCGTTTTGAGACTCGGCAGCTTGTTGAAAGGACATCGGCATCATTGGAACAGACTGTACATCAGCTGCCAACATAGGTGGGCTTACGAGCAGCAACTGCTGCTGCTGGGTTGCTGGGGGACTTAATGGTAGAGACGACAGTAGTTGTTGCTGATGTTGCTGGACTGGATTCGTCGGAAAGTCCTGTGCTGGCATTGTTGTAGATGGCTGCAGCGACATTTGGGGCTGCTCCAGCAATTGTTGCATGTGTTGTTGTTGTTGTTGTTGTTGCTGTTCGAACTGGTGCTGCTGCTGCTCGAACTGCTGCTGCTCAAATTGCTGCTGCTGAATTTGCTGATGGATCTGTTGCTGTATCTGATGCTGTTGAATCTGTTGTTGAATCTGTTGCTGCTGTGCTTGGTGGTGCTGTATCATTTGCTGTTGTTGATGTTGCTGCAATGCGTGAAGAGCTGCTGCTTGCTGCTGATGTTGCTGCTGCTGCTGTTGCTGATGTTGCTGCTCCTGTTGTTGAGTGGTTGGCACAGCCACAAAATGCGGTCCTTGATGTGCGGCTGTGCTTGAGAGCACCACTCCCTCCATGGCAAAGGACGTAGCCAGAATATGACCCTCAGTTCCATATACGTGACTGGGATGTTGAAGAGGTCCTCCGTTCATCAAGACAGGCTGATTGCTGTTCATTTGCTGATGGTGCAGTTGCTGCTGTTGCTGTTGCTGTTGCTGTTGCTGTTGCTGTTGCTGTTGCTGTTGCTGTTGCTGTTGCTGTTGCTGTTGCTGTTGCTGTTGCTGTTGCTGTTGCTGTTGCTGTTGCTGTTGCTGTTGCTGTTGCTGTTGCAGGTGTTGGTCATGGCTTTCGTTCAAAGATACGAGAAACCCTTCCTGTGATGCACCGACCTGACCGCCATTGAGGCTATTATTGTGAAGGATAAGGTGGTCGGTGTCCTTGCTGCTGTTGTTGCTGCTATTACTGATGATGATCTGTTCATTAGGGGCTGAAGGATAGCCGGAGAGGAGGGTCATTTGGTCGTTCATGACTTCAGGGGTGACAGGGGGCACAGGGGGCGCAGGTTGGGGGCGACAGAACTGAGACAGGGCGAAACAGACGGTCAGACCCTATGGATACGCGACCGAGGAGAAAAAGAAGAACAGATCGGCAGATGGTTAGGGCCCTGGTATTCATTAGAGACGCTTGTGTAGATACATGAAGACGTACCAGCGCTGGCTGGTAAAAGGTTTAGAAGTAGATGTGGGTATGTGGAATGTGTATAGAATGCGTATGTATACACGAGTTGATGTTCAACAAACAAGGGAGGAAGGACGAAGGAAATGTGCAGTGGGGAGGAGCAAATTGGAGGCACAGGGGTGAGGAGAAGAGCGAAGTGTCAAGGGTGTGAGATAAAAAGTTCAAGTTTCTGGTGTATCTCTGCCTGCAGCTGCAGCTGCCAGCCTGCAGCAGTGTAGCCAGAAATAGGCGGTAGAAAGGGGCAACGCGCAATCGTATTGGTTCCTTTCGGTTCAGCAGGATCCCTTATTCGTATGTGTATGGGACACTATACCGCATCGGTAGCAGGCCTCTTAAATTCAACGTGAGGCCATGGTGGCGATCGGATGCAACGAATATGGCTGGGCAGGGGAAGAGTATGGATACACAGTAGATACACACATTTCTTCTTCTCATAGACATGTCCATTACGTTCGTGCACGCAGCTCCCAGTAGACACGAAGACGAAAAAATAAATGGTAATACACTGGACAAGGGCGTCATGGATAAGCAGCGAAGAGAAAAAGCTGCTCTGTTTTCTCGCGGGATACAGTACGTGCCACAAGCTAAGCACAAAAGAGTACGAAAGTACGAGAAGAAATAAAGTACCTCTTTTCTCAATCGATTTTACTCAGGAGGAGAGAAATCCAAGATGTTGAGAAATGTGGTTGGAAGGGTGCATATGTATATATATATATATAAAAAGCGCAAGTCGCAATCCCGCAGGGGGACTAGTATGAATGAATATGCCTCTTTCGCCCTCTTTCTCACTCTCTGCAACTGCGGCAATTGTAGTAGCCGTGTAGCGAAATGATGCATCAATGGTATGCCTTGGGATTTCAGGAGCTCAAGAAAGATCAAGGACAGGGCGGTTGGATGCTGCACAAGAGACAACAAACGACCAGCCGCGAGGATTCGCGAAATGCTGCAAAGGTCCGACACTGGCTGGCGCAAAAAGAATGTGTTGGAAAGAAAAAGAAAAAAATCCAGTACGGGCAAATGGGTGGGTAAACAGCTACGCAGCGTGCATGCACAAAGGGACACCAATCCTTCTTACTACTATCACTCTTCTACGCGCCCTCTCTTCCTCTTTCTCCAGTCTCTTTAAGGTGTATGAATGGACGGTGTAGGATTCAACTGAGATAATGATGAACATTATATTCCAGTTATAACTTACCTATTAGGTTTTTTCTTTCTTTCTTTTTCGCTTTGCTTGCCGAGATAGAGGGATCAAGGGTATATTTCCTTATTCTAAGGTCTGCTTAAGATTATCAACGCTCGGAGGGGCCGTCAAGATGACACGAACAAGGAGCTCGATGTGCGAAAGATGTTCGCTTGTCACTCTTGTTCTCTCTGGTCTTCTAGTAGTAGAAGATGTTATTGACACGACAAAGATTAGCAAGCAATCAAGAGGGCAAAGGCACTAAAAGTACTCGTCGAAAAGGTGTGGCTAGCCACACGTTAAGTAGAACGTCTGCATCTCGCGATTGGTAAGGACCACACTCAGCACTTCAGGTCAAGGGGTGGATAATATCCGATCTTTAGCTCGCCTCTTTTCATGACTGACGCCTTGAGAAAAGCGTATATTCATCCATCATGAAAATCCTCTGTCGCTATAGACGCAGTTCTTTACGCCACGAAAAAAAAGAACAGAGTTGGCCTCGTGGTGACCATAACAAGAGCTGCTGCTGCTTCTTCTTTTCTGTACCCTTTACCCGAAGCAGAGTCACCCAATTCTTCCCAGCGACCAGGGTTGAGTTGCATATGGCAATGACTCGGAGTGTCGGTGTCGGTGCTTGGTAGCAAGGACGCCAACTCAACAAGACAAAAATAGAAGAAAATGTCGGGCGTGATAAGAGCGGTGGCGGGTGTGCGAAGGAACATGGGTCGGGTGTAGCGAGAGAAAGAGACAGCGAGGAACTGCGTGTGTCCAATGGGTATCTGTGTAATGCTGGATCTTGCCCTTCGTACTCTGCGCGTTCTGTGTTGTGAAAGTCTAAGCAAAGGTCCAGGTCCAGGTCCAGGTCCAGATCCAGGTCCAAGACCAATTGCCCGCTGGTGGTGTCGCTTTGTTGTGTTTTTCCTTTGTCTTTGTTCGAGCTATATCTGACAGGGTGTAGGTATAGCTGCATGTCATGGATAATGGATAGGATATAGGGTAAAGAGCAAAGGGTAAAGGGTAAAGAGTAAAGGGTAAAGGGCAAAGGATGAAAGGTAGTGGACAGCGGGATAGTGTATGATTCAATCTCGATACACACTGGGCTAGTAACACTGAACTAGTGCCATGCGAGGAGGCTATTGTTCTTTGTGTGTATGTGTGGTGAAAAGGGTCCATATTGGCGGCAACGGGACACAAGAGCGTATGTGTGTAGAATAGTGTGCGATAGCATGTGTGTGTGAAGTGTTAAGGTGAGAGGTGCAGGTGGAATGGAGCTAACGCAGAGACTGGCTCCGTTTCGGTCCTTGTTCAGGCACAGGCACAAGCTAATCGCTTTTTTTTTTTGTTCTTCATTCATACCACCAAACGATGCTGCTGCTTTGTGTGAAATCGTAGACGAGCGAAAAAGGAAATGGGATCGAATGCGAATGAATAAGAGGAAAAGGCAGTGAGAGGAACGAGGACAGTGAGGATAGGGAGGAGGAAGAGAGAGAAAGAGAGAAAAGAGGGAAAGAGAGGAAAATGCTGCAACCCAAAATGACCGTAAGCGAGCAAGTAAATGAGCAAAGAAAGAAGCGTCCTCTCTCTCTGTCTCCCCTCTCTTTTGTCATTCTTATTGAATCGGACATAGACTACTGTACACATCTCCAAGGATGGTATCACAAACGGAATCAATAGAACTGGTTACTCCTTATAATTTTGCCCCGCACGTCTGTGCAATAAGAACCCCTCTCGGTGCCTTTGGCGCGCCATAATTGACCAGCTAGCTACCTCTCTCTTAGTGCAAGCTGCGAGGCCTGCAAATACAAAAAACAAATAACTCCTTCTCGGTACGTCTGGATTATCCGCTCACGCCTACACAAAAATTGTCAATGCTTCGGCCTTAGTTGGCAGAACACGGAGTACAGAGATCACACTGAGCATACAGAACAAAAGGATACATCCAGCAGGCCCCTCATTCATTTCGTGCGCGCGGTATTTCTGCGGTAGGGGATGTGTTTCTGCGTATCCTCACTCATCATCTTTATCGTTCTCTGCCGTTCTCTGTAGTTCCCCATCGCTCCCATGAGTTGTTTTTTTACTTCTTCCACAGGTGTAGTGCTACAACCAATTGATATCAGCGTGCCCTTCGATAAACTGGATGACACCCGACTTCAGCAGGGCATGACTATTTCTAAATAAATAAACAGATAGAATAATAAAAAAATGACCTTGGGCTGAGCAAGCGCCAGGACATGTTCGCGCGACCTAATGCTACTACAGTGGCCCCATTTAATTTCTCCGCATGCCCTGAACATCAATTCTTCGTAGCTAGCGCACGAGTGCACCTCCAGAAGACACCTAAGCGAGCAAGAACCACCTCTTTCTACCGCTGCTTTGTGCAGATGTGGTAACTGCTTGCCCGATCTCGATTCACAAAGGTGGTGCGGCAAGCCCATATATCTCGCCCGCTCTGTGTTCTACTATTCCACCTTAATTGAGCTTACGCTTACCTACCGCAACTCTATTGCGTACAAGCACTTCGACCGGTCAAAGAAAAAGCAGGCGTGATCCCGCAGCGACACCATACCAAAACTGAAAGCGTTACGGGATCCATGACCAGCCTGGATGATTGGTACAGATCAACACGGCGACAGCACCATAACTCCCCCTACTTTCGTATGCCATGGATCTCTCTCGCCATCCTTTACTCTTGTATATAAGTGATTTCTATTCCACTTGCCACCTCTATTTTTTTTTATGTTTGTAGCGCCCTTTTTCCCGTGCATGGCCATGCAGTCTTGTAAAAAAAACCTTCTCAATGGCTCATTTCCCGCCTATTTCCTAATCCTACACTGAAATCCCTTTCCGACAACTTGAAACAGCGTGTCCCCTCGTGTACGATGATCAGCCTCTCAAAAATACACGTACGCGCGCAATTTGTGTATGACACCAAAGACAATGTACTATGGCAGCCGGCAGCGTCGTCGTCATGCTCCATCGTGAACAAGTAGACGCACGCTGCTCCCCCAGGACCTTAGAGGACTCGTCTTTTCCTTTTTTAAGAGGGACTCACGCCCATCCTTGGACCAACCGTTGCAGCCTGAGTTGGCTTGAGCAATATATTTTGTGCCTCGGCGGTGTTAATAATTTATGTGGTTTGGGATTTATCCACTCCTTGGAATACAAAACGCGTGACGAGCACCTGTTTCGCGTATGAAGACCTGGAATGCCTTTCTGGTCCCTATGTCTAACTTCTTGCACGACCGCTTCTTTCCAAATACCCCGTCTTTGCTTTTATGAGTCAAACGCCCTGTATCCATTCATCGGTCGCCTGAAAGGGATAACACCACTCCTTGTTGATTGTTTCCATGACCATAGTAATGGTTGTTTTCTGTTATTCCCTCCTTTCTTCACCTTTTGCTGCTATTACGTTGCATGTCATAGAACTATGGCCCATTTATTTTTGTTTTTGTTTTTGTTTTTGATAGTGTTGCGAAATGGTAAATCTGAGCACAAAAAAAATGCCAAGAGCATGCATGCAACAAGGGCCTTTTTTTTGGAAATCCTACTGACTCTGGTGGTGATCTGAACTTCAAATACTGGTCTCGCCCGTTGAAGGGTTGGTGAGTAAGGCGCGTAGCATGGCACAATAATCGTCCTTAGCTACTCTAATGTGGAGAGAGGTTCTATTCCACTTTTCTGTAATACCCAAATGCTCTCCTCTGCTTTGCAGCGGAGGGCGTGGAAGATTTGATCCTTGGCCAACAGTTCTTGATAATCTTAAAGGCTAGAGATCTTTTGATGCACGATCCCCACTCATTGCCAGCTGCAGACTCTTGTCGCTCTTGTACATGTACATACAAAATTAGCCCCAGTGATCCACGCAATTGGTCTTCAACCATGTTACAAGTCTTAGTGCGCGAAATATCTAACAGATCCCAATTGTCGAAAAGAGCCGCGCTCTCATTTTATACTCATGTCTCTGACTGCCATGTTTTTCTGTCTGTGTAGCAAAGGCGTAGCCAGCTCTGATGCATCTTGTTGTCTGGTGTGGTATATCGTAATAAGTTTGGTAGCAATGGACCATTTGGGCTGCATGGGGAGGGAGCAACGTGCTCTGCTTGCATGCTCGACATGCCATGTGTCTAAATCCCGACGATCAGGGGTGCGATCTTGCGGATGTTAGACTATACTATACATGTCCTTCGAGGTCCAAATTTCCCTGAGATCCTAACATTTCAGTTCAAGATGGACAAAGAGCAGCAACAGCAGCAGCAAACAGAGCATAATCCCTTGCCCATGAACATAATCAAACAGATGTTTATATGCCCGGCAGCATTGTAACTATATCTCCTTTTTTCCACAGTTTGAAGCACGAGATCATATGTTCACTTTCGCGCACAGGTGTCGGAGGCTGACAATTAGGGTACATACTTCTGATACTTGGCCTGTCAATGACCTTCCCCACTTTACAGGCGGTTTCGATAGCGACTTATTTCTTTTCACCGTGTCTTTGACTTGGAGATCCATTATTAACAAAAAAAAAATTGTGAGCATTTTCCTCTCAGCTCTCAAGAAAACGTTCAAATAAGAGGCTTCTTTCCCGCTCCTCCGCTTCCCACCTAATGGTCCGCGAAGGCTTGCATATAAGAGAACGGTAAACTAGCGAGGTGGCGAGTAAATGGGCGCGGTGATACAAGAAGGGAACATGTACAGCCATTGACCATGATCAACGTATATATTAGTATCTTCGTTTTTCTGTCCCTTTTATGAGAATCCTCCTCTAAACGAGGCATAGACTGGATCGGTTTGTAATGCAATCAAGGATGACAGACATTGTCATTTTGTGTGCTTCTTGACCGTCATTTCGCCGTTTTCACTATTTGGAGCTATGCTCAATCCAATTATTGTAATAATTGACACGCTCAATGAGCGATCATTACATCTTCGGCTCGCTGAAGGACTCGCCCTTGTGGATAAAATATGGGGCAAATGTACTCGGACACATTCTTTACGAGCATCATCTACTGAAGCTAGAGCACAGCTAATGGGGGGGGATGAACTAAATAAAGGCCTCTCGGGAATGCTATTCCAGAGCACTTCGACATCTGTCCCGTTGTCCCTGAACCAAACGCGTAAACAGATTGCAAAGCAGCCAGTCTCTTGATGACGCGTCATTGTACCGTATGTGGATGTATCGCTCGACCGAGCCATGTATGCGGCGAAGCAAGATAGGGAGATTGAAGACGTTGGAGACGTTCGTAGATCGTTCCGAAAACGTTTACCATGTTGACTATCACCGCATCATAATGATGTAATAATGAAAACCAGCAAGATAACGGACGGGATACGATCATAAATCTAAAGTGGCACTTCGATCCGCTGTTTTGGGGTGTAGGGTTTTCTGGTGAATCCGCGCTAGACTAAGAATAAAGTGCAACTCTCTCGGTCTAAAGACCCTGGCTAATTAAGTTTTTTCTCATATGCGGAGAGCTGCATGGAGCAATTCTGTTTCCAGTCAAGAATCTTGCATTTAGAGAATAATGATATATCCTTCTTTGCGGTAAGGACGGACCACATCCTGTGGAACCCAGTTGTTGATAGTAGAGTCCTAGTGTATACGCCACGTTCTCCCAACAACAAAGCCATGCGAACAGTTTGTGCCTTGAAAAACATGCACCATTTATTAGTTGATAATACGCCATTTCACCCATTCAGAAAAATGTATTTGTCCTTGTACACCGTTTCTTAACTGGCTGAGCTGCTCCAGTAATTGATAAGGCACAACAGCCTTAGTCAATAAGTCTCTTCTTGCGGAAAAAGCGCTTCAGGTAGAAGATCTGCCATAGTCCTAGCGCCACGAGGACGCACATGGTCAAGGTCGAGAACCATTGCACGCGTGCGTTTGTAGATTCTGCAAGAAAAAAAGTTTTCGCGTGGGTTAGATGCATGACATGAGAAGGCAAGCACATTGCAGGTGTAATTACACATATAAAATCATCAATGAAAGCTCGACATTACCATTGGTATTACGCATCCTCGCCTCGCGTGCCTGGAGATGCTCCATGTTATCGAGGATATCCTTGACGAGATCCTCTAGCTTACGCAATTCGACCTCCATGGGCTTCAGCTTTTCCTGCTCAGCTAATTTCGCATAATCAATGGTCTCTGATCCAATCTCAAAATCAATATCAACCGTACGCGTGTATTTTGGATCGGGTTTGTATCCTAGTTATTCAAAGGGGGTAACACAAGTAAGCGTTGATAGGAGAGGTCAGTCAATGATCGGCAATGCTCCAAAATCAGAAAAAGGAAAATTGAAGGATGGAAGCAGAGGGTGCTTACCATCGGCAAGGACGTTTGTGAAACAAGCAACGACATCGCCGGCCTCTTTGTTCAAGAAAGCACCCTTTTGGACATCTCCCGACAGATTGTCCTTCCTCCAAAGCTGGTTCATATGAGAGCTGTCGTCGGTCACCTAAGCAACACCATGGAGTAATCCGAAAGAAGAACACATAGTGAGTATATGCAATAACAATATGGATGCCGACCTGCCAATGTCCATAGGAGATACTTGACATGAGCATACCTCGAGGGAAACCTTCTGGTGGGGACCAGGGCCGGCCTTGACCTTAACAACCACCTGTGTCTCTTCCTCGACGAAATGTGAAATACAAATAGGGGTGGCATCAGAGGCATCCTCACCAGGCAACTCGAACTTGATGGCGTTGGTTCCTTGGAGCCAGGATGTGGCCAGGATAACCAGTGAGATGGCAACCGTGGCCGTAAATAGCTTCCTTGTCATAGTGGGCCGTATGTTCTTTTTATATGCGGATAGGTTTGAGTCTTGTCTGGTCAATCAGCCGAGAGAAGTATCGAAAAGGTGTTCAGGACAGGTGGTGAGGCAGGGCTTGCTGACAGGATGATGATGATGATGCTGCTGCTGCTGCTGCTGAACCTGGATGATGCTGATCTCAAACAACGGACGTGACGTGGCAGTTCAATTTAAGTTGCCACCAAAAAAACGCGACCAATCAGTTGGTCGAATTGGATGCTGTGCGCGCAGAGGTTCTCGTTCCTCTTCGGGTTCCTTGTTTCATACACCCCGTGCGCCTGATGATACCATCCAATGAGAGATGAACAACAAATCAACGTTTACGGACTGAGGTATTCGAGTGAAAAATATCCGAAATATGGTTCGTGACATGCCACATACGACGCCGATCAGCACCACGTTCCACAGCGCACCGCGAGCCCATGGTGATGCTGTACCCACGTTGCACCCGAGCTGATATGCGTTTTTTTATTGGTATTTATTATGTGTTTTTAAAAGAACTCTGCGAACTGCTTGTTACAATCCCTTACGAACCAACTGGAGCGCATACTCCACAAATTCCTCCTGCAAGATATCTCCGGTGTCGCCGTCCAACATATCCTTCAGCACCTGCTTGGTACCGCCGCAGCGAAGCCATTGCTTCAGCACGCGCTTCATCTCCTCGTCCTTTCCAGGGATCGCTTTCAACACCTGTGCCCAGCTCAAAAGGATGTCCAATTTCTGGTCCTCGTCCACATTCTCGGCCGAACCATCGCGGCAAGACTCCCAGGCATAGCGGTAGTACACACTGGCATTGTTCAGCAGCATGGGCCGGTTCTTGAGGGCAACAGGCGAAGATAACAGTGACCTCGACCAATGGATATCCCCCAATTTCTCCAGAATCGATGTGTTCTGTGGCTCGACTTCCAGGGCAGAAAGGAATGCACGAGTCGCTGACGCAAAGAGCTGCCAGGTCTTTGTAGAACGACTGGTCTTCTCACCTTCGGCGGGCGAGGCCGTGGGTTCGGCTGCAACCACGTCGCTTGTTCCCAGTGTGATGTTGGAGCCGGTTTCCCATTTCTCCATATCGCTTTCCGTCGGAACCGCAGTTCCCTGATCAAAGACTGCCAATCCTTGCGCCCAGGCGCCTAGAAGATCACCCTTATCGCAGAGTGCCTCCACATGACGCGGTTGATAGCTCAGGACCACATTCAAATGCTGCAATGATTTTTTGTACAGCTCCTCCATAGTCTTTCCTGTATCCTGGTAGTTGCGGTCGGTTTGGGATGACAGGACGTTCGAGTACTGGAGATGAATGTCGCAAATCTTCTCTTTCTGGCTGACAGTCTTGCTCTGGGACTCTGCCTCGCGGAAGACCGAAACTGGTTTGATGGCAGGCAAGACATCGTCTGACTCGCCCTCAACAATCAGCTCTGCGGCAGCCTCCTTTCCCTTGCCTTTGCTGCTGGACGAACTCTCCTCCTGAGCAGCCGGCCACAACAACTTGTCATTGGCCACTCCAAGCGCAACATCGAGTCTCTGTGTTGCCTGCTTGTAATACGCCTGGGAACGCTCGACTGTCTCGACCAAGAAGGCCAAAGATGTCAACGCCTGTGAAGCAGAGATCAGCGTATCGATCAAAACGCCCGCGGAAGCCGACAGTTCCTGCTGCTCTTGCTCTGCCAAATCTTCAGGCTTCTCCTCCTTGTTGCCGTCCTTGGGATGGGCTACCTGAACAGCTTCATAGAGCTCGTGCTGCTGGATTGAATAGCAGGTCTCGAATAAACTGATGGCCTCCTGTAATTCCAGTGCAGCAGACTCTTCGGGGCTACTGTGGATATGATTACTGCTGTCGTGCTTGTGTTTGTGATCGCCATCCTCTTTTTCTTCCGCTTCATCGCGATCCTGGATAATTTCTGCGTGGGTCGTCAATGCTTGGCCAAGATTGAAAAGAGTATCGGTATTGTCGGGGTCATAGGTCAGAGCGGACCTGAAGCGCTCAATTGAAGCGTCCAACAGAGACAGCTTCTGGCGAGGCGACTGTGTAAAGTCGACGAGGATGTAGAGAACTCGTCCGCTATATGTTAAGTATGTAAACAATGAGATCATCGACTAATAAAACATATTGACACAGGCATATCTCAATTGAAACTGACGGAAAAGACAGAAACATACAAGTTGTAAAGACAGTCAGAGTCTTTCGGATTGAGGTTGCAGGCCCTGTGGTACATATTGCCGGCCTTCTCATAGAAGCGCCTTGCCTTATCTCCTGTGCCGTAGCGCTCGCCTAGGATATAATCGGTTGTTAAGAAGACGTAAGCAATGCAAACATATAACAACGAGGCGTATGGATAAGCTTCGCTTAATACATACCTTTTTCCTCGAGAAGAACGCCCTCTGGATATGGAGTATGGAAGGAAACACACCAATTGCCCATATAGTAGTATGAACAGAAGAAGAGATAGGCGCAGATATCTTGGGTTAGCTGACGAGGTTCTCTGGAGTGTAAAGTGAACGAAACACGAGGGAAAGAAAGGCAAGAGCAGTACCCTCCATATATTCCTCCCAAGTCTGAGGCGTAGATTCCTCCTTAGGGGCCTTCTTCTTGTCCTTGTCCTTGTCTTTGTCCTTATTCTTGTTGTTGGTTCCAAAAGTCTTTTTCATGGTGTAGTAATGAGATGAGAGGATAGATGAAGAAAGTATAAAGCGAGTACACCAAGATGAGCCGCCTCTTTTTTTTCGTGTCTGCAAGCGTGACCAAATAGGGGTTATGCTCAGCCACAAACACCCTCACCTTCGCCGAGAAAGGGAAGTAGATCACTTGCTCTTGGTCGTCGCACCTAATCACATCAGTCTCTCACAAAATATGAACACCATCTTCGCTCGCTGTCTCGCGAGGATCCCCTCGGGTGCGCGTAGCCTTCATGCTGGCGCCGCAAAGAAGTCCGTGCCTGCACCACGAGGTATGGATAAGTCGCAGGATGAGGACTCTGGAGATCATGCACATTTCTCACTTATTGGCATACAACACACAAGGCATTGTGCACAGCGGAACCATTTTAAGTACTAATTGATATCAATTGACATTATGTAACAACATATAATTGATACAATAGGCGATATCCAGGACCCAGCAGCATTTTTGAACAAGATTGGCCGTAATTCTGCTCAATTTGCCGATAAGTTCAAATCCTGGGACCATCTCTTCACAGTAACGAGTGCCGAGATGAAGTCGAACATGGCTCTTTCCGTCAAGCAGAGGCGTTGGGTCTTGAACTGGAGGGAAAAGTATCGGTAAGAATGCATTGCTTTACTTTGATATTTGGCAATTGTTTTGTCGTGTATTATGACAGACCAGGCCATGTCTAATCATACAAGATTGTTGTTTCATACCCGTAGTCAAGGAGCAGATCTATATGTCATCCCCGTCAAACCCCCGAAGAAGAAGACCAAGTAGATCAGCTTACATTCAATCCAGTCAAGTCAATTCAACATCAATATCGCATTTCATTTTTATTCGCAATTCGAATGTGAATCTGTGGCAATACCTGGCGCTGGACCTCAAAGTATTAATTGAAGCTTGGGAAGGGTATGCATGCTAGTTATGTCAGAGAATTGCATCTGTGCTGTACCTGGAACTCATTTTAATAATGTCCACTCAAATGACGGGGTCAATTTACACAAGGCGTCCCGTCCACTCAAAACAAACGGCGCAAACGGCCTTTCCCCCCTACTCGATCTCTATACCTCTCATCTCACGCAACCAAGCGAAGTGTTGCACTATATCTGCGGTTGAGGCAGCCCTTTGCAAAGGGATCCAACAAATATTATTCGGCTGCGATGATCGTGTGCCATTGAGCAGCGAGATTGAAAGAGGAGACATGTGCTTTATCATTCATCGAAGATATGGATTAAACCGTACCAGCACCATGTTCTGCCACTTCAAGGAGGCGTGCATCAACGGAGCTATACTTACCCCAGGCGAAGAATACCAGGCTGATGCTGAACTTGGTGCTGCCTATGAATGCGAATAAATGGAGTATGGGAGTGGGTTGGGAGTGCAGGAGTAAGAAATGGGATGGATGATCCAGTCTGCCTTTATTTTTAGGCGCAGGCGCAATTTGAGTTGACCCAGGCGGACATTATTAAGGGACAAAATGAGTTGACCTGAGTTGACCTGAGTTGACCTGAGTTGCCCGGTCAACTCATTTGTATACACCCTCAGGAATCCTCAGAGAGAAGTGAGATTTGATTTCTACCCGAGCGAGGACCAGGGCCAATATGAAGATTAGGATAGGTTCTCTTCACTCCACAGGGCGCACACGATCAGTCGCCATAATATGACACAGTTCTCGCTTAAGATCCAGTGCCAGGTCGATTCAGGAACCAGCAGGGGATGTCTGTGTCTGTGTCCTTTCTTTTTTCTTTTTTTTTTTTTTTTTTTTTTTTTTTTTGGCATAGGAACAGAAGAACACTGTCAGCGGATGATACATATCGATAACAAATCACTTTCTCGGTGCCGATAACTATTTTGTGAGCCAATTCCTCCTTCGCGTACCTCCTTCTTCTTCCCCTTCTCTCGTTGCATTCCACTTGTTGCTGCATTCTCGGACGAGCAATTGGACATTGCGCCGCACATTTTCTGTGCCACCATCTCGGTTGATCGCCATTGCGCACAGACATAGTTCATCTGCACATTCCTACCACATATCTGTCGCTTTTCCTCTTGATCCATGGCCCATATCGTAAACAGTATGCCGACGCCAAATGTATGACCGAGAACGTGCCTTCATACAACTCTGAATCCACCAACGTTATCGATTTCCACGACGATGCAGTAGAGTCCTCGCCAGAAAGTTGATTTTAAATCGAAGTGAAGACTATCCCGTGCTGACCCATTTTTTTTTCTTTGCAGAGATAAGGATGAGGACGAGGATGAGGGTAGATTGAGGGCAAATATATTGAATTGTAAGTTATTAAAAAATTATATTGTTGCTGCAACTTTCTGGCGAGGACTCTATGGACCCGCCTCCACTACACCAATTTGGACCATGATCTTCAAGACCATCCTCGTCCTCTATGGAAGTTTCGGGACCTGCACTATCCACATCTGCTCTGGCGCCTGAATCTCAGAGACCAAGCCTGCGACCGGCAACTCAATTGCTTGCTGGATCTTCACTGCTTGTATTTTGTTCCTCTCTACCATGCTAGCCCTGGATTTCATAAAGGTGAACAAGGTCATCGAGAGCCAGGATATCTCGTATGTCGCTTCAAACGACATCGCCGCCGGCTTTATTATCTGCAAAAGTATGATTACTTTTGTTTTATTGAAAAGACTAAAAATCCAAGCAAGTGGCACGACAAAATGCCGCTCTTTGCACTCTTTCAGTTGAAAGGTAGCCGTACTAACATACCAACTCGCTCATATTTCATTACTAGATAATGAAGCATGATCATGCTAAAACATATCACGCTCCCAACTCTTTTTTTCTCTCTGCTTTTACCGCTCCTGAAAACACGGGGTGGAAGCATTTGGTAGTTTAGGCGCCCCGACAGGTCACAGCGTGCAGATGATCGGGTTCAGCTTTGGACATTTGGATGACCTGGTGCAGATCGCGCCCGTGCTGAAGGGCAGCAATATGCTCATATTTTGCATCATGCTCTTCACGTCTCTGACGCTTGTCTTCTTGAGGGTCGCCACTGTGGTCTTAGTCATGCTTTGGCTCTTCCTCATCGTCAAGGTGCAGGAGAACTTGAAGGAATATGTCTTTTACGGGATGGACTTGGGAATCTATACCATCATCAAAACTCCATCAAGGAATGCGCGAAGAGAACGAGGGTAATGGAGGGGCTTGAAGAATGAGTATAGCCGACGAGGTAGTGATCGTAGCGCCCTGTCATTCACGGAGTGTCCACAGCCATATGCAACGCGGTCTATATTCATGACGCGCGACAATGAACCATACGATGAAAGCGTCTCTCTCCTCGTCGGGCACATGCCCTCTCTATGACGAATCATTACTGCAGTCGTCTTCTCCAGGGCCAGAATCTCTTCCAGTCATCGTCTCCTCACCAATATCGCCAGTTTCCTGGTCGTTGGTTATCCAACTCCAACTACACTGATGGTAGCTCGCCAATTTAGTGTTCCACGCACAGCAAAAGATCCCCCATCTATGTAAAACAGCAGCAATACCACCAGGCCAACTATTTAAAGGAAAACTACTAGTGAACAAGCACTACCACGACTCGAACCTGCACCCATACACCTGCGCTGAACTGCACCACTACTAGCGACAGCCCCAAGAACTGACCAGTGTATTATGATTTTACTATAGGTAACTGCCCAGTGTGACACCCCCTACACTCAAACGGCCTGGAGTCCAAAAGCCAGACTCAAGAGTACCGCCGGATTCAAGTGGTTCTTACTATTAACGAATGACCTCGCGCTGGAGCGACCGCGCTGGAGAACCTAGATCAATGGGGATTTCACATACAGGTGCCTCATAGACCAACCGACAGGGCACTATCAACGATCCAAAGATCGAGACAGTGTATCAGCCAGACATGAGGGGAATTGAGAATTACGGATCACCCTATAAAAGGAATACAGAGGCGCATATAAAGGTGCAAGCGAACAGGACTATGTCAACACGCTCACTCTCATCAAGGCGCTGCAGCATTCATACACGTCTGAAGCTCTCCTATATCATGGCTCGACAGCAGCAATATGGACGACGCACTCATGCAGACGTTGATCTATCAAAGCCTGTTCCCCGACCATATAATATTGCATTCATGGGTCAGGCTGAATCTGTCATAGCTCTCACTCTCCGAGGCATCTGCTTCCTCACCATCGTCCTCCCCGTGGAAGGCTGACGATCAGATCTTTTACCAGCAAACAACAGTAGACTAATTGTGTTCCCCGGAAGGGGGGGAGGGGGGGGGAAAGGGGGGGATTTTTTTTTTTTAATCAACCTCATATATCCCACGTAGGTCCTTGAATCGTCTTTAAAATACACCCAGCAGCCTTGCTCGCGTATGTATCACCAGGTATGTCCATACGCTTGTAGCCAGAACAAAATATCGTATTTGGCAGGGACAGGACGGTTATCGATTGCAGCATGATGTGACAACGATCCACGTTGTCTCGTCGCCATCTCTACCGCTGTATACGATCCCACAGACCAGAATCGAGGGACCTGAGAGAGGATTCGACAGCGGATCTGGGAAATACTGCTACGTCCAAGTACCCTCTGTCACCGCCACCAAATTCGGAGATCTAGGCTCGCCTCGCGATCTATTAGTTCAAGAATAACGACGACCAGTACACTTCCGGTGTTTTCGTTCTTTTTTCTCCTTACTCGGGCGGATACGAGTGTCAAAGTCGAGATGAACGGCAACAATAAGACCACTCCTGCGTAGACACAGCTTGGATTTGTTCAAAATCACACCCAAACCTACGGATGTCCCGAAACAGCGCACGGCCCAGGGAGCAGAGGCCACATGAGCAAGTCGTGGAAGAGGAAAATGAGGAGCGATTTGGGGCCTATATGGTGCGGGATATGATCCCGGAAGAGTAAGGGGAAGACAACATTGGCGACAAAAAAAAAAACGACCAAAACTTTGTCTCGACGGCTCGCCATCGCCACAGCCGCGCTGTTGCTATCCACAATCAAATACCCTGGGCCAACGATACAAGCGAGAACGGAAGGAAACCCGGTCGGGTGAGCCTCCTTGGTCGGCCAAGAGTATCTGAGCGACTTAGGGTCTCGCTTGATCCACCTAAGTGATACAAGTATCGATAAAATAAAGGCATAGCGCCCGCTTTTTTTATTATTATTATTAATAATTACTGTTATTGCTGAAGAGAAATGCTAATGACTATGGTACACAGATGCTTATCGTTATTGGATATCAAAACTATTACTGTTAATGTTGCGGTTGGAGGACAAACGATGAATGTTGCTGTTGTTGCTGTTGTTGCTGTTGTTGCTGTTGTTGCTGTTGTTGCTGTTGTTGCTGTTGATGTTGCTGCTGTTGCTCCTGCTGCTGTTGCTGCTGATGTTGTTGCTGATATTGCTGCTGATATTGCTGCTGGTGCTGTTGCTGTTGCTGTTGATGCTGTTGTTGCAATGCGAACTGCTGCTGTAACGCATGATGATGTGCAAAGAACATTTGCTGCTCAATCGACGAGGTCAACGAGGGGAATGCAGAGTTCACACTGAAATGATCCAGGCCTGCTGGGCCACTTGCGCTGGCACTGGGATGGCCAGTACCGCTTCCTGCTGTTGCAGCCGCCGAGGATGGTGTAGACCCGTTGTTACCGCCAAGAGATGTAGAAGAGGTGATGGTACTTGGTGTCGGACTTGCTGTCGAAAGCGGTGACAGGGGTGGTGATGAACTCAGCGACCCGGAGCGATGAGAGTGCGCCTGCGGAAAGTTCGAGTGCGGATGCAATAGCGGCTGAGCAGATAAAGGGTGAGCTTGATGGTTCTGAGAGGCCATGGAAAGAGGATGCGGTGTGGTGAACGAGGACGAGGACGAGGACGACGGCGAAGCCGAAAATGAACCTGTTTGTGTTTGCTGGTGCTGGGGCTGGGGTTGGCGCTGCTGGTGTTGGTGCTGCTGATACTGCTGGCGCATCCACATCATCCTGGCATCATTCTCATCCGACTGCTGCATGATCTGTCGCTGCTGGTGGATCCACCTTGGGAGCAAGAGCGTCTGCTGCTCGCCAATGGAATGCTGATCCTGTTCATAGTACAGCAACAGGCCCTGCAGCATCTCGTATGCCTCGTTCTTGCTCGGGACCTTGCGCATGCCGCCATCGACTCCCATACCCAGCTGCGAATTGCTCAGTTTTGGGACGTTCGCTGGAGCTGCTGCATCTGCGTGGGTGTCTCCGAGGGGAGACTGACTGAACAGGACTTGAGGCGATGAAGCGGTAGTGGGTATATTTTGCAGAGGGGGGAGGGAGTCGAACAGGGTGGGGAAGGAGTCAAGGATAGAGGACTGCGTGTGCGGCTGGGATGAAGACTGAAGAGAGCTCGGGTGCAAATTGAGGAAGGCGCTGTGGGAGGGGTGTGCGAGGGAAGTGGTTGGCACATTAACCGGTTGAGAAAGCGCGGACGTGAACTGGCCTAGGGACGAGAACGAAGATGATTCGCTGAAGGAATAATGTCTGTGCTGCTGTGGGTGTGGCGGCTGTATTGGCTGCTGCAGGTCGAAGCTGCGACGCGTCTGAGAGAGTTGACCTAGTCCCAATGCCGTACCGTACGGAAGGTTGGAGGCCGACGTTGGTGTTGGGTTGGAGGTTGAGGCTGACCTTGTGGTCTTTCCTGATGGTACAAAGGCATTGGCAGTGGATGCTATTGGGTTATAATCCTTCCCCAACAATTCGTTGCTTGAATGGTACTCCTCCTCTTCGTCAGCGTCGTCGTTGTCAAGCAGCTCTTTCAGGGTTTTCTGAGAATGTTGCGTTGCCTTGCGGTCATCGTGCTCTCGCTTGACCTTGCCTTCGCGCCGAGGAGACGGATTGGCATGACTAAGTCGCCGGAGAGTGAGGTTGTGAGCAGAAGCACCTGCCACGGATGACAATATAGGGGTCTCAGCCGAGCTCGGAGCAGCTCCTACAGTCGATGAGGATGGCAATGAAGACGAAGGCTCCGAAGCCTCCGCATCGCGGGAGCCGAAGGGATCCATCTCGATAATCCATCTGTATCGACCGAGCCGGTCCGCGGCCCACTGAACACCTAGCCTGCGCTTGAAATGCCTGAGCCAGCCGAAGGAGCATCGCATCCGGCTCGCACTTGGGATTTCTCGGGCGAGACGCAAGGCATGAGATTGCAGCTCGGCGTCGTTGAGGCGGCGGCCGTGCGCATCCACCGCTGCCGAGGACTTCAGGAACTGGACCATGGCTCGGTCGAGCTCAACCGAGGCAGGCTCTCGCACGCGCTTGAGCTGTCCTTCCCATCGCGCCCCTATTGAATTGAAATTTAGAGCTTTAATCAGAAATCGATACAGCGGAGGATGCGATGCGAAGCGAGCCGAAGGACTCACAAGGGCTGCACAAAAGAGGGAGGGAGCACAGGAGCATCCACAACGTGTGTTTGTAGTGTCCGAGAGCAGCTGCATGCAGCCAATGGGGCAATTAGACCCAGATTTAAAGTAGAGTAAAATTCAGTGAATGAATTGAATGCAATGACGCGCTTAATTAACGAATGTTGTTGCCAAATGTGGAGAACAAAAAAATGGTGGATCGACAACTTCGTAAAAACCGCTATTATTTGATGCGGCCAAGGAGGACGACGCAGACAACGATTATCCTGCCTTGATACCGGGCAAACGTTGCTGGCCAAGTGGTCTCTCTTTGAATGTCATTGTAGGTCAGGATGCACCGGAGTGAAAAAAGAAGGAAAAAAGGTTTGTGGGTTTTGCTGTTACCTTCTCCAGAGCCACCGAGGTTCATTGAGGTCGAGAGATCGCTAACAACGCTGCTGCTTCGAGCGCTGCTGCTGCTGCTGCGCTCACGCTTATTGCTTGTTCGGTACTTGTTCACTCGGCCTGTACTCATGTCGCGCTCGAGGCATGCGTCCTCTGCATCCAAGTTGGTATTCGTGAAGCTGGTAATGGCAGGCGAGGACGACGAGGAGGCCGATCCAGAGGCTTGGTGTCCATTGACATTATTCTGCATAGATTGGTATAGATCCTTGTGGCCGGCCATCAACGACGCACGCTGCTTGTGCAGAATCGAATACACTGTCACACGTGCGATGCGAAGGCCCCAGGTGGCCAGCACCCAGTCGCAGACCTCGGTCGGGCGCAGTTTGTGAGTGTCGGCCTGGTGGATCAGCTGGCGCTTCTGTTCGCGTGTCAGGGAAGTGTGCTTTTCACCAAAGACGCCCATGGTTAAAGAAGTAAAGGAAGGCGTTACAAAAAAAATGGGGTTTGTGAGGGAATTAAGATCCGGAGATGTGGAGGGCTTTGGCCGTTGGAAGTTAAGGAGATCGTAAATGTCAAGGTGGAGAGGAATGATTTTCGGAGGGAGGGGGGAAACTTGACGTTCAAGACAAAATAATTATTGCCCTGTCAAGGAAAAGTGCAGAAGAGAGAAGCTTTTAATTCAGGATGGAGAGAAAACAAGAACAGGAAGGTTCAAGAAATGATCGGAGGGGGAACGGTGGCCCTGTTATATGCTGCTGCTCCCAAATATAAGGGCTAAAGGAGGAGTTGTAACACACATGCCAGCCTGCCGGCAAAGCCAGGACCAGCCCTTGCGTGAGCTATATTCTTGGCGACTGTATCAGACTATTATAAAATACGCTGTGTAGACTCCCGTGCATTTATCCCTCACAATGCTAAAATGTTTTTTTTAATACACATTCTAATTGCATGATATACAAAAGAGGTGCCTCTGCTTCTTACTCCGGTTCCCTTCAGGCATCGTGCACCTTGGATCCTATCTATGCAATTACAAAAGGATCTACAACCTATCCCCAGCATTGAGACACCAATCAGCCAGAGACTTCAGGTACTGTGCAGGTCTCACAAAAAAAGGGTGACCCTCCTATTCGCTCGAGATGTGCATGTGTATAAGCTAATTATTCACTTACCATACTTTATTTTCAGTGCACCCCACAACTCAGCTTATTTCTCTTCCGTTCTAGGGTTAATTGTCCTCCACATGTGCACGCAACAAATGAGCACTTCTTGGCCCGAGGTAATGTTTTGTTCTTACGTTCTGTATGAAGTCATGCTAAAGCAGATAGACGAATCTTGTTTTTCCTTGCGCGCTGTATCAGGGCATTGGCCACCATTATTGGCTCCATTTTGAAGGAGTTGGCGATTGCTAATCAGAAAGATCCCACCAGGCTACTAGTTACATCAATAATACACCCATCAATAAGTCCAGAAACCATTGAAAAGACGCAATGGCTGGGCGATCATGTGCAATCGTGCCCTGTGGATACCGGTCCCCAACAAGCACCATCTCTTCTCCAAATGCTCCTAACAACATGACGCATGAACAACAAAAGGACCTACATCGTATGGGTGCCTTTGCCATTCATAAATATCATGGAAATCCTTGAGCACCGTTCGTGGCAACTATTTCGACGATGTTCTCTGTGCTATTCCTTTTGATTTATCTAAATAAGCACCGGTCCTCAGGTATATACAGATCTACCTCTGAGGAAATTAGCTTGCAGCCGAGGCCCGATATTGGTGCGCCCCCGATGAAGTCGACGCGAAGAAACGCGAGCGAAGTGCTCACTAAACCCTGCCAAAGATCCAGATCATGGCATTGACGGCTCTTTTTTTTACCAGCGTAACCGTAGATTATTTTTTGGGGGCAATGAGCACAGGTGCAGCAACAATCTCCACACCCACATGCACAACATTCCTGCAGCCGTCCAATACCCTGCCCTAATTGCTTGGCTAAAGAGCACAAACCGTTCTGTTCTGGCCGTAATAAAGTTCCATCGCTCAAACATCAACAACTATGTCTCCGGAACGTGCCCGTATTCTTAATTATTACAAACAACAGTGTTAATACATATGCAATAGATTCTGTTCATGCATAGTATTGTGTTGCTACGCCGACTATTAAGCGATAATTCCGACTATTTGTCTTTCGTGTCTTGTTTGGCACTATTAGTACTTGGGACCGACTGAATACCGTAGATTTCTGTCGCGGTTTCCTCTTTTTCTTTGTCACAGCGTCCATACTCATCGGTTTCCATTACGGTAGTAGAGAGATACCAGTATGTAGCCCTACCATCCCTCTCTAACCGCAATAATCGCTGTAGTTTCCTTCATTTATTCAGAGAATAAATATTCTACGGCGAAGATGAATTGGGCCAGATAACCAAACAGTTTACTTTAGAACGCGTTTGTGCATGCTATCTACATGAAGTGACAGAATAAGGTCCACCTACAGCATATACACTAGTACTATGGTTTCTTGGTTGTCCATTCTTCTGCTCCTATTGCTTCGAACGCTATTCTCCTGTTTATATTGGGGAGAGGGAGAAATTCTCGCCTACAGATACGGTACCCACAATAGAGGATTATTAATATTTTTTGAGTATGAGGAGATCTTGGACCCTTCATTAGCGATGACTTTGATACACCCCATAATGCCGCGGCGTTTCTTCACGATACAAAGTTCTGTATATCCTTCCGTGGTTTCTCATATAGTTCGTCTGCACGCCGATGTGTTCCGCTCAATCCTCCTTAATCTTTTCGACCCAAATTCTTTGTGTCATACGTTTTCTGGACACACATGCCTATTTACACCACATGCGAAACGGTCGCCTGTAGCTATTATCAAAGAGCCTCGCGCTACATACTGATGGATATCCGCTTTGCTTCCTAAATGAACCGCCTCGCACTACCTTCTCCACAAATACTCAAACGGGGTACATAAGGAGTTCATTTCTCTACTTCTATCCACTCATCCAACCAAATACCACTCCATGTTGTTGTTACACTTTGAGCGGTCAGCCATTATCACTGTGTCTACTGTTATCTTCGCGATTTTTTTGAATATTGAGATGTATTGGTGAATCTTTGAGTGGAACACCCAGACTACGAATCAAAAAATAAAAAATAAAAAATGCTCCCTGCCAGCGTATTCCTTGAACAGCTTATTCAATTCAAAGAAAAGAAAAAGATTACTATTTGCTGTCGTATGTATGTTTCCTTCCTTCAGTCATTCATTCACTCATCCATCCATTCATTTTTTATATCCTAATTTGCTAGACATATCCTTTCTTTCCACAAATGCATAGCAGCGCTCCGCAGGCGTGGCTACACAAGGTGGCAAAATTTTACTTATTTATTTTTTCTTCCGCCGCAATGTTCATTGCAATAACTAGCAACCCAAAACACCCACAGGCATCAAAAAGGGTCGGATGAGGACAAAGGGTATACTGTTTGTCCTGGAAGTGAATTTTTTTATTATAACAATTTGTTTCTCCAGTCGATTGACCCTACGAATCTATCAGACGTAACTAACAATGATTTACTACAGTCGTTCTCTCCACCCACCAAAGTAGAGCCGACTCACAGTTGCCAAATAACAATTGCCACACCTCATCAGTGTGTTAAAATCTGAAGACTACGTGTTACAGAGAGGGTATATTTCCCATCCCCTCCATGGTTGTCAACCACCTCCTCCCTTGCAGACAGTCTAGCAGCGTCCGATCCGCTGCGTCTGGGTCGATTTTTTTTTTTTTTTTTTTGTTAACTAGAACCCACGAGGATATGTGGGATTTATTAGTGAGGGACTCTAGACTAGGAAATCCTATTGCTAGGGGCATAGAAAAGGGTGCTCAATATTCTAATAAGCGGCTTTTGCCGCACCACTGCTGGTCACTCGCAGCTCCAATCCCCTTCACAGTCCCAGTCGGCATGAGTGATAACTCGACCCCGCCTGGGATCGGTGATTGAGCTCTACTCCCTACTTGGCCTGTTGTGCGCGAAGGTCATCTTTTAGCCACGCTCCTCAATCGTCAAAAATTTACAGTTGCCGGTGCGTTCCATCACGTTGAGCTCCACCTGTTGCATGCAACTTTGCAGCACTCGCTTGTCCGCTCGTTCCTCGATGCAAATAGTCAGGAGTCGGAGGGGTTCTAGGGTGGAATCAGAGGTTTATTCGATGATTGATTACTGTCTAATCCTACGTTTGAAGGGCTCTTATATTGTAATAGCTTTAGGCAACTGAGGGCAGGGGCTCGAGGTGGACAGGATGGAATGCGTGCTGTATTTAGGTGGTAACTAGCTGGTCTATTTATCTATGTCTACGGACCGGTTCCGGCCCGGTCGGTGGTCTATAGTCGGGGCCCCAGTCCTTTCGGAGTCGGGGCTATATTCGGGGTTATCCTGTTACACCTTCCCATCTTAAAAAAATTAAAGTCTATGCTGTTTCTTGTACTGCCGTAAAAGTCGTGCGCAGTTAGTCATGTTGCTCTCTGGTTCCCATGTGGAGTCCTCCCTTGCATATCCTTGCCACTTGACCAGGTACTCCACGCGATTGTTGTTGTTTCGATGTTCCATGATCGTCTCAGCTTCGTACTCTTCCTCGCCATCAATGATCTCTGGTGCTGGTCTCACATGTGCACGTCGGCCGAATGTCACTGGTGAAGGTAAGTACGGCCGGAAGCGGTCGACGTGGAATACATCGTGTATCTTCATGGACGGGGGCAGCTCAAGGCGGAAAGAGACCGGTGAGTGCTGTTCCAGGATTGTATAAGGTCCGATAAAGCGTGCCTGCAGCTTCTTGGTGGGGCGGTTCCTGTCAGCAGCAACGGTGATGTCTTCTGTACTCAGCAGCACCTGGTCTCCAACTTTGAAGTCATGATCACGGCGACGGGAATCCGCATTCTTGATCTGCCGTTCCTGGGCGTCTGCGATGGCCTCTTGCGCGATGATTAATGCTGTGCTCTGTGCTTCCACGAATTCCATGACACTGGGGTTGGGGCTGGGTTGAGGTTGTAACAGAGACATCGGTACGCGCGGGTGAAATCCCTGGTTCAAGAAAAATGGGGACTGGCCGGTGGTGGCATTGCTCGAGTTGTTGTAGGCGAACTCAGCGGCGGATAGGAAAAGATCCCAGTTGGTTTGTCGCTGGTCCACGAACGCGCGCAAGATGGACTCTAGTGTCTGATTGGCGCGCTCGGTCTGTCCATCGGTCTGGGGGTGGAAGGCGGTCGACATGGCCAACTTGACGTCCATGAGACGGTGCAGCTCCTTCCAAAAACGGCTGGTGAACTTGGTGTCGCGATCAGAGACGATGGAGGTCGGCATGCCGTGCAAGCGAAAAACGTTGTCAAAAAATTGTCGAGCTACGTCGGAGGCTGTGTCGGTGGTGTGGGCTGGGACGAAGTGGACTTGCTTTGACAGCTT